TTTGAGAAAATAAATAATATATAAAGACAGAGAATTCTGAACTTACATTCTGAGTTAGATTCTATTCGTTCTATAAATTATATACAATATAAAAAATCACTTACAAATATAAGAGAAATATAACAATTATATTTTGCTTACCTAACATTAAAACTTAAGCTACACCATTCACCTCTATACCTAACACCTTTAATAATGAACGAATATAAGTCTAACCATAGTATGTCTGCTTCAGCTCAGCATTATCATTTTTATGACTGTTCTTTGCGGTTTTAGATTGAAATTTTGGCATGATATTCTCTAAGACAGTAGTCCATGAATCCTTGACAGAAGTATTTGTTTTATTTTTGAATGTAATAGTCTTAATCTTATTACGTGGATGTTGCAATTGTAAGCTTTGTATATCACTATGGAAAATATTCTTACCTTTAACCTTTGGATTATCCGAAAGCGATAAAAGGTTACATTTATTTAATAATTTTGGGAATATTTCTAGTATTGTAGTATAATAAGATTTCTGAATTGAAGTTTTCAAAGTACTTGTATTCTGTGGAAGAGAACTATAAGAAACTTTCGTATTTGGCGTCACAGCAATATCACTAACGTCGGAGTCTGAAAATATTGTCTTCATAGATCCTTCTGAATTTGCAATGGAAGTTGGGATATCAGGATATATTCTACCAGTTTCCTGAAAATTCGATCGCCCAAATATTCTAGAACTACTATTACCATTGATATGTCTTGTCTGTTCTAAATATTTAACAGCAGTATTACGATTGACCAATTCTAATTGAAGAATCTCAAAAAAATTACCGTTATCATCATAATCTTCATATATAATCTGTTGTTTTCCTAAAAAAAACACATTTCTATTAGAGCAACCAGAATTACAACTTTTGCAGTTCGAAAAATAATGTTTTGTCATGGGTATGTACTTAGTGTCACCCAAACTATCAAAACTTAGGTCGTTTATTTGTCGTTCAACCGGTTCGATAGTACCCTTATTCTCTAAATATTTATCAAAAATAAAACATTCTGAACAATTTTCATCCTCCATTATGATATATTATATGGATAATTGTATAAAATATTGGAGTAATTTTACCTTTTTTTATGAATATCAATTAAGGAAGAGGGATACCTTAAATATTTAGAAGTTCTCAGATATAAAATATCAAAATTTAATTCAATTCAATTCAATTCGATGACTCTCGAAAATCAAAGAAATTGCTGTCAAATCCAATAGAACACTTTATATTTTTAGTGCTACAATTAAAGCTTGAATTTATTTAAATTTTGTAAATTTTATTGATAAATCTTCCAATTATTTTTATTGTTAGTATATTTTGCCCTCTTCTATTACTGAAAAAATATAGAAATTCAGCTAAAATGCAACCACCAATATTTAATAATGATGAAATATCCAGAGTCTTCCTAAGACAATAATTTGCTCCATATATTTGTAATTTGTATCTCCCTGACCTTTTCAATATACACATATACACATATCTATATTTGCTCATAGAATATCGACAATAGATAAATCTTGGGCAGAAATATCAAAAGAAGCTATTATGTGCTACTCATATTTCTCCACTATTGAAAACTATCAGAAGCCTCTCCATACTATTAAAGATATATTAATCATTGTAGGACTGATGCTAGATGTATGTTTTAATTTCAATATCATACTCCATTATTTACCATTTTTGATATATTTTAAGATGTAAATGAGAGTTGGGAAATAGATATCTTAAAAAATGTCCCAACAGCACATACTGCTTACAACGATGTTTTCTCGTCCGTTTAATTTAGGTTGGTGTAGACCAATAACCCCTCCAAAACAGGGTATTTATTTTCTTGTAAGTTTGCAAAATGATAACGGTAGACACTTATTAAGTTTTATTCTACTTTTAACAAGCTAGAATAGTCTTAGTTTGGTAAGATACCTACGTGATAATAAAGATTATCACAAGCGTATACAAACCATATATGATCGTAGACCAGATTAAACACAACCGTAGCCTTGATGAGTACTCACCCCAAAGAGGATGGCTCTATTGTTTCTTGTTATCGTGACTAGGCCATAGCGTGTATTTTGATGTGATGTTGTACAGCTCGGAATAAAATTAGTAGAGCAAAATAAAATACAATAAACCTATCACATCCACAGTAAATGACTACTCAATCTCGAAATAACAAAGACTTCTCCAAGTTCAAGCGATCTTTCTTACAAAGTATTGAATGACTCTTGTTGTAAATCATCATTCCAACCGTTAAATGGTGTAGTCCGGAAATTCCAACTTAAAAAACAAACAAAGAATACAGCTAGAGGAAGAAGCAACTTTTATAAGACAAAAGGATACATCGAGATAATCTGGGAAGGAACACCAGCAAATATCTCCCCTCAGAAAAACTTGTGATTGGAAAGAAAGATATCACACTGTTCTTATTTTCGATGAGGTCACTTTTATCATTCATTGCATTAGAGTATTAATTTACTTGGACAATTCTCTTTACTCTACCACAGCAACCCTTACCAGTAAATATGGATCATACTTCGATTAAAGAATACTTACAACTTTAAATTTCTTGTACTATAATCTCAAGGTACAGCTTATCACTAATGTTACTTTTAAAAATCCATAGCCTCGTTGTATTGTTATGTAAATATTTGGATAACGTATTTTCTTTTTCTTTTTCTTTTTCACTATCGTTAAACAATGGAACAAAAATAATCTAATGAGTATAGTTCATATCTTGAAAAGTTACCTAACGATACTTCAAAATGAAAGTTAACCCAAATATAAATCACCCTTTCAAACATGTATGTTCATACATTTCTAACATATATATTTAAATAAAATCATGTAAACTTGGTAAAGAGAAAGAATCTGTCTTTACGGAGGAGATGAGTTTGCTGTAATACTCCGGTTTCTTAATAACTATTATGTCTTCGTTTCATATAGATTTTGGCTATATTTCTACGATAAGAGAAATGCACCAGCACCTTCTTCAATTGCCTGCTGGATTCTTGTGCGCATAATTTCTTGATTACTATATTTAGGTAACTTCAAATAATTTGCACATGTCATAACACTAGGTAAATATTGATCAGGAGATAAACCATCCTCGGCATGCTTTAAAACAACTGTGAATTTAGGTTTCAATGTTTTGAAACCACCAAACGGTAGTCTGGGTGATCCAGTTAAGAATTGAGTAAATAATCTCTTATCCTTTGGATCGAATGATGACATAATATCAATTAAATCATGTATAGTGGTGGAATCCATATTATAACCGTGATCACTAACAATGCAACTGTATAATGTTTCTTTTGACCAATCTTCTTCCACACGGCCAAAAATATCAATTAACTCATCAGGGGATAAGATTAGAAGATTAGTGTATGGGAATCCTTTAGAAAACCCATCAATAAATGACTGTAACTGTTGTTTGATACCATTACCAATTAACGCAGATATTAATAAACCAATATACTCTAGAATGTTTGTAGAAGTTACACTGATATCGTCCCCATTTTCGATTAGAGGTATTGTTGTACCAGGTACAATAAATGTTAAGTATAATTCATCAATATTCTCTGAGTTATCCCTGTTCTCATACATATACTTCAATGAATTCCCAATCTGTTTATCAACGTAAGAAATCATGTCAATTGAATGTTCAACGTTTGCCATGTAATCTGGCAGAGTGTGGTTCCTGGCTAACTCATGTGTCAAAGAGAAAAATAGTATATTAAAATTAAAATCGAGAATTCTATTATCCAACATCGATCTGGCAATAAATTCACCCAAATAAAAAAATAATTCCTTAACTTTACCTCTTTTTTCAATTAAAGGATCCATTGTCGCAGGGAATAGTAGTTGTGTAACGTACTCATGGTTGGTATCACTATCAGACTCATCACTCTCAGAGTTATAATTATCAGTCCTCCACATGCCTAGTGACTTTCTAGAAAAATCCATTGACATAGTAGCATAAAATTCTAAAGTAGGACCTAAACCAGTACCTACTTCATCTTGATATTCCATCTCTAAGATACTTGGGTTAGATCCGTATTTATCTAAAATCTTTAACCCAGTTAAAAATATTTTATCCCTTGGGATTCTTAATTTGTGTCTTGTAATACGACCTAATTGGAGAATTGGATTATCGCTAGATAAATCTTTACCAACTTCAGCTTTACTTTTCCATAATTGTATTAGTCTACCATAACCAAATGATACACATTTTAGGAAGAATATTCTTGATTCGAATGGGAATAAGAATGAGAAATCCCTAGTCAAATACAATGTCCAATCTGGTAGGGCACCACCAGCGATGATCAAGGGTTCATCTAATTGTTTAGCTAACTTTGCGCTCAGCTTAGAATTGATGAATACATCTGTATTATCCATATTAGCTCTTAAAAATTTAAGAATGTATAATATGTGATCTACCGGAGTTAAATTAGTCTGAGTATTCTTCTTAAGTCCATATACACTATTAATGATCATGTCATCCGAAGGAGCTGTAACAGTGGTATCTGTTTCGTCATCATTTTCCATTTCAATGTCTGAGATATTCTCTTCAATAGATGCTCTATTACCGCCAGTATCTGGTAATTCTTCGAACCTTTTTAATTTCTTCATGTTGATGCTAAATTTAATAGAGTGAGGTTTTGTCCAAAAGTCTTTCATCTCCTCTTGAGTTTTTGCTACATGTTTAAACACTGCACCAAATATTGTTTCGTTAACAGATATTGGGTTTCCATCGATCCTAAATAGAAAATCAGAATCGTTTAAGGCCTTTATTGCTTTTACCTCTTCTGTATTGATCCCACAAGTCTCATTTCCAAGCATAGACTCCACAAAACTTATATTAAGTAGACGACTCTTTAAAAATTCGCAACATGTCTTGAACGAACTTATGCACTGAATCGATATTATAGTTGGTTTGAATGATTTGGTAAACTTATCCCCCTCAGAATTACTGATCGGAACTAATTCGATTGTAATTTGCTTCCCTAATGATGCCATACCTCCCTCGGAACCTTGCAAACCACAGTCAACGATTTCGAATGTTTCAGTTCTAGTTAGGGCCGCCTGAAGGATATCTATAAAATTGGCCAACTTTTCTCCGAATACTTCGATTAGTACCCGTTTATTATTGTTCGATGTACTAGCCAAAACTTTGATTTTTGAACTTATCGCTAAAGATAGTCCTGAAGAGATAAATTCGAATGGCGAAAGAGTAAAATCTGTTCTAAAGATGCATTCTCTCACCAGAGTCCAGTATTGGAGCAAATCTACATATTTTGTAGTATCAATATCAATTTGGTCAAGCTTTTCAACAAGAGTGTGTATTTCATTCAATTGACTAGAACCTGTAGACGATTCCTTATTTAAGTTATCTAGAATCAGCTTGCATTCATCTACAATTTCATCTACTAGAATAACAGAAGATCTTGGTCTAAAGATCCAAAATTTCATTTTCTTAGGTTTAACACAATCAGGAAAGTCAAAATCAGAACCTACTATTTTGAAAAAACCCTCATCTTCATCTCCAAGTTCACTATCATAGCCAGAATATTCGTCGTCATCATCATCATTATCATTGTCATCATTACTCTCTTCGAAAACTAATGAAGGATCTATTTTAGTAGTATTAAATTCACTTGGAAATGATCCGACTAACTCGGTAATACCTTCCCTTTTCAAAAGAGAGATGACATCTCCTTTGGATTTTTTTATCAACAATGTTATCACTTGGAGAATACCCACGATAAGAACACCTATATCGTTCGAAAGTTTTTTATTATCAGTAATATGTGTTTTATTTTGAGCCAAAGCTGAACCAATAAGTCTCATCAATTCTGTATTGATTTTGTCATTACAAGGTGTATCTTTTGGTATACATGACAATAATCTTATCAAAGATATCAATATGTATTTTCTAACGGGGAAGTCCATCGAATTCATGTATATGTCAACAAATATGGGTGTCAAATTATCTACTAAAGATTTTAATGTTGATTCTTCACCAAAGGGTGAATCATACGTAGATTGTTCCATAGAAATTTTTTGATCTTCTTCAGGTGGTAAAAGTAATGCTATAAATCTTCCGATTCTAAGTAAAATATCATTTGGTACAAACATTAAGGTTTCATGAAGTGCAGCGTCTGGACTCTTACTATAACTGTTTAAACAACGGAGTATTACTTGGGATATGTTGCAGTTCTCAATAATATTTCTTGAGAGAACTCTACTATTAGCAACTATTTTGGTAAGGATATCATAACAATTCAATTTATCATCAAGCGAAACATCTGAGCTTGATGTTAATAATAGCAAATGTTCTAAGATATTTGTGGTGATAATTTCTTCTAACACATTCGTTTCATCGACACCACGAACAATACCATACAGAGCATAAAGTAGCCTACTTAAGATATTCTTATCAGAAGCGTTTTGAAAGATTGGTGCAATGACCACCATTGCATCTTTAACAATATTGAACTCGGTTATATGAACTCTTGCACATGCATTTGCCACTATAGCAATAGCTTTCCTCTGAGCATGAATAGTGAAGAAATCATAATATTGAATGTAACATGTCAAATCGCCTGCTTTTAATATCTCTCTCCCATGAACTCTTGATATATATTCTAAGGTCTCTAACACTTGTTCAGCTAAATCAATAAAATTTATTTCTGATAATTTTTCTTTAAGTACTTGAATCACCTTCTTTTCTACCGCTAATGATATACTTTCAGGGTTAACTTCAAATAAATTGTAAAGACACCTACAAGCTTGCATTTGTAATTCCATCTCTGCAGCAAGGAATGGATTTGATAAAACGTTAACTAATGAATTAACTAATTTTTCTGTTGGAATAGCTCTATCGACCACAAGTTGATTCATCATCAACATATTTTCAGAGAGCTCCTTCAAAGATTCCATTGCAATATATGGATCTTCATTTGCCTTGACGACATTATCAACCAATTTACTTATTCTTGAGTCTCTACTATTTGTAGAACCCATTCCACTTGGAACTCTCCCACCATTCATCATTGAAAACAAACCAGGTAACATGTCTTCCAAATTTCTTCCTCCTTCAGACGAACCAGCATTTGCGGTAAATTGTTGAAAGAAACTGTTGGGGTTGAAATCACCATTGTGGAATCCATGAACCTCTTCATCATCGTCTTCATCATCATCTTCTACTATGCCGTCTTCATCGTCTTCATCATGAGAAGATGAATCTATATGATATTCATCACTATCGCTATCATCATCTACATAATGATGGAGGTTATGATTGTTATGGGAATTGTCCTCATCCCTATAATCGGAATTGTTACTATCTTCTCTGTCCATCTCTGTCAAGTTGATCTTTTCAAGTTTTGAATAGATAATGATTGTAAGGAAAAAAACCTACGAACTAAAGTGTGGCTTTCTTGTTTCTTACTGAATATGATAACTTTTCAATCAAAAGCAGAACTAATTTTCTCACTCTAATATCCAAAAATTTATAATCAAAAGTTGAAAGTTAGAGAAAATAAAACAAAAAATTAAGGTATTAAAATTCTAGGACAATATTTATATATTTATATATAGAAAAGAGAGAAAATGAACTTTATATGCTATTTTTCAACCTTCAAAATAATAAGAGCGGGAGAAGTTGACAGGAAGAGAGCAATACAAAACCACAGATACACAATTATAAAAAATGTTTAAAATATACATACATATATGAAGTGGATCACATAAATATGTGAATCTACTTATAAATAATTACATATACAATACTATTGTTCTTTTTTTGTTTCTTCTTGAGAATCTTCTTGACTATCAGATTCATCTGATCCTTCATTATCACTTCTTGTATCTTCAGTAATACCTTTCCATAAGATTCTATACAGGATTCTAACGATTAAGAATAACCAATATAAATTGACAGCCTGCAAAGCAAATATTAGAATGAAGACAATAGGTAACGAAATCCAACATTTATATTGTTGAGTAGCAAAATTCAATGTATAATTCCCTACTGTTCTAAATTGAGTCAATACAGACCAAAGAATTCTAATGTTTACCACATGACGTAAATAGACCCAAACGCAAATGAAGAATACAAAGACAGGCTCAGTGAATGGAGAATTCAAATAATTTAAGATCTTTGAAATAGATAAAAATAAATCAGAGATATCCATTGTAATGTAAACTGCCAAACCGATCTTTGTGAAATGGAATACGTAAGAGGACCAAACTAATAATAAAGTTACGATATGATGATATACCATTTCATCATGATCCTTTCTTGGTTTTTCTAGTTGTAAAGCAAGGACACAAGCTTGTTGAGCCCAAAATGCAGCCTGACCTAAATAGAAAACTTTAAATAAAAATGGATTATTTGTATCAGGATAAGTCTTATACATTGTATCAGTTCTAAATAACCAAAGATCAGAATGATACATGCAATAAAGACCAAAAGGACTTGAAAAACTATAATAAACCACATAAAATGCTTGTTCAATAATTCTTTTACTTCTATGTCTTGAATCTACATTCCACCAATTAGGTAAAGGACGTAATACAACGTCTAATAAGAATTCACGTAAAAAAGTGAAAAAAATCATATAATAGAAGACAAAAGCTAAATCTTTAATACCTTTACTATACATATCAGTATTGTCGACTCTATAAGATATTGCCACAAACATATGTAAAGGATTTGATTCTGTTAAATTTCCTGAAGTGAAGTATGCACTGTATGATAAGATCATAATAATTAAAGGTGTAACCCAAGCATGACGATAATTAACTTCTCTAAATGAGTACCACATTTTTTTAATCAAATCAATATCATTTCTACCTTCATCTGTTAACCTTTTCATTCTTTGTTGAGCAGCATTTTTGGAATATCTTGATTCATACATTGTCCCTAAACCAGAGACTGTATCACCTAAATCTATTCTACCAACAGATGAAGAACGTCTTGATCTGACTCGTATCTTTTGATTAGTCGCATTTAAACTCGATGAGTTAAAATGCGAACTATTAGCCGACATCCTTTTGTTCTTGCAATGATTTTGTTATAAAGATATTGGACGTAGAGGTGACTGTTAGTTCTTATATAACAATCTTAACATATATTTCAAAATATAAATATAAATATAGTATGTGTCAGCTTTGATGAACTTAACTAAGCCAACGAAAATAAAAATATAAGACGAGATACATATATTACAAATAACATGGGAAAACTATAAGCTATAAACTATAAGAGAAACAACAACATAGGGGTAAAATATATATTGACTACTGTTGTCCCTGAGCTCAACTAGCCTTTCGCAATAATATTCGTCAAGTTCCTGTCTGTTCGGTTGTTGTTGATCCATCAGAAAACAAACAACAAATTCAGTGACAGAGCCTTCCCTCTCCCCCCACGCAAACAAAAGGAAAAAAGGCAATGGGACTAGTAATCCCCCACCTCCACCTGCACGAACGACAACTAGACGTGTGCGATGGTTTTGTTGATTCCTGCGCCTCTTTCTGAGCCTGAAGAGGGCTGAAATTTTTCAGGGTTTCAAGTTAGGGCTGAGACGTGTGATGTGATGTGATGTGATGTTAGGGTGAGGGTTAAGGTTTGTATTAGGGTTAGGGCTGTGCCTGGTGTCGCTATTAGGGTTTAGTGGAAACTGGAAGGAGGGCTTGCCTCATTTTCACTCCTAATTTGTAAAGTGATAGATATTAGCCAACTTTAATAGAATACATTATTAATAACTTGTTACAGGTCGTCGTCGTTTTAATTATCCTACAATATGTTATTCACACACACATATATATAGTGAAAAGTCTTATTAAGTGTGAAGCAAATATTTTGTTGCGTAGTATTTAACACTAGTGAATACGAGTATGAAATTAGAATTAAGTTCTGCAATCTTAAAGGCTACTAATCCTACATTAAGGACAGATAACTGGCAAGCTAATATTGAAGTATGCGATATTGTGAAGAGTGATCCTGAAGATAATGGGAAAGATGCTGTCCAGATGCTTTGTAGGAGACTAGAACAAGATGATGCAAATGTTATCCTAAGATCATTGTCTTTAATCGTGGCTCTTGCAGAAAATTGTGGTTCAAGATTACAACAAGAGATTAGTTCCAAAGCATTCACTTCCCTGTTGTATTCACTGATTGAAAAGAGGCAGATTCATTATACTGTGAAGATCGAGATCGCTAAAGTGGTACGTCAATTGGCAAAAAGTTTTAAATATGATCCATCATTAAGATCAATGAATGATATTTATAAAAAAATTAAAAAGAATCATTCTGAATTAATAATATCATCATCATCAAATCATCCTGATGATTCTAATTCAAAGAAAGATAATTTGTTTAATAATAGCAAGGATGATACACAATCTAAAGAGCAAAATGAATTAGAAGAAGCTCTGAAATTATCTTTACAAGAATTTGAATCACAAACGAAACAAAATAAAAATGTTGAGTCAAATGCACCATTACAGAAGATGAATGATGAAGTTCAAGCTCCAAAAGTTGTAAAGAAAGTTCGAGCAATGTATGATTTGAATTCATCTGAAAAGGATGAATTATCATTCAAAAAAGGCGATATTATAATTGTTTTGGAACAAGTATATAGAGATTGGTGGAGAGGTACTTTACATGGAAAAATTGGAATATTCCCATTAAATTATGTGACTCCAATAGTAGAATCTACTATTCAAGAATTACAAATAGAAAAGTCAAAGGAAAATATAGTATTTCAACAATATGATAATGTTAATCACTTACATCAAACTTTGAAAAATTCATCACAAACAATAAATGGTAATAAAGATATCACACAGGATGAACAGATCAATAATCTTTATGGTACTGTAACTCCCTTAAGACCACAAATTACAAAGATGATTGGTAAATATTCAAGAGAAAAAGATGATGTTACATCATTACATCAAGTGTTAGCTCAAGCAGAAAAAACTTATAACCAATTATTAGATCAGGCAGCAAATGCTTATAAGCCTGCACCAACAATGACATATCAACAACAATTACAATCACAGCTGCAACCTGTTGGTTATCCGCAGAATTACGGTGCACAGATGGCAAATGCATACCCTGGTTATCAACAACCACATCAACAAAATAATGAACAATTTTATTCACCGGCTCAAACCCAGTTCCAACATCCATCTCAACCTGTAGGTTTAGCTAATGCTCAAACGCAACGATATCAAAATCCGCAACTACAGCCACCACAACAAGGCTATCAACAGAATAACGTACCCACTGGACAATATAACCAAATGAATAGGTGAGAATATATACGATATAGAGATATAATAAGAACACGTAACTGACGTCAACCATTATCCCACTTAAGTTGACTTATTGTATAGTTGATCATCTGCTTTAATGGACTAATTGAATCTTCGAATATATAGGGTAGCGCAGTACATGTATTCTTTATTCGTGCAATGAAAAATAGAAACGATTGCTTCAAAAAATTAAAAAATATATATATATAAATATATATTGAAGACATATATAAATTTAAACCAATAGGTAAATATAGCCCCTTTTTTAAAAAAGAATAATAAAAAACTTTAAAAAGAAGAAACAGGTATAACCATTCTAATCAATAGACATATTTAAAATCATTGAACAATGTCAGAATCAAATTTCGAAAAAGTTATCTCTGAAATCATTTTTGACAGTCCTGCTGGAGAAATTAAACAAGTTTATGATTCTTTAATCACAATCGTTGGTGAAAACTCCAAGGATACATTACTTAATGTGATCGAACAATACAATATAAAGAACAACATCCCAATTGATGTAGATGGTAATAACATTCTTCTCTCCGAAAATAATAAAGATGGTGCCTCGAGATATTTCGATCCAATAAATGGTGTTTCATTTACTGTTGACCACATGAATCGTAAAGGTCTAGACGTGGAACCATATCAAGCCAAAGGATTTACCGATAACCAGAAGAGTTTGTACCAATCGATTTTGGATTATACAACTAATGCATACCCTGGTGATGTGACAATTGCTGTGTATCCAATAATTGAAGGAGATACTGAAGAGGCTATCAAATTGGAGATTATCATTTCTAGTACCAAATACAATCCAGATAATTTTTGGAACGGTGATTGGAGATCCAAATATGTTTATGATAAGAATTTGTCGCAATTAACTGGTACTATCGATGTTCAAATACATTATTATGAGGATGGTAATGTAAGTTTCAAATCGAATAAAACTATTGAACAAAATAATGTAAAGGATATTGCAGCTACCATATCAGACATAGAGAAAGAATTTGAAAATTCTTTGGACGTATCATTTACAGAATTAAACGAAAAACAATTTAAGTCCTTAAGAAGAAGATTGCCAATTACTAGATCTAAAATCAACTGGGGTAAAGCCATCGGTAATTATAGATTAGGCAAGGATGCAGCTGAAGGTGCCTGAAGTAAACAACAATTTTTTTAAAAAAGTAATGTCTCTTACTATGAAGTTCATTAGAATAATTTAAATAAATTATATATGATAAAAAATATCAATAATGCCAAACCTACCATTTTCCATATATTATTACCTGCATTTAGGGTCCTTGTGAGCCTATGTGACGTATTTCTTATATTGTTAGCTAATGAGTCAAAAGAATTAGATATGTGACTCAACAAAGCATTATCATTAACAGCTTGATTGTTTATATCTTCATTTATATTTCTAAATGTAGCCAGTTTATTGGCTAACGTATTCAATTTTTGATCGTTCTGAAAAACTTGTCATCAAATATGATAATAGATTGTTAGTAAGGTTGTTGAATATTACTAAAGGGAAAACCCCCCGGTATTTTGCTTAGTGTGAGATACATACATCATTTTCTAGTTGTGAGTACCTTGAGTTGGACATTTTAAAGATATATGTATATTTATATGATTCTGTAACCTTTAAAAAATTGATAAGTAAAGGTACCTATAAAGGGTATACGCAATATGTAGAGAGGTTTGTTAAAGTTCTGAAAATGTTTTGTTTTGGTAGTTATTTTTACTTTTACTATTGGGTTATTTAATTCAAGATAGGTAAAATGTCGTAGATTCTCTCTGTTTAATTAGTGTATTGCTTATTTAAGACGTATTATTTATTATTTCGTGATTGTACAGAATTCAAACCCTGGAAGAGGCGAATAAAGAAAACAAGGCGTAGAGGAATGCCGCACTAAGAATAAAATATCAAAATGTGAATGTGCCAAGTAATATGAAAACATGTATGAATTCAGATAATCTTGGTTTTTAAGATTATATTGACGTGCTATGTTTACAAGAACTCAAATATGTACATATTTACATGTTTGAACTAGTTTTATAAGAAGTAGGGTTTAATTATATGTATCAGTCAAAGAAGTTGTTCGCATTCCGCAAACATACCCATAATAGAACTAGGCATGTCCCAGGTATGTCGCTCTTAATCGCAAATTAGATCATCATATAAATAATTAAATACCCTTTTTTCATGTTATTGCTTATCTATAATATCATATTATGCCTCCTGGCAACAATAAGATATTTGGTTTTATTCAACTACCTAGACCTAGAGTATCAGTATAGGTTGAAAGTTTATTAATCTTTACTCTATTGTAACTAAAACTCCAGTATTAAATAACTGTATCATAATTTGATATATAAGCAATGATTAATGGTTCGTTGAGTGAATCGATGGATATCTTGAAGTTTAATATATTAATTGTTAATGTCTTCGTTAATTCTGGTAGCAGGAAAGAGAAACAAAAACGGAACAGAAATTTCAGCTGAAGAAATTAGAAATAAAGAAAATACGAGACTTGATTGGACTTTCATCCGTACATCCTTGAATTCATCCTTACACCACATACTGTATATTATAACATTTGTTTTATTTCAGTAATAAAAAATAACCAGAAAAACAATATTGGCCGAAAAGAAGAAATTCCAAGAGTTTTTTCAGTTCGAAATGGAACTTTCCAGTTACAACGCGGTAAATAACCAAACAATATTGTTTTCACCAAGTGGCATCCCAAGAATTCACGAAAATTTCACTCTAGATTGGAACTACCCATAGGGCTCTGTGCATCATTATAATCTCCTCCACTGTCGTGTGTGGTTGGGATGAACTTGGCTGTGTTCACGAACACTTGCAGATTGAGATAGAGAACACACAGTATTGACCATCCAAAAAAGATATACTTACAATTTAGAAGGTAAATATATAATAAAGTTTATTTTTTAAACTCTGATAAAACACTTTGATATCATAACCGAGCAAACTATACACAAAAATGTCTACTGATTCTATTGTTAAGGCCTCTAACTGGAGATTAGTTGAAGTTGGCCGTGTCGTTTTGATCAACAAGGGTCAAAATGCCGGTAAACTAGCTACCATTGTCGAAGTTATCGACCAAAAGAAGGTATGTTTAGAAATATAAAAACCATGAGAGAATGATTATGAAGTTAAAATATAATAATGATCTATAGGAAAGAAAGAAAGAAAGAAAGAAAAGTTATTTAATCCAAGAGACAACTCCATTTTATTCTAATGGAGTATTTCTCATATTTAGGAAACAACTGATAATTAGTATTACGCTATAACACCATTATGAATGAGCGTGATAAATGCAATGGTTATTTTGGGAAGAAAAAAAAGAACTGAAATAGGATATATTACAAAACTTCCTGTGAATATTTAGAAGAGGGAACCATTTTTTTGGAAATATTGAAATTTTATCAATTCCAGGATACTCCATATATCAACATCTCATTTCATTATTATTAAGTCAACTTACTAACAATTATATGATATTTATGTTTTTCTTACTTATTATTATAATAATGGAAAAAATTTAATACCATACCATTTTATTCAGGCTCTAATTGACGGTCCAACCACTGGTGTCGAACGTCAAGCTATCCACCTAGGTCAAGTTGTTCTAACTCCACTAACCTTTGCTCTACCAAGAGGTGCCAGAACCTCTGTTGTTGCTAAGAAGTGGACCGCTGCCGGTGTTACCGAAAAGTGGGCTACTACCTCTTGGGCTAAGAAGATTGCTCAACGTCAAAGAAGAGCTGCTCTATCTGACTTCGAAAGATTCCAAGTTATGGTCTTGAGAAAGCAAAAGAGATACACTGTCAAGAAGACTTTGGCTAAGGCTTAAGTTACAGGTATTTTATCTATATAGTATGATTAAAAATATATTATAAAGTATTTCACATTTGTATCTTAATAAAATAATAACAATAAACCCTCATTAATAAAAATAACAATCAAGTAAAGAATTGAACTTTTTTTAATATATAGTTATAAGTTTGGTTCGTTTACTTAAATGGTATGATATATATTATTAGTTAACCCCGTAAAAGACTTGACGATTAAAACATTATTTATTTCCAGAGTATAGTATAACTATGATAAAGCAAAATGATATCATTCTATTAATATTACAAATTTCTAGGGATATTTCTATATATTTATATTTATATATAATTTAGGGAAATTTTGATTAAAGCATAATATTTTTAACACTCCTTAGTTGATAAGTTCTGGTTTGATGACAAATACAACAAATAAAGCCTTATCAAATGTTTCAATATTCGATGTAAACCCTGTATTATCACCATATATACTATGAAATATTTCTGGTATGATATTTCCTGTTGCTGGGATAACATAAATTATCTTTTCATATGTCATTTTAGGTGTTATACCAAGGATTTTATTACTAATCAAGAGAGAATCTGACATTGCATTAATATTTGCAATGGCATCAGAATCTGGTGGATTTACTAGTTGATATGTAACAATATTTCTTAGATTTTTCACCTCATTTAAGTATGCAAACCCTTTTTCACTAGATAGACGACCCTCAATCAAGAGATTGCCATCCGAAATGACACGATTATACACGGATCTCTTTAATTCCGTGGTATCTCCAATGAATTTCAAATATCCACTTGTTGTCCAAAATACTTCTGGGTCTGTAATTTCTACTTTTTTCAAAGGTATGGAGTAATTGTGATTTTCGTTTTCAGTATTTGTTTCTTTTGTCTTAATTATTTGAATATAATTATTGTTTCTGTTTTTGTCCTCATCATTATTCGTATCGTTTACAGTCTCTGATTTGTTTTGGTTTTCTTTTTCTAAATCATCATCAGATATACTTCTTCTCCTTATATTATCCTTTGAATAAATTTCATCAGGTTCTTCATTAAAATCGTCAGGATTTTTAATAATTGCAGAATTCGCACTTTCATCTGTCTCTATAGTGAATCTATTCAAAGATTTCGTATCTCTTCTTTTCTTGTATTGTTGTAAATCTGGATTGGCCAATTCATTAACATTCATTCTAACCAGTCTATCCATTGGTAATGAATAATTAATTACATGAGATTTTAAATCCAAATTTTTTTTATCTTTTAAATTTGAAAACAAACTTCTAACTTTCTCTGGGTAATTTTTACTCAATTGTTTTGTTGTTTTATCTAAACAACTTTCAAATAATGCTTTTTCTAGCGATTCACCCATTTGTGTAGCAATTTCTTCCACGGTTGAATTTGGTGGTAAAGTATACGTTTGTACTTCCGTAGTATCTGGTATGATATATCTAGTGAACAGATCAATAAACATCTTTTTAGCGTTTTGTCTTATCTTTATCGATCTTTGTTCTTCAGAGGTCATTGATACATTACGAGTTGTAGTTGTAGAGGTGGGTTCAGATTTATTTTGCTTTTTATTTGTAGGTATCTTTGTTGAAGTTGATATCGAACGTTTTTTTGATTTTTTCTTTATAGAAGAGCTATTAATAGGTTCATCTTTTTCAAAGTCTTCCATCTCAACAAATTCATCATCATCATCGTTATTTTTAGGAGGCCCTGGTACAGGCTCTTCTTCTACATATACATCACTATCGTCGTCCGCACTAGGCAATTCTTCCTCTTCTACTTCCTCTTCTACTTCTTCTACTTTCGTATCATTATTATTCCCAGAAGACGAATTCAATAGAAGTGGATACAAATTAGGTTTACAACGATTGCAATAATATTTCTTGTCATTGGTTAAAAATGGATGTATATCGACAAGAGTCTCGTCTTTCCCACCACCAGTCATACATCCAATATGTTGCCATGTATCACATTTATCACATTGTATCATTTCACCCAACTTATCCGTCTCCTCATTATAATTCGAGTCATCAGCTCCACAAGGTAAACATTTCACAATCTCTACGATTTTTTCCTTCAACACCTTGGGGAATGTTTGTCTTTTGGATCGCTTCCTTGCAGTAGCGGAATCAGTAGATTGTGACAGTGCATTTTCTTCTTCTTCTTCCTGAAGTAGTTTCTCCAAATGCTTATTAAGGCCCTTGTTAGCCCTAGTAGATGCTCTTACAGCCATTCCGAATTATAGATAATTCGCTAGTTCTGTTGATAATTTTGTTTGATAAATTAGTAAGTTGTATCAATACATACGCAAACAACTAACCCCAAAATACATACCTGAGTTTTTTTACAAGTTCATCTGAATATGAGGAATCCTTTGTTCCCTTAGAGATCCCAAAATCTTCTCCACTACCCTTTTCCTACTTTGTTAATGTGTGTCTGTCTGCCTCTTGCAGTCAAAAAAAGATACCACAAGATTTGTACCCTAGGGTTAGGGTTTTACGCCAAGCCCTGACTACAGGGTTCAGATTTTGTTACTGCGTACGATGCAATCGTGTATCTATCTATCTCTCTGTTCATACAGTTAACAAGATTTGATGTTTAACTTCTTGACAAGATGAATCTGAGAATGTAGTGACAGCCTATCTAAACATATCAATAAGTTAGCGCACTATATCCATGTTCTTTACTGAAAGAATCAGTTCTCTCTCTCTCTCTCTCTCTCTCTCTCTCTGCTCCTATAGCCGCAACATAGAAATACAGACAGAGACAGAGAAAAAAAATAACAAAAAATAATAGAGAAAGCATCGCCTTCTGTGTTTATATTATTATTATTATTATTTTAAACAAAGCTATAAACAATAACAAAATCATAATAATTTTGGTGTTACTTATATAATAGATTTAGGAGTACTTGTTCTTTACTATACATTAGTTCAAAGTTTATAACTGGTGTGTGCTTTTAATATAGTCTATACTTATCGTTAGCGTGGTTAGTTGTTGTTGTTTTCTAGAAAGAGCAAAAAGAAGAAGTTATTTACTTCGGTTGCTATCTATCTGTCGTTGTTTTTATTGTGGTATATTCATTTAGTTATATTATTCTACTTTTATAAGAAGAGTTATCATTACCATATTCTGAGATTATTATTATTATAACACCATAATCCCCCCCGATATATCTATTATTCCTATTATTATAAGAAAAATATAAAATTATACACTTTTTTTATTCTGTTCGTTTGCATATGGTAGGTTTTATTCATAGATGGTTTCTCGCTGAGAGACCTATTAATAGTAAAGTTTCTGAATTAGAGACAAGTTGGGATCCTCGTATTTCATTAATTAAATTACAAAATTATAAGTTCACTACAAACGATATATGTCATTATGGGTTTTTATCAAGTGTATTACTCTTTGTCTTTATCTCATTTCCTGCTCCATGGATTTTAAAGCTTTTTGTCTATGCGTTATTTGGTTTATTATTTATGGTTCCAATAACTTCACAATTTTTTTTCAATGCGTTACCAATTTTTACTTGGTTAGCATTATATTTTAATTCATCTTTCTTTCCTGCAAGTAGGAGACCTCCTATTACTGTAAAAGTCTTGCCAGCTATTGAAACTATATTATATGGTGATAATTTAAGTGATATTTTGGCTACTACAACAAATTCTTTTTATGACATCCTCGCATGGATTCCTTATGGTTTATTTCATTTTGGCGCACCATTTGTTGTCGCTGCAATTCTATTTATATTTGGACCTCCAACAATTTTACAAGGTTACGCTTTTGCATTTGGTTATATGAATCTATTTGGTGTCATTATGCAAAATGTCTTTCCTGCTGCTCCACCTTGGTATAAGATTATGTATGGTTTAAGTTCTGCTAATTACGGTATGCATGGTTCTCCAGGTGGTTTAGCAAGAATAGATAAATTATTACATATTAATATCTATACACAGGGGTTTTCTAACTCAAGTGTCATTTTTGGTGCTTTCCCATCGTTACATTCAGGTTGTGCCACTATGGAGGCTCTATTCTTTTCATATTGTTTCCCATTCTTAAGACCTGTATTTATTGGTTACGTATGTTGGTTATGGTGGTCTACAATGTATTTAACCCATCATTATTTTGTTGATTTGATGGCAGGTTCAGTATTATCATACGTGATCTTCATGTATACCAAATATAACCATTTACCATTAGTCGATACAGATTTGTTTTGCAGATGGTCCTATGGTTCCATTGAGAAATTCAACATAGAAAAATCAAATCCTTTGAATAATGATCCAAGTGATGTAGAGAATGTCCCATTAAATATGATGGCTACGAGTTCAACAATGGGATCCGAAGCCAATGGAGACTTAGACGATGATGATGAAGATGCAGGAAACCCTAGTAGTATGAGTCCCACATTGTTCGATTTATCAAATTCATCAGCCACTTCAAATACTTCATTAGATTTGCAAGGGGAAGCTACTCCTAGGTCAGTGAAACCAAGATCAGATTAGATTCAATAAACAAGATAAAAAAAAAGATAAAAAATAAAAAGAGGGAGATTTAATCCAATATGAAACTGCATAGTGAATTGTCAGCTTATCTTCTTTCTCTACCATTTAGCATGGACTACTACTTATTCGAATTATAGATATATAATCACGCATATATATAAATATTAATTATAAATATTACATTTTATTTGGTTTTTTCTTCATACTGGAGAAAATATTATTTGATTTTTGTTATGAATGTGTATTAAATTTACTTATTTACATGTGTTAGATGTACGACGATTAGTGTTTTGCTTGAACTACAGAATCTTGACCTAATGCTTTATGCAACGAAGAAGGAGTATTCAACCTTTTCTCTAAATCTACTTTAACAATAGACGATCTAATGACTCTGGGATCCTTCTTTAACGTTCTAAGGATTTCAGATTGGACCGCAGTAGATGAGTCGAATAACATTAGGAAATGATACCCATTGATATGTTGTTCTTGGTCCTTCTTCATGATTTTCGGTAGTTGTCTTTGACCTAACGGTACAATCTTTCTTATTACACCTCTATTATTCAAAATCAGTTTCCCAACTGTTGTAAGAAGTTCCTTGGCTTCGGTCGTTTGTGAAGTACGGTTCAAAGTACGTACAATTCCTACTAATTCATATAACATCGGGAGGGGAATGGTAAGGTATCGTTGCTCTGCCTGGGTGTGTTTGCTGTTGGTGAGCTCTTAAGCTGGATCTATTAATAGCAATATATGATTCACTGTTGATTTTTTCTTGAAGTCTTTTGTATCCCTTTTAGTTTAATTCAAATGTAGTAATGCCTTTTTTAATATTGTAGTTAGTTTACCGTATTGACCTCTCGGTGGGCATTATATATTTTTTTTGTATTTCAGATTGTTGGATTGGCTTTTTGGTCCCTCACCTTACTACGCGATTCAAGATACACTATTTCTTTATGCAAAAGGACTATAAACATTTAATAATGACAGCAATTACAGCACTTACAATAAGGTAGTTTGCAACGTTGTATCTGTATATATTTTGACCTCGTATATATCGTTTGTATGTATACATGAAATAATTTGGAAAAAGGAAAATATGCTAAAAAGTGTGCTCTTTTTCAATGAGGATGCTATGTAAATGAAATGCAAATAAATTCTATTATATAACAGGAAAATTCCTGGTCATGGATCGATAAAATGCTATATTGTATAAAGAGGGATTGTCTCTAATGATTTGGAAGGAGAAAAAAGTGATCAGGCCAACAGAGCCGGTTCCTGTCCTTGTTGCTCTTTATTGGCTGGACTCTTTACAGGTGTAAAGTCTCCTACCTTTGGCTTCGTATTTTCTAATTCTGGTAATCTCCCTACGGATGGCATATTTGGTAAAGCTTCTTGTTCTTGTTTTTGTTTTCCCATTAGTTCATTCTCCATTGCGTCTAATTCTTTATCAATTTCGTCTTCATAATCATTGACACCAGACACATGTTGAGCAAGGGTTTCGTTAATTTCATCCTGGTATGCCATTTGTTCTTGCATATCATCTAGAACTTCATCCACATTTGCAAATTCTTTATTCAGTTTAGTTAAGATACTATTACCATTTTTTAAACCTTCGAAGAATTGTTTTTCCACTAATTTAAATTCTATATTGGATAACATATTCTCTAAATTTATTAGTTGGTCAGAGGCTTGATCTAAAAGATGTTCCTGATAATGGACTCTTTTCAATAGAAACCTTATTTTTTTATTTTCTTTATAATTTTTAGGATTATTCTGAATTAATATTTTCAGTTCTTGTTTCTCATGACTAATTAAATCGCTGGTTCGTCTAGTGTATTTGTGTATGGAATCCTTTGATTGTTTCAATTGAAGAACAGCTTTATCCTGTTCTGTAATCTTTATCTTACTACCCTTCTGGCCCATCCCTGTTAAGTGATATATTTATATATATATATTTATTTTCTTGGCAAATAATGTCTTTACTATGACTCGTTTATATTTTATCAATGGGAAAATGAACAGTTAATACCCCTCTTTCAATAAAACTAAATAAGAAAAAGTACTGATTCTTGTGAAGGTATCTATTACTGTTCAGTCAGAAATATTTTAGTGGTCTTCTAACGTTCTATATGCCTGTCTATATGCTACCTTATGTTAAGTTCTTTTAAGATTCATGATCGTTTACAGTTGATTAACTTCTGAATCGTAATATTCAGAGATAAAGAGAGAGAATGGTACCGATAAGCCGTACAGCTCGTACAACGTGATTTTATAAGCTGAAGAAAATACGAGTCAATAAGGGCCTACTAATGATGGTATAACAATGATAAAGTCATTTCAAATATGGTTGGTATGAGCTTATTCTTTATTCTTAATTCCTATTATATACCTTAACAACGGCGACATCTTCTTTACGTATTTTGGTATATTCGTCGTCCCCTTAGAACAGATGAATAAACGAAAGAATGCATATTTGAATACATCATGTGTGAACAATAAAAAAGAAATCCACAAATAATAGTAACATCATCATTACCAGTAAATAACATACAACGGTTCAGACAGATACACCTTTCCACACATTTAAATATATATATGCTTGTAGATGTGAAGTTAATATATGAGAACTATAAGATAATCAGCGACTCATTCAGTGAAAAAAAACCGAAAACCGAAAACCGAAAACCGAAAACCGAAAACCGAAATTTAATTACCGAATTGATAATAAACTAATGTTAATAACAAGATGTAAAGAGGGTCTGGAAGGGTTTATGAATTGGCATATATTTAGTTCTTATATGTGATAGTGTTGCAAAACTTATATTGTCCCATTAAATTGAACTGGAACTATAGATAGAATTAGAAAACAAGCAAGTCTTAACACCTGACTTTTGTTATTCCTACACATTCCTTTATTTTCAGCCGTTGTATTATTAATTAGATTGCATTTGCCAATTGTTAACCCTTAAAAAAACAGTCATTTATACTAACAATAACCACGCATTGCTGTTAAATTATGTCAGTTCATCATGGTTTAGACCTTGAAGCGGTTACCATGGCCGATTATACGAGACGAATTGAGTCCCTTGGTGGAACGTTCAAAGGAGAAGTTCGATGGACTACAAATATTAAGTTAAACGATTGGAAAACTCATTTCTTAGAGATTACAAAGACTGGTTCTTTAGTTCATTCAATAGATAAGAAACAGATGACATTATCTCAAGGTAGTAAGTTATCATCATTGAGTCTAGATGACATAAGCGAAGGTATGCAAGAGAAAAATAAACATCCTGTATTAAGGAACTTATCTGGTTGTAAGTTACGTATATTGAAAAATATAAATGGAAGAACAAAAGCATTGAAAAATATTATTAAAGTATCAGAACATTCTAATACAACAAATAATTCTAGTGCAATTTATTTGAATGTATCATCAGAGAGTAAACTATTGGATCTATTTTGTAGTTTAACTTGGTGGAGTGCTTTGAAACCTAAGGGGATTTTTGATAAGGTTACTTTAATGAAAAAACAAAAAGATATAAATAATAAAAATGCAAAAACTGTGTTATTTTCTAATTCTGATGTCAATGTGTTTGGGCCTATCCTTAAAAATGTTTCTTTGGAGACAAATAAAATTAAAACACCTGAAATGTTTGTACATTATGACTCTCAGGATGATTGTTCATATTCGTGGTTTCATGCGGCCATTAAATTGTATTCAGATGGTGAAGTTGAAGTTTTTGATTCAACAATTAAACATTCTCTATTTTCAATTAATATAAAAAATCTGATTAGATCTGAGATTAGATTATTGGATTTTTCATTATTTCAAGATGAAAATTTATTATTTTTAGGAATTTTACCACAGTTGAGAAAACAATTAAATCTATTTGATAATAGTGAAGGAACAACTTTTTTCAATTTAGCAGATGGTAAACCTTTGGATAATCTTATCTTTGATTTTAAAAATAGTAGGACTCAGAGAGATGATTGGCTTGTTGCTTTAAAATCGTTTGCAATGTTAGAGATTCTAAGTTTAAATGGTTCAGATAGATCTAATAAACTGACTGTATCAAATAAATTCAAATTAACAATCTTAGAAGCAGATTTTCAAACTTTAGATTTTACAGCTGATGACAAAGATGTTTATCTCCATGCTGAGATATGGGTGTGGGGTAGAATGTGGGCAAGAACCTCATCTATTAAAAATGAAAATGCTCCATTTTGGAGAGACGAATTTTCATTCGATGAACTTGTTAGCATTGACCAATTGGAGATACGATTAGTTCAAGAGATAACCGAAAAGAAGAGTGTAAAACCTTTAAGGTATGACGTTTTGGGTACGTTCAGGTTACGTCAAGAAGATATAATAAACGATGAATATCAAAAAGAAAGTAGGGTTTTGGTTTTTGCTGAGGATCATAAACATTTCCAAGTAGCTACATTATGCTTTAAGATTGAGCATAAATTAGATTTTGTTTTGCCTTCTGTTAATTTTACTAAATTCCAAACTGTTTTGTCATCGGTACCTTTAAATGAGGTGACACGGTTATTATATGATAATATTAATGAGTTAACTCGCGGTAGTAAATTGGATACCCTCTCTATCATGACTTTAGAATTTTTTCAATCTATTGGAAAAGAAGAAGTTTGGTTTCAAACGTTAATGGAAAGAGAGTTGTCTGATATTGATGGGGCTGTACTTAGAAATTTGAATAATAACCATTCTTCAGGTCATATATTTAGTACATTATTTAGAGGTAATTCAATCCTTACCAAATCCACTGAATTGTATTTTTTTAAAGTTGGGTATGAATATATCAACTTAGTCATGAAACCAATATTAAATGAAATTATTGAAACTAATGAATCCTGTGAGATTGATCCTGCAAAGATAGCTTTACCAAATGATGAAAAAAAAATAGTTCTTGAGGCTAATTATAAACGATTAATTGGATGGGTATCAAAACTATGGAAAACTTTATATAAGACAAGTAAAGATTTACCATTGGAGATTCGATCTCATTTAAAGAATTTTAGAAGAGAATTAGAGAAATTTTGTCTTAAGGATAACGAAGAGGCAACCTTAAATTGTATATCTGGTTTCTTATTTTTAAGATTTTTCTGCCCCGTTATATTAAATCCTAAATTATTCAATATTACATTTGATCATTTGAATGATACCAATAGACGTTCATTAACATTAATTTGTAAGATTTTATTAAATTTATCGACTTTAAAGAAATTTGGTGAAAAGGAACCATTTATGGTAAAAGTTAATGATTTTATTGACGAAAACGGTGAAGATCTGAAGGATTATATTGATAAAGTTACTCAAAAGAAAATCGATTTTACATCAACGATATGGAACCTTGCCGAAACTACTAAGAGTAAGTTAAAGGATATTGCTGTCAATCAAGAAGAGTTAAAAGAATTACCAGTGAATCCATTCATGGTGGATAAAGGGTTAAGAGAGACACAATTTATTAAAATATTGAATACGTTGAATAAAACCATTAACACGAATCAATTAGAAACATCTCATGATAATGAGAAAACTCAAAATTCACAAAAGGATATAAAGAATTCGAATTCTGTAGCTATTGGTGAATTAGAATTTGAGAAATTAACAGAAAATAATGCAGAAATATTTGGGGATGAATTTATGCAATATTTAGAAGTCGATAAGGATGAGAATGATGATCGAGATGAAACTGTTGTTACTAGTGATACGGTTAGTCACGGTGACTCTAAGAATGATATTAACCCTTCATCTTCATCAAGTAGTAAGAATAATAATATGATGGCTCAGTTACTTCAAGAGACATCTTTATTGTGTTTCAAAGTAGAGCGTATTATTCGAACAATGTCTGATTATGAGTATCCGTTAGATGATATGTATAACAATTCGGTATACGCTACGAAATTGGCTAAAAGTATCTTTTACACGAATAGAAGGAAAATTGTAATAGACCTGACAAATGTGTTACTTCAACCTAATAAAGAGTATACACCGATGTTTGCCGGTTCCAGCAAAGGAACTAAATGTAGTTCCCATCTCTTTTATTTACTTCTCAAAGATTCTAAATTCTCATCAGATGAAGAAGACGAAGGTGGAGATGAAGAAGATGAAGAAATTGGAATTAATGGTAGTGATTTCTATATGGGGAATACTAATACATCCTCCACAAGGACATTAAGTAAGTTTGCTAATCTAATTAAAGGTGGATCATTTAATGAAAATAAAGAAGATTCCGAACGAACCAGTCCTAGTAAACTCACTAGATGGTTTAAAAAGAAATGATACATGCCTTGTTTTCCAAAGTAAAAGTAGCAAACTTCAAAAAAAAAAAAATACGTATAAATAAATGGACATGAAAATTGTATGATAAGATATATATATTATTTAAATAATTATCATTGTAATATTAAAAAAATATTGAAATAAAAAAAAGAAAGTGTATGAATATGTAATGTAATAATTAAGATTTATGATGGATGAATGTAGTGAGGGGAGGGGGTCCAGTAATGAGAACTTCAAATAAGATAAGGTAAAAATGAAATGAAATAAAATAAAGAATTATCAAACTCTTACTAATAAGAGATGGGGAAAGAATCATGAAAAGAGTATATTTGACAAAAGAGAAAGTTTTATGAGAAAGAATTTGCGAGTGATTGTTCAATAAACGATTTTTGTCTTTTTGTTACGTTTGGAAAGTCAGTGGTAGTAGTTGTTACCTCTGGGAGCCGATTTAAATTCAAATCCGACCTCGATCTATCATCTGTTTGCATCATGACATTATTTTTAGGTAAATTATTGTTGATGAACCCCTCTGTCGCAGTTGTTGTTGGTGTTGAAGAAGAGACATCTTCAAATGCTAACGCATCCAAATCCGACGAAATGTATTTTTCTAGACCGTAGAGATGAGTTAGAATTGAAGAGCAAGAAGAATGAGACAGAGTCTTTGGATGAACCCAACAAGTATCACTATTCATATTGTTCATATTGTTAATATTACCACTACTAGTTGTAGCACTGAGACTCGAATAAGGAGTATTAGAAGTCGACGTTATAGGAAACCCATTCGAGAAGCTTCTATTGCAGGTCATATTATTATTATTAGTGGTTGTATTTGAGTTTCTCTGTTGTTGCCCGGCGGGACTTTGTTCGACCATACTAGAACGCAACGGTCTTCTTGATTGTTGTTGAATATAGCAACTAGAGTTTGTCCGTGTTCGTCTCATCGACAGACCATTATTAATTGTACTTCTTCTTCTCTTCGATAATAACTGTCGTTGTTTCTCCTTTGATGTAGCTGCTCCATTGCTAAATGGGTTTGTCCAAACCAACGGTTCTTCTTCCTCTTTCTCATCTTCTTGTTCTTCGTTATCATTATCATTATTATCATTATCATTCCTAGTAGATGGACGTATATCTTCAGACGATAATTCTATTTCATTCAAAGGATCCAACTCATCCAATTCCCCGTCGTTAACACTGTTGTTGTTATTATTTGCGTTTGTCACGCCGGCAGGATCAGACAGGCTCTGTCTCCACATATTCGAAAACCCGGAATCGTCCTCATTGTCACATCCATGAGAACACGGGTCCTGCACTGCTCTTTCAAACATATTCAGACACGATATACTGTTCCTAATACTAGTATTTGCCATCCTTTTCTCTTTCGCTATCCTTAATATATATGTGTTTTTTTTTTCTCTTACGGATATAATACTGTGGACTAGTTCAATATGCAGTCTTTAGCAGGTATATATATAAAAATATAAATAAATGGCAGTAATAAATATTCTTTTTAATAGAGTGTAGTGCAACTTATTTGAACAGATATCTCCCAGCTGAGAAGGTATAAAATCTAATAAAATCGCATGCATGTAAGAATGCAAATCTGTAGATATGGATAATGGACGACTATTATTTCAATGCTGTAAAATAAAATAAAATAAAATATAGATAATATATAGATATATGTAGTAACGCAACAGCCGGCGATGGGAAGACAAAGAAAAACAACCAGTTGACTATTGCAATTAGTATTGCTATTGTCGCTGTATGGCTATAAGTGAAAGTAAGAAATATCTCCGGCTGGGGAGGGGGCTGCTGCTGCTGCTGCTGCTGCTGCTGGCGCGTCGCTTCTCTGGGAGCATGCAGCCACACACCCAGACATGTGCATCTGAATGTGCATACGCACAGAGCGGGCCGTGGAAGACTAGGGCCGTGCTGGGAGCGTGGGATGGAAGAGACGAGAAGAGCATGAGGTGGGATGGCGGTGGTGATGAGCAAGACGATCGATCAATTGAGAGATCAATTGATCGATCGATGGCGACGACACAGTCATGTATATATGGGGATTGCAGGATGGCATACTATTCCTGAGTGTGTGCGTCGAGCCAGGTGACTAACTCGTTGAATGCAGCTTTTACTTGTGGTTCTTTCTCTAGTGAAAAGATAGAATGTTTCATCCCAGGCAGCAGTCTCAACGTCTTGTCGGCAGCAGGACACTTTTCAATAAACACCTCGGAACCATGCGGATCATTGATAGTGTCGTCTGCCCCGTGGAATATAATAATGGGTTTCTCAGTAGGATAGTTCTTCTCTATGTAGTTGCCTTTATCATCATACAATCTTTTCCCACGTTTTAGAAAATCCTGGATTTGTCTAAAGGAGCCCTTCAATGGAACACTCATGGGATCATGGGCTAAGAAGTTCCTATACTCAGAATCATTGGTAATTCCATCAAGATCTAACCCTGTATCAATGGTTACATTCGGTAAACAGTTAGCTAATGCAGGTGCAATGAACTGCGTAATCTTGTTGGGTGCAGAATGACGATGTAATATGATTAATGGTCCAGATCCAATATAACCCGCAATATCTTGCTTATGTTGACCTTGACAAGCATAATTTAAGATTATCCCACCACCCATAGAATGGCCCCACAGGTATAATGGGATTCCACTAGCTTGGGTCTCCTTTAGATTCTTCTTTATGAAATGTTCTAAATCCTTGAATGTATGTAATTCATTGGTCAGACCTTTGGTCTTATCGGGACTAGTGACACCAGCACCTCGTTGATCAAATGTAAACGATTCATATCCTTGCTGTGATAAATGATCCATTAATCGGTATTGGATCCGCGTATACTCTCCAAATCCATGTACTAGTAAAATACGTCCTTTCACTTGGTTGGTGGCTGCATGGGACGGCCATAACATATATCCAAATTTCGCACCATCAAATTCTTCATATTGCAATGGAGGTTCTTCTGTTTCAATCTTATATGGGTATGGGTATGACATTGAGAGGTTGCGTGTTTGTCTACGAATATATATCTATATGTATATATCTTGCTTGTTTGTTTCTCTATCTCTATGTTTATATATATGTATTTGTTTTCACTTCAAGGTGAATTTAATATGGAAAAACTCAACAATTTTTCTTTCTAATTTTTTTTGCCTGGTACAAACCCCGCAGAAAGTAGAAACTGAATTATTTCCTAATCTAATGAAATGTTTTCGTTGTTTTCTCGAACAACATTACTCTATCGCATTAAAACCAATGACCGTTTGGATTCGATATCAGTTCGTAAAACTCCCCGACCCTAGTTTCAATTGTGTCTTCTTCTTCTTCATCTTCTTCTTTTTCTTAACTACGAATCGTTTCACATCGAGTTGTTCAAGTCTATCCAATTCGATTGGTCCCGCTGACAATGACGGTTTATCCTCAATGATATTCGTATTCATATTACGTTTAAAGGCTTCGTCAGCTAATCCATCTATATCAATATCCTCCTCATCAGCTTCGTCCACTTCTGATGCGGTTTGTTTGTCTTGAACACTTGTAATCCTTGCAAACGTCTCTTCTGCCCTATTCATTCTTTCATAATTTTGTTTCCGGAGTCTCTCTATTTCCTCTGCATTTTCTTGTTCGTTTTGAATCTTCACTAAACGTTCCTCTAATGCAACCATCTTATCCTCCCCGTTATTTGTATGACTCTTCCTTCCCCCATCTATATTTGTAATATCTCTATTAGCTAACCGTTCTTTCTCCTTCTCATCTTCTTCCTGTTCACGAGTCAGCCTCTCCAACGTCTCGTCGACACTCTCCGTTTTGTCATCACCAATGATATCAGACTTCTTCACAAAATTTCTAACTGCACCTGCTTCCATTACATAATCTGCACTCTTTGGATCAGTACGAAACAAGATCGGTTGTGAACATAATGGACATCGAATAGTCAATCTAAAGATCTTAATGTTGTTCAAGTATCGCTCAGTCAACAATTCTTTCTTACCATTGAACTTCCGACTCTTTGGAATAAACGTTTCACATTTATTACAACGCATACTAAATGGTGTCATTAACCTAATTGTAGTAATATCTTTATTAGCATTCTTTAATCTTTTGGATAACTTTCTGGCGGCCTTTTCGGCCTCTAAGGGATTATAATCTGGTGGATAATATTTGTTAATAGATTTACGTTCAGACATTCTCGTGTGTATGTGTGTGTGTCTGTGTGTGTGTGTGTCTGTCTGCCTGTCTGTCTTTTATGCTTGTGTTTATTTGCCTATCTTTATATCACTATATATGTGTATATATGTATTTTTTTAAATATAGTAAAAAAAGTTATTTTCGGCTCATAATAAAATGAAATTAAATGAAATTAAATGAAATTAAATGAAATTAAATGAAATTAAATGAAATTAAATGAAATGAAATTAAATGTTAGCATTAAATTAAGAAATAATAAATAATCTTTCACAAAAGAAAAGATTTAAATGTATATATGTAAAAAAATATAATATTATTAAAATGTTATAAGCATACGACTTAAGCGTATGAGATTAATTAATTGAAAAGAGCAAAAGCTAATGGTACGAATTTAAAAAGAAATGTTGATTGAAAATCATGAATTTATTATTATTGTTTATTATTATTATTTCGAGATTGATTGATCAAAATTATAGTAATAGAGCAACAGCAGCTAAGATACCGGCACTTAGACCACCAATGTTCTTGACACCATTGTTTTCACTTTGAACAGTAACGGAAGCAGTAGCTTGAATTTGACCATCACCGATTTGAGAAACGGCAGCAGCCTTTGTAGTAGCAGTAGTAGCTTGAATTTGACCATCACCAATTTGAGAAACAGCTTCCTTTGTAGCAGTAGTAGCTTGGATTTGACCGTCACCGATTTGAGAGACGGCAGCAGCCTTCGTGGTAGTAGCAGCAGCAACGGAAGAAGAAGCGACAACAGCAACAGAAGTAGAAGAAACTGGAGCAGGAGCAGAAGTAGATGGAGTAGAACCTGAAGAAGAACCTGCGAAATCAGAGACAACAGCACCAGTTGGAGAAGTGGTGTCAACAGTTCTTAAAGCGACACCAGTAGCACCATCAGCAGATTTAGTAGATAGAGTGTAAGAACCAGTACCTTCAATACCGTAGAAACCAGAAGAACCATCTAGAGTTAGACGGCCTTGAGTGATAGCAAAACCAGTAGTAGCGTCAGATTCAGAACCTTCCTTAATGGTACCATCAGTTTGAACAACAGCGAAAGTATTATCAGATAGTTTCAATTTACTGTCATCTGTTACAATCATAGTGAATTGACCTTGGTTACTACCTAATACTAAAGTACCATCCTTGGAGAATAAGGAAGCATATTGTAGAGCAGAACCAGAATGGATACTAATGATACCGAAAGATTGAGAGTCAGCTAAGACTTTTTGAACTAAAGCCAATAGAGCGATTGTAGTTAATTTGGAGAATTGCATTTTGTGTAAAATATGGAATAAAATTATTTTGTTTAAAGTAGGAAATATGTAAACCTAAAGAAATTTGATTGATTGATTTCTGTTTGGATTTTTATATAATATTTAAAACACAGAAAATGTTTGAAAGTTAAGAATGGAATAATAAAGAAATTAAAAAATAAGAAGTACGGTAAAGGATATTACATTGCTTTATATATAGCAAAAAAAACAATTAAAAACATTTCTTGAACAGTTTAATTTTAGATATTTAATAAATTAATGAAAACACAAATACTTGATAACCATAACAATAATAACAAAGGATTGCTGTATAATAGATTATCTTGCACCCAAAAATGGTACGTAATTGACATTACAATAACAAATAGTATTTTTAGCAAGGTCAAGAGACAACAAAAAACTGATTATAAGTTGTTACACAAAAGGATTAGTTAATTGCATTGCACAGCACTAATAATAATAGTAATCGTAATATGAAACAGTTTATGCTGTTATTATTGAAGAATGTTTTGTGTGTTTGTGTGTGTGACCAACGATAAAAAAAGAAAGAAAAAGCTCTTTTAGCAATTAATGCAATCTAATATCCCTTTCCGGTAAAGTGATAACAAATTCGGTAATAGCGAACGGACCATTAAGTAAGGATCAGTACTCAAATAATGATATTTCATGTTGCGAGCTTCCTAATTGGGGAACCCTCCCTCTATTTAGGAAGCAGAAGAAGGGGGTCAAAAGAAAAAAAAGACAAGAAGCATTCATTTTCTGATAGTGCTGCGCTGGATTCTGAGAAATTTGAGTATATATATATACGTGTGGTGTGTGGGTGCAGACTGTTTTCTGTTTTTAAATGGAGCTGGTTGAAACTAAAAGGGACAAGACAGGACAGGGTATTTGCTACGGCTATTTCTGGGCATATGACTCTAAATGTTGAATTGCCATTCTCTTTTTGTCTCTCCCTTCATCTCCCCCGCTGACGTCATGGACATAGGATATCTATAAACCGGTTTATTATTATCGACAGGGGGAAAGAGAGCAAGCAATATAGCCATATGATCGATCCATTTTGTCTTTGGTCATCGAAATATTCTGCTAGGAAAAAGAAGTCACGAAGAAAAATGAATAATGCTCGAAAGGTGTGAGATCTAGAGAAATCTATTTTTAGATAAACGAACCTTTGGAGAGTTGAAGTTTTGTTTATCTAAATTTCGTTGATGAGGTTGCAACATACTATTATTAAAACCCTGAAATATTGTTAGGTTTGCTGTCTTACCGAGCGAAATTCGTAGTTGTATGACAAGATGAACAATAGAAGTTATTTACATTTCGAGAAGATTGTTCTTTACGTTACCAGTAATTACATGTTTTGGTTTTGGTTTCAAGATTTCACCAGCCGTTTATTATTGTATTATTTAGTCAGACAATTTTTTTGCACAGTAATATTCTTTGTAATATGTTACATTGAGAATATTAGTTTTTTGCTACCTCTACTTATTGTTTTAAAAATGAAACGTGAAAAAAATAAACCGATTCTTTAAAGTAAATAATGTATATATATATATATAAATGAATAAATAAGATAAAATTAAAATATTAAATTACTAATATTTTTTTTTTAATTTATAATATTATTCCTTACAATAATAGAGCAGCGGCGACGGCAACAGCACCGAAACCAACAACTTGCTTACCAGCAGCGTTACTGGATTGTTCGTGTAGAGTAGCGGTGTTAGTAGAGGTTTCCTTGACAGTGTTAGTGGCAGTGACAACAGTGGTCTTACCAGCGGAGGCAGAAGCAGTCTTAGCAACAGAAGCAGTACCGGCAGTAGCTTGGATTTGACCGTCAGTAATTTGAGAGATGGCAGCAGCCTTGTTTTCAGCAGCAGCGAACTTAGCTAGAGCGAATAGAGCAACAACGGAGACAGTAGAGAATTGCATTTTTGAATTAATATATATGTGTGTGGGAGGGAAGAAACGAATGAATTAGTTTGGTAGTGTTTTTTATTTTATAATTGAATAGAAATATTGGTAAGAAAGAAATATGAATGAGAGGAAATTTTTTTTTTTGAGAAGGATACTATTCCTATTTATATATGATTTTAGAAACTTTAGTTTGTCTTGTTGATGAGTAGTAAACCTTACGCAAATAGATCTGGTAAACAAATAAACTAGTAGGAATAGTAGGAAAATTCAATAAACAAACAAAAACAAAAAAGAATCCAGACCAGAATAACAATAAGAAAAACCACGCAATCCTTAGAAAGACATACACAATTATTTGGCTAAGGTTGTTCTTCTTTGAAATGTCTTTAACATTCTTACACAAAGGAGTTCTTGTTCTTCTTGTTGTTGTTATTATTATTTTAAAGTTTCGGTATGGTGGCTCCTATAGAAGAAGAAACTTTAATAAAACACCCACCGTCTAGCATGCTATACTCAGATCATAGCGGAGAATAACTCTCTTTTCCCTCTTTTGACTAGAGAATACTTGTTTACATAAAACTTATTAACTTTCACTCCAAATACATTAGGAATACTACTACTACTACCGTTTGCTTATGCAAACATTGTTTTACATATGCACACACTTACCAGCAAGAAAAAGAAAAAATATTAAACAGATACCCTTACTTCATTTGACGTATCAAAGTTGTCACAGATACGTATGGGAGTTGATAGCTGATAGAATAGTAGAAGAACACGACCTGGCCCTCCGTCCAGCCCAAAAAACCCTGTGTTGGCTCAATACGGTTATCAATATCAACAGATAGAACCAAATATAGTAACCTGCAACCAAATATTTGATGAAAGAAGATACACGTCCATATGATGTACGTCCCACCTTTACACTTCACTTAGCTCTTTGTAGGTGCAGTCGTTAAAATAAACAATTATTAATAAATGAAGAGACGCGTCTCCCCAATTAGGAATCAATATTTCACGCTGTGCGCGAATATAATAGAGACAATATAATGGTGATACGCGTTTTAGTATGAGACAGAATATATATTTTTAAATATTTTTTACCGAAAGAGACAAAACGCGTGGATCGAGGAGGTGGGAACAGTGCTTAGTCGAGACTCCTTTCTCCTTTCCCTGTAAGAAAAAATTGTGTTCTTCGCGTTGTGCGGGTCTAACTAACAATTATCTGACCCATATGAGTAAAGGGCATTAGAAATCAATCAACTTCGTACTCATTCGTGTATCTTTTTTTTCATTTTGCATTTCATGTTGACAACTGCAGGGACCTCTCTGGCCTGTCTCCTCAGTCTATTTATGATGTTAGTTTGCTCTTGTATCAACAAGCCTGTTTTAAGCTTGTTTGAGGATAGTTCGACTCAATGTTCTCGTTGTTATCGCTGTTGTTTTAGTGAATAATCAGACTCCGAATAAAGAATGCCATTTATTCATCAGATGGTTTTTCCAGACTATCGTCTTTTCGCGTTTCTTTATTTACATTTGTTGTTGTTGTTTTGTTCAATTTCGTCATAAAACGTCTACAAATTGTTCTCGTCATCGAAAAAGTTTTGTTTATGTTCATCTATACATAATAGTTATAAATAGATCACGATATTATATATATATACGTGTATATGCATATATACATATATACACTCTCTCTCCGTAGAATAGGGGAAGAAGCCGACCTATATACCTTTAAATGGCCGGAACAATCTTGTTTATCGTATTCTCTACAACTAGATATTCCAAAAATAATGGATTATCTAATTTTGCTGACATTTCCATCTTCACTTTTGATACATTATCTAAAAATTCTTGAATTAATTTATAATCACTACCATATAATCGACTGGGGTCTCGTCTCGCACTATTAATTAATACCAAATGCATGGGGAAATATATGAAACTCATTTGTTTCACAACATTTGGTGTCACATAATTCTTACCTTGATCGTAACTGTACAATTTGCATAAGAGGATCATACTATCTAAAGCATCTCTGATTATACCACCACCTTTACTATGATACGCCAACCGGTGCATACGTAAATGTATCATGATGTCAAGGATATAACGTCGTACAGATGGCTCGATATGAACCTCTGAAAAGTCATTTTTGATTTGTATACTCTCTATCGTCTCAGGTATATCGGCATCTTCGTCGTCGTCGTCATCATCATCATCAGTAGTAGCAGTATTGTCGTTCGAAACAGTAGTTCCTGGTATGTTACGATGTTCCAAGTTAAGACTCTCATCAGGCATCGATCCAGCGATCCAGAATTTATGTTTTAACCAATCCATGACTGTAATACTAGGTTTCAATACAGTCTTGTGTGGTTTCGTGACATTGCCATCTAATTGTTCAGGTGTATCCACAGACCATGGTACGATCCCAATAAATATTTGAACTGGTTGGTCCATCGTCAAGTCATTCAGAGGTTCAGTTATTGTAAAATCGACCACCATATGTTTTGCCAGCAAGATCTGTTCCTCATTAGTCAACGCATTCAAATCCGGGATGATTCGTATATCATATCGAATATCTGACTCGTGCTCATCTCCTAAACTTAAGTACGACAATGAGATCTCGTTCAAAATCGTACATTTATATCTTAATCCATGTAACAAATGACCCACTGCTCTTTCAACTAGGAATTGTGGGGCAACTGTAGCTTGTTCAAGATTCTCTCTTTCAACTTTATCAGCAATGAAATCGTTTCTTACAAACGTTAGGAAACTACGTTTCCCCAATATACTATACTTTAAACATTCCTCAAACCCAGGTAACTCCTCGCGAATCATTATTCCTTTATCTGATTAGGGTATTGCCACTATTAAAGTCCTTTTAGTCAACTAATGTCTTTATTCATGGGTATAAAACGTATAATTCATCATTCATTTCTATTTCTAAAATCCATTGTTTCTCTCTTTTCTTAAATGTTAGCCTTCATTTTCATCAGTCCAAAAACCCTAATGCCGTGCGTATTTTGAAAAAATTGAAAAAAAATGAAAATTTTAAACCTCATCGATAAAATTTTAAATGGAAAAATTACAAGAAAAAAGTGTTTAACAAATGATAGACAGATACATCAACAAGGGATTGAATATTCAAGAGTAAGTGGATAAAAGCAATCAACTCTATACCGACTTGGAATCAGAATGGCAAAATTAGTTCATGATGTGCAAAAAAGGCAGCACAGAGAGCGTTCTCAGGTTACTAGTCGTGCAAGACTAGGTTTCCTTGAAAAGCACAAAGATTATGTTAAGCGTGCTCAAGATTATCATAAGAAACAGAATACTTTGAAAGTATTGAAGACTAGGGCCAAAGAACGTAATCCTGATGAGTTTTACTATGGGATGAATTCTAGAAAAGTAGATTCGAAGGGACTACTAATAACATCTCGTCGTGGTGAAGATGAAGATGAATCTCTCTCGATGGATCAGGTAAAATTGTTGAAGAGTCAGGATAGTAACTATGTGAGAACTATGAGACAACAAGAATTAAATCAATTAAAGAAGAAGACAAATAAATTAATGTTCCAGGCTAGTGGTAAACATACCGTATTTACAGAGAATAGAGAAGAAAGAGATAATTTCGATGCTGCTGAGTTCTTTGACACTACAGACGATATGTTAAACAGACGAGAAAATAGACTTACAAAGGATCAATTAACAATGAGTCTAACGAAAGCCTCTTTAGATGCTGTAGATTCTATAATGCCAAAGGAATCCCTTGATAAGAAGAAAGTCAAAAAATTTAAGATCGTCAAACAGCATATTGAACGAGAAAATAAACTGAAAGAAGTTCAAAGACGTATGGATATGCAAAGAGAAGTTATGAAGAATGGTTCTAAGAAAAAAATTGTGGATAAAAAGGGTAACGTCTCTTTCAAATGGAAGAAACAACGTAAGCGTTAACCCATTTACTCATGTATTATGACATTCCATATTACATATTACTCAATTAGCATTTTCAACATCTGTATATTATATATCACCGTAAAAGAATAATAGCGATGAAAATAGTATTGTTCCTATGGATTTGAAGATATTTTATTTGACTATAGCAGTCTAGAATATCGTATATAATTTGACATAGAAGTCAAGTGATCAATAAATTTTCAATTTATCTACATAGTATTTTAGAATTGAATGCAACTATTTAAAAAAGATTGGTATTATGATGTAAATACCGATATATGTGAAAGTATTTATATAATAGTTTGTGTTTGGTGAGTTTTTTCTCAGTTTTGAACAGTGTCTAGTTTCTTAATAATGGCGGTTACATTATTGTTTAGTTTTTCAAATTGTATCTGGGCATTAGTATCATTGGCTTTGCTTTTCTTAGAAATACTTAACGTTGATTTCTTGAAATTTCCAACAATTTTAACCTTGAACTTAAAATTACCTTCGATAAACTTACAATCGTAATCAACCTTCTCATAGTGTTCTCTCTTATCGAATCCTTTCAGACTGTAATTTATTCCATTTCTTCCAAAGTAGTCAACCGCTAAACTATGCAAGCTTTCAAAAGACATTTTTGTTTGGTGATCCTGCGATATCTGAGACGAATTTATACTTAAGCCCTGGAAAAGTTTGTTGAACCAACTCTTCTTCTGTGGTTTTATTTTGGAGTCAGTAATACCCTTTTTGGTAACAGTTGGGGATTTAGCAATTGTTTCGTTTTTTGTATTTTTATTACTTGTTGTTGCTGGTTTTTTGACAATTTTCTTTTTTGTTATTGGTTCTGCTTTATGGTCTACGTCTAGATCTGTTTTTCTTTCAGTGGTATGTTCAGATGGAGCCTCTTCAGATATGCCTTCAGTTTTGGTCTTGTTATCGTCATCAAAAATCATGGTTACCCTATTATGCTTACTGCTGGGATCTTGCGCGACTGAAATCTCGTCAGTCCCATCATTCAAAAGATCAGCTTGAGATGGATCATCATTTTGGTCTTCCTCAAGATCCTTAAACATAGACATTATACTATGAGAAATATGAAGGACATCAGATTGTCTCTTGGATGGTGGTGATGAATATCTTTTTTGGATCAGATGGCCATTCGAAACATCTGGAGAGAGTTTAAATCTGGATATTAGCTCCTCGGTTGTCTCACGTTTAATTGGCTTACCAGAAAAATCTCCATTATTGTTTACATATAGACTGACTCTTACATCTGGGCTGCGGGTAACAATATTGTTAGTGTTCGAGGTTCCAATTGAAACTGCCTTCTTGTGAACAATTGCACTTTGGTCATCACTTGATGCCGTTATATAGGACGTTGAATCAGTTAATGCATCTTCAAATATGTTAACATTTTTGTCTGTGAATGACATGCTGGTATTGTTCCTTTCACTAATAGAGTTACTTAGTCCATTATTTTGGTTCAGTGTTTCTTGATCAAGTACTTTCTGTTCAGAATTTGACTTATTTGGTAGATCATTAAAATTTCTATGGTAAACTCCGCCATTAGATATCGTAACAGCTTGCGCTGTAAATGTACTGGTTGGAATTTCTAACGCAAATGTCATATCAGAAATTTCAGCAACATCCGAATTTAGTTCCGCAGATGTATTCTGTGTATTGTCGTTCGATAAGTCATGTAATCCGGCGGTAAGATCGAAATTTGGAGATAACGATATATTTGTCATTGGCCTTTGGGGAGCTAAGGATATTTTCTGGCTATGTTGAGTAGTAGTTACTTGTGCATTGTCCTGATCAATATTATCTCTGACATCAAAATTTATAGAGCTTCTATCAAAATTTAGAAATTGCGACAAATCCTTAAAGGTGTTGGTTTGGTTCAGTCTTGATGATGGAGTATCAATTGGGAAATTTTTAATAGTACTAGAATGGGCTAAAATTTCACTATCATAACTTTCATATCCTGTGTTATGTTTTACACTATTCTCAATCTCTTTTGTTTGGTTAGGAATTGAAACTTTAGGCGTACCTTTTTCCTTTAGTAAACCGTCTAGACCGTTATTCACAGTTGCAAATAGAGACCCTCTCTTATAATTCCATTCCGTGGACTTTGAAGCATTCTTCTTTGGTAAACCCCTTAACATTTTTGAAATTAAAGTATCCTGCGGTTGGGAAAGGTTACGACGGGGATCAAGGGAAGATTTTCTTATTTGTTGGGGTTGAGGGTCAGATAATAATCTGTTCTTTTCAATCTTCTGATGCCCACTTTGATCTTTAAATTTATTAGTTAATAAATTTTTGGATGGAGAGAAAGACTGTGGAATAGGTGGTAGTTCTTGACGAGGAATTGAATATGATGGCAATTTTTGCTTCGTAAAACTAAATTCATTCTCAGTAGTTTCGAATGAATTTGTAATATTCTTTAAAGGTGACCTCTGAGAAACTTCAACACTATTTGAAAACTCAGAATTGTTATGAGTATCTAATAGGCTTTCAGAATATTGTCCTTGTTGTTTAGTAGTATCAGGAAGAGTGAATGCAGCTATAAAGTCTTTTTGTCCATCCATTTCCATTACTTCTTCTGGTTTTTTCAATGTGTCGTCACTATTGTTGGAGTACTTGGATAAATGTGTTCGTTCATCGGTTATATCAGTAGTTTCCTCTTCTAGAATATTATCTAACGCATTACCAAACAGAATTTGATTACATAGTACCTCAAAATCATTGTTTGAGGTAAGACTTGGTAATGGAGGTAAATTATAATTGTTTGTCTCATCATTTAGTAGATAATCGTTTAGATTCACGGAACGTTTAGAGATTGATTGCAAAGAATATAATGATCTTTTTGACTCTGAGTTATGTAATGTTCTCCTAACCTTACCTGTAGGAACCTGTACGTTGGTATTTTTAGCCTTATTTTGAATCGATATATTTGAATTAGAATGTGCTAGTGTCCCTCTGGACATAGATTTACGTAATGAGACTCCAGATTTAGATGTGGACATTGACACATTGGAACGCATTGTTAAAGTAGAACCACTCTTTCTAAATGTTCTCGATGAGGAGACAGGGAAGATAGGTAAAGTGGGTGCCATAGTTGGAATCTGCTTATTGAAGTTTTCTGATTTCAAAGCTGGAATACTAAATTGTGATTTTTGTAACAAAGTTGGAGTTTGAGGATCTTGTGAAGTATCGTTGCCATTTGTTGAGTCGCTTAACATGTTATTACTGATTGAGGAATTCTCTTTAGAAACTGTTGGAGTAGAATCAGTATAATTGTTTAATGTGTTTGAATTCTTTGTAGAGATGGTTTTCACAAGAGGAATTGAATTTTTCTGTTTATATTGGAGAAGTAAAGAATAAAACATTTTTTCTTCAGAAGTAGGTTTTTGAAGTAGCTTGGCAACTAACAATTCACGAGATGTCCCATGCCATAAAATCTGCAAATTTCTCAAGATCGACTCATCGATGTCATGTATAGATTGTATTTCTGTCATCGCTGGACCAGCAGCATCTAAGACGTGTAAATTCGAATTCGATTTTCCATTATTATAGTCTTTGTTGTTTTTAACAGGAATGTTAAACGGTGTCCTTTCATATTTCGTAATTAATGGATGCGTTAATATATCTGAAGTATGTATTCTCTTGCTTGGGTCAACTACTAATATTCTAGAGATTAAATCCTTTGCTTCTAAAGAAATATTATGAGGCATTTGGTATCTACCAGATTGTACTTTCAACAAGAGTTTTTTAATATTGTTATCATTAAATGGTAAATGTCCAGTAAGCAATGCAAAGAGAATAATACCACAGGACCAAACATCTGATGGGGCACCATGATAAGATTTACCCATCACAATTTCAGGAGATGCGTAATGAGGGGAGCCACATGACGTCTCTAATAATTTGTTTGGCAACTCTAAGGCAGCCATACCAAAATCGGCAATCTTTATAGATTTGGCTTTCTTATCCAATAATAAATTTTCCGGTTTTAAATCACGATGACAAATATTAAATGAATGACAATAAGACACACCTTCAATAATTTGTTTAAAATAATGGACAGCTTCACTTTCTGATAGTTTACCCTTCGAGACCAAGTAGTCAAACAATTCACCACCATCAACATATTCTAATACAAGAAATAGCTCAGATTTATTTTCCCAAACTTCATATAAACCCATAACATTTGGATGTGAGATCAATTTCATGATAACTATTTCACGTTCAATACCATAAGGGTTTACTGGATTCTCTTTATTCTCATTGTTACTTTCGTAGTTTCCTGGTTTATTTTGTCCATATGTAGAAGTAAGAGCTGTTGAGGCCTTTGACGAAATAGAATTAAATGAATCTACTGTGTTTGAATTAGTCTGATGAGTTCTCCCAGTTGGTTTATCTGATCTAATATACTTTTTCTTTGGTACAATCTTAATAGCAGCTAATTGACCTGTTTCGATATTTTTGGCTAATCTAACTCTACCAGAAGAACCTTTTCCTAAAGTTTTTCCTAATTTCCATGGTCCAATGGTATCTCTGGATTTTCTTTTTGAAGATTTTGTATTAGTAGAAGTGATATTAATGTTATTATTATGTGGATCGCTCATAATTGATTGAACTTGAGACAGCCTCTTTGTAGCATCTGTGACAGATTGAACGACTCTATCTAATTGGGTAGGAGATGATGACGATATTGAACGATGATGCTGATGATTATTATTATTATTATTATTCTTTGAAGATTTCAACATTGCGTTTCTTGCAGCAGCTTTTGCTGAGGTACTGGATATAATTGGTTTTCTTATTCTTGAATCCATAGTAATCATAGCACTAGTGGTCATTGAATTGTGATTTTAATAAATAAAATGAGAAAAGGAGTGAATAATAGTTGGTGTTATAGTATAGAAGGAAGAGAGTAAAGTAAGTTGGATACTTTTTGCTCTGCTTCAAAAAAATAAAATAAAAAAAGATGAATTAAAGTAGATTTATTCTTGGAGGATATGAATATTTTCTAATAGTTTGTATTAATTATGAATATTGTAATTGTTATCACTGAGGAAAAGTCAGATATTACGAGGTCTTGATGCTTTAAAAGATAAATGATAATAATAATTCAAAAAGAATGAAGCTAATTGTCACGAAAAGTATATATATTAGAGAGTGAAATAAAATTTTAATTCAAATGATGGTGGTATCAAAGGAAAACTAAAAATGTTACAAAATATGTTTATTAAATCAATATTACAAACGATGTATAATTAAGCCAATTGAAATGAATTTTCTATGCATACGTATACATAGAACAATCTATTAAGTCATTGAGGGCTTGTTATAAAATTAATTATAAATATTTAACAAAATACACGTTCGTACACGTTAACAAATGATTTTTGTCGATGTATTTGATCTGATCTTTCCCCTTTTCCCTTCATTAATATCACCATCATCATCATCATTACACTAGATATTAATCGTGTCATCTAACATGTTATGTTATCCTTTTTTCCATTAATGTCGTTACTTTGGGGATAGAGAGAGGAATACGCCTGGCACTGAACAAATTTTCAATAACAATAATAACAATATAAAGAAACGCGAATTGTCAAGAAAAGTTTGTTAGTCAAACTCTGGCTCAGACTATTTCTTAGTGAAAATATGACCTCACTCTTTCACTTTTCATATATAAATATATTTTAGACGCCAATTGTCATGTTATTTTCACATCCAGAGGCGCACTCAGTAAAATAGTGCAGAACGCCTGACTCGTAATAAAAGGATTTCAAATAATTTTTCGCGATTTCTTAATTTTGGTGCGGTCTCGTTGTTAGTGATATTAAACACCCTAATTTAGGGCATACAACATAAAAATAAAGGAAAACGAGTTAGCCGCCGAGGCGGACGTATATAGAGGTAAATCTCCCATCTTAATAAGAAAATAAAAAGGCAATGGATTAAAAACTAGAGATTTTGAATTATTTCTCGTTTTTATTAACGCACCAGATTCTGTAACGATTTCAATTATTAACATGTATATTGGAAATCAAGCTTGTATGTATCAAAATGATGATTAAATGAACGTATTACATATATATATATTTTGTTTTATAAGAGATAGAGGAAGAGGGTTTACAATCTTTAATTATTGGTTAGGCAACCATTCCTATATGGAAATAGAAAATTAAATATGCAATTTTACAAGATTAGTGGTGAGTATTAATAAAAACGAATGCTCTATAATTATCTCCTTTTTGTAATGTTTTTTTATCGATATACAACTAAGTTCAAAGTTTTCTAATTTTCTGAAGAGTGTTTTTTTATCTTGTTATATAAATATTATTGAATGTAGTGTTTGTTCTAAAATGACGTTGAAAGTGTATTGAAGTAAACAAAGAGTTAAAAGTGATAATGAATTCTTTCGTTTTCTGAGTGGGATCTCATTTAATGGAAACACAACTAAGATAAATACAACAACGAAACCTACATCTTTTACAAACCTTTAACAATTATTTACATATATGCTTACAGTCTGTTCAAACTGTTATCGTCCAAAGTCCCACGTGACGTATCTCTATGTATGACTTATACTTTCCCTTTAAATTTACTTCTTTAGAAAGACAAAGTTTGTAAGAATCCGAGAGAACAGAGTTGATCGATAATATACACCTGTTACAGTTCTCGAAAAAGACGGACTTCATTCTCTCTAAAGTATATACAACCAATCCTTTGTTGAACTTGAAGGTCCTAATATCTTTTAATTGATCTCAATCAATCAATCAATCAATAATCCTTTGCAATTAAACTAATTTAGTTTGAGCGAGAACGGGAAGAGTGGGTTGGGCGGAGGGGGGCAGAGGGGGGCAGAGGGAGGGTGTGCGCACAGAGAGAAAATGAAAGAAAAACTAAAATAATAGATAACAAATCGCACAGAATACTCCGTGGTAGCAGTTAGAATTAACAGTTAATCAAAGAGCCAAAAAAAGGGGTGTCCTGATATAATTGTCAGTTAAGTAATTTTCAGGTTACAACTCAGTACAGTACTGAGATATTATTATAGTAATCAAAATAATATCAGCCCAATGAGACCTGAAAGAAGTATCAACTAACATTAGTTTAAATGTTACATCCCTTGGTTACCATGGCGAAGTTTTCCGATAATTGAAGTTAGATAACCTCATAGACAAATATTATCTAAACTTGGTATATAAATTTAATTAATTAATTAGTAATCCATTCTAAGTACTGCTACTAGTTCGTTTATTTCTTCTTTACGTGAATGAGATAACAACACCCTAAAAATATTAATGCTATTGTCATTTTAATTTAACAATTAACATTATTATTTTCTTTTGCATAACATTCACTAATATATATGAATTCGGAGTATTTTCTTTTTTTCTTAGCTTTTATAATTTATATATAAATACTGAAATATAATTGAATTTTAAAAAACATAGATTTATATATCTTAATTTAGACTAGATTCAAATTCTTTTTGTCCTTTTCAAAACTTAAACATAATCAAAATAAAAATAGAGATAACATATCAACAGGGAAGATGAACAATATGGATGAACAATTAGTCATTATTGAACAATTGAAAAAGACTTTACAGTTATTAACTGTCGAACAAGAAGAAAATAAGATTAAGGCAAGTACTATTAATACTTCTAATTCTTCGAATAATGACAATGAGGTTAATGCAAAGTTTCTTTATGAAGATTGTGCAGATTTATTCATTGATTTCACTTACAAGAATCCAACTACTTATCATGTTGTGAAGTTTGCAGCTAATATGTTAGATAAGAGTGGTTTCAAATATCTTTGTGAAAAGGGTAATTGGGACAAATGTATCGGTAAAGAAGGTGGTAAATTCTATACTATTAGAAATGGTACTAATCTTGTGGCTTTCATTGTTGGTAAGAATTGGACTATCGAAAAGGGTGCAGGTGTCATTGGTTCTCATATCGATTCCTTAGCCGTCAAATTAAAGCCTGCTTCTTTGAAGGCTCATGTCGAAGGATTCGATCTTTTAGGAGTTGCTCCTTATGGTGGTGCCTTGAGCGAACAATGGTTAGATAGAGATCTAGGTCTTGGTGGTCGTATCTTGTATCATGATGAAAATTCTGACGTTATCAAGGAGAAATTAATTGATAGTACCCCTGTACCAATTGCTAAGATTCCTTCTTTGGCTCCACATTTCGGTAAACCAGCTGAAGGTCCATTTGATAAAGAAGATCAAACTGTTCCAATTGTAGGTTATCCAACTGGTACTCCTGTACCACCAAATGAAAAGGAAAAGACTTCTCCTTTAGTTGGTAAGCATTGCATCAATTTATTGAGATACATTGCTGAATTAGCTGGTCTAAAAGTTTGTCAATTGACTCAACTAGATCTGGATCTATTTGATGTCCAAAAGGGTGTCATTGGTGGTATTCACCAAGATTTCATTTTTGCTCCACGTCTAGATGATAGGTTATGTAGTTTTGCTGCTTTATGGGCTTTAGACATGTATTCTCATACTGTCGATACTTCAACATCCGATAACTTTTCAGTATTGGCATTATATGATAACGAAGAAGTCGGATCCATGTCAAGACAAGGTGCTAAGGGTGGTCTACTAGAATCTATTGTGGACCGTGTTGCTCAAGCTCATGCTAATGCTACTTGTGCCGAGATCCGTACTCTATATGCTAACTCCATCATCTTATCTGCTGATGTCAACCATATGTTTAATCCTAACTTCAAGGAAGTTTACTTAGAAAGACATTCTCCAAAGCCAAACGTCGGTGTTACATTGTCATTAGATCCTAATGGTCATATGGCTACCGATAACGTTGGTCTTGCTTTTGTTGAACAATTAGCCAAGAAGAATGACGACAAGTTGCAATACTTCCAAATCAAGAATAACTCCAGATCTGGTGGTACTATTGGCCCAACTTTGTCACTAACTGGTGCGCGTGTCATTGACTTAGGTATTGCTCAATTGTCTATGCACAGTATCAGAGCTGCTACTGGTTCTCAAGATGTTGGTCTAGGGATCAAGTTTTTCAATGGGTTCTACCAAAACTGGAGATCTGTTTACGATAACTTTGGTGATTTATAAAACACAACAATAGTATATAATACAGACATATACGTACGTCGCCGTTAATGACAAAACTCTCTATATAACTTCCAAATTTGAAAACAATTACATATTTCATAAGCCTTCACTATTATTATTATTATTACTATTATTATTATGAAATTCTATAAATAAATCAGATTGAGAGAATTCTGAACTATCTTGTGTTTTACAAATATTAAGAAATTAAAAATCATCTGAGACGACAGTGTTAATGGCGGGGCCTTTTATAGTGCATGGACAGCTGCGAGACCTGTAGCCCGAAATCGTTTCGGGGTGGTCCTCCGTCTATGTATTATTAGATCTATGAACTATATCGTACAACACGATAAATACACGGATCATGTCTTGTATGTACATATTACCCAATTAGGTAATCTAATTCCAGGCCACTGTGTTCAAATTCCGCAGCTCCTCTAAATTTCAATCAGATAATCAAATAATTAAAGAATGAGCAGTAGAAGCCTCTTTTTTGATTATTATATGGACGGTGATGGTGATGATGATGATGATGAAGAAGAATAGATGTTATATCAATTTTCAAATGAATCAAGTTTTAAGTTCTTGTCGTTTTTGGCAACGGTGATCAGTACGAGACAGGAGTTCAAGAGCCGTTTGTCAAACTTAATGCTCAAGACCAAAAGTTTGTTTTCCTTTTGCTTTGAATATCATCCACAGAGACATTCAATTATCGTCAACAAAGCATATCTCGGATTATTACATTACTCTTTCTCTTTCTTGTTTTCATTATCTTGAAAGAGGCACAAGTATATATATTTACACTATTTTTACTTTGATCTTGTTTTAGAATATAAGGTCATTTTTACTATTAATAAGAATATCTATTTATTATTTCTATTTCTGTTTTTTTCTTGAAAACTTTTACTGAAATTACTAGTTTCTCTGTCTATTCTGTTTTGTGATTTTTTACTACAATAGGAAGAATAAAGAAAGCAAAAAAATAAATAAAACAGACGAAATTGATAAATTAATATTTATTTTCCTTTAAAAGTAAGAAGTTTATTAATATTTCTTTTTTAACACAGATATACATATTTCGAAGTTAAGTTATAACTAAGAAGTAAATATTGCAACAACAACAACAATAATAACAACGGTAGTAACAAGATGTGTGGTATTTTTGGTTATTGTAACTATTTGGTAGAGAAATCCAGGGGAGATATCATGGATACTTTGGTCGAAGGTCTGGAAAGATTGGAATACAGAGGTTATGACTCCACTGGTATTGCTATTGATGGTGACGAATTGGACTCTACTATGATTATCAAACAAATCGGTAAAGTTAGCGCTTTGAAACAAGAAATTGCTAAAATAAACCCTAATAGAGACGTTACATTTGTTAGTCATTGTGGTATTGCACATACTAGATGGGCTACACATGGTGAACCAAAACAAGTAAATTGTCATCCACAAAGATCTGATCCAAATAATGAATTTGTTATTGTTCATAATGGTATTATTACAAACTTTAGAGAATTAAAGACTCTATTATTTAATAAAGGTTACAAATTTGAAAGTGAAACAGATACTGAATGTATTGCAAAACTATTTAAACATCTTTATGATATTAATTATCAAAATGGTCATGAATTAGATTTCCACGAATTAACTAAATTGGTTTTATTAGAGATCGAAGGTTCATATGGTCTATTATGTAGATCCTCTCATTACCCTAATGAAGTTATTGCCACTAGAAAGGGTTCTCCATTATTAATTGGTGTTAAATCTGAAAAAAAATTGAAAGTTGATTTTGTGGATGTCGAATTTCCTGATGAATGTAATGTGGGTAAACCTGAAACTCCTTTGATTGCAGCTAATGGTAAAGCAATCTCTTCAGATGATAACAATAACATTACCGTGACCACCAATAGGAAAAATCCAAATGCATTCTTAAATGGTAATGGCCATAGTAGCAATTCACATGATGATAACTTATTACCAATTGCAGCCAATGAATTTAATTTAAGATATTCTCAATCAAGAGCCTTTCTATCTGAAGATGGATCCCCTACCCCAGTTGAATTCTTTTTATCTTCAGATGCTTCTTCTGTTATTAAACACACAAAGAAAGTTCTATTCTTAGAAGATGACGATATTGCTCACATATATGACGGTGAATTACATATCCATAGATCTAGAAGAGAAGTAGGTGCATCAATGACTAGATCTATTCAAACATTGGAGATGGAATTGGCTCAAATTATGAAGGGTCCATATAAACATTTCATGCAAAAGGAAATTTATGAACAACCAGAATCTACTTTTAATACAATGAGAGGTAGAATCGATTTTGAAAACAATTGTATTAATTTAGGTGGTTTAAAGGCTTGGTTACCAGCTATTAGAAGAGCCCGTAGAATAATAATGATTGCTTGTGGTACATCGTATCATTCATGTTTAGCTACAAGAGCTATCTTTGAAGAATTATCAGAGATTCCAGTAAGTGTAGAATTAGCATCTGATTTCTTAGATAGAAAAAGTCCAGTCTTTAGAGATGATATCTGTGTTTTTGTATCTCAAAGTGGTGAAACTGCAGACACTATGTTAGCATTGAATTATACCTTAGAGAGAGGCGCTTTAACTGTTGGTATTGTTAATACTGTCGGTTCATCTATTTCAAGAGCTACCCACTGTGGTGTTCATATTAATGCTGGTCCAGAAATTGGTGTTGCATCAACAAAGGCTTATACTTCTCAATATATTGCACTTGTGATGTTTGCGTTATCCTTATCAGATGATAGAGTTTCTAAAGTAGAGAGAAGGGAGGCAATTATACAAGGTTTGAAATTGATTCCAAGTCAAGTTAAACAAGTTCTAAAATTGGAACCAAAGATTAAAGAATTATGTAAAACAAAATTGGCAGATCAAAAATCGTTATTGATTCTAGGTAGAGGTTATCAATTTGCTAGTGCTTTAGAAGGTGCTTTAAAGATTAAAGAAATTTCTTATATGCACTCTGAAGGTGTTCTTGCAGGTGAACTAAAACATGGTGTCTTAGCATTAGTGGATGAAGACTTACCACTTATCGCATTCGGTACTAGGGATTCTTTGTTCCCTAAAGTGTTATCTTCTATTGAACAAGTTACTGCAAGAAAAGGTCATCCAATTGTCATTTGTAATGAGAACGACGAAGTATGGATGGAAAAAGCTATTGATTCTAACTTAGAGACCTTAGAGGTCCCACAGACAGTGGATTGCCTACAAGGTTTATTGAACATTGTCCCATTACAACTGATGTCATACTGGTTAGCTGTTAATAAAGGTATCGATGTTGACTTCCCAAGAAATCTTGCAAAATCCGTCACTGTCGAATGATTGAAAAAAAAAAAGTGTCTCATATATATAAAAGAAAAAAGGATAATATATATTATATTTTATTACCTAACTGTACAACATAACAAGCAAATCAAAAAGAAAGACGAAAATAATGAAATAATATTGCTAATATAATAAATTCAGATATTCAAATAACAAATATCTAACGTATATATATTTATATTTATATACATATCTAAAAACAAATAACCTAATTTAACAACAGATTGATAGATTCTTTGACACCTCCATCACCATATCCTCCCTAACTCTTCTCAAACCAATTATCAATGTATGTATGTCCTTACACCTGAGAAACATCCAACGTTCATCATGACAAAGAAAACCCTTTCGAGTGTCCAACTTCTAAATTACGCGGAGTATAATTTAATATTGTGAATATAACCCGATTCCGAAAAGGAAATGGTAGAACTCGTTCAAAAAAAAGGGAAGCTCTACCGAGGATATCTTTAAATCCTCGATGAATAAGACAGGTATGAATAATTGCATTGCTTATGACATATGACATTCCTTAAAGAAATATTTGATTAATTAGGGGAGGAACTAACTAATATTCCAACAATTCAATATATGAATTTTTGCTAAAGTTTAACCCATACAGAACAAATATTAAGATATCGTTGTATAGCATATCATACATAATTTATACCGAAATAAACCCGAAAGTATGCCAATAACAAGAAAATATTCAAGTACAAGAACTTTTAGTAGTGAAGCACTTGCTGCCGCAGCCACTGCGACCTCGGTAGAGTCATCAAGAACGAGTTCTCTAGTGAGGAGTAAATCAGCACCAAGACATACACAGAATTTTAGAAGGACAAACAGTATGATGAGTAACCCAGAAAGTAGAAGAGAACATCGCCGAATCAACAGCTATGGATCATATGAGAGAACATTTAGTACCTCAGTAATACCAACTAATTATGATGAAAACCAGACAATTGATACAAACTTGGCATTCGATAATTTCGATGGTGGTATTGATGACATCATTGAAACGCGGAACCTTTCTCCTCAAAGACGGTATAGACATATAAGTAATAGAGGAACACAAGTGGAGAATATGAATCCTTTAGAAGTAGTAGAGAAATATGTCCCTGGACCTCGAGGGCTTTCTATTGTACAGGTCCCTGTATTAAAGCAACCATCTCAGAAACCGAAAAAGGATTATACTCAGTCAACGACAGCATCACCTCGAAGGAGAGTGTCGACTATTAGCTCCCCCAAAAGAGAACCATTATCTCCAAATGCATTAAAAAGACACGGCGCAGTTAGAAGATCGAATATTGTCCATTCTTCTGAAGAAGCTCAACATCCCGTATCACCACGTCGTTCTCTAAGGGAGGTTGAACCGACTTCCCCAAGAGATTTCCATGCAACCTACGAAGATGATGAAAATAGAATCGAAAAGACTGTTACTACAAGACAAACTAAAGATCACGGTAGTGTGGAGACCACAACAATAGTACGCAGACATACCAAGAGAGAACCTACACCTGACTTACCGGAATCAAACCACAATGCCTCAAATACAAAGGCAAATGTTTTAAAACTCCGCGATGAAGTTAAAAAGTCTGAGTTTGAAAAGAACCAATTAGAATTGAAACTTGAAAATATAATAAATGCTGAAAAGACACTAGGTGCAAAGAAGGAAAACCAAAACATACATAATGTTGTTCGAAACGAAATTCCAATACCTGTTGCTATCCCGAAGCATCAACATGATAAATTGAAGGGACCGATAAGAGTTGTAAGCAACATGACGAGTAATACTAATACTGAAGAAGGTTTCAGTGATGAAGGTAGTTTTAATGACGATAATGAAAGTACGTCTATTGTCTCAAGTATGGCCACTTATGATCACTTAAGTACAATTCAATCCATTGATGTTGAGCCACCTAAACAAGATATTCAACCCGAGACACATGAGCTACCAAGAGATACCTCTAATCAAGATATCAAAATACTGAATGGGAAATTAAACGCATTTTTGGACAAGGAAATAGTTGAAGATAAAAATGATAAAGGTAATAACATGTTCTATGAATCTCTTCTTATGAACATGTCCACCACTGAGTCAATTCCAGGGATGTCGAGTAGGTTTAACTCAAATATATCTCTTGATCCAAATGACTCCCAAATTAGTGTTGTACCAAGCTTAGATCTCGGTCAAAATGAACACCAAAAGAATAAAACACAAGATATAAATACTTCATTTAAGATGAGGCACAACCCCTCAATGGCACAATATCTGAAAGCTTCACATCCTTACCTTATTAGTTCTGATGAAGAAACTGAGACCAACCATGAGAATAACACATATTTATCTATTGATAATGCCAATGAAAGGAGAACACCAGATGATACAGATTCCAATATAGATAGTACTTTATCTCTTAACATCCCACATGACCAAGTGCCAACATCCTCATATACATCTGTCGACTCACATAGTAAAGGTGAACGTACGTTAAGCATAGCGAATAAAGATTTTTCAAAACAATTTTTGAAAGCTTCTTATCATGAAGATACCACCGATCATTCTAAGTTATCCCGAACTAATTTAAACGGGTCACAATCGACAGATATTTCGTCATCTATTGATGTACCAGGTACTTACAAGAACAGTACTGCCATTGGTAATGCAGATATAACCCTAGACAGATTAAAGAGCGAATCATCATCTGTTTATTCCTATCATCCAATAAAAAATACCATTCAACCTAAAGTAATACACCTTGACAATTTGGGAGAAACACTTGGTGAATGCAACCATATGAGAGATTCCTCTCAGGATGAAAAAAACTTGGTTCTAAGTAAAAGGAATAATCGGAGTATAGGGCATAAAGGGCATAAAATAAGTCAATCAGTTGATTTGGATATTCAGAAAGGGGATATAAGGAGAAGAAGCGAAAAAGTGTCAACTTTTAACGGACAAGCCCGTTCTAAATCGTTGACTAGGAGATTTTCGTTACAAACTGCTGTGAAAAATATTAATAATATCGAGAATGAAACGTTTAAGAAACATTCGAGAAATAGTAGTATCGGTAAAAGCTTAAAGAAAATGCTTGGTATCCATTCAAAATAATACATATATAACACAAATCAAGGACCTAATTAATAAAACATATATAACAATACACTTATATTAATGACATATCTTTATCATTACAATAATCATCTTATATAAAATATTCTTACAAATAAAGTATAAATGCAAAGACAAACAAAGTCATGAGGTGACTCTCTTTTTTTTGTTTTTCATTTTCCCCTATCTCATTTGGATTGATTTTCAATTTTTTTGAATGTATCACAAATATATTCTATATTCGAATCATTAATACCACTCAAAGATAATCTGCCATCATCAGTCAAATAGAGGGAATATTTATCTCTTAACTCTTGAACTACAGGTAACGGAAATCTTGTAAAGTAAAACATCCCATGTTGTTGAGAATCATTTACTGTGCTCCAATCTAAATTCGAAGATAATTGATCCCTAATACCTTGTAATCTATTAACCATTACAGTAACGTCCTTAAACCATTGTGATTTCAAATCTGGATCTGATAAGACAAGACTTGCAACTCTTGAACCATATCCAGGTGGTGAAGAATATATTGATCTAATAATTCTTTTCAACTGAGAATCTACAGCTTCCTTTACCCTTGGTTGGGAATGACTTGGTGCTACAATACTTAATGAACCAACTCTTTCACCATATAAGCCCATATTTTTCGCAAAAGATTGACATAAAAATAATCCATTATCCCAAACATATTTTGGGTTGATACATTTCCTTAATAAATATGCATCTTTAATTAGATCTCCTGACTCTAAACCTTGATAAGCCATATCTATTATTGGAATCATCTTTAATTCATTAATTGTATCAATAATTTTATCCCAATCTTCCCTTGTAGGATCCAACCCAGTTGGATTATGACAACATGCATGTAATATTATACAATGTGGTTCAGGTGATTTATCTTTACTTACCTTTTCTTTTAGGTCCTTTAACCAAGCATCTACTGTCAATTGACCTGATTTTACATCATAATATGAATAATAATGAATATCCCTAAATCCATTCTTATTAAAGATATTCATATGATTTGCCCAAGAAAAATTTGGAATCCAAACTTTTTTAGATATGAAAAGAGCTAAAAATTTAGCAGAAATAGCCAGAGCACCTGTACCACTCAAAGTTTGAGCAAAAGATATTCTATCATTGTCTAATAATTGTTTACCATAATTGTTTCTATTTCCTTCAATTAAATTATTTGTTGGGGAACATGATTCATCATAGAGAAAATGTTTCACATTTTCTGCATAGTCCTTCCCACCTTTAATAGGTAAATAAGATAAATTTTTATTCAAGCCTAATTCTCTATCTATCAATTTTTGCGCTTTGGCAATTGATGGGAAAGTTGTCACTTTACCATGATTATCTTTATATATCCCGACCGTTAAATTAACCTTTGAAGGATTTACATCATTATTAAATGTTTCGGTAAGGCCTAAAATCTTATCAGGAGGAGCAAGTTCTATCTGATTCAGTAACGAAAGTTTATTTGTTGTGTTCAAGTATCTGTGAAATTGTTTCAATGCAATTGTAGGATTACTCCCTTTAGTTGTTAAAATTTTCATTATCGTCATTATGAATAAATTTATTATTATTTTTCTATGCCTTATCAATAAACATAAATATAAATATATTCAATTTAGGGAAGATTAATTGTATCCAGATCTTGATAATACAAATATATATATATATATGTATACGAAAGAATGAATTATTAATTTCCGATGACTTGTGATGACCGTCACTTATGTAGAATTGGAGAAGTGAGGTGGAGAAATGAGTAAATTAAATCGAATCGGGTATTAGAATTATCCAGTTGGAGAGAACAAGTGAGAACATGTAAAAACAACAAGACAAAAGCTATCGAACATTTACCCCAACTTCCAATTCGTTTACAAACTTCTTAACTGGCTGCATCTCCAAGATTATCATATCGCTATCCCATCTCTCTACCTATCTGGTTCTTACTTGTTCCGAGGACTCAGCAAAGTGCACCATTAAGACCAGTTTTTGTGTGTTTCTGTGTGCGTGACTCTCGGCTACCTGCGATGTTTTGTTACTGGAATATCTTGAAAAATGATCGTTATAAAAGGTATAGTAGTTATATATTTTATTATGATAGACAGAGAGAGGCACAGAGATATATGGATCTGCTGCTAGGCAAGCTGAAGTAATATAGTACAAAAAGAAATATGTGATATAAATAAACTCAATTAAATAGGCGATCGAATGCGATACATTTAAAGAAGGCCCTGAAACAGTTTTTTCTTTACTTTTCCTCAATATGTCAAAGTCATGTAATGCGGCACATGGAGCAAATATAAACAAATACTGTATTTGGGACGGCTATTTAATATAATTGAGGAAATATATCGTACTGTGGAATGGAATCACACAGTATATCAATTGAAAGACTATGAATATTCTATCTTATATATATATATAATTGCATGAAACTTTGTGCTTCTTGACCACCCTAACGTCTATGGAACCTTTTGGTGAAATTATTACGTTTTTTAGAGGGTAATTTTAATCTTCTGAAATTGTTGCTAACCAAATTATATTTCTTCTTACGTGATGGTTTTTTCTTTTGACTAGATACTTGATCTTCATTATGATCACTTTCATCTTCACTTTCACTGAAAATAGTTTGATCTTCCATATCTAAATCCTTCATAATTTTTCTTAATTGCTTTTTCTTTAATTTGTGCATCCGTTTATGCAGGTTAATTTTAATTGTAGTAGAGCCTTCCATTTTGGTAGATTTATCCTCAAATCTTCTGATACGAAACTTTCTTCTTTTACCTTTAGGTATTATATTCCTATCCTCATCATTGGCGTCATTTGCAGATAAGTTGTCTTTACTATTGGTATTCTTGGTGTCCTGTTGTTGCTGTATATCATGTATCTGCTTTGGTACAAACGTCTTCGAGGCTTCGAGATATTCGTCTTCGAGATCTCTCAAGGATTTGGAAATATTTCTTTTCCATAACGATGGTGGTGTATTTGCTGAAGAATCAGAACTATTCTCCTGTATAGCACGAATTCTTCTCTTTTCATTTGGTGTACGAGGCCGTATTTGGACACTTAGATCAATAGGTAACTTTAATGGAGAATTAGGACCATATTTTTTCATCATTGGAATCATTAACTTATTCAAATCTGGTACCATGCTGCTAATAGTAGTAGAATCACTACTAGGCTCTGTCAAAGGTTGTATATCAATAGAATCCTCAATAAATGGTGAATCGTTGAAATCCATCCCAAAGATGTTATTTCCTACGATTGCCGCAGATTCACCATCGATACTCTGTTCTCCTAGATTGCCATTCATTTCATCAGGTATTTGTAACTTCCTTTTTACAGGGGATAAATTTAATTCAAATATACTGATAGATTTTCCGAATATTTGAGGGGTTGGCCCAATCTCAATAACTGTATTATTTTCATCATGTTTCACTATGGGACTTCTTATTTCTCTATGTTTTTGAGAATGCCTCTGTATCTTAGTCGCCTTTAAACTGGGGGTTTTGGTTTGTTTTCTCTTTAATTGTGAATATTGCTTATATTTGTATTGAATTGTTGGATTGGCGTTTATATCGGTTTTTGTTGGTGATCGATGTTGAATATTAATAAAATTATGTTCCCAGTCTTTGAGCTCTTTTCTTAAAGAGATCAGTTGGATATTCTTTGTCGACATAATGTAACCAGCTTCCAGTGTGCCTTTCTTTATGGGCTAATAATGGTGAAAATTAGAGGATATTTGTCCCTTTTTTAAACTCTAAGTTCTTTATATCCGTTCATATTATTGAACTTCTCTTACCTCATTGATTCTTTCTTCAAAAAATTTTGGCCTTACGCGTGAAATGAAAATAGGCGCCAAATGCCCTAACACAAGGAACTTGGACTAAAAAAGAAATATTGGATGTCTTCTTTATATGTATGTATAAACAGTTCTAGCTACTGAATATTCAGAAATATTGAGAAGATATATCATGATTTAATATTTTTTCAAAGCTTCTAGTGCAAAAATATGATTATGTGGGGAATGTGATATTATATTTTTAGATACACTATCCAATATACTTATCAATCCCGGATTGAGACTGGAGTATTTTTTACCAGTCATTTCAACTCTTCTATTTTCTACATATGACGAGTCGATGAAACTTTTAAGATCTTCTGACTCCCGGGAATTATATAGCATAAATATACTTCGTAGAAGTAATAGCTGGCGATATTCACTTTTATATATTTAATAGAAGAGGGACGAATGGTATATTCTTTAAAACTACCAAAAGGTCAAGCAAGACAAGATGTTCAGAAATTTGTCCTTTAACTGAAAATTGGTTGAATTTCACATTAGAGTGTTATGTATGTAAGAAAAAAATAATTAAAAAACAAAATATATCTAATTTGGGCAGTTTTATGCCCATTCTTGGTACAGATATGTATGAATATGTATATATATATATATCATAAATTTCTCATGTTATGTATATGTGCAAATGATTGAATGTTAGTTGTTATTGTTTTTTTTGATTCTTTATCAGATTATTATTTTCTACTAGAAGTAGGAAAGAAAAATCTAAAAAGTTTCAGATTTCAAGATATCGAAATCATGGTCATCATCGAAATCATTACTGGTGATAAAGTTTTTCATATTATTATTTGACGTAAAATCATTAATATCGTTAAATGTAGAGGAAATGTTATTGTTGGCTGATACATTGTTAGACGTTTCTTCAAATAAATTCATGAAATTGTCTTGTTCATCCATTAGTTCTTCTAATGAAGGGGCAACATAAAGGTAGTTAGCATTGACCTTTTCAGTCTCCTTGTTAACTAGTTCAGCTTTGTTATTGTTTGTATAACGTGGTAAGAATTCCCAGATGGTGTTATATAGTTCATCCTCAGTGTCTAAAGTCAAGTTTGTGTCATCAGTAGTTGCTGACATTTCTTTATTTGTCGAACCCGGACTAACAGTAGTAGATGAATTTGAAAATAATTCAAAATCCATGTCAACATCTTGGATAATATCCATTTCATCATACATCTTTTGGAAATATGCATTTTCATCAACTCTATTGATTTTATCTGCAGATGATTTTATTGGAGCAGAAAATCTTCTTTGAAATTGATCAGCGGCTGATGTACTACTTGGTGTTGAAACCATAGTAGCACTTGGTGACACATCCAATGGAGAACGAGGAACGTCTTTACCTGACATCTTAGTATGTTTGGCTAAAGTCATAAGAGATGGAGTTTTCACATTAGAAGTCATTGGTGTCACTTCTTTTGAATTACTGTTAGAGACCATCAATAGAGGTAGATTCTTTCTAGTAACTCTTGTAGTTGGGATAGAATCGTGAATTAACGTTTCACCACTACCATTAGAAGTCGATCTATCGGTTTCATCACTTTCTTCGAAATTCAAAAATGCTAAATAATTCAACTCACCTCTTTGTTGTTTCGATGTAAGAGTCTTGTCATTAAGGTGATGATGTTTTTGTTGTTGCGATTGTTTTAATTCTTTCTTTGGAATGCTAATCGATTTAACTTTTTTCGAAGTTGTATGCAAAGTGGTAGAAGTGTTCTTCTGTTGTTGATGTTGTTCGTTGTTAGATGCAGATGTTAAAGAAGTAGAAGGAGAAGTGGAAGTATGTGTTTGAGAATTTGAATTCAAAGAAGTAGTTGCACTACCGGTTGGAGCGTTTCTCTTCCCAGGTCTTGGTCTTGGAGGTAAGATCCAACGTTTTGAAGTCTTAATGACCAAGTGGGGCGAACCATTCGAACTACCATTACTATTCTTCTTTGAGATCGAACTCTTTGGAATCAATGGAGTGAAATGTAGTTTCGAATTACTTGATGATGATGAATTATTAAAATTCTGTTGTTTTAAATTGGCTTGAGTAATAGCGGAAGGCATTATTATTATTGTGATAGTTGTAATAGAATATTAATTTTGTTAATGTTTATGTTTTTAATTTAATAAAACAGTAAGAATATGAGATAAACTTTTGAATAAATAAAATTTGGTTAATTTCCTTTTAAAATGGATAATAAATAGAATATGGGTTTTTTGTCTTTAGAAGAATAAAATGAGATTATAATTCGTCTGGCATAAAATAATAATTTTAGTTGTTAAATTAATTTTCCCTTAAAAATAAATAGTAAGAAAGTAATAACAAACAGTAATAAAAGTCAAAAAGCAGCAATTATTGAAAAAAGGGTAAATCAGTAAATTAAATTGAACGAAAAGTTAAGAAACTCGTCAATCTTATAAATGATTCAATTGGTAAAAAAGGGAAAATAAAATAAAAAAGTAGTTACTTGATTATTATTATTATTATTATTATTATTATTATCTCTCGATGTGTCTGTCTTTAGTAACGAGTCCTGTTATTATTTCTTTGTTTGAAATCTAATAAAGGGTACGGAGTTCACTACGCAGTTAGGCGAGAAAAAAATATAAAATGAAAAAGCGAGCAGCAAAAAGCAAAAAAAAAGTACTAGACGCAGGACAACAGAATAGTTAGTAGTAAGTTGTACTATTAGCTATTAGGAAGTAAAAAAAAGTGTTGATATTTCTTCTTTACTTTTTTTTTTTATTATTTTATTTTAATAAAAAAAATGAACTTTCCTGGCAGCAACAACAGTCAAATTGAGGAGCTACTACAGAAGAGGGGGTGTTTTTTTTTTTAAAGAAAAAAAAAGTTTAAAAAGTAGGAATGCGTGAAAAAATAGGAATTTTAACTAACACAAACGGGAAAAACAAACAAAGAATAATATTAATAAATAAATATTATTCGTACAAATCTTAGACTTAGCAGTTTAAGTATGTATGCTTTTTTAAAAGTACCGTGGATGTATAAAAGAATTAAACTTTCCGATTGTAATAAATAGGGAAAAGTTAATAACGATTAAACAAAGTAATAGTAATAATATATTGAATCTCTGAAATTATTAAAAGAGATATATGAATATATTAAAAATAAAATAAAAAAATGTGAAATTTTTTAATGAATATTAATTTTAAGGATAAATGATAGAATAAAAAGAGATTAAAACAAAATGTTAATGGTTTGTGTTTTCTTAATCTTTTTCTTGTTTACTATAGGGGGTGGGATGATAAAAGTTTGATATGTAAAATGTCTAATATAAATACAGTGTGAGTTCTTTTATGAATGTAGATATGTGTGTATGTAGACAAATGGTTTTAATGTAATAATCCCGATTATAGTGTGTTTTTTTTAATGGTTGAAGTTGATGTAAGTTAAATGGTTATTGGTGTAATGATGAGTATGTTTTTTAAAAAAAAAGTGAATCGATTACTTATTCTAATGACTCAAGAAATAAATAAAATTAAGATATAAAAGAAAAAAGGAGTTCCAAGATTTTATTGAAAGTCGTAACTAAAATAAATCAAATAAATCAAATATGTATATCTCTTGTGTTATATATATATTCGTTATTAAATTTAAAAGTAGAGTACTGACATTTTTTTTTTTAAATTTTAATCTTGGATCGTCTTACTTTTTTGTTAATTTCCATTAAGAAAGAGAGATATAGAAATGCATAACAATGTGACGAAAACCCTTGAAACAGAAAGAGTAAAAAAATTTAATTAAAAAGAAAAACACGTCGAAGGTTAAACTATTTTATTATAGTTACAGAATAGATATGCGGATATTATTTATTGTCATCACTCTTCAAGCGATAAATACGAAAAGAAAAATAAACTGAAAAAAAATATAACTGAAAAGAAAAGATGCATTCTACGGCGAGTTTACTGGTCCACTATCACACATTGCAATAAAAATAAGTGAAGAATAATTACGATGGAAAGAAGTCCCTTCTTTCCATCGTAATTATTTGCTTTTTCTACACAGATACATTAAAATATAACCATCTATCTATAGTTCGATATATCTAGTAACAGTAAATCAATATACTACGCAATTTCCTCGAGGGTGTTCATGTTCTTCTCATATACATTCACATATACATATATCTTTCACATTACAAGGATATCAAACATGATAATTAATTTACACTCATTATTTAGACTGAATATCCCTTAATGCCATGCTGTTGTTGGTGTTATTAGGAGGAAGGATTTCCTATTGTGTGCGTATGTGTAGATGCCAGAAAAGAAAGAAATCACAGTGTGTAATATATATTTACCAGCAAGATTAAAGAGATATACTTTCCCGTTCACAGCAATATCACAGAAAAGGTTGCTTACTACCCGTTTTCTCCACATATAATAGCAGTACAATAATATAAAATATAAAGTAAAACAAAAAGAGCATGCGACCCCACAGACAACTCCGTACCCATCCACATATTGCAATTTGGTTGTCTAAGACGTTAGGGAAAAAATGATTTATAGCCGGTACCTTAAATAGCTTTAGCATACGTTAAATATGTATATGTATCATCGTCACCTATACATTTTGAACGGGCCGCACAGAAAATTGTTTTTTTATTTTATTTTTTGTTGCTGCCATCCAAAGACCGACTAATTGGAAAAGTATAAATCGTACAGCAAAATATTGTGGTGCTTTTTACATATACGCTTTACATATGTTATACGTATGGAGGAGGGGAAGATATTGCAGAGGAATTCATGCACAATGCGAAATATTTGTTGTTGTTTTGTTTCGTATGTGGACATGTGTATATTTACAGACACACGCCTGTACAAAATGGAATGTAGATCTCTGTGGGCTTTTCAATAAGGACAAAGGTGAGAAGTGAAACAAACTACTTGTGCAAGTAGTACATAACAACAAATTTAAAAAGAGAAAAACAAGATAATTAAGTAAATCAGTTATTGTGAAAGGACAACAACAATATTTTGCTTGGTGATGGATGATTCCGTTTGTAATTGATTTTATTTTAAACAAACAAACAGAATACTGATTGTACGCGAGGCTCTCTGTGTCTGTGAAAGGAAGTAACACATACATATTATACTCCCTGATACATATACATGACAAGAACAAGACATATATTATCTCTTTTTGGAATTATTAAACGGACTTGAGGAAAGAAACAATAATAATATCTTAATAAATTATCTCTCTCATTGTGTATCCATTATTTCGTTTAATGGTACTTACCTATATTATTTTAATATTAGTGTAGCGGGGCTATTGTTTTTATTAGTTTCTCTCTCATCCTAAAATATGTCACCATTATTCTATTCTATTTAATCTCTCCTCTACCTATTGTTATGCTTAGTAACGTATATACATTTTCAAATTATAAAAATTTTGAACTGGTGACGGTCGATATTACTAGATCATCCTCATCACCTGAATATGGCGATAAAGAATAATAAAAAGAAAGAAAAGAGAGTTGATAACAGCCGAAGTACCGCAACATAATACTAACTCTCTCATTAGCATCATAAACATCTCAAAGCAAGCGGGAGAAACTTATTGCTAGATAACTAACGAATATATATTTATATATGTATAAAGCAAGGAATACCGAGATATCGCTTAACGAGGGACAAAGAGACAGAGAAAGTTCCCTAGAGAATCAAATATAAATAAATACTTGGTTGGTCAATACATAACATTATGTAGACCATACATACATAATGTATGTATAAAAAATTTGTTATCCGGTCATCTCGTTATCACCCCACAATGTTACTCCTTGAAAAGTTGGTCAATTAAATAGAAGAAGAACATGAAAAAATGGGGCAATGGTACAACTAGTTGTGGGGGTCCTTCAGTGTCATGCACTACTATAATATATTACCTATAAGCCCGCTGTCATTTAATCTTACATGTTTTTGTTTTTTGGCCGTTCATGCGAAATAGACCGAAATAAAATTAATATTTTTTCAATTTTATTATTATACTTTCTTTCCAATAAACGGAGGAAGGACAATTCTCTCCATACACGGAAAATGCGTGATATTCGGATATGAAAACTATAATTCTTTTTTTTTACTTCCATCCGCCCTTATTTATTACTATTACTATTTTGGCACTGGGACAAAATGAAAAAGTATAATGCGCAATAATAATAAAAGATATTGCAGGAGGGTTGGTCTCAGTCTATTTAGTGCTCTCAGGTGAAAGAGAGAAGTAGTTGTTTGCTGTTTTAATAGCCAACTTTCCTAAGAAATATCACACTGCTTGTGTATTTCTTTGTCATCATTAGCGGTTTGCGGCCAGATCATACTCATTAATTATTACTTATTTTTTTGTTTTTTTCGTTTGGATCAAATTTTCTTTTTGACCCCATTTTTTTTTTTTTTTTTGCATGACCTTGGGACGGGAGAAATAAATTTAGTTGCACTTACAGTAAAATTAAATTCTCTTCTCGTTTGTTTCGTAAATTAAACTTTTGTATGTGCTCCTTAAAACCTTATTTTTCATACATATTTCAATTTCAATTTCAATTTCTATTTCAATTTCTATTTCAATTTCCATTTTTATTGGCATTTTGTAACTGTGATATCACCAGGGTGTAAGGATGTTGCTACCCATTTTGAATCAATATTATTTTTGACTCCTCGAATGGCTCTATCATTTTGGTAACGTTGTCCATTGACACGAACCGCATTCTCAGTATCTTCTCCTCTTCCTCATTACAAAAAATTACACTGAGCGACAAAGAGAAATTCCGCTATTACTGTGTTTGTTCACCCCGTCCCCCTCCTTTGACCCCGCAGTTAAATGAAATTAAAACAACAACAGCACCATACCTATATAAAATTTGATTATTTTACTACTAGTTCTGTAGTTCTTTTTAACTTGTTTTGTATTACCAGGGAGAGAACTTTACTGCAAGACTATGTAATGATAATTTATTGTTCTGATTTTCCTTGAAGTTTGTACAAAGTGAAGAATGCTTATCATTACTATTGACCGTTGGACTTTTCTTTTTCCATCCATATACAGAGACGCACTCATTAAAAATGTATTATCTCTTTTTGTTTCATTTTATCTTGCGATGACTTAAATAAATAAAAAAAGAACAAGAAAAATAGACGCGATTTCTCCTTGTCATCAGAGTATTGTTAACACTGGTGTTGTCCTGAAATGGAGTTACTTGATTATAGAATTATTATTTGCTCCACTTGAATCATTTGGCCATTGGCGATTTAATCTCCGTAAGGGAGAGACGAGGGGCGATAAAATATGTATACCGGTGGGATTTTACATATTTTATTAGCTGAATGTAGTTAGAAATATCAACGACAATAAAAAAGACAGGGATCTTATATATTTTTCAAGATGGACGAGTTGAGTTATATCGATGAAACCATAGTAGAAAAAATTGGTACTTTGAACCCTGTTTTCTTTTCCTGAAATTGGTAATATTCTAATATAACTATCTCTTTTAAGAAAAGAAAACAGCATGTATTGTGTGTGTGTGTGTGTGTGTGTATAATAGTATATTGTTTATTTGTTAACATCATAACGTTATTATATCACATTGATGCTAATTAGAGTGTGATATCACCTCAATAATCTTGATTTTATATTTTGTATAGCTTTAACTATGTATATATATATATATATATTATCTTGTGGGGTAATAATCATACAGTCAGAAAAGACAATTGTCTATTGTAAAATAAAATAAATAGGAGGGTATTGTCTAGTCGATGATAATTATAAATATGTTGATGTATGTATATCGGTGTTTAGCCTATGAACTGCAGTAGTAACTGAGAGAAATGTTAGATATCCTACATTTGAGTGAATATAAATAAATTATCTATACAATAGCCCAAGTTTAACTCTCACAAGTCGTGGGCTCCGAGGTTCATTCCTCCTCATCATCATCATCATCATCATCATCATCATCATCTCTCTTCCTTCCTTTCTACGATTAAAACACAAGAGAGATACAATACTAATCTTATTTATATTGTATTAATTATTCTTCACTAAAGGTGTTTGAGAAAAATTACCACATGCTGACAGCAAAGTTATATCATAATGAAAAGATCACCTCTACATGTAGTAGTAGTAAATATATATTGAACAGATGCACCTCATTTTTAGATAATGATGAAACGATACTAATACTGAATCGTAGTCTCGAAGTTTGTTCCAATAAGTATTGTAAAAACTGATATTACATCAACTATTAAAGCCCGTCCACGTATTATTTACTCTCTTCCCTTGTCTTTTTCAGTTTTCTTCACTTATCTAGTTATTGTTGTTATTTCTTTCTTTTTTCTGTCTCTCTGCCTCGAGGTTCTCCGTATTCCGCTTATTACGGCATTAATATCAAGCTGTCATTTTCGCTGACATCAACCTGAACAAATATAGTGCATGCAAAAAAATTTGTTACCTCATCGATACCTTTTTCCAGTTAATGATAGGAGTACTTCCCCCTCTCAATTTGATCCCTGCAGTTTCGACATCGACATTCTAAGTTGGTCCAGTAATTACTCAAAGTTCCAGGTATTATCATGTTTCTCTCGAATAAAAATATTTCGTGTCACTCACATAAACATTCAGAGTTTCCTATGTTCTCATAATTTTTCGCAATTAAGCACTTTGACGGCACAAAGGAAAAAAATAATTGGAAAAAGTGGAAAAATACTCGTTGGTGCGATGGACAGGACTCGGTCTCTGCAGGTTACTGAAACAATTTTTTTTTTTATTAGTTCTTACTTGGTTTTGCTGAGCTGCTGCTGCTTATCATATTGGTTTATTAACATTGGGACCGATGAGCTTGGTTTCATTAAGGTCCCTTTTATTCAAACTTTCAAAGTTGTTTAATTTTGTAAGTAATTTGAAGAGACCGTAGATAATTTTGTTTGGTTAGTGAAGTATTATCTAAAAAAAGAAAGTTTGATATCATTAAACTCATCATCATCATCGTTATCATCGTCATTATAGATTCTTTCGTTCGTTTATTAATATGCCTTTAATTTTACTATCTGGTTTCCCATCTAGTGGTATGACTACCATTGCTGAGAGATTGGTTACATTATTACAAGAACAAATCGATAATACACCAGCATTACAACAGAAACATTACTCGATTGTTGTACATAGTGATGAGTCTCTGGGGATAACGCATAACGATTATAAGACCTCTCAGGATGAAAGAAAATTACGTTCAAGGATCACATCTGCGGTGAGAAGAGATCTCAGTAAAAATAAGATTGTTATTGTGGATTCATTGAATTACATTAAAGGTTTTAGATACCAATTACATTGTGAAGTGAAAAACATCGGAACTTCCTTCTGCTTGATACAGACTATGTGTCCAGTGGATACAGTGAAGGAATGGAATGCAAATAACAAATTACCTTGGGATGAATCTCTATTGATGGAATTGATTCAAAGGTATGAAGAACCTAATTCTCAGAATCGTTGGGATTCTCCTTTATTCCCAGTTTTCACCCCGACAGATAAGATTGATACTTTGTTTCCAGAAATCTCTACAATCGTCTTCCAATTATCTAAGAATGGTAGTGGTGCTTCAATAAATAATGGTGCTTCTAATGATAGTTCAGTGACTGGGTTAGCAAGACCTACTAGTGCCACTGTGCTAAAACCAGCCCAAAAATCGAATTATTTACAAATTTTAGATAATGAAACTTCACAAGTTGTAAAATTAATTGTGAACACAATTAAATCAAACGAATCCATTGGTGGTTCATCTCAAGGTGTTAGGTTGTTAGTGAACGGGACAGATATTGATGAGCCTGGTTGTTATTATATTGATCTTCCACTATACAATTTAACATTACCAAAATTGCAAAGATTAAAGAGACAATTTGTTATGTTATACAAATTAAGAAATCTGGAAACTGACAGAATTGTTCCATTATTCACCGATTATTTGAATAAACAATTTAACGAATAATCTAAGTTATATTTGAACATGGACATAGATAAATATATATATAATCGATTGATTAATTGATAGCGATATATACTCCTCTAAACTCTGGTATTCTTATCTTTAAGTATATTTCATCTCTTGAACATTTTTAAAAGATGACTTCCAAGTTTATTTGTTTTTTGCTCACTTAGAAGATTGCGCTCCATAATTTTTCATTAACAAGGGAGGAAAAGAAGTTCATCTCGACAAAGTGAAAAATTCCAGTATTATTAATATATAATTCATATATAAAAAGGCAGAAATATACTAAGTAACATACATTAATAAGCAAAGAAATCCCACTCATCAGTTGTTCAGATTAAAAAGAACCAAATCACTGATATATAGCCCAATCTTTAAGAAAAAATGTCAAAATTCATAAAGTCCAGCACATCCAAATACAAGTTTGGTGCTCATATGTCCACAGCTGGTGGTGTCTCCAATTCTGTAATGCATGCTTTCACTACCGGTTGTAATTCGTTTGCTTTATTCCTTAAATCACCTAGAAAATGGGTATCTCCACAATATACACCTGAGGAGATTGAAAAGTTTAAAAAATTTGTTAAAGAATATAAATATGATCCAATGACTGATATTTTACCTCATGGCCAATATTTCATTAACTTAGCAAACCCTGATGAAGAAAAGGCATTAAAAAGTTACGATTCCTTTATCGATGACCTTAAGAGATGCGAATCCCTAGGTATTGGTCTATACAATTTGCATCCCGGTTCATCTTTAAAAGGTGATCATCCAACACAGCTGAAACAATTGGCATCATACCTAAATAAAGCTATAAAAGAAACAGAATTCGTAACTGTCTTGCTTGAAAACATGGCAGGAACTGGGAACCTTGTAGGTAGTAACCTTGAGGATCTACATACTGTTATAGATCTTATAGATGACAAATCAAGAATAGGTGTATGTGTCGACACATGTCACACTTTTGCAGCAGGTTATGATATATCAACACTAGCCGATTTCCAGAAATTTTGGGATGATTTTGACGAAATAGTTGGTTTGAAATATTTGAAAGCAATGCATTTGAATGATTCTAAGGCTCCACTTGGTGCAAATAGAGATCTTCATGAGAAATTGGGTCAAGGTTACCTAACGTTGAAATTTTTCCATATTTTGGCAACACATTTTGAATTTTTACAAAAGATTCCTATTGTATTAGAAACACCCCAAGATAACGACGATGGGTACGGTGAAGAAATTAAGTTGTTAGAATGGTTAGAGACCGTCCCTGAAGATTCAAAACTTGATGATAACAAAGAATTTACAGAGAAGTTTACATCTTTACAAAAAGCAGGTGAAAAGAGTAGAAAGGAACAAATGACCAAGTTTGAAGCTAAACAGAAAAAACCAAAGAGACAAGCTGAATCTGATATTATGAGTCAAATGAAAAAGAAAATTAGAAAATGAGAATTCTCAAGCTTTCGTAACATATAGTTGAATTGAGAACATACTACTATGTTTGTATATATATACATATTATTTGTATATGGTAAACTTTCAAAATAATGATAAGTTTGTATCATATAAAAATCATATAGTAGTCACTTTCTATAGTTATTATACCTTCTATAGAAATTCCAATTGGTAAGTGGATCATAATATATTCTTATATATCATATAAAGATATTTAAATATGGATGGCTAGGCTTATTTATTACGGTAACCGGTAAAAATTATATGCTGGATTTCCACTTAAAAAAAAGATGTAAGATATAGCAAGCGTTGCGTAAATCATTAAAAATAGAAGAATACATTGTTTCTTTAAAGAAAGAGAACACCACTAATTGCATATATCAACTAGTAAAATACTCGATTTGCTGGATTTGCTTTTTAACTAATATATTTTATATCGTGAGGAGTTGTTCAAACTATTATTTTCTTATTTAATTTATTGTTGAACGTCGTTTCCAAATGAATTTTGCATTGTAAAGCTCGGAATATTCACCCATTGTTTATTTTATAATCACCGAGTTCATTTATTTGATAATTACCCCTTTTAAAGATAGAATTTTTATTAGTTGTCCCAAAGTTTACTACTTTTAATACTTTCAATCACAACAGAATAACATAACTTATATTACTATTGAAGATGAAACCTTCAGAAAGTGGTCGCACCAATAACCCCAAAACACCAAAATTAAATCAAGAGGAGTTTGGACTTCCTCCTAATATATTTCAAAATTCAAATGCTGCCACTCTTGATCCACTAGGAACAATTAACACAGATCCCATGTCAAATCTACAACAAGAATCTGAAGCTCCGATAACTAAGACTCCGTTGACTCTGAATATACCTACGTTTGACACAATTAATGCATTACCTACCCCTATGACATATACGCCTTTATCTCCAAATCTACTATCGTCAATGTCTCCAACTATTCAAATGCAACAACAACCATTTCAACAGTTGAACATTAAAAAGAGAAGGAATAATAATAATCTAAATAGCATAAATGGAATCAACACCTTCAAATCACATTTTAATGAAATACGGAATTCAAAAGAATTAGATCAAGTGAAAAATATTGCAACCTCTAATCGTGTGGTATCAGAATTGATCCCACCCCCATCATTATCACCTCAACGTATCGTTTCTCTTCCTACAGTTAATGAAGAAGATACTACTTATGAAGAAGCTGAGAAAGTGAAGTTAGAGAAAGAAGAAAATGAGTTCTCTAGTGAGGAGAATATTTTAAATGGGTATTTACTTCATGATATGTCCCGAGTAAGGCAGTGGAAAAAAGTTAAACATATTGGGACAGGAAATTTCAGTTTTGTAACGTTATATGAGTCCCTAGACGAGTTTGATAAATATTATCACCAAGTGGCAGTAAAGAAAATAAAGTATCCAGATAATATTCTGAATACAGGTGATGACACATTATCCAGATTAGAAAGTTCCTTGACAAGAGAATTAAGTGTCCTAAAGACATTAGATTATCCTTGTGTGGTTAAATTGTACGGGATTAACAACCCAATTTTCGTTGAACAGAAGAGACCTCTTACAACTTTATTGCAGGAAGGACATAAAGACATTCCATCCTGTGAATTTATTATGTCATATTGTAATGGTGGTGATCTACTGAAAGAATTAACAGAGTGTCAAGGTAATGTTCCTAGATGGTTGATTCAAAGAGTATATAGTGAGCTGGTGCTGGCTGTCAAATACTTACATGAAAACCTAATTATACATAGAGATTTAAAACTAGAAAACATATTATTGAGATATACTCTTGACGAAATAATTGGAATGAGGAATACTCCTAGTTACTATAAGCAAAATATGATTGAATTGGGCGATTTTGGTTTATGTAAGAAAATTGAACCAGGAGAACTTTGCACGGCACGTTGTGGTTCTGAGGATTATGTTTCACCGGAGATATTGATGGGTATACCTTATAATGGTCATCTAACAGATACGTGGGCATTAGGTGTTATATTGTACGCACTTTTGGAGGATCGATTACCGTTTGATGCTCCTCCGAATGCCAATCAGCGGCAACGGAGCAGGCCCGTTGCCCATAGAATAGCCAGGTTTGAATGGCGATGGAGTAAAACATTAGAAGAAAACGGTCTTGATTCGGCCAAAGATATTGTAAAGAACACATTAACTAGGAAGAATCAACGGTGGAATATTCAGCAGATGTATGATTCTGAATATATCCAGGAGGTTATTACTACTTTATGCTTTTAATACTTCTCTTTAACATGATACAGACTGTTAGGTTTAACATGTCAACAATATCTCAGTTCATCTTTCTATTTAATGCATTGTAATCTTGATTACCAAAACATGTACTTTTCAAATTTATATATTTATCATTGTAATGAACATTTAATGGTATATATTTGTTACGAGCGATATCACTATTGATGTTTTGTTTACCAATTATGTGGTATTTTGAAGTTTTCGAGAAATTAAAAAGCATTAAAATTCTTTCTAATTAGTTTTTTTTAAATTTGGGCAAACTGACCTAAATAAGAAAAAATATGTATATGTGATTTAAGAAGAATATTTAAAGTTTTACGTTAGTAGCAAATCACCAAACATCTTTAAGTAAGGTTAGTTTATTATTGTCTAATATCCTATCACATTGTAAATACAGTTTGGTTGATAGCAAGGTTTGTGAAAAAATTTGCCTTACACTTTAATGAAGGTGATAACTAAACTCTTAAACCACTGGCATTAAAAACGTAAGATAAAGAACATATCTAAACTTTCAGATAGTTGTACTTATTTTTTTTTAACTCTAGGCTTCTTAGGTCGCAAACCAATATTTGAGTCTTCCATTTTTTTTACGATGTTAATAAAAATAATAGTGACTATTAATAATTTACATAAGCTACGATATACTAGATAAGTAATATAGAAATATATTATATTTGAGAATTATAGAAAGATAAGGAATTCAAAAAAAAAAGATCTAAGACACTATATGTCTATTTTGACTCGGTGTCCTTCTCAGCTTCTTCATCTTCTTCTTCACCTTCTTTAGCTGACATCTTTGATTTTTCTAACAATTCTCTCATTGCTGGGTCCTTCATCATCTCTTCGAAGTTAATACCACCAGTTGGATCACCAGAACCACCAGAAAGACCGGAAAGTGCATTAGCCATAGCATTTTTATCTGAAGGGTTACCCATACCACCCATACCGCCCAACAATTGGCTTATGTCAAAGTTTCCACCGGCACCTCCCATACCTGCACCCATACCTGCACCCATACCTGCACCCATACCTGCGCCCATACCTGCGCCCATACCTGCACCAGCGAAGTCAATGTCGTTGTTGTCAGCATCCAATTCGTCTTGTTCGTCTTCGTCGACCCACTTATCGAAGTCTGTTTTGATATATTGGTACTTAACCTTTTCCTTTGTTAGACGTGGCCAATATTCAAGTCCCAAGTCCTTCTTATAGATCTTTAAAAAGTAATGTTGACCATTAGCAACCTTATGAAGAGTCTTATCTGGAATAATTTCCTTGAAGAAATCGATGTGAAGTTTATATTTACTTGCAGCTTCATTACCGACGTGACCCTTAGAATTAGCAGTAAGTTCAAAATAAGTTGGTTCAATCTTTAGAACTGGTTCTGAGCAATCAGTTATACCAATAGTGAGCAAAAGATAGTTTTTTTCTTCATCTTCCTCATCTGATCTTTGAGCCCATTTAACTTGTGGGACTAGTACTTTACCTTCAGTAGACATGACAAATTATTATTTTAGAGTTTCTTTGTAGGTGATTTAGCTATTTATTACAATCAGTTGAAAATTATTGGAACTTCAATTGAACCCCAAACTTAACGGTGTTCCTATTTAAAGATTACTCGCTCCTGTTTATATATATTTTGACCACCGATTCTCTCTCTTTCTCTCCCCTTGACACTTTCAATTTTCCCACCGCTCGCGTTTTCCACCTGAAAGCCTCTTCCGTTTGATTAGAGAAAAGAACCTTCCAGAAGGAAATAGAACCATTACCAATACATTAGTTCTTCAACTCAATGACAACCTATTTTAGCAATCGAACTGATATAATATTGTTTCACATATATAGACAGATATATCATTAAGTGACGGCTTCTAATGCTAGAACAAATGAATAAAATTTAGCCGCATTGAGTGCCATCCCTCCTTATCTCACTAAGAATTGTAAACTAAATAGTCAAGTTCTGACACACCTTGTTACTTATCAGGTTAAAGTCATTAGAATGAAACCTTTAGATTACACAGGAGATTAATTACTAAGGCGAACTATAGGTTAGATTAATCAAACACATGACAGATACCAACCTTAATATTTGACCTGTGCATTATAGATTTAACATAAACAACGAAAAAATGATCGTTGATCACGGCGTTGTTCGAGGTGTACCTTAATAATTAAGATACATATTTCTCAACTATATAGAACTACTCTCTTTAATTATTTCTTATTCTTTGTATATTCTTGTGTATTTGAGAAGTTATGATTTGGGAGGTTTTGGATACGTAATAATATCAAAAATGGTGTCATAGTTTCTAAACGAAAAATAAAACACCCAAAAAAAGGATTGTAATTCTTCGCTAACATTCAAGTAATACAAAATCGAGTCAATTGAACAAAAAGAGGTGGAATTGTTGAGAAGCTCTTGAAAGAAGTAACCAGAGCCAAAAAAAGAATTATCAAAAAATAAATGGACGAGTTGGGAATCGAACCCAAGACCTCTCCCATGCTAAGGGAGCGCGCTACCAACTACGCCACACGCCCAATTGTTTCTGAAGTTTTAAGATCATAGCTGAGGATTTGACTTAGTAAAAATTATAAGTTTGATGTAAGTCAGCATTCTCTTTGATTTATGTTTGATAGAAATTGTTGAATATGTAGCGGCAGCACTAAAAAGGCTAACTTTAGTTTAACCTATCTGAAGGAGAAGGCAGCTAATATAAGTAGAATTTTAGAGTGTACTGCACTGCCATATATATAATAACACTGTAAACATAAGTTTGAAATCGAGAAGATACGATTAGTATTTGAGGTGAAATTATCAGATATAGTTATAGATATTCAAATGTATAATCTTGTGTTTTATTTTATGTTATATAAAGTTGACAGAAATTAGGTGGAATCAAGATATCTAAAATGTCCTAATAAGAACTAAACATTTTATTAGGTAATAGTCGTTTAGGCCATAATCGTTTAGGAAATAAGTTCATTACATATCAATTGTTTAACCAACAATCGTTTAGATAACAAGAAGAAACGAATTATCGATAAAATAATAATATATATAAAGACAGAGAATTCTGAACTTACATTCGAAGTTAGAATCTATTCGTTCTATAAATTTAATATAATAATAAGAAACCACTCCCAAATAATCGGAAAGAATAACAAATTTATTTTGCTTTATTTTAACTATTTACATTTAAGTTGCTACTAAACCTTTTATCTGTACAATTAACAATGAATGAATCTAGATCTAACTCTACAATGCATTTTCAGCGCAGTAATATATCTTGTTTCATAAAGTAACATATTTTGTTATTTTGTTCCATGCTTTATCTAATCATAACCATATAATTAGAAAGATATCAAAGGGAAGTTTTGTAAAATAAATAGAAATAATTCGTTATAATCCCCCCCCCCCATTACACTCGTTTTTGTTTGCTGATTTAATTCATATCACCATATACTAGAACTTCTTATATTCTATTATCTACCAAATTGCACTTGGGATACCGAGTTCATTATTACTATACATTTTAACATTCTATCGACAACAAATATTTCGGAGTAGAAAAAGTATATCAAAATATATTCCAGTTGTTCAACTTTCTAAAAGATACCCCCTCCTTCAATAAATGTCCTAATGTCAATTGAGTTATAGCTGATAAGCAGTACTATATAAATAATCAATTGGTTGAATTCAGTACTCTCTTAGACTCCAGATAATAACTATCATCAGGCCTAACTCTATCATTATCCTTAAAATATAAGAACTAGTTAATACAGTTTAGAGGATCTGTATTACAATATTTTCACTCAAGTTCCAGTACCTCTTGAGCTGATTTTTTTGAATCAACACCCATTCTAAGAAAAATGCCGTACCTTCAGTTGAACACAATGCTTACGACTCCTTTAGGAAACTTTCAAACAGTGCTTTCGAATATGTGCCTTCCAATTAAATTGATACCCAGCATCTAATTTGCTCCACCAATTAACCGACCATGGGGTTTATTTTATTTTCTCTTCCTGTACTTGGATGAAGACTAAGGTACTCATGGGGAAGGAAACATTGTTAACCAATTGATTAAGGGTATCCCGCACTACCATCCAATATAGGGATTCTATTTTTAAGGCCCACTATATAATTTTCAGTAATTCGACAATCTCAGTGTAGGCTGTGTTGCTAATTCTCATTTCATTCGGAAGTCATCATTAATTTTTTTTCAATTCTAACTTGAGCGATGGCTGCTCCTTATATATATCCATCAAAAAGAATATGAAAAGAAGAGAGAAATTATGCTGGAACAATATGAACTCTAGGTGTTGATGCTATCATTATTTAAGAACAGCTATAAATATCAATTATAACCGCAAAACGAAATTGTATTATCCATTTGTTCTCCAATCATGTTTGAAATAAAACTGAACAAATGCCTGAAAACACATCTAGAAACACTTTCTTCAGAGAATATAACAACTGAACAACAAGAGCAAACTATTTCGAATGGTGAGATAAATCGATATATCGAACGAGAGAGTATACCAATGTCGTCCTTACTGAGTATATTTAATCTACATTGGCAGAACTGTCCTGAAATAACGATGAAGAACTTACTAACACCATTACATTTTAAATTCAAAGAGAAACGTAAACCTGGTGAGGGTTATTCGAAAGAATTTAAGGAACAATTAGATAAACTTCGATTAGTCGAACAGGAGAATGATTACCAAAGATTAGTGAATAGAGAAAAGGAAACCAACAGCTTGGTTCACGTCAAAGAAGGTGATGAACTTGATCTTTCTCCAGCTCAAATTAATAAACAAATAAAAGAACAAGTTACTACCATATTCAATATACTTTTAAGTGTGTTATCGGTCATATTTGCCATTTGGTACTGGACTGGTACTTCAATGAGAGTAGAAATCCAATATCGAATTCTTTTATGCCTCTTTTTTGGTATCCTGGTGCTAGTTGCAGAAGTTGTTGTATATAATAGTTACCTAAACAAGATCGACGATGCTAGAAAGAAAGAGAGAAGTAAAATAGAGAAAAAAAAAGTTATTAAAACATTATAGTTTGAATGATAGAGTTCTATATATTTTTATATATGCATACCACAAAAAATGATAAGATGAGATAACAATTTGAAGTAATAAATAATGGAAGTGAATAACACCATCCATAATAGCATCCACGAGTGTCTGTGCGTGTTTGCGTATGTGTATATGTGCGTGTATTCCATAACCCTACCTTTGAAGAATATCAGAAATAATTTATATGTTTATGTGCCAGTGTTCTCCGGAATTTGGAAATACCTTCTCTCCTTTCAATGCATGAGAACTCTAGATTCCACTGAATGGACCAATTTCATTGTCTGTTCTAGGAATGTCAAGGTGAGAATGGTATGAGGGGCAATTCTGAATACTTGTGCTTCAAAACCTTTGTATAATGCGCCAATCCCTTCAATTTTTACTGTCTTGACTAAACAATCTATCGGACCTTTATATTTATCGGTCTTTTGATTATATATTCTTGTTAAGATAACATCCCAAGGATTCATTACAACAGCAACACCAAGCCCAGCAACTGCACTTGATGTTAAATGCAATGCAGGACTATCTGACATAATATGATTTCTTAGTAGACCATGTTTTACAATATTGTAGATAGGTAATTGGACAGCGGAACCTGAAGCAGTTCTAATGACTGCGGCATCAACACCACGATATAAACCCAAAATACCTTCGGCCTTAAGAATTGTTTTAAACCCGTTCCATACACCTGTGTAATGTGTTTGATCACCTAATGCTACAGCTTTAGAAAAGGATTGCATTCTAGTCTTAATCAAAAATAAAGGGGAACCCACCACAGCACCAATTATACCGGAAGATGCACCAGATACCATGTTAATAGGAACATTTTGAACCTTATGAGAAGGACTATCTGGATAGAATGTCTTGTTTAGAATATTTCTAATTGGTTCATAGAAACCTAATCTAGAACCGTTCAAACCAATTTGATATACATATGCGGCAATTAAACCACGTTGACAACCTCTAATACCTTCATTCCTAAATATTACACTTATACCTTGTATAGGATTTTTATAAATATTTTGTGAGACAGCTGACATTTCACCTTGCAGTTGCATTCTGGTCTTAACAACTTCAATCGGATTTGTGAATGTCACTGCAAGACAGGCTGCCATACCACCTGCAGTGAACGAACCAACTTTACTTACTTTCTGGGCAGCCGTCTTCTTTAAGGGAGCCTTTTCAGGTTTATTTTGCTCTGACATAGTTCTATGATATACTCGTATTAGAGAGGAATGGGTACTCTTTATTTAACCTATATATTTAACGAATATTGGTCGAGGAATAACTACTATGTTAAGGAAATGAATTTTGCTTAAACGTTTTTAGTTACACAGTTATTCACCTTTATATATATAGACGTATATATGTTGCTCGAAACGGCTCTTTGGACGAATAAGATGGTCAGATTTTGATCTTACTACACCCTTACCTATGTCTTGCACGGTAACTTCTTAGAACAAATGCCAATCTTTCACTCATTAAAATGGCTCGATGATTCATCGATTATCAAATATTTTTCAATTTTCAATGAATCGCGCGACCTGATTTTCTTTCTTTTTTGGAAGACGTCAAACTGTATAGAGAGCGGTACCGGGGAATGCAACAATAGATGGACCTGCCACAATTTTTCAACCATGGACTCATCAGGTTAATCAAGTGAAGTGAGCAACCAAAACAATACACAAACGTCTTTGGGATCCAGTAGAAGGACGTAAGGTCTATGGCCTTCTAGTTGACATTGGAACAGAGACATATAAATAGTGAATGAATAGGAGATATACTTAGTGTAGAAACGTTTGGCACATATATATATATATAGAGAGAGATTTATCTAAAGTTGTTAAGGGTAGTACCACAATCGACGCATGAATAATTGTTTTCTCTTTGTAACCCCGTATTACTTGAATATTGCGTAAAATTTGTACTATTACAGACATTACATCGTAACGATAATGCTGACAAGTTTGCTACTATGTTTCTCCCTGGGGCACTTTCTTTACCATTGTTATTTGAGTTTGATGAACTTGTGCTCTTTGCATGTCTCCTCGATGAGGAATTACCCATCAGTCTCCCTATACTCGTAGCGGATATATTGTTTCTCGAACTCTTGTAAACTGTATTAGGACTAGTGGTGGGTTGAGCAATATTAATTATTTGCCCGTTTGGCGCCTGTAATAAATCATATTCCCCTGTGGGTACTAAATCTGAGCTAGATCTTGGAGTTGTTTCATCTGATCCAGACACTCCTGTTAGCTTCGTCTTGCTATTGGATTGTCTTTTCATGGTTGTTGAAGACTCTGATCTGTTTACATTACTGAAGCAATTCATTGATTTAGGACCTTCTTGTTTATCACTTTTACCATGAACTTCTTCGTCATATTGTTTTAGATCATTCAGAACTTTATTTCTTATCTTTGTTGAGATATCTGTTCTAAATACTCTTATTGTCCCTTGATTATCAGTTGTAATCAATATTGTTCCAATGGCTTTCACTACTTCTGCCGTGGTTCCTTGAGAAGACATAATAGATTGTCCACTTGCAGCTAATTTATTATCACGAATCGTATTCAATGTTAATTCACAGATAAAATCATTAGAAAGTGACAATACCTTCGAGGTCTCAATGGGAGCAATAAGAGATGTCGTCACTGGTGCATGATGAGCGTGGAAACAGCTATATCTCGCGTTCTTTACCACAGTATGGTGTCGACGATGATGTGATTGTGCCAGATTTCTCAATGAATCAAATATTTTGGAACGTCTCCGAACTCTTTTTTTATTCTGTGAAGATAATGATGACTCCACTTTATCATCACCATCATCATCACCATTTTCTAATAAATCGTCACCTACATCCATTGACCCCATTGATGATACGGGCGAAATATCTAGATGTGAGTCGTGACTTGTGTCAATTGTCGACATCGACTGGGATCGTTCTTTATCCATGTCGTTCGCGTCATTGGTTCTTAGTTTCCAACCATACAACCAATGATCGTCACTACTACATAAAACTGTTGACTCTCCATTTTTATCGAGATAAAAAGCTTGATGTTGCGATGACCCACTTTGGAAACCTTTCAAAAATTCCACAAGTTTTCGCTTTTCGATATCGAATATACGAATCCTAGAATCATTACTTGTTATCAAGAGCCTCAATGGTTCATTTATTGCACTTATTATTTGAATCCCTGTAATACGTGGCCCACTAGTATGCTTAGAAATTGAAAGAAACTCCGTATCTTTCCATTTTATCTCTTTATCAGACACATGAAAACTCAATACAGATTTCAACCCCTTTGTCAACAAAATGTGAATAAACCCATTAAAAGTACCAATAATTGTGTATTTCCCATCAAATTTGGAAATTTCGATTGAAGTAATAAGATCATGACAATCATATTCATAACTTACTTCGTTATCGATAATTGACCAAAGTCTACATTTATGATCAAGACAACCGGTTACGAAAAACCTATCATCTGTGGGATGAAATTTTGCACCTGTGACAAAATCTGCATGATGGAATGTTCTTAATGACTCTTTCCTTTCCAAATGCCATAGTTTAACAGTCTTATCCATAGATGCTGTCAATAGAAAATTATTTTTGGACCAATCCAGGTCCAGGACATCAAAAACATGTTCTTTAAATATCTTATAAGGTGTTTGATGAAAGACAGGTGCATACAGATTAGTAGAATCATTATTGTTACTATTACTTTCCATTGTATTATTTTCTAAATCAGCAATATGTTTTCCCACTTTCCCACTATTTAATGTGTTAAAAGTTGAAGAAGCAGCAATTTGTTTCATTCTTAACATTTTCTTTGCTCTTGATATTCTCATGGATTCATCCATATTATCCATTTCCCATCTTTCAACAGGGGAACTAATAACTTTCAAAATTTTAACCGTCCCATCTTTACTCCCTACTGCCATATATTTTCCATCTAAACTAAATTGTGTCTTCCAAATTGATCTCTTTAAACTATCCGAATTCGAGACATTAGAAGATATTGATCCTTTCCCTCTACTTCTTGTTTTCTTCAATGCATTGTTATTCACTGTTGGGTCATATGTCAGCTCAGGTTCATCAGAAGTATCCTTTAACTCTTGAGCTAAAAATAATCTATTAAACACATTGAAATCTATTTTTCTTGGTAAACATCTAATATAATTAGGTTTTTCTAGATATTCTTCAAATTGTTCTTTATCTATATCACCAAAACTCCACGGAATACCATTTGAAATATTTGTAGTAATTATATTGCTATCAGAACCATTATTTGTGACATTTTCTATCTGTTGCCTTATTTGTTCCAATGAATCAAGATATTCCCTAGGTGAATCCTTTAATTTCTTGTCAGGTTCAGGTGTTCTCTTCATTTTAAACTTCAACGGTTCAATATCTGCAGAAAACTCAATCCCGTTGTCCTCTTCATGTAGATCGATCGAGTCCCTAGATATATCTTGTGTGCTTTGAGTAACAGAAGTACTTGAAATATCATGATCTTTCTCTTTCTTACTATTCTTGGAACCACCTCTTTTTAATTTATTCCCATTGAATAAAATACTAGGCATACCAGTAACCTTTGATACAGGAGAACTAGGTTGATCTTTTGACATAATCAAAAATACACTTCACAATGGGTTCTGTTATGAAATTACAAAAAATCAAAATAAATCTGTTGATATAAGCCACCATTACTAATAGTATAATACTTTATACTTGAAATCCCTGCCTATATTAAAGTAGATATTTGGGGGGAGAGTTTAACTAAGCCTTGGCAAATCGCCGAATCACCTGTTTCACTTATTCCGAACGTTAAAAATAGAGTATATTAGAAATAAAAACAAAAAAACACTTCTTTCAAGATTAAATGTTTCTCTTCTTTCTTTCAAACCAGTAACATATGTTTTTTATTATTTGTTTAACTTGTCCAGTGTATAACTTTCTAAGCAGCACACGTCACTCCTGTTTATTAAGTCTGTTAAAACAGTTGAATGAACGATTCGACCCTTATAGTACATATTACAAAGTCTAATGATCAAAATTTAAACTACTGCTTATCTAGTTTATATATATCGATCGAATAACTGCGTATCCAGTCAAAATTAAGAAAGATGGAACTACTCTTACCCATATTTAAAGATCCTCATCCCTTCTCAAAAAACTCTTTACATTTCATCACGTAATGAAGAAACATTTCAAAGGTCTCATTGAAACACCTTGTATATTACTCTTACCACTCATTACATTTACGAGCTAACAAAAGAAGAACAACTTCTCTGTGCTATTGATTTCATAAGCCAAAGAAGCCAACAACGAGGAACCCTTCTTGTTTTCTATACTTTTATATATCTCTCTCTCACTCTTCAATAAATCAATTTAATTCTTCACCAATTTTTTTTTGTGAAAAATTCGTGAAAGTTTGTGAAATTCTTTTTTCTCAGAACAGACAAATAAGCAAACGAACAAGCCAGCAAGGAAAAAACAATTAGAGAGACAGTGCAACATGGATACATCGCTTAGTAAAACAAACTACCAGATTCATCACTAGGTCATAAGAGGAACTTTTGAATACGATCAATCTCTAAAGTGAGATTTGTTTATAAGTTGCGGAGACAAAATTTAAACGTATACAGAACTCTACTGTTTTTCTTAATATTAATTTATCAGCAAAGATAAGTGAATAACAAGTAACTCTAAGGATGTCTATTAAACCATTAGATTCATATATTAAGAACAGTGTGCGTGTCTTCGAAGCTAACCCTTCCGAGACCATCTTCACAATAACGTATAAACCTTCGAAGGAGGAGGAGAAGAAGGAGAATCATAAGAAGAACAGAAAACCATCTGTTTCATTCAAAACTCATAATAATCATCTGGATACAAATTATAAATTTGAAACTAACAAAAGTAAAGATGTATCTCGTCTTTTGAATGCATTAGGTCCAAGGGGTGTCTCTATCATTCCAAGTAAGATTGAAAGACAAGCTATGAAAAAGAAGACCATTAAGACCATTAATAAAGATGGTAATGTTACTAAAACAGTTAAACGTACAAAGAAATCAAAGATTGTCGATACAATTGGTATTAGTAGTTTAATTGTTAATTCAAAGGTTAAAGAATATAAACCTGAACAAAATACCCAATCGTCAACAAATACCGATAAGAATAACAAAAAGAAAGGTAATAATAAGAAGAATAAGAATAAGAAAAAGCGTTAGCCAGATAAGTCAATAACATAATCTCTTCCATTTTTATTTGATTATACTAGCATAACTATACAATAACGATATAATGTACTTCTATCTATGAATTAATAATATAACATTAATTATTTATAAAAAAAAAATGTTCGTAAGTAAGGCAATTTGTCACCAAATTTATCTTACTGTTTTCTAGAAAAGAAATGGAATATATGCATGTACTTAGATATATAGAAAATTAAAATCATATATATATCTGTGAATAAATGAATGTTTTGTCAATATGGGTGCTTCTTGCAAAAAAGAAAAATCAAAAACAACTTTCTATTTTCTACTTCTAGACTTCTTCTTCTTGGATTTTTTATTCTTCTTCTTTGGCTTCTTCTCAGGAATGCATCTCCGTTCAATAACCACACAGTCAATATTTGGAATATCTTGATTAATGGCTGAGCTGGAAGATAGTAATCCAGTTTCTTCGTCAATGTCAGACAATGGTCCATGAGGATATCCATACTCATTACTATTGTCATAATTGTTATGTACTCTATCATACGTTGATGATATTCTTTCATAATTCTCTAAGGTATGGCTTGCCCCGGGTAAAGAATTATCATTGGAATCAGGAATTTGAGGTACAAATGACCCATTTGGATACGCCGGTGGAAGTTCTTCACCCTTTTGTAAAATGGTATCCTTTTTAGCCTCATTCCCGTTATAAGATGGTGGAATACCAATTTCCCCATATATACTATTAAATGCGTATTTTTTAACATTAGCCTCAATAAAGACAAACCCAACTTGACCAAGGTTAACCTGCAATTCCACTTCATCACTCTCAGTGCAATCTTGTTCATTATGTGGATTGTGAACTCTCTGCAATTTTTCTGGCAATTCTACTTGCCTATTTTCAGACAATGAATTGCGAAGATCTACGTTATCTGGGTCTTCCAACAAACCATCAGTCGTGTACGTTCTTGTATACGAAGCATTAAAGGAACCAACACAAGGAAATAAATCGACATCCACATCTTCAGTGACATCCATTAATTTTTTACCATTGTGTGTTATAAAAATCGTCCCAGATTTATATTTATAACCAAATCCAACAACATCACCTTCTTCTAATTTTGGTAATAATGTAGATGCTTCAAATGGATTATTAATTCTTAGTTTACCGGTGGATTCATATGCAATTGAAAATTTAGACATACCTGGAATTCTAAAATATGGATATGGGACAGTACTTAGACCTATACTGAATATACTATTCGAATCAACCAAGTGTTTGTATATTTTTACTTCGAAATAAACTGCATCCTTTTTATTATAAGGTAACGGATAATTTAATACTGTTGAGGCACTCTGATTATATTTTGTAAATAGAATATCCAATTTGTCTTGTATCATAAAACTTGGTAAGAAATTTCCAATTTTGTCGATATTATCATTTATACTAGGTAGAAAGAAAAAAGCTTGAATACCTCTATCTTTAATAAACGTTGTATCACTAGGTTTTAAATAACTACCAAATTCATCCGTTATTGGAGGACTTAATTCTTGTAACTCTTTTGCACGCTTGTATAATTCTATTTCAAAGGATGACATTTTCTGGAAGGCTTCCACCTCTAATTCAGTTAATTTTGCAGGATCATCTAATTCAGTAGGGCTTGTAAAATCTGATCCTAATAAAATATTAGAATGCTTACCTGTAAATAATCTTCTAAATGGTCTATTAAGGTTTCTAATTCTGTTCCCATTCGTACCATTTGCCCTTTCTTCATCATAATCTGTTTCATCTCCACCACAGAACGTGACGTAAGTAGCTATAATCAAAAGTATAACCATTAATACAGCAAATGTTACAGACAATGATATGAGGAATGCTATACTTATTGTCTCTGTATCAGAATCCCCAGTGGGTGGAGTAGGAAGATTAGATTCATATGGTATAGTTGGATCAACAGCCATAACTGGCTGATCACTTGTTAAAATATGTGTTATAATACCATCAGGTACTATACGTGTCTGGATAAACATACTGTTAAAAAGTGGTATAAATATCTAAATAGTGATGTTGAAATGGAAATTGCTTATCTCTCCGTTTTTGTTTTTTATGTTGTAACTGTCTGTATATCTATATATAGTAGCAATAATAAGTGTACCTATCCTTTTTGACGTAATATATTTATATGCAATAGTGCTTCCCTATCAAATTAGAAGTTGTTTCGAAATATATATGTAAAATATTCTAAAATCATTTAATTACTAAGTTATTATGGGAGATATTTTCCTTAGCATAAGGTTATTCAATATGTTTTTTCTCCTCTTCTTCTTTCCTTTCACGAAGCGAAAGTGCTCGATACAGCCTCACTCAGTTTCTGCCATTTTCATTGATCAGTAAAGAAAAGATTGATAGAACATTCTGTTCAGACTTGAAGTCCTTCTTGAGAGAGAGGAACTTTATTTGTTTATGAATATCACATTTGATTAATTGGGACATACTAATGGGATCAATGAAAGCTAATCAGATTGACCGTATAACTCGACTATTATGTCAATAATTTTCGTTGTAATGATTAATTCTAATATTAGAAATGCAATAAGTATCTAGTTTTAAATAAATTTTAAATGTATATAGTAATGGATGAAGTGGGGTATTTTTTTAATCATCAGATTCGTCACTTTCATAGTCTCCAGAGACATCTGTCCATTCGATGTAATATTCCTGTACCATCTTTTTATAATTCTTCAAGAATAAAGGATCAAATGGGAAGTAACTTTGTAAATCTATGAATTGTTGTCTAGTAGCTAATGACCATGCTGAGTTAGCACCTCTCAAAGATGGGGAACTTTCTTTCTTTCCTGTTGAATTATCGACAGTGGCTTTCCCGATTATACCTCTTAGTCTTTCATTGTTGTTATTTTCAATGATGCTAAAACAATAGGCAATATCTTCATGTTGTGTTATCCTAGCAAACATTAACATAACGTTCTCGTTACAATATTTTAGTGGATTGAATTTAGAGATGATCATTCTTTGGAAAAATTTATCAAGTTCACATTCCCATGAACCATCAACGTCACGGAATAATGTACGTCTAAAACAAAAGATATAACACAAGGATTGAAATGCTGCATAGAAATGTTTAAATCTATCCATTCCGCCACCTTCATCCACTTCAGATTCTCTCTCGATTACATATCTGTTCAACCAAGATGTAAGATAACTTGCAACAAATATAATTTGTGTTCTAGATAGTTTTCTTGCACGAGCTATATATGAACCAAGGTATTGCAATGATTTGATTTTTTTCTCTGAAGTTTCATTAGGTGAAAATGAAATATCGATTAATGTGACTAAAAATGAATCCATTAGTTCAGGTTGTTGTTGTGATAACATAAACATGACATATTGAATCGATTTTGTAAAATATGTTGGTAACACATGTGTTTTGAACAATGTAGTTAAAATGTTGAATACAACGACACCATCACCAGACTCCATATTTTGTGGCGTTAATTCTTTAGCAATAGAACCACTCAATAAAGTTAAAATAGAATCGATTTTTGCAGTCAAATCTTTTATATTTAGAGATACTTCTTTGACGTACTCCTCATCATCTTCCAATGCATTCTCTTCTTCTGAATCAGAAGAACTGTCATCATCATCGTTGTTATTAGAAATATCATGGCTTACATCATCATTGTCAGAATCATCTAGACCAACATCGTCATCCTCATCGTCATCTTCAAGGCCGTCCTCTACATCATCATCCATTTCATCCAATTCATTTTGTAATTCGACATCTAAGGAGATAATCTTTTCAATAATCAAAGACCAAACTTGGAATCGTAGTTCTTTACAATATGTTGTTAACTGTAATAGATTAGATATATAATTAACCAAATTTGAAGTGGAATCATTTTTGTTTGGGAAGAATTTAGCAAGGTATGAATCCATGAAATTCATAGATGATGGAATCATCCGGAGAAAATATTGTAGTAATGTATGATGTGGTTTACATGTCTCAGGAGACAATGTGAAACTTGTTATCAGAGTCATTGCAATATCTTGCCACCATTTAGGAATACTTGAACATAAAATCTTAATAAAAATACAATATTTGCTTAAAGTAATGTCGGGAAGTTCCCACCATTTTTCAAAATTAATAATAGATTGTATTAAATGATTTGCTCTTGATGACTCTACTCTACTAACATTACCTGAAAGAGTATCCAATAAAATATTCATATTTTGTGGTCTCATTCTATCTGGATTTTTAGCAGGTAACGATAACCTATTAGCAATTTCATTAATCTTTGTATTATTTCTGTTATCGAGATCTTCTAGACCAGATTTGACAAACCTACCAAACATAGCAATAGTAAACTCATCTATATCTTGATTTTCTGTTGCTGAAGGTACAGTATGTAACGTAATATCATTGGAAAATTGTACTTTTCTCTTTTTGTTATCTGTAGGAGATGGTATATCTTGAGATACCCTCTTGTTGTTGTTCTCGAATGCCATCATCTTTATAAAGGAGATGATATAATTAAACTAAATGCAATGTAGAATGAAATAATATTAGCGAATGCCAAGGTATTAACAGGTTTAATTAACCAGGTGTAAAAAAAAAAAATCTATGAAACTAGGATAAAGTTGGAAAATAAAAATAAAACACAATAAAAACAAAGAATGTCTATACTAACTCATAAAGTAGATAATAAAGATCAACACTGAGTGCAAATCTTAACTCACAGAGAATAACGAGTCAGCGTACGTTTGTCCTTTGATCTTAGAACAAGGAGTGTAATAAATGTCTTTCTAATTCTTATATAATAATAATAGGAACTTTGTTATATTTTTTTAGAAGCCCTATATGTATACAATATCTCTATAAGTACTACCGATTGTAAACGATAATATCCTGAGGTTATCTCTCGTGTGATGTGTCTTGTGGTTAAATTGAACTAAAAATGTGCTCTCCACTTTTCAGATGACCTAATATATAATATTTAGCTCATCAAAAATATAAAAAGTTTTTTTTCCTTCGTTTTTGAAAATTTTCAAGAGGGTGTCAAAGGAATGAACGCAGCGGTCTTATTTCCATTTCAGTAGAGAGATGACGATGAGGATGTCTGGGTGTCTCCAACAATAATAACAAAAAAATATTTAGTAAGGAATCATTAAAATTATCTTTATTTTGGAAATTTTTTAAAGATCTAAGTAATACACGAATAAATATGGGTACATAGATTATCTGATACTCCTTCCCTGGACCATACTTGAACCTAATTGTTCGTTACCGACATAGGTCCAGCCACCGAATTGTTTCTGAACACTCTCACTCAGGAATTCATCGACAACACTATCGACTGGTTTCTCCTTTGTGAATTCTTGGTCGAAATTACTAGTGTCAGCTGCATTACTTACATGTGGCTTATATGGTGGAATATAACCCTTCATCCATAAACGTTTCCAAGACAATTGACTGAAGAATGGGTGATTCTTGATTTCATCAGCACCATTACGACCTAGTCTTCTGGTAGGATCCCTACTTAGCAATCCAATTAATAGATCCTTGGCATCCCTGTCGAATCCATCGGGGAACCTCAGTGGTTCTTGTAGAATCTTCTTGTACATCTTTGGTACATCTTCATCATAATAAGGAGGTAGACCAGTCAACATTTCGTATAACAGGACACCCAAAGTCCACCAATCAACCACTTTAGAGTAACCTTGGCCCAATAACAGTTCCGGAGCCAAATATTCCGGTGTACCACAGAAAGTATCGGTCTTATCCTCATCTTTCATGTTTAATTTACACAAACCGAAATCACAAAGGGCAATGTGACCTTGGTAATCTAGTAAGATATTTTCTGGTTTCAAATCACGGTAAATGACATCCAAATCATGTAATGTCTCAAGAGCACATAATAATTCAGCTGTGTAAAATCTTGAACGAGATAAATCGAATCTTCCTTCCTTTTGTAAATGGTAAAACAATTCACCACCATTGATGAAAGCTAACACAAAATATAATTTCTCCGGAGATTGGAAAGAAAACTTTAATGGAACAATAAATGGACAATCCACCCTTGCAAGGACAGTTCTTTCGGCTAAAGTATGTGTCACCTCTGATTTAGACACAATGTAAGATTTTCTAATCGCCTTTAAGGCGTATATCTTTTGGGTATCCTTCTTTCTCACTTGCATAACTTTACCAAATGAACCCTTACCTATTACTTTTAATAAATCAAAATCATCAATCGTAATTGGTTTATTCTTAGAAGGTTTATAATCAACACTTAAATTAATCTTACCAAACCCATTATCCAAAGTGACCCAATGGTGATTATATAATCTGATATTTGCAGCAGAATCAATCTGTAAATTAATTGGTAAATGGAAAGTATCCAAATGTATATCTTCATTCCAATTAATCTTTTCTAGCATACCTTTCAGTTTTTCATCGGATGCACTCATCTTTTGTTGCCATGTTTTTGAAGGTAACAGTATAGATGGAATTCTTGCAAAGACATCGACTTTCAAAAAGGTTAATTTTCTTGTAACATCAAAGGTAGATATCTTATTAAAGATAGGCTGTTCCATGGTCCCGTACTCTGGTTCAATTGTAGCCACTGTATTATCAAATTCAATAGTGAAATATAATAAGGGATTTAATTTATTTGAGCCTGGGAGTAAAATTGTTGCAGGGATAAACTTTGAAGATATTTCATCTGGTATTAGAGATTCATCTCCTGGACCTTGATTATTGATAGTAACACGAGACAACTGTGAAATCAATTGATCCACATTCACCGCATGAGGTTGAGAAGAATGCTGTTCCGCATGAGCTACTCCGGAATTCAATAATTTCGATAAAATCTGATTGTTAGCAGTGATTGGGAAAGGTAAAACAAACCCATCACCATTATAGACCTTGATAGTCATCACACCACTAGAAGAAGTCGACGTATTTGGTATGGGTTGGGAACCTGCGATATCCTGATGTTGATCAACATTTTCATTGATTTCAGGGCCACTATTACTGAACTGACTTAGCTCATCGGATAAATTGGTTGTAGAGGTAGCAGTCGACGAGGCATCTCTTGAAGAACGCATTGGAGCTATCACTGAAGGTGAATCATCAGTGATGGTCTCCTTACGAGACATATCCGAGTTCTTATGAGATGAGGCCTCTTCTTGCTTAGCGTCATTGTGGTGGAAAAATCCAGACGTGTGCTTGACTTCCTTTTCCTCCTTGGACTTCCCAAATTTGAACTTATTCTTCCAGGAATACATATTTGTGTGTATAATAGATTATCTAGTCCTTTGTGTATATGCGATTATCTTATCTAATCTAATTTCAATAAAAAAACAAAGCCCTAAATCTAACTAAAGTAATAAAAAATATTTGAGTTTTGAAAATGATTTCCAATGATTATTCGTTCTTATATCTATATTAGTCAAAACTCCACGCCTCTTAATTTGTTTTATTGTTCGAGATAATGAATGTTCTAGTTATTATCTTTTTTTTACTAATCTTTCTTACTATCGATCCAACACTTCCATTTTATAAATAATTATGCTCTTCACCATGAAAACACTTTTTTTTACCTTCGAACATACCGCGTTAAAGTTTCCGAACTATGATAGTGGTAGTTAGTACTTTCTTTGCACATGGAGAGGATGGAAAAGGGGCACAGCTTTTGGTATTAACTCTTGTAATTGATATTTGAATGGAAAGAGGGACCTCAACATGAAATAAGTTTGACCAGATTCATCTGATTCCAGTTGGATGAGGTCAGTGTACTAAAAAATATGGAAAATAAGTAAAATTAGTTAATTATAGCAATACATGTGTGTATAAATAATCTATATAAAAGGCATTAGAAGGAAATTTGGAGCAAAAAGACAAGATGAGATTTGTCTTAGTTTATGTACGGACAGTTGGTTCTTCAGTTCCAATGAATTCTTTGAATTTTAGGAATTGTACAACTGGCTTAATAGCACTTTGTAAGAAGACTTGAGCGTCTTGTTGATAAGTGTTCTTGTCATCAGAGTATTGTTCAATGTATAATCTGATAGTGGCACCAGAAGAACCTGTCCCTGAGAGTCTTAATACAACCCTAACACCATTAGATAACTTGAAAAACAAACCTTGATGATCTGATACTGAACCATCTAGATCAGTGTATGAGAAATCACCAGCTTCTGCTACAGTGACACCTGGCAAACCTGGGAATGCAGAGCCTACTGATTTTTTATCTTGAACAAAATCGTTCAATATATTAACCACTTTAGCGGCATCTTCGGAGGTAACACCTTCATAATCATAACGAGTGAAGAAAGTTCTACCATATTTCTCCCAGAATTCATTTTGAATGGTTTTAATGGAGGCGACCTTTTCTGGGTGACGTTTATTATAAAGAGCTAAAACATTTAACCATGCGACAATAGCCCAAAGACCATCTTTTTCTCTAATATGGTTTGAACCAGTACCAAATGATTCTTCACCACAAATGGAAAGTTTTTTAGCGTCAAACAAAGCACAGAAGAATTTCCAACCAGTTGGAACTTCATAACATTCTAAGTTGTGAGCTTTAGCGACTCTATCAATAGCGGCAGAAGTTGGGAAAGAACGAGCAAGACCATAAATACCTTGCTTGGCGAAATATGGAATCTCAGCGGCGTATTCTGCAATAATAGCGACGGAGTCACCTGGTGATACAAATGCTGGACCAGCACCATAAATCATGTTTCTGTCACCATCACCATCTGAAGCAGCACCGAACTGAATCTTTTCACTATCAACTCTATCGACTAAAGTTCTAGCATAAGTCAAGTTTGGATCTGGATGTAACCCACCAAAATCGGGTTGTGGATGCCAGTTTTGTAAGACTTCATCAGCTGGCAATTCGAATTCATCAACAAAGATAGCATGTCCGTAAGGACCAGTAATACCATTTAAGGAATCAAACAATAGTTTGAAGTTATTTTGAGCACGTTGTTCATGGATGAATTTCTTAATCAATGGGAAATCAAAGATTTCTTTCAAAAATTTCACGTAAGCATCTGTAGTGTCAATAATATCGACTAATAAAGGACCATATTGTTGATTTTCACCAATCTTAGCTAAATCCAAAGTTGGGAAATTAGAAATGGTCTTATAATGAGTCAATTTCTTAGAAACTTCCCAAATGGCGTTGGTGACAGATTCAGGAGCTGGACCACCATTGGCCAAGTTATATTTAATACCCAAATCATTACCTGGACCACCTGGATTGTGAGAAGCAGTCAAGATAATACCACCGGTGACAGGTTCCTTATAGGATCTGATTACATGAGAAGCAGCTGGAGTAGACAGTAAACCATTTTGACCAATGATCAATTTCTTCAAACCATTAGCGGCACTAATGGCAGCAATCTTATTTAAGACAACGTCATTATAGAAACGACCGTCACCACCAACCACTAAAGTAGCGTCTTTACTACCTTCTGGAATGGCGTCTAACATAGCTTGAATGAAGTTTTCAGTGTAGTGTGGTTCATTCATGAAGATTGCAGTCTTCTTACGAAGACCGGAAGTACCAGGTTTTTGATCCTGGTATGGTTTAGTAGCTATATTTTCAATGGCAAAGGACATATTAGTATAAATATAGTGAGATCTAATCTATGAGTATTTTTCTTTTCTTGTATCAAAAAACTTCAGGAATCCAAATAAAAGTTCTTTTTAAGGGGACAACTCTTATCAATGTATGCTTGTTTATATATTGTTTGTAAAATGAGAGATCTTAGATATTTTCCCTTAAAACAAAAACGAATAAGTAAAAAATTTAAGCAACAATAACAAACTTGAATAAGTAATCAGTATATGCAAAGCAATAAAGGGGGGGGAAGTGGGGTGCTTAATCTTATGTAAATGTTTCAATTGCAGATTCTCGAGGAAAATCAGTGAAAAATTTCAAAAAACAAAAACAAAAAATAAAGTCAAAGAGAAAGCCGGTCGTAATTCCTTTAGAGTGAAAAAGAGAGTATTATTACGTACGGAGAGGGGTAAAAAAGGGGAGGGGCAGGGGGTGATTATCTAACAGATATATATGGAGATAATATTTAAGGAAAGCTGCTGCTGCGACTGTCTTCTGTTATTAAGTTGGTTGTAGTGGGATCAAGAAAGGTTATAAAGAAGAAGTGGGGGTTGCAAGAAATAGAATGACATGAATTGAAATAATGGAAAATGGCACAAATGATGGGGTGGTCATGAAGGAACAGAGCATGAGGATATCTGATATTTTGGGAATATCTGGCTAACTTATATACGTCTTTCAATTATGTATATTGACAGATTGAAAAGGGTCGGAAGAGTTGATGGACCTCGGTAGGTTGGTCTTGTTTTGATCTATGCATTGGCTAGCGGAAAGGAGCGCTCCGTTGGTCGGAGCGCTCCTTTCCGGGAGGAACGCCCAATATACCTGTATTTTGAATTTTGGACCTTATATGTGAGTCTGATGTCGGAAGACAGTGGGGTGAAATATTTCTATTGTTTTGTGTCAGCGGTTAAATGCTAGGTGTTGTGTTTGGGTGACTAAATTGTTGAGGAATGATATTTTTTGTATTAGAGAGTGTGCTCTTCATACTTTATATATATATATATATATATATACATGGGTGCACGTGATTATTATATACAGGAATATATAATTTACTATTATTCTAGATAATAGTAGGTAATATTTTATTTTTACTCAAATTATATTATTCTCATCATAGAGTAGTATTGTAGTCATAACTCTCTCTTTATTTAAAACTGCTCATGAGATAAAATGACTCGAGAATATAAGCAAATTAGTATTACTTTTTTTTTTCTTTTTTCTTTACTAAGCGAATAACTTGGAAGCGTTGCCCTAATATAAAAGAGAGGGAACGCATCGCAATATGCAAAACATATATATTTAGATGCATGTGTATACAGCTATTATAAAAGTTGATATATTTTATATACAACAACAACAACAGCAAATATGGAATTTGTCGCATTACCAGGATACTTTAGTTCTTTTGAAAAGGAAAACTCCCCTGCACTAGATAGTACACTTGTTGATCACAACGTCCTTGTGAATTATAAAGATTGGAAATCATTATATGATGCTATCCCCGAGGATACTGAAGATACTCAATATAAACTATTACTATTAGCAAGACATGGACAAGGCTACCACAATTATTCGATGGAGAAGTATGGATTAAAACTATGGGATGACTACTGGTCCTTGTTGGAAGGGGATGAAGGTGGTTCATGGCTAGACTCAAGACTTACAGATTTGGGTAAACAACAAGTCTCCGAGACAGGGCGTACAGTGTTAGTCCCAATCGTGGACCAACTAGGGTTTCTACCTCATATTTTCTTCAATTCTCCAATGAGAAGATGTCTGGAGACATTTGCCTACTCATGGAACCATGTCTTTACAAAACACCCAGAGTTAATGTTCGACTCGAAGATAGTCACAAACAATGTAATCGAGAATCTGAGAGAGAACTTGGGGTCTCACACATGTGATAAGCGTGTGAACCACTCAGAGGCTGTCGGAGAGTACCAGAATTTCAAGACAACGTCAGGTAATACAGTGTCTTGGAAATATGAGGAGAATTACTCCGAACCAGATGCTCTATGGGAAGCAGACCACAGAGAGACACCCGATGAAATGGACATCAGAACACGCAAGGGTCTGGAACAGCTGTTTGCGCAAGCAGGTTCCCAGGATAAGTTCTTGTCCCTAACTTGCCACGAGGGAGTTATCAACAGTGTCCTGAGAAACCTGGAACATCCGGGGGTCCAGAAATTACAAACAGGTAAGACCGTTGCTGTCGTTGTCAAGGTCACCACAACTTTATAAACATAACATTCATCTTAAATTTCCAATAACATATAATATATAAATATCAATAAGTTTCACTGGTACCTTAGCAGGTAAAGGCAAGTAGCACTTCAATGTCCGCCAGCCGTATTATATAAGCACATCGCGCTTTAATCAGCGAACTGTCAAAATTAATTTCACCGGTATCGGCAAACCAGGGGTGGTGCCACCCTACGCCATTTTCTACGCATACAATGCTTTGGTATTCACTCAGACTCAGAACAACCACAGTTTCTCTCTCATTTAAACCTTTTGGAAAGGGACAAGAATAGGAAAGATGGGTCATCGTTAATCATTGAGCGATCGAGAGAGACTTGAGTTTTTCATAAGGAAGCCATACAGCAAGAGTAAACAACTCTCAAGAGCACTCGTTGGTGTCCACGGTTTTCCAAAGTGTTTATCTGGTCATTTTGCAACCTGCTTTCGATAATGGAAAGATAGGTATATATATATATATATAGGTAATACTTAAACTGAGAATCAATTAATATTTCATATCAGATAGACCGAAAAGTAAATACACATCGTTAAATTTTTCAATTCTTCATAAAGTAAAGCACAACAAGTATGATGAATGTTAGGACAGCCACTAGAGGCTGCGCTAGATATCCACAATATGTCTCATATGCTCAAAGGCATGCCCGTAATTTCTACCCAGCATTGCAACGTGCACAACCAATTCAACAACACGTTAACAATAATAACTTTAGTTGCCGTGCACGTTTATACACTCAGACCCATACTGTATTGAGACCAGCCGTTCAAGTCTCAGAACCACAATTATCTCATAACAAAAAAAATTATCGTACTGAAACTCCATCTGATACTACATTAGTAGGACTTACAGGTGGTCAAATCTTCCATGAAATGATGATTCGTAATAATGTCGACACTGTATTTGGTTACCCAGGTGGTGCCATCTTACCAGTATATGATGCCATTCACGAATCCAAAGCATTTAATTTTGTCTTACCAAAACATGAACAAGGGGCAGGTCATATGGCTGAAGGTTATGCCAGAGCCTCAGGAAAACCTGGTGTTGTCCTTGTGACTTCTGGACCAGGTGCTACAAATGTGGTGACTCCCCTAGCGGACGCCCTTTCAGATGGTATTCCATTAGTTGTATTCACTGGACAAGTAGCTACAAGTGCGATCGGCTCGGATGCATTTCAAGAAGCAGATGTTTTGGGGATCACTAGACCGTGCACAAAATGGAATGTTATGGTAAGGAACATAGAAGAATTACCACAACGTATTAATGAGGCCTTTAAGATTGCAACAAGTGGTAGACCAGGACCTGTTCTAGTAGATTTACCAAAGGATGTGACTGCGGGTATTCTAAGAAGTATGAAGAATGTGAAACCAATAGTACCTGATCTACAAGTCAGTCATACAATTAAGACCTTAGAGAGAGAATATACTCTTGAACGCTTAGCTAAAGCTGCAGAATTGATTAATTCAGCAAAGAAACCTGTATTTTTTGTTGGGGCAGGTATCCTGAACAATCCAGAGGGACCAAGATTATTAAAGGAATTGAGCAACAGAGCAAATATTCCAGTGATGACTACTCTTCAGGGGCTAGGATCATTTGACCAAGAAGATCCCAAATCACTGGATATGGTCGGTATGCATGGTAGTGCCGTGGCAAATATGGCTATGCAAAATGCAGATTTAGTTATTGCTGTAGGTGCTCGATTTGATGATCGTGTTACTGGTAATATTCAAAAATTTGCCCCAATGGCTCGTGAAGCTTCATTAACAGGTACCGGAGGTATCATTCAATTTGAGATTAACCCTAAGAACATAAACAAGGTTGTTCAAACGGATGTCGCAATCGAAGGTGACGCCGCAACTAATCTAGGAAGAGTCCTACCAATGGTATTCCCATTGAAGGAAAGAAAAGAATGGTTTGAACAAATTAAAGTCTGGAAAGAAAAATACCCTTATAGTTACATGAAAGAAACACCAGAGTCAAAGATAAAACCTCAAACTGTCATATCGAGATTGTCCAAGATTGCAAATGCCACAGGGAGAGAAGTTATCGTCACTACTGGTGTTGGGCAACATCAAATGTGGACTGCTCAACATTGGACGCGGAAGAATCCACGTACTTTTATCACATCAGGTGGTCTGGGAACTATGGGTTATGGTCTGCCATCAGCTATTGGTGCTCAAGTGGCAAAACCAAAAGCATTGGTTATTGATATAGATGGGGACGCTTCTTTCAACATGACCTTGAATGAATTAAGTTCAGCAGTACAAGCCCGTGTCCCTATTAAAGTCTTATTATTAAACAATGAAGAACAAGGTATGGTCACACAATGGCAATCCTTATTCTACCAAAACCGTTATTCCCACACACATCAATTGAACCCTAACTTTATAAAACTTGCCGAGGCGATGGGTCTAAAAGCCATGAATGTATCCAAATTAGCAGATCTAGATAGTTCCTTAGAAGAATTTGTCTCAACTCCTGGCCCTGTATTACTTGAAGTTGAGGTTGAGAAGAAAGTACCAGTACTACCAATGGTTCCATCAGGTAAAGGTTTAGACGAATTTATTAGTTTCATTGCTGATGTTGAAAATGAGCAAAACAGATTGCGCCATGAGCGTACTAACGGTGAATTCTAGAACTAGAATCCAAGAGGTCGACATTTTTGAAATGACTTAAGAAACAGTCTCCCCAAATATTTCATAGCATAATACATATTTACTAATAATTACGTACCAAATTTTTTCTTTTTGATTGAATTACTTCATAAAATTCTTTCCTAAGGGATACTAGAGTATTTATCCTTGATAGTATCATCGTTTTAAATTATTTAATTGATAACTGTCTATATATAGCGTACGTATTACAATTAGTTTAGTGACAAATTTCAATCGCGTTGTACGAAATGAGGCTATTTTGTTCGGAATAGGAGAAATCGCTTAGCTTTTTCGAATTTACAATGGTAATCAACCCTTTGACACACTTTATTACATATGCAACTGTTAAATTAGTTTACTTACTGCTATTTATCAACTCTTCTTAATTTGATACACAGTTTCTATTTTTAATACATCTACATTTTATTTCTCATTTACTAAACAAAACTAAACCTTATCTGAAAACTCCCAGTAATGGCAATTCTTAAGAGAGGTGCTCGTACCAAGACGGCACAGGCTCCAGAAAAGAGATCTGCTAAGATTAAGAAAGCTACCTTCGATGCAGGAAAGAAGAAAGAAGTAGGTGTATCTGATTTAACGTTACTTTCCAAAATTTCTGACGAGTCCATTAATCAAAATTTGAAAAAGAGATTCGAGAATGGTACTATTTATACTTACATTGGCCATGTGTTGATCAGTGTTAACCCTTTCCGTGATTTAGGTATTTATACTAAAGCTATCATGGACTCCTACAAAGGTAAGAATAGATTAGAAGTCCCACCTCATGTTTTTGCAATTGCTGAATCTATGTATTATAATATGAAATCATATAACGAAAACCAATGTGTCATTATTTCTGGTGAATCTGGTGCTGGTAAAACCGAAGCTGCCAAGAAGATCATGGAATACATTGCCGAGTCGTCTACCGGTCATTCAGAATCTATTGGTAAGATTAAAGATATGGTTCTTGCTACGAACCCATTGTTGGAAGCTTTCGGTTGTGCAAAGACATTGAGAAACAATAATTCATCAAGACATGGTAAATATTTAGAAATTAGATTTAATTCTCAATTTGAGCCATGCGCTGGTAACATTACCAATTACTTGTTAGAGAAACAAAGAGTTGTCAGTCAAATTAAAGGTGAAAGAAATTTTCATATTTTCTATCAATTTAGTAAAGGTGCATCCGAAAATTACAGAAAGATATTTGGTGTACAAAAACCTGAACAATATGTTTACACTTCGAGATCCGGTTGTACATCAGTAGATAATATGGATGACGTGGCGGAGTTCCAAGAGACATTGAAGGCTATGAATGTTATTGGTTTACCTCAGGAGGAACAGGATCAAATATTTAGAATGTTGGCAGCTATCCTATGGATAGGTAACATTTCGTTCGAGGAAAACGAAGAAGGTAACGCTCAAGTTAGAGATACATCTGTTACTGATTTTGTTGCTTATTTGTTGCAAGTTGATGCACAAATTCTTATCAAATCCTTAGTGGAAAGAATTATGGAAACAAGTCATGGTATGAAGAGAGGTTCAGTTTATCATGTTCCATTAAATGTCGTCCAAGCCAATGCTGTTAGAGATGCTCTAGCTAAAGGTATATACAACAATCTTTTTGATTGGATTGTTGATAGAGTCAACGTTTCATTACAAGCATTTTCTGGAGCTGATAAATCTATTGGTATTCTAGATATCTATGGTTTTGAAATTTTTGAACACAATTCATTTGAACAAATTTGTATCAATTACGTCAATGAAAAATTACAACAAATTTTCATTCAATTAACTCTAAAATCTGAGCAAGAGACTTACGAAAGAGAACAGATCCAATGGACACCAATTAAATATTTCGATAATAAGGTTGTCTGTGAGTTGATTGAATCTAAGAGACCGCCTGGTATCTTTGCAGCAATGAATGATTCGATTGCTACTGCACATGCCGATTCAGACGCTGCTGATCAAGCTTTTGCCCAACGTCTAAATTTGTTCTCGTCTAACCCACATTTTGAGTTAAGACAAAACAAGTTTGTTATCAAGCATTATGCTGGTGATGTTACATACGACGTCATCGGTATTACTGATAAAAATAAAGATCAATTACAGAAGGATCTAGTTGAATTGATGGGAACAACCCAAAACGAATTTGTTAAAATTATTTTCCCAGATAATGTCGATAGAGAGTCAAAGAGAAGACCACCAACTGCTGGTGATAAGATTATTACGAGTGCCAATGAACTAGTTGAAACTATTTCAAAGGCCTCACCTTCCTATATCAGAACAATTAAGCCAAATCAAACTAAATCTCCAAATGATTATGATGACCACCAAGTTTTACATCAAGTCAAGTACCTAGGTTTACAAGAGAATGTTCGTATTAGAAGAGCTGGTTTTGCTTACAGACAAACCTTTGACAAATTTGTTGAGAGGTTTTATTTATTGTCACCTCAATGTTCATATGCTGGTGATTACACTTGGCAAGGTGAAACTCTAGATGCTGTCAAACATATTCTTGTAGACGCATCTATTCCTGAAAAGGAATACCAATTAGGTGTTACTTGTGTCTTCATTAAAACACCAGAGACACTTTTTGCCCTTGAACACATGAGAGACAAGTATTGGTATAATATGGCTGCTAGAATCCAAAGAGCCTGGAGAAGATATTTACAAAGAAGAATTGATGCTGCTATTAAAATCCAGCGTGTTATCAGAGAAAGGAAAGGTGGTAACAAGTATGAGAAATTACGTGATTATGGTACAAAGTTGTTGAATAATCAAAAAGAAAGAAGATCTATGTCCTTGCTTGGTTATAGAGCCTTTATGGGTGATTACTTATCGTGTAACGAATCGAAGACCAAGGGCTCATATATCAAAAGACAAGCCGGAATTAAGGACAGAGTTGTATTTTCCATCAAAGGTGAACAGTTGCTAACTAAATTCGGGAGATCTGCGCGTAGAATGAGAAAAGTTTTCATTCTTACTTCTAATAAATTTTATATTGTTGGACAAACCAATGTTAACAACTCCATGAAATACACAGCTGAGTATTCGATTAGTTTAAACCAAATCAAACAATTAAGTTTGACAAATCTTCAAGATGACTGGTTAGCAATCAATTTATCGAATAGCAGTCAACCAGATCCATTCATTAATACGTACTTCAAAACTGAATTAATCACACATATTAAGAAATTAAGTTCTGGAGTTCAGATAAAGATCGGTCCAATTATTGAATATCAAAAGAAAGTTGGAAAGTTACACAAAGTTAGATGCCAAACCAGTGATGCTGCTCCAAAGTATAGTGACAATTACAAATCTAGTACAATTTCTGTAAGACATGGTAAACCTGCTAACTCCAGATCGAAAAAGAAGCCAAAAAATAAGGGTGGTCTAAGTTCGGGTAGTACTAACAGACATTCTCATCGTACGTCTACATCAACCAATTCACCCGCTAAACCAATATCAAGAACTGGTACGAAAAAAGCACCTGTTCCACCACCAGGAAAAGGTGCGTCATTAGCAGCAACTGCTGCACAGGCTGCGTACCATCCTAACGGTAAGAATAAACCTGCTCCACCAGCCCCACAGGCATCTCGTAAACCGAGACCAAGCCCTCCAGCTCAAAAAACTCATAAAAAGCCAGCCCCTAAGCCAGCCCCCAAACCAGCTCCACAACCCCAAGTTGCTCAAAAGCAAAGCGTGATCCCTCCACCACCACCACCACCTCCTGCTGCTACTCCATCAGAACCAAAGTTCGAAGCTGCATATGACTTCCCAGGTTCCGGCGCGCCATCAGAATTGCCATTAAAGAAGGGCCAAGTGGTTTACATTAGTAGACAAGAACCAAGTGGTTGGTCTCTAGCCAAACTACTAGACGGATCAAAGGAAGGTTGGGTTCCAACAGCATATATGGCTGAGTGTAAAACTCCAACTGTTGGAATAGTGCCTGCAGCTCCACCTATGGCTGCTGCTGTTGTCCAGAATACACAGGCTCAACCCCAACAAGCTCAACCCCAACAAGAGGTCCAACCAGCTGCTGCCCCACAACCTAGTTTTGCTGACGGTTTAGCATCTGCATTGGCTGCCAGAGCTAACAAGGTTAGAGACGAAAGTGAAGAAGAACCTGACGAAGATGATGACTGGTAGAGTGAACGTGATACTTGATATGGAGCAACAGAGATAAATGCAAAATATTGTGAACGATATTTAAATAATTCCATAATGACTGTACAATATATACTATAACCTACAAAAAAAGATATAAAACTAATCAATTAATTAATACTCAAGGAAGTCAAATAGTTTAGTCGTTTGTAGTATATGTAGAAATACTAAAATCGATAGCCGTCTTTATCGGTATCACAATATGGGTATAAAGACTCTTAATCGATGTTCTACGCAGAGATCTCTAACTTCAGTAAACAGTTACGCGCGATTTGTTCCCTATGATGATGAAATTTTCTTTGTATCTGCATAGACGCCCACTACACATTTTTTATAAACGAACAATTTCTGTTTACATTGACTTATTAATGCTCAGTAAAGAATAAAACAATCTATCGACATCAGGACGTTACGTTTTCAAAGTTGTTATTATAGGAGAATTATCAATTAAAAATATCTATTACACCATATCTACTACACCATATCTATCAACCATATCTATCAACCATATCTATCAACCATGTCTAACGGATTAACGGAGAGTAGCTGGTCAATGGAAAATCTTCAAGTTACCGATGAGATCATTAACTCGTTGGCAAAAATCCTACAGGTATACTCTGACTACTTATCTAGCCACATCCATGTTTTGAACAAATTTATAAGTCATATGCGTAGGGTATCAACCCTAAGGTTTGAACGTACTACGTTAATTAAATACGTTAAAAAATTGAGATTTTTCAACGACGTCCTTATTGAATATGATTTAACTAAATCAGGTGCGTACAATGACAATATAGGTGGATTATCAGAAGGGATTAAGCCAATTGGGATGTATTTAGAAAAGATTTTAGAGATATTAGACCTTTTAAATTTCTATTTAACTCAATCGCTGCAGAAAGAAATCATCTCCAAGACTTTGAATGAGGATCTAACACTAACCGAGTCCAGCATCGTTGCCATCAATGACACTTATAATCATTTTGTAAAATATACCCAATGGATGATAGACTCATTAGGAATCAAAAGTGATCTCTTACAATTAGAAGTCATCAAATTTGCATTGAAGTGTGCCGAAGAAGATGGTACAGACATGGAGGAGACTGAGAACATTTTCTTACATCAAGTTATGCCCGTTAATAATGAAGGTGAATATGCGTTACTAACGGATCAATGGTCATCTGTTTTAGAAGGAAAATTAGACATCTTGAAGAATGAATATGCGTCGCTGGCAGATAAATGGCATGAAAAGTTTGGTAAAGCCAAGAACTAAACCTCATCCACAATTATTATTTTGCATTGTGGAAATGATACCCAAGATTATTCTTTTTTTCTACATTATATATATGCTGTCATTGATGACTTTCAACAAAGAAAATTTATCCCTGGTGCATTTCTAACAATACAGAAACATCACAAGTAACTTTATAGAATATATTTACTATTAGAATCCGTAATATATACCACATTTTACCGAACTCAAATAATCTGATAGATTATTGATTATCACACGAAGTTTGTAATGTTTTGAATTAGGACCATAATACCTTCGATCTAGCTCTCCTTGTTGTGACATTGAGGCCATACAAGAAGAGAAATGTCAGGTGCAACTAACATATTGGTATCTGAGATGTGAAAAAGAGTGGACTTCCTAACAGACATATATATATTTGTATAAACGAAAATAAAGATCTAACCTTTTTAATCCTTAATACGAGCCTTTTAATTTGGTATATTCAAATACTGAAATTGTATATTCTACTTTCAAAATAGAAAGTTAATCCATATTTAAGTTTATCAAGAAGTTAAACTGGATAAAAGTCAATAATGAAAAGTGATTTGGACTTAATTTTGGGAATGCTCTTCCGATGACCTTTTACTTGTCGGTAGAGTCATCTATACTGATGATACTACCAACTAAATGAGCAGAAGAAAGATAATATTACTGATCGAAGAAGACTATTTTGTTTACACCAATTAACAGAAATTTAAAGAATATGTTAATGTATTTTGTAAACTCTTCCAAAATATTTGTCAATTTATGATCGGTATCAACAATTAACTTCAGTATTGTCTTAAATATTTGATAACGATATTATTGTTACTACCGTTCTCTTCCTTCTTCATTGTTAGGTACATTTACCAAAATTTATCTGAACTCTTTAAATTTATCACCTGACTAAGTACCTGTAGCCGTCCCGCTAACTACAAGGTTATCCTCTATTTTAGGCTGTCTTAATTTTTAAAAATGAATATTTTAAGTCGTCTTGAAATATTTTACAAGCTTTTGATACCATCTAAATAAAGATATGTGAAATATCATAAAATCATCAGGACTATCCTTCTATAATTGCAAACCTGATTGACCCAAGCGGAACCATTTTGAATGCTGTAGTTTATTTTATAATCCGTCAGTGTGCCTAACTGCCGTTTATGCGATACGAGAGCCAATATCATAAGATACCAATTGAATTATTTGGAATATAAATTTACATGGTGGTCGATAAGTTTAATTATACAATGTTGTATATATCTGTCTGTTATGCATTTACCTTCCAGGAAATAAACTCTATATACGTAACTATGAACGTAATCTCAAGGACTCCCAATCCTTCAACATAAGTTTCCCTTTTATATTATTCTCATGGAAGATTCATTTGGCCTAAGATTCATGCCTTGCTGACATTCCTTCACCATCCAAACTTCTGTTCAGGATATGCACAATTAGTTTCTGCTAGACTGTCTCATCTTTTTAATAATGCTTCTCTTGGTTAACAACTCCAGCTCATCGATCGAAAAGTTGTCAATTCCATTGAGGTCTAACTTTTCCCGCCTTAAAGAGTCCTCTCTCTATGAATCTTCGCACAATCTCGGGAATAGTGAAAAAAAAAAATGCAAACAAAAACTGTGTAAGATGACTTCAAGTATAAAGATAGTTGAAGCATACAGCTGACGGATGAAATAACTTGATTCAACATATTTGAAATAAATATCAAAAACCTCTATTGCTAAACGAATAAAACTGTATACGATGGGTATTCAATTGGGATTATCAAGAATTACTAAACTTCTATCATATGCCGGCAGCCCTCATGAAAAACTGAAGGTACTTCATGTGGCAGGAACAAATGGAAAAGGGTCAGTCTGTTCTTACTTAGCAACATTATTGCAGAATACAACAGATCCAAAGATAAGAATAGGTAAATTTACATCCCCACATCTGGTTGATGTCACTGATTCTATTATGATTAACAATAGACCAATACCTATGCCAGAGTATAACAACATAAAGGCTCAGATAACTGCATTGAATGAAAAATATTTACTGAATTGCTCTGAATTTGAATTACTCACCTGTGTTGCATTTTCGTATTTTCATAAACTAAATTGTAATTGGTGTGTATTAGAAGTTGGGTTAGGTGGAAGAATGGATGCTACCAACGTTGTACCTGGTTTGAGAAAATTTGCTTGCGGTATTACCAAGATTGGTCTTGATCACCAAGGTTTTTTAGGAAATACTTTGACAGAAATTGCAGCCGAGAAGGTTGGTGTTATCACTAAGGGGGTTCAATATGCAGTAATAGACGGATCTAATGACAAAACTGTGCTAGATGTTGCAAAAAAGAAATGTGAAGAAGAGAAATGCACTCTAAAGATAACAGACAGCGCAGTTCATGATAATATGATTGAAACTGATTCTTGGGGTAAGATGAAATTCGATCACTTACCTCTGAATGGAGACTATCAAATATTTAACTTTAGAGTAGCATTGGCAATACTAGACCATTTGCAACAAATTAATGAATTATCATTAACAGCTGATGATATATTTGAAAGATTAAAGAATACAGTTTGGCCCGGCAGACTTCAAAACATAGATATACAGTACGCAAAGGATAAGAAAGTCAACGTATTACTAGATGGTGCACACAATGGCTGTGCATCAATCGAATTAGTTAAATACATACGGAGAATATATGGCGAACAACCAATAACTTTTGTAATTGCGGTGACATCAGGTAAAGATCTAGAACCTTTATTTAGTCCTTTATTAAGACCGATCGACAATGTTATTACTACCAAATTTTCATCTGTGGATGGAATGCCTTGGATTAAAGCTAATGATCCCAATGAGTTAGCCAATATAATTAGGGAGAAGTACACCACTAATGTTAGAGCAGAATCTGATCTACTTAATGTCTGTGCAGAGATCCAAAGTAACAGTGGCTTAGAAAATAAAAGACCTGTTGTAGTATGCGGATCATTATACTTGTGTGGGGAGTTACTAAGATTAAATGATACAACAACATCGTAATAAGAATCAACTATACATTTTTATAAATTTCCGATAGATCATCAATATGACATATATAGAACACGTACCAAATAAATAATTTGATAAAATGATGTATTATTTCGTAATCTTTATTAGATTCAATCAATAGTGACTTCCTTCGGACTTCCCTCAAGTTCCATCTCGCTTCGGTCAAAAAATTAAAAGAATCTTAATCTTTTTTTATATTTTGGCATAGAATTTCACTATTAAAGGAAGCTTAATATCAATTTCATACTAGCAACTATTACCATACTCACAACCATCCATCATTCGATTATACTAACGTGTAATCAGATGAGTTCAAGAATAATTCGTCCTGTAAGGAAATGGAGTATTTTAAGTAGAGTGTTGAGAACGAGAGAGAGCTCTCAGCTACATATTTATAACGCATTACAACCATTTGGGGACCATATTGTAAAATCAAGCATAATACCAGCTGAAAAACAACAAATATTTGGTTATCTAGGATTAGGATTGGTTGCTATAGGAATATGGTGGAACTATTATCCACATAATCCATATCCACCTAGTGTGAGCAAATATTTAAGAAAGGCTTCATGGGAAGAAATTAAAACGAAAGATTACAGAAAGAGTATTCTGTTTTATACTGATGCTTTAAAGGAATGTATTGACCTTGGATATGATCCTGTGGATGAAAAGGTTACTGGGATTGAAATTAAAATTGGTGAAATGTATGAAAAACTTAATATGAAACAAGAGGAGACAGATACATACCTGAAATTATTAACAAAACTATACGAGACAATCAATCAATCCGGTGATAAAACTAGGGATAATAAGTTATTAATAAAAAAAGACCTCAGTGTTTTGATCAAACTGATCAAGAACATGGAAGCTAACGATACAGTTAAAAAGAATATATTACTAAAGCATATAAATTTAGTGCAAGAAGAGATCGAAATAAGCTCCCCAGAATTGGATAAAATCATGAAGAAAGGGAATGAAACATTATTCATGAATCCGAAAGATAAAGGTTACGATTCAATCATGACAAATTTGCATACATTTTCAAAGATCTTCGAACCGTTCAAAGAAGAATTCATTGTATCCAGAGACTTATATACAGATATCTGCAAAAGTAGTAATGATATTGACGGTGCTATATATTCTAAAATGATAACTATTGGATGGATGATTGTTTCGGATATGGGTAAAGAAAAAATATTGATGTCACAGGCCAACTTGGGTTCGTTAATGTATATAAAGGCTGGAAATATCGAGAGCCTTATATATCAACTCCAAAAGCAAGGCCACCAAGAGAAGAATAGAATTAATATTGAGAATTTATCAAAAAGATATAATAATGTTCTCAATATGTCTGAAAAATACTACCAATCTGTTTTAGAAAGAAGTAGTTATAGTAAGATTAGTTTCCCTGTTGGCGGAGAAGAAGATACCATTCTTTTACAGGCAAGATTATTATCTATGCATGGATTGGGTGTTATAAAACTTCATAAAGGAGATATACCTTCAGCCAACAGAATATTGATGGATACAAAAGCCTTAGCGTCCGAATATAATTTTACTGATTTCCAAAATGCTTGCGATCATGAGCTGCAAACGATCGCTAGACTTTCTGCATAAATATCCCGTACGAAATTGTATTAAATATTCTTTTTAATCATATAATATATTCATAAATAATCTGGATGTATGCACTTCTACTGTATACTATTCAATTATCATTATCGATGTTTTCTTGTCGAGGTCCTTGAAGATTATGACCTTATAAAAAATTCACCGCAATTGCCGGCTTTTGATGCTGCGCATAGAGCATAAAAGGGAAACAATTACACTATCCAATAATACATAGACACATATAGACGCATGATACGTCTTATAGTCTATCATTAAATTAGCAAATGTATTGCTTTTCAATTTAAGAAGGAAGTGTGACGTTTGATTAATATTTAGCCAACTGTTGGTACTACTTTTCGTAAAAAATATCTATCTCATAACTGCCGAAAAGTTAATTTCGATGCGCCACTTTATGGTACCTGTGGTATCATTCTCTAGGTCACGATTCATATTAAAGGGACTATCGAGGAATATCCAGACTCATTGGATATCAACATCGCACAATAAGCTAGAAAATTCCGAGATCTCATTAAAGAATATATTTGATGATAACACTCTATGGAGGGGTCTAAATAAGCAGAATTATCAACATAACGATAAACTTTCGAGCTCAGACACATATAAAGAAAGGTTTCTCTCTACAATAGCTGAATTTTCAAAGGAACGATCTAATGAAAATGTTGGTTTATTCAAGAATCCTTATTTAACAGATCCGAAGGGTTTGAAAGAATTCAGTAGAGAATCACTAAATAATGCTCGAGCCTTAACCGAGTTAATGAAAACAGATACATCGACTGAAGGGTTAAGGAATTATATTATTAATCTGGATAAACTAAGTGATACTCTATGCAGAGTTATAGATCTCTGTGAATTTATCCGTTCCGCCCACCCAGATGAACGTTTTGTAAAAGCAGCACAGTTATGCCATGAAGAGATGTTTGAATTCATGAATGTTTTAAATACTGATGTTACGCTATATAATACACTCAAGAAAGTCCTAACAGATGATAATATTTTGAAAACATTATCCAAAGAAGAAATTAAAGTTGGTAAGATCCTTTTAGAAGATTTTGAAAAGTCAGGAATATGTATGACATCAGAGATAAGGGATAAATTTATATCACTTTCGCAAGATATTAGTCTTATAGGGCAAGATTTTATTAATAGCACGGGTGTTGCTCGAAAGAAATATATTTTTATCAAAGCCAAAGAATTGGAGGATAGTGGTATTACAATTTTCATCTTAAGTAGATTGAAAATGGATAGCACTGGTAGACATTATAAAATTCCAACATATGGTGCCCTACCATTGGCTATCCTAAAAACGTCAAGTAGTGAAAACATTAGAAAACAAATATGGATTGCTTTACACAGTTGTCCTGATGAACAAATTACCCGCCTTACCCACCTGATTAAGTTAAGGTCTATATTAGCAAATTTAATGGGTAAATCTAGTTTCGCAGAGTATCAGTTGGATGGGAAAATGGCCAAGACACCGCAAGGTGTAAAAAAGTTTATTGGTTCACTAGTAGAATCTACAAGACCATTAGCTGCACGTGAAGTTCAGTTTATATCAGACCAGAAATGCATAGAAATGAATAAAGAATCGCCTTCAGACATGCCTACTATTTTGAATATCGTACGTCCCTGGGATAGAGATTATTACGGTTGGTTATCAAGACAAAATGCCAGAAAGGTGGAAAGTATCAATGAAAATGAACCAATCTCTCCATATTTCACCTTAGGCGGTGTTCTAGAGGGTCTTTCTGATATCTTCCGTAATGCATACGGCTTAGAATTGAAACCTGTAATCCCTCAAGTGGGGGAAACCTGGTCTCCAGAAGTTCGAATAATTAATGTCGTTTCAGAGACAGAGGGAATCGTTGGTGTCATATACTGCGATTTGTTTGAGAGAGTTGGGAAGACACAAAATCCGGCCCATTTCACGGTATGTTGTTCCAGACAAACATATGCAAAGGAAAATGACGAATCAATAATGCAGATTGGCGTGGACTCCAAGGGTGTAAGATATCAATTACCTATAATATCATTAGTCTGTAACTTTTCCAAGACAATCGTATCATCTGACAAAATTTTATGTCTCTTAGAACTACACGAAATTGAAACACTATTTCACGAGATGGGACATGCCATTCATTCCATGCTAGGAAGAACTAGACTACAAAATATCAGTGGTACTCGTTGTCCTACTGACTTTGTGGAATTACCAAGTATCTTAATGGAACATTTTGCTCGAGACACACGGGTACTGAGAAACATCGGGGTTCATTATAAAACAGGCAAAACTATTCCAGAGAAATTGATTGTACAAAATTTGGAAGAACAGAAATTTCTACAAAATTGTGAAACATTTGCACAAGCTAAGATGGCAATGCTAGATCAAGAATTACACGGAGCTAATATTATACAGAACATTAATACTATAGATGTCGTTAAGATATATCAGGACTTAGAACGTCACATGGGTGTCCTAGTCGATAATAAAAGTAACTGGTGCGGTAGATTCGGACATTTATATGGTTATGGCGCTACATATTACAGTTATTTGCTAGATAGAGCCATTGCATCAAAAGTATGGGAAAAACTATTTTCACAAGACCCTTACAATAGAATAGGTGGCACACAATTCAGAGATAAAGTGTTGAAGTGGGGTGGGCTTAAGGATCCGTGGACCTGTATCGCAGATGTACTAGAACAACCTACACTCGAAAATGGCGATTCAGAAGCCATGAAGTACTTCGGTAACACACACGACCTCTAAATAGAGAAATAGCATGTAAATATAATATACTACTAAATAATAGAGCAGATTACTTGCAAGGTAGATGGATGGTATTGTTTGATCTGTTGTATATTCTTGGGGTGAAAAACGATTACTCTCCTATTCTAAAAATATTTTTCAAATGAAACCCTCGTGCTAACAGTGGGGAATTCAAAAGACAGCCCGCTCAGAATAAAAATCAATCTCATTCTCTAAACGTAAAGCAAAACAAACCTTTAGCGGTGTGAGTTGGCCATTCATACCAATGGTGGATTATCAAATGTCAAACACCAAGTGAATTTGAAACACATATACAATATTTGAAGAGAGGGAACGAAATTGTTCATTGGTGAGTATAGAAGAAGAAGAATCATATTCTAATCTGAGTGGTACTTATAAAATAACTTTTGTGTCTTAAGCAACAACTATATTTTTAAGAAAGTAATAATTAGCACATTGTTACATCTTTAGACCAATACGTTTAAATTTTTTAAAATAAAATGGCTCCATTGGACAAGAAGATTAAGAAGTTCTTGAAGAACTCAATTAGGATTGCTCCTAAGATTTCCGATAAGGGTGAATTAGCAGAGTTGAGGACAGGTTTGGTATCACAATATCCTCAGACCCGTAAAGATGCCATAAAACAAACGATTAAACAAATGACTCTTGGGAAGGATGTCTCTACGCTATTCCCTGACGTATTAAAGAACATTGCAACAAATGATATAGAACAAAAGAAACTAGTGTATCTTTATGTAATGAACTACGCCGAGATCCATCCGGAACTTTGTATATTAGTAGTGAATACCTTTGTTACGGATGCACAGGATCCAAATCCATTGATTCGTTGCATGGCTATTAGAACTATGTCCATGATTCGTGTCGATAAAATTTTAGAATACATCGAAACACCTTTACGTAAAACACTGCAAGATGATAATCCATATGTTAGAAAGACAGCTGTGATATGTGTTGCGAAACTATTCCAATTAAATAAAGACTTATGCATAGAGCTTGGTGTTCTGGAAGATTTATCTAACGCTTTGGGTGACACAAATCCAATGGTGATAGCCAATGCAATTGCCTCCTTAACGGAGATATACAATCTAGACGAATCAGTTGTGCCATTACCAACATTAATTCAATCACATTTTGACCAATTTTTGAATGCATTAAATGAATGTACAGAATGGGCTAGAATCACTATATTAACTGCATTATCAGAATACCGTGCTGTGGACTCATTAGAGGCTCAGAATATTATAGATAGAGTGACTGCTCATTTACAACATGTTAATCCAGCCGTTGTCCTAGCTACTATCAAAGTCATAATAAAAAATCTTGGTATTATCGATGGTGGTCAAAATAGTGATCTCATTATGAAGAAGATTTCATCGGCACTAGTTTCTCTAATGTCGACTCCACCAGAATTGCAATACGTCGCCTTGAAAAATATAAGGATTATTCTCGAGAAATATCCTGAGATCCTAACCAAAGAATTGAGAATTTTCTACATTAAATTCAACGATCCTCTTTATGTAAAATTAGAGAAGGTAGAAATTTTAATCAGGCTGGTAGATCCATCAAATTTAAAGCAATGCACTTTACTATTAAACGAGCTGAAGGAATATTCTATGGAACTTGAACCAGAATTTGTCTCTCGTTGTATTCTGGGCCTTTCTCAGTTAGGTATTAAATATTCAGATGAAAGATTTATACAGAAGGTTCTAGATATATTAGTAGAATTACTTGAATCAGGCCAGGACTCAATCAAAGATGATTGCTGTATCGCTTTGTGCAACTTATTAAGACATTGTCCAACCAATGCTTCAATGAGTAAAAATGTATGTTCTCTATTAAATGCATGGACTTCACCTGTAACATTATTACAACAAGACTCAGCAAAATGTAATTACATATGGTTGATGGGTGAATACCCCCAGCATTTTTCGACATTGAATGACAAGATTGATGAGTTTGTTGAAAATTTTAGTGCAGAAAGTACTCTAACACAAATTTTGCTATTAATAACAGTGGTCAAATTACACAACACATTAAAGGGTAGCGTACTTCAAACTGTACTTGAATGTGCCACACATGAAACATCTGAAGTAGATGTCAGGGATATGGCTATGATCTATTGGAGATGTTTATCGATTGACGATTCTTCAGCTCTAGTATCACAACTATGCAACCTACATGCCCCTGTGATCAATAGTACTATTGACACATTTTCACCAGAGGTTCTAGAAAAATTGTTAAGTCAATTAGGTACGATAAGTTCGATATATTTTAAACCAATGGATGATTCTATGCGTAAACAATTACAACATCAAAACATAATCAAGGGTAAACATTTTGATGAACTGCAAAGTCTTGCCAAAAATGAATTAGAGAGTAAGAATAACGACGATATTTTATTAGATTTTGATTCTGAATCTGTAAATCAGAACACCTCCGGTCAAAACCAAAATAACAACTTACTGAGCGATCTGGATGATCTTTTCGACTTTGGTGCAACATCTTCATCAAATAACAACCAAAGGTCTGAGACGGCGACTGAAGATATGAATAAATTGTCCTTGAATAATACTGACAGTTCGAAATTAAACGCAACTAGCTTGAACACTGATGATTTATTGAATCTCTTTTAAAAATATCAACTAAATACCTTGCTCTTCTCGTTCACTGTTAAATGATTGAACATATTATATTATATTATGTAAAAAGAATTAAAAGTAACAAACACACGATCACTTGTGTGCATCCTACACGATATATAATCAGTTAATTATATTGACAAACTTTTCCAAAAGTTATGGCTAAAATAGTACTCAACTAGTACTACATATTCATTTAATTTATGTATAGATATGTATTGTATTTACAGTTACTCTCTTCATTCTTCTTCCGAGAGAAGTCATATAGAAATAAACTACCAGAGTTTAGTATTTTCTTGTAATTATTTTTTATTTATTATTGTTATTTAAAATCATTCATTGGAAATATAATCATTCCATTTTTATTGACTGCTTTTTCTTTCCTTGAGCTGCTTTTCCAATTTATCAATCTTTGCTAGAACAATTAAATCCCTTTCATTATCCAGGTTCTTATCAGTTTGAAAAGCTATAATACATTCTTTCATCTTATCACGTTGTTTATCACAAGCAGGAAATACTTTAATACCATGAGCCTTAGCACAGTCAGCCATTGCTTTGACAAACTCGTCGCAGGACTTATATGCTGAATCTTTCAAATTAGCACGAGCTTTCTTTTCCTCTGTAGGTGATAATGCCCATATTGGTAGTCTTGAGCCTGAAACTTGTACCTCACTTCCTGCTGACATTTGAAATTGTGTATGTATGTACTTGCAAGTGTCTATTAATGAGAATATCTATCAATTGTATAATAAAACCTCAACTCGAGTAGTAAATATAGGGTTAAAGGGTATTCAAGTTAAAATACAATACTTTTCACTATCCAGTTATGTTAAACTTCTAGTGATTTCGGGGGCTTCAAAAGTTCAAAAACTGGTCCTTCCTTTTCTTCAATCTGAAAGCGAACAAAATAAAAAAAATATAAAATTCAATCAACTCGACTTTTGTTATTAATTGAAGAGAAACAGGAGAATAACTGAGTTATATCTAGGAGTTATCGATTTGTTACAAAGGACAAAGGATAAACATTACTGAATAAGTGATTCGAGATTGAACAAATAGAAGTTCTTCTGTTCAGAGATAAAGTTTTATTGAATCTTATAACTTTAAATCACACTATTATTATTAACCTTAGATGTTTGGTGCATTCAGGACTACAAACTCGCTACTAAGTGGTCTACTTTGGAAGGTTCCATGGAGGTTATCTGCTCCTCAAAAGAGAAGACAAAGGCAAAGATTGAGAGACGTAGATAATGTAATTAAACAACTAACGTTGGGTCTACATGTAATGAGGTCCCAAGCTAAGGGGTTAACCTTCGAAGAAAGTATGGCAGCTAAAAAGATGTATAAGCCAAGAAGTGAAGCTATGAGATTAATTAATAAACCATCGTTATTTCCTAAGGAAAATCAAATGTCTAGTAAAGACAAATATACTGTATTTAGTAAAAATGATAATGGTTACAGAAAGGGAGTGCATAAAGTACCTAAATGGACAAAACTATCTCTAAGAAGAAACCCTAAATTTTTCTAATCTATTGCAATTTAATGACAATAGCATTCCCTTTCCCCATTTTGGACCATTACCTCGAGAATAATTACCTGTAGATACTAACTTTTTGAGATTTGATTCTATTTTACGAAATGACCAAAGAGACATTCATAATGCAGAATCATACTATAATTTTCCATATTACGTACTAGATACATACTTATATATACATATAGCAATATTATATTCTGAATAATAAAGAACATCAATGTAATCTCTTTGGTAAGGATAGCCAGATAGAGCTTTTATCAATAAAAGTTTGAGAGTGTTCTTTCATCTTTACTTCATCAAGAATATAACCCTAACTTCGGTAGCGCGAAATTCTAGAAAATGCCCTACTATAAACAAAGTCAATTTTATAAAATAAACAATAACAACAACAACAACAACTTTAGAACTGTAAGAAGGGCGATAAAGGGTGCACTGATATCGTATTTATTTCTGGGCCTATAATTATCCAGATATTGAAATATTCATTTCTTTGAAGTAAGATAGAAAATGGAAAGCACAAAACAGAGACAGTATGCATATCTAGCAAAACAATTAGATCAGTTACATGCAAACCTCCAGATTACCAAAGAGGAGATGGAAACAATGTCGTCTCAATGCAACACACATCTAATAGGACAATTGGGTAAAGTTAATGCAAGCTGGTTCATTGCCTCAAATAGATTTTTAATACACGAGTTCTTCCAGAATGAGAAAACTGGTGAAGAGAAATAATTGAAAAAAAATTGTCAATATTCATTTCTCCCATCTTATATGTCTTCATATTCCACCCATAGTTACTTTGTAATATAATCAATAGAAAAACAAACAACAATAGATATTTAATGCTATATATTTGTATATTTTAATATTACACATTTCCTTTATATACTATTTTGCTTTATCTTTCTGTTGTTTTCTGGCAAGTTTAATCTCATATTCGTGACAACCGCCAAGCGTCTCACCGTTTGGCTTCAAAATTAATGGTTCAGGTTGGGGGTTCTCTGTGAAATACGGACTCGCCAATGCTTCTGTAGCGCTCAGACGGGCAGCTTGATTGTAACACAACAAACCTTTAACCATCTTGAAACATTCATAACTCGGTAACATTGTTTGATATTTAAGATCAAATGTTTCTTCGTATTTCTCCTGTATCAATGGTATCATCATGAAAAACCAAGGCATTTCGAATAAATTTGGCCAAATCTCCACTGTTGGAGTACCCATAATCTTAAATATGGATACCAATTGTTCTAGTTCATTAGTACCTTGAAACAATGCACCTGATACAAATAACTCTACCAATAAACAACCGCACCCCCACATATCGACTTCACTGCTATAATTAGTAGTACCCAATAACAACTCGGGAGGTCTGTACCATAAGGTAATCACTCTGTTTGTGTAATCATTTTTAACAATTTCGCCATCTTCAATATTTTTTACCATACGTCTAGCTAGACCAAAATCGGTGATTCGAAGAACACCATTATTATCAACTAATATATTGGAACCTTTGATATCTCTATGCAGAATCTCATTTTTATGTAAATACTCACAACCTTGTAACAATTGCTTTAATATATCTTTCTTTTGTGCGTCTGAGATGGAAATATTTTTGTTTAAAAGAAGTCCACCTAAATCATTATCTGCGTACTCGAATATCATATATATATTCCGATTTTGTTCCACCATAATTTCTCTAATGGTTGCCACATTTGGATGATCAAACGTTTGTAACAATTTTATTTCCCTAATGGAAGTTATCGGGAAACCTTCTCGTTCATTCTGTAATCTCAATTTTTTCAATGCCACTAAACTATCTGTATTTGTATTTTTAGCTTTGTAGACTTTTCCATATGTACCTTCACCTACTTGCAATATTCTATCATATATCGATGAAGTACGTTTCTGGATAATATAAGTAGGTTTAATTTTCTTTCTATACCTTGAAGGTTGATTATTTATCTGTGCTCTAGTCCCGATTGGTATTGGTGAATTTCTATCCTTTGGTGAATTACCGATACTGTCATGCCCATTGTTGCTATTTGAATAACGAGATGTATTAGAGGAAGAAGCTCTAGGTCCCTTTGGTAATTGGGGTATAAATTTCGTCTTTGGTGGTTGTTTCATATTTTCACGGTTGTGATGATATCTTGAGTCTGATTGTCTTGCTCCTCCTTGTGAATGGGTACCTTCATACCGTGAGGTACGTAATGGAGCAAGATCAGTCATGTCATGTTCATATGATGATGAAGAGTACCTTGACGAACCAGTACGTTGGTCCTCGACATTGTGTCGTACTCTTTTCTTATTATCATTGGATTCATTTGAATCGTATTGACGACCTCTTTTGAATTGAGGCTTTCCTCTTGAATTTTTCTTAAAGCCATTCTTCTGAAATCTTGTACTACCACTATTGCTATTGCCTCCTTTCTTGGAATTCGACGGCCTTCTATCACTTTCAGGATATTCTTTGTTATCGTTATAATTATAGGACATGCTTGGTTTGCCTTCTGGAAAAATGTGTAAATCTATGAGTTCTTCTTTTCAGGCATATATTTACGTTGAAAATGTTCTCCTAGAAAACTTATAATGCTTTTCTTACTAAAATGGAAGATGTTACTTGACACACGAATATTTCAAAGACTTCCTTTCATTCAAATATGTAATTAACCTAAAGTTGGACTTGACTTTTAGTACTCCATTGCTATTCTTCTCTTAAAGTGAAAAAAAATAATAATGGAATTCAATATATTGCGAAGTGTCGGTTCCACGCTGAAAAAAAAAATAGTGAGAGTAATAAACAAGAGGGTTGTGAGACCCGATGTTCATTGAGATACAGAATACGTAATTAAAGACAGATACTCTAGAACATGACTATCATAAAGACTATATATTACATTTTTATTCGAAAGCTAGTTTTATTAATTATAACAATTTTTTTAAGTATTTATTTATGTATTATATGAATTTCTAGCAAAAAAAAGAAAAAATTTCTTAGTATTAAAAGTGCAAAAGTGCAAGACGTGAAGGAGGGCCAAGGTTAACCCATTGAACATAACTAAAGGTTTGGCCATGCAAGAGCAGTTTATCTAAATGTGGATATATATTGTAGGCCTATGGTTCATTAGAAAGGTATCTACTCAACCTCCTCCGTTGAACTCTATTTTGGTGGATTGTATCCTCATCTAAAAAACTGTTATGTGCTTGTTCATCGTCATCTTCACCGTCTTCATCAGCAATGGCATCATCATAATCATCTTCTTCTTCGTTATTATAACTAGTAGTATTTAGGTTATCAACGATTTCCGGCTGTTGTTCTTCTGGAGCGATAGTATCTTCAATGCTGATTCTACTTTCAGAATCAGGGATTTTTTCATTTGGACCAATAGCATCATCTTCATCGTTATTATTATCACCTTCTTCATGAGGGATCAATTTACTGCTATTGTTTCTTAATGGATCGTTCTCCATCAGTCCCATCATACTTCCACGTCTTTGAGACAATGGTGACATTCTTGCCTGAGAACCCGGTGTCGATAACACTCTTGCAGTCAGAGTAGCTGAAGGTTCACTCAAATTGTCTACAATTCTCATGGTATTTGCTGGGATAGCATTCAACAATTTCCCTGAATTAGTCAAAGTTTGACGACGTCTTGATGTAGTGCCGAATTCACTAGCACTAGAGTCACGTCTCGATATACTTGGTAATAGATTTGCGCCTATATTATCGAAAAATTCAATGAACTTCAATACTTTTGATATCACTAGAACATCAGTGTATTGACCCCAAATCAAATCCAAATGTTCATGATTATCAACTTTGACATCGAAGACAGAAGTTGCAGGTAAATTACGTTTCATAACTTTGATATCTACTAATAGATCATTACCACCATATATTAATAGAATCGGGATTCTAATATTTGTTCTTGTTGGGAAAGTTGGAACCAAATAAGGTCTAGTTAAAGAATTGAACATATCATCTGATTCTTCAAACATACTAAATTTTTGAGATCTTAAGATTTGAAACCAATGAACAATCGATTTTACAGATGTTGTAGAATATAATTTAGCGTAACAAGCAATCTTTTGTTCTTTAGTAATATTTGAAGATTTCCAATTAAAAAGGATCCTATTACCAATATCGATTAATTTATTGAATATTTTAGGATGAATCGTTCTTTGCCAAGTGGTTGCACTTGGTAAAATGATATTTCTACCGAAAAACAAATACATTAAAGATGGAGAAGATTTAGCGAACGTATCAGCGATTCTATTATGTAATCTTTTGGGGGTCATTGCAGGTGCAATTGCAATAAAATGCGAGACTTTATCATTTAATTTTTCATTTAAAGAAAAAGCAGCAAACATCTGAGCAGAACCTTGAGAGAAACCAATACAAATTAATTTTTCAACTTGACAAAAATCCAAGACGAATTCAATAGAATTTGGAATATCAAAGAATGCAAATTCATCGATTGAAAAATCCCAAAATTTATTAGATTTTGGTGCATGGTATAAATGAGCCGTTGAATATTTATTCCCACGATTATTACCCATCCAAACCTCATAACCCAAATCATGTAATACAAAGGGTAAATTTTTATTTCTATCTGTTTGACAACACCATACGTCGGAACACATCAATAGACCGTGATGTAAGTAGACGACTTTCCCATTTTCTGTACCAGGCAAAGGTTTGATTCTATGTACAGTCAAGATATAATTATCTTCTGTACGTACCAAATGGTCCTCTACGGAGATATTAAACAAAGCACACATTTCATGGATTGTAGGACATTCTCTTAATTTCTCTTCGATGGTAGAATCATCTATATCCACGCTGTAATTAATAATTGAGCCGAAGAAATTGAAAATCGGTTGTGGAATCAATGCCAGGATTGATGCTACTAGTGTCTCTAAATACACTAATAGTATCACCCAATAATCTGCAAACGACAGTCTTCCAATAAATGGCACAATCATTGTTATTTTCTGGTGTACTGACAGCTACTCAATAACAAAAAAACAACACCCACGACGAAAGGTTATAAACCTAACGGCACAAACTCCAACACCTCTCTTCTATGTGTCACCGACCTTCTCTCTTTATATAGATGCTCTAGTTGTTGTTGTGTATGTAATCTTATTATGTAAATTGTGACTAGCCATCCCTCGCTCGAGTTGCCTTCAAAAAATGCGAAGCAAAAAAGAAATGAGGCAGTCTGCCACAATAAACCCGCAGCAACAATCACAAAATTGAAATGTCTAAACGATAATACTACATGGTACTGCGTAATAAATGTCAGGGACCTTAGACTGTTCGTATAGAGAATAGAGTAAACCAGTAAACGTTTGCAACCAATGTTAATGAACAGAGTCGAATTAAACAAATAAATAAGTAGATAAGTAGTTATAGAATATGTATATGTGAGAGTGAGAGAGTGTGGGTGAGTGGGTGTAGATTCGAGGGTGTGTTATTATCTATAATGAGAGTAAATAAGTCCCGACCAATGCACCGAATCCAATAGCAGCGTAACCTGTTCTATAGACACCTTTCAAAGTTAATTCCTTAGCGGCATCCCAAACCATATGTCTGACAGCTAATGCATAATGGAAAGCAAATAAGTATGCAAACCCTGTCTTTAGTGATAATTGAGAGACCTTTGAAACAGTGGAATGATACCAATTAGTGACAGATTCTGTGTTTATCTTGGAACCCATACCTAATAATGCAGCACCACCAAACAATATGGTTAGTAGGTAAAAGGCACCACCCATAAAGATTAAAGATACACGATGTACTGATGATAAATACCAAGTTAATTGAGGTTGGTAAATGGTTAAATGTGGAGAGATAGGTCTAGTTTTTCTTTGTGCAATCAACAGTTCAGACTCACCTGGTTCTAAAGAATCGATCTTAACATATGGTTTCTCTTTTAATAAAGTAGAGGCAGAGTTAAATCCTCTAATCATAGCTGGTCTAGCCAGTAAAGTGCGTCTAGCCAGCACTGGAACAGTCCTATTCAAACCCAATTGCAGTAACATTCTTCGTTGTTGTGTATTGCAGTGTATCTATTCAATGTAATGTATTGTAATATACATATATTTATATGTATTTTTATATATATTGAGAGAGAACCCTTTGTTGAATTCAGCTATATCCCAATCTTTATATATATAAAAATTACTATGAAAGGAATTGGGGCACTCCGCGAGTTGGGGGAAAAGTGTACATTCACATAGTAAATATGCGGGAAAACGGGAGGAAGAGGGGCGGTCAGAGCGTTCTCTGAGTTGATTGGCTGGCTGATACAGGAGAAAGATAGAAGGTGACTGAGGATGGATACACACTGTACTTGGGCTGTTAGAGGCTAGCTATCCGGTTCCTGTAACTAAAGAACAGCTGCTCGGTTTGTTATTATGACCAGATATATATCTGTATGTAGAGAGTAAAATGTTGGTGTGTCGTGCACAGTGATTCACACGTGACTACAGCGTCCTGTTTACCCTCCCGCTCGCTTGCTCTTTCCCCCATTTGTTGACTAGTAGAAGAAATGAAATATTCACATTTCATCGTCCCATTCAAAAATATTGCTATTCCAAATTAATATCAAAAAAATTTAAATGGGATAGTAACAGCTAGTGAAGCAGGTAAGGTTTAAGAAAATAGGGTGAGACTAAGGTGCATCTGTTACCTACACACACACACATCTATAGACATAGCGTTATATACAGGCCTTATAGAAAAGTGTAGTCGTTACAATTATTAAAAAATACAAGAATACATACACATACATATATATTATAAAAGATGTGGTCCTTTTTTGGAGGATCAAGTAATGGTGGTACCAAAGGTAAAGAATTGCCAAAGAAAGCTATTGTGGAGTTAAGGGAACATATTAATTTGTTGACAAAGAAACAATCACATTTACAAACACAACTGATCACACAAGAAAATGAAGCTCGTAGGTTTTTATCCCTTGGGAATAAAACTTTAGCTAAGAATGCTTTGAAAAAGAAAAAAGTATATGAAAATCAATTAGGTAAATTGGATGGACAAATCGATTCCTTGGAACAACAACTATTCTCAATAGAATCCGCAAACTTGAATCTGGAAACTTTAAGAGCTATGAAACAAGGTTCAAAGGCTATGAAAGCCATACATACTGGAATGGATATTGATAAAGTCGATGAAACTATGGATGATATTAGGGAACAGGTCGAATTAGGTGAAGAAATTAGTGATGCAATATCGAGACCAATGTATTCTGGTATGAATGACGTGGATGAGGATGAATTAGATGAAGAATTGGATATGTTAGCACAAGAAGAAACTGCTCAGCAGATTGGTATTATACCTACAACAACAGAAACTATGAAATCTAATGCTGACACTAATAAAATTACTTCAGAGAGAGTATCGGAATTGCCTAATGTACCAATAGATAAAATTTCACAATCACCACAGCATAATGAAGAAGAAGAAGAAGAGGATGAAGATGAACGTGCATTAAGAGAATTACAAGCAGAAATGGGACTGTAACGAACACTCAAGATTATTACCATCACTCAATAAAATAAGAAAGAAAGAAAACTACATTGTTCAGGTTTCAAATGGTTCTATATCTTTCTCTAGAATTATCGTTTGCTCAATAACTTTATTTTTTTGGTTTTTTCTAGTTTTTATTTTATTCTATTCTATTTTATCTTATCTTATCTTACCTATAAATGTACTATACAATAACTTTATATAAGATTCATATATATATTTGTCATTTCATTCTCATACAAACTCATTCTCTCTTTCTCATACTTTTCAGTTCACAAGTACCCATAATAAGAAGAATACAAAAATAATAAAGAATATCTTTACTGCTAACCATCTGTTACTCTTCACTCTATCAAAATATTTGAGTAATTCTCGTTGTGCTCCACTGATGTTCATATCAACATCATCTACATTTGCATCAATCCGTTGTATCACTTCACCTTGTTCTTGGACCATCGACGCCAATTGTTGGAAAAGATTACCAACTTCTTGAATAGTAGTCTCGATGGTTTCTACAGCACGGTTACGCTCTTGTAAATATTGATTATTACTTAATCCTTCTTCCATCATCAATAATTGAGAATCACTATCTGGTAAGATCAATGATTGATCATTACCTGTTTTCCCTTCTTGTTGAGAATGTATCTGTGAATCTTCTTCCATCATCGTTGTCATAAATGGATTAGAATTATTATAGCCTATATTCATGTTAGAACGATCATTGCTACTTCCATTTGCCGTGTCGTTACCATTTGCGGTCGTTTGTTGTTGATTATTGGTCTGATGTTGTTCACTTAATTTATCCCAACGGTCTCTATTACTGATCTCAAGTTTCTGCCTCTCTTCCAACACACTCTTGAAGTCCCCCGAAATGTTCTTCATCTTTCTATTCAAAAGATTCATCACATTACTGGAGTGTCCACCTGTAGTTTTAGTCAATTGTGCATCTGGTCCATGAATTTGTTGATTCAATTTAATCAATTGTTGCTCCACAGAATATATCTTCCTTTTAATCAAGAAGGACAGTTCAGCAATCTCTACAGGATTGTCGTTGAACATGGGTTTCCTCTTAGCTAGAATGGCTAATTTAGATAAAAGTTGTGCTGTCTCTGATATATCGTGTGCTATCAACGAGGCGTTCTTTTGGAACTCCGATTGCTTTGGTTTGACATGGACTTCCTCGGCGACTTGTTTGCTACGAGCTTTGTTCAACTTCTTATACGTCACCACACTCCTCTGAAATTCAGATGTTCTATCTCTAATGTCCATTTGTTACGTGTGTTTTGTATATTAGTGATTGTCTTGTTGAATTTTGTTGTTTTTTTTAAAAAAAAGAGCTCAATTATTTCCACTAACTTTATTGCAAAGAATAATCGAAGGAATCAAATATGACAGCGGCAAAACGATGCAACCAACCTTTATATATGTGCTTGCCAACTAAAATAACGATGGAAGTAATTTTACCTTGCCATTTTTATTTTAAATTCAAAGGCTCATCCTATTTACATCAATGAAAATATGTATATATTGATATAGTTATATTTTCCACGAAAGCATTACCAGATTTCTCTTTTCCCGACACTGCGGCGCACTAAAAATATACAGACAATAAAACGTAAATGCATAATGTATCTACATAGAGATATAGAGATCAATGGGTAGATGTGGAATAAATGATTAAACGATTGGTAGATTTACCCATCTCTGAAACTCGTAGATATCGTTCCAGTAAGTGATGTCGTTTGTAATAGTACATACTATTATATATATACGTATATATATTTAATTAGAAAGTCGAGACAAATCTTACAACTTGGATTGAGTAAGGTAGTGACGAACAACCTCGTCAATGGCATTAGCAACGTATTCAACGTTACCTTCGTTCAAACCTGCAATGGAGGCTCTACCGGAACCAACCATATACACGGCATGTTCTTCCTCAAGTCTCTTGACCATTTCTGGGGACAAACCGGTGAAGGAGAACATACCACATTGTTCAACAATGTGGTCCCATGTACCTGGAGTCTTCAAGTTGATCAGAGCATTTCTTAGACTGACTCTCATCGTTTGGATTCTAGAAGACATGGTGATCATATCGGTATACCATTGGTTAGTCAATACATCATCAGCCAAGATGGTACCAACAATCTTAGCACCGTAAGCTGGCGGGTTAGAGACTTCACTTCTCACAATCTTGGCCAATTGCGATTGCACAGCAGGTTTTACCACGGCAGTAGTCTCTTCTGATTGATTTGGAAGAACTATGTGGAAACAACCAACACGTTCACCATACATACCAACATTTTTAGCGAAAGATTGGCAAACCAATATTGGTGAAGCTAGAGCCAATTTTTTCATACCCAATCTAACAGCATAAGCATCCTTAGATAAAGAACCAGAGGCAAACCCTTGGTAAGCAGAGTCAAATAGGGCAATGTGATCATATTTGGCAATGGCATCGATTAATTCAGTCCATTGTTCTTCCGTCGGATCCAACCCAGTTGGGTTATGAGCACAAGCGTGTAGAACAAAGACGGAACCTTCTGGGGCGGTCTCTATAGCATGTAAAAACTCTTGGAATCTTAAAGATTTGGTAGCAGCATTCCAATATGGGTATGTAGTAGTAGTCAGACCTTGGGCTTCAAATATAGCCTTGTGGTTAGCCCAAGTTGGATCAGACAAATATATTTTCTTGGAACTGAAAAACTTGGATAAGAATTTAGCTGCAATGTGTAAAGCACCAGTACCAGAGATAGATTGGACGGTGACAATCCTGTCACTATGTTCATTAACCAATTCTTCACCGAAAAGAACCTGTGCAGCGCCTTTGGTCAAAGCTGGTAGACCTGTGATTGGTAAGTATTCATGATTATAGGTAGCTACATCAGAATGAATCTTCTGTTCAGCAGCTCTCACAGCAGGTAGAAGCCATGGCTTACCAGTGTTGTCTCTGTAGGCACCAATACCCAAATCAACTTTGGTGGCACGGTCATCTTGACCATATCTTTGCTTAATACCGAAAAGAGCATCGGCTGGTAATTGTTCAATTTCGTTCAAAATAGTTAGCTGGGACATTGTATAAATAATCTCAGCGTGTGCGTGTACTGTGTGAAGGGGATGGGTATTGTAGTCAATAAGGAACACTCACAAAGTCAATATTGAAAAAAATAACCAGCAGAATCTGAAATAAACCCTGTTCCTAACTTTCCTGGAGATTGAACTAAATATTGCCTTCGTTTTTATAACAAATAATTTTTCAGTTTCCCAAATTTTGCTCATTTCTTCAAAACGACGATGATTCACAATTTTCCAATTAATTAATTGAAGCGTGAGAAACAAAAATAGAGAGAGAGGCCGGTGCACGTTACCATCTGATAATGGGTGCGATGAATAGAGTGAGAAGTTAAAGGTAAATTTAGGTGTAAAAGGGGAAACAGGTCAGCGAACAGAGAAGTCCCTCGATTGATCTCTACTGTTTACTAAGTTTGTTTAGGAACTGCATATTTGAGGAATATCATAAAGGAGGTTACTAGTGCTGGCACTTATATGACCTGTCATCATCAATACACAGTATTCTTTTTTTAAAATAAAATAGAATGAGTGGAACCAGCAATACACTTGCTGCAATGTCTACTGGTGTAGATGCAGATGCGTACATTCTAGATCATGCACCTCTGTATGAAACTATATTTTATTATTATATGGGGTATCTATTATCTCCGTTTGCTATGATCTGTTTCCTGACAATTCTTATATCGAATAGGGTAATTGTAATGAGTTCAGTACGTGATAAGTATGGTAATCAAGGGAAACATTCATCTTTGCCCCTGTGGTCGAATATATTGTTGCATGGTGGTATTACAGTCCTTTTAGGGTTATGTTTTATCCAATCATTACATGAGATGAATGTAACAGATGTATTTTTCAAAATATTTATTGAAAACGATGATCCTTCATTCTTATATATGAGATTGCTTGCTGTAGTGGCTTGTTCTCATATAATAGAAGCATTTATGAGTAGCACATTAGATATTAAGCCATTATATGATTTTGATTATTCGTTATTTGAAATGGCATTACAATACTATTTATATATGGTATCGTTAAAACATAGAGCACCCTTATCTCCAAGAATAGAAAATCTTACACAAAATCAAATGTTATTAGATTCACTAGTTATCATAACGAACAATATAGTGATTCATAGTTTGGAATTATTAAATCTAAGGAAATTCAGATTGATTTTATCCATTATTACTAATGTTGTTCATTTTTATTATACAAAAGATAATTTTATGGTAATTATAGGTACAAATAGATTATACGTTACATATTTAAGACTTTTCTTCAAATTCCTACCGATTGTTGTAATACTATTGAATATTACATACATGGTATTCGATTGGTTTATTCATAAATGCTTCTCCAAGGATGTTTCTACTCAATTACAATTTTTCAAAGAATTAAAATATTTCTATAGATTAAATTCAGATCAAGAAATGACAAGAACAGTAATGATTTTAGCTAGACGAATGTTGGAAAAGAATTCTTCTTCGCTCAAGTTGAATCATGTTGCATTAGATTCTGCAACTGAGTCTTTGGAAACTGGTTTTGATAGAAATGGAATTTCGAATGATAATGTGTTTATTAGTGGATATTTGAACAAATTACAAACATCACCGGAGGATACAGTTGCCCAGGAAACAAAGATATCTCATGGTAACAATAATAATCAGAATAAGGAGGATAATGATAATTATAAATTAAATATTCCTTCCTGTTTTACAAAACTTAAGTGGTCTGCTGATTTATTTCTTTTATCATTGGAAGCCATTTTGCAAATAAGTCGTCAAATAGTAATGGTGTCGTTGAATTTTCTAAAGATCAGGAAATCACCTGTCGCAGATGATGACGATGATGAAAAGCATAAAAAAAGTGTCCATAGTCATGATCATCATTTTAAGGATCTCAATAGATTGGTGACATCACACAACTATTACAAATTTCTGACTAGATATACATTGAGTCCAGATGGTAATCAACAAATTGAACAATTCGATATACACAAATATCTATTACCTAACGATGATACTTCCCCAGATTATTGTTTACCAAATGACACGGATGAACATAACAAAGCATTAAAGGCTCAAGATAAAATGGCATTTATTCCTACGGATACTGACGGAATGAAAGTTGAATTAGTTCAATTATTTTCTGATTTTAACTCTAATATGATGGAGTCTACGGACAATTTGAACTGGTACAATTCCATGTACTCTATACTAAAATATGAACTGGAGAATGACAAGGAGAGAGTAACAAGAGCTCAATATGGAGCATCAAACGATGAGACCATATTAAATGAAGTCGTCCTCGAGAGGTGGACTGCCAACGAAGATTTGCGCGAACAAGTCAACGGGAGTAATTCGAATGTGTTTGATTATGATGATGATGATGATGATGATAATACAGATGAAGGATTAGACTTGCTCTGTGTAATCTGTTTGCAAGAAGTTAGAAATATTGCCTTTTGGCCTTGTCGATGTCTGTCCATATGTAATGATTGCCGGAAAACTCTGGGATCAAGAGGGTTCAGTACATGTGTATCGTGTAAGTCAGAAGTTGAAGGTTACACCAAGTTAAATATAGTATAAATTAATAAAGAATGAAATTGCTGCCCTTTGTATACACCTACTCTATAACCCATCACCATTAAACTTCAATCTGGAGGCTTGCCCTACTCTCAAATAAATGCTTGTGAAGAGCATCGAAAAATTAAAAATATCGCATGCGGGTAAATTTGAGAGACGACTTCGATGAAAAAATTTTCTTTTCAGAAACGTATATAAAGAGGCGATGGTATAGATAATAGAATTTCAAAATTATAGTGTATTTATTTTACTGTAATTTAAACTTTTTTTGTTTTATGTTTTAAAATAACCATAGACTCGTGGTGGGTTGTTACCGGGAGAGAGAAATGTGTATCAATCTTCGGATCCATACATCTAGTTTCGTGCTATTATTGCTTAGTTTTCCCAATTTATGGCCCATCAATTTCAACGCTAGAGAGGCAAAGTCTTAAGGAACTATATATAAGGAGCCTGTGTGTTAGTTTAACTTCTCCTCTTGTATAATCTTCGGGTTATATGGGGGTATTGAGTCGTCGGCTTTCATGCGTCGTTGTTCTTTTTAGTTGTTGCCACTACGTATGTGGATAAGACAGAAGTGGCCCCGTTGACGAGTACTACTTAGATTAAGTAAGATGCACGATTTTGAATTCTTCTCATTATCGAATTATTAGATGAATTTCTGGTAGAGCTTTTGTTCTATTGGGATGTGTCTTTTATTTTGCAATGAGAATTGAGTTCGGTCGTCTTTGTTGTCATTTTACCGCGGTATATTCCTAAACACTATGAAGGCTATATTTAGTCAATTATCATTTGAGTCAAACCATACCGCAGACATCCTATTATCTTCTGTTTTACTCCGTAAAGTTTTGCTTTATGCTATCTTGTTATTTTTTTTGTATTTTAGTATTATTATTTATTGTACATGTTACACTTAGTTTATATATGAGTGCCTAATATTTACATATATGTGATAGTGTAAGATTAAACACGATTTCTAAGTAAAAGTATCATTCAAAAGAAAGAGCATTAGGTAAAAGTTAAATTAACAAAGACCTATACCAATTTATCTTCTATCAAAATTATTGCATCAATGGTGGAATAAACGAATAGGGTTCTCAACATAAATCACATCAAAAGAGTCAGCAGCAGCAAGAACAGATTTATCCATCACTGAACCGGTTGGTGCCGCAATGTACTTCACACCAGATCTTACTGCTCTATAGACATTATCTGGGAATGGGAAAAATGCATCAGATGACAAAGAAACGTTATTCAGTTTAGATAACCACTCTTTTCTTTCTTCCTTAGTCAATGGCGTTGGTAATTCTTCAAATTTAGATTCGTAATCATCCTTTTCTGGACCATCTTCTGGGATTTGATTAGTGACAAACAAATCAATGGCATTAGACTTTTCAGGTCTCTTTACACCTTTGGCCCATTTGAAGTCTAACACTTTGGGGTGTTGTCTTAACCACCAGTTATCAGCTTTATCACCAGCCAATCTTGTGCAATGGATTCTGGATTGTTGACCAGCACCCAGACCAATTACCATACCATTCTTAGCGTAACACACAGAGTTTGATTGTGTGTACTTTAAAGCTAGCGTAGCAACAGTTAGATCGATCATTGCTTGGTCTGTTAAATCTCTGTTTTGAGAGACAATCTCTTTGAAAGATGATTTGTTGATAATTGCATCGTTTCTCTTTTCTTGTAAAGATATCCCAAAGACTTGTCTGGTTTCGATTTGTGCTGGAACATAATTTGGATCTATTTGTAAGATACAATATTTACCATTTTTCTTCTTTCTTAAAATCTCCAGAGCTTCAGGTTCATAACCTGGGGCAATGACACCATCAGATACTTCCTTAGCAATAATTTGGGCTGTGCAAACATCTACTCTGTTGGATAATGCAATGAAGTCCCCGAATGAGGACATTCTATCTGCACCACGAGCTCTTGCGTAAGCACATGCCAAAGGTGATAAGTTTTCAATATCATTCACAAAATAGATTTGCTTTTCAATTTCTGTTAATGGTAACCCAACAGCAACACCAGCTGGTGAGACATGCTTAAAAGATGCAGCAGCAGGTAAATTCAAAGAAGCAGATAGTTCTTTCACTAAAGGCCATGAATTAACTGCGTCAAGTAAGTTGATGTAACCTGGGACACCGCATAGTACTTTAAATGGCAATTCATCTTGGTCGGTAATAAATGCTTGTGCTGGCTTTTGATGAGGGTTACAACCGTAACGTAAAGGTAATTGTGCAATATCTTCAGAATATTGTTTTCTGAAAAAATCAGATATAACGGTGTCATATTCTGCGGTATGTTCAAATGCTTTCAAAGCTAATTTATTTCTTAGATCTTTCGATATCTCACCAGTATTGTTTTCATATAATTCTTGTAAAAAGACGGCATAATCTTCTGGATCACTCAAGATAGTGACTCTGATATGATTCTTGGCGGCGGCTCTAATAAGAGTGACACCACCAATATCGATCTCTTCCACGGCTTCTTCCATTGTAACACCAATCTTACCTACAGTTTCTTTGAAAGGGTATAAGTTACAAATTACAAAATCGACTTTCTCTATATGTTGTGTCTTCAAATCTTCTTCATCAGATTCTAGATCTCTAGCTAGGATACCACCGTGGATAGCAGGATGTAGAGTCTTGACTCTACCACCTAGCATCTCTGGAGCATGTGTAATGGAAGATATATCGTCTACTGGGAAGCCAGATTCACGAATAAATTGAGCTGTTCCACCGGATGCTAGCATACGAACATTATTCTCAGTTAACCCCTTAGCAAGGTCTAATAGACCTGTCTTGTTGTAAACTGATATAATTGCAGTTTTCTGATGTTCAGACATGATTGTAACTCTCAAAAAGTTTTAAGGAAGGAAACCTATCTTATATATAATTTCAATCTGGGGTTTCTTTTCCTCTTTAATAAAAAAAAAAGGTTTGCTATTTGCGTTAATATCTACCTATTTCAATTGAATAAAAATTATAATTAAACACTTAAATATCTATCAATGAAACAAATATTTGTTCCTTGTAATTCAGTATATTAAAGAAATAATATATATAGCAATCCAATTAATGTAAAACAAATTAGAAAGTGTCAAAAATGAAATGAATTAGTTAGGAACATGTAGAGTGTGTTGTGGCACTTTACTCTTAATAAAAAAAAGGATTCCTGTGTTATTATTGTTTCCTTTTTTTTTTGCTCTCGCTTGGTTTGTTCTGCACAATCTGCACGAACTTGCTAGCTCACTATATGCAAATATACAATACATAATGCATCTTATTATATCACTTTTGTTTGAATTATATACGTACACGTAGAGGGAGAGATAATGGGTCCACAGCCAAAATCTAAATTAGCTATATTACATGTTATTGACAGTCTAATTTGATATATTCGTACAATTGTCGGTTATAGGCAATGATGGACAGGTTTCTATACATGTATATCTAATTTTGAAACAAGTAATTAGTATTGTAATATTAAGATGCAGCAGATACTCTTTGTAGATTGAAAGTTTGTCTTTTGTAATCTTTATAGTAGGTACTTAGACTAGATACTAAAGAATTCAGAATAATTTTAAGTTAAAAGAAAAAATCCAAAAAAAAGGTCTTTTTTTGGTTAATGTCTATTGAGTTTAGGATAATTATATAAGGATATATCTAAATTAAAGGTTCAACAACACAAAGCCAATTGAAAAACAAAAAGAACACCTTGTTTAGAGAAGAGATAAATAAAATGCGAAAAGAAAAGATATTAAAAAATTCCTTAAACAGATTATTTTCTGTATCTCCATAGAGACAAAGTGTTTTGCTTCTTCCAGGTCTTTCTTCTACCGGCGGAAGTGTTGTGGTATCTGTGACCCTTGTTAATACCTCTGGATTTCTTACCAGTGGCAGTTAGACCTCTAGATTCACGGTGCTTGTGAACTGGGTTACAGATCCAGTTGTAACGAGCATCTCTTCTGATAGCCTTGTGAGATGGGTCGACTAGGATGACTTCAAAGTACTTGTAAGTAGAGTCTTGGTTAACCCAGTAAGAGTTTAGAACTCTCAAGTTAGCAGCACGACGGCCAACTCTTTCTTCAGCAGTAGCTCTCAAAGATCTTTGGAATTTCAATTCGTTAACACCTTGGTTGGTTGGCTTACCGTAAGTAGCACCCTTTGGAACAGGTCTCTTTCTGTTACCACGTCTAACTCTGACACGGTAGATAACAAAACCTTGCTTGGCCTTGTAACCTAATCTTCTAGCCTTGTCTGGTCTAGATGGTCTGGAAGCTCTGTGAATGACATTCTTTTGTCTGTATTCCCAGACTCTGACTCTTTGCAAGAATCTAAGGACATCAGATTGCTTCTTTCTTTGTAATTCTTCTAAATACTTGTAGGCACCCATTTTTGGTTGTTAAGTTGTTGATAATTGTTTTTTTTTAACTATGAAACAAGAATAGTACAAAATTTGAAATACAAGATAAGTAAAATAAGAAACTACGATTATTAAATTATAAAGATGGCTCTAAGTATATATATGGCAGTTGAAACTGAGAGAAAATAGATGGAAAAAAAATTTTACAGCAATATTACATCGACAATGCTCAGTTTCTCATCTTTACGTTCACTGAAACAACTACAACGAATTCAAAGTTGCGTCTCTTTGCCATTTTTCATTTTTCAAAAAATATTTTGTGCGTCGGTCGGACTGAAAGTTTCGGACTCGTGTGATGAGATATTCACGCGTGAGAAATATTTTGTTAGGGTTTTCCTAGATTGATAGAATTGTGACACTAATTAGATATTAGGGATGATAATGACGACGGTACTCTTCCTTAGACATCAATAAATAAATATGTGTCACAGTTGTATATGTCAGAATATTTGGCACAAGTTCTTTGAAGTGAGACCTGATAATGCTAAGAAATGTATCAGGGGAAATCAACAGTTTTTTGTTTAAAATTATTTAAAGTTTTAATCTTGCAAGTATTGTAGAAGGGTGCATCTGTATAATTGAATAGAATTTTCTACATTTTAACAAATAAATATACAAAATAATTAAGAGAGTAAACATTTTGCTATAGATACATTTAAAACGGGTGTTTTATGAATAGATGAAACTAACTAATGGAAACCCCAATTCAAAAAAGAAAATTTCTTTAATATCAGCCACTTCATCTTCAGACAGTAGTTTCCATCAAATTGGAGATTTATTAATTGATAAAGATAATGATGAAGTTAAGAAACCAGATAATGATGGTCTAGAGTATTTACCTACTATAGTTCCTACAACATCAAAAAGTTCAGCAAATTCTTTTCTCTCCTCATCTTCTAGACGAGTATCTTCATCATTATTCTCATTTAAGAAACATGTTAAAGTCATTAAAACTAAACAATCACAGTTACCAATATCTGTTAAAGAAATTCAAGATATAAACTATAATAACATAATGAATGGTAATGTACGTATATCTCAAGTGCCATATATTTCTTCAATGGAAGAAGTTAGTCCATTATTTAAAATGGATCTTCCAAATGATGCTACGAATAATCAGGATTTAGAAGAGGATGGTAAACCATTGAATTCACCAAAGAACTTATCAAATTTGGAACAGATGATAGATGGTGCTCTTGAGTCATCTGGTTTATTTTCCTTAAGAAACTCAGTTATTTCACCTTCACCGAAGAATAAACAGTTTAAGATATTATACAATGATAACAAGGCTTCCAAAAATAGGGATGATTTAAGCATTGTGGGAATTTTTAAACCTAAAACAGACCAGTATGATAATATAAAGGAAGTGGTTATGGTTATAGATGGTAAACAACCTTCTATAAGGGAAGGCTTATATATAAACAATAATTGGAATATCCCGAGACATATGGCATCATCGGAGTACAAATTAACCTTACCATCTACCTGCTTAGATTCAAATATGAAAAAACAAGCCAACAAAAATATAATACATTCTGATTCCTTCTATGAAATAATTCCAGGCAAAATAAATACTTCTAGTACATCACTTCCTAATCAAGACCTTAAAACGAATAATTCAATTAATGATAGTGTTGATTCCAATATCAACGTATCCTCTGCTGAAACCGGGGAAGAATATTATCCTAATATTCCTAGTGAAAACAAAGACTACACTTATTTAAAGAAAGTAATAACAAATATAGACAAAATAGTTGAAAATAATAAAAGTAGTACAGGTTTGGAAATTAGAAGTGTCTCACCCTTGTCAATTATTAATTATTACGCTGATCAAAATTCATTCTCCGATGAAAATTTTGAAGTGTCAAATGGGAATGAAAAGGATGATCCATCTTTGAATGAGTGTATAAGTAAATATCAAGAAATATTACAGGAGAACAATAATCTCTTAAAACAAAATTATTTTCTGGCTCAACAATTAGAAAGAATTTCAAGTAGGTTATTGGAAAATCTACAGGATAGTAAGTATAATTTCCAAAATAGTAAACTTATATTTGAAACCATTAAACTGAAACAGAAGGTCGCTTCTATGAGTAAAGAAAATATTGAATTAAAAACTAAATTAAAATTACATAAAGATAGTTCATAATAAATTCATAATAATATAAAGTTTTCCAAATTACCAAATATTTTAGTATGAGCACTTACTTTATCTTTCGAATAGTCCCCATGTTCTAAGGTTGATTAGTTGAACAAACAACAAAAAATAATATTGTGGTTAGTTTAAATTAATTGTAAATGGTTTCTTATGTTATGATTTTTTTGATTTCACATTTTTGGTTTTGTCAATAGAACTCCGAAAAGTGAGCGGCTAATTTGATAAACAAAGCTTTTACGTAAATTTATGTCTTTAATTGTTGATCTCATATACCATTTTTTCTTAATAATTATGTGTTCAATATTTACAGCTGGAAGTAATTTCACTGTTATCGACCCAAATAAGATAGGACATATATTAGTTTTATCATGGAATCTGTTCTGGGTAAATATCATTCAAGCTCTAATGTAATGTTGCCTGGCCAAGAATACCCATTAAATCAAAATGAGAACATTTCGTATAATCGGTCAATAAGAACACGTATCGAATTATTCATTCATATTCTCAGAAATTTAGGAGAATCGTATTATAGTTTCGTAGAAGAATGTGATAATTTAAGAGACAGTTTTACTCGAGAATTTGCTCAGTCGGCCTATTCTTCAAGACTCATTCTAAAGACAATTAGATCCTTGATAATTGAGCAACCAAATAAACAACCATATATAGCATTTTTGTTAATCCACATTGAAGAAGATAATATACATATATCAAATACCATTATTGAATATTTACTCCGAGAATTTCAACAACAATTAGATTTAACAAGTAACAATAATGAAATTGACAAATTTGGGGCAGAAACGTGGACTAATGTAAAAATGTACACTAGGTTTTTCTCTCTTATTTCACCAATCATCAACTTAGGAAGTATTATTTTTCATTATAAAAATATTTTAAAACTAGCCTGTGAAATGAATAAGAAAAATGTTATTTTGGCTAATCTTATTTTGGAAAGTGTCTTAAAAAATATTCCATTTCTTTTCTACTTTAATAGACAGAATAAAATATTACAATTTGAAATTATTAATTTAATTAATGTTATGGAAGTTGATTTCACTACAAAACATAACAATCTTGGTTTAGTTCGACCCTATTATTATGAGAATTTAGAAATTTGTAATGAGAATCAAGTGACTGTTTCACAGATGAAAAAACTTCTCCACAACGGTTTGGATAAATTCAATAAAATATTTCCGAAATGGACAATAACAATATCTGATTTGTTCTCTAAAAATATTAAGAAGCAATGGAAGTTACAATATCCAACTGTAAAGAGGATTTTGACTTTTAAAGAAATTGAAACTAACCATTCTTGGACCGGCATTATTACAGATTCTTACCCCTACCAAGATTATAAAATACAGTTTGAACGAACTTCCGGTCATTTAAATAAAAGTGAAATAGAAACTTCTAGTAAACTAATTGTTCCAGATAATATTACTGACGTTATGCATAATCTTGAATTTAATAAAATAGAAGGTTGTAAAACTTTAATGCAACTCTATAATTATTTTCAGAATATATGTTCAGATAGTAACCAGGATAAATCCAAGAAAAATGTCTATTATACTGTAATTCAGACAATTGTTAGTATGTTACTAAGGTTACCTTACTCCATAATCCCAACTCTGTATTATTCCTTAGTGCTTCAAGAATTTTGTAGACAGTCCCCCAAGCAATTTTCCACAATTATTGGGAAACATTTTCGTTTCATTCACATGAATCTTTGTACTTCGGATTGTAAGACCACATTAGAGTATGAAAAAAGCCATAGATTCCAATTAATCAACTTCGATTATAAGTGTAAATGTGAACAATTAATAGTCGATTATACTACATGCCACCTTTATCCATATAATTCTAAAACGTTTCTCCATGTGAACATTATAAAAGGTTTAGCAAGTTCTACACCAAATTTACAGGAATTGAAAATGAGTTTGTCTTTGATTTTTCAAAATATTTTGAGGAATAAATATTTTGATAATTATAGCATGGCTCTGTATATGAATCATCAATTTAATCATGGCAACAATAGTTTCAATTTTGAAGATGTTGGACTATTATGTCCCCAAGACAGTTTTCCCTTTCACGAAACTATTTTAAGAATTCTCCACTGTACGCATGTATACAATAATGACGGAAGTAAAAGTAATAGAAATGAGTTGGTGCATCTTGTTAGCAATATTGAAACGAATAATTCAGGTTTCTTTAAAAACTTTGAAGTTCTCAGAGTAATTATTTTGATTCAGTATATTTGTCATAGTGGAAGGAGATCATTATCGAATGCAAATAATTACATAGAGGTACTTGGTGATAGAGTTTTTGAAATATTAGAAAAGGTAAAAATAAAAAGTTCCAATTTGCAATTTATTGTGACAGGCTCGATAATTAGATATTGGAATAAAAATACGTCCACTAGGTTTTTGCTCCTCAACTCCTTCAAGCAATCTGACCTTATTAGTGATCTAGTGGTGATAGAATTTTCATTTTATGATGTGAACCAGGAACTCAAGTTACTTATCAGTTATGGGGCAAGGGAATATTTCCCGGAAACATTAGACGAAAATATACAATGCGCAGCTGATTCCAAATATTATATATTTTTAAGATCTTATAAATTGGCAATGAAGATAATATCCGATTCTTTGAATGAGATGGAAATTAAGGATGATACAATTATTGCACATCCAGAATTGTTCGATGCGGAAGACGCCCCAAATGACTATGCTAACGATAAGTGGAAGTATCTTGAAGATGTGAAATTAATAAAATGTGTATTCAGAAAATTTTATTGCATATATAGAAAAATATCCGGTATATTGTTTAGTATACTTCTTCAGATTAATTTGATGCATTTCCAAACTATTGAAGGAATTGCTGCCTGGATTAAAGAATGTCAAATTTTGAGCTAATTAATCAAGCATAATATTTAATTTATTAAAAAAATCATAGAATATTTGATATATCTATTGATTCACTAATGAATATAGTCATGATCTTAAATGATCAAATATTCATTTAGTAACTAATGTTTAATATATCTTTTAATTGTTTTTAAGTTTTTGTTTATGTTATCTGTCTTGCACCCTTTCATTGTTTTGATACATCAATTAATAATAGTAAGGGTTTCGAAACGCGTCATAACTGTACGTCGCGGGTCGCGTACCGAATATTTACATATTAATTATATAGAGGATCATATTGTGAGATGGGTAGATCATTGTTCGCCAGGGGAAGAGGTTCTAACACTCTTACATATATAAAAGTTAACTAGTAACTAATCCTATGCCAGATACATATTAAAGGAAAGTAATAAAATGACCGATTCAGGAACTCCTAAAGAGGATAGGAAGAGATTTTTTAAAGATGAACTAGAATCCTCAGAAAGTCAAATTCCTTCTTTGGCGGAGAGACTTGATAAAAGTAAATCGTTTCTTTTTGGTGAAACTACTGAACCAGAAGACTCCGGCTCCTCACTATTTGTTCCTAACCAAATGGATATAGTTGAATTCGAAAAAGGATTTAAAGAAATTATGCCTGATATTAGTGATAAGATGTGTAAAACATTATTTGAAAAATTCGAAGGTGATGCGAAGCCTGTTGCCAGCGCAGTTGATTACTATTTTGATCATAACAAAAGTCTTATAAAGGAAAGTAAAAAAGATACCGAAATTATTGATCTTTCAGATGATTCTTATGATGATCAACATTCATCCAGTATAATACACAGTAATCATATGAATAGTGATCCTCCTATTCATAGTGACTCCCATCCAAAACTGACATTCCAATCTCTATTCTCTCAAAAGAAAGACGAACTGAAAAAGAGAAAAGCTGAAACTACTAATGAAAGAATTGCTAAAAGGAAGAAATCATCAATTTTATGGAAAAAATTCTTAGGTTCCATGCAAGTTACAGCAATGGCAACAAGGCCTACCATTAGACCTTTAAAATATGGCTCAGAATTGAAACTTCACGTAACAGAATCAAAGAATCTTTCACCATCAAAAATATATGATTCGAAGGGGAAGAGAAAGCTTTCAATGGCACAATTAGTTAAACTACGGGATAGAGAACAGGATAGAGAAATAGGAAGAATCCCTGAAGATATTGCACAAATAGTATATCCTTTAATCGATGAATCGGGGGTCTCGTTTGAAGTTACGTTAGTATATAGTGGAGATAAGCGCCTAAGTATTGGTGATAGTTTTATTATTCAATTAGATTGCTTTTTAACATCTCAACTTTTTGAAAAAGAACCTGTAAGCTCACAATCAGATAGTACTTCCTTGAAACAATCAGGTTGGGAAATATCTACTAATGCAATTTCAGAAACTCAAGAAGAAGTTGCGAATAAATATAAACGGGTTGGTCTGTTGGCACTCTTTAACAAATTACGGATAAAGGAGGTCACAGATGAGGCAAAAGTACTAGAAAGTATAGATAATAGCGAACCTGATATTGTCGATCTGGAAGATGACGATACCTTTGAAAGTATTGTATCAGAAAACAACAATGAGCAAGACATTAATCATAGCGACACAATGGATTTAAATCAACTTCAAAATTTTTACAGTATTGCACAATCCCTAGAAACATTAAAGAACCTACCTGAAACAACGCCATCCAAAGATATTATGAAATTAAACTTAAGAAGATATCAGAAACAAGGTCTAACATGGATGCTAAGGAGAGAAGGTGAATTCTCAAAGGCAGCCTCCTCTGAAGAAATTACACCACCAGATGCCATGATGAATCCATTATGGAAGCAGTTCATTTGGCCAAATGATATGTCTTGGGTTTCAAAAAGAGATTCAAGTGTTCCAAAATCTAGCATTGAAAATATTTTCTATTATGCTAATTTACACACTGGCGAATTTTCTATGGAGAAACCAATCTTGGTCACATCAATGAAAGGTGGTATACTTTCTGATGAGATGGGGTTAGGTAAAACAATTTCAACATTATCTCTGATATTATCTGCACCTCGCGATTCTTCTAGTGAAGGTAAAAACTTATTTGAAAAAGAACCATCTGAAATGTCACCGAGCTTAACCAAGAATCCTCAGAAACCTTATGCATCGAAAACAACATTAATCGTTGTTCCGATGTCCCTATTGCACCAATGGCATTCGGAATTTGAAAAGTCTTGTAGTGATAAAAACTTACATGCAGAAATTTATTATGGTGGTAATGTAAGCAACCTGAAAGCACATTTAACCAAAAGTAAAAACCCACCAACTGTCTTAATTACCACGTATGGTATAATCCAGAATGAATGGACTAAACTTGTTAAGACGTCGGAACCTGAAATAGATTTAAATTCAACTACCGGATTGTTTTCTGTATCTTTTTATAGAATTGTTCTGGATGAGGGCCACATAATAAGAAATCGACAAACAATAACATCAAAGGCTGTGCTGCAACTTACTGGTAAATGTAAATGGGTATTGACAGGAACACCAATTATAAACAGACTTGACGATATGTACAGTTTGGTGAAGTTCTTAAATCTAGAACCATGGTCTCAAATTGGATTTTGGAAACAATTTGTATCGATTCCTTTCGAAAATAAACATTTTAAGGAGGCATTTGACGTTGTGAATTCAATTTTAGAACCAGTTTTTCTAAGAAGAACAAAATCGATGAAGGACGTTGACGGTAAACCTTTAGTCGATCTTCCACCAAAGGAAGTTGTTGTTGAAAGGCTGCAATTCAATGAAGATCAAGATACAGTATATAAGCAGCTATTAAATAGGGCAGAAGATTCAGTCAAGCTTGGATTAGCACGTGGTGATTTATTGAAGAAGTATTCTACAATTCTGGTTAATATTCTTAGACTAAGGCAGGTGTGTTGTGATGTTAGATTGCTAGGCTCAAAAGATGAAAACGATGAGGATTTGTCCAATAATAACATAATGTTGAATGGTCAACTTGATATCAATTCTTTGCTTACTGGTAACGATAATGGTACCAAAACGAATGATTTTACAGAAGAGGAATTAGCAAAAACAATTAAAATTATTGGTGAAAAATATTACCCAATAGAGGACAGCTCATCGTTTGAGTGTTCTATATGCACAACAGAACCTATTGCTCTAAGTGCAATAATATTTACTGAATGTGAACATGCGTTTTGTAAAGGATGTTTGATAGAATATTGTGATTATCAGCATATGAAAAATCTTGACATGAAATGTCCCTTATGTAGGCACGAAATTTCAAAGGATAGATTATTGGCGCTGAAAAAGAAAGAAGATGGATCATATGAACTATGTCATTTCAATACCAAATCCAGAAGTTCGAAAATAGTTGCATTGGCAAACCATCTTCAACAACTTCAAGACTCAAGTCCCAGTGAACAAGTCGTGGTATTTTCTCAATTTTCAAGTTATTTGGATATTTTGGACAATGAGTTAGGAGAAATTTTCTCATCGAAATCAACGAAGATTTACAAATTTGATGGAAGATTGAGTTTGAAGGATCGTTCTTCCGTTTTAAAAGATTTTCAAATCAAAATTCCAGGGGTACAAAAAATTTTGTTATTATCCCTGAAAGCTGGTGGGGTTGGTCTAAATTTAACATCTGCTTCATATGCATTTATGATGGACCCGTGGTGGTCACCTAGCATGGAGGATCAAGCCATTGATAGAATCCATAGAATTGGACAGAAGAAAAACGTTAAGGTTACACGATTTATTATGGAAAACAGTATTGAAGAAAAGATGTTGCAAATCCAAGAACGGAAGCGTACTATTGGAGAAGCTATGGATGCTGATGAAGACGATAGAAGAAAGAGAAGAATAGACGAAATCAAGATGCTATTTGAATAAATAAAATTTTATAGATTAAACAGTTAATAAATGATTCATGTAATATTTTTTATTTATAAATATTGACCTAAGACACTTGTTAACATTACTGGTAAATCACAACTAAACGTAAACAAAAAAACATAAACTATGTCATAAAACTTTTATCCCACCTATTTACTAAAGCACTGCATAAAATACTATTGTGAAAATCTTTAAAATTATACCAAATATTAGTTATTACCATTGAATAATTAATACCGTTTAATTAAATAGATTATGATAATTTTTAAAATAGTTTTATTTATGCTTACCATTAATTCCTCAAATTAGAGTATGAAAGAAATTATGAGATACCAATTTTCAAATTTAACAGTTTAAACTAATAAAACTTTCTAATAATATATTTATTGAAGTAATATCTCTAGGGTGTTCTCCAACTGTTAATCATTAGTGGTAATAAATATTAAACAAATGATTTAAAACTGACAATTTTACACGTGATTAAAAATTCTTTTTTCGATTCTATAGTAATTTTTTCCTCTAAGCGATGAGGCAAACTTTGAAAAATTTCAAACATTGATAGTTTAAGAATATTCTCATTATTTTACCGATGAGCTATAAACTACCGACAATTAAAAGATATACAACCCTCAACTGTGCCATATTTATTCCAATAAAAATCAACAAAACTGTATTGTGATAATAATGGGTACGTATAGAAAGAGATTTAACGAGAAGGCTAGGGCTGGCCATATGGCTAGACTGAAAGAGCTAAAGAGGATCAGAAATAAGCAGTTCCATAGAGATGATCTCGAAGATGAAAGTGTGCAAGATGAAGAGGTTAGTAATCAGGATTCTAATTCATCTATTCTAAAACCAATGACAGAGAGTGAAAAACAAGAAAAGAAACGTAAATTGGAAGACCTCTTTACTCCTAAAGAATCGAAAGTATCTAGACAGAAAAAAAAACGGTTAGATAAGTTTATCGAACATCAACTTAAGAGGGAAGAAAAGAAGGTTTTGATTAATAAATTACAAGACTATAAGATAGATACTTCCTTGATGACAAGTTCTAAAAATCTAGGACATGGTAGACAAACAAAAAAAGAAGAATTTGCCGAAGCTCTAAGTCTAGAGAAACAAGGAAGAGGTAATGCCACAACAGATGAAATATTGTACGAAGAACATACCACAAAACCATGGGATAAAGAGCAACCAATTAAAACATTTGGAAATGAGAATTCTGAAGATAGTGATTCCGAGGGGGATGATTTTCAAGACAAATTTGGTGCAATCCCAGAAACAAATAAGTCTTCTTTTATTGATCATAGACCAGTGAAGTTGGGTGGTCAAGGTGGTTTTGGTTTTGGATTTTCTAACATCAAAGTTGTAACCAAAGAAGAAAAGGTAAATAGTACAATCCCAAAGAAAAAATATAACTGGAGACAGCGTGTCGAATTACAAGAGAAAAGACAAATTGATGAAGATGATGCCCATGACTTTGATTCCAGCTCTGGGGACGACGACGAAGAAGATAACGTTGACGAAGAAGACGACGATGACGAAGAAGTAGAAACTGGCGATTCTTCTGGTGAACAAAATTCTAGTGGTTCCGAAATGGATACAGATATGCAAGATGGTAGTGATAGTGATGATGACGAAACAGAATCAATACCAAAAGATAAGAGTGCTGTTGCAGAGGAGTTTAAAACTTGGGCCAATCAATCTATACGAACTATGGAAGGTCGAGATATTGAAATAGTTACACCAACCTTGAGTGTAGAATACCAACCAATTGTACGTCAAGAGGATTTGGATGATGGATTACCAACAAGTAATGTCCCTGTAGATGAAACATCAAATAGAAAGGCATTCTACGTTAAAATTGAAAGACCTGAAGAAATCCAAGCTTCGAGAATACAATTACCTGCATACGGAGAAGAACATAACATTATGGAAGCAATTCATCATAATGATGTTATCATCATCAGTGGTGAGACTGGGTCGGGTAAAACTACTCAAGTTCCTCAATTTCTATATGAATCGGGTTTTGGTAATGAGAAATCTCCAGATTATCCAGGTATGATAGGGATTACACAACCAAGAAGAGTCGCAGCTGTCTCTATGGCTAATCGTGTTGCTAACGAACTTGGTGATCATGGAAAATTTGTTGCTTATCAAATCCGTTTTGATTCATCTACAAAGAATGATACGAAAGTGAAATTTATGACAGATGGGGTATTATTGAGAGAAATGATGGTAGACTTTAAACTGACAAAATACTCATCTATCATTATAGATGAAGCGCATGAAAGGAATACTAACACGGATATACTTATCGGTATGCTAAGTCGTTGTGTCCGCCTACGTGCAAAAGAGCATACCCAAAATCCTGAGACCCATAAACGTCTAAAGTTGATCATTATGTCAGCAACATTGAGAGTAGCTGACTTTAGTGAAAATACTAATCTTTTTGCGACTCCTCCACCAGTATTAAATGTAACAGCAAGACAGTTTCCTGTTTCTGTACATTTCAATCGTAGAACACCGTTCAATTATACCGATGAAGCATTCAAAAAAACCTGTAAAATCCACAGTAGACTTCCACCGGGTGCAATTCTTATATTTTTAACAGGTCAACAAGAGATTACTCAAATGGTAAAGAAATTAAGAAAGGAATTTCCTTTTAAAAACAAAAAGGTCAATGTTAACAATGAGGTATCCAAAATTAAGATTGATTCAAGGAATGCAGATATGGAAGCTGAAGATATCGATTTTAGTGTTAAGATAATTGATGAAGAAAAATTCAAAGAAGAAATTGGTTCAGAAAATGAAAAATCGGATGACGAATCAGATGAAGAAGAAGGTTTTGAAGAAACATTGGAAGAGGGCCAAACTGAAAGTGATCCTTTGTATGTTTTACCACTATACTCTTTGCTACCAACAAATGAGCAAATGAAAGTCTTTGAAGATCCTCCTGCTGGATCTAGATTATGTGTTGTAGCTACGAATGTTGCTGAAACATCACTAACTATACCTGGTGTCAGATATGTCGTTGATTGTGGTAGATCTAAAGAAAGAAAGTATAACGCAGAAACTGGTGTCCAGAGTTTTGAAATTGATTGGGTAAGTAAAGCGAGTGCAGGCCAAAGAAGTGGTAGAGCAGGGCGTACTGGTCCTGGTCATTGTTATAGATTATACTCCTCAGCTGTATTTGAACGTGATTTTGGCCAATTTTCAAGCCCTGAAATATTAAGAACACCTGTAGAAAACGTTGTTTTACAGATGAAAAGTATGGCTATTCACAATATCACTAATTTTCCATTCCCAACTCCGCCAGAGAGACATGCACTATCGACTGCCTTAGAATTACTTCGTTACTTAGGCGCATTGGATGAAAAGGAAAAAATTACTAGCGATGGTAGAAGAATGAGTTTGTTTCCGTTATCAGCAAGGTTTTCAAAGATGTTATTAACTTCCAATGAACACGATTGTCTACCTTATGTTGTTTCAATAGTTAGTGCTTTATCGGTAGGTGATCCATTTATATCCGAGACAGAGTTGGGTATTGGTGCTATTCCAATCAAAAAGACAGATGCCGAAGAAGAAAATGATGATGATAGTGAGGATGATGCTGCCTCTCAACAGGAGAGAACAAACTTGAGAGCAAAATTCCGTAAGAACAGAAAAGCTTTTGACAAATTAGATAAATATTCTGATATTTTCCGCACTCTAAGCGTTGTGTGCGCTTACGATTATATAAAAAGACCAGACAGGGTACCATTTGTTAGAAATAACTTCCTTAGAGGCAAACTGATGGATGAAATCGTTAAACTAAGAAAACAACTAATGTATATTATTAAGTCCAACATCTCCGAAGAGAACATAGCCGTGTCAGTTAGGGATAGTGATCTCTTGGTTCCTGTTCCATCTGATATCCAAATTAAATTACTAAAGCAGATGGTTTGCTCTGGGTTCCCTGATCGTGTAGCAATCAGAGCTGATGCTTTATTCCAAGAGGATGCAAAGATCACAAACAGAACTAATATCATCAATATCCCATATATCCCGGTTCTAACCAAGAAGTTACCTCAAATTGAAGAATGTTTCTCGTATATTCATCCAACCTCCATCCTGACCAATAGTGGAGAAGTGCCTCCGCTATATTTAGTATTCTCTTCTTTGCATAAGAACAATAACGGTAAAACAAGAATGTCTACGTTGTGTGATATCAAGAGTACTGCTCTTGCAAATATTGCAAGAAAAGGTTCATTACTAAGTTATAGTAAACCGTTGACCGGTAATGGTCTTAAATCTATCAACATATCACCTACAGAACGTTACTGTTATGTAGTACCACGTTTTGGGTCTAGTATTGACAGCGACATCAAAATTGGCTGGGAACTAAATCCAATCCCTGTGCATCAGAAGAAGATTAACGGGAAGTGGATGGTTGAAAAGTTTATCACAAACAAAAACTATAAGACCTTGGAACAGAAACAGAAAGCTTGATTGAGATAATCAAAAATAAAATAATAAAAACAAACATACATTCGTATAATATGTTTGCATATCCTTTATAACTTTTTTACTATACTTATAAACTAATATTTTTCTGCATTATAAAATGCTTCTAATTAACTGTGTATTTATAAAATAAAGTTGCTTGCTCCCAACAAATGCTTTTGGTGGTCAACTATACGTCCGTCTGCGTAGTAACTATCTACGAATCTTTACATTACTTCGACGAAATATGTTATTCGATTTTTCCTTCAGAAAGGCGAATTCTGGGAGCGACAAACAAACAAACAAATTAAAGAATTAGAATAACGAATTCAAAAAGAAGCCAAAAAATACATTTGGTGTATATTGACGGCAGAAGCTTTCTGTGGGCTACGAACAAAAGGGTACCTGATCTTAACAACTAGTTAATAGAGAAAAGAATATAAAACGATTGATAAATTTATAACCATTGCTAGAAACGTATACAGTGAGAATGTCTGCTAACGAGTTATTAGATAATTTACAGGTTATATTGAAAGCTGCATCTACGAAATGTTTCGTAGTAGATGAAAAATTTCCAAGTAAATTTATTGAGACAAACCCTTCAAAGATATATCACTCCTATGTCAAGTTTATGACTAAACATGTTGCAGAGGACGGGGTTTCTATTAAAGACGAAGAAACGTTGGAACTAACTACTATATCACAGAAATTCGATGAACATGCCTATAAAGTAGAGAAGAATGGGTTTTATAAATTGTATCACGATATTACACTAGTATGTCTCAATTTAATAAATTTTTATGCTCCAGGTTCTAGGTTCTACCAAATGGTAGATAAGTTCTATAGATTTGCAACTGAACTGTTATTAAGAGAATGTTACAAGATTGGAGTACAATTAACTTCCATCGAGGACAATATTGAAAAAGAGGTTGAAGAGGAAGAGGATGATAATTTAGAAAAAAATGAATTAAGTGAAGCCATCTCATTAGATTTCATAAAGATATCAACATGTTATAAATTGCCAACGACCCAAACGTATCACATAAAGACTAAGGATCATGATCTATTTTCATCAATAATTTCAAAATCTATCCTTGATCATCGTCCCCAAGAGCTTCCAAATTCTCATTTTGAAATAAATAATATTATTCCACAAACAAATTTATTCGAAGAGGCACCAAGACTTGGATTTATTGCTGCTAATACTAGTAATATCCCTGATCCAACTTTACCACCAACTGAAATGATGTCTCGTTTCTTGCATCCAAATTGGTATGCTTTGCCAACTACAACATGGTTGAGCTATGGGGACTATAAGAGTTGGGCACCACCTTTCGATGAAAATGGAACTGTAATGGACTCTACCACTCGTGGTGAGATTTGGTTAAAGAAGCTAGGTTATAATGAAATCATAAATGAAAAGGCTAAGGGAGAAGAAAATGAGAAGTGCATAACAACATCTGAATTAGAAGAAAAAGATGAAACGTTGAAATTAGAGGATAATAAAACTAATGATAGTACAGAGGAAAGCGATGAAACGGATACAACAAAGATACAAGAGACAGACAACGGTAGCACAGAAACAGAAAAACCTGTAATAAAACTTGAAAATATTTATAAATGGCAGCCTGGTAATTACATTGAAAAGGATGAAATTGAATGTTTTGAGAATGGTACTGAGGATCAATTAATAAATGAAATTCTTTCAAAAATTCAGGGTCTTAGAAAGATAAGAATCAAGAAGAAAATATCGAAGCCTACTAATGAAGAATCTAAGCTATATTACAAAGCTAAAAGATTATTGAAAGAGATCGTTATTAACAAGGAGATAACGAACTTACCGAGGAACCATGTAAGATATATGCCTGTCTTACAAGCTAATTACAATGGTAGCATACCAGTTGTGAGAGCACAGCCTACAAGAAGAAGGAAATACAAGAAATAATAATATAATTTTAAATTAAAAAGAAATAGTATATATCTATTTAATCATGGATAATAATAATATATTAGTTGTAATTATAAAGATTTTTTTTATAACGTCTTTTTCATGAGTTGAATATTTTATGAATTCTATAGAGTTATTGTGGTATATATGTATATATAAATGTCATTAAACTTACGATTGTTAAATATATCGAAGTTTTGATTCGCTAAGAAAAATAAACACAAGGGTGAGGAAAGGTAAGTAAGAAACATATAAAGAGGTGGGACTCAATTGTTTTTGTCTCTTTCTAATGAATAAATGCAAAAAAGGTAGTTATATTGTGAAATGGTTAAGGTAGCGAAACAAAAACAAAAAATTGTACTTAGAAATGAACGTCTCCACCCATTAGGAAGGATCCGACTAAGTAACAATTCAAACCACCGATGGTAGCCCACACTGCAACTGCAGAAAATGTTAACAGATTACTATTAGTGAAATCTACCGTTTTCATACCGGTACTATGACGTACCAAAGATGTATTTTCATCTACATTATCCTGGTCATCAATATGATCTAGCTCATGATGTTCATCATGGACAGTCATAATCTTTCTATTGGCAGTGAAGTAGATTAATGGTGCTGAGACAATTGGTAAAATCAAAGATAACACAACTTGTGACAAGTTTAAGATATCTGAGATACCACGTTCACCCATCGTCAAAGTAACAAATAGACATGGAATGATGGCTATCAATCTGGTACACAATCTAGTGGCCCAAGGAGGTAAAGTCCACTGGATAAAACCTTCGGAGACAATTTGACCTGCCATTGTGCATATGATACCTGCAGATTGACCTGAGAATAACATGGCCAAAGCAAAAATCAAACCAGCTGCTGGAGATATGTAATGAACTAAAAGTTCATAAATAGAAAGTAAGTCTGCATCAGCTGCTTCTGGCTTACCAGCCAAACTTGCACCAGCAACAATTAAGATTGCAGAGTTAACAAAGGTGGCAATTAAAAACAAAGAAATGATTAATTCTGCGTAAGAAAAATGCAAAGAGTAATTGATGGCACTTAAACTTGGTCTTTCACTAACTTTACCGTACTTCTTCTTATCATAATGGTTTAATCTTGGTTTCACGATGGACGAACCCAAATACAAAGAATGTGGCATTACTGTAGCACCTAATATACCTAACGATATATATAAGGCTTGTTGATTCTTAAATATCACATTTGAAGGCATAAACCCTTTAAAAAGTTCTTTCTTATCTGGTACACTAATTTTAAACATTTCTAGTAGGAAACATAAACAGGTTAAGGATACCAATACACTCACAAAAATTTCAAACGCACGTACTTTTTTCAAATCAGCATCTTCAGGAGTATAAAAGATCAATATGATTAGAACATCCAATACTGTCAAGATCACACCATAAGTTAAAGGAATACCAAATAGAATTTGTAAGGCTATGGCCGTCCCAACCACTTCAGCTAAATCTGTAGCGATAATTGCAATTTCAGCAAAGAAATATAAGGTTAAATTTAACCATCTAGGTAAATGACGACGACAATTTTCTGCTAAGTCATACCCTGTAATAGTACCTAATTTGACACATAGACACTGCAACAAAACAGCAAAAATATTAGAAACAAATACAGCAAATAATAGTTGATATTTGAATTGTGCACCACCTGATACACTTGTTGAATAGTTACCAGGATCCATATAAGCGACACTGACCATAATACCAGGTCCTATGAATTTCATAAATTTCCGTAATATCTGAAATATGGAAGGCATTTCGATATTATAATAAATGTGTATGTATAAACGTTTTCGTTACTGTTATTGTAAATAAGAGTGAGATGACTATTTGATAATAATGAAAATAAAAATAACTAAAAAAAGAATCACTAAGATATTCTATAAATATGTTGCTTAAAGTTTAGGTAGTTATTATAACTCGAGAATAATCAAAAAAATAATAAATGAGTCAATTTTTTTTTGAACAAAATGTGTGGTAAATTTTGAGTATATCCCAATCTATCTATCTATCTATCTATCTATCTATATTTTAGTTTAATGAACCCGCAGAACTGAAAAATATGATCAATCTATTTCATAAACTATATGAAGTAATTTGAAAAGTAACTAAACAATAGATAAAACCATAAAGAACGAGAAGGTTGAACAAATCCGGTTATCGTTTCTTATATATATATATATATATTTATTTATTTACACGATATAAGCTACGACAAAATCAAGAATCATTTAGGATCTACCGTTCCTTCATCGTTGTCAGGGCAAAATGAAAAAATGAAAAAGGTTAAAAAACAGTTTCTCTTTGAAATTACTTACAACTGTTGACTATTATTATTACTTTAGTTTGTTATTTATCATGACCACAAATAAGTAGTTCCACCCATTGATTATTATTCATCATCATCATCGTTGCATTAAACATACTGAAGGAACGAAAGATATGCCATTACCTAAAGAGTACATTAGTATCTCACCTCATTTTCTCTCATATTTAAGGAATGGCCTCTCTTATTTTCTCTTCTTTCGGGTCATCGCGGGTGCACTTTAATGGGGTACCGTACCAAGTGATATTATTGTACTACGGCTAGTTCTTAGCAAGGCTGCTTTTTTGTTTTGTTTTCAGTAACTAGTGAGGGATGCACACCCATATTTTGGCTTCGTATTGGGTTTCGATATTCAGTATTAAAGTTCAATATTTTGTAAAAATATTTGCCTAGGTCTACAGAACACCTGTGGATGAACCCACTAATATTAGGGTGTTTAGGACAAGTATCCAATGTTCAGAATACCCGATATTCGTCTGTCAAGTTAAGCTGGCTGATGTAACAGGTACGAATTACGATTATGCATGTATGGAAATCATTTTAATAAAGTGATGATAATACTCCCAACATCTATATATGTAGGAATTTTTTAGTCTTGATGATATCTTACAGGTGAGTTAGCTTGCTTAACAAGTTTTAATATGAGTGAAACTTGAAATTTGCTCGACGTTCTCGTTTCTTTTGTTGCATTTTCTGAGGAGAGCCTTAAAAAAAGAAAAGAGATGGAACACTCTATTCTTTTGTCATAGCAACCGAACTGCCTCTATACATATTTTTTAGGTATAGAAAACAAATATGTAAATTGAGGGTGTTCTATGATAAATTCACTTCCCATTTATATTCAATATGCAATTCTACATTAATCCAAAGGGGAGTTCAAGTTTTTATTATTAGGAGTGCATAATTCTTATCTCCAAAAATTTTACGTTGTCATGGCATTCACCTCGAAGAAAAAAAAAGAAATGAAACAAATATGTTTTGGATCAAGGTTATACCTTTGCTGCATAGAAATGAAGAAAATGCGTACAAAATATATCTTAGTTACACATATCTGATTCTTTTTAACTTCTGATATCGTTAAATTAGAACGTTTAATATATAAATTACTGCTAATTTCTTACTGCTAGATTCATTCATTTGTTGTGTCAGTACTTAAAATGTACCAACCCCCTGGGGTAGCCGTAAGACATTCCTTAATGGAATATTGCCTCTTTAGGTTAGGAAATAACATTTCCAATTCGGTGCAAATGTTATGCGACGGTATTGTTTGTGTAGTCTCACTTCTAAATTCTTCCTCTTCTTTAATAGTAGATATATCATTTGGAGAATAGTTCAATTTTAACATTTGACTATTCGTATACTCTGAGAACATCTTGAGACTCCGCTTTCCCTTCATCGTTTTCAAGGAATTTAATATAGGTCTTGATTCTGTTTGTTGTTGTTGTTGTTGTGTCTGTTGCAACTTCATTAATTTTTCTTCCGTATCGTACGAGACACGTCTTTTCCGGTTAACTAACTCACTGAGGGGTATATCATCTATTCGTCTTTGTGGTATATGATCTGGTTTCTTTTTATTTCTATGAGAATTATTCAATTTAGTAATAATAAATGGGTTGGATAATGACATATCCTTCGACAATTGCAAATCCTCATCATCGTCAGGAATATGTGCATCATTCTGATATTTTAGAGAGGATTGAATTTCTTCATCTTCTGATCCTATTATATCCAAATCTAACGAAGGAGATTTTTCCAAGAATGTATGAGTCCAATCATTGTCATCATTGTCATCATCATCTATTATCTCTATTGATTTTGTCATACCCACAACATTGCCTTCTTTTTCATCCTTATGGATGTCTTCTATCACAGAACCATTTTTATTATCTCGATCTGGAACAAAAAGTTCTTTCTTTACAACTTCTTCTTGTGGTTGCACAACAGTAGATTCCATGTCATCTACATATGCGATACTGAGCTCCTTGGATGTATTTAACGGTTGTGATAATGTTTCAATTCTTCCATCTGAATGATGTTTTGTTTCTATTGGGGAGTCGGGTTTAATATCAAACTCAATCTCAAGGGTATTTGTAATACAGTTTCGTATTTGAGTCATCAATGCATCATTATCTTTCAAAAGTATATCATTCTTCTCTGGTTCAATATTAATGTCAACAATTTTCATGTCAATCTTGAAATTAATGTACCAAACATGAGGTTCTAATAACTTCAGATCTCTATAAATAGAATTGATAGTCTTATTCACCTCTTTACCAAAATATAACTGCAAAGACATCGCCCTATCATTAACAGAGAGAAATTTCATTGTCCTTTTATAATCTATCACATCAGAGTTAATAATCATTCTCGGTAATATCATTTCGATACTAATATGTTTATTTATATCCAATGAATTTATTTCCAGGAAATTTAAGGATACAGACTTCTTCAATTGCAGGATTGACGACAATGCTCTATTTTTAGATATATTTGTAGGGACACTTTGTTGTAGGTTCTTTATCGACACAGCACCATTCTTCTTCAAAGATACAAAGGATAAATTAAATCTAATGTTCCTAAAATCTAAAGTATAATGGTTTATCATATATTTTATTTCCTCTAAAGTACGTCGTACATTAGCTCTCATTTCAATATCTCGAGATCTTAGTCCACCTAGTAATTTTCTAATAGTTACTGTTGTCCCTTGAGTAGAAGACGACCTACCAATACTATTACTCTTTATATTACCGTTTACATCGACAAACCATTTGGTTCCGATTGATTCCTCTACAGTTTTTGTTATAACTTGCATAGAACCCATTTCCGCACTTAAAGTAGCAAGCATAAACAACGCTTCCCCTCTAAATCCCAAGGCGCTTAACTTTTGTAAATCATCAAATGTTTCAATTTTAGATGTAGTATGATTTAAACAAAGTAAGGTTCGGTCCGTTTCACTAATTCCAGGGCCGTCATCTCTAACACTGAAGTAATCACACCCACCCGTTTTTGAATCCACATCAATGAATATACTCTTGGCCCCTGAATCAATACTATTATCGATGAGCTCCTTAATGGCTGTGGTTGGGCCATAGATAAACGAACCAGAAGTGATTTTCCATTGGGAAACTGTTTCTATCTTATGTATTGCCATTTAGCTTCATTACTATGGCGAATAAGCCAATTATCTTAGTTACTTTATATAAGAAGAAGCTCTTAGATTACTTCATTGGCTTATAAAGTATATATGTTTTTATATTGATAATGTTTATTACTTTTAAATGTCGCGCGGGCTTCTCAAAAGGTAAACAAAATAAATATGATTATTAATCATAGGACCAAGGGTGCGTGATTCAGAAGACTTGAAAACATATCAAATAAGAGAGAGCGCTCAAATTACCAATAGTGTATATACTATTCATGATGATACCTGTATCTTAAGAAATGAAAGTCACATCAATTTTGCTACATGATTGTCTTCCCTCTGTAACAATAATGATGTCTTTATTCCTAATGATATATAATTCATGCTCAACACCACAAAAGGAAGAAAATATATATTAAAAAGTGTTGAGACTAAGAATGAAGTGAATTAAAGGTATAATTCGATTAAGATAACCTAGTTATATAATTTCAACGGAAAAGTATCAGAACGTTAAGTAGTGATTATTCTATAATACGAAAACATTAAACTATTCAAAACACATAACTGTTTCTTGAATAGTTTTAATAATAAAAATATTAAACCAGTAATTTCATGAATATACAAATATATAAAAATTAAAGTAAATATAGTATATAGTACTTTCGTTGGGAAGTTTTTATTCCCTATCGATACATATACATAAATAGAAGACGGACAAAGAAAAGAAATGCACATAAAGTAAACAAATAGAATGTTGATAAAATGATTGTTCAAAATGCTAACTAATTAGCGTATATATAAATGAACATTTTCAGTAAATTGAAGAATGGAAGATAATTATGTGTATTAAAAGGATTTTAATTTTTTCCTGGCTAGTTGAGCTTGTTTTTTTTTTAGTTTATACTTATTCTGAGTTCAAATCAGCTGGGAAAATACCCTTTTCTCTTTGATCATCCCAAGTTTCGATCCAGTCGACAGGGCATAAGGCAGAGTAAGTCTTCCAGAAAGTTTTACATGGAGCGAAATCTTCACCTTTTAGGTTTATACATTTGTGGTAATCCACATATGATTGCCAGCAGTGCTTAGTTTGGTTTTGTTGTGGGAATCTAGCGTCAAAACCGACAGTATGTAATGCAGTTTCTTCTTTATTTTTAGTTTGTTCACTCATTATATTGGATGTATCGTTAATAGTGGTAATTGTATATGGTATTCTTAAATTAAACTAAAATAAAAATAAGTTAATTAATCAAACCAAAAAATGAAATTAAATATAAGAACGTATGCAAAAAAAGTAGAATATATATATTTATTAAAACGAAAAATGTATGTTGTTTCGAAAACCTTTATGTATAACTGGTTATCTTCTAAGCGATTCAATTCTCTATGTATATATATATATTAACAGACTTATTCAATCCCGGCCATCTACATTTCTTGTTTCTTGCTGTTGACCCCCGTAGAGGCTCCTTGTTTCCCGTGATAACAGCAGATTTTATCGGCTGAAACATGAAAACTGACTGAGCGGCCACTTATACTTTTCTCCGAAGCGCTCTGATTGGTCTATTTGGTTTCACCACAGAAAATATTTGGCGAAGTGAAGAAGCACCAGTCAACCTCTTACCCTCTCAAGGATTCGGATGCAATAAAAGCATAGCGTGCTGCATGTCACTAGTAGACATTACGTTTAGTGTTTCTCTATGTATATGTAATGTCTATGCGTACTTTATATATATATATGTATATGTAAAAGGTGTCAAGTGTGGGGTTAAGCTAGTTTTGATGGCACATCTCACAGCATTTCCATGGCTCTATTCACTAAGTCCGTATTATTCTCTTTATCTAGGGCCTTCAGGATACGGATCAGTTGGAAACACATATCCCAGTTGTCAGATGCCTTCTTACGGTCTCGTGTACTAGCTGCTCCTGTCACTAGAATCTTTAATATATGCAACATCATCTCTTGATCCTTTAAGATGTTCGGTATCGAGTCCATCTGTGTTTGAGTGATGTCTGCATCCTGTGCTAAATCTTGCATTAACTGGCCTTCGTTATCTTCTCCTTCGTCGTTATAGTTTAAAAACACTAGTAATAATATACCTAATACTCTGGTTTCATTACATTCGATGCATAGTGCTAATAGGTCTCTAGGGGTCATATCTAAACTAATAAACAATTGTTTCCAATATTTGACTTCGATTTTCCTTAGGCAGTTGCTGACGATCTCTAACATATCTACATTTTGTGAGTCTATTGAGGGTACGCTCGGATCGTGACATAGTTTTACTAATGTTATGATATCTGTCAAATCCTCTTGATTAATTACTTTCAATGAAAGTATCTTCTCTAACGCAAATTTATAATGCTTCAATCCATAATAGTTCCTTGTGATCGAATCAAGATCAGCATTTGAAGTCTGTAATTTAGTGACAATTAATTTATCCAGATATATTTCATATTTTACAACCATTTTCGCTAATTCTTTATTGAAAATACATTTTAAAGAACGGAATGAAGCAGAATCAGGGGTAACAGACATTGGATATAGCTCTTCTTCCACATGTATTCTTAGCATAGGTTCCTGACTGTCCCATAGTTCTTCAAAGCGATATGCAACCATATCTTTCTTTTGAACCAAATATATTTCTTCCTTAATAACATCAATGATTCTTTCAATCCCATTCAGTACATTTTCAGTTTTCCAGGATTTATCTTGTTCTTTTCTTTCCATCTTGAACATTTTATCTTTGCATTGAATGAAATAGCCATCTTTATAATTTGTTAACCATCGAACCTCTCTCAAAAACTCTAAATCAACCATATGAATCTTCCCAACTTCATAAATATTTTTAACTATATTCAGTCCAGCAACTTCAATATTTGAAATAATATCAAAGACAATGAATCCCGTATTGGTCACAACGATAATCTCACCTGTCTTATAAATCAATTCACTATTATTAATGACCTTCGATTCACCTTTGTGTCTCATCTTTAATAATCTATACTTGGATATAGTATTTGTAATTACATTAAATACCTGAGTAGTCTCGGGAATTTCGTATTGCCAAATAATATGATCAGAGAAAAGTTTAGGTGTAACTTCTTGCATTGGGATTCTAGCACATATAACCTTATTTGAATCATCATCAGCTCTAACATGACATACTAAATAGGATGTACCTAACCATTGCATATCAATGATTAACAAGTCTTCATATCTTGTCCATGTATTAGTCTCCATATTTTGAACTAGTAATAGATCCTTATTTGCAATATGAACAGCCAATAATTTTTGATTTTCATTAACACATATACTACTGATATAATTATTGATAGTATCTGTGTGCAGTTTGATAGTTGGAAATAAGTCAATATTTGAAGGTCTATCATTCGATGGAGAGTATAGTATGATCTCGTTACAGTTATTATTGAGGATATGTGTTTTACAAACGCGGAAATTTGTAAATGATCCATTATTTAGTTCATATAAGGGCCATAATTGATATTCACCTGTTTCTGTTGTAGTCAATAAACTCAAATCAAAATGGATAATATCAGTATACTTAAAGATTGGGAAACTACGACTGTCGTCTTCATCGTACTCGGTGGAAAACAGCAAGTTACCATATTTTGTAAAAATTTGAAGGATATTGGTTTGTGTTAAAATTAAAATTAAATCATTACCCATTTTTTTGCAAAGTTTGATTGGGTTAAGTAAGGTGCATTCGTATTCAATTTGATTGATCTCTAAATTAAAATGGATCATCTTATTTTCAAAAATAAGCACCAAGCTTCCGTCGATGTCAAGACATGTGATTAAATTCTTTTGTTGTGTAATTGCAACTGACTTTACCTCTAGATCCTTCATATCAATTGAATTAATAATTGGGATTTGTGTATCTGGATATTCTCCAGTGACTGTAACTCTTCCATCACATACTGTGATACATTTACCATGCTCCATTTTAATCAAAGAACTTTTCCTTAATTTAAAATCTACCAAACTTAATAGTTGTAACCCATGGGGAAACAAGATTAACAAATGTTCTTCGACGGTTCCGTCCCCTACATTCGTATATTTCTTAAAGCCTAAAATGTCGATTATATCGGAATCAAATTTCAATACGATCTTTAATCTTAATTCAACTTTCTTGATTGGTAATTCTGTAATATTTTCAGGGTTTGTATTTAATATCTGTTTAATTATACTCTTATCTTTTGAAGCAGGGTACCCATCTTGTATAACTTTAGAACTTTTCCCCTTTTCAAACACTATCAATGTATCTTCATCATCTAAATTGTAATCATAATCTTGCTCCAATTTTCCTTTAAATTTATTTGGATTAATTCCTGTAACACCATAATCGGTGAATATATTAAATGGAGTTGAATTCTTTAAAATTTGATAAGTTAAAAGATAGTTATTACTAGTTTGAACATAAAACACGATTTTCCCTTGGAACCATACCAATGAATCCCTTTCTCTTTCGGAGAACAAACCTTTAATTGGTTTTTCAAATTGAATAGATGGTTTCACAGTTACGTTCTCACCAAACTCCTGTATAGAGCTAACACTACGTTCATGAGATGATACTAATGCAAACGGTTTCATGTTATATACTAACACCCTAGCTGGGGTTAAAAGTATTACTAAATTATATTGTACCAATGATATAGTCTTCACGATACGGGAATCATCCAATTGTAGTTGATCATCATCGGAGGAACGGTTTGGTATCCTTAATGATTGGGGAGGACATTGGGGCCATGCAAACATTGGAAATAACGATTAAATCAAAAGCGAAAACTAAAATAAAATATGTTAGTGGTTATGATCCTTATTAACTGATATTAAGGGCCAGTAGTCGATGTAACTTTGTAAATAATCGTTTAGTACTGTATATCTATATATGTGTGTAATCGTTTATTAGTACGTAATAAATATGTAAACAGCAGCGTTGCAGTAAAATGTGAGCAATTCCCGGCATCCATAGATACGCATATATGTATATATACATTTTTTTGCCTATATAGCCCGTGAATAACAGAGAGATAGATAGATAGATAGTGACTCTGTCTATTTAATAAATGAACAAATCTTTAAAGTATTTAATTTGATAAATATATGTAATTGTTATATATAAAACGATCAGCGAACCTTATTACAGTAGCATACCCATCCCTATAACTAATAAATATAAAGGAGTGGACAAGGACATAGTATTTGTACCTGGCATACCATTCTTCGAACTCTTTGAAGTCTTTGTGCTTTTTGTATTTGTTGATGAACCCGATCCATATATAGAAGTAGTGGTACCATTCATTGAATTTTGAGCACCAGTAGAATTTGTAGTTGTTAAGGGGTCTACTGATGTCTCCAGGTCATCCTCAGTTCCCATAGAATCGAAATCTCTTGGTAAATACATTGTAGTGATATGACCGTCTTTCAAAAGTGAAGTATACCAAGGGAAATGTGTTACAAATGTTTGGAATTGCGTATATGGGAATGAATTAATGATATCATTTTCCAAATCTACAGTACTTGGTAATTTTGCCAGATGATTATAATAATCTGCTACTTCCTGTGGTAATTTTAAATGGTGTTCAATCATGTAGGAAGTATATGAAGGATAATTCTTATCGAAATCATTTAGAAATGCTATAAAGAAATTAAAATCCTTATCTTCGGCCATCGATCTATAAAGGTACTGATCAGCGACCGAAGCCGCATTACTGTGATTAATTAAAGTTGTCACGGCGAGTAATAGTAATAAACCAGTTGAACATAGTGTTGAGGAAATCATAGTGTTACAATTTGCGTTGCCAAGATATGTATATTACAAGAATGCAAAAGAAAAACAAACAAACGAAAACAGAACTTGCAAAATAGCAAATGATGTGATCTGAAATATACTAGTATATATACTAACGTTCAGCTAAACCTCATTGATATCAGCTATAGCAAACAGAAAAACCTCTATACATATAATCTATGGCACCATTCTTACAGGTAGTGAAAAGGTCTCACTTATATGAACAAATTAAATAAATCCTCAAAATTGCGAAAGCAGTATACGCTCGATGCAGTTTCCTAAATGGGTTTACAATGAGACATTATTACGGTAATAGAGAACCCTGAGAGAAACGCGCGTACATACAAAATTCCACGAAAAACAGCTGATGGGTATTTGCCCTAGTTAATATTTCCAGTATGGCAATTAATAATGCCTCACCTCATCGCACACACTGTTTGAATTAGTGGGAATGCAGGTTCATATACTATCAGCCGGTGTCTGTAATAAGTATTCAAGTAATGAATAAATATATATATATATAGATTTATATATATATAATGTGAAGGATGTAGTATTTGACAACTCCGGACTAAATACATTTCACAGAGAGAAGAGAGCCAAAGACTGAAAAATTTCGTTTTCATTCGTTGCGCTGTGCTTTGCCGGATGGAAATTTATATCCATTTAGCCTGTGATGGATGAATGGAGAAAAGGGAAGCAAAAAAGGGGATGGTCTGCATAGTGAAAGAAAGCTTCATCATTATAGATGGCTGAAACGGAATTAGCACTATTTGAAGCGAATCTCCAATTTTTTACAATTTGACATTTCCTGTAATATATAAATACAGGTTTCGTAGCAACTAATTAGATCTAATATTTTTAGAAACAATTATTTTCTAAGGGCATTACGTATTGTTTATCTCTAAAAGTATCGCACGCACGCACACACACACACACACATATATATATATATATTCAAGAATGGTTAAAGTTGCTGTGCTGGGTGCATCCGGTGGTATTGGACAACCATTATCACTATTATTAAAATTAAGTCCTTATGTTTCAAAATTATCTTTATATGATGTTAGAGACCCCTCTGGTACGTCAGTAGACCTCTCTCATATCAATACTATTGCCGAATGTCAATCCTTTGATAAAGATCAATTGGTACAGGCATTAGGAGGTGCTCGAGTTGTAGTGATTCCCGCCGGTGTCCCTAGAAAGCCAGGAATGACGAGAGATGACCTGTTTAAAGTTAATGCCAGTATTATGCGTGGATTATGCGAACAGATCGTTCAAGTATGCCCTCTGGCTACTGTGTTGATCATTTCTAACCCTGTCAATTCATTAGTGCCAGTTGCTATAGAGACATTTAAGAAACATGGTATTAATGACGCCTCTAGAATTATGGGGATTACTACTTTGGACCTGGTTCGGGCAGAGACATTTTTAGGTGATTATATGAATAATTCAAGAGTCACTACGGTTGGGTCTAACCAATTCGATAAGAGAAGAATGCATAAAGTGGTCAGTGTCATTGGTGGACATTCGGGTCATACGATCATTCCAGTCATGTTATTGAAACCAATGGTATACATGATGAAACCGGGACAATATGATTCTTTTATCCATAGAGTTCAGTTTGGTGGTGATGAAGTGGTCAAAGCTAAACAAGGGCAAGGGTCGGCTACTTATTCAATGGCATATGCAGGGTATAGGTTTGTAGAATATGTTTTGAAAAGTATTCAACATGAATCTCTTGAGGGATTAGGCTATATCCCTGCTTATGTCTATTTACCTGGTTTACGTAATGGTTCTCAAGCACAGGCCAAACTAGGCTCAAAGGAATTGGAATATTTTTCAGTACCAATTCAATTGGTCAATGGACGTATCGATGCAGTCGATACGACTATATTGGATAAGTTGTCTGAACAAGAGAAATTGATGGTGGAGAAAGCTGTTCCTGAATTGATTGCAAATGCAAAGAAGGGACAACGATTCATTCATAATGCAGCCAAGTTGTGAGCTTGAACTCTTCTTCTGGTAGAAAGGTACCGTTTTATTAAAATATATATATAATATATCTCTGTAAGTAATTTAATCGTAGCTTAGCTTTAATATATTCGTCAAAATAACAACAACAACAACAACAACTAGTACTATTATCATTACAGTAGCTTAGTCACTAGTCATCTACTCTGAGTATACATTACAATCCAACTGTGTGTATGTGTGTGCGTGGTACGTAATCACTTTAACCGGTCTTGAATGCGGTTGTATTATATTCTCTAATCAATGATAAATATAATAAACCCAGCTATACAGGGGAACCCCACCATAATAAAAAAAAGAGAGAGAGAGAGGAAATCCGCGCAGGGGGGAGGGACTCACATACAAAAAATTCTCGGAAAATAGATGCCGATATAGAATAATATTGATGATAATGATATAATCACAGCACAATGCGAACAAGCGTAGTTGAAACAGGCCGAGAGATTGACGGAATTTGGTAGACGTTGGGTTGAGGGGTCCAGTTAATAGTGTGATACAGTACATATATAAATATATAACAGAAGGAAAGAGAGATAGATAGATAAACTGAATAGTTAAGGGGTTCGGAGCTTCTAGAGGTTGGGGACAAGAGAAGTACTACACAGATAGAAAGTTAATAAATTTATTTTCTCTCCCATATGGTGATGACTACAGTATTGAGAAAGTTATTACCATTTGCGTTTTCTTCAAAATCTAAACGTGAACAAGCAGAAGAAGAAGCACGTAAAGTTGCGATATTATCACAATCAACATATAAGAAACAACAACGACAAAAGAAATTGAAAGAAACTAAAACAAAGAGCAAGAAGAGCAAAAAAAAAGAGAACAATAAGAATAAGAATAAGAATACGAATGTTACTGTAATTAAAAAGGAGATTGAACATGAGGATACAGAATCCAAAGTTCCTATTGATTACAAAGCACCAAATAATGATTCATTATATATTCAAGCTATTGATGAAGCAATACGGTATAAATTAATCCATGAAGGTAAAGAACCCGATATAAGTGCATTAACGACTATTGGTAGGATTATAACACAATATCAAAAGGATCCAAATCCATATCGACAACATTATAAAGGAGTTCATATTGTAAGAAATCCCAGTACAGATAGTGATAATAGTAATAATGAAGTTATTGCTAAAGATTCAAATTTAAATAAGCAAGCATCTATTGATACCATAACAGGAAACACGAATATTACAGGAACTAGAAGACAAAGATATAATAAGAATCGTAACACAATGATTGAGCCATTGACATCTACAGCTACCAATGAAATTCATTTATTAAATAAAAGATCGACCAATACAGTTGATCGTAGTGGTAGTAGTTATGATAGTTCAGAACGACCATTAAGAAAGAAACCACAAAAGGATAAATCTTCGACGAAAGGTAAAAGTAATAATAAAAGTAGTCGATTAGATAAATTTAAGATAAACAAGATGATTACACAAACTAATACTGAGAGTGTTATGAAAGGTATGTATATTAGGAACTTACTAACCCCCCTTACACGTTAATAATATTTTTTTTTAATTTTTTTTTAATTTTTTTAACCAAGTTGCTATTTAGTATGAAAACCAGAGCTGAACCTGTGAAATGGGTTCAAGATAACTTCATATCATCATTTAAAATGATGATATGATTGAAAAATTCACAATTACAATGTCCGAATTCACGTGACTACCAGGTCCTAGTATCCGAGAAACGGGCCGAAAGACAGAAAGACAGGAAAAAAGGGGAAACCCGCTGTAAAAGAAACATCGTACGATATGTATTTCCCTCTGTGTGTGTATGCCATGCTATACGATGCTCTCGCAGAAAAAAATGGCATTTCAGTGAATCGGGTGTTTTGATTCTCCCACTTCATTGGTTGGTTTCAGTTCAAAGTTTAGCGGATGGAATATATTGTCAGTGATGTCTGTTTTGAAACAACAAGACTAACACAGGGCTATTATCGTTAACTCCGCGATCTCCATCCATTTCACGGTGTATTCTTTCTCCTCATCTCAATATATCACTAAGTGAAATCTTATCGAGCATCCATCAGCAATTTCCTTCGAAGTGTCACACTCTATTTACACATACAGATGATAATATATATCGCATTGATATCGAACTGCTGAGTGTGTACTGTGTGTGTATGATTTCCCTCTTTCCACATTAAGAAAACAGAGAAAGAGAGAGAAAAACAGGGCGCCGCCGCATCATCGTAATATTAAATATTGCTGCTATTATTATTACTCGCTATGGAGATTGACGAAAAGGAGAAGAGGCAGAAAAGGACAGCTGAAATTAAAGCCCGTTCCCTCATAATAAATCACAGTCGATCAAGAGTCCCCCTTGTTTCCCCCGGCTTAAAGAGACAGAAAGAAAGAAAGAAAGAAAAATAAATTATAAAAATAAATAAACTGGCAAGAGAGACAATTAAAGAAAATTGTAACAACAACAACAACGAAGAGAAGTTTATTCGATTGATTGATTGATTAATTGATTGATTGATTGACTTTTTTTATTTATTGATCACTCATAAGAAGTTCATTCATTAATTAGTATTTATTGAAACCCAGCATTGATAACTAACCATCATACATATTAAAACCCTTTTTTCCTTCATCTTCTTCTTCTTTCTAAAAAATATTAAAAGAATAATAATAACAATAAAGCAGTGTTAACAGATTAAATATTATAAAAGTGAATTTTGCATATATTATTTTAATAATTATCCCCCATAAAAATAGCAAATAGAATTATAAAAAAGAAAAAAAAATACATTACAATGAATATTGACTCATATACTAACAAAGAAATAGTGCATAAACAAGTCTACTATGGACATCCAGCTTTAGATGGTGGACAGGTTGACCATTTGACTCCAATACAAATATCATTCCCAACAACTGAGGTTATAGGCCATGGTTCATTTGGTGTTGTCTTCACTACAACCATACAAGAAACTAATGAATTGGTAGCAATTAAAAAAGTGCTACAAGATAAAAGATTTAAAAATAGAGAATTAGAAATAATGAAATTATTAAAACATCCAAATATTATTGATTTAAAATATTTTTTTTATGAAAAGGACGAACAAAGTGAAGTTTATTTAAATTTAATATTAGAATGTATGCCACAATCCTTATATCAAAGGTTACGTCATTTTGTTCATCAAAGGGCCTCTATGCCAAGATTAGAAATTAAATTTTACATGTATCAATTGTTTAAATCATTAAATTATCTTCATGAACATGCTCATGTTTGTCATAGAGATATTAAACCACAAAATTTATTAGTGGATCCAAATACATTATGTTTAAAATTATGTGATTTTGGTAGTGCAAAACAATTGAAACCCAGTGAACCAAACGTTTCATATATTTGTTCTAGATATTATAGAGCTCCAGAATTAATATTTGGCGCTACAAATTATACTAATCAAATTGATATATGGTCAAGTGGATGTGTTATGGCTGAATTATTATTAGGTCAACCAATGTTCCCAGGTGAAAGTGGGATCGACCAATTGGTAGAGATTATTAAAATATTGGGAACACCATCAAAGGATGAAATCTCTACAATGAATCCTAATTATATGGAACATAAATTCCCACAGATTAAACCTATTCCTTTAAATAGAGTCTTTAAGAAAGAAGATGATCTAACGGTAGATTTCTTGGATCATACATTGAAATATAGTCCTTTGGAGAGATATACTGCGTTAGATTGTCTCTTACATCCTTATTATGACGAATTAAGGATATCAACAGATCCACAAATTCAGCAATATGTTAAAAATTTGGATTTACTTAAATTTGATCAAGATATAGAACAATCTCATTTTCCAAGTGATAGAATAGATGATATTAGAAAGAAATTGTCTATTGAATAATACTAATAAAACAAGAAAAAGAAAGTTTGAAGGATTGTATATCTGTCGAATTATAAAAAATAATTCAAAACATCATTGCATATTTTACGCATTAATTGTAATATATCATGTTTAATGGTGTATGAAATCCATTCTTTGTTGTTTTTCCACCTTTCTTCCACCTTCATCTTCATCATCGAAGTCGTCATATCTGTATAAACTAATTCTCCCTTATAATAATAACGTCTTAACTCTTATCCACTTAATCAAGACCATCTAATAATTTCTTCGCATTTTTATTCTACTTTTCACATTCAACATATTTAAACATAAAATCGACTAAATTCAATCAGATATAAATATGAGAATATATATATATATATAAAGGAATTTATTGAATATGCATACTACTGTGTAATTACTATCTGATATGATTGAACCTACATATATATCTTGGTATTATTACAAATTTGTTTATACATATATATTTCCTGCTAAGTACATTTCGTTTAACGACCCGTCAAGCGAAATATCTATAAACTAAACTTCGTACCTCTTATCTTTGGCTGTTTGACTTCTTCAATGTTGTCAAAATTATTGAAATGTTTCCGTTCAGGCAATTCATCGTTCTGTGCAGCGAAAAAATAAACTGAAAAATAATGAAATTCGAGCATATTGGCACAGACTCGCTGACTTAATTGCCGTATTGACTGACTTCACAATACGCTAAGTATGAACCTGCACAACAATTTACAGTTCAGGAATAACATCAGGCTATTCTGCCGCATCCTCATAATAGGCTCTTACTCTTCCGTTAAAAATACGGTCCCTGTTCGATGAATTGAAACGGATCGATGTCAACTAACACAATCATATTCTAGTTCATATTTAATATTATTATTCAGACATAAACAAACATTATCGTTATACATCTATATTTTTATTTGATTAACTTTGAAAGTCTAGAGCTTGAGAAACTGAAGATAGTTAGATTCTTTGTTCGTTTGTTGTTGTTATTCTTATTGATTGTTTCTTTTTTTTTGACATAGCATTTGGTATGATTTATATTGGAAGTACTATAGATATTTAGATTTTAAAAGTTAAAAATTAATTTATTTCTTATAAGGTTTTAATTACTGGAAGAGAATCACCGTATTTGTTATAAATAAATTATGTCATCATATTCACAGATTAACAATTTGCCTCCACAGATTTCCGTAGGTGAATATATTTTTCATAGATTGAGGCAATTGAAAGTAACGACAATATTTGGTTTGCCTGGTGAATTTAGTATGCCTTTGATGGATAAATTATACAGAGTTCCAGATATGAGATGGGCTGGTAATACTAATGAATTGAATGCTGCTTATGCAGTTGATGGATATTCCCGGTTGAAACGTTTAGGCTGTATAATTACTACTTTTGGTGTAGGTGAATTATCTGCTATGAATGGTATTGCAGGGTCATTTGCGGAACATGTTGGTCTGTTACATATTGTAGGTATGCCACAAACTAGTGCCACGACTAAACAACTACTTTTACATCATACACTTGGGAATGGGGATTATGAAATATTTTATAGAATGGCTAATGATATTACATGTTATACAACAATAATTATAGATTCCGACTTTTGTGCTGATGAAGTCGATATGTGTATTAGAATGGCTTGGGTAAAACAGAAACCGACGTATATGGGGGTTCCATCAAATCAAATAGATTTACAAGTAGATTCTGCTCGATTAGACATAGATTTAGATCTTCGACTAGATTCGTTGATCAACACTTCGCCAATTGATGGTATAGATAATAAGAGGACACAAAGTAATGGGTCATTTGGACAAACTGATTCACAAAGGATTCAAGATGATATTACAAAGACTATATTGAAAAGAATATATGAATCGAAAAATCCCGCCATAGTCGTGGATGCATGTGTAGCGAGGCAGGGGCTTCTAAGAGAAACTCAATTGTTTTGCGAATTGACTAAGTTTCCCACATTTGTTACTCCGATGGCTAAAGGGATAATAAATGAAGACATGCAAAACTTTGGTGGTGTGTTTACTGGATCAATATCCTCCCCTGATGTTAGAGAGATTGTGGATTTTGCCGATTTTGTTATTGTGATAGGTTGCGTCTTAGAGGAATTTAGTACATCGAGTTTCCATTTTAATATTAAATCAAAGAATCGATTATTTATATTTGATGATTCTGTAAAGATTAAAAATGTTGCATATCCAGAGATAAATATCAAAAATTTATTAAAAAATGTTTTATTCGAATTAGATCAATCCAAAATCAATTATACATTCCATAAGAATCTAGAGATCCAAGTACCGAGACATGAGCTCACTAGAGATCAATTACTTCGACAGGAATGGGTCTGGGGTGAGTTCTCCCATTGGTTTAGACCAGGGGATATCATTATCACAGAAGTAGGTACATCGGCATTTGGGATCATACAGACTAAATTTCCCAAGAATACATGGGGTATTTCACAGGCATTGTGGGGTTCTTCGGGTTATTCATTAGGAGCATGTCTTGGTGCCTCATTTGCCGCACAGGAATTGGAACAAGAGGCAGCGATATATGGGAACACTAGTAGTGGTGAGTTAAGTCATAGAGTAATTCTGTTTGTTGGTGATGGTGCATTCCAAATTACAATGCAAGAATTGTCTACCATTATAAAGGCAAATTTAAAACCTTACATTTTTATTATGAATAATCAAGGTTACTCCATTGATAGATTTTTACATCATAGAGCAAATGCCAAATACTATGATATTCAGCAATGGCATTATCTATCCTTGCTTTCAGTGTTTGGTGCTACGGATTATGAAACGAGAAAGATTATCACAATGGGAGATCTACAGGATATGTTAGCCGATCAAAATTTTGCGATTAATGATAAAATTAGAATGTTGGAAGTTATGGTTCCATCCATGGATGTTCCTCAGGCAATTATTGACAAATGGCAAAGGGAAAAGGAAGGTAGTAATGTAATTAATGAGAATGATCGTCCTCATTCCATCGAAACCTCGAATAGTGATATATTGAGTTGGAGTGAATCCCCTTTAACAGAACTGGAACCTGAACGTAAGAAAAGACATTTGTAATTGTAAATGGGCTTTTTATTGTTATATTTTTGCATATTTTATTGATCTAGTTAGAGAATAAGTACCATCATATAAAATCATTTACATATTCTTTAATAATTATAAATTCAAATAAAACATTTATGTTTTGTATAAAAATCATGAAGTTGGGATTAAAAGAGGGAGATACTACTATATAAGCTGGTATAAACAAAATTAATCAAATGATTTAATGACACGTTCCTCCCTCCATCCGTGCCTAAACATAGACTAGAAACAACAATTCAAAAATTATCTAAGATTATATATCGAGATCTAGGACTAATTAAAGACATCAAATACACATCTACACATTATCAATACAGTAATATTTCTTTGTAGAGTTTTAAAGGTCAATATTAGATTATATCTATCGTAACGCTACAAAAATATCTTCAAAAGATGGATCATTTTCAAGATCTGGTTGCATTTAAACACAACATTCCAGCAACTTTATTAAAAGTAGAGATATTATCATCTAATATGTGTTATAGCCGCTAAAAGAAATTGTGCGATATTTAATCATCTCGCACGGCTAGTTCGTCATTAGTGATCACGCACAACTTCGAAAATTTTTATGAAAATTTCAGCGATGCGGTCTCGCTGGGAAAAGATGGCAGGATGGAAATTCATTGAGAGATAGTGAAACTTACTGACAGTTTGCAGAAACTAGACGAGTTCCACTTACCATCAAATATTGAATAATATATCTATATATTGACGAATCATGAAACAATTACGTATATACATTAATCGTTTGTCGATATTTCATTAAACCTCCTTTAATTAATAAAAGAACCAATTAAGGAAAATGTCTGACAACGTCGAAATTGCTCTATCTTACGCTGCCCTAGTTCTAGCTGATGCTGAAGTTGAAATCTCTTCTGAAAAGCTAGTTACTCTAGTTGAAGCTGCCAACATCCCAATCGAAGGTATCTGGGCTGATATCTTCGCCAAGGCTCTAGAAGGTCAAAACCTAAAGGACCTTTTGGTTAACTTCTCTGCTTCTGCTGCCCCAGCTACTGCTGGTGGTGCTGGTGCCGCTGCTGGTGCCGCCGCTGGTGAAGCTGCTGAAGAAGCTGAAGAAGAAGCTAAAGAAGAATCCGATGATGACATGGGTTTCGGTCTATTCGATTAAGGAGAATATTAATAAATTTAAATTTTATATATATAATAATATTTACGTCTATATTTTCTTTATAGAGTTTTAGTGCATACCTTTTTTAATAACCATAACAAGAACTTAACCTATTTCACAATCGGCTGAAAATAAAACATAAACTATCAATATATATCTATGTATCTCTATTATGGATTACAATAATTGAAGTGGCATGTAAACAGTAACGTAAGGGATCGGAAGTTCACTTCGAAAAATACAGGACTATCTAACATAGATTAATCTCATTTTTTATAACTAGGAAGAAGATGATGATGTAAAATTATAAGTTATAAGTTCCCATTATACAATGTACATAATATATATATAAACAACAGAACAGAAAGAAAAAGAATGATGATTAAATATTAAATTAGTAATATTAAGCTTATTTCTTCTTTTCAGCTTCAGCTTCAGCCTTTTCTCTGGCTCTCTTTTCTCTGATACCCTTGTATCTCTTATCGGATCTAGCCATTCTTAGAGTTCTGTAAGCAGATTCACCGTTGTCTTGGACAGCTCTGGTTTCAGTTTCACCAGTTGGTTGAGCAATTGGGAAGGCAGCAGAAGCAGACAAAACTTGTTCGGTTTCTGGAACCTTACCGTTTCTTGGGAAAACAATGATCTTGGATTGGTATTCCTTTAATCTTTGGACGTTTAGTTCGAACATTTCTTGGTTTCTGTTTTGACGTCTGTGGTCAACAGCAATACCGATAGTTCTGGCGTAAGCTGGGGTTAGACCAGCAGCCTTGACTTCACCGAAGGTGAAACCTCTACCAGCTCTGACCTTTCTGTTGTACTTGATAGTTGGAGCTCTAACAACTGGTCTTAGTAGGTCCAATGGTCTTGGGGCAATCTTAGCAGCCTTGGCGACTCTGGCGTCTCTTCTAGAAGCTTTCTTACCAGCTTGGTTGAAGTGGACCTTAACACGTTCTTGCCAGTGCTTTCTGAAATGGTTCTTTAGTAATGGTAGATTCTTGGAGATAGCTGTTTAATAAAATATCAATACAAATTAATAAAATTAGTTATATTGTTTTTGTTGATTGTTAGTAAATTGAAAATTTCATTAAATTGCTTAAAAAACAACAATAATTCTTAAGATTTAATAATTAGTGGAATTCTAGATATATGTTCTTAATCACACACAGCACCACCTCATAGATGTATATATATTATCTATAATATTTGTCATTGACACATTTCTTATCCCCATATATTGATCTATATCTCCTTATTTGTTTACTCTTGTTATCAAATATATGAGTGACTTTTTTCCTTTAAATATTAACTAATTCGGACATCAACTTCATAATTCATTAATCACTCTACGTATTAGCTGATATTAAGATAGTTCTTCATTTATAGTCATATATTTGTACTTAGATTCATTCTCATATCTATCCAATTATTTCATTATTAATCCTATCCTCGTTAATCTCGTTATAACATACCCATTGTGTTTGATTTTTCTTGTCGATCTTACTAAACAAACTATTAAAAATTAAGAATTACTATCAAGATTATACATGTTTAAAAATCTACATCTATTCAAATATATCTTACCACTCTAAATTTTGTTATTACATTCAGTATACCATTAGGCTGCTGGTACCACTGAAACTTTCAAGTCTTCAATCTGTGTGATGCCCTACAGTTAGTGCACTTGCCCTCTGAATACTCGATAAAGACTCTATTGCAAAACTTTGTTGCAATGTGAATAGTTCACTTTCCAGTCCATATCGTGATGGTCTGAGAAAGTAGTAGAGATTGTCCCCTGTGGTCTCCCTCCCAGGTAGGAACAATAGTGGAATAGAGTAAACAGAAACTAATCTGACTACCAAGCAAAGCTGAACTGCTCACAAATTGTCGCTGGGCAGGATTGGAAGTTTTCCTTTCACTCTAGGCAGAAATATGTTTACACGGTCTCTGGGAGAGTCCATCCTACCGGGCACCCGATAAGGACAGCCGACCCTACAAAAAATAAACAAATTGTTTTAAGAAATGATTTTTGTTTAGTTTTAAATAAATGTTCGGGTGGAAGAGGCGCCAGGACAGTCATAAAAAATAAAATAGGACTGCACCTTCCGTACATTGTTTGATTATTCGTGACACCATAACACCACATAAGTAATTATTCGCATAATGCACAATAATTTAAGAAGAAGTTAGAAAAAATTAATAAATATATGAAAATCGTTTACAGAAGACGCGAGGTGAAAAATTATTGGAACTGTATTCTTAACTGAAATTTGTGCAGGAATTAATTCATTTCACGAAGTAAGATGGCACACATTGTGAAATGAAGTATGGTGAAGGTGGATTCGTTTCTATGAGGAAAGAACTAGACATAGGGTGAATTTACAATAGTTACCGTGACCTGAATAGAGCCATAGTAGCAGCTTCATGCACTCTGTAGTAGTAGATGATTATTGAAATTATTGAAGATATCATATATGTTGAATATATTAAATATATATAGATTTATATAGATTATACTTGTAATTAATACATTGTAACGTTTTAAAAAACCGAATAAAAATAAGTGCAAGATGTCTACTGTCCCAAGTGTCCAAGTATGTACCATTATTGGTGTAATAAAATATAGAGAATATGAGCGAAATTTATTATGATAGAACGTCTATTTCAAGAAGAATTATCATGAGGTGTACATTTAGGATGTATTTAAACCACTCTGGAGTTTGGAATAATGTTAAAATTCAAGATCTATAAAAAATATGAGGAAAAACAATCAAAAGAGGATTTTGAATGAGAAAGAAAATGATGCCATCGTATGATTATTATGGATAATACAGATTAAATGATCGTAGTTATTCCTAAAGATGTTATTGTTCCAAACTTTTCTTTCGAAGGTACATATGACACATTTTCTTCAAATATCTAGAAATTATCATCATGTGAACAGTTAAAACTAATGAATATAACGAATATAATATAGTGAAAAAGAAAAGACTACTTTGTTGATCATACCTTTTATAAACCAAACTGAATTATTTACAAAGAACTTATAAGAACTCTCAAAATCTCGATAATATTTCCAATCATATATTGTTCCTTTTTTACAATTTACTAACGTTTAATATTAAAAATTATTATCAATGGTGAAATTCTACTGACTTCATCCTATTATTATATTTTTATATGTTGCAATTTTAATATAGACTTTCGGTAAGAAGAAGTCCGCTACCGCTGTTGCTCATGTCAAGGCTGGTAAGGGTCTAATCAAGGTCAATGGTGCTCCAATCACCTTGGTCCAACCAGAAATCCTAAGATTCAAGGTTTACGAACCATTACTACTAGTTGGTCTAGACAAGTTCGCCAACATTGACATCAGAGTTAGAGTTACTGGTGGTGGTCACGTTTCCCAAGTTTACGCCATCAGACAAGCTATTGCCAAGGGTTTGATTGCTTACCACCAAAAGTTCGTCGATGAACAATCCAAGAACGAACTAAAGAGAGCTTTCACTCTATACGACAGAACCTTGTTGATTGCTGACTCCAGAATGCCAGAACCAAAGAAATTCGGTGGTAAGGGTGCTCGTTCCAGATTCCAAAAATCTTACCGTTAAGGAAGATTTCAAATGTCAAACGATTTTATATACGTATTTTTGTCATTTTATCACAACTTCATCTCGTTTTTTGGTATTCCACTTTTTACTTAAATAAATGTATATTTTAATATCTAGGTAATATAAAAGAAACGTTACTCACTAGAAGATATCAATGTTAATATGATCTTTATGAATTAGACTTAAGTGTATTAATATATAACTGGCACGCTGGAGTATTATTACTGATCTCATCAGGGCCAAAAGAGCATTGAAATCTTTCAATAGTAATCAACCAGTAGTATTGTCTTTTTATTACTTCATTCTTTATTCTCCGTGTCTATTTAATAACTCGCGTTTGTTTGTATACGCGTAATAATAGAATATTATCTGGCGTTAGGAAAAACAGTACAAAGTTGTTTTAGAACAAACATTGTAGTATTGGTTAATGGACTTCTACAAATAAATTAGAAGTCCTTTCATCAACCTAGATCTCTAAAATCAACCTTGAATTGATAGAGTAGAAGGAGAGCTTTGAAAATTATCTTGAGTTATATCAATCTCACAGCTACACATTTGACGAACTCCATAGATTCAGGATCAAAATATACAATAACATCTTCTGAAACAACTGGCCTCGTCATGAACTCAAACATACCAATAGGGGCCGACTCATTAGCTCAGAAGGTGGATTTGTCGGTGACTGATAATCTTGCACAAACAGATCTATTACAAGCAATTGAAATTGGAAAGAAATTCCTCCAGAAGGCTCAAGAAACGAAAACAACAAAAGAATTAATCAATATACCTAGAGTAGTTGATAATAGTTCTGATGTCCGAACGGTAGTTAGCTCATTAGTAGATGCATTGAATAATTCCTCACAACAAATCCAGCAATTGAAATTCAAGAATTTGATGCTAAGCAGTAATAAGAACAATCTAGAATCAAGACACGAAGTGGAAGGTAATTTACAAAAACATGAATATGAACGTATAAAGACACAGATGCTTCACGAGAAACAAAATATGATACATAATTTAAATATCTCAAACAATAAAGTTCAAAAATATAAGAAGCGAATTGTAGAAAAGAATAGGGAAATCAACAAATTACTGAAATTGTTAAATGACCATTCCATCGATGTGACACAAATAGAATTATCTTCCATTGAACCATCTAGTACGTCATCAATCAGGGTAAAATCTCCTGATGATATATCAAAAAACCGTAAAGCTGACATGTTAAAGGCGCTAGGAGTGTTAGCCACCCAAGTACTTAATGATGATACCGAAGATGGTTCTATTAATCAAACTTATATTCAAAGTTCAATGCGTGCGGAAGATGATAATATAACAGAAGCTGAGATATCAGTATATCAACCATATAATCATGCTAACCGCAATAACGAAAACCAACCTACAACTAGTTCAAATGTATTATTACATAAGTTCAGTAATGGACCAATTCTGCCTGAAATTAAGAGTAACAGTCAGTTGGCTCCTGTAGTATTACCAAAAATGAGAAGTTTTAGCACAATTGACAACAGTTCAAAGAAGGTATAACATTGTGGGGGTTCTTTGTTAAATTTACAATATATGTTTCACAATACAAATTATTTTTCAAACATTTATTACTAGTACTATTATAAATTTGTATTAAATACATATACATACATACATACCGGCAACCATGCTTATATAAGAAACATTTACTTAATACAATATAATGTCAGATAAGGAATACAACTTAGAAAAAAAACTGATCATGCTATCTCAATTCCCGAATAAACTTGAAGAAAAGCACATGTCACTTTTACTAAATAAACCCTGATATGAGGCGTTTTTATTTTGGATAATTTATTAATTTTCTATTTCTATTTATGTAATGTTTGGTTATTAATTATCGTTATTTTATTTTATTATATTCTTATCTTCCAAACATCTCAGGTTATGGTAATTACATGAACAAAAATTAAGGGGATTCTAAAAGAGACTATTCCGTCATAAAAATACTAAAGTTTTAATTTTTTACTTCCTAATTGTTCAAATAAGTTGATGGATCGATACCTTCTTCTGGGAATTCAGCAATCTTAACATCGAAACGTTCTTGAATCTTAGCTAGAACTTCTTCGTCCTCCTTAGTGGAAACGAAAGAGATACCCAGACCCTTGGTACCGAATCTACCAGCTCTACCAACACGATGTAGATATTGATCAGCTTCATTTGGTAAATCGTAGTTGATGGCAAGGTTGATACGTTCAATATCAATACCTCTACCAAAGACATCAGTAGAAACACAGATACGCTTTTCAAAGTCCTTGAAGGCCTTGTAACGAGCGATACGTTCTTCTTGTTTCATGTGACCGTGCACAGTAATAGCAGGGAAGTTAGAAGCGTTTAGTAATTTGGTCAATTCATTAGCTCTGGCGGTAGATTTAACGAAGATGATGACTTGGTTGAATTCCAAATCATCTAACAATTGTGCCAATTTACGGTTCTTTTCACGTTCTTCCAATTTAATATAGTATTGTTGTAGACCGTGTAAAGTCAATTTAGCTTCATCATCAACAAAGATTTCCAATGGATTTTGTAAGAATCTTCTACAGATTGGTCTAATTTCTTGAGACAGAGTAGCAGAGAACATCATGACTTGTTTGTCTCTTGGAGTAGCTCTAAAGATATCCTGAACATCCTTTCTCATGTCTAATTCTTCTAGGACTTTATCACACTCATCAATAACGAAGTTCTTAACATGAGATAAATCAATCAACTTGTCTCTTACTAGAGCCTTTAAACGACCTGGAGTAGCAACAACAATATGTGGAGCGGTTTCCTTGTTCTTCAACAATTCAGCGTCCTTAGCAATTGGAGTACCACCGTAAAAGACTGCAGTCTTAACATCTGGCATGTACTTAGAGAATCTCAAGTATTCGTTACGGATTTGGTAAGCCAATTCTCTAGCGTTACAAATAACAACAACGGAAACTTCACCTGGAACTGGGTCCAATTGTTGCAAAGTGGATAGGACGAAGACGGCAGTCTTACCTAGACCGGACTTAGCTTGACATAGAACATCAGTACCGTGAATAGATTGTGGAATAGTATGTTGTTGAACTTCAGAAGGATGTTCAAAACCACAGTCAATGATTGCTCTAGACAGTTCTGGTTTCAAAAGGAAATCCTTGAAACCAGTGGAGTGGATACCGACGTAAGAACCCTTCTTGTCGCCATCAGCAGCAGAAGCAGCGGCTTCACCAGTGACATTAACGTCAGCAGTTTGACCAGCTTCGCCAGCTTTGGTAGCATCGACTTGGATCTCTTGTTCGTTATCAGAGTATTCTAATAAATCTTCTTCACCTTCGTGGGACATTGTTAAAATTCTATATTCAATATATGGGAGGGGTAGACAATAAACAAAAGCACACACGTAAATAAAAAATATTAACCAAACCTAAGAGTATGCAAAAGATTAACCACTATTATGCAATTAAGAGTCACTTAGTAGGAAACTTTAAATACAACACAAACAATTAACAGTATTAAGAACTACTAAACATACGATTGTTAAAATAATATTGTTTTGCTAAGTATGTATTACTTCCCTTTCGTTTGGTACACCTAAACCTACCCATGTGTACGTGTATGTATGTAAGATAGTTAGAGTGTTGACTTACCGCTTGCTGACGTTGTTCGTTTGTTTATTCCGTGAAAGTTTCAATTTTTTATTTTTTTTTGGTCAAAATGTTTACAAGGGAAAAATTGGGGTTACCCCCTTGCAAAGGCATGATGTCACCTTGTACGATGTAGTTTATAATATTATAGTCATCATGATTAACTTCTTTAACGGTAGGTAAATAGGTAAAACAGGTAAACAGGATATATATTTAAGTTTATATATATTAAAGATATTTAGAAAATAAATAAAAACATTAACAACAATATAATTGGTGAATGTTGAGTGGATGTAGCGTTTGCAACTATATGGAGTTACGACCAAAGAAATAGAATTTGCACCAGTCCATTGAGACCATCAACGTATTTCTAATCGATACACACATGGACAAATATACGATTTTCCAGAATAAAAAGGCAAATGGACTACCACGTAATTGATAATCTTTGCCTGCTATCTTCAACTCTGCAATGGCACGTTCGGATCCAATATATGCTAGAGTTCCTTTATAAACATATTTGAAATTTGGCATTTTATTTTTCACAATATATTCTTGCTGTTTCTTTATATCGTTCAATTGTCTTTCTGATATACTCGATAATTGACTCTTCCAATCTAATTGATCCAATTTGTGTAGTTGTTTGAAAATATTTGCCAAATATAAACCTTCCTGATAAGCGACTTGAGCAGTTGGTGCTAAACCTCCATGGAACGTACAATCACCAATGGCAAATATAGACGATTCAGCTCCTAACAATTGCAATTTTTCATTGATCAGTAATCCACGACGATCTGTTTGAACATCTGATAGTATTTGTGCTAAATTTCGAGTTATATCCCTTGGTTGAATACCTGTCGCCCAAACCAATACTCCATAAGGAATTTCTTGTTTTTCTTTATTAACTTCAACAGTAATTATATCTGAATCAACACCTTTAACAAAAGTATTCAATTTCAAATCGATTTTAGATTTTTTAATAAAATCTTGAGTATATTCAATTAAGTTTTTATCAAACATATTTAAAATATTTGGTAAACCTTCAACTAACTTAACTTGAATATCTTTAGATATTTCTGGCATCCATTTGCAAAGACTTTCATTTACATAATCTTGTAACTCAGCTGCCATTTCAACTCCTGTGGGACCACCTCCTACTACCACAAATGTTAATAGATGTTTTCTCTTTGGATCATCAATATCTAAGAACGCAGCTCTTTCAAGGTTATTAAAAATCTTTTCTTTCATCCTAGTGGAATCATAAGCTTCTTTAATGAATATGGCATTTTCTCTAACACCAGGAATATGGAAGGTAGTACTCTCTGCACCCACACACATAACTAAATAATCATAATTCAATGTTCTCGTTTCTTTATAATTATCTACAATTTTAATATGCTTATTCTTAGGATCGATATCTGTAGCATTTGCCTCTAAATAGACAACCTCACCTTTTTTTCTTTTCAAGATATGTCTAATGGGCTCCATGATAGACTTTAAATCTATTGTACCCACTGGTGTAGAGGTCAAAAGAGGTGTAAACAAAAAGTAGTTTCTTGGTGATACTACAACAACGTTATATTCAGTAGTATCTAGTTTTTTCAATAGCGATACTGCACCCCAACCAGTACCCAGTATAACCAATCTTTTCCTTGGTGAACCGTCTTTAAAAGTAGTACTCTGTGGTAGTTGTCTCTTTGGATGTAATTCTAAATATGTAATATAAGTGAAGTATCCTGTGATACCAAGAAGGGCCATCATACTATATTTAAATATTTTCTTAGAAACACTAGCAACAGACGATTTAATAATAGGCTGTTGCTGTCTTGAATATTTCATTCTAGATTGTTTAGACCATATCGGTCCCCTGTATACGTTCCGTAATGGAGAAATACGAGCCAAAGGCTTGAAATTTCTACAACCACTTAAACCAACTCTATACGAAAACATAATTATTATATAAGCAGAATTTTGTCATGTCCTCTAAGTTATTCAAAAACAAAAAATCCCACTACCACAAACTAATACAAGATAAAATAAAATAACATAAAATAAAGTGTGTAATACATTTCCTCCTTTTATACCACCAGTAATATCCCTCCTTCTCCCCTTCAAACATGTTGAATGTATATAAATAATTTATTATTTGCTATTCTGTCTGTCTGACACATAAATTTCCTTCTACTTTAAGGGTACCCCGCCTGAAAATAGCACAGGCCGACTTTCGCGGACGGCGATGCAACTGAATACTGTCAACCATTAAATGTTCAATATAATAATAAAGTCCCCAAGACGTCAAACTATGAGTTGAAAGGTCGATAGTCAGTATACATATCTATCTGTCTATCTATATATATAGATCCCATTTAAAAGGAAGAGTATTCATAGTAAACCTATACAGTTATTATATATAGAAAACTTTAGTAATAAAAAATAGAGCGTGCAGAAAAGAAAAAAAATAACAGACAAACATGTAAACATTAGTACTACCACTAACAGACATGTTCGACTGGTTTATTATCATCTACAAACTCACCCAGATCAATTTTCAATTTTCTGTTGAATTGTTCAAATAAGAAACCTAGACAACTTTGAGTGATTGCGGCATCGAATCTACCTTTACTAAATTCATCTCTAATGAATGCATGTTGGGCATCCAATACCTCCAAGAAAGTAAAACGAACACCATTATCTCTTAAAGTCTTTCTAATCAAGTCTCTACCTTCTGGTGATACATGTGTATCCAACGTCCCAAAGATTAGAACCATCTCTTGATCCTTTGATACTTCCTTGGAGATACGTTCCAACGAATCATCATTCTTACCTAAACCTAGACTCTTCAAATGGATATCTGTTGGAAAGAAACATGTTGCACATGTCACTCTCTTGTCCAACAATGCTCTAAAGGCCAAATGACCACCAAGGCACATACCTGTAGCACCAATTCTTTTACCATCAAAATTAGGTAAACTATACAATACATCACAACATAATTTGTTGTCTTCATCATATGAATCTACAGGTTTTTCAATCTTATATTGGTTACCTGTATCAGTGCCTGGAACATCATATGGCAATGGCTCAGGACCCATAAAATTATGGTAAATAGCTGGTGCTGCAACAACATAACCTTCTGAAGCAATTTTTTGGGCAAATCTCTTGACTGGACCTGTGACTTGATATATCTCACTATAGACAATTACACCTGGGAATTTAGCCTTAGGGTAGCCTTTGATAGTAGGAGCATAGATATAAACACGTAATGTGGTGCCATCCTTAGTAGCAACGTCCTGATATGATTCCGTAATTAACATTTTTTTCTAAATTGAAGTTATAAGGGTTAAAATATTTATATTTATATGTGATTTAATATTTGTATTTGTTCGATTTGATAGTAGTGACAACCCTTGTAACACATACGAACAATACAACCTTTTTCCAATTCCTTTTCATATTTATATCTCATCGTCCAAAAGTTAACTGACCTAACCCCTTGTTAGCTTCTTGTCGTCGTCGTCGTCTTCTTTCCCATTGCTCATCTCATCTCGGAGATAACAACTTTCAACTCTAATTAAGTAATCACCACAGGAAAATACGCAGAGAACATCAATAAAACCACAACGACTGAAAAATTTCGTCTTCCCCGAGTAGACAAACGGAGAGGATATCTGTTGAAGAAGAGCGCATCGATCGATTGACTAGAACATGGTGAGATGAGGTGATATTCCAATTGTTGTGGCAATTGAACATATATGTTGTTTAAATGGTTGTTTACAGATTTATATCGATGTATTTCACCAAGAAGATAGCTAGTTTGCCAAGCTTCGGCCTGAGAATGCATAACGATCATAATATTGAAGACTTAAAAGTCAAGCATGTAGAACCCCCCCCCATCAAGATTACCATTGAACTTAAATAATTCATATACACTCATATAATATCTCTGTGTATTGTCTCTATTTCTTCTTTTCTTCCTCTTGCTGTCTTTGTTTACTTATCATCTTTAATAATTGTCCCAAAATGGAAACGCTCTCCTGGAGCCCAAACTACTAGGCTGAATGTCGAGATATAAACATAAATATAAATTTCAACAACACATACATACAACTATACGGATAATACAAATAACTTTCTAGTTTTTTTGCAAACTTGTTTGCTTTGGTTTTCTATCTTTACTGTGGTGTTTAAAAGGGATCTCCATTCAATTTTCTGGTCGAATGAGTGGATCTACCACCACTAAGATATGTAAAGGAATCACAACTAAAGGTATACGATGTAAGAACAAGGTATCAAACGGTGAATATTGCAGATATCATATCAATAATAACAATAATGGTACAAGGAACTCCTCTAAAACCAATAAAGGCGAAATAAATACGGTTCCAGGATGGTTCCCTGCTTATTTAAATAACCCCATTCAACAACCAAATACACGACGACCAGGTTACATATATATCTACACTTATAAATTGTTATATGATGGAATATACGGTAATGATCCCCAAGTTTTAAAATGGTTAAAGATAGATAATTCAGTGTTAAAACCAGGTAATGATAATAGAAGTGTCGGATGGAATGATATGACTCAGATTCTTTGTAAAATTGGGATGACCACAAAATCAAACGTTCAATCGAGATTAAATGAATGGGAAACTTCGTGTTTACATAAAGTGATAAATTTGTCTCCTTCAAGTATTGATACGTTGATTCATAACTCAGCAGGGGTTTCATCAAAAGATACCCATAGTTTATCCAAGTTAATGAAAAGATTATCTTTATCTCCCAGAAAGAAAGAAAGTCTCGAAAAACTTCATCACCGTGAAGTTCAAACTTATTGTAAAGATATCAAATTATACACTTACAAAAATGGTGGATTCTACACAGACGGTAAAGGGTCAATGACGTTGCAGGATATTGAAAATGCAATCCACCAATTATTATGGAAGAAGTACGGGAAAGGTATCATTCATTGTTCTGGTTGTAAAAGAACAGGAGATGCATATAAGAAACATATAGAATGGTTTGTTCTACCAATTAGAGATCTACCTTTAATACTGCAATTTATAGATAATTTTTGTTTGAGCCAAAATAGATTAAAATAAATAGCATATTATATTAAATTATATTATATTTTAGGACTTCTATAGGCCATTTATATATAAGTTTTCTTGTCATAATTGTTTTTGGATTGCCATCATGATAATTGTTCTTTTACCATTGTCCGCAATGAGAATATACCTTCTTATAATATTCAACCATTTGAAGAATGGTTGAGTTCTGCATCATACCTACATAAAGATATTCAATTCCTTGGCGTCCTTCAAGTATAACTTTAATGAAATCATTGACTAACTTTTCTGCCTTTTTTTCTTTATTAATTGGTATATATATCAATAGAGGTTTATAAGAATATCCGTGATTGATTTCCTTTAAGTTTAACTCACTACTCATACCGTCATGAAATTGAACAAGACCAGCTTGAGCTAAATGGTAATACGTTGATATCTCCTCATTACTTTCATCAGAACCTGGCGTTGATGTTACATTGACAATATATACGTCCTTCTCAGGTGGCACTATTTGTGTGATAAATAGTTTAGTAGCAATCATTACATTGATTAAATTAGCGTTTATTATATCCCTGCAATTTTTTAAGGGATCTTCACCTGTTATCCCATCCAACAACTCATTAACATTGTTTATTAGAACAGTACACGATAACCCCAATAATTTAGCTCTAAAGAAAGCATTGTGAACTGATTTTCTTTGTGTAAAATCACATCGAATAAAATGATATAACCCTGGGCAATGACAATTTGGATCATCATATCTGTCAAAATTTACTACCTTAGTCTTATATTTATGAACCAACACCTGGCATAGTATCTGCCCAAAAGGTGTAGTTGACCCACCCAAAACCAGTACCACATCTTCTTTAGGATCAAATCTTTTAGAAACACCGATGGTTTTGTATATTTGAAGAAGCTGGTTATATATATATTCGGTAAACATTATCGAGGAGATTTCGAAGTGTCTAAGTTTAAATAAAATTTCGAAGTTAATATATTGTTTTATAAATAATGTACATCAGAAAACGATATATCTCTAATGTATTTAAATTTATGTATCCTTTTATTATTCTTGTACTGCCTTCAATTTGTGACGCTGTTTCTCATATTATCGAGATAAAAAAATATATATTCAAGAGTTTTAAAAGATCGGCGTATTTTATTCACTTCATCACATTTAAAACTTTTATAACGATGGAATATACAGAGCAAGATTCCAGTTCAATACCATTAAGGTAAAGCAAATTGACACTTAGAGATTCTCAGATATCAAACCAGTTTAAAACATCCAAAACCAGAACAATATAGATTACATACTACAAGACAATAAAATATGGGAACACCAGCAGCTGAACAGAGAAAACTTATAGAACAACTTATGGGTAAAGATATCCAAAGTCGATTTGGTGGACGAAGTAGATATTATCAACAAAACTTGGGTATACGGGATCGTCGTGTGTGTAAATCTTACCTTGTTGGTGATTGTCCCTATGATCTATTTCAAGGTACCAAGCAAAGTTTAGGAACTTGCCCCCAATTACATCTATCTAAGTATAAGTTGCAATATGATCGAGATATTGCTAATGGCAAGAGATATCCCGAATTTGAAAGAGAATACTATTTGGTATTGGCAAAATTTGTACATGATTGTAATGATCAAATAGAAGTAGCTTTGAAAAATTTAGAACATACATCGGAAGAAAGAGAAAGAATAAAGACCGTCACCAAAGAGTTAGATGATATTGATACGCAGATAGGTTTGATGATGCAAGAAATAGAATCTTTAACGACACATAACGAAGTATCGAAAGCAATAATGCAATCCGTAAAATTGGAGGAAATGCAAGAAAGACGACAAGTGATAGCCAAAAATGTTAAGAACATAACAGAGAATGTAGGTCAGAGTGCTCAACAGAAATTACAAGTATGTGAAGTTTGTGGAGCTTATTTATCGAGACTGGATACTGACAGAAGACTGGCAGATCATTTCCTGGGAAAGATTCATTTAGGATATGTTAGGATGAGGGAACATTATCAGTTATTTAACAAACAGACTGATAATAAGATTTAGACAGATAAAAAATAAATATTATAAGATATCTTTGCATTAAATATTTATAAATTATATATGATATCGTGATATAAATTTATTTATCTTTCAAAATTTATCCTGTTTATTTCATTACCATATTATGCACATTAGTTTCGTTTGGAACATCCTCAAATTCAAAAGTTAATTTGTTATATTTCTCCCTAATCAAATCACCATTCAAAGAGTGTGTCTCAAAGATTGGATTATGAATAATGGATGGTTCAAACTTTGCGTATGGCAATTTATGATTTGTTGCGTCTATCATAACATTTTGAAATATTTTGTTTACAGTAGGTTCTATAATTTTTTTCTGCATGTCATCAATTGTTGCAGATAATATTATTGATTCATCTACTAATTTCACCTCATATCTCTTCACTATCACAAAATTTAAAATAATCCAGTTTAATACCACGATTGAGAAGGTTCTGAAAGAGACATCTGAAATCCAAAGGAAACCGATTGTAGTAGGGTTAAAATAGACAAAAAGTTGGGTCGTAAATTTTGTTGGTTTCCATTTATTCAAAGTATAGAAATGCTTACCACTTAGTTCATGATCCAGCACTTCACCGTTAGTTTTTTCAAATATAAAATATTTTAACATGGACCATATATTTTTCCTACTCATATCTTTGTAGTAGCTCTTTGAAAGATCATCTAGAGAACATTTAGTTAAATTTGGTGAATTTTTGGAAGGCTCATTGTTGAATATCGAATATGTTCTAAACTGCTGAAAAAGATATGTGAATGATATTTTGACATCTATCAGTATCAATACAAACAACATACAATTTATACTTGTGTCGATAGTACTATACCATGCATATTGCTTCCTTTCGACGCATATTTTAGATGATACATATTGATCTAAGTATGGCATCTCCTTTAAAGTTTGTGATTTGGATAAATCAAATGCATTTCGATTTCTATATTCTTTATAGTAATTTGGTCTCACTACATTGTCCTGCAACAATCTCAATATATAGAACATTATAGTGGCACCAATCCCTAAAGGTTTGGCAATTTCAATCGCTTTTGCATCCCAATTTATAGATTCTATTTGTTCATATAATATTAACTGAATATCTGATGGAGATATTGTCATATAATATAGTATTTTGCGGAACCATCCTTTAGGGATATCCACTTCTGCTTCATTTAATTCGTCTTCATTGTCAAAGGGCAACGACAGCCTCTGTTTATTCGATATTCTCATAGACATAATGAGTTACAGCCGTAGGAGTTTGTTACTTTTTAGGTTATTGTATACTTCTTCATAATTACATATACTTTTTATTAATAATTTAAAGTTGGCAAGAGAAAAGTTTTGTCATTTAGCATGTCGCCAAAGTGGCCTTCTGTTAAACTGTTAAATTCAAAATTATGAATTAATGTGATAAATTATTTTCAGCCCTGTGAAAGAGCGAAGACTTTCCTTAAACAGTAAAGACTACTGAAACCAATAATTAATACCAAGTCACAAATAAAATTGTAAGATATCTACTCTTGATTCATTTGTTTAACAAGCAACAGTCGATATTTTCTAATAAACCTATAATCATATATCAACTAGATTATTTTCTGTAGCAACTGGAAGATTGCGTAATATTCTCATTTATTTCTGCGACTCTATGCATGCTTCCATATAGCGTAATTTACACATGCGTCAATAACATTCATTAATCAGTACCTTTCAGTTACTAAGACCAAATTCATATACTTGTAGTGTCAAATAGAACCTCCATCTTAAAGGGATATGCTGGCTCATCATTTTGTTTTCTTGAAGAAAGTTAATTTGTTTGAGGTTTAGATCTGGTCCTACAGAAAACACCGCACCATAAAACAACCATAACCTCTAAAGAAAATTTCAATAAATTTCTTTATGGATTTGTTTCAATTGGGAGGGTGATTCAAGCAAGGGTATGGAGTTTCACGTTGGACATAGTGACCACTTCAGATAAAGTAAGTTGTTCAAGAAACCCATTATACAACAAATAATAGGCTAAAAGATATATTAGATATAATTCTATAAAGGAGTGGCATAATAATTTAGTGTTCTTAAATCTTTAATTTTATTTCAAGTTACCTTATATAATACAATATGGGTGCAAAAAATCTGGCAAGAGCAAATTATATTAGCTCTGAACTGTTAGGAAGGAAAAGAGAAACGGTAGAGATAGTCACCGAGGAACCAATTGAAAATATAATGAAAGAAGTTGAGACAGACACTACAATTGACCGCCATGAAGTAATGGATATGTGCGAAGAATTATTGAATGAACCTCTCCATGCATTAGACCACGACTATGCATTGAAAGGTTTGAAATTTGCCTTCGATTCAAATATGCCCCCACAAATGGTAGCACTGGACGCTTCACAAGCATGGATGGTATACTGGATCGCAAATTCTATGCAAGTATTCAATGAAACAACAATCGATGAGGAGAACAAACGTAAAATGGTTGAGAAATTATTTTTAATGTCTGAAGATAAAGGTCCATTTAGCGGAGGAGAAGGGCAACTTCCGCACATTGCTAGTACATATGCTGCAGTGAATGCATTAGCATTATGCGATAATTTTGATAATTGCTGGGATCAACTCGACAGAAAAGCCATATACAAGTGGCTATTATCTTTAAAACAGACAGATGGTGGTTTTACCACTTGTAACCCCGTTGGTGAACGTGACATAAGGGGTGTGTATTGTGCACTAAGTGTGGCATCATTATTAAATATAATGACAGATGAATTAATCGAAGGTGTATTGGAATATTTACAAAAATGTCAGACATTTGAAGGTGGGTTTGGTGCTACACTTTTACAAGATGAGGCTCACGGTGGGTACACATTTTGTGCAGTCGCAAGTTTGTGTATCTTGAATAAATTACACACTATAAATGTAGAAAAATTAATGGAATGGTGTAGTGCACGCCAATACAACGAGGAAATGGGTCTATGTGGTAGAGGAAACAAGTTGGTCGATGGATGCTACAGTTTTTGGGTAGGTTCTACAGCTGCAATGATTGAAGCCACTACTGGGGTGGAATGTATAAATAAACAGGCATTGCGTAAATATATACTAAATTGTTGCCAATCAACAACTGGTATATCATTAAGAGATAAACCAGGAAAGAATGGTGATTTCTACCACACAAATTACGTATTAATGGGTCTTGCAATCACGGAGAGTACATTTAAATACAAAATGGAACCCAACAAGAAGTCACCGTTCGATTTGGTGTCGATTCCCTCCACAACTGAAGACAAACCATCTGATCTATCTTCAATAAATCCAATATACGGGCTTCCATCAGATGTTGTTAGAAAGTTCCACAAACATTTTGTCTGAACCAAATGTCTTTCCATTATGGGGTGCTAGATTCTCTAATAATGTAACTGATCTATGTAAAATTCTCATGATATATGCACATATATGCACATTTTGTTGCACGTACGTATAATAGTATGATACCGCTTTAAGGCAAAAATAAAGAGAGTGCGAATAAGTATTAGTAAATAGAAACTACAAAGGAAAAGGGTGAATATTGCTAAAACATTTAAGTTATTCAATTTTTACAAAAGAAGAACTTACTAGTGACTAAATTATCCATATTTTTTGATCCATATTTCAGCACTGCAATAAATTAATGAGTGTATTAGGCTATAGGGATACACAGGACAATGTTCCTGGTGGATTTCCAGACGTATCTGTAGCAAACCAATTAAACTCACAAAATGAAGATTCACAAATCCCTTCACATAATGGACTTCAGGATATTACCCAATACAAAATATCACTTAACAAAATCCTATATATGTTTTTTCAAATTCCACTATTGTTGCTATCATTATTGCTAACATTTACTGTGTTTATAATAACAACATCAAACAAGTTTCTAAAAGTAACAAATTTCTACGACAGTTCACATAAACAGATAGATTCGAAATCCAACCTCTTCGAATTATTAAACACCCTAAGTATGGAGTCTCATAGTGCCTCTACAACTGAGGATATATCACGATACAATTTTGGTTCGATTTATAACTCATCTAATAGCATAATTTCAGGGGACAATCTACAATCGAGTTACACAGAACTACTAGATGCATGTACAAAACAATATAAATTTGGATTCATATATTTACATGATAAATTAAAAGATGATAGTATGTGCTTCGTGGATAACATATTATGCACTGATCAATTCATCAATATGGTAAAGAAACACCAAGGTTTAATATGGTTCGGTGATATAACAAAGGCAGAAGGATTGCAAGTTGCAAATAACTGGAAAGTTAGACATTTTCCGTTTGTTGGCGTAATTATGATGAAAAGATCTAACAAAGTAGAACTAATAGCAAAGGCAGAAGGTTCATTAATTAACTACAGTCCAAACAAATTTGAAAGGGTCCTCAAAAAGAACCAAGAAACATTAATCCAATTGATCCAACAACAGCAAAATATAGAGATGCAACGTCTAATTAGAGAGCAGCAAGATTCAAGATTTAGGTCATCTCTAAGAAGAGATCAGGAGAGAAATCATGAATTAGAAGCAGCTCGATTACGAGAGCAACAAGAAGCTGAGCTTCATGCACAACAGGCCCAAGAGGTCATACACCAAGAAGAACTCCTAAAGAGATGGTTGGTTTGTCGACTTCACAGACTTCATCCTGAACCTAGTACTGGTGACAATGTAAGTAAAGTCGCTATCAAACTCGGAAATGGTGAACGTGTAATCCGCAAATTTGATGCCAGTCTTCCTATTGAAGAGATATATGCATATGTAGAACTTCGCAGCAAAGGAATACTGTCTTTACAATATAATGATATATCAGATACAATACCTCCAGAAAATTACATCCATAATTATGGATTTAAACTAATATCACCTGTTCCAAGGGTTGAATTACAACCTGAGACTATTATAGAAGAGAGTACGGCAGTATTCCCATCTGGTAATATTATAGTCGAAGACCTCGATTAAATAGAGAGGGAAATTCCACTTTACATAGCTGCATTTCCAGATACATCTCTTCATTACATCACCCATATATAAATATTTTTTAACTTTTACTTTTTTTTTTTTGATCAGTGACATTAGTATAGTACATAGTATTTATATTTATATTATTTTATTTTTATGCTAAATTCATCAGATATTCTCATTTAGAAACTCTTTTAGATTTCTTCTTCTTGTCCTTAGAGGTAGAATTCTTGGACTTCTTCTTCTTCTTTTTAATTAACCCTTGCATTCCACTTTTTGCAATGTTAGAGTAATCTTGCCAGAACTTATCAAGATTAGAAGCATCGACAATGGCCGAACATTTAGTCTTCTTTGTATGAGAGGCATACCATATTCTTATCAATAGAGGATATTTTGTTGTTGAGTTATTTTCGACTTGCTTACTTATGGAAGAAACTTTAGAAACATCATAGTGAGGAAATTTAGTAGCGTCTCTTTCTGGGTTTCCTTCAACGTGATCTAATTTTATTAATCTTTTAACGCTGACATGTACTGTAATCTTCTTTTCGTTCGCAATCTTAAAGAATTGGGCTGCCTTCACCAAAAATTCAGATTCACTCAAACAACCTTCGTTTATCATTTCTTTTCAAATATATATAGATCACTTTCTAAATTGAAATACTTTCTAAATTGTACGTAAATTGTTCATAGAACGTATATAATCATTTATATTCATTAATACGAATTACTGTAATGTGTTCATCTTCTATCTTTTAAGCACTGAACTGTTCTTCGTCTCTTGGTATGTTTACGGTTAAAATCGAAATTTTGAAAAAAAAAAAATTGGTCACATGATTATTGGTTCAAAAATAGTTGTTGACCATCTACAGCTCAAATCAAGGCTAACCTTCTGACACATATACTCAGTATTTCGTTGTCTAATGATGATCGCTAGTTAAGCTGAAATATGCAATAATAATTTTAAGAGAAATAACATATTTATTAGATTATGTAAAATGTTTCATATATTGATTACCATCAATTAGAGTTGACGATGTGTTTTTCCTTGATGACAGCGTTTGATTCAGCTAGGATCTTCTTCACTTCTTCTGGATCCAATACGTTACCAAATTCATCCTTGAATACCTTTTGACCTGGTTGGTTCATGATATCATCAAATTTAGCCTCTTGTTCAGCGACTCTTTCTTGACTTGGAGCATTTGGATCAATCTGTTCTTCTTGTTGCTGTTGCTGTTGTTGTTGTTCAGCAACTGGTTGAGCACTCTCGATTGGATCTAATGCGGTGTTTCTTGGTTGCGTGAAGATGTGGGTTTCTAATTGAGTGAAAGGACTTGGTTCTGGTAGTTCAAAAGCTTTGTACTCTTGGTAGTTACCGAAATAGTTCTTACATGGATAATCCCAACTAGAACTCCAAACACTCTTATTACATAGATCACGAGTCCACTCAGTACCGTAAACTAATGGTTTATGATCATTGAAAAAGTAGATAATCGAGGTGACAAATAGTGCAACGATGACATAACCGATGTGAGATCTAGTCTTGAAAACAATAGTAACCAAAGAGTTTAGAGTTAAACCAATTGAAAGAATACCGAAATAGTAAGCTGGTAAGTAAGCAGAAATGAACAAGTTGTTACCGAAGAAAATAAATGGAACGAAATGAACAGCGTAACCTAACAAAAATTCAAGAGTCTCCATATGGTAACTAACGACTTCGGGTGTTTGTAGGATTGGCTTACCAACTTGCCATCTTAATAATTGAACAATGGCAAAAATAGCGTAAACAACTAAGAAGGCAGAAACGGACCACCATAGGGTAGCGTTACCTAAAAAGTATACATTTCTGTGATTGTTGCTCCAGTAATCGACACCACCAGACATTGTTGGCCAGCTGAAAGCAGAAGTACTAGCAGGATGTGGAGAATCTAATTTCTTCATCATGTAGAACATCTTCTTGTGCAATTCAACGAACTTTTGGAAGAAACTTAGCTTTGGATAAGAAATTAATTCAGCATCTTCAGCTAGTAAGAAGTTTTCGTTTCTTTCAACGTACCATAGAGTTAATTCATCAATACCAGAAGAAGCACAAGTGACTTCTTGTTGGTCAACACCCCACTCTGGTAACTTAGTGCTATGAGAAAATAACATACAACCAGTCATGGCGTGTCTCAATCTGAATTTGGTTTCAATGGCTCTTACACGTTCTTGAGCAGCACCTGGAGTAGAGGCATCCTTATCAATTTCAATGATCCAATCATCATTTGGATCACCTTCAAACCCATCGTAACCATAACAGGAGACTTCCTTTTGCCAGTCAGCATTTTCAGAGACTGGAGCTTTATGGTCATGGGAATGTAATCTACAGTGGGAATTGTGCAATAATCTAATCTTGGTACGATCTGTCAAGTTTTGGAAATCAACAAGGATCTCACCTGGCTTGTCATACAATTCAATGGTCCAGTCATTCAATTCATCAACGAATGGATATAGAGTGATTTGTTGTTGTTCTGAACCCTTTGGATAATTCAATTGATGAGAATGTAAGTAACCTCCAGTCGTACCTGTATGTCTTAAAGAAATTGAAGAGCCGACACCGACTTCGACTTTAATGTCCTTTGGAACATTGTTACCAATCAAAGATGATTGATACTCAGGAATAATAAATTCAGAATCATCAGAAACTTTAGTCATCAAAGAGATATGAGCAGCAAAGGAAAGTAAGTAAATAACAACTGGAATAATAATTAAAATACCGCCCTTCATCACGGTGTGTTTCACGGACATGCAAACAGGTTTAGACAAATCACCCATCATAAAGGTAAATCTCCAAATACATAGTAAGCCTAACCAAACGATTGTACATAGACCAACCCATTTTGAGGAAGAAGCACAACCTGCAGCAATTGCAGAAATGATAATGTATTTGTAAGATGCACAAGATTCGTCAGTGTATAATTCAGATTTCTTGAATGCATATACAGCTAGAGCAATGAAAAAAATAATTGGAGAATCTGGTAGGATTAAACGGGAAGTAGTAGCGAAAGCATTTTCAAAGATAAATGCCAAGGAAGTAGCAAAAGCTACATAAATATTAGCACCAGAAAGACGTAAAGTGCTGTAAGTTAGGATAATGGTGAATAGACCTAAGGTAGCGGCAAATGATCTTAAGACAATGTATGGAATCTTTGAAGTGTAAAGAGCACCAACTTGAGTGAATTTGAAGTTACCTTCGTAGCCACTAGCCTTAGCAACAATGTTGTATAGTAGTCTAACCATTGGTGGTTCAGCATCCAAAAAAAATTCATTGTTAGCGTATTTGGTAATCAAATTACCGTAATGGTTTTCATCGTATACTACACTATTTGGCCAGCCCAGTTTATGGAATCTAACGAAAACGGCAATAACAATTAAGATAGCTAATAATAGTTTTTCATTTAAGGTATGAGGAGTACGTTTGGTAACAACGTCGACAGATTTATCAACGATGATATATGGTCTCACTGGACCTTCTTTAATCTCAACTTCAGAAGTTGCTGTGGTATCCTGAACCACAGAACTCTTGACCTTTCTACCAGACATACCGATGATTCAAATGTATTGAATATATTAAGCAGTCCCGATGAGTTGTATCGTTTTAGACAACAAAGGAAAATATAAATAAGAGGAAGGATATTGTCAATTTGTTTTTACAAGTTTTATAATTATTCAAGAAATTAATTGTTAAAATTTATATCGACTTTCTTAAAGAAATAAATTATCCAATCTAATGGTTTCTCAGGTTTTACTGGTTGTGAAATGGTTAGACTACCAAACAAAACAAACTTCAGCCAATTTTACAGGGACATTCGCGCTTTGCAACGAATTTTTCACCGAGAACACGTCAATATTAAATTTCAAACACAATTAAATAATGATTTTCGCGGGAATGTCTGTCTTTCTTTATTATGGCGAGAGGAAAAGGGACGCGTTTCCTCTCCGTCGCGAGTGACAAGTATACCAATCATAAAATGGAACTGTATGATCAGTAATGAGTTCTTTATTTCGTGATAATGTGTATATATGTTCTATAGATGTTTAGATTTCTTGTGTTGTATCTATTTGTAAGAAAGGAGAGAGTTTTCTATATATGAAAATGATGTTTTTGTACGACAAGTGTGTTCTACACCTCGACAATCTTCTGTTCTATCTTAAGGGCACCGCCTTGGGCTGCCATGATCTTCCTGACTTCTTCGATATCGATTTCTTCACCATTTTCGTCTAGGAATCTGTTGAACCCTTCTTTGTGGATAATATCGTCAAAGGAATCTTCCTTCTCTGGTGTGTTGATACCAGTGGCAGATTTGCCGCTTGTTTCTTCGACAACAAGATCTTCTTCAGCAGCCTCTATGGGGATGTCTTCGATGATTTCTTCGATGACAACAGGTTGATCAACTTCTAATTGCTTGGAGTACGTAGACATAGGCACATCAGTATCTTCAAATATATTATCGAATTGGCTTGTAATGGTATAGTTATCATATTCTTCGTAAGTATTGAAATAAGATCCACAATGATAATCCCAACCACTTAACCATTGAGACTTTTCACAGAGTGCGACAGTCCATGGTAACCCATAAATCAAAGGTTTGTAAGCATTAAAGAAGAAAAGACAACCAGCAAAAAATGTTATAACTATTAAATTACCCATGATTTTCTTGTTTTTAAACATAAAGGAAACAATTATATCAAGAGCATGACCAAACGCTAGAATACCGAAATAGTAGGCAGGTAAATAATGATGTAGGAACATTTGACGTTTCATTAGGAAAGAGGGACCAACATGGACAAGGAATCCTAACATGTAATGCGCAACTTGAACATGGAAGTTAAATACATGGTCATCTTGTAGAATAGGTTTGCCTAATTGCCATGCGATCAATTCAATGACACATACAATGACAAACAGTAACATAAATGCAGATACGGCCCACCATTCGATAGCATTACCCAACAGGTAGACCATTCTGTGATGATCACCCCAATAACTGATACCACGTAACAATAGAGGCCAGTCCTCTGGCAAAGATTCATAAATGTGAGTCTCGACCAAATTTTTGTTCACGCTCCACATCTTAATATGAGATTCTATAAATTTACCCCAAAAGCCAGGTTTCACGTATGAGACATGTCTAGCGTCCTCAGGTAAAGCATGGTTCTCATTGGCTTCGATGTACCAAAGTGTCAATTCGTATCTCCCGGTAGTAGCACAACTTACTTCTTGTTGGTCGAACCCCCATTTAGGCAATTTAACATCGTGAGAGAACAGGTAACAATTAGAGACCATGTGTTTCAATCTGAATTTTGTCTCTAAGGCAACAACACGTTCCCTAGCGACACCTGGAGCAGATTTCTTTTGATCGATCTCCAAGACCCAATTATCATTGGTGTCACCTTCAAACCCAGTAAAACCATAACACGATACCTCAGTTTGCCAATCAGCACTTTCAGAGACAGGAGCCTTATGATCATGAGAATGCAATCTACAATGGGTAGAAGGATGTAATAATCTAACAATGGCACCATCGGACAAATTTTGGAAATCTGGGAATGTAACACCTGGGTTGCTACTTAATTCTACTAACCATTGATTATTTTCATCAATGTGAGGGTATAAAGTAATTTGTTGTTGACCAGAACCTGTTTCGTAACGGAATGGATGAGAATGTAAATAACCACCAGAAGTACCAAAATGACGAAGTGATACGACTGAAGAGACACCTACATCTGCTGAAATATCTGTTGGGATAGTATTACCTTGTAAAGTAGATCTAAATTCTGATGAGAAGAAAGATGCACCTGCACCGTCATAGATTAAAGTATCGAAGTGGATCTTAAAGAAAAATGCATAAAGAGCAAATGGGACACCCAACAAGAAGATCAATTTAGAGAAAGCAGCAGAGACCGTAGATGAAACAGGTTTAGATAAATCACCTAGCATGAACCAAAGTCTCCAAATACATAATAGACCGATCCATGCAACAGTGAACAAACCAACCCATTTAGCAGAGGCAGCAAAACCAAGAGCAATACCTGTAGCTAATAATGTTTTGTATGATTTAATTGAACCTTGTTGAAATAATTCGTATTTTTTAAAACTGTATACAGCAGCTGCAATGAAAAACATTAATGGAGCATCTAATAAGATGTATCTTGAGATTGTAACATATGAATTTTCAATAGCAAAACATAAAGCACTAACAAATGCAACAAATTGACGTACACCTGATGATCTAAGAGTGAAATATAATAATACTACTGTGAATGCACCCAATGAAGCAGAAAATAATCTCATATGATAGTAAGGTGTAGTAGAAGGAAATTCATCACCAATATTTTCAAAATCAAAATCACCCTTAAAGCCAGCTAAAGATGCAACACCAGCATAAAGCATTTTAGCTAGTGGTGGATGAACATCCATGAAGAAACTTCCATTAATGTATTCAGTTGCAAACCCACCAAAATGGACTTCATCAAAGACCACACTATTAGGCCATTCTAAACCATATAATCTGACAACAGCTGTGAATGCGATTAAAACTATGATATATAGTCTTTCACTTAACGTAGATATGGTACGACGTGTAGCCAAGTCATTTGGAGGTTCAGATACCAAATATGGTCTAACAGGACCTTGTTTAACCTCAATAGGAACCACTGGATCTAGAGGTGACGCGTCCATTACTGGAGCGATCTTCTCTATCTTTTCACCAGAAGATGACATAATAATCGTGTATATATCTGTCTATTCTTGGAGTTCTCTTTGTTCAATTATATATATATGATAATATTTACTCAATTCACCAAAAATTATATAAATATAGATATAAGCACATAAGTCTACACTTTTAAGATTTATATTGCGAATCGCAAAATTGTTCGAACCTCCAGGCAGCTCAGGTTCATCTGATACAGATCTTTGCGAAGAAAACTTCATTATAATAACAGCAAGAGAGATGGCAATGCTGCTTACGTACAACGCACGCCAAAACTGGCAAAACTGAAAATTTCACTGAAAATAATTTAAACGACATTTTTACCGCGTCGCATTGCGTTTTCTCACTCTAAATCTGCTTCACCAGTAAGTGACACAGATGTCAAAAGACTAGCACTATATGTATCTGTATATTTGCATGTGCGTAACGAATGGTCTATGGTCGAGTGTATGTTAGCGAGGGGGATGAGAATGGTGTAGGTGTGGAGTGGAGTGGAGTGGAGTGGAGTGTGGACCGTCGCCAGTATCACATTTGGGGCAGCGATTGTAGTATTATAGTGTGATCATGAAGTTCACAAGTAGACACAGCAATGAAAACTTAGCGTAGCTACCGAAAACTCCAAGTAAATGTGATTGTACTGGTAGGATCTGCATTTGTTATCAATTAATGTGAGAAAAGAACCGTACTAAATATACAGTATCTTCTTTCTTGATATATATATATATATATATATAATACATTCCATATTTAGAGAGAACAAGAAAACAATAGGTATTCCATTTATTGATATTGAAATCACTGTAACCTATCTCGTTCAATAACATTTGTGTGTATTGCAAATGACAGTGTTCGGTTTCTAATTTGAGTCGCATCTGACATCACGCTGAACGAGAAGCGATTCTATTATTTATCCCTTTGCTCACCACCACACGTATTTCGGGGTAGCAGCGAATATTGAAGAAAAGTTGGGTGGCAATTTCTATCTTAATATAGAGAGAGTAAAGTTTCAACTGTAACACATATATTGAACATTACTTAAAGAACCCATATTAAATCATCTCTACAAGACTCAATCCAAATTAAATTTATTGCACCACATCTCACAAACCCAAAGAGCAGTATGTCATTAGAAGAAGCAAGAAATCTAGTGAAGGATAAAGACTACACTAAGGCTGAAGCCGCTTACCTACAATTGTTAGATCGAGATGTATCAGATGCAGGTGATAAAATAAAAAATGAGCAAGAATCTGCTATATTGGAATTGGGTTCCTTATATATGGAAACCCATAATACAGCAAAATTACGTGATTTTATCCCACATTCTACTGATTATATGGCTCAATTTGCTAAATCTAAGACAGCAAAAGTGTTAAAGACCTTAATTGAAAAGTTTGAACAAGTACCAGATTCATTAGATGATCAAATATATGTATGCCAACGTAGTATTGAGTTTGCTAAGAGTGAGAAGAGAGTATTTTTAAGTCATGCATTATCTATTAAATTAGCTACTCTTCAATACAAAAAGACTAATTATAAAGAATCCCTAGATTTAGTTAATGATTTATTGATTCAATTCAAGAAATTAGACGATAAACCTTCTTTGGTCGATGTTCATCTATTGGAGAGTAAAGTATACCATAAATTAAGAAATTTGGCAAAGGCTAAAGCAGCTTTGACCGCTGCTAGAACTGCAGCAAACTCTATATATTGTCCAACTGTTACAGTTGCTGAATTAGATTTAATGTCTGGTAGTCTCCATTGTGAGGATAAAGATTATAAGACTGCGTTCTCTTATTTCTATGAAAGTTTCGAAAGTTTCCATAATTTAACTACACCAAGTTCTTATGAAAGGGCTTGTCAGGTCTTAAAATACATGTTACTATCGAAGATCATGTTAAATTTGATTGATGATGTGAAGACTATATTGAATGCAAAATATACGAAGGAAACATATCAATCTCGTGGGATCGATGCGATGAAAGCAGTCGCTGAGGCTTACAATAATAGATCTTTACAACAATTTAATACAGCATTGAAGAATTATCAATCAGAATTAATGAGTGATGATCTAGTGAGGTCTCACTTCAATGCATTATACGACACGTTATTAGAATCCAATCTATGTAAGATCATCGAACCATTTGAATGTGTTGAAATCTCTCATATCTCAAAGATGATTGGTCTAGATGCACAACAGGTCGAAGGTAAATTATCTCAAATGATCCTAGATAAGGTATTCTATGGGGTTTTAGACCAAGGTAATGGTTGGTTGTATGTCTATGATACGCCGCATAAAGATGCCACATATGATTCTGCTTTAGAATTGGTCTCTGAATTGAATAAGACTGTTGACCTTTTGTTTGATAAGGCAAGCGTCTTGTACTAGAGGGTATACTCATTTTAATAACCTCTTATATACAAAGGTATATATAATTAAATAAAAGAATATATCATTAACAATTAAGGTGAGAAACGATCAAAAGAAGAAAAATGTTTGTACATTCAATCTCTGGCAGGTTCATTGCCAAAGGCTCTTTGTTACATAATTTTAAATTTATGTCGGCTTTATCTAATATTTGTCCGGTAGTGCCTGATTTAAAAGAAACTATGCTGTTAAAACTTTTCAAAAATAAAATTGTTTCTTCATCATGAAAGAATCTCCCTCTGAATATAAACTAAATATATTATAATTCACTGACTGGATTACAATCATCAGAATTGCACAATGTCTGATTTTGGTAGAAGAACATGGAATAGAGAAGAGTATATTGGGACGAATTCCAAGGCAGATGGTCCACAGTTTACCGATGCCCAACTAGCGGCGTTAAAAGTCAAGTATTTGAATTATGATAAACTGATGCAACAAACAAATCAGAATGTAAACCAAAAGAATCTCGTGGCTAATGTAACATCTTTCAAGAAAGGGAAGCAGTTTGGGTTTTATTGTGATATCTGTGATTTAACATTCAAGGATACTTTACAATACGTTGACCATTTGAATCATAAGGTACACCTGTTGAAATATGAGACATTATTTGGAGAATCTTTGATTTCAGATACTAGAGATAATGATGACATACCGATAGAGGAATTTTCTAATTGTTATACTCAGCATATACGTGATTTTATTAAAGAACATAGTGATCGTCCTCAACAACAAAGGAATAATGCTCGACAGAAGAAGATAATTGATAAGAAGCCTGTCGAAGAGGATGATATGAGTAAGATGATGGGGTTTGGTTCATTTGGTACTACTAAAAAATAATTTTGTAGATGGATAATTGTTTTGTCAGTTTACGTAACTGTTATGCATTTGTATTGTTTTTATAATAAACATACATACATATATATATATATATATACTTAAATTAATACATATTCTTCTAAAACTCAACAATTGGACCAGAACCGATACTTCTCCATGAAGTCATATCAATGTTCCAGTTATGCCATTTGTCTAACATTACACGATCTATCACTGGAGCTTGAACATATTGTTGGTCATTGTTGTAATCGTTCTTACCTTGCGTAGGTAATTGGGTAGGTTGTGGAGAATTGAATTGGGCAAATTGAATGGCAGGAACAGGTTCTTGAGAGCCAATCCTACTCTCAGCCTCATTCAATTTATTTTTCAGATTTGCAATTTCATTGTTTGCGTTTTGTAAATCAGAAGTGGCACATTGTAAAGTAATTTTATTTTGTTCTAATTCTGCTTCTTGATCTTCAATCGTAGTCTCTTGTTCCATATTCATAAATTTCAGTTTCTTAATCTCTTCAGCCATCTTTTCGATTTGTGAATTCAAGTTTTCAATCTCAATATTATCTTTTTCCTTTTGAATTGTGCTCATAAAGTCATCACCTTCGTCTTCTTCTTGGTCATTACCATCGAATAATTTATCGGCATCATTCTTCTCAGAGTCCTTCGCTATAGTTGCTTCATCTGCTACTGGTTCTTCAATATCAGCTTCCTTTGTTACAGGTGTTTCTTCCGTAACAGGTTCTTCTACTGCAGGTTCATCATTCGTTATTTCTTCAGTCTCAGCAACAGATTCATTTTCTGTTGGTTCATTTTCTGGTGTTTCGACTGCACTTTCTGTAACTTCTTCACTCTTAGTCTCCAAATTTTCAGTCTTAGTCTGTTGAGTCGTAAATTTATTCGTTTCTGGAGTCTCTTCGGTGTCTGTAGACACGGTTTCCTTGTTCTCCACAACAGCTGTCTCTAGTTCTACTGATTCAGATTCATTTTCAGTAACAGACACGTCGGGAGTCTCTTCAGTAACATCATTACTGTTAACTTTTTCTAGAGCAATATCAGAAGCTTCATCAGTTTTCTCAGCGTTCTTATTCTTATTCTTGTTCTTCTTGTTCTTATTTTTATTCTTTTTCTTATTCTTCAATTCTTCGACTCTCTTTCTGGCCTCTTCTAGTTGTTTGGCTCTCTTCTCATCCTCTTCCGACATTATTCTAATTTAATCAGTCAAATTTAATTACCCTTGTTCGAATTGATATTCTACTCAGATTAATAATATCCTTGCAATTCATAAACTGGCTTTGTAGAACGTTCCTTAATATATGTATCCATACATAACGACATATTTTCCTTACTGTCCTCTCTCTCTCTCTCTCTCTATAATACATTATAACGGGGAGCCTTCTCTTTGATTTTTTTTGCCAGAAAATTTGAGAGAAAATTCAACGGATACGAAATGGATCGATTACGTATCATGAAGCTGGTAATAGACCTTTAAATACAACAACAATTAGCATAAAAGAGACAGTTAATTACAACAATACTGGAAATTTTATACAATGTTTTAGAAGGTGTACCTCTACGGCTAAACAAAAACTTATCAATCTCATATATAGTAACCATGGATCTAGATCTAGAAGTTGATCCAAACCTACATTCTCTAATTACATCAACCACTCACAAATGGATTTTTGTTGGTGGTAAAGGTGGTGTCGGTAAGACCACATCCTCCTCGTCTATTTCTATTCAAATGGCTCTGAATCAACCAGAGAAACAATTTCTATTGATATCTACCGATCCAGCTCATAATTTAAGTGATGCCTTTGGTGAAAAATTTGGTAAAGATGCAAGAAAGGTTACAGGTATGAACAATTTATCCTGTATGGAAATAGATCCAGCTGCTGCTTTGAAGGATATGAACGATATGGCTGTCTCTCAAGGCCAAGGTGCCAATCAAGGTGGTTTAAACGATTTGTTGCAAGGTGGTGCTCTAGCTGACTTGACAGGTTCTATTCCAGGTATTGATGAAGCTTTATCCTTTATGGAAGTCATGAAACATATTAAGAATCAAGAACAAGGTGAAGGAGAAACTTTTGACACCGTTATCTTTGATACAGCACCAACAGGTCATACTTTAAGATTTTTACAGTTACCAACTACTTTATCTAAACTATTAGAAAAATTCGGTGAAATTACTGGTAAATTAGGTCCAATGTTGAACTCATTCATGGGTAGTGGTAATGTTGATATTAGTGGTAAGTTGAACGAATTGAAGGCTAATGTCGAAACTATTAGACAACAATTCACAGACCCAGATTTAACTACATTCGTTTGTGTTTGTATCAGTGAATTTTTGTCTCTATATGAAACTGAAAGATTAATCCAAGAATTAATCTCTTACGATATGGATGTCAACTCCATCATTGTCAACCAATTGCTATTTGCTGATGACGATAAGGAACACAACTGTAAGAGATGTCAAGCTAGATGGAAGATGCAAAAAAAATATCTAGACCAAATTGGAGAACTATATGAGGATTTCCATGTAGTTAAGATGCCTCTATGTGCTGGTGAAATCAGAGGTCTACCAAACTTAAAAAAATTCTCCCATTTCTTGGATAAAGAATATAATCCAGCTACAGATGGTTCTGTCATTTATGAGTTAGAAGACAAGAATTAATAAACAAAGACAAAAAAAGGCAGAAATGTTTAGTTATATACATATATATATATATATGGATGGAGTTCAAATGACTGTATACGTCTCAAAAAACCCTAATCAAAATTATATTGTGTTGTAAGGAAGAGGAACTGCGGTTGTTGTTTTTAAGAATATACATCTAAAAACAATAATCGTATAATTAAGAATATTCTCTAATTCAATACTGATGTAGACTGTGTATATTGAAGATGCGTGACAACAGTAGAATCGATGAACTGTTGTAAAATAACTTTACAACAGTTCATCGAAGAAACCCCCGAAGCATAAAGCACTATTAAATTTTGCCTAAAAGAGGAACCTAACAGCCAACAACTTCTCTCTAAACTGTGGTTCCCCTGGCAACGACAACAAAAAGCCATTAGTGACAACTGAACGTACAGTGGACGTGTTTATATTCATGAAATGTAAATAAACCGAATAGGCAAAACTTGAAACGCGTAAGGAAAGATCTTTCACCCACGAAAACCAAAAGGTGAAAAATTATTTTGTTTGGTGCGATAGAGATGTTTGTAAGGAGGGTTTTAATAAAGTTATATACTAAGCAAAATAGATATATATAAGAGTCTTGGATATCCGTAAAAAACATATTTACACATTTCTCAAAATCTATTTCTATTGGATATTTTATTTATTTTTGTTTGTTTTCTCTGTTAACAGAAGGCAGTACTAACTTCCCCCCAAAAAAAATAACAGATCAATATGTCAGTGGCTCAATCTATTTCAAAGAGAGAACATTCAGATGATATACTGCAGTCTAACAAGAGACAGCAAACCGGGTTAACTAATCTACAAGAGAAAGAGATTCTCCCTGTTGTGGCCCAGTTGTTTAATTTAATCCCCGGTAAAGAATGTACCTATGACATCACAGAAAAATCAGTGACTACGATCGGTAGAAGTAGATCCTGTAATATTACACTTAATGAGCCAGATATCTCCACAGTACATTGTGAATTGCATCTGATAGATATGGAGGTTGATGGTGTCCATCGCAAACTTATCAACATTATAGACAAGAGCAGAAACGGTACATTCATAAATGGTAGTAGACTAGTAAAGAAGGATTGTATTCTTAAGAATGGTGACAGAATCGTCTTTGGTAAAACATTTTCCTTTTTATTTAAATATTCCTCGATTAGTGATCTTGATAACACTGGATCAAATTTTATTACAGCAGTTCCAGACTTGGACTCTACTGTTGCAACTGGGGAGTCGAAGGATGAAAACAATGTATTTAAGAAGCCACAATTTAGTTTTACCAGCAGTCAAAATGCATTAAAGAGACAAGCACGTCCAAAACCTTCTTCAGTATTTGATAAATATTTGATTGGTAAGGAGCTAGGGTCAGGTCATTATGCAATAGTAAAAGATGGTACAAATAAGCAAACTGGTCAAACAGTTGCCATAAAGATATTTCATCCTCAACAGAATGATGATCAAAAGAAAAGTAAACAATTTAGGGAAGAGACAAACATTCTAATGAGAATACACCATCCAAATATCGTCAACCTGCTGGACAGTTACGTTGAACCTATTAGCAAATCGCAAATACAAAAGTATTTGGTTCTTGAAAAGATTGTTGACGGTGAATTATTTGAAAGGATCGTTAAGAAGACCTCTTTAAGGCAAGATGAAACCAAAGCTATATTTAAGCAAATTCTAGTAGGCTTGAAGTATTTACACAATCAAAATATTATCCACAGAGATATCAAACCGGAAAATATTTTATTAAACATCACTAGAAGGACTTCATCAGAACAATTACAATTGGGACCATGGGATGAGGGTGAAATAGATATTCAGGTTAAAATTGCAGATTTCGGGTTGGCTAAGTTTACAGGTGAAATGCAATTTACAAATACTTTATGCGGGACTCCATCTTATGTTGCACCTGAAGTTTTAACTAAGACTGGTTATACATCAAAGGTTGATATGTGGAGTGCAGGTGTCATCCTTTATGTATGTCTATGTGGGTTTCCACCTTTCAGTGAACAGTTAGGGCCACCTTCTTTAAAGGAACAAATTTTACAAGCCAAATATGCGTTCTACACACCTTACTGGGATAATATTGATGATTCTATTTTGCATCTAATATCACATCTTCTTGTGTTAGATGCAAGCCAAAGATATAGTGTCGATGATGTCTTTGAACATGAATGGTTGAAAGATTCTACACCTCAGACAAATGTCATTAAGGATATGAAACGTCTACAATTAGGTGATGGACAATTACCGAAGACATACTCTGAAATGTCTTGTCTATAAAAGTATAATTCACTTATATAATACATATTTATGATTATAAACTCAAAAGTATTCTGATGCTTTTTTATATAAAAGAAATTACTAGTAAAATTGTTATCGTTGAAGTTGATTTGGATAGAGTTTAATCAAAATTATTAAAATAGTTATTTCCTATAAATCAAACAAACCAACTAATCACAAAATCTAAACAAAATTTAAAGTACCAACTTATCATAGTCTGTTTAATGTACATTTTTCTAGAAACATAACTAATTACAAAATTTATATAATGTCTACCATTTACTCAATTGTTCAACCTTCTCCTGTAACTCTTTCTTCACCTTAACACGCATATAGAAAATGTCACAATTCTTATTGGAACATAGAACCTCATTATGTAAATTCCCTGCGCAACGTTGACATTGAGTCCACAACCTTGAGAATTTATCTTCGAGATCCCGTACATCATAAAGAGCTTGAATATAGAGTTCACTAGATTTAGATTGGCAGTTTTCACATAGAGCTGATTCACCTTTCTTCAGAGGACTCCTGCAGTTTTTACAAACTTCTACCTTTTTAACAAAACCAAACAGACCACCTTTAGTTAGTCCAGTATTGATTTTAATAGATTTAACAACAAACATCTCCTTTGCTTTCTTTTCACCAATAATCGGAATGGTGATACTTAAAATTGGATTTTGTAATTGATTATTCAAATAATATTTCGAGTCAATCTGTAAATTATGCTCCAATACATATAACGGATCCTCTGCACGATTATAAAGCTTATCGTTGCCACCAATAATGACGTAATCAACACGATCACCAACACTAGGTCCCATACCATCTCTTTTCTTCATACGTTCAGTAAGAACAGCATGAGGTTGTGGATTAGTATAGTTTGGTGCTAATGTTTTCGAAATAATTAACTTGGATATATCAATTCTGTTGTGCAAAATATCATCAATGACAGTTCTAACATAAGCAAGAGCACCATCAACCTCTCGTTCAATCAAGATCTTCTTCAATACTTTATTCATAACAATCGATACCAATGGACAGGAATCTCTTCTAACGGACGCAAGACCCTTTTGATCCAATTTATCATATTTCTCAGTATTTGTCCAATATAAACCGGCATATCTCTTTTTATTAATTAGTAAGTAAGGAAAGTATGCTTTTTCAAATTCCAAATTAATCGGATGTTTGAACAAGGTGGATACATATGCAGCTGCTTCCTCACCCATCTTCATTACTTCTCCCAAATCAGTACTACCAAACTTCACCATCACAGAATCTGTATCACCATAGACAACAATAGAATCATGCTCAGCACCATTTTTCTTAGAGTACTTTTCCTGAACAGCATTCTTAGTGGTCATAATCATATCACGACCAAACGCTGTAACGGAGGAAGAAATAGCTAAACATGGTAATTTACCAACTGTTGCACCCGTAAAACCATACACCGAATTAGCAGAAATTTTCAAAGCAAGTTGTCTACCATTTAAGACACTCTTTTTAAATGGGTCAGTTTCAGCCCTCAAGTCCTTCCTAGCTCTTTTTCTAGCTGAAATCAATTCTTCTAAAATAATAGGTAAGATCCCATGTCTTTTCTTCGCAGTTACAAAGTAATCGTTATTTGGGGTAATAATGTAGTCTTCATCTTTTTTTAATCCCAATCTTTCCACAGTAGCTTTATTACAAAGTGTTGTATAACATAAATTATGGGCCATCATAATACTGGGATATAAAGAGTTGAAATCCAGAGTTGCAATCGGTACATCGTAATAACCACGAATGGGTTCGATAACGGTGGCACCTTCATATTGTTCATCGGTTGCCTGAGACTGCATATTAGGTATCACAGTGTTAATTTCTAAACATTTTCTAAATAACTGAGACACAACTTTAATCTGCTGACCTCTGGATAATAAATACGAGAAGGGGACACCTGTAACACGAGCCATTTCTGTATAATTGACCAAAGCCATTAAATTTTCTAACAATCTTAAGGGTAAATACGCATCCTTTAAACAATATACTGCCAATCTTCTTCTAGTTTCACTATCACCATTTTGCAGATCAGTAATAATACTATAATGGACATCTTCTTTCTGTTCACCCAGAAAGTAAGCAGACACAGCATTCAATGTGTATGATCTTAATTTATATTCACGCTGAATAAATTGCAATAAATCTAATTGCAAACGACCGTTAATGTTAACATCTTTAGATTCCTTTGTACCATAGGCCTTAGATGAAAAGATGGTTTCCTTAATTTCTTGCTTGACATTTGATAACCTACCGAAATAAGGGAACTGTGCGACATTAAGCGCCTTTGCACGATTAATTAAATAAGGAATATCAAAATTTGTGGTATTGTAACCAATAATCACGTCAGGGTCTACGTCCACTACAAAATCACGCCAATGAGCCAACATGTCAGCTTCTTTATCATGTGCATATATCTTAGAACCGGTAATAGGAGAACATGAATTGACGGTGAAAACATTCCTTACAAATGGTTTTTTACTACCAGCTACAGAGACAACGTTCGCAATTTGAATAACAGCGTCATGCTCTGGTTCTGGGAAAATACCCTTTCTACCAGCACATTCAATATCAAATGATAATATACGTAATGGCGCAGAGTGTGACCATTCACCTTCAGCAGGATGAGATATTAATTCACGGTAATTTATAAGAACTTCCAATTGGGCTGTAGAGACCTTTCTATCTTCTGGAACCATATTGTATTTACCTTTTGGTAAAGTAATCCACGACATACCAACAATCCCACAATCAACCATACATCTTAAAGTATAGGCAATATTATCATAGGTTGTAGTTCCAGAGGAGAACCAAGATTCAAAAGTGATATGCCCTCTTTCGAATCCAGTTCTTAATTTGTTGATCATGTTAGGTTGAATGGTAGAAACTTTCCAGAAAGGGATCTTTGCATCTCCAGAATAACCCCAAATAGATTGGCATGGAACGACATCTATAGAACTAACACAGTTGTTGTAATTTTCGTTCAAATAGCTTATAAAATGATCTCTTTTGTCTTTATCATTGGCATTATCAGCTGTAGGTTGTGGAACATATAAATAATGCTTAAAACCAGTAACATTACAAAGAATCGAATGACCTTCATTGGTCACACCGAAAAATCTAACCACTGTTGATGTGTCCTCATCCTTAATGTAAGAGAGTGTACTTTGTTCAACTTCAATCTGTTGGAATGAAATATCGTGTGTTTTACTAGAAAAATCCGCAGGCAGTGCATTTCTTAAATAGTTCTTAGCTTCAACACCATTTATATGGGAATCATCTTCTGCAATATCAAGGGCTTCATGTTCTAATTCTGATAATTCTCTTTCAAAGGCAGATTGCATCTGTGTTGCATTCAGTTCTTTATCAGAGGCCCTAAAACCTTGCGATCTAAATTTCTTGTATGAATCTGATGGAATGATCTCCATGGTGGAGACAGGTTCACTACCAACACTATGATCCTGAGATAATGTCTTTATTTTCTTCCCTTTTACAACTGTCAAGTCTGCATCATCTGTGGAATTTTCTTCCAAATCATCAGCAACTCTTTTCAAATCACCAGACATGATATTTTGTGGGATATAATATTTCTATCTTATTTTGGGGGTCTATAATGCTATGAATACAATTAAATAGTTACCCTTGTGTTTGTAACTTCCTAGTAATATATATTTACTCCTCTGAAAGGGTCCTTAACATATACTGGCTATTCAAACTTCTTCACCTTCAAATAAAGTTTCGAATCCCATTGCTGAATAATACACTTCTACATTCAGAATTAAAATATTTCACGCGACGCGTCGCACTTGACGAGGCAAACAAGCTAATAATAGATAAAACAAGATTAGTCGTCGATCAACAGTTTGTGAACCTCTGCACAAAGTTTTTCTACTAGAGATCGCAATCCCTGACATTTATATAGATAAATCAAGCTATATTTCTTCTAGGTTGTGCTTAATATAGCGTTTTACAGTCTTCTAGAAGTTTAAAAAATATTAAACAGAGTTTATTGCTACATTCCACAAAACAATGACCCAGAGTGATATCGAAGAATTATTTAAAAGAGAAGGTCAAGCTCATCTATTCGATCATGTCTCCAAATTGACTGCTACTGAAAAGGATGAATTTTACAAAAATCTTTCTAAGATTGCGGGAAGAATCACACCAAACAAGCTACAAGATGCATACCGAAAATCATTAGAACACCTGCAAAACGATGACAACGTATCTGCCGATATTAAAACATTACCAAATACATCATACCAATCAATTATTGGAAATCCTAGTTTAGCCGAAGAATATTATAATATTGGCCTAAAATCTATTCAGAATGGAGAAGTGGCTGTCATCTTAATGGCTGGTGGCCAAGGTACTAGATTGGGGTCGTCTAGTCCGAAAGGATGTTATGATATTAATTTACCTTCTCATAAATCATTATTCCAAATTCAAGCTGAGAAGATCTGGAGATTACAGGAGCTTTCTAACTGTAAAAAAGTGATCCCATGGTACATTATGACATCTAAACCAACTAGAGCTGCTACCGAATCCTTCTTTATTCAAAATAGATATTTTGGATTACAAGAAAACCAAGTTTGTTTCTTTAATCAAGGTACTTTACCGGCATTGAACTCTACCGGTTCTAAGATGTTTTTATCTAGTCCAACGGATATTGTTCAATCGCCAGATGGTAATGGTGGACTATACCATGCCATTAAAGAGAACAATTTATTGGAGGATTTCAAGAAAAGAGGCATAAAACATATTTATATGTATTGCGTTGACAATGTACTTTCTAAAGTTGCTGATCCAGTATTTATTGGCTTTTCTATCAAATATAATTTTTTGTTATCCACAAAGGCAGTGAGAAAGAGAGACGCTCACGAATCTGTAGGATTAATTGCTAGCATGAATGGTAAGCCTTGCGTAATTGAATATTCCGAAATATCAAAGGAATTAGCAGAAGAACGTGATTCGGATGGATTATTGAAACTAAGAGCTGGTAATATTGTAAACCATTACTACTCTATAGAATTACTAGAGAAGCGACTAAATCATTGGTGTGAAAATTCTACATATCATATTGCCAAGAAGAAGATTCCTTATTATAATAACTTAACTGGAGAATACATAAAACCAGAACAACCAAACGGTATTAAATTAGAACAGTTCATCTTTGATGTCTTTCCTGAGATTCCTCTAGATAGATTTGGTTGTTTAGAAGTCGAAAGATCCGAGGAATTTTCTCCATTAAAGAATGGCCTAGGATCTGCTAATGATAATCCAGATACTGCTAGATTAAGCTATTTAGAGCTAGGAACATCTTGGTTGATTAAAGCGGGAGCTACAGTTTCTAAGGATATGCATGTCGAAGTTTCTAATAAAATCAGTTACCAAGGTGAAAATTTATCTCAATATAAGGGCCAAATATTTAACAAAGATAATACTTTGTTAGAATTACAAAATTCAAAATTATAAACAAACACAAAATCTATTATATAGTATCCAGTAGTTATCACATAGTATGATTTATATAACAAAAGAACTCACACATTTGTTTTACGAACCATCTTCCTCACATTTTTTAATGTTGTTTATATATAAAAGTATATTAGTTTTATCTTAGTCATTAATAGCATTATTGTTATTGTCATCCGGCTTACCAATATTTTTATTTAATGTTCCATCATTAAGATTTGTAGAACTGTTATTACCAGATTCGTCGTTATTGTGATTTGGGATGTTGAAGTTCATCATAGAAAAATCAATAATTGCATTCTCGCTACTATTATTTTGTTGACCTTGAGTTTGATTTTTTACTAACATCGATTTCAACATTGTCATATACTGTTGTTGCATACCAGGATCTGAAAGGTCCATTTTCATGTTAGGGTTACCTTCTTGCATATTACTCATAATAATATTAGGAGATCCGGATGACGCAGCTGATACAGATGCAACATCTAAACCTTGTCTTTGAGAGTTTTGTAAATGAGCTTGATATTGTGCCTGTATTCCCGATTGATTCATTACTTGGGAGTGAGGAGAAGCATTTCGCATATTTTCGGAATGTTTCCTCTTTTGTGATGCAAATTGAGCTTGCACTTGTCGTTGTTGATTTGAATTGACCATACCTTTAGCGTTTTGAGTTGTTTCAAAGTTATTATAACCTTTGTTTCCATCTTTAGAGTTGTTATGTGAATCATTTGAAGCCACTGAATCCTGTGCGACAGATGGATATACCACTTGTCCATTATCATTCAACATTGCATTCTTATTTATCATCTGTTGTTGAGGTTGTTGTAAATTCATCATATTCGAATACTGAGAAGCCATCATTTGTTGCTGCATAAATTGTGGTCCCATTGATGGATTTATTGGCATCCCATTTACCATTGGTGATTGATCTTGCCTTGGCAATTGTTGTTGCTGTCGTATGGCATATTGAGCATTTGCCATCTGATTTGTAGTATTCATATGTGCCTGCTGCTGTGGTGGCGGTGGTGGGTTCGATTGTGCTTTTGGATTATTTATCGATTCCTTTGGAATATTATTGCTATTGTTATTATTATTATTGCTATTATTATTGTTATTTGGGGTCATATTTGGAATAGGTCCATTTTGAGTTTGAATTGATTGTATATTGTTAGATGTCGGCATCGAGTTCATATAAGGGTTACCAGATCTTTGTAAAGGTAAGATTGGGACCACTTTTCCCTGAGTTGGTGCTGAAGAAAAATCTAATTTTGAACTTAATTCTTCCAAGGGAGTACTATCCACGAAATTATTCAATAACAATAACGATTGCCACCATTCCAATAAAAACGTATCAGGAGAACTAATAATCATCTTGGATTTCAATAATTGATTTGGTCCCAAATCTTTCAAATTTAATGAGTTATTATTAGTAGCCTTTGGATTATTTAAATTGGATAAAGGTACTTCTGCCTCCTTTAAGAATCGTTTTGCTGTCTCGTAATAGTTATTCTGAAGTAAATAGTTGTAAATGTGAGCATAAAGTAATTGACGAGAATTCACAGCCATGGCATCTGATACTACCATATTAAAATGGAAATCAGGTATTTCCTTATTTGGTGGTTGGTTACGAGGAATATTTGTATGCTCCACAGGTTTGTTCTTAGTCGATGTTTTCCGTTGTTTTGAGACCCTAGGCTTCCTCACTTTACGAGTAGTACTCTTATTGTCCTCAGAGGGACCATTAGTTGTTCCAGGTACGCCCATTATTTTTAACTGTTTCTTTCAAAATTTTCCAATTATATTTATGCAAGCTACGGACTATCGTAAACAAATACCCTAATAAAATATGAAGCTACACTTTCAATACGGTTAGAACTATATCTCACCTAGTATACCTATATTTTTCAATCTACAACATTACAACCAAGATAAAGAAGTTTGAAACGTACTTTGTTATTGTTATAATTTCCAATCAGTGATGAAATTTGTTAATCAAGAAAGAATAAGAGAGAAAATGAAAAAAAAAAATTGTTCATTATTGAGGCGTGAGGCGTGAGGCGTGTGAGAGAGAGAGAGAGAGAGAGAGAGAGAGAGAGAGCGTATTGTTGCAGTTATAATAGAAAATATTCAGTCTTCGCTGTGTGCAGCGTAAATGAGAGTAGGAAAGGGATCCATCGTTTGACCAGATGAGCAAGAAGAAGTAGAAGATTGGTTTACATTTACAATGAGTTAGAGTCATGTTGATTGATATCTGGGATGCAACGTTTAGGAGGAAATTCCCAAGTGTATGGAGTATCATTTATTCATTTTATTTTATTTTTGAATTGTGATGTTGCGTTGTGGACAGAAAACTGCATTTCCTATTCTACAAAGACGATTGTACCAAGTGTTAGCTATAGAGACTTCCTGCGATGATACGAGTGTAGCATGGTTAGATCATGAACCACAATCACAAAGAACACATATTGTAAAGAACGTGAAGTCTACTCTCAATAGTGCGGCGGACGGCGGGATTATACCCACTGCAGCTCATGAGCATCATCAAAAGAGTATTGGTTCGTTGATTCGACAAATTAAAGAAGCTACTAAATTGGATGGTAGTGTTTCCAGAAAACCTGACCTTATATGTGTTACTAGGGGCCCCGGGATGCTCGGTTCCTTGTCAACTGGACTCACTACCGCAAAGGCTTTGTCTGTCGCATGGGATATACCCATGATTGGAGTAAATCATATGTTAGGTCATCTCATTGTACCAAGACTATATGATAAATCTATTCGATTCCCGTTTGTATCGTTACTGGTCAGTGGAGGTCATTGTATCTTGGTTCATTCCACTGGTATCACTGACCATAAGATTTTATGTGAGAGTATCGATATCGCCGCAGGTGATTCCCTTGATAAATGTGGTAGAGAGATCGGATTGACAGGTATAATGATTGGAAAATCGTTAAATGCTTTTACGAACGGTATTACTGACCCATGGGAAAAGGATGAAATTTTGGATGCACATTGTAAGTTACCAAACCCTTTGACTAAGACTAATAAATCTAAGATTGCATTTTCTTTTTCACCTTTTATCACTGCGGTGAAACAGTTTTTATCGAATCATCCTTTAGAGACACTCACAGCGAAACAACATAAATTGCTTGGAGCTAGAATACAGGATTCTATTTTCACTCATATAATTACAAAAATCAGACATACAATACAACAAAACCCCGAAATATTTCAAGATGTAAACGATTTTGTGTGTTCTGGTGGAGTTAGTGCTAATGATGTGTTACGTGGAAAATTGCAGGACTCATTGAAGCCAGATTTCTCTAATTTTCATTATCCGCCACTGGAGTTATGCACTGATAATGCAGTTATGATTGGTTATGCAGGCATTGAATTATATGATAAATATAATCATAATATTTCTAATAATTTAGATATATTACCATTGCGTAAATGGTCCTTGGAAGATATATTCACTATCTCCAACTTTCAACGAACAGACAAAGAAATATTTTAAATGAAATACTTGTAAATAATAAATAATAAATATTACATCTTTCTCCATCATTTTGTTTATTAAAATAAAAAGAATATGTATATAAATATGTCACGTCGTCTTATGTCTCAAGATAACTTGATGTTATATTAAATTTTTTAATTAATTTCGACCAAGTTGGCATATCCATTTGAAATATAATATGATGTTCTTCTGCATGGGAATTTTTATGTTTTTGTATATTCCTCTCTTCTTTATCTTTCCCTTTTGGTTTATTTTTGATTCGTATCGTAGGATAACCATCATTCTCATCTTCTTCCATTACAATTCTACCTGCTTTAATCAAAAAACTAGTATAAAACAAATTTTCAACGGATTTAGGGAAAGAATTTGGATCAAGAACAAATTTAAATAATGATATTTTATCATCATTACCTAATTTTTTGGATAAAATTTTAAAACATCTCTTAACTTGTTCTGGTGTCGTTTGTTCATCATTATCGACCAAATCCTTTGCTGATGGATTATCAGGTTTTACTAATTCTCCAACAACATCTATGTTTCTCTTCCTAATTACTTTCACTTTCACTTTCTTTTCAATTGCAAACGGTCCGATTAAGTTATCGGTCACTAGTGGTAATTTTGATAATCCATTAAATAGACTACCCATCTTAAACCAGTTAAATTGATGAAATGAATCATAATTCTGAAATTGATTCAAAAAATCCTTTTTTAGTGTCGATTTTTTCAATTCATCTACCTTTTTATTATTGAATGATTCATAATCATCATCATCATTTGGTCTCTCGTCTTCATTCTCATCATCCTCATCTGCATCAGTATCATGATTTGTTGCTTCAAAATTATTCTTAGTCTCCACTATATTATTTTGTTTAAAATGTTCCTGTAACATATATCGTTTACAATATGCCATAATATCATCGATATTAGTTAATCCTTTCATTTCCCCCAACTTCAAATTACGCACAGTAATCTCTGCTAGCTCACTAATACCAGCAATGGCCCTAGAGTCCTCAGCAAACAAATTATTATTTTTTTTTTGTTTAATGAATTCATATAATTTATCCACAGTCTCTAATGTGTCTGTAGTAATATCAATATCTCCACCACGAAGAGCACGCACTCTACCTTTAGTGATATCACCCTGCAATTGCCTATAGGCTTGCATTACCTCAAATTCAGTTATATGTTTCTCCTCTGATGTGGTTTGAGATGTCTTGGCCATCTTTGCTGGCTGTTGCTCTTGTTCAGCGACAACATCATCTGCCACAGAGATATGTTCATCAGCAGTTCTTTTCATACTTTCAAATATATCCACACACACACACACACACAATCAACTACTTTATACACTCTAATGTACGATCAATGACACGCTATGGAAGTAACCACACCTTCCCCTTATCTAAACGTAAGTATATTTATATAAACATCAACAGAATTTGACATGTCAATAACTGCATTTACTCATCTTATCTGCTATTGCGCGTGCAATTCATATGGCGATGCTTTGCTTCACTGAAAGCAAAAAGGAAAAACAGAAATATTGAAAATTGAAAAACGAGTTGATGATGTGAAAAGTTTTAAAGGCTGAAGGAGAGAAAGAATGTTATATATTTATGTGTCATCTTTTGCAAGTTTGAGGCGAAGGTTGCTGCTCGCTAGACAAGTCAATAATATAAGTAGTATACATTATCGATACACGATATACGCATATTGTTGTCTCGGTCAATACCGTTATATGTACATATCGATTTGGTTAGTGAATTTGGCACAACGTGATATTTTAAACAAATATACAGGAACATTTTTGTAACATAAGATTAAAAATTAGAAAAAGGGATAAATATATACATTCAAAAATCAGAATTAAAGTAAGTGATGCCTGACGGTTCTGGTGATAAACATAACTTTGATCATACATCGTCATCGGATTTAAATTTTCTTCCTACTAATATCATGGGATTTTCTGAGAATAATGTAAACGAGTTGTCAAGTAACACTATGAATCAACTATTTAACGACGGAAATAATAACAATACAATGACTATAGGACAGCAACATCCTTCTATCTTCAATAATACTCAACATCATAGAAGTAAAGATTCAAATTCCACAAAGAATAACAATAATAACAATAATAACAATAATAATACACCGTCCATGAATCATTCACATCAACATAACAGGGAATCGTCTTCAACAAGATCGAAACGTAAGAGAGTTCAACCAGAGGCATTAAAATTATTGAAAAATGTGTATCGTACCACTTCTCATCCCTCTATAAAACAGCGGAAGGAATTATCCAGAAAGGTAAACATGTCAGAAAGATCTGTTACTGTATGGTTCCAAAATCGTAGAGCTAATACAAAGAAAAAACAAAGATTGGCCCAAGAGAAGAGACAGAGAAGGAAAGGTGACAGTAAAAGATTTGCATCCGATTCAGATGATTCATCAAATGACGATTCAGATTCTTTGTCTGATATATCCGATGAGGCTGATAAACTCGATTCATTTGATCAAGCACCATTAGATATTAATATGAACTATAATCTAATAGATATTAATATCATATCTGTAGGATCCTGGAATCGTAGGAAGACAGGCATAATATCTAATAATGGTCTGGAGAGGATCAAAGAAATGAGAAATCTCTCACCAGATTCAATATACAGGATTCTTGATAATGAAACTGATATGGTTGTTTTAATCTCAAAGAAGAATCAAGAAATTAACTATTTCTTTTGTGCTCCATCAGAGAATGGGAAAGTCCTATTTAGAATGTTTTATCCAATACGAATAGTTTCAAATTGTACTTTAACTTTGGAATCTGATAGTGATCTCACATCAAATAAGGAAACAGTTAATATTGGGGAATTAAAATTAGATTTAGACAAACCACCCACTTTTGCAGTGCATTATTCCAATAGTAATAATCCAGATATACAAAATTTACCAAATCAAAATCAATGGTCTTTATGTGGTGATTTTTCAGATGGTAGACAGGTTAATGATGCATATGTAGGCGGATCGAACATGCCCCATTGTTTAAAGGGTTTACAATCATCATTGATATATATGAATTCGTTGATACTAGATCAAAAGGCTTCCCGTAGTTCATTGTCCATGGATATTTCTCCAAATGATAACCTTCCAATGTCAGGCTCTTCTATGTCACCTGCCACAGATTTATCAAATATACCCCCAGCAGTAATAGCTGCAGTTCATGCATCTATTGCTGCAAATGCATCTCCTAATAGCATGAATCAACAAACGCCAATTAATTTTGATCCAAACATGTTATTAGGTTTAAATTCCAGTGATATGTCTTATTCTAACAATAATATTGGCACGCCTAACGATTCGAATTTTTCACAACAACAAAGAAATTTATTAGAAAATACACATACGTTATTAACTCCTTTCACACAACCACATAATCAATCGGATAACCCGCTGATACCTCATAACGAAAATTACAGTGAAATGGGTCTAAATTCAATCCAATTGGAAGATTATTTCCTTGGTAATAGTTATTTGGCTGACGTAAATGATACACTTCTTTCGTCGTTTCCACCTCATGATAACCATGATACTAATAATACGTCAAATAACAATACTAATACGAACCACAATAAGAACAACCATCCATTTTGATAATGGATGATTTCGTTTAGTATGACTATTATATTTTGATTATATATAGGTCCATATATAGCGCATATTCATGTTTATGATGAAGATTCCATATTATCTGGAATAGATAAATATTTAGTCGATCCTCCAGGATTTATTATTTTTTTTCCTGTGAAGCTCACTATTTGTAACATTAATGAATATTATTTTCAACTTTTATTTATATAACTATTTACTATTGAATTTTCATGGGAAATCTTTTCATTACCAACGTGAATTCGATTGTTCTACACCAGAGACATTAGTGTTAATAGGATTTATACCATTTTCATTTGCTAAGGGTTTGTTTTCTGATTTAGAATTTTTGATCGAAATTTGAATCTTTTCAGTTCTATTTGCAATAAACATTTTAATATATTGTTTATAATTTTTATCCACTTTTGATAAAATTTCCATACTTTTCAGACAATTTATGCAGTTGTTGTATTGTTTTAATTCAAAGGAACAATCGAAATAACCAAAATAACACTCAAACTCAAAGACTTCCATTCCAATTTTGAACCATTCTTGTGCCTTGCCGTAATCTCTGAAATAGTTCATTTCAAGATATCCAAGTTCTTTAAAGGCTTCTTTAAATCCCTGAGTGCAACATTGTTCTAAAAGTATTTTTGATTTCATTGGATCATACTTTATATATATTTGAGCCAGATAAAAATATGATTTAACACAATCTTGGAGCTTACAAATTTTTATTACTTCTAAGAAGTTTCGTTCTGCAATCTTAATATTTTTTGAATCTTCTTTATATTGAATCTCAGCAATCTTTTCTAAAACTTCTCCCTTTAATTCGTTTTTCAATTGCGGTTGTTCTAAAAACTTTTCATACCAACTGATGCATTCCGTAGTTTTGCCCATTGAATGATAAAGGTCACCTACCACTTTGAAGCTTAAGCCATGTCCTAACATTATCAGATCTCTTAACAACTTTTCTGCTTCCTTCTTCTTAGTGGGGGTTACGTCCTTATTTGATAATACCTCGAAACATAATAATGCAATAGCATCGTTCGATCCATTATTAGCAGATTTGTACAACAATGAATTTCTCATCTCTTTCAAGGGTGTAGTTTCATAATGACTTATTTTGTTTATTTTTGAAAGGACTCTATTCATAAGAAATAACACTTCACCATTATGACGATATTTTGTAGGTATTGTTTTTTTCTCATATAATGACCGATAAATTGGTATAATTGTCCTGGAGGTAATATCAGAATCCAGCTGGAATAATATCCTATTTATTAGTTTCTTCGAAGGAAATACCTTCACGAAGTCAGGTTTATTCATTGCAAGTATATTTCAATTACAGAAACCTGTACATTAAATAATGGTCTAGGGGAAGCTGATATAAAATTATGATATGTAACACCTCCTCTCTTTCTCTCTGTACCTTCTCAAGATGTCTTACCAACATATTAACATTTGTTTCTTTTAGAAGATATAACAATTGTTGGAATAATAAGCTTAGCGCGCAGTTTTTGAAGCTAACCGATGTGATTGTTAGCAAACAAATTTAAATAATTAAACTGACGAATAAAGAAAACTAGTCTTTAATATACCAATGGTATGTAACTTCTAAGAATTGTTGAACAAGTAGAAACGGATGCAATTATCTTATTATAGAACAAAGTGAGATAATATATCTCTTTCAAATGTAAATATATACTTCGCTATGGGCACCGTAAGATTATGTAAAATGTAAAAGACATTTTTATGAGGAAGTATAAAAAGTATACTGTTTGATTTTAGAAATAAGATTTTTATTTATTTATTTTAGGATGCATTGTACTAGAAGTTGAACAACCGGATTTGATCTAACATTAAAATGATGCAAATTCAGATAGTTCAAATTTGGACCCATATATAATTTAAATTTTCGTTAGTTGATTTACATTCGTATTTTAACATTGTGCGAGCCAAAATAACACAACCCTTTTGAAAGTATGCATTTTCTTATATGCCAATGTGAATAATACTGTTAAGTACATATATAATGTTTACACAGAAGATAAAAATGTTTAACACATCTTGGAAGTAACGTTATGCCTTCTGAGACAAAATATTTATTTGAGCAGGGTCACTAGGTGTCGGTAACTCTTTAAAATATTCACTTTCGAGACATTGAGTTGTGTCCCATCTAGTGTGTGGATTCATCATTAACATATTTTCCATTAAAGTCAACGCACTTTCTGTAGCAGCAATAAATCTCTTCCTTAATTCATCTCTTGATGGCGGTGGATATATTTGTAATTTATTATACCCAGGAAATGATGAAACTTCTGGCCATTGTTTATCAGTTGGTGTACCTAATGCTCTAAACGTTACCTCCATTTGATTCATGTCATCTTGGCCTGGTAAATAAGGTATCCTTAACATTAATTCGGCGAAAATTACACCAATAGACCAAACATCTACAGCATAGGTATAATGTTTGGCACCAAACAATAACTCTGGAGCTCTGTACCATCTCGTAACCACATTACTTGTAAGCATTTCTCTTGGACCCGGCACAGCTCTTGCCAAACCAAAATCTGCTACTTTGATGAGACCATCTGGCGATATTAATAAATTATTAGGCTTCAAATCTCTATGCAATATAAAATTTCTGTGTACATGATACACACCTCTCAAAGTCATTAATAACCATGACTTTATGTCTGCTGGGGTGAACAAAATATTCTTGTCTTTTATTACAACTTCCAAATCAGTAGGTAAAAATTCTAAAACAAGATTTAAATTGTCATAGGCCATGAAAATATCTATCAAATTAATGACATTGGGATGATTTAACTCCTGTAAATACTTCACTTCTCTTATAGCTGACATATCCAGACCATCCTTAAATTCAGAGGTTTTGATTTCTTTTACCGCAATATTATTTCCAGAACTGAGCTGTTTGCCCAGATAAACCACGGCGTACGTACCTTCACCAACTTTCTTTTCCTTTGTATAATTTGATTCACTCATTATGGGTTCAATATAGTCGATATGTGTTGGAATTCGTTCCTTTCTATCGTTTGGGCTTTTACTTTACAATTGTATTAGTGGTTAATATTAAGTAATGAATTTTTTATAGAATTATTGTTGGCTAGTTGACCCCGAAGATTCTTTACTACCAACAACCAAACTCGAGGATCACGAATAAACCATATCTTCAACACTACAGTGATACGACAATGATTATGATGTGGTGAAACGATCTACGATATACTACAAATGTATATAAATATCTAAATCAGTTCTTTTTCTCTGGTCAATTATGGGACCTTACCCGAGCAATGCAGTCACTGGAGCATTTTCTACTATAAAAACAACCTAATCTACTTGAAGTAGTATATATATTTACTTATGTATATGTGTATAGCATTGGGTCTAAATCAACAATGGTTAAACTTTAAACACTATAGTGAGTAAAGGGGATATCTAGAAATTCCAATATCATTGACTTGTTACACATATAAAAGGAACAATCAAATATTCTTAAAATTCAAAAAAACAAATAAACTGCAACGCAATAGCATGTATTCCTATTGAATTGCTTCAAGAACGAGAAGAAGAAACTAACTACACTCCCAATGATGTTGTATTATTATTATTATATGTTAAGGTGAATTACTAGACAATCAAAATGAGTACAACTGAAGATCAGGTGTTGTACCATCAAAAATCAGCCCTCAAAGTCGGCGACATAGAACGTTATGTAATCACATATAGCCCTTCTCATCGAAACTCGAAACTATCTTGCTCGTTATCTATGATGGAGTCGTTCAATAAATCATTGTTCCTTAAACTTAAAAATGTCTCGAAGTCTACCTATAGTGCCAATTATATTATGGGACCTTTCGATCTGTACTGTGATGTGCGTTCTAAGGATTACTTCGATACCCAGCGTGTGGTGGTTAGTGTAGAGAAACCTCAATATGAAAGTCAATTAGTTCCTCAAAAGAAATTCGTTGTTGAGTTGATGATGCGGCAATTGAAAGATCAATATGTATGGATTGTGGATGTTGTTAGTGGTATTATTTTTTCAACTGATAATCATACTTCATATGAGTTAACATTAGCATTCTCTAAGGAGCTACTGAAATGCAAGAGATATACAGAAATTTCAACCGAATGGTTCAATGTTCATAAAATTAATAACTCTAAACTGTGGATGATTCCTCCTGAAGTTGTAGAAAGTTCCAAACCCAAACATTTAATAATTCTAACACATGGTTTATATTCAAATGTGTCTGCCGACATGTTATACATTAAAGAAGAAATTGAGAAACAGCGTGAATTGTATCCAGATGAAGATTTGATTGTCGATGGGTTCACTGATAATGTTTGTCGCACAGAAAAAGGTATAAAATACTTAGGGGTACGTCTTGCAGAATATATCATTAAACTTCTAGAAGAACACTCTATCACAAAGTTATCCTTTATAGGTCATTCATTAGGTGGACTAGTACAAATGTTTGCTATGGCATATATTTCTGTTACAAATCCAGATATTTTCCTAAAAATAAAATTGGAAAATTTTATTGCTTTGGCATCACCTTTATTAGGGTTGGGTGCACATAATCCTAAATATGTGAAATATTCTTTATCGCATGGTGTAATGGGCCAAACAGGGAAGGATCTTGGATTACATAGAAGTAAATCAAATGATAATGTACCTTTGCTATATTCTTTATCTGGTGAGCCAGTTCGATCAATTCTCAAAAGATTCCAAAGAAGAACTATATACGCAAATTGTGAGAACGATGGGATTGTTCCTCTTTATACATCAGCATTGTTATATCTGGAATACAACCAAATACTCAATAGCTTACAAGAGTTTAAACAAAGGAAACATGCTAAAAAGAAAGTTTCCAATGCATCATTAATTACATCTGTCACCTCGCTTGTAACTCAACCTGCACCACCATCTGCTTATATTGATGATCCAACGATTGGTCGAAACCCAATACTTCATGATAAAACATACAGCATAGAAGATTGTAAAAAGTTGAAGGAAAAATATGGTGATACCATCTTGAAACCTTATTTAAAACATAAGGTCAAAGACATGGATGAAAGTTACCAAACTCTTATTGCAGATAGACTACAAGAAAGCATGAATTGGAGGAAAGTAATAGTTGCATTACCTCCAGATGCTCATAATAATATTATTGTAAGACGTCGTTTTACTAATGCTTATGGTTGGCCTATAGTAAATCATCTAGTAAAGGCACATTTCAGTAATGCGCTGGAAAATATTAGTGACAATACAGATAACACTCAACATAATAATTCTATTGAAATAAGGTCAAATGAACTAGATGTTTCCTGGTTGACCACCTTAGATAAAACTTCTCCTGGTATTCTTTCCAGTGCATCGAGCCTGATAGACCGCAAATGGCACAGGCGTAAATCGGCACTCTCTAACACAACAGAAGAAACGCTGAAACCAAAAACCTCTACTTGAGACGATTAATCAATTAATTAGAATTTAGTCATTTGATTTTTAATTTATATCCACCAAACATTAAGAAAATATTTATCGCACTCAGACATCCAAATTTTATAAATCGTGGCGTCACACTTAACCTCTCAGACGTAGCATAAATCGTTCTTTTTATCACTGAGCATTTTAATTTAAATCTTTTATTTTTTTTGTTTTAAAGATGAAAATACTGATAATTTAAAATTGGAAGGTGACTTCAATTTGATAAGTTTAACCTTACAATAAAAATGTGTTCACAAAAAACTAAAGTTTATATCCAGTGAAATGTTCAAATAATCACCTCAAGATGTTCAAACGGATCGCGCAATGGATGAATCCAACAAATACAGAAGATAGTAAACAAAAATATGGACTTCAAATGCCATTTGCTTTCTCATCGTACTCATGTCTCACTGAGTATAGAAAAAACATAAGGACTTATAACCAGAGGATGTTGAAGACTATCGATTAGTTTTTTAAAAAAAAGGTCTGATATTGGAAATACTAAAAGGTTATTAGGAATATCCTGTGATTATTGAATGTGAATGTGAGCCAAGTGGAACCGTTTACATTTTCTTATGTGTTGACAACATACGGTTCTTACAGGAAAGCACTATTAAATTGAGACATGCAGTTAAATATATATCATATTGCAGAAATATAATTTTTTGTTAAAGAATTCGAATCATATGGAAATAGATCGTATCATTTTTACCCCAATAAGATTCACACCTGAAAGAAAACTTCAATTGACACCGGATGCTCCTTTACTTTGGAATGTCCCGATGATATTTGATGGTTTTGAGGACTTCAAAAGTTGTCGCATATATTATAAGTTCCTTGACATTTTGCGTGTAAACCCCAAAATAAGAGATATAATATCATCAATAGAATTTCTAGAATATATGTTTCATCCAGTTATACGTTTAGGTCAAGAAACACGATGAAGACAAAAATGGCTTGCCAAATGGGAAAGTTATGATACACTGGAAGACCAATTAAACTCTATGTTTGACAGCGTATTGTGAATAATGTAATATTATCATTTTATTGCATAACGGTTTTTATTTTGTTATTCGTTAATAAATATGACAACCATTCATGCAATACAAAGGACAATATCATAAAATACAAATTGAAGTTTTTAGAATATAGGTTTATGTAATTTACTGAATATATATATGCGTTAAAGTAATATGTATTTTGTTTGTATACTATATTTTGTCATAGGATCATATATTGTTTCAAATAGAAACAAGAAATTTGAAAATCGCATATTTTCTTGTTTATATAGTAAGACGAACAATGGAGATTTATTTATCTAGAATACTAGAAGTAGCATTTAACAAATCAATCACATGGGGTTTCAGAACTAAAAGAACGTAATTCGCATTTAGAAATTGGTATAATATTGTCCGTTTCCACATCCAATTTTATATTAATTAAGTACACACACAACTACATCAGTGTATTTGTAAATGATATTCTATTTCTAGTTATCCTACTTATCCATGTTAACTGTGACCTTACAATTCATATCATATGAACAGTCTTATCACATTTATATCCATGTATGTTGCGATACAACGTCTCGCGTCGGAAAGCTCATCGGTGAAGTAAACGTGGGGCTCTCACAGACGACTTCTGTTTTGATTATATAAGGGGAGCCCCAAAGTAAGGAACATCTCCAAAGGAAACACACGTACTTTACAATAATAAATCTTTACTTGTACAAAGAAGGAAGGTCTTGGTGCTGAACTTTTTTTTTTAACAACATAATATCAACAACATTATTAAAACTATGTCAGCAGAAGGTGTTAAGAGACCAATTCAGATTGAAGAATTTAAGGTAGCTATCAGGGAATTATCTGATGGAGATTTAAAAAAGGTACATAATGAAATCAATAATAATATTAAACATTTGAGTAGGTCAAATAAGAGACTACTAGCGTATATTGCTAAGATCGAAGGTAAAACTACGAAGGATGAAAGGGATGAGTTTGAAGAATTGGATAATGTGGATGCCGGTGATCTAGAGTTATTCGAGGAATCTCTTATGGAAAATCAATTGATTCTTAAAAATAATAATGACAGAGTGGATGCGTTGGAGCAAGAACATATTTTTAGAACTTCTGGTGCAAATATTAATTCTTCTGGTGCAAATCTAAGCTTGAATGAGACAGCTCCAACATCTACAGCAAACGAACCAACTTCGATATATCTATGATTGATATGGTTTGGAAGACAATGTTTTATCCATTCTGTCTTTGTTATTTCTTTTTCCAAAACAACTTTATATTATAGCAATTTTCTAACGTTTTCATATTTTTAATTTATTTTACAGCTCTTTTTAATTTTTTATTTATATAGCTTAATTTACATATGTTGAATTGTATAAGAATGAACAATAACAGCTGTTGCGGTTTGAATATTCATTGATCTAATAATACCAAATTGTTGTATCTCTAAACAAAGATCAAGTTCGCTTAATAAATCACCAGGAATACCATGTTTTTCAGTACCTAACAGAATTAAGGATTTTTTAGGGAATTTGTATTCAGCATCTAACTTTACAGATCTATCAGTTTGTTCTAAACCAATCAAAGTATATCCCTCTTTCTTCTTTTCTTTCATGAAATCTGTAATATTGGCCACTGGGACTTCCTTCATTGGCATCCATTTATCAGCTGTGACAGCAACATTCTTAAATTGTGGGTGCTGTTTGACTCTAATATCTTGAACTGTTAATAATCCCACACCTAATACATCACATAATCTACAGATCCCACCAAGGTTAGGTGGTTTATCAACCAGGGATGAAACAACAATTAAATCAGATCTATTGATTGATTCGTTAGATTTGTCGTTATCCAAGTCTAGAACAGTTTCCCATGCTCCACTCTTTGTTTGTAAAGGAGATGGACCATCAACAGAACTTTCGAATTTGTTATTCTTATTCCCGGACCCCCTTGTGGCTCTTTTACTTAACCATTGTGATTCTTCATCTTCACCTATTTCCACAGTTGATGGAAGATCATATAAATACAGAGCAAATTCATCTTTTGAAATGTAGGTTATATCATGATCAGTCATTTTTTTCAGCATACCACCAAATATATTAGTTAACGTCAAATTAAGCACATTCCATGTATTGGCATCACCTGCTCTGAACCTCCCAACTTGTTGTGTACGTTTAGCATTGATATAAAGTTTTTCAAATATTGCATTCAAATTATCATTGTTCTTTAGTTTATCCTTAAATGCAGGCCAGAAAGACAAAATTAATGAGTTTGAGAAATGTCTTATTAATGGTTTGTTAGATGTTGCATTTGTAATCAGTGATGAAACAAATTTATCTAATAATTCATTTGCTCTACTACTAGGTTTCGAATCGAATAGACCTCTCAAAGAAATGTATAAGATCTTTTCTGCACTAACTGCGGAAACGGGTAGAAAATCCTCTTCTAAAAGTTCAAATAATCTTGATTCATCAAATTTATCTGTACCTTCACAGTTAGATGCGGTAAATACAAATGAAACATACCATTCTTTAAGTATTCTAACAAGTGGAGATGCCTCAGATCTTAAAGTTTCAATAATGGTGTAAACAATTTTATGGTCAGTGTCTACAGATTCCATTAACGCTAGACATAATAATGAGAGTTCCCATAATAGGACTCTTTCAGTTTCTTCTGGACCATCGATTCTCTTTATAGCATCTAACGCATTTGTCTCAGTCATGATGTATTTAATTAATTCACCCCTAAATTCGTCATTAAAATTGATAATCGCATTGATCACCGACGTTCTAACGGTAAACTCTGGTAGACCATATACTTCTTCATATAAAGATAGTCTACTATTTGATTCACCTTTCAATTCTGAATCATAAAACTTGCCAATAACAGGTTTCAACTTAAAGATATTATCAGAAATTTGCCCTTGAATGAAACTATGTACAGAAATAATAACTAAACCGAAATAATTATTACCATATTTGATATCATTTTTAATTAGTTTGGAAAATTCAAATATTTGTTTCCCCAATAATGGTAAAAGGCCTCTTCGGGAAACACTTACATTACAGATATCACGCCCAATATCTGGTAATGAAAGTCCCATAGAGGTAGCAATATCATCCTTACCAGTTGTAACATGTTTTAAGAATTCTTTGTGGAATAATGTTTCAATAACTTTCAAATGCAAAGCTCTTTCTTTCAATACTAATCTGTCACTATTTAAGGTATCCCAAATCGCTGACATAATTGTAAACATCATCGACATCATAGAAAGTTTTGACTTTTGTTCAGTTAGAAGGGTGAAAATATGATCCAATAAATATGCTATTAGCTCTGCAATTGCTAGATTACCGTGAAAGTGACCGTTATCTTTTTCTACACAACTCAAGGACATCACCAATACATCTTCGATATGTGAGATCTCTTTCCTTAGATCTTGTTTTAAGATATCAAAAATTAGATTAATAAATGAAGCAAATGTTTTATCCTTCGTAACAATAGGTGTACTCCGGCCTTCATTGTTGTAATATAATACCATTTTTTTGTAAATTGGAAACATGTTTACAAGCGTAATTTCTTCGTTTCCATCTTTTCCTAGTTTAAGATAAAATGAAGAGATTTTGCATGCACATCCTAAACGAGTTTCATTAATTTTATCATTAATTTTTTTCATATTAGAAATATTGTATAACTTTTCAATACTTTTTTTATCTGAGTTCAGGTATTCAATTAAAGTTGACATATCGTTGTCTAATATATCATCAGAGTTTAGGCAATTTTCAATGGTATTATAAATATCATCTTTGAATGGTTCATTATTTAGTAAATCAGATTTGCATAATGCAACTAAAAACTCCTTTGTTGGATTCGCAGGACGAATATCAAATAATAAATACAATAATATACCATAATCTTTGTATAATTGTTCAGTGAACGTTTCCACGTTAAATTTGTGTGTGGCATAATTCTTAAACTCGAAAACTAATTTTCTGAAGTATTTAAAGTCATAATGAGTACAAATTAAATGTGTCTTCAATGCCTCTAACCACTGTTGGATACAAACACTAGGTTGGACATAAAGAAGCATTTTCAAATAAATGGTTTGTTGCGCCATTTCAAAAATTTCTTCTTCACATTCGAATTCAAATAATTTACGCAATTGACCGATATTTTCTAATGATAACTTGGAAGTATTTGTACTTTCTAGATAATTCAATATTCCGTAGGACATATAAATCCTAGCTGGATCAAAAGATAACCCTTCTTTTATTAAACGATTAAAGACACAAGTTAAAATCTCTGATCTCTTCGATTCTGATGCATCCAAAATTTGAGAGACAAAATCAGATACCTTGGCACCAAAAGGACAATCTAGGGATTCGACATTGTAAAATTGTGCTTGCATGGTACATGGAAGAATTGTATCTTGCAGAATATCTATATTACTACTGAATACAGCAAGGTCTTCTACTTGAAAGACTAATGATAATATGTATTTTCTAACACTTTCCATAGATGCATGTAAACCAGTAGCAAATAAGATTAAACTCCAACTTGGAGGAACATTTTTGTCATTGAAGAGATTTAATATATCTTGACGAGCAGCCTGAATTTGATTAAGAGCAGTATCCAAAGCAACAATTTCATACAACGTTGTAAATTTCTCCCACGATTTTAAAAATTGAACCTTTGTTGATGGGTTCCAAGAGAATAACTCTGTTTCAAACGGTTCAGAGATATCTACTAGTCTTCTTATTGTCAATTTCAGGATTGACAATGCTAATTTCCTAAATTCATGGATTCTATGGTTTAAAGCTAGTTGGAGTTGCTTCCAATAAGAATTTTTCTTTATAAAAGAAAACAGGTTACTAGTATTATCTTCTGGAACTGTAAGGTATCTCAAGTGAAAACATAAAGCATTTCTTTCTTTCCATTCATTTGTTCCAACATTCTTGTAGATATGTTCTATAGATTTCCAAGTTAATTTATCAAATGTTTTATCTTCTAAACAATTATTAACAATACTTAGTTCTTTCCATCTCATTAATTTTGAACTTGATACGGCAACGGCTTCAATATTAGAACCTTGAAGACATAAAATAATTCCATCTAATTCCATATCACGTTTTTTTGATATTTTGTCAGTCCAAAGAAATATTTTCTCTAATAGAGTCAACAGTAATTCAATCTCAGAATCCTCAATCTGTATATGATCATCAAAAATGTTTTCAATATTACAATTATATTTACTAATAAATTTCCATGTAACATTATCATAAAATTCCTTGTCAAATAGTCTAACATTGTTAGCTGCAATGTAATTGATGAATTTCCTTTTCAACCATACTTCGACCTTTAAGCATAAACTTGGAATATGGTCAATCAAACTAACATAAGTTTTCAATTGTGAATCATCCAATATTGTCTCCAATGCATTTTTTTCACCCATTGCAGTCTCGACATGACTGAATTTTTCATACAATTCATCTTTAAATGATTCAAAGATATAATCTAAAACTTTATCTTCTTTAGATAGATCAACATTTGTAAATATAACAATTTCTATAGCTTCATCGAATCGATTAGCAAATATCAAATCATTAACTAGAGCGAACTGTTGAGTTGGTGACAGGAATTTCGATATTAAACCGCCTTTAGAGTCCATCCTTACCGCGCAATATTATCTGTGTTTTATTTAGGATAATTTATTGAATAAAAATAAAAATAAATCTAATTGAGTCACGAGTTGTATTCAATTGTAACTCAATTGATTGAATATTTTTTAGTAATAGCTGTCTTCCATTGGCAGTTCAATGACCTTTCAAATGACCCCATCCGGTTCATCGATTAATTGAAAATTTTATTATGCCAAAGAAAAAGGCAAAGAAAAATTTATTTCCGATCATGTGATCAAAATATATAATCCTGCGACTGTTTCTGTGAAACTTTTGGGGTAGCCCCAGGCGCCCTTATTGTCTTTCCCTTTCATAACAGGAGGGCAAACCCATTAGACAATAATAGACTTACAGAGAGAGAGGACTTGAATGTAAAGTTATGAACAAAAGGGTTCGTAGAGATACTGTTACTGGTGCCTCTTGAAGTTAAGCATTTCTACAACTCAGAAGGATTCGAATGTATATATTTATGTGTGAATTTTGAACCTGGAATAAATTAATCTACATTAAACCCAATTTAATAATCCCCGCTATACCATGGCTAAAAACAAAACTAAAAAGGGAAAGAAACAAGCTAATCAATATGATAGAAGATTAAATGATCTAGAAGAAAGTACTGAACCAACTGAGTCAAATACTAATATAGATTCTTCTGAAGGGAGTCCGGATCAATTGGTTGCAGCACCTAAAAAGCAGGTAGATCAAACAGAGAACAAAGAGGATATACAGGATATACCAAAAACAGAGTCTCTCGATATACACTCAACTGCAAATTATAGTACTAATTCAATCAGTGATGATGTCAGTCTTGTAGAGGCGAGGATGGTTCATACTGCAATTATTGAAAAAGATAATCCATTTTTAGAGGTTGAATCTCAAATTAAAAAATACAAGAAGGATGAAGAGAAGAGAATGAATGAAAATAATACAGATGTTGAAAAGCATCTTAGTATAACACAAACGAGTCAAAATATTAAAAACCCAAATAAAATATATGAAAATGATGACGATGATCTCGTATTACCAAAAACAAAACCCCTAAAACGTAATGATGAGCAAAAAGAAGTGATTAAGTCGAAATCTCCGATGCAAACGAATACTAAAGATATATCTAAACACTCGAATGGCACTAAACCAAGTAATTTGAATATTCAGATATTAGAGGCTAATAGAATATCAGAGGGCCAAGGTAGAGCTTATGTTGCATATACGATTAAATATGGTGATTCCATTGTGAAAAGGAGATATAGTGATTTTGAATCTTTAAAAAATATATTGATAAGGTTATTTCCAACGACATTGATCCCACCCATTCCTAAGAAAGAAAGTATTAAAACGTATGGAAAGGTAATTAGAGGGAGTACAAACGATTTTATTTTACCGTCAGATGATTTGGGATCGGCAGATTTGTCATTTTCTGTAATAAATGACAATATTCCGAATGTAGATGCAAAATTGATACGACATAGAATAAGAATGTTGACATTGTTTCTGACAAAAGTTTTACAAAATAAGGACATCAGTAAGACATCCATAATTAGTGATTTCTTGGAACCGAATCATGTGAATTGGAACGATTTCGTGGCTAGCTCCCCAACTTTTTCATCGTTACCAAAAAATACCTTAAACTGTAATCCATTAGATCCAACCAATACTTCTAGATTATATGTTTCATTACCTATTCCTTCTTCATCACAGTTGATTATACCGAAAGAGGTCAGAGGCGTTGCTACTTATCCTAAAAAAGTTAAAGAAAAATTTGACCTGATAGATCAAGATTATAAACAATATGAAAACATTTTGAAAAATGGAATATACAAACATAATAAGAGGATAACAAAAACCTTTTATGACTTGAAGACCGATCTAAATGAAATAAGAGAAATATCTGCTATATTCGCAAAAAGCCCACAAGATATTGGCATACAAGAACAATTAGTACACATTAGTGATACATATTATGATACCAGTATTCTTCTGGAAAAATTTGTTAGTCGTTTACATTATAGTGTTGACGAACCATTAAGTGAATTGGTTGGCATGGCGGGATCTGCTAGAGATTTAATAAAGTTTAGAAGATTAAAATATATTCAAAATGACATGATAAAAAAATCGCTGAATAGTAAACAGAAACAACTGAGTAAACTAGTGGCAGAAAATAGTAGATTTAGTCATATGGATAATGCTATAGAAGATGCAATGGCCAATACCCAACAAGTATCACTTCAAAGACCAAATACTGAACCAAATAGTTATAGTGGGAAACTATTCAGTAAGTTTAATAAACTTGCGTCTATTGTAAAAGAAAGTGTTACTTATCAAGATATAGATCCTAAGACAGCTGCTATAGAAGTGAAGAAGGAAATAGAGAGATTGGAAGAATTTCAAAAGGTTACCATTCCTGACTTAAAAATAATAACCGATATTATTCAAAAACAAGAATTATCAGAGTTTGAGAATGATAGAGCTCAAGAATTAAAGAAAATTATGAAAAATCATGCAATATATATGAGATCATTTGCCGAAAAGAATTTAGAACTTTGGAAAACTTTAAAAAGACAGCAAACAGATTAGAAAAAGAGAACGTTATGTGCTTCCCCTGTAACTTTATGGTATTCTAATTTTTTAAATAATAATCTTTTGATAATTGATATGTCTAGAGTATTTAAGCATATTTATTTTGATAGCATTAAATGTTATGTAACGCTTTTTCGATAGTAAACGATAAAGATAGGATGATCCTAATTAATTAATTTACAATGCAGTAACCTTATTCATCCCACTCATATGTTTTATCATCCATACAAATGGCCAATCTAACGAGTTATAAACAGGTAACAGATTTGTATAATAAGGTCTTCGGATTATACTGCTATTGTTTGACTCAATAGCATTAATAATATCCAAGGATAATTTGGTAGGGTCGACATCTGGAGCCAGCACTTTAGATGGTGTGCTCACAACCTCGAACATTTTTGTCTCTAACTTCCCAGGACATACTAACACTGTGTTTACATGGCAGCAAGGAATTTTTGCAATGTGATCCGTAAGAAGTCTATGAAATGCTGTTAACGTTGCCTTCGATGCACCATATGTTGATAATCTTGCAGGAGTAGTCTCTCCTAGGATGGACGAAACGTTTACGATACAGCCAGACATCTTTTCTAATAAGTGTGGTAAAAATAAGGTTGTCAGGTAATATGCACCCAAAAAATTGATATTAATTACACTATCAATTTGATTATCTTCAGTGGTAAAGATAGTCTCGATTGTTGTCTTTCCAGCATTATTGATAAGAATGGATATGTACCCAAAATCTGCAATAACTTTTTCATATAACCGTTTAACCTGTCCTTCATCCGAAATATCACACTTAAGGAAAAGGATATTTGGGTTATTTAAATATTCAGGAATTGGCGGCACGACGTCAACCACAATAATCTTTCTGGAAGGTTTTGTGAGCAACAACTTAACAATTTCAGAACCGAGACCATTGGCACCTCCAGTAATTAAGGACACTGTTTCTTCATTAAAATGAAATCTTTTATAATTGTTAAAATATCCATATTTCTGTGCCTTTGCAATTATATATTTGGCTGGCATACTATTTAGAGTGAATCGAATAATTGGGCATTTAATACCTTGAATTTTGAAATTTTCTAAAGTCATTGTGAGTGGATAAATTGTATTCTTGATTTTTGAAGTTTTTACTACGAAAGATGCTACAAATTACTTTATTAAAATCAAGTTTTTAAACTTTATTGAGTTATGGATAATATTAAAACGTTGTTATATGGATTATTTTATTTTGACGCAAAATATTTTTTGCATAATATTGGGTTTCATTTTGACGTATGAACCAGAATTTTCATAAATATCAACTAAACTATAAAATATATATTTTCGAAGTCTTACATTCAATTGGCACACCTGTACCAAGTTTAACTCAACCCTTAAACCTGTAAAATGATGATACTTTCACAAACTTGATGTAGATTCTTGCCAAGCAGTTTAATATCTCAATTAGATCTTACTTGCTATTATGGTTACAGTTTTCTTGGGTAACGCCGCCCCTTACCGGAACTATGTAAAAATGGAATTATTTGACTGACAAAGAACGAACATAAGAGATACTTTCCTTTAAACAGGAATTCAGAATTAAATATAAAGATAATTTGTCAACTGGTTGGAAGGTAACCTATATAATACCGTGATAAAAACCTCAAGAAAATCTTTTAACTTGTAATACATATTTCAATTTAACAATTTCCATTTCGCAATGACAAAAGCCCCAGAATTTATTAGAGTGAAAAGAAGGAGAGATGAGGGATCTGTACATGCACTTCTAATCGATGAAGACAAGAGAGTTAAGAGGGCTAAATACGTATTTAAACTCCAAAAGACAATAAATGAAAATTCATATGAGAACGAAAAAGAAACAAATACTCCCTTATTAAAACTAACTAATGATGATGGTCGACATTTTGTCTTGGAGCAACACAAGAGAAAAAGAGGTAAAACTGATAGTGATAACGAGATTGAACCACAATTGGATAAACATGGCGACCATACAGATAAACTACCGACAGATATTGCTCAAATGGTTAGTAGTTATTTGAAATTACAAACAAATAATGATTCCTCTCAACTAGGCTCAAATCAACGAAAGAAACCAACCAAAAAGAGATATCTAAACTCTGTAGCATCCCTACCAAGTCAAGATTACGTTTACGATATTTATCACTTGGAGATGGTTCCTGATACTGAATTGTTAACATATGACGGCGATAATAGTGTTGGGTTTGTGAAGATTGTTAACAAATATATTGATTTACTTCCCGATGATGAAGAATACTCTGATTCTCAAATAAAATCTGACGACGAAGACTCCAATGATGAAAATTATTATCAAAATGATTATCCTGAAGATGAAGATGATGACAGATCAATCCTTTTTGGTGAAGAAGGTGAAGGGATTGCTGACGAGGAAGATGAATTGAGTAAAAGTCAACAAGTATCTGAATTACAGAAATGGGGGGTTGTACCTTCGAATGTAGAGGAATGGGAAGAATCGAAGAGTGGCGATCAAACAGTTAACAACGCCAACGAATATGCTGAATTGTTTAATAAATATGAAGAAAGTGAAAATATCTTATATTCGATCAATAAAAATCATGTTGTGGATGTTGACATGGATAATACACGACAAGTTTATTATGACGAAGATGACCATATTGAGATAAATGATACTATCCGTAATGCTAGTGCTGAAAATGATAATGATGACAACTATGAATACGAAAGGAATACGTTCTTTGAAACCGATAGAGATGATCCTCTGGCCCAGCACAGAGACAAGATTTTTGGCGAATTACAAAGGAAAATAAATGAGTAATGTGGCATAGATTTCATATAAAACAAATCAATAAATATATATATCTATGGATTATGAATTATGCATATATTTTGTTCATGAACTATCAATAATATATATTTGGATATATAATTGTAATAATTATCTATTATATTTATGCTACAAGTGTTGCTGTATGAGCAACCAATTTCAAATATTCCTTCAATCTCCCACACGATTGGAACAAAAGGTAGATTTTATCGGTTTCGTTCGCTACCAAGTTTGTGAAACCTAAGGCATCATTAATAAAAGTTGGAATCTTTAGTAGTTCAGCTGCTTCCACCAAACCCTTGTGTAGTTCAATTATTAAGTATGGCGTATACAAGGCTCTTATTTCATACAATACGGCAAAATCTTCTCTATTTTCGTCTTCTGTGAGCGATATCAGAAAACTCTTAGCTAAATCAATTGAATATTTTGAATATCGTTGGAATATTTCTATTAAAGTTGGAATATTTGACTCCGAATTTAAAAGTTTCACAGCTTTTTGCCAATCTCTATATTTCTTAAATCCTGTGACAAGTGACTGGTACTGCTCGATTTCCTTAACAACAACATCCTCATCAAAAACAATATCTGAACTATCGAGTGATACCAACTCTGCTTTATAATTTCTTAGCAACTCTTCGATTTGGTTACTTTCCATGAAATATTGCAGTGTCCCCACTTTACCATTTATTAATAGCCGTCTGGACATTGCTACCATAGAATGCAGCACATCAGTGTACAAACGGCCTTCAATTAACCATTCTACCCCGAATAACAAATGTCTGTCGATATCCGATATATCATACGTCACATTAATAGATTGATCAGGTGAATAATAACTTTCAGTTTCTTGGAAGACCCGTTCTGTAGTTTTCTTTAAAATATTATTTTTCGGAAGTCTTAGAAGGTTTATCAGATCTAATTGGGATCGTCTAATCGAAGTATCTTCGATAGTGCACAAGATAAATGAATATGCATCAACAACACTGCCTTCGTCTAGGAAACTTATATAAACAGGAATAGATTCATAAAGACCGCGCAATTTCAATACAGAAACATATGCTGTCACAAGTTTTAATTTATCAGCATTTGAAACAATACCGGGTTCAATTATATCCAATATTATAGTCAAATGAGTCATTATTCTCAGTAAGTAAGGCTCATCTAACAAATCATTGCTTGTTTCAAATCCTTTAACAATATCGAGTAGCATATCAACAGAAGAATGAATCATCGTAGGTAAAGTATTTAAAATAACAGAGCCGATCAATGCTCTAATCGGATGCGTGCTCTCATCCATATGCTTGGACGACACCACATTCAAAACTGTTTCTAACGATGGAGATTGCATTGGAATTGGCGTAATAATCTCACGTATGTCAGCTTTATCTTCTTTCAATAAATAATTACCTACTTCAATTTGAATAATTTGATTCAAATTTAGTAATAATTCTGACTCCCAATTAGAGTCAGCAAGAATATCGTCATTCGGTGTAGTGCCTGACAGAAAGCTGTAAATTGCACGCTCGTATACATCAAGTTGCGTCTGATAAGATAAATTAAACACAGCAGTTCTCCATAAAGTACGTTTTTTAATACCTAGTTGTGTATCAAATTCTGTAGCCAATTGTTCATCAATTTTAGGGTTTATGTATTCTTGCATACCACACATAATCATACACAATGTTAAATTTTCGGACATCCTACACTCATCGAAGGCCTCCTCAAATTTCCCAGCAATCAATAAATGGTAAATATATTTGAAGAAAATATGATCCTGTTCCTTATCTTTTATGTCAATATTGTTTGAGTTTTCAGGATCACGTAGAGGACAGTCTAAATCTGCACTTTTTAAACCGCCCGCGATCAATGAATTAGACCACTTAGATGTCATCAGATTTGATGGTCTTTCTACCTCTGGCATATTTTGCTGTAACCAAACAATTATTATCCAAATCTGGTACAAACTTTTATTTTCAAACATCAATTTCTTTTCGAATACAGCATTTGAATTATAGGAATGAATTGCCATAGGAGACGAATGAGTTCCATCATCATTTACTTGGTTATTAGAAACTCTAAAACTTAAAAGAAGATCTACTAGGTGCCAGAATTTTGCTTCTAATTCCCAATCATTGTATGTTGAATCATGAATCCCCGAACTTAAAAGATGTGCCGCAGATTGAGCAGCAATAGATCTGAACTCTTTTATCATATCAAATGGATCTAGAGGATTGTCTGTATTAGTACCATTTTCATTCTCTTCAGATTTACCGAGGGATTCAATGATATATTCCTTTAAAATATTAGTAAAGCTGATGAAATGTTGTGATTGTACAGCACCATCTTCTAGGCTATCTACTTCCATTGACATTTTTAGAGATAGGAATAAATTTAATTTATTCAAAATTCTGTGTTGATCGGTTTATATGTTTTAGTCGTTATTATAATGGAAGATGATATGCCGATGCCAGTTTCCAATTTGATATTTTATTTACAAATTTCTTTAATCTATTAAGTAACAGAATTTCAAGACGCTTCAAGAACCATAAAATCCCAACAAAAAATATTTCAGGAAATACTCGTTCAAAGCGATATTTATCGAAGTTATTAAAGTAAAACAACTCACTACCATAAATCTACATTTTTATATAACCACTCATTTCCCATTTTTAACCTTAATTATACTCATTATTATATGCAGATTGTGCAATTTTGATGCAATTATTTAATGGATGTAATATATATACATAAATACTTTATCCTTCTATAGTACATTTTATCTTGGATGAATGGATGTGGTATATGACCTATGAAATGCAGATCCACTCTGAAAAAGGACACCAGCCAATACCAGAGTCGGCCTTAATTAAACCCGTCCATATACCTTCTTCTTTAAAAGTTATAGATGTATTCCAAGTTCCGTGTGTTGTGTTTGGATATTGTTTTTTCATTTCATATATCTTACCTGAAGGGGATTTGATGGCCATAGGTTGTCTCTTATTTTTCACTGTATTACCATCATCAATGATGTTTCCACTGTCAGTATAAATTACTCCATCATAAGGGTTCTGGATGATATCAAAGTTGTATTCATTATTTATAAATAAATAACGGTTTTGTGGCTCTTTAATATAAGTTTCAACATTTTGAACATTCTCCGATGGAACTCGAATAACAAATTCAAATTTCATTTCTTCCTTTCTATGTTCTAACGGGACAAGCATAGATAGTGGATGGACATTAGCAATCGACACTTGCTTCCCTCTTAGCCCCGAGTGAATATATAACGAACCAGAAGAAGCACCAGGTGGTAGAACAGCTTTAATGACAGCAATACGACGCCCAGATTCAGGTTTATGTTTTTTGATCTGCGTCAATGCCAAATTCATTTCAGAATATCTCCTTGCTGTTGCTGAGTCGTTATTATCCGGTATAGCTACCACAGAAGCAAATATTTCGATATCATTTGGAATCTCTAAAGAACATTCATAAATTTCAGAATATTCAAGATATGAAAGAGCTGTACTGAAATTGTGCAAAGATAAATCATTCTTAAAAAATGAAGGGAATACCAATGGTAAATGCAATGCAGATAACTGATCAATACTAGGAACAATGTGTTGTTCAAATTCTCTTGGTGGAATATGAGTGTAAATAAACTTCAATGGTTCGACTAGAAAATAACTATCATCAGCAGTCTTCCTTTTATGGTTATCGATGAATGCATGGATAGGATTAGTAGCATTACCAAGAATAACATCAATAAATCTCCATTCTCTGTTAATTAAAACACGTAACCAGCAATGATTATATTTAAATTCACTAGTTTTGTTACCTGGTGTCTTTAAGAATCCAATTACGATTTCACATGTGATCCCTAATGAGTTTGCAATCTTTTTGAATAACCAAGTTAATTGGTATGGTGTACAATGCTTCTTGTGCAGGATTTCGTTTAAGTTAGTTGGTTCTGAACTAAAATCTGAACTACCATTGTCATCTACAAGATCAAACATTTCTGTACAGAAAATGTAAAGACCTCTTAATTTTTCCAAAGTAGTACCGTATCTAGCCGAAAATGTGGTAGTTGTCCATGTACTCAATTTCAAGTCGTTCTTCTTCGAGCATCGTTTTCTTGTCATTTGATCAATATAATCGGTATTTAATTCAGTCAAAAGTAAATCAAGAGTTCCTGGAGTTGTACCCATTTTAGTCTCGTTTGTGTTTAAACCATTATAAATAGAATCTTGTGGATGAAGAACCAATTCTTGATCGTTTTCTAAAGCTCTCATATACCTTGGATGTTTTTCATATTTTGTTAATGTTCGAGATCTATTGACCTGTGATTTAACTGTAATCCAATCCTTAGCCTCTGAATGGGATCCTGAAACAGAGCAATTTATATTCAAATTTTCTAAAGAAGGCAACACAGGAAAACTGTTACTATTTGGAATATTACTATTATTATTATTATTATTATTATTATTATTATAGATATTAGCTGACCTTGGTAATATTTTCCTTAATAAATTCCCCATTTGACCGTTATTTGAATTTGACAGTGAAACTTTATTACTACTGTTTGGAGAATCATTCGAATATGATCCAGCATTAATCGAGTTTTGTAATAAATCTATATCATTTGAGGATGACAAAGGTGCTGCTTGTGATCTTTGTAAAGAGTCTGAAAATGATTGAGCATATTTATGTCTTGCAAAACTTCCTGCACTAGTGGCACTAAAATCACTCATTAGGGCGAAACTATTCTCACTATCAGTCGTTGATGAATCCATATACCTTGAATTTGAAAAGGAATTGGATGATGTATTTTGATGCAAATAAGGTAATCTAGTACTACCTTCTAATGAACGTCTTGCGAGATCATCCATATCGTCATCATTTTCATAATAGTGATGATGTTGATGATGACGATGATTATGATAATACCGATCATCGTATGATTGATTATGCTTTTGTCTGGATTCAGTAACATCATTTGAAGAATATGATTTAATGGGTCCACCTGACCGATTAGAGACTCTAGAGAGTCTCTTTGATGACATATTAGGTAAAGGTGGCAAAGGTGGTAAAGGATGATCATTTATATTCCCATTTTGGTGACGTGGTTTCACAGTACTTGATGGTCCTAATGCCGATTTTCTTCTGTTTGATCCTAAATCTGGAGATGATTGATGTTGATATTGCTCATAAAAGGGATAATTGTTTCTAGACATATGCTTCTTTACTGTGTAGTTGTTATGTGTGGGACTCGAAGGAGATGACGAATATGGTGAGTTATATGTTGGTGATGACGGTGATGAGTGTAAAGAATCTGTTGAGACAGATGTTGCAATAGGAGACAAGTTGCGGTTTCCATTACCTTTACCATTTGAACTTGCCTGTTTCGTATCCCTAGAGGTTCTATTCAAACGTGATGATCGATTTTCATTAATTGATCTCATTGGAATATCGGGAATCACCACTTTCTGTTTTGAATTCTGATCAGGATTCTTATTCAGAAACGGTGATGAAGTTGAACCACCAGTTGCTATTGTTGTCGTTGTTGATGCCATCATTTGTGATCGTGATAATGATTGATTGTTCTGTTGTTGTATTAGTGTTACAAAATTATGTGGGAAATAACCCGCACATTTCGAGTTTCTCATCAATTTCCCATAATACCAGTCACCGGTCACTCTAGTGACCTCCATGACGTCTCCTTCGATAAATCCGAGATCACCTTTCGTTTGACCAGACCAACCGTATCTCGCCCTTACTCTAAAGGGTAGTTTAATTTCTGACATTGATGCTTATTATTATAATTATAATTATGTGTGTGTAATTGAATGCAAATGAGATGTAATGTTTGTGGATCATATAATGATCTCTTATGATTGATGTATGAATAGTAAAGAACCAGCGAACAAAAATTGATTGTAATTGATTAATGAAATGTTGTACTTTGGATGAATTTAACTGTCCTTACTGTCAAAGCATGGAAAACGGACAAATTCATAGACACAACTGTTCCCTGAACTAGCAAAGAACCTAAACAAGAAATTCAAACAATCGTCAAAAGACTGTCCAAACCTCAACATTACATTATATATATCAAGAGATGTTGAACTCTCAAGCGAGTAGCTTGTTCTCCCATCCAGATCAAATATTCTATTTCAGTTCCAGCAGGTGAACCTCGACGACCAGCCATCTGCATTTTAATCAGCAGTTCCGCCTGCGTTTCTAAGTCTGAATATATATATATCAATTTTTGCTTCGCTTCTTTTCGCCCAGCGCTCTGGCCCCTCTGACTGTCTACTGACATAATCAAAATGTACGTAATACAAACGAAGCTTTTTGTGTGCGTGAAGTAAGCAAAGAGGGCAGTGGAAGGGGGAAAACATAATGGACAGCACTCGAGCGAAGTTTCATTAAGATGTCAAGATGAGACCAAGGCAAGGGAACGTATGTGTATTGTTGTTCTGGTCGTGGTGGTGGGGACAAGGGTTGCGAGTTCAGTTGTTCAAGTGATCTGCAAGTGGATGCAGAACGGTGACATGATTACCTAGGTATGTAAGCAGCATTAACGTCCATTTTTTGTAAAAGTAGTAGATTATATATAGATATAGATATACTGGAGTTAAATACATGTAAATAGAAGAGATGGCAGAGAGAAAAGAGGATGTGAAACCGAAGACTGATTCTACTGCACATCTGATCGGTGGGTTTATAGGTGGTCTGACAGCCGCAGTGGCACTACAACCACTGGATCTGTTAAAGACAAGAATACAACAACAACCTAAAGGTACTGTGTCAAAGGGTAATAATGTTGGTTCAATGATTGCAAAATTGGTGAAGGAAAACCCTTTACAATTATGGAGAGGTACGCTACCTTCTGCTTTGCGTACCTCAATTGGTAGTGGTCTATACTTATCATGTTTAAACTCGATGAGAACTCAGGTCGCTTTACTTCATTCGAGAAGAACTGGTGAAATAATCCATACATCAAGAAGTAGTAAACTGCCTGAATTGTCGATGGGTGCAAACTTAGTTACAGGTGCTATTGCTAGAGGTCTTGTAGGGTATATTACAATGCCGATCACTATTATTAAAGTTCGTTATGAATCAACCTTTTATGATTATCATAGTTTAAAGGATGCGGTAGTAGATATATATCGTATTGATAAGATTAGTGGGTTTTTCAAAGGGTTCGGTGCAACTTGTCTTAGAGATGCTCCTTATGCAGGGTTATATGTCTTATTATATGAAAAGGCTAAAGATATAACACCATTTATATTACCTTCAAGATTAATTTTATATGAGGATTCCTCTAAGCATAATAAATATAGTACATTTACCTCAACTTTAATTAATACGACAAGTGCATTTGTGGCAGCAGGGATTGCTACAACGATTACAGCCCCATTTGATACATTGAAGACTCGTATGCAATTGGAACCAAATAAATTCAGCAATTTTCTAATGACTTTTAATCATATGTGGAAAAATGAAAGTCCATTATCATTATTTAGTGGATTAAGTATGAGACTTACCAGAAAAGCATTCAGTGCAGGCATAGCTTGGAGTATATATGAAGAATTGATTAAAAGATTCATGTAAATAGAAATTCGTATATTTAGACATACTTATTATAGCATTAATAAAACATACAACATAATATCTTTTTAAATATATTTATCTTATATACATGCGGGGGTATGGTAAATAATCATCGAATTTAAATTACTAATATTACGACAGAATTTAAATATCTCCTAATGAAGCACCTGGAATTGCCTGTTGTAACTCAGCTGTCAATAGATTGGTTAGATTTAACCCATTTCTTAGTGATATCCATTGTCCTTTATATAGATCGAATCTATTTGGACCAGATACAGGCGATGCTATCCATATTTGCTTATTAGGTGGTTGTTTATTGATCACATAGGGACCAAGACCTGTGATTTCCAAGGTCATTACACCATGGTTCAATTCCACATCAGGTAACTCATTTGGATTGTCTTCACTCAATTCTTCTAGCCCCGTTACTAAATTTTCTAAATATTCATCTGCTGCATTATGATAGTCATTTAACGTTAAATTGGCGACTTCTTTTGGGATTTCATTACCAAACGTACTGTTGATATTGTGTTCGGCATATCCTCTAATAAACAAGTTTTTGCCAATATATTTATTCTTTATAGAACTTAACAATGGAATTCTTCTAGTTGATTGTCTTAATGCTACCCTTGGTAACTGCGCTACAAAAATAAGTCTGAACATTTTATTTTTATCTATTTATTTTACTCTCTGTATTTCACCCTTCGATATATATAGACCACTTGATTTGCTGTGTAGTAATTTCAACTGATCGATTAGTTACCTTAACATAACTTATATTTAATACACATTTATTCCTTCTTGATGATTATAAATACAATAATTGCAGTTCTAATCGTATCCGTCCCCTGCTTGAATATTTCGGATTTCACGCTCAACCAGGAATTTTAGAACAAATCAACTGAGGTAGAGGCAAACTGCGAAAACAAAGACAAACTAAGAGATGGGATAATTTCATCGACGATGAGCATTTTTTTTTTTTATAAGACTCATATTCCAACTTACCCCTATGACAAAAAAGAAAGAAGACTAACTTTTTACATTTCATGTCAATAGGTGCTCGTAGTATATTTGGACATATATACTCAGTGGATTCGAGGAAGGGAAAAAAAGAAATAATAGTAAGATGGAACTATATGGATATTTGATTGTTTTATTAATCATAGTAGCATTCATTGCTTTATTACCGTTAATATCAGGTGTAGGTGGTTTTAATAAAGGTGACGGTACAACAGAAGGAAAAAATAAAGCGACGATTAACTTTAAGCTAAAAGAAGATCAGGACAATAAAGGTAAGTCATCTACTTTTGCTAATTCACATAAATTCGCCGTCGATAACAAGACAGGGTTGAAGAGAAGAGTTATTGGAAAATATGATAACGACCCAAATTCTTTCGATTATGATCTTAATGAATTAATCGATGAAGATGCCAATGAAGAAAGAAAAATACAAGAAGATAGATACGCCAGTTTTAAAGGTAAAGAGGAAGAATTGTATGATGAACTTGCATAATTTGATACTTTGATTTGAACTGTTTACATTTAAATACACACCTGTATATTAGATATAATATTATAAAATTGTTTGATATTTTATTACTTTTATATGCGATATTATATACTTTTGATGTACGAATACATTTTTTATACGTGTTTTGTTCAATTTAATTTATCTTCAGTTTGCATGGTTTCCAAACTTTCTGATAATTGTTCATCTCCTGTTAATAGTTCATCATTTTGATTGTTATTTGGACAATTTTCTGAATGTTCATTAATATCTGTTCCAGTGGCTTCTAAATCCTGAGCTTCTGGGATAACTTCAGTAGAAAAATCTTCTTCCTCATATGTTGCAATATCATCATTCATTTGGCCAGTAGTTTGATCGTAATCATATTCGTAAAACAACATGAATACACCTGGAGTAGACAATACTTCAGCTTCGTCAACAACATCTGCAGTTTCATCAGAAATTCTCCACCACAGTCCTCTATGTTTTCTAAAGACAATATAATGGCCATAGTTGTGAGTACCATAATGAATGATAACAGCCCTCAATGAATAAGTCAATGGTGTAGCAGGAACTGTGGACAGTTTTGGAACAATTAATTCATCAGTAGGTTCATCCATATTTGCTTCTGGATCAGATTCTTCGCTGTCAGAGTCTCGTTTATTTTCCAAACCTACATGATCACTATCACTATCAGCATTATTTTCAATATGTTCAACTTCTACTCCATCCTTCGCATCAATAGCATCCTCTTTAGTCTTTATAATTTTTCTTCTAATCGTGTTCCCTAAAGAGTCAATTTCTTCGATGTAATCAACATCTTCTTCTTCCTGGCCATGTTGTTCAGTAGAATAATCAGAATCATCCATTTCACCACCAATTGGATCATAATCAGTTACATCTTTACGTCTAGCATTTTGGGCGTTGTAGCCCTCATCATCACTATCTTCATCACTATCTTCAAATTCTTGTTCAAATTTGTGATGTAAATTAGCATAGTACTCACCTCCAACGTTTTCATCCTCACTAGACTCATCTGCTAAAGGTTCCTTTTTGGATAAAGGTAATCTAGCATCCAAATTGATCTCATCAGGGGTGCAACACCATGGTCCTAAGTTAATCCTAGATTTGAATAATACCCTTGAGTTATTTTTTCTGATCATGTATGTACGTGGGTCAAAAACAGATCTATTAATATGGATGGATAATAATGGAGGTGGCCTCGACATAATAATTTGTTTAGATTTAGAACATTTACGAACCATATTATCTGTGTGTAATTCCTTGTAATCTTCATCATCAATCACAGGTTTTGACAATACTTTGTCTAGTTGTGCAATTCTTCCCTTAATAGCTGATGCTAATTTGTCAGGCATTGAACTGTTAGATTCAATTTGGTTTTGCAAATGTTCCCGAACGGCGTTAAGGGCACAACGATTACAATCGACACCTTCAATTATTTCAGGTTTGTTCCACTCATTTAATAATTCAGTTAATTTCAAAGTTGCACCGATATTTTCACTTGGTAAGTTTAAACTTAGGCCAGAAAATACAGAATACCTAATCCCTCCATTTTCACCGCATGTCAAACATCCAACTCTTTCGACGGTTGTACCATCTAATGGTGTAATCAATTTAAAAGGAGTATAATAGTTCTCTTGTTTTGATTCGACCAAATTTGGTTCAATTTGGTCAGTTGGGATGTAAACAGTACCAACTTTTTGTAAGTCGTCTTGGTTCAATAGCGCATCAGTTGGGAGATCCTTTTGGCTGACATGTTTTTTGTTATTAAAGTTATAAACCTTCTTTTCATCCTTTTCCTCTTCGTTGACCAACTTTACGTCCTTTTCTAAATCTAGTAAAATCTGTTGGAAAAATTCCTGTGCATCTTCTTGATCATAACCTAAAATGATATTTTTGTTTGGTCCGTTAGACATGGTTTTCAATAATTTAGTAGTTTCGAACCAAGCTCTTTGCTTCCCATATTTGCCATCAAGTTTGTTCAGTAAATCCAGAAGTGTAATGGAAAATTTAATCTCATTCGAATTATCTTCACCTTTGACGATAGTATCTTGTAAGAATTTCATTAGCTCCTGGGATGATGCCAAAGATTGAAGAACAGAGTTCATGAAACACGTATTACCTTCGTTCAGAAGACCAGCAAGATAACCACCTCTTTTCAAAAATGTTTCATTTTGGGTATATCTATTGTTATTTCTAGGCATTAGAAGGTTTCTAGTATTTCTCTTTACGTTTGTGTACATTCTCCTAGCAAAAGGTAAACTTAATTTAATTATCAGTAATGTTAGAAATAATTGGAAAATTTGATAAAGATTCATAAAACAGGGGTCAAATGAAAAAAACAATATAGGAAAGTGGAACGTTTGGAGATATCCTGATATTTTAAGCGCTCTTGTATATATATTTATTTCTTGTGATCTGTACCACAATTATAAAACGGCACTTAATCAAAGATAGGTATATGTGAATATAAAAAAGACCTCTTTAAGGATATATTTTTATTCGTTTTGGTTATTTTGCAGTTTAGAATAGCACTTAAAACTTAGAGTTTACGTATATTTTTATTCTTTTACTCATCATTTCATCAGAAAACTTCACCACAATATATCTTATTCTTATACAATTCTTCTTGTGATAGTTAACTGTTCAATGAAAAATTTTCACGTAGTATCCTACGTAGAGCGCGGCAACCATTGTAAGGGCGATGAATTTCAATATAGTATAACGTCAACAATCATTGGAATCAGAAATGTATTGAGCTAAAGAAGATGCATATAAATAAAAATATCAATCAATTAATTGATTAGGCTGTCTTAGTTGTGCTATTTACTAAATTTACATTCATACATAAAAGAAGGTCGTAATTATTTAAGAGTCGTTACTACAAACATGATAAAAGAGAAAAATAAAGTAGTAAAAGCTTTGTAATATGGTGATTATAACAAATAAAAAAGTAATATATTAAAGGAGTAAAAGAAAAAAATGATGTGAATGTATTAAGGATAATATAAAAGTTTGTAGTTCTTTTGACTGTCTCTTTTTACCATCAGATTCTCTAAGAACGGTTTTAAAGCAGAAATAAATTAAAGGGAAGGAGAAAAAAAGTTTATGTATCATCGAATCCCTACTCTAAAATGTTTCAGAAAAGTAAAATAAACAATAGAGGGACAGTATTAACATACATGTACAAACATATTTTAACTATCTCAATATTTATTGTTGTTGTGGTTCTTGTTGTTCTTGAGAAGGAATTTGTTGTTGTTGAGGATCGATCATTGGAGCATTACCCATCATAACTGGTGCCATCATACCTGGTTGTGGAGGACCTTGAGGTGGTTGAGGCATAAAGGTGTTTCTTTCTTTACCCCAACCAGTTCTTAGGTTTCTACCTTGGAATTGGAAGTTAGCTAAAGCAACAATACAAACAGCTGCTTGATCATGAGTATCGTATTTGATGAAACAACATCCCTTTTCAGGGTAATAACTGAAATCTAGAATGAAACCAAAGTTTTGTAATAATGGGATCAAGTCAGCTTCAGTAGCAAAATGTGGGATGTTACCAATGTAAGCAGTTGTGACTCTTTGTGGAGCTCTTCTGATCATATCATCGATAGCTTGCGGATTCACAGGTGGTGGAACCATTTGTTGTTGTTGTTGTTGCTGTTGTTGTTGCTGTTGTGGAGGTTGTTGTTGTTGTTGTTGTTGCATTGGTGGCATCATATTACCTTCAATTTGCATTGGGTGCATCATACCGTTGTTATTGTTGTTACTGTGGCTTCTGTTGTTATTACGGAAACCATTACCACCTCGGCGGTTGTTGTTGTTGTTGTTGTTATGGGTATGTTGGTTATTGTTCTCACGCTTGGTGGCCCAGTTTATTCTTATTGGTCTACCATTGATTTCTTTACCTTGTAGAGAATCCATAGCCTTTTGAGCTTCTTCTTGATCAGAGAAGGAAGCAAAACCGTAACCTCTAGATCTACCAGTTTGCATATCCCACATAACATGACCTTGAACAAAGGATGGGAATTCCTTGAAAGAAGCTCTCAAAGTTTCGTCATCGACATCAACACTTAGGTCACCGATAAACAAGTTGAAATTGTTTTCGTCAGAAGTGTTTTGTTGAGATTGGAAAGCCCAGTTGATCTTGACTTTCTTACTTTCTAATTGAATACCGTTCAAGGTTTGTAAAGCAACATTAGCATCATGATGAGTCAAATATTCGACAAAAGCGTAATTGACGTGAGCATTCTTCTTGTCAACCATGACCTTGACATCGGCAATTTGACCGGCAACTTGGAAGTATTGTTTCAAGACATCTTCAGTGATGGATTTGTCAAGATTACCAACGTAAAGAACTTTGTCGGAAGTTTCTCTACCACCTTGAGCAGCGTTAGCTGGAACAATGTTTTCATCCTTTTCATCACCTTCGGCAGTGGCAGTAGCAGTTTCACTGTCTTTCTTTTCAGAATCTTCAGCTTCAGTGGTAGAAGTTTCAGTTTCAGTTACAGTTTCCTTACCTTCTTCAGTTGTAGTTTCAACAGTAGTAGTGGTGGTGGTGGTAGTCTCAGTTGGAGTAGAGGTTGTTTCTTCAACAACAGTGGTAGATTCGACAACTGGGATGTTTTCTTGTTGTTCTTCGGCCATTCTGAACTAGTAAATGTGAGTGGGTGTTAAATTTATTTGTAAGTGAAAAAAAAAAGTAAGTTCAGTGATCTTAAAATGAAAAATGAATACTTTTAATCAATTGATATATTTGTATGATAATAACTTTTTTTTTTCAAACTGTTCTATCAATAAAAATGTAGAGTTGATTTACAAAATAACTATTAAAGTGGTATTGTAAATTGGAAAGAAAAAACAAAATAAAATAAAGGAATCAAAGGTATATACAAATCCAAATAGGAAGTCTTAATTGAGTTAGATTGAATTTAACAGATCAATTGAAATGAACAGAACAGAGCTTAAAATATTGAGTAACTTTAGTTATCACATATTCCATTACCAATTAAAATGGGAAAGAGAAAAAAAAGTATATTAGAAAGGTGAAAGAATCATTCCCTCAGAGAATAAGATGCAAAAAATATCATTCGCAGAGAATAAGAGGCAAAATAATTCAATAAAAACTTGCACTGAAAATTATGATGAAATAAAAGAAAGCAATATTGCAGTCAAATCGATTATAGAAACACCGCGGGTTTTGTTTTAATATTCATCGCTAATTTTTGCATCATTTTCTATTCTCTTCGCCGTTGTAGTTGTAAGTATCTTGTTTTAATTTGACCAAACAGTAAAAAAACAAAAAAAGGATGAAAGAATTAAAAGATATAAAAATCACCGTTGAGGGTAACCACTTCACACGTGACTTGGGCGGTTGCAGTAGTCTAGGACAGGGTATCGAAGTATAAACAGTCGTCAATTATATCAAATAGCAACATATTACATTTTTCATTACTGTAACGAAGTACTCAATTCATATCTATGACGAATAAATTAGGTTTACCAAAACTAAAAATATCAAACAGCGGTCAATAATTTTATATTGCGGCTTGTATTCAACCTAATTTGGGAAACAAAAAGTCAAAACATCTAAAATTAATTCAAATTTAAACTAGAAAAATCGATGGCAGTCTACAGTGGCAATCAAACATCGTTGAATATCTTAAAGCAATTAAATCGATCTCAAATTTTGTATGTTTTCTTTAAATCCATATCTTAACAATTACGCTCTTAATAATAATAGTTAATATCGGAAAGGAAAAAAAAGGGAACGTACCGAGAAACTTAGCAACGTAATCAAACAGGAAGAGGTAAGAAAAGAATTGAAAAATGAAAAATATTAGTAGAGAAAGAATATTCAACAAACAAGGAAAACAAAAACAGTAAAGCATGCTTCTTAATATACTTAAACATATTGAAATAACTGTATTTTTGACATAATAATTGACTAGATAATAGTGTTAAGATTTAATAACTTCACCTAAAATTTCTATCTCGGAAAACAAACAACAAGTATACTAAATTATACATTCACTATGAAGGAAGTATCGCGCAAGGATAAGAGGAGGTACAACCTAGAGAACAAAGTAAGAAAGATTCAATCTTCTTTTCTTAAAGATAAAGACAGCTATTATAAGGATCGTCTTACTACATTACAGACCGATTTAACTACTTTACATCAAGGTAATAACATGTTGTTGCAACGTAAATTGAGAGATTTACAAGAAGATAGAGATTTTGAATTGGTAAAATTACGTTTATATGAAGAATATAGAGTAAGTCGAAGTAGTATAGAGTTTCAAGAAGATATCGATAAAGCAAAAGATGATCATGAGAAATTGGTGAAATTATGTAAAGAAAAATTATATTCAAAGATTGAATCACAAATCAAAAAATTGAAAGAAGAAAAAATGTTGATGGACGTTGCTAATATACATTCATATTCCATGGATTATAGTAAGCCTTTCTATCAAAAAAATACTAGAAGTCATACTTCGTCGAATAACGGAGGTGATATTAATGGTACGGGAAGTCCAAATTATATGAAATCTGGTGCAGGTTCTGGCTGGGAATCAAATAACGATTCAGCTACCGATACTGCTACAGGCTTGGATAGAAGAGCTTTGAGACGGAGAGTAAAAACAAGGGAAACAGGCGGTACTACAAGTGGATTTACAACAAATAATGACTATTATTCAGGAAATAATACACATTATACTGATGAATCCGATTCAAGGACAGGATACTCTACAACCCAACGAGGTGCCAGAGGAAAATCTAGATCGAATACAACTCCAATAACAGAAAAGAAACCAAACGATTTAAATTCAGAATCTGATTTCTTACAAGGGATTAGTGATTACGCTGACTTACAAGTATTATTGTTTGGTGAGAAAGAAGAGAAACCAGATAATAAGAAGAAGCATAGAAATAACCCACGTTATTCTGCTAAGTCTGCCCCTTTATTAAACTCCTTGACCAATGATGAAGTTACTGACGATATTGCTTTATTGAAAACATTGTGTGGTGAACCACAGACTCCGTTCAGGTCTCATGCTCCTGCATAATCATTGACATGGTACAAGTAGGTATTTACTCTTTGTTGGTGCTATGGAAATAAAAAAAATATGAAAATTTCTTAATGATTGATGGTATATCTAGTTCAATATAATATATATATATAATTTGTACTAAAAACATCAAGGATGTAAATATTTAGTATTGTGACAATATTATCGACCTTCATGAGATATTTTATTTTTTTTAGAAGTTTATTGTCAGTTGAGAAAGAAAATAATAAAATTCATTAAGCGATAATGAAGACTAGGCAGAGAGAGAAAGAGAGACAAAAATATTTCAGAGGGATCGATATCTGTTGATAGTAATAACTTAGAAGAGGGGTATGTTAAAAGGAATTCCTGTCAATAGAAATAACCTTATTTTGTTGATTACAACTCATATTAAAGGTGAATGTACTTATAATTCTCAATACTTCCAGATAAATTGCTGATGATTCGCCTGGCGCCTAGATTTAGGCTATATAGAGACAGGTATAGACGATTTTATTATGGGTTGGTGACATTTTCTATTTTGACATTAATTATGTATATTTATTTGGTATTTAATGTTACAGATCCATCAGAAGAAAATTTTGTATCATATTCACTTCAAGATTTAGATTCAGAGACACAACATACCTTTTATAAAGGTTGTGCAGATATAAATTCATATTTAAATGACCAGTCATACAGAAAATCTAATGCTTCTTTTATCATGCTAGCAAGAAACGAGGAATTAAGCGACATTTTAACGACATTATATAGCATAGAATCTCATTTCAACCAATGGTATCATTACCCATATGTATTTTTGAACGATGAGCCATTCACAGAAGAATTTAAGGAAAAAGTGAGACAAAGTGTTACGGGTTCTGTTCAATTTGGTACTTTGAATGAATTAGAATGGGAATTCCCTGTTGAGGTTCGAGAAACTATGGAGTTTACAGAAAGAATTAAGGATCAATCAGATAGAGGTGTGCTATACGGGGACGTAGAATCATATCATAAGATGTGCAGGTTTTATTCCGGGCTCTTTTATAAACATCCCATGGTTAGAGCATATGATTGGTATTGGAGAATAGAACCAGACGTGAGTTTTTTTTGTGATATCACATATGATCCATTCTTCGAAATGGAGAAAAATGGGAAAGAATATGGTTTTACAGTTGTACTTCAAGAACTGTATTGGTCTGTACCAGGTCTTTTCAGAGCTACAAGAAGTTATATCAATAAAAACAATATTAGATTAGGTTCACTGTGGAAATTATTTGCTGGAACTTTTGACTATGCACGAACTGGAGATGAATACTTACACAAAACTGTTTTCGATGAGAAGTTACTTAAGGAGAAACTGGAAGAGAAGATTAATATTGATCATTTATTGGATAAGACACAAAATGGTGATGTTGATCTTAATGATAAAGGGAATTTACGAGGTTTGAACCATCTATTAAATAGAGCCCAATCAAAAGTACCTATATTTGAGGATAAATTTGACAATGAAGTATTTGATTTATGTCATTTTTGGTCCAATTTTGAAATTGCCAAGAGAACTGTATTTGATAACCCAATTTATGATGGCTATTTTAAACATTTAGAGTCTTTAGGAGGATTCTGGAAAGAGAGATGGGGTGATGCTCCAGTACATTCCTTGGGGTTGGCATTGACACTAGACATAGAACAGATCCATTATTTTCGAGATATTGGATATAAGCATTCAACTCTTGTTCATTGTCCAAAGAATGCACCACAAGAATTTCAATTACCATATTTCGCTGGAGATGATAAGTTTTCCAACAGGAATGCAAAGCAGTATGATCCTCCGTTCAATTTGGGTTCTGGTTGTAGATGCGAATGTCCATCTATACATCTAGAAATAGAGGATACATCTTACCCATGTATGGATTTCTGGTTGGAATTAGCACATGGTATGGAAGAGAACACCAATTTTGGTGATGGTGGATACTATCCGTATGTCGATCTTGATCAAAGAGAGGAAGAGATGAAGGAAGAGTATGAATTCAACAGTTGAAAATCAAAATGATATAAACATTTCAATAAATTTTGCATTAAATATAAAAATAAATAATAAAAAATAATTTTTTTAAATAATACACCAATAATTTATTTTATTTTATTGTATTTTACATAGAATATGATATATGTGTGTGCTAATAAATTAAACATTTTACAAAAGTACTCAATTTGTCTTTTGTTATATTTAACCACCGAAACCGTATAAAGTCTTACCTTGTCTCTTCAGAGCGTAAACAACATCAAGAGAAGTAACAGTCTTTCTCTTGGCATGTTCAGTATAAGTGACAGCGTCTCTGATAACAGATTCTAGGAATTGCTTTAGGACGGCTCTGACTTCTTCGTAGATTAAACCAGAAATACGCTTGACACCACCTCTTCTAGCTAATCTTCTGATAGCTGGCTTTGTGATACCTTGGATGTTATCTCTAAGGATCTTTCTGTGACGCTTAGCACCACCTTTACCTAGACCTTTACCACCTTTACCTCTACCGGACATTGTTTATATAATTTGATATTTGATTATCTGTTTGAATGAAAACATATCGATAGAAGATAGAAACTACAAAAAAAATTCAAATCTCAAGTACGTAAATAAAATAAATGGTTGTTCCTTATATACTTTTGAAACTTTGCGAGGGTTGATATGATATATAAACAAAATAAACAAATCGTAACAGGGATGAAGGAGTAACCAGTGTGTGTATCAGACATTACCTAAGGATATAATATTATTCAAGTCAACAACATCAAATCATCAATCTACTAACGCGACCAACCCACGACACGACACGACTGATACTTCGTCCCTCCCTGGCGTTCGTTCCCTCAGCTAGAAACCCTCCAAATCAACACAGCATGAAGTAAATCAAGAAAACACGACCCACAGACTGTTCAATTTCAATCAAAATTCAAAAGTCCACTCAAGTATTCACTGTAAACAATCTGGCTACCCTGCTAATATCAGTTAAACCATTTCACTAAATGCTATATGTCCCATCTTACTGTATCACCAATTCCTTTTAGTAATATCATGTTTAATTGGAATATTTATTTTGCACGCGACTTCCCGAAGAAATATTCGTAGGGTCTCTGCCAACGCGTCGAATAATCAACAACGCGACGCGAAAATACGGAACTTTTGACATTTTCATATTCATATTCACGTTGCTTTCAATATCAAGATGAGTGGCAGACACGGTTAACTCTCTCAAGGATGTGCTACTTGGAATTTCATGTTGATCGTTCGATTGTTTATTTTGAGTAAAGTTGAAGCTGGGAGTTGCACGAAGGAGATGAGCAGGTTTGTTTATTCTTGTTGTGTTGTCATAATGTGGTACTTCCTGGTATACACACAGACACTTCTATCTTATATATATATATATATAAGGACGACAATATTACATTTTTATCTTTGTTGTTTTACTTGCCAATATAATATTCATTTTTACATCCCCCATTTTTTTTCAGTTCTTATCATAAATACCCAGTAAACCAATACACAATGGCTAGAACCAAGCAAACAGCTAGAAAGTCTACTGGTGGTAAAGCACCAAGAAAGCAACTGGCCTCCAAGGCCGCTAGAAAATCTGCCCCATCTACTGGTGGTGTTAAGAAGCCTCACAGATATAAGCCAGGTACTGTCGCTCTAAGAGAAATTAGAAGATTCCAAAAATCTACTGAACTTTTGATTAGAAAGCTACCTTTCCAAAGATTAGTTAGAGAAATTGCTCAAGATTTCAAGACCGATCTACGTTTCCAATCTTCTGCTATTGGTGCTCTACAAGAATCTGTCGAAGCTTACTTAGTCTCTCTATTCGAAGATACTAATTTGGCTGCCATCCATGCTAAGCGTGTTACCATTCAAAAGAAGGATGTTAAGTTGGCTAGAAGACTAAGAGGTGAAAGATCCTAATCTGTATTATTATATCAATAAATTCATACTCATTTAGATGGGTATGTTTATTTTAACTCTTATATATTATTATTTAACGTGCAAGTAAATGCAAACAAAATATCATAACTCAAAATAACTATTCAAATGTTAATTCATAATTTCTTTTATTATATATGTCGTCTGTAGACAATTGAAATAAAGCGAAACAATTGACAACTCACCCAATAAAAAATATTATAAAGAGAAAGAAAGAGACTTCACCGTTAAGGGCGTCAAGAAAGAAAAAATAAGGAAGGATAAGCTGAGCTACCCTTAAAAGTTAAAAGAACTACTACGCCGAAGTGATAAAGTTATATGCATACGGAATTCCAAAACTGATAAACATACGAAAGTCCAAAACTGATCCAATATGTCTGTTGATCAACCAATATTAAAAGATAAATCATTCTTTACAAGATTGAACGATTTAACGTTAACTCCATATATATGTTTAGCTAACGCAGCATGCATTTTAGCATCACCGCTAATATCGCCAGCTAAAAAGTTAGCGACATCAGCTATACCACAAGAGTCACATAGAACAATGTTGCCCTCAAGTACCACTCGAGTACGTGGAATATTCAATGGTAGGAGGAAGCATGTCGGATTGACGACAAGAAACGCTTTACTCTTCGGTATTGCCAACTTGGCTGGGTCATGGATGATATATGATGATGATATAGAAGATGGTAGCGGTTTTCTAATGGCTTGGTCAACTTTATTTCTAATAGTTAATGGTAGATCATCATTAACTGCCTTAAAATACAGAATGGTGTGGCCTTTGATGCTAAGTACGATGGCCGTAACTAATGTCGGTCTCTACGGTAGACGTTTCATTACAAGTTCATTCAAATAAACTAATACATACATACCTATATATTTGTAATATATTCAATATATTCAATGACTATATCAGATCTTGTTTGTTAATTCGATGACTCCCCTTGTTTTCCATTATGCCATTATGAAGAATGTGTAAGTATTTGCAGATTGAACGCCTCGCTTCACCTGATAGGGTATCGAATTTTTAAAAAAAGATCAAATCAGTTTATGAATAAGTGTGCTGATAAGAATGTGATTTCAAAAATAAGGAATACTTCCTCAACTTATTCCTTTTCTTTGCTTCACATATACAAACACTATAAATTTTATTGCTAGCAATAATAATAATAATAATAATAATATAAATCGCAAACTTTTTACTATATTTTTTTAAAATAATACACCCAATAATATCATGGGTTCGGTTGGAACTGCCACAGTGGGATCATCCACTATTAACCTGACAAAGACCATTGTTGGTGCTGGTATGTTAGCTATCCCGTTTGTATTTAAGAACGATGGTGTGCTGGTAGGGGTGTTTTTAACGGTTTTGGCAGCCACTACTTCAGGGTTTGGACTATTCGTCCTATCTAGGTGTTCAAAAGTACTATCAAATCCAAGAACATCCTCATTTTTCACATTATGTATGATAACATACCCTTCATTATCACCATTATTCGATATTGCAATGATAGTACAATGTTTTGGTGTTGGTTTATCTTACTTGGTTCTAATTGGTGACATTTTCCCTAGTTTATTTGGCGGCGAAAGAAACTTTTGGATATTGACCTCCTCCTTAATAGTTTGGCCATTATGTTCTTTGAAGAAAATGGATAGTTTAAGATACTCAAGTATTATTGGTCTTTTAGCGCTATCGTACATCTTTCTATTGATTATAGCCATGTTTTTCATTAATAATGTATTTTCAGAGAATGGAGCATTGGAAAGTAGTCCCGTAAACTGGTTGCATGTGTATAGTTGGAAGGGTTTATTCTCATCATTTAGCATTGTTATCTTTGCATACACAGGTTCGATGAATCTTTTCAGTATTATCAATGAATTAGAAGATAATTCAATGACACAAATAAATAAGGTTATAAATTCATCTATCGGTATATCTTCTTTCTTTTTCCTAAGTGTTGGTATCGCAGGTTATTTAACATATGGATCAAATACATTAGGAAATATCCTGTTGAATTATGATCAGAACTCTCCTTGGATATATGTTGCAAATTTCTGTTTGGCGTCGATGTTAGTTTTATCATTCCCATTGTTGTTCCATCCATTAAGAATTGCTGTTAATAACCTTTTTGTATATTTCAGAATGAAACAGGCAGCAGGAGGACAATCCATAAATTTATCAGATGATAATGAAGAAAATGAGAATCAACCAGAAGATTACTATTTTAACAGTAGTGCTGCATCATTAGTTGCGACTGCGACAAGAACATCAATGGCCTCGATTATAATGAATATTGACGAAGATGATATTAATGATAATGATAGATTACTTGTATCTAGTATGCATGCTAGTGATATAGATGTTGATAATGATATGATCTCGGATATAATCACTTTACCTGTACCTGGTGAAGAAGAGCAGCATGTTTCATTCCCTAATTACAGATTTTATGCTATTACATTTACTGTCTTACCGTTAATGTATATAATTTCGTTGAGACTTAAGTCATTTGCATTTGTTCTGGCTCTGGTGGGCGCTACAGGTTCTACATCGATGTCATTTACTCTACCTGGATTGTTTGGGTATAAATTGATTGGCTCTGATTCTTTAGCGATTGGGCAAATGATTTCTAAGAGAGATAACTTTTACAAAAAATGTAGTTTATTACTAGTCTGGTTTGGTATCATAGTGATGGTACTATCCTTATATGTAACGATGAAGTACGGTGGGGAGAATTAGGCATGAAATACTCCAAATATATATGATAATACAATTAAAATATTCATTAGTCACAGCTAGGCATGATCATACAAGTTTGAAAACTTTTGATATAAACAAAAGAAATATATTTAGAGTTCAATAATTAATAATTATTTTTTTTTTACAAATTGACGTATAAATATTTTATTTTTTAGATAATGTGATTATGAATTAACGTCGTAATGTTAGTAAGAATTATTGATATGCAATATATAATAGAAAAAGAAAATAAAGAAACCGATATGTTTTGTTTCATGCAAAATGGGGGAAAATGAATGTCCTTGACAGTGTTAAATTTCGCTGTTGATAATTGATTTGTGATGAACAGGGTTACTCATAGTTCATTATTATTTGAGGGAACTGTATTTCCTATTAGCTCATTACTGTATATTAAAATTGTCCAGAATATGTTACACCAGTTCCAGAACCCCCATGAATTCACTATAATTTGTTCAGATTTCGGTTTCCTTAATGATGCTGGAATCCACTTAGAATTACAACCCCATATACACATATCGTACTTCGATTCTCCAGAATATTGCAATATTAAGTGTGTATACATTGCAATGAGCACACATGGACTGTACCAATATAATAATCTCATTAGACGGCGACTTCTTCTTCTTTCTCTTGAATTTTTCCTTTGTAACGCTGGAATAATTCTGGTAGCAGAGTAGAATATCAGAATTCTAAAACATAGGTTAATGACGACAGCAGGTGACACAGATTCGGATGCCATATCGACTATGATCCAGAATAGTTCAGTAATTGATGACGGTACGCTAATTGTAAAATTTTTAAAGAATTTCCATAATGGTTGGAACGCATTTTTGATATTTGTTAGTGAAAAGAAAGTGAAATTTAGATAATAAGGAGAAGCCAATGTTTTTACTTTAAATAACTTCCACATTGCCTGAGCATTTACTAATATATTTCCGCTGTAATAAAATATCAAATCATCCTTAATTGGGAAGGAGTTTTGGCGTGCTTGCCAAACTTCTCTAAACATTGCAAATATTTCATCAGTAGCACTTGTAGCCAATTGTGGAGAGATCTCATAGATACACCTTACAATATATGCAAAAAACAAAGAACTTTCAACAACAGAGCCCTTTTCAGATACTATACCATATATTCCCAAAGATCCAACCAACGACAGCACAAATCCTAATAATGTTGCTGTTTGAACAGATAGATTCCAAATTGGTGTAACATAGATACGGTAAAGGTAATATAGTGCTGTTGTGATGACACCACCAGATGCCAATAGAGAAGATATGATCCAAGTATTTGATTTCTTTTCATTTGATAACCATTTATTTGTTTCACCAATAGCTTGAATGGCTAAAATGGTGAAAAATCCTTCAGACATTGTAAAGAATGGAGAACAAAATGATAACGAAATTTGCCATGGTTTAACGAAAAACTTAAAATAATAATAGTATATTACCCAATTAGATTCTGTTGGTTTAGTGCTTTCTCTAATCATATTCTCAAGGTCGTTATTAGAAAATCCGGATAAAAATAAGTATAATAATGATGCAATAATTAGATGCTGACAATAGTAAAGTATGAATGATAGGAAAACGAATAATTTGCTAGCCCATTTTTTAGCTAGAAAATGTAATGTTGTAGATATGAAATATAAATTGAACAGTGTAACAGTAAATGATAAACCACAATATTGGCCACCTATATTAAATGAAATTGGGATCGATATTAGGATAAATAAAAGGTAGAATGATCCTGAGCAAATTCGCACACTTCGTACAAAGCTTTCCAAGAGAATATTCATCTCTTCTTTATATGTGTATTCCTAATATTGGATGTCTTCTTATTGGATGTAATCTATAATTTTTGGTTTGAAAACGCACTTATATATATAGTTTAATTAAAGGTATTTTCTGATGGATTGCACGATATCTGTGGTATTTTTTTAAGATTCGAGAATTTGGGAGATGTTTTAAAACCTGTGCGATAAGTGGTTAAATGAACTGTCAAAATGATGCTTTGTGTTTTGTAACTTTATTTATTTTAACAAATTAAAAATTATAACTGAAGTTTCAAAACAATTGATATAATCTATGAAATATCGCCTCTTCTATTCAAATATCCCATATATTGCGATTGTTAGGGTGTCTATCTGCAGTTGACCCTGACGTCTTTGCCTAACTCAACCCACTCTCTAACTTACCAAGAATGAAATTCGAACAAAGACCTTCTCTCTCTCTCTCTCTCGGTGTATCTATCGTCTTTCTTTCATTTGACTATCTTTTTCTTGTTTCGTTTTGGAAGACAAATAGATATAGGGTTCGTGAAATATGACAATATTTGGGATTAGGGCTTGGAATGAATGACCAAAATATAAGAAATTTTCCAGCGAAAAATTATTGAAATTGAAATTTGCAGGCGATGAGATGATGAGATGAGATGAACATGATAGAGAATATATATATAATAAGAACATTGGAGAGTTATAGTTAAATTATTTCGACTTCTAAGTAGTTATAGGAGATAGGTTCAGTATTGGCGAGTAATACCTACTGCAATATTTGAGAATTTGGTACTGCAATGAGTAAGCCTGACGGAAGCTATAATAAAGCTGGTGGTAGAAAGCGTGGTAGAAATGAATTGAGAACAATTAGAAGATCATCTAAGAGAAAAGAAATTGATGAAAATTTGGAGAATAATGAAGCTGTTGAAGATCATGGTTCTGAGAGTAAGTTAGATGATAAAGTAGATAATGATGATGATACAGAAGCAGCCCAAGAAATGGATGAAGAGGAAAAGAAGGGAAAAGTTTACGATGCCCTTTTGACTATTTTGAAAACAGAACATCCAGAATTGAAAAAGAAATCTACTAAGAAGCAAAAGTTGGCTAAAGAGAAGTCAAATTTTGATTCTATAACTGAAAATAAGAATAATGAGGAAGATGAAGAAGAAGACGAGGAAGCTTTGATTGATAATGGGCTCGATAGAAATGCCGATGATGAAGATAAGGATGATCAAGAAAACGATGATGCCGAAAGTGACGATGAGAAGGATGAGTTTGAAATGCATTTTAATCAATATCCAGCTGAGTTGATTGATTCGTTAGATGCCGCATACAAAAATGGAGAAACAACATCTAAATCAGTTAAACAGTCAGTAGGAGATGATGAAAGCAGTATTTTCTCTAGAACAATCCCACAAATTATGGTTGATGAAGAAAAAATAGATACTATAAGTAAGAAAATGTCATTGCAGTCTTATTTCATAAAGAAAAGATTACAGATTCAGAATGATTTGTTAGATGATACTAAAAGTAATTTAACAGATATACAAAAACAGTTGGTAGATCCAATGTTTCAATATAAGGACATTTTGTATGAATATGGTTCATATGGGAAGGATGAAGATGAATACAGAGAATTGTATTGTTTACATGTTCTGAACCATATTTATAAAACAAGAGATAGAATCCTGAAGGATAATCAAAAGATTCAAAATGATAATGATGCAGAGTACCTAGATCAAGGTTTCACCAGACCAAAAGTCCTAATTGTTGTACCAACAAGAGATACAGGTTACCAAGTTGTTAACAAGCTTATTAACAAGTCTGGAATTGAGCAAGTCGATAAGAAAGGGAAATTCCGTGACCAATTCTTTGAAGACAGTCTTCCACCTTCATCTAAACCTAAAACTTTCCAGCAGATTTTCAAAGGTAATACTAACGACTTCTTCGTTCTTGGGATGAAGTTTACAAGAAAGGCCATAAAATTATACAGTAATTTCTATCAATCAGACATTATAGTTTGTTCTCCATTAGGGTTACAGATGATTGTTGAGAATACAGATAAGAAAAAGAGACAAGATGACTTTTTATCATCTATCGAAGTTACAATTGTGGATCAATTTAATGTTATTGAATTTCAAAATGTTTCTCATTTGTATACCATTTTTGACCATTTGAATACTATCCCAAAAGAACAGCACGATTCCGATTTTAGTAGAATTAGAATGTGGTACATTAATGATCAAGCCAAGATGTTTAGACAAACAATGTTGTTTACAAAATATATATCACCCAACTCTAATTCCATTATAAACCATGTTTGTAAGAATTGGAGCGGTAGATGGAAAAATCACAAGAGAGTAGAGCCAAGTGAATCTAGTGTAGGTCAATTGGGTATTAGAGTTAAACAAATATTCCAAAGATTCAATGTACTAGGTGGTCATATTTCAGAAGAACCTGACTACAGATTCAGACATTTCTGTAGTGTCATTGTTCCAAGTATTACTAAATCGACTGGTTACGAGGATGGTATCTTGATTTACATCCCAGATTACACTGATTATCTAAGAGTCAGTAATTACTTGAGGGAAAAGACGTCTATTCTATTTGGAGAAATTAATGAATACTCATCTCAAAAGAAACTGAATGCTAATAGATCTTTGTTCCAACAAGGACGTGTAAAAGTACTTTTATATACTGAAAGATTACACCACTTTAGAAGATATGAACTTAAGGGCGTTAAGAGTGTACTGTTCTATCAACCACCGACAAACCCAGAATTTTACACCGAGGTTGTAAGATATATCGGTAAGAGTGCTTTCTTAGGTACGACAGATTTGAACATTTCCACCGTGAGGTGTCTGTATTCAAAGACGGATGGTCTCGCGCTTGAAAGAGTGGTTGGAACTAAAAGAGCAGCAGTATTAACTAGAGGTCAAAATGAAACATATGAATTCAAGTAATAGTAGTATATAAATGTATCTTATCTAAGTGATCTAATCATTATTTAATAGTTTTGTTTAGGTTCTCGGTGATCAAGCTAAAATTCTGATAAGAACCATGGAATATACACCCATACATCACATATGTTACCGATACTTTTCTCTAGTGAGACGAAACAAAAAAAGAGAGAGAGAGGTGAGGTCTCTTGGAATCCCGAAAACATAGACGAAAAAGCAGTGAAGGTATTTGTTAGGGACACTGATTATCTATCAAGATATTCGCTGAAACTCACTGAAGAAGAAAGAATTATAACTGTTACATAAAGTTAAGATATATTAAACGTTTAAATTTGTTCTAATATTAGATCTTAACATTCAGAGTTCACATTTTAGCTCTAAGGTTATAGTGAAGAAGTGTAAATAAAAGATGAAGATTCAGACCAATGCTGTAAATATTTTGGAGAGAACCTCCTCATACCTTCAAGCAGGCTTATTGAAGAAGACACCTGCCTGGTATGATGTTGTTACAAATATACAACCTGTGAAAAAATTTAATAGAGAACCCATTCTCACGAACCCATCAAATGGTAGAGATAGAACCGAATTCCGCCCTTTCTCTGAGAGGGTCAATAGTAAAGGTTTGTACAAGACAAGATATAATATTGCTGACAAGAAAACTTTGACGAATAAACTATACAGGCCACCAAAACTGATATACCTGGAGGATAAGTTGAGACAATTGTTTTATGAGCAACACCCATGGGAGATGTCCAGACCAAAAGTCATTGTAGAGAATGAGATGGATGTTAAATATGACTGGAGTCACATCCAACAACTAGGGAAACCTTTGGATGGTGAGAGTGTTGTCCAAAGAAGTCTTTATTTGGTGAAGAACAAGCAATTTGACAACATCGTCGATTCCTATAACCATGCCAGGTTTGAGTTCTATAGGATTAGAATGCAGCAAGAATTGGAAGAGCAGATAGCACAAGAAGAGGCGGAGATGTTTGGTAGTGTATTTGAATCCAATGCTCTTCAATATGGTATTGAGCAAGAACAAAGAGTCATTGATCAATGGAAGAAGAAGGCCATTAAAGAAACCGAAATATATGCAGCTAAACGTGTCAATCCTTCGGAGTCCTGGGGTAAAGAAGATGCTGACGAGCAAGAAGGTGTGGGTGCAGACGAAGAAATTGAAGAGTTACATCTATGATCATAGAAAACAGAATGTTATTCTGGATTTGTGCTTATGACACATCTAATAATAACATCATCATCGACACAATAATATTATCTATTCCCATAATCAACAAATATATCACGCAACTTCACTGCACCAAGAAGGCAATACATACGTATAGATAAATCTGTATACCGCCATGTAAATAGCAATATCAACAGTAATAGCAACAAACAGTACTAAGATCAAGGTTTACTCAGAAAAAGAGGTCTCTCATCAACTATGGGGCGACTGATCAAATGACTGCTCTTGTCAAATTCGCAATCATTATGGAAGTTGTTGTGGCTGTTTAGAGTGCCAAAATTTCCAGCTCGATTTGGGCCCTCCAAAACATCAGTACACCGCATATTTAGCTCAATGGAAATTCAAATTCCGACGGAAAACCCAAAAAATACCGAGGTGAAAAATTTCAGTACTCACCAAAGAGGGAATAGAAGGAAGTATGACTTTAAGCTGCAATGACTAAACTAGTGAAAAGTAACAAATGGGTAAAAATGTTTAGTGAAGGTCCTCAGAAGAAGAGCTAATTAATTTGATGAGTAACTACTGTCCTTGGATTATATATAAAAAGAATGGTTTTCTAGATTTCTTGTTATTTGATATCAATTATGTAATATTTTTAAGAACGCATTTGAATATTTTGTCAAATCCCTTATTGTAATATACAAATACTTTAAACAACACTCGGATTGTCAAAGAACAAACAGGATTAAATCTTTTATTATATTTTGTCTTTATAATAAAAAATCCAATCTCATACAAATATAAATAATACACCATTATTATGCTAAGGTCATCAGTCTCCAGAATTACTTCCCTTCGTGGTCTAGCAAGTAACGCAGTCCGTAAGAACTTAACCATCGGTCTAATCCCAGGTGATGGTATCGGTAAAGAAGTTATCCCAGCTGGTAAACAAATACTAGAAAATCTAAACCCAAAGTATGGTTTATCCTTCAATTTCATTGATCTAGAGGCGGGTTTCCAAACTTTCTTAGATACTGGTAAGGCTCTGCCAGATGAAACTGTTAGGATTTTAAAAGAGCAATGTCAAGGTGCTTTATTCGGTGCCGTTCAATCCCCAACCACTAAAGTCGAAGGATATTCCTCTCCAATTGTTGCTTTAAGAAAGCAATTGGGACTATATGCCAATATTCGTCCTGTTAAGTCTGTTTCCGGTACTAATGACAGACCATGTGATATGGTTATTGTAAGAGAAAATACCGAAGATTTGTATATTAAGATCGAAAAGACTTACACTGATCCTGTGACTGGTACAAAGGTTGCCGAGGCCACCAAAAGAATTACAGAAGTTGCTACAAGAAAAATTGCTACAATTGCTCTAGATATTGCTCTACAAAGATTGAAGCAAAATGGCCATGCTACCTTAACTGTTACACATAAATCTAATGTCTTATCCCAAAGTGACGGTTTATTCAGAGAAATATGTAAGGATGTTTATGAATCCAACAAGAACAAGTACTCCGGTATAAATTACAATGAACAAATCGTTGACTCCATGGTCTACAGATTATTCAGAGAACCAGAATGTTTCGATGTTGTTGTCGCTCCAAACTTATACGGTGATATTCTATCCGATGGTGCTGCTGCATTGGTTGGTTCTCTAGGTGTTGTCCCAAGTGCAAATGTTGGCCCAGAAATCGTCATTGGTGAACCAAGTCATGGTTCTGCTCCAGATATTGCTGGTAAAGGTGTTGCTAACCCAATTGCCACTATTAGATCTACTGCTCTAATGTTACAATTCCTGGGTCATCCAGAAGTCGCCAAGGATATCGAAACTGCTGTTGATGCAAATATCAGAGAAGGTAATATCAAGACTCCAGATCTAGGTGGTAAATCTACTACCCAGCAAGTTGTTGACGACGTTTTATCTAAACTTGTGTAAGGCCATATTATATAAAGAGAAAGGTGTATACATTTTTAGTACCGAAATATATTAAAATGAAATTATAAAAAATAAATAAATGGTCAAAATGGTATATTAAAAGTAAGATTCTGTCATATATATGTTTAATAACTGCATGATTGATTAGATAGACATTTAATAAAGGTATATGTTTATCTAACTGTACTTGGGAACCTTTGCCTAAAATTTGTTTCCAAATCATCAACATCAACTTCCATTAAAAAATCTGTAGTATCACTTGTTATTCTAGTAGTAGTTTCATCTCTCCTGTTTGGATGGACTTTAATTTTCAATGAGTTTGGTTTTTTTGGAACGGGTGGAGGTATACGTCTTTTATTGTCTGCTTTCGTATTAGCTCTCTGTGAATGAAGATTCGATAAAGGAGTAACAATAACACTCGATTGCCTGATGGTATTCCTAGTATCTATAGTAGACAGCGGTTTAGATTTCAATTTTGTAGGTGATTCACAATTTTCTTTATTCGTATACCGACCGTATCCAGAGGCAGTTCTCCTTGTTGGAACATTATCGCTATTGTTTAGAAGATTCTGAACTTTCTTCTGGATGGATTCTTTTGCCTCTTTATTTACAATTAAATTAATCGGAGATAAATCTGTATATCTTTCCTTAGATTGTTTTGATAATCCGACCTCATCACTTTCATTGAGTTCGGTCATCGGAATTTGAGAGGATGGTTTAAGCTTTGGTGTAATATAACTAGGTTTATTATCATCTTCTAAAATGTGGCATTCTGCATTGTCTTCTGTATCTCTTATCATACGAGATATTCTTCTATTTAAGCTATTTGATTTATTTGTAGTTTTTTCGTAGGATATTGATCTCTTATTATTTCCACCAGTTAACCTACTTCTCAATTTATGCGTGGCAGAATTCCACAAACTGTCACCTGTGTTTTGTCTCGATCTAATTGGAGAAGTATTCCTAGATTCACCTGTGAGTACATTTTTTAATGTGTAACTTATTTTCCTCACAAGATTATTACTACCAGTAGTTTCTTCATTTAAGTATGCAGTCTCCGAATCTACTGAAAAGTTTGACCTTATAGATGATACTCTTGATAATGATCGTCTTACTGGACTACGAGATGTAAATGTTTGTGTCTCACTGTCAATATATGATGTAGTCACAGGTTTTGAAGGAGAAAGGTTATGTAAAGAGTGGACTTTAGATGGACTAAATTGATGGTTTGATTCAAAATTGTTGTTGGAAATAGCTTCACTGTTTTGCATCAGTATGCTTAAATCAGGTCGCGTAGTGAAATCGCTGGGTATCTGAAGGTTAGCAATTGTATTTGCATGGTGTAGATTTGGAATAGAATTGTTCTTATTATATGGAGCATTAGTATTGGATGTATATGCCGTGCTTCCATTAAGTTCAATCTTATCTGTCGGATATACAGACATTGTTTTCGTTGCTGGAAATGTGAGGTTGGTTTTAAGTTCTACCATTGTAGCAGGATGATTAAGCTCCGGTGGTATTGTTCCGATAGTTGTGAGTATTTTTTGTTTCGAAAACTCTATAGCTCTTTCTAAATAAAAATTTTTGATTGGGCATTGCTTACCCTGGATTCTGGAGACTTCTTCCAATACTTGGCACACATTAGGTCTATTTGTGGGTAATTTTGACAACATTACTTTAATCAAATTCTTGATGCGATCATTATATATCGGAATTGCTGGAAATTGAAATCTTGCTTGAAGAATTGCAGATTCGCCAGCTTTCTCAAAAGGCGTTGTGTAATAGCATATTTTGTATAAAAACACACCCATGGCCCATATATCTGATTTTTCATCAATTGGGAAGCCACTTGTTAGGTTTAACATTTCAGGAGACCTATATTGAGCAGTTGTATTTCTCATTATGTCATGTTTGACGTATTCAAGTTCCTGATTATTTCTTGGAGGTCTCACTACACCGCACACGGAACCAAAATCACAGATCTTAAAGTCTCCATTTGCAGCAATGAGTACATTTTCAATCTTTATATCCCTGTGCACTAGAGACGGTTGAAGTGCATGCATTGCAGCAATACCTTGAGTTATTTGGCTCATAATGTTTAATATTTCATCATCGTTTAACCTATTTTGTAGTCTTGTGTTAAGGAAATCGATTAAACCACCTTTTTCACAGTATTCCATCAGCAAGAAAACTTCATAATTTCCTGGTATTGTGATTGATTTAGCAGCATGGGAATCGACGTAAGAGACAACATGTCTATTATTCTTTAATAGTTTCATAGCCTCCACTTCTGCTCGAAGCATATTTAAGTTTTGCTTATTTGGGGTGATAACTCTTTTAAGACAACCCAAATTGCTGTTTATGTAGGGATCTATAGGAGAGAATTCTACTTTGTACACTTGTGCAAACCCACCACTAGTAAGATACCTTACGACTTTCACTTGGTGTGAACCTACTGTTAAGGTTTGGTTCGGTTGATACAGAGGTATTTGAGGTTGATTCATCTATTATTCTGTGCACAGGTTGGATACCCTTTTCCATACATAAATTAAACTAAGGGGAGGAAGGTGTGGTAGCGACAGTATGACACCTTAAAAACTGGAATAGTATTTCGAAAACTTCCGTTGACTATGTATCTCTCAGATTGTTTATACTTTTGTATTGAAGTTTAATAGTAAAGATCATCTTGATAAAAGTTTTTATTGTTCGTATAATTTTTATTTACATTACCTGACTTATTTTCTGTTCCAACGTAAATTCCGAAACATTATTTTTTCATGCGGCCTCTTCATAGATTTCGTTAGGTTTCTCAACTAAAATCATTTAATTTTTACAAAACATTAATATTTTTAATTAGATAATAACAAGACATTACACAGGTCTAACGACATGAGTTTAAATATCAGGGTAGAGGTTCAATCCTTTACTGTTTACCCCGAACTAATTTTTATAATTATTAGAAGTTATCCATTTATTTTTTAAAATGTCTATATATATATTTTGAATTCCAATAAGAAGACAATTTAGATGAGTTGTTGAAGCTGATGCTTAACTTCACATTTTGATATACCTGTATTTCGGTTTGTTATATTCCATAAATATTAAAAGTCTTTTTAATAAAATATATATGTTAATAGTAGGAAATTCTTGTATTTGAAAGAATTAATAGTTCGTCCAAAAAGTGCTATTCCAAAATAATAATATAGTGATGCGATAAGTATATACATATTATTAGAGATACGTCGTCGTATTCAGGGTAATTATATTTTTGTGGAACGGCCTTGTAAGTGGGATCGATAAATGCTGCAAACACAACTGAAAAGAATGCAAAACAACCAAACAACCAAACGTTCCATTAACGAATGTATTTTCTTCTCAGAAAACAACTATCTAAGGTTGCTTAGGGACCAGCTTCGGCAATAGAACGCTTACTCTTTAGTGTTCCTTTTAACTTAAAATAATGTCTAAATATGTATTAATATTGTTACATCAACAAATGAAATGAGTAAACGAATCAGTTGCCAACACAACATGTTTACCAACACAACTTGTTTACCAACATCAAAATATTAGTTCTAATTAAGTCAAAAATATCGCAATAGTCAAGGAAATATTTTTTTATGTGAACTTTGAAAACATGTAAAAAATTTCTCAATGTTTGAGTAATATGAAGTTGTATTTAATGCTTCCGGTAGCCATATTTTCCAAAAATTCAACAACACGTTATCTCACCTCCAAGGAATGTTGCTAGATAAGGAGAACACGATGAAATGTAAACAAACAAATAATAACAATATATGCCAAAGGAATATCCGGAATTTATAGTAGATATCCTTTTGCTTAGTTACTGATGCATTATGTGACGTAAAAAAACAGAAATTTCGGAGTGTTTATCGTTGAGCACTGTTTCATAAATACAGTCTAACGAGTGATGAGTTGTTCAACATTCTTTCAAATTCTAAAACAAATATTTTTCAGTCTCTTTCTCTGTACTGTACAGTTTCAAATATCAGGAGTGTGAATTACCCCTCCCCCATCAAATATCTGGTACCCAGGCAAACTGTCAATGGAATTACACTTTTCTACGGATTTTCTTAAAGAGAATTAATTAATATCGGCAACTCGCGTTTCATGTTTTTGAGATTTCGAGAATGTTGGAAAGTGGGGTGCGGTGTTTTTCAGTACAGACAACGATAGGAACAAAAAAGCAATTCTATATGTCATGAGTTCTTCAAGAGTCTAATTCCTGATATAGAAAAGTTGAGACGTGTAGGCCCTAAGTTTCCTTCCGGATCCGAGATCCGTTCAATTTTTTATAACTTAATATACGTACAGAATCAGTTGTACCAAGTAGTATAGACTTCTAATATAAAACCCGAAATTCCCAATATTTTAGATATATCGTGTGAGATATATTCCGACCCTGTTTCAACGGGACAATGTAAATTTGGATCTCTCCTACTGCATATTCTAAATACGAGTGTTCATTCATATCTGTCATGCAGTTTATTAGATAAAAGGCTTCTAGAAGGTCTTTCACTTTGACAGCTGTGGGAGTGAAACACCATTGTTTACAAGTAAGATATTATGTTGGGCACTCCAATAATTCATGTACATATTTGAATTCATTATATGCCATAATAAAGTTAAACTTTAGATAATTCACTTAAGGAGTCAAAGGAACAAAAAGAAATTTCTGTTAATGGCAATGAACTAACTCCTTTAAACTAACTCAAGCAAGGAAAATATTAAACGCGAAAACTACCCCACCAAACTTGTTAATATGTTTCATAATAACAGTTACATGGCATATTTTTCGTTGAAGATTTTGAAACGTACCATTCTTTATATCACTCTAATGTATTTTAGGTATTCTCCATTGTCAGCTTAGCAGTTCATGTTATCACGTATCTTCTTTATGTTATGTAGAATATGCTGATACAAATATTCGAAAACAACCTTATATATAGAGGCTATAATTCTTATTTTATATCTCAATTTTACTCTTCTTTTTTCTTTTATACATTTATTTATTCCACCTTAAGTAATACAACCAAACAATTAATTTTAATTAATATACACTATCATCATATTTTAACAATGAATAACTTAATTTGTTCTTTAGTAGTAGGAATACTTCTGATTGGAGAGGTTACATCTACCACTCCACAATATTCTAACAAAACAATTTCCAATATTGCCGACAAAAGTACTCTTCCCAACAAATTAGGGTTCTCGGTCGAGAACATTAATATCGAACCAAGCGCTGTCATTATGAATGTTTCAAACATTGCACCTTCATCTGTTACATCTTCCACACCCGTACCAACAACTTATTACTCTTCTTCATCTAAACCGTTACAGGTTGAGTCGAGTATTATGAACTGGATTGCGAACAAAAACCAAAATGAATCTGGATCTATTATTGTTTCTATGAATACTGAATATACCAACTTAGTACCCCAAATTAGTTCCATTTATCGAAACAATAACCAAACGGTAATTTCAACTTTACAAGTGGGTTTATTAAACTCTACATCAATCTTCGGAAGTCTTCTAACTCCGGTGATTCCAACTTCAACTATTGATTATAAATCTTATAATAATGACTCTGTGCTCACATCCGGTTTTGCAAACAATACTGGCTCTCTGGAATTAACCAAAATTGCTTCTGTATTACCAACTGCTCAGGTTGAGAATACAAACTATACCTCTCCTACCAAATATGGTAACTCTACTTACAATACAACATATAATCATCAATATACTTCAACTACTACAAGTTCGATAATTTCCAATATAACTTCAAGTCAAATTGGTTACTCTAATGCCACTTCTACCTTACCTGGTTTGTATTCTTCTCGAACTTTACAAAGACAAGATATCAGTTCTAGTGCATCTAATTCTAATGCCACCCAAGTTTATATTAATTCTACAATGTCAAGCAATACTCTTACAAGAACCCCTACTAAATATTTGAATATAACCTCCGCTTTTACATCCTCAGGTCCTACACAATATTCCAATTTAACTTCCAGCTTGGTAACTCAACCAGTCCCAATCTCATATAATAGTTCTATTTCTAAAACTAGCGGTACACACACAAATATCAGTTCTACACAGGCCATATATCACAACTCTACTAACAGTTTAACCTCTACCAACATAATAGAAGATACATCATTATTAATAACAACAAACGTAACTATGACAATAGCTAGAACTAATTCATCTTCCTTCTCTTTGTCTACGACTTCAGTGACAGAGCAAAACTCTGTTACTACCCAATGGCCATCAAGAAATGCTAGTTCAACTCAGAAAAGTTTCGATAGTATGTCGAGTTATTCTAATGAATCTTCAACTGATTCCATTCAAAACTCAAATTTGACAACATCTTCAAATACATTAACAAATATTAATCCTCATTTCAGCAATACATCCATTACTACAATAAAACCATCATATACAAACAATAATACTATTTCTATCCCAGGTGGAATGGCTAATGTTAATGTGACATATAGTGTTGCTCCAGAAACTTTTCAACAATCTAAAGGAAGCTATAACATAAGTAGTTCAACTTCATCTTATGTAGCTTCTCTTACTATTTCAGGTAATATGTTGAACTCAACGATAATGACATCCGCTAAGTTTGAAAACAGTTCTTTTACTCAACCAACATCAAGTTATTCTGCTATTTTCACTGGTGTATCCAAGTTAATTTCTACATACCAAACTGGGCAAGTGGAACTTTTGACGACTGATAACGGTTATAATTCAACATTGACTAGTGAGAGTACTGTTAATTATGCTAACACAACATCAACTGCATCATCTTCTTATCCAATTGCTACTTTTTCAGCAACTACAGGGGCAAATAAAGATAGCAACCCTGTTTCTGCAACTATCAAATCGCTAACAAATGGTACATCATCACTCAAAGATCAATCCGTAACTTCTAGTTTTGTTGAATCTGTTAATTCTGATATTATATCTTCAAATGGTACGCAACATAAAAGTTCTATTATTTTAGCATCATCAATGGATCCTGCCAATATTTCCCAAAATTATTACGCAAATACTACATCTACTTCTTCCACTGCTGTTTCAACTGTACCAATCTTATCTGATCAAAATAATAATGTAAATCCAACTGGTAGCTTGAAATTTGAATCTGCCACATCAGAATCAACCATTAAGAGTGAAAATACCATTAGATATACCACCTCTATCACTAGTTCTATTGATAGTCCAAGTGCTATCCCACCTAGTGGTTCTTCAAAGTTATTGACTCCAATAGCTTCTGTAGATGCAACAACCAATTATATCCACGATATTGACCCAAAAAATCCAATATATTCCTCCAATGTTTCTTCCATTACAAGCACAGTAATGAGAGCTCCTTCAACGTCAACCACCTTCACATTAATTTCTTCTTTACCAACAGCAGTGATAAACTCAGGTATTTCTTCAAGTTACAACGATTCGGTTCAACTTTCTAAATCCCTAGATCCACAACAATCTTCTGTTTCAGATAAACCAACTATTTCAGCTGATTTAGGTGATTCTGAAACTTTATCCTTTGTTGATAGTATCTTTATTTCATCAGATGTAAAAGTCACTGCTTCAACCTCAACCATTTCAAACAGCGCTGTAGAATCGAATAATTCACTAAGTTCTGCTAACCCAACTGAGCAAGCCTCTCCATCTACTAACCCAACTGAGCAAGCCTCTCCATCTACTAACCCAACTGAGCAAGCCTCTCCATCTACCAACCCAACTGAGCAAGCCGTTTCTTCTATTGATCATGTACAATCTATTCGAACAAATGAATCCAACAATCTACTAATTGCGGAAAATTCAAGTAAATCAGGATCTCAAAAGGAATCAAACTCAGCTACAAATAGTGATGTCATTAATAATAACACTTCTGCAACTGCATCAGTCTCTGATTCTACACAAGCCACCACAATGACTTCAGTTTCAGCACAACTTCCAACTGATTCATCTTTCATTACATCCACTATTACAAGTTCCAGTGCCACTTCAAGAGCCACTCATTCATCTATTGAATATACAGGCTCTGCCTCCAATGTCATCATTAGTTTTGGACATGCAATAATTGTTCCAATTTTATTAACCATTTCATTTATGTAATATAAATAGTCATACCTTTGTATAATTATATACCCCTCGTTTAATAGAAACAATAGTCATATTTAATCATGTTTTTTGAAATAACAGCGAAATACCTATAAATGTAGTCAAAATTTTATAAGCCAAAAAAAAAGAAAGAACAGAACAAAGTAGAATGCTAATATTATTCATTTAATTATATTTATCTAAATATCTATCTGTTAAACTAAGTTAATATTTAGCATTTGTTTCGTAAGTGGTATCGTGATGATGGAAAGGATAATTAGAGGGTAAAGATCTATCATATAACCCTCTTAAATCCAATAGGTCTGGATTTAATTGAGAAATGTCTGTTACCCCTAATAATCTCATCGACAAGATCAATTCTTTAACCAATAGATCGAATGCTTTCTCTACACCTTCTGTACCATATAACGAGTTTGCATATAGGAAAGGTGAGGCAATACCAACACCCGTTGCTCCTAAACATAGAGCCTTTAACACATCTGTACCACGACGAATACCACCATCAATGAAGACGTTAAAGTTTTTATCCAAGCCACGGCTTCTTAAAGTTGGCATCGCCTCGGCTAGAACCTCTACAGGTGGCACGGAGAAATCTAATTGTCTCCCACCATGGTTAGATAATACCACGCCACTACATCCAATCTCTGCAGCTTTAATTATATCATCAACTCTCTGGACACCCTTCAAGACAATTGGCAAATTTGTATAAATTTTGAAGTTTTCAATATCTTTCCAAGTTAAAGCTGTATCAATCAATTTTGACAACGCACCTGAAGTACCATTAGCTGTTTGACCTTGTTTCATAACGTTTGGTCCCTTTTTCTTATCACTATTCGAGAATTTAAATCTTAAATCACGTTCTCTATTACCAGGTTGTGCCGCATCCACTGTGACAAACAAAGCGTTGACACCTAATTTTTCTGCTTTTAGAATCAAATCTTTTGTGATTGTTCTATCACCATTAACATACAATTGAAACCATTGTTCTTGAGCACTATTACTCTTAGCTGCAACGATGTCCTCCAAAGAATTTGAAGAGAAAGTAGAGATCATTTGCGGTATACAGAATTCTTCATGGGCACATGCTTTCACAATACTCACTTCACCACCTTCTGGATTTCCTAGACCACATAAAGCAGTAGCACTCACATAGAATGGGAATTTAAATTTTCTGCCGAACATTTCTGTGGTTAAATCAATATCGGTGACATCTACTAAAATTTTTGGTCTAAAATATATCTTTTGATAAGAATGATGATTTTGTCTATATGATACTTCATCATCTGCAGAACAAGCATAATAAGCATATACTTTTTCTGGAAGAATCTTTGAAGCGATGACTTCAAATTCGTTCAAATTGAAGACAGACTCTAAGGGTGGTATACTTGTAGTAGAAGATGACATAATTTCTTTTGCTCTCTTTCTTTCCAAATGATAGTAATAACGAATTGATAGATCAGTTTATACAGGTTTATATCCTAACAAAATCTGATGACTTGAAATATGTCCAACATATAATAACGCCATTGTGATAATTTTATAGGCACTCACCCTCTCATATATATATTATATAAACAAAGTATCCAAGAGACTGTCATCATTTTTATCAATGAATCATACTAAAATTAACATAAAGCGTGGGATATAAATATACTGTAAGTGTGGGGGTTGAACAGTTCAGTATATATACATACAGAAACAAACAGATGTTAGTAGCAAATACCATTTATATGTAACACAGTAAAACCCAATTCCTTTCTTATTAAATAAATGAAAAATCCATTTAATTAACTAACTGTGTAATCAATTGAATCTAAACCTCTTTCTTTTTTCTTTCGGGGCAGCTCAGAAAGGGAGAGCGAACGCAAAAATCCGGAGAACTGCGTGTGTGTTTGTGTGTGAGAGAGAGAGAGTGTGAGAGCGCGCAAAGAGAAAAGCCGTTAACGGGTAAAAGTTCGTCGTTTATTAGTTTTTGGCTGATTATGGAAGAGTTTGATCTATAGCGATATAAACTGTGTGAGTATATATAACTAGGTAAGATGTTCAAATTATAGTTGGAAAAAGAAAAAATTATAGGGCTTGCATCTTTCCTTTGTAAAAAGTGGTTAAGACACGAATACCACCAGTTGATACTTAAACTCAGTAACAAGTCAAATAAAACAATCATAACCTTCTGTAGAGGCGTCTCTCTTATCTTGCATTTACCTATCTATATGAAAAAACACTAGAGACACCCAAATTATATTTGGGACGCTATTGGAGGGTTTAGACCTTTCTCTCTCTCTCTCTCTCTCTTACTGTAAATATGACATAGGAGACAGCGTCAATTTGACGTCAGATCACGTGGTGTGGCGTCTCATCACCCCTGTCTATTTTGTCATTGTAGACGGGCGGAAAAGAAATACAAAAGAAATAAAACGGAGCGGAGTTGCAATCCTGTACTGAAGCTTCTGTGTCTCCCAAGTAATACAACACACACAATTTTTCTTTCGTTCTTGTCTCTCGTTTGTTGTTGACTCATTTTTCTGTCCCCAGTGAGAGATGAATTCACTAACAAAAATCAAGTCCCTGACGGCTTACTTAAGCCAGAAAAATAAAAGATGGAATAATCCTGTCTTCTGGAAACTGTGTAACTAAAAGTTATGTATTCTATAACAATTACCGTAGGAAAGATATCAAAAAGTTATTTTAAGCGTAAAATTTTGGAAACAATCCATTGAAAAGAAACATAAACTAGTCACATCATCCTTTAAAGAATCAGGTTATTATTGATTAATGTAGGAGACCAAGAGCAAAATACAGCAGAAGAATTACACAATTCTATCAAATAACTTGAAGTATTCGTACGCTTTACACACATTATACTGAGATTACTGAACTCAATAACCTTTTAATCATAAATTGTTATAGTCAGTTTCTGTCTTTCGATATTTCCATATTAATTGAAATTTTTCAGTTGATTCTCTCTGCTTGGCAATCTCTCTCCCCCCCTTTGTTTCTTTTACACACATATTAACATTATAATCATTATTTTGTCACACTATTTGGAATTAGAATAGAGAAATTATAGACGATTTTTTCGATGATTTAACCCTCGAAGTGTGAAAGAAAACTGAGAGTAGTCAAATCAACCCATCCTTCTTCTTTTTCTTCTTACCCAGTTAATGCAAATTTGTCTTTATTATATTAAAAGTATTTTGTTCTTGGTGTGTAAGGGAGAAGAGCTCGATGATGAATAATAACGAAATTTATTTTATTCTCTTTCTGTTTATTCCCATATATATATATAGGATTGATGATTGTCCATTTCTTATACCGATATAGCATTTCTTTATTTAACCTCATTCCCCTTTTCTTTTCTTACTTCTTTATTAAATTTATTTATCTCATAACGATAACAACAATTTATATTATTAACATAATATACCTATATATATAATACAAACTAAACATTCAAGTTTATAAAATGTCCGGCTTACTGAAAGAATTGTTTGTGGACCCTTACCATAGATTAAAATGGGGGTTTCTTCCAGTGAAGAGAATTGTTGAAGATTTACCAGAAGATGATGAATCTATTAACAGTACATCTATCACTGCAGGTGATGAATATAGAGGTCATGAAACGGAATTACATGATTTAAAAACTCATGAAACTAATAGTGGTAATGGTGACATTAGTTCATTCTCAAATGAAAAAGAACAAGGAATATTAGAAGTTACTAATCTTAATCATCGTACTAATAACAACAACAATAATGACAACGGTACAGTAGACGTTGAATACGAATACAGAGATGAAGCCGATAGAAAATGGTGGAAATTCTTTGATGAACAAGAATATAGAATTAATAAAGAAGAAAGATCTCATAATAAATGGTACAGTTGGTTTAAAGAAGGAACATCTTATGAAGAGAAAAAATTACTTTTGAAATTGGATGTCCTTTTGGCTTTTTATTCATGTATGGCTTATTGGATCAAATACTTGGATACTGTCAATGTTAATAACGCTTATGTGTCTCATATGAAAGAAGATTTGAATTTTAAAGCGGACGACTTGGTTCATGTTCAAGTTATGTATACCGTAGGTAACATTATCTTTCAAATTCCATTTTTGTTTTATTTGAATAAAGTTCCATTGAATTACGTATTACCTGTTTTGGATTTATGTTGGTCTCTATTGACTGTCGGTGCTGCTTACGTCGACACTGTTCCACATTTAAAAGCTATTAGATTCTTTATCGGTGCTTTCGAAGCGCCAAGTTATTTGGCTTATCAATATTTGTTCGGTTCCTTCTATAAACATGATGAAATGGTTCGTCGTTCTGCCTTTTATTATCTAGGCCAATTTATTGGTATCTTATCCGCTGGTGGTATTCAATCTGCTGTGTTTTCTTCTTTAGATGGTGTTAACGGCTTGGCAGGTTGGAGATGGAATTTCATTATTGATGCTATTATCTCAGTTGTGGTTGGTATCATTGGTTTCTATTCGTTACCAGGTGATCCATACAATTGTTACTCTATTTTCTTAACAGATGACGAAATTAGATTGGCTAGAAGAAGATTAAAAGAAAATCAAACTGGTAAGAGTGACTTCAATAAGAATGTCTTTGATTTGAAACTATGGAAAGCTATCTTCTCTGATTGGAAAATTTATATTTTATCTCTATGGAACATCTTCTGTTGGAATGATTCTAACGTCTCCTCTGGTGCTTATCTATTATGGTTGAAATCTTTGGACAAATATACAATTCCAAAAGTTAATAAATTATCAATGATCACACCAGGTTTAGGTATAGTATATTTAATCCTGACAGGTGTACTGGCTGATAAATCCCATTCTCGTTGGTTTGCTATCATCTTTACTCAAGTGTTCAATATCATAGGTAATTCTATCCTGGCTGCGTGGGATGTCTCAGAAGGTGCAAAATGGTTTGGTTTCATACTGCAATGTTTTGGTTGGGCAATGGCTCCAGTGTTATACTCGTGGCAAAATGATATCTGTCGTAAGGACTCGCAGACAAGAGCCATTACTTTGGTCACTATGAATATCCTGGCTCAATCGTCTACAGCATGGATCAGTGTGTTGGTGTGGAAGACTGAAGAAGCTCCAAGATATTTGAAGGGTTTCACATTCACAGCTTGTTCTGGTTTCTGTCTATCCGTTTGGACCTTTGTGGTGTTGTACTTTTACAAACGTGATGAAAGAAACAATTCGAGAGACAATGGTATCATTGTTTACAACTCGAAGCTTGGAGAAGATAAACCAATCGTAGAAGAATTAGACAATAATTTCACAGAAGATGTTTCTTCTTCTTCTGAAAAAGAAAAATCAACGGATTAGAAAAAATAACAATTTCATCCCCTCAACTAATACGACCTCTTTTACAAAGGCTATCATTTAATATTCCTCTTATATAAAATGTAATCATTTATGCATATCAAATTTTAATAATAATATTAACATTTAAATTAATTCTTAAAAATATTCAATTTTACAGGAATCAATATAAAGTATATACCGTAGCGTGTTGATTAAAATTTAGAAATTTATTTATCTCATATTTACACATACTAAGTATTTTTTAAAAAAACTTTATAATACTAATTTTCTTTATTTTCAACAATAAAATTATAAAGTATTATATATTGTAGTATATAAACTAATCGTTATCAAATGTTATCCTCTTTGTGCGTTTCATATTTTAAGCTCTATAATCTTCTATAATATATGATCAGAAGTTGTCGAGAATGCATTTGCGATATAACTGAATATATATTTAACTGTATGGCCATCTAATGGTATCGGCGTATCATTGATGACTACAACATTGGACTCCTTCAAATTACCTGGCGCATGAGCAACATCACATGAACATGGATGAGTATCGGATGCAATCACATCACCGTTATTATCCAAGAAATATAGCCTATCTGTAGTTTTAAAGGGGTTCCTTTCACTAAATACTAGATAAACTTGCTATATAGTCATGTTGTCAGGATATTTGAACCTACCACATAAGGTTTGACTAATATTGTTAGGAACATAGTCTAATGCTAAATATTTCACAGTATTAACATCTGTCATAATTCTATATTTTGAGGGTTGTGACTGTTTACTTTTTATTTTTATTCCAAAGGAGAAGACACGATAAGTCACAAATAAATTTCTCATACCTGCAGCATCAAGGAATTTATATTTAAGATATGATATTTATAATTATTAATGGCGAATGTTATTAAGGGAAATAGAATAAACACTTCTAGGAGTAAATGTTTTTAACATAACATTTCAATAATTAGATCGCAACTTTTAAATTTGTAATTTAGGATCGTCACATTATTGGTCGATATAAATTTTGATCTAAGGAATATATTTAAAGATTGCCGACACGTTTGCCTTTGTTGCAGTTTTATAAACAAATTCATTATCAATTTCTGAATTAATTTCAAATGTAGATTCTCTATTCTTTATTTGCTTTTCCGTTCCAATTTCTAAGGAATCATCGATATATGAAACGGTTTGTCCTCCGTCTTCCTCACTAGATTCACTCATTTCTCTATTTTTTTGTTGTTGTTGTTGTTTATCATTTCCAAACCATTTGAATCTACATAACCATATCATATGAGACAAAAATATACCCATTTCTAATACAGCAATGACTGCATATAAGATAATACTTAATATATCCATATCACCGACACATACACTTGCAATTGAAAAATAAGCACCAAGACTATCTAATGTTAAAAAGACAAAATTTATTCCGACGACTTCCCCCTGCCTTTTTGCCAATTCAAAATATGGTGGTAATAAACCTATGGCTAAGAGTACCGATGCTAAAATACCAAAAATCATTGAAGGCCACTTAATACCTTGCGCATATAAGGGACGTAACCAAAGGACAAATCCGATTTCAGATCCAATATCTACTAATATTATCCCAATCGAAATGGCTACAATTTTCCATATTGGCATCTTTACAGGAGGATAATAACATGATTGAACAAATCCTACACCACAAAAGAATGTAAATAAATGTGGTTGAAGTTGTAAAATTATATTTGTATTAAGGATTAAAAAGAAGATGGCAAATGGGATCCCTGATATCACCCATAGAAACATCATATGTGGGGGTACACCTGTACAATCTTTTCTTTTCCAATTATGATAAATCTGTGGGATTAGTTGAATACACCATAGTACTGTACCTACTGTTGCTAGTGCTGTTGCTGCCGGATTTGATTCAGTTGTATTTATCATTATATATAAATATAAATATTTTTGTTTTTGTTAATGTTTTCTATTTGGTAATAGAAATATAAAACGACAATAATAACCTAACTTTACATTCACTACAATATCTAGCATTTATATATACATGATGATCCAATTGAATAAAAAGAAGAAGACATGTTTTTGGACAATAGGAACAACAGCACATTAAATATAAAATGCCCAAGTCTTAAATCAAAATCGTAATAAAGAAAAAAAACTTAGAAAAATGAACTGTCCAGTACAATAACTAGTCGAGGTATCTCTAAACTTACCTTAAAAAGGTTATATTTAACATCTTACATTCTTGACTGATGTATATCAACCGAAGTTGTCTGATCCTCTTCACTAAAACAAACGTGGGTACATATGCATTTACATATTCTTTTATGTTCAAATGGGGAATAAATTTGCGACAGAATTTCGATAGCACTCAAAACAAGCCTGAAAATGGTTGAAGTAAATGTATCAACAGAGGCAAATGAGGACATATATTACAATTCCTTCTATTGAGTAAAAAATACTATATTACAATAAAGAAGGTCCAATTATTTATTCCTAGTACATTCGTTTGGTTAACATTTACCTAAACAATAGATACTTAAATTTCTATTGTTTCGTTGTTGCATGAAAAAATTGGCAATTTTTACCATTTTACCATTTATTAGGCGACGATGATCATCTGGTCACTATAAATTCCTTTTTTATTTATTCACTTGCAGGATTTACAACGGCTAAACAAATGGACCCCCGTTGAAGTACATAAACAGATGCAGTGAATAAGATTTACAAAGAAAAAAACACAAGTACAGACATTTTAACAGAGAAGTCATCCCAAGATTATTATCGCCAGGTTCAACCAATATATATAACTATCACTTAATACAATTAGGGAGTTTAACAAATGAAATCTATCACCACTGGAAACGACAAAAGAACTATATAGAAGGTAAGTTTTCTTTTATATTCAGATGATGTATCTGTTTTCTGAATTTTCTGTCCTGTATAATAAAATACAACAACAACCGAATAAAATGTTTTTCGTATCGTTAATCTGTTAACAAAACAAAGTAACGCAGTTAAATTGATTTTCTTGTAGGCACTGATTTTTTCTCGTACATACAAGACTATATCAAATTGATAACATCAAATTGATAGTATCACCAAAAAAACACATAACAAGAACAATATTTTATTTATTTATTACAAGTCATCAGTATGGATGAATCATAGTTATCGTGAACTTCGCTTATACTTACCACATTAATCTTGAGCATAGTAAACAGAATATAACGCTGCAATGATTCTCAAATTCTCAGCCATTCTTTTTAACGCCTAAAGCTTATCTTTAACCATTACAAATATGACTGATAAACTAAATAAAAAATTACCTTACTACTAATAGAATACAGATAACCATGTTGGAAGTAAATCAAATCAATCGATCTCTCTATCAATTTATTGTTATTGATAGCTTGCTGGGAAAGCTATAGAATAGAATAACCGGTAAATATATGTCAATGTGATAGTGCGGGATTGTAAAAAATTACTACCTTTCGGCTATATATACTAAATTCAGTAACTATAGGCGAACATTTTCAACTTTGACCCTCTTTTTCTTCATATCAAAATCCTTGTTGCCGCTCCTCGAATCCCTCTCGGCTACATATACCTAATTAGTAAAATCCTCTTTAATCTGCGTAGAGAAAGAGACCAGTCGAAAAAAAAAGTTTTTTTCTGTTGTTGCTGTTTGTACGGCTTGTTTTGAGAGAACGGATGTGACAAACCAAAAAAATAAATTGTTATTGATTGTTACAATTTTTTTTATTATTCATTAACAGCAATTTAATTAATGCTACAGTATACATGATGCATATATAGTGTAAGTTATAACAAGAACAATCTTTTGACCCTTAAGAATGTATTAAATTGGTTAAAGTTTGACCCTTATCTACTATATCTTTTACTTTTTAACTATATTAATTTTATTATTAATTAATAATATTTACCTTTTCTTTTTTTTAAGCGTCAAGGATGGTGCTTCTTTCTGTTCCGAGTATTATATAAAAAAGATCTATATCTTGATAATTAAATCACCTTATTTTTATTGTTTTTTTTGTCATTCTAATCTAAATTTCTAACAACTAATTTTTTTTTCTTTTGAGATATTAGGCGCTTTACATATTCAAAATAAACACAATTACATTAAAGTAAGAGATCGATCGAACTTTGTCCTGCATTTCTCAATAATTGCCTATCGTAAGTTGCATTTATTTCAATTTCTTATCAACATTCAGGTCATTGACTACTGATAAATATTTGTTGTTCCTGTTTAAAAACGGCATATCAACCGAATTTTTTCTTTTTTTTGAGTGGCTATGAATTATTACTTAAAACACTACAAAAATTCCTTTTTCACTGATATATTGGAGTTTTTGAATATCGTAACTATTCAAGAACAATTACCTCATCAGACAAGTTACTCCGAAAAGAAAGAACTAACACAATCAATTGGTAATATTAAATCAAATTCATCAAACATCGATAATGTTTCAACGGATATTAGTGAGTCCGATGATATAACACAAGATATTTATGATAACTTAGGTGGTGATGATCAATCATATCATAATAATTTAGAAAGAATTGCTACTGTGATGTCTGGTACATCATCTCATATGAATAATACTAATGATAAAGATAATGATATCAGTGGGGGTAAACCAGGGAAAACACATGAAGAAAAAAATGATATCGATGCTGATGATGAAGAAAAACAATTATCTGGTACCGACTCTAACTCTACATCACAATCACAACCACATATGAGTAATCTTGTGGATGACGGTGATGTCGACGAAAACGATATTGATGATCCATTTTTAATCAGTTGGCACAATACATCTATGGAAGATAATCCACTAAATTGGTCTACATTCAAGAAATCATTTATGATGGCTGAAGTTATGTTATTAGGTTGTGTAACTTATATGTGTTCATCTATTTATACTCCTGCACAAGCTACTATTGCTGAAGAATTTGGTACTGGCCATGTTGTTGCTACGTTAAATTTATCGTTATATGCATTGGGTTATGGTATTGGTCCGATTATATTTTCACCTTTATCTGAAGTAGCAAAGATAGGTAGGCAACAAATTTATTTTTATACATTATTTGTGTTCTTCTTATTTCAAATTGGTTGTGCTACTGTTAAGAATATGGGTGGTTTAATTGTATTAAGATTTTTTGCTGGTATTATGTGTTCACCAGCTTTAGCTACAGGTGGTGCTACCGTGGCTGATATGGTTACATTAAAACATTTATCAATTTGTTTATCAACATGGGATCTTGGTGCTACATGTGCACCAATTATTGCACCAATCATAGGTGCCGCTATGCTCGTTGCCAAGGATTGGCGTTGGATCTTTTGGTTTATGACAATGATTGGTGGATTTACATTAGTATTATTATTATTCTTTTTCCCAGAGACATCACATCAAAATATTTTAGCACGTCGTGCTAAGAGACTAAGAAAACAAACAGGTGATCAAAGATATTATACAAGACAAGAAAGATTAGATTCAAAATTAACAAAACGTGAAATTATGATTACGACATTGTATAGACCATGGGAATTAATGTTTAAAGAACCAATCATTATGGCATTTGATCTTTATATTGCATTAGCTTATGGTGCGTTTTATTTATTCTTTGAAGCATTTCCTTTAGTCTTTACCAATATTTGGCATTTCACTGTAATTGAATCCAGTTTAGCATTTTTAGGGTTTGCAGTTGGTACAGCATTTTCTTATCCCTTATTATTTTATTTTTTAAAGACAATTATAAATCCAAAAATTAAAACAAATACAGTAACACCAGAAATGTTTTTAATATTAATGATGTGGGTAGGCTGGTGTTTACCCTTAGGTTTATTTTTATTTGGTTGGGGCGCAGGTACACATTGGATAGTTCCAATAATATCTGAAATATTTTTCCAATTGTCATTATGGAGTTTATTTCAAGTTACATATTCATATTTAGCATCATGTTATCCAAGATATGTTGCATCAGTGTTTGCAGGCAATGGATTAGTTAGATCAATATTTGCATGTGCATTCCCCTTATTTGGTGTAATAATGTATGAAAATACAGGTACAAAGAATTATCCAGTTGGCTGGGGTTCGAGTATTCTTGGATTTTTCACATTATTATTGACAGCTATACCATTTATTCTTTATAAATATGGTCCTGCCATTAGAGCAAGATCAAAATTCAGTGGGTAATTAATTAATTAATTAATTACTTGACAGGCAATTAAAATCAGCACAGAAACAAGTAGAGTCATTTCCATTATTGTTTTTTCCTAAAAATTTATATAGCATTTTAATTAGATTAAATTACATAGAAAAAACAATACATAATATAAAAATTCCATCACATATTTTATCAAAATCACGAACTTAACAATGGGACAAAATACAACAACCAAAAAACAACAACAGAGCGTTGAATACAATAGAGGAAAACAATTGAATAAATAAATAAATAAATTAATTGAATAACCGGCATGGTAGCATCTATTGTCCCACCGACGTCATAGCTTACGAGAGGAGATGGGACAAAAAACAAAATATGCTCACAATGAATATCACTGGGAACGGGAGAGGGGGAACAATCCACCCCCATACAAAATGTATTACTTCAGTAAAAATATAAGCTGCTAAACTATTTTCTTAGCGACACATTTATGTAAAGTAGCTGCAAGTAGAAAAAACAAGCGAAAAACTGGCACAGAAAACGAACTATCATCGTCCACGGGAGAAAAAGGGACAAACCAAAGTTAAAACAACGTGGCAGTACATTTTAGTTTCTTCCTTTTTTGACCCAATGAGCGTGCGGCTTTAAGAAATAAATTTAATAAAGAAAAAAAGGACAGAGTAATCGGGGAACAACGCGTTGGCGCAATCCGATAACCGCATAATTTATCCATTTTCGAATATTTATCTCTAGAAAACCATAAACTGTAATGCTATTATGATGTCACAATCGTGTGGGTTAATTGGTTGGATAATTTATCTCCCTTATTATTGGAAACAACCCAGAAATAGTTTGATGTACGTCTGTTTCTCTTGTACGCATTTACATCTCCTCACGAAAATATTGTCATTTGCCAAAATTTTGACCCTCTCCCACCCCCATCAACTAAATATTTAACATCGCCACACGCTTCATATTCTTCTTTCAATAAAAGTTAGAATGTCCGGCTAGAGAAAGGGTCGTGCAAGGTGAAATTTTGACCCTATTAAATGAAGTGATGATTTGCGGGTTTAGTTGCAAGAGAGGAGAGAAGAGAAGAGGAGAAATCTTTGTTTGTTATCTTTACTGCCATTCATTCGTTAGAGATAAAGCTTTTCAAACGCTCAAAGCCAACAAAAGGAGAGCATTTTTTAAAGATATCTAAGTTATTCTGTTACCGTATTATTATTGTCCAATAACACTGGAGTCTGCTATCTATCTCTCGTTCTGGTTTCTTTTTTTCTGTTCTATTTTGTAGTCATTTCTCTCTTTGCAATTTCTGATGTCAAAAGTGGGACGAACTCAGAGGAAAAACTACGAACAAATAAATGATATCCAATTAAGTTCACTGGGGGGGAGTTACTACTGGATCTTCTGACTTATCTGGAAAACTGTTATCTGGAACAATAGGTCTGTCAAATGAAATCAAAGGAAGATGTTCCAAAAAAGTACTACTAGTGTTTCTTTTACTTAAGGCATCGAAACTGATTGCATGAACAGTTCTTATCTGTATCAACATTGTATATATTTCTTTTTGAGTTACTCTTTTATATAGTATATAAGTGAAGCATTAAAACGAAATTTGTTATTTGTTTCTTTGTAATTTTGAAATATTTTGTCATCCTATTCATTTAACTTTTTTTATTGTTTGCATTTATTATACCAAATACATACAAACATACACACACATACACATATACATATACATATAAATACAAAATGGCTGAACCAGAATTTCAACAAGCTTACCAAGAAATCGTTTCTGCCTTAGAAGAATCTACTTTATTTGAAAAGAAACCAGAATATAAGAAAGTCTTACCAATTGTCTCTGTTCCTGAACGTATTATTCAATTCAGAGTCACATGGGAAGATGATAACGGTGTACAACAAGTTGCACCAGGTTATAGAGTACAATATAACTCATCTAAAGGTCCTTACAAAGGTGGATTACGTTTCCATCCATCTGTCAATCTATCTATTTTGAAATTCTTAGGGTTTGAACAAATCTTTAAGAATGCTTTAACTGGATTAGATATGGGTGGTGCTAAAGGTGGTCTTTGTGTTGATTTAAAGACTAAATCAGACAATGAAATTAGAAGAATTTGTTACGCTTTCATGCGTGAACTATCTCATCATATCGGTCAAGATACTGATGTTCCAGCAGGTGATATTGGTGTTGGTGGTCGTGAAATCGGTTATTTATTCGGTGCTTACAGATCCTATAGAAACTCTTGGGAAGGTGTCTTAACTGGTAAAGGTCTAAATTGGGGTGGTTCTTTAATTAGACCAGAAGCTACAGGTTATGGTTGTGTCTATTTCACACAAGCTATGATCGATTACGCTACAAATGGTAAAGAATCGTTCCAAGGGAAACGTGTTGCCATTTCAGGTTCTGGTAATGTTGCTCAATTTGCTGCTTTGAAAGCTATCGAATTAGGTGCTATTGTAGTATCATTATCTGATTCTAAAGGTTGCATTATTTCTGAAGATGGTATTACATCTGAACATGTTGCTGCCATTGCAGAAGCCAAGATTAAATTCAAATCCTTAGAACAAATTGTTGGTGAATATTCTGCATTTGCAGAAAACAAAGTTAAATACATCGCTGGTGCTCGTCCATGGTTAAATGCAGGCGCAGTTGATATTGCTTTACCATGTGCTACACAAAATGAGGTCTCTGGTGACGAAGCTAAGGGTTTGATTGCCTCTGGTGTTAAATTTGTCTCAGAAGGTTCTAACATGGGTTGTACCGCCGAAGCTCTACAAGCATTTGAAACCGCTAGAAGTTCCGCCAAGTCTCCAAATGAAGCTGTATGGTACGCTGTTGGTAAAGCTGCCAACTGTGGTGGTGTTGCGTGTTCAGGTCTAGAGATGGCTCAAAACTCCCAAAGAAGGAGATGGAGTCGTGATGATGTCGACCAAGCTTTGAAGAAGATTATGGTGAATTGTTTCAATGATTGTGTTAAAGCTGCCGAAGAATATAGTAACGAACCTAATCAAAACACTTTACCATCTATTGTTAAAGGTGCTAACATTGCAGGTTTCATTAAGGTTGCAGATGCTATGATTGACCAAGGTGAAGTCTTCTAAGCAAAATAAATTAATTAAAAACCAATTAGATACGATCCGCAACGAATACATAAATAAATAATTCAATACAAAAAATAAAATAAAATAAAATAAAAATCATAATAATATTAATATTAGTAAGATCAATTGCACGTAGTTATAATTAGGACTTAGTACAATTACGCTTGTTTGCTTGTTGTTATTTATTCAGCGTATGTCAAAGAGAGAGATATACCTCATCTCAATCTTAGCCAACCTGAGTTCCGGTTGAAATTTTTCAACTCAGGGCAATTGGCATTACTTGTGTGGCATGGTTTCTGGTTCTCCTCATTCCTTTGCTGTTGCTGATGCTGATGCTGTTGCTGTTGCTGTTGCTGTTGCTGTTGCAGGTTCCTCTTCCGTGCAGTTCCTCCTGGACGGCCCCCTTTTAAACGAAAAATTTCTCCTGTTTCCCCAATACGTGACCGCAGTGACTAGAGGCTGCATAATAGAAAACCAGAGAGAGACAAAGAGAAAGACGGTTGCAAAACAGTTTAAAGAAGGGTTTGCTGAAGTTGTTGTTGCAAAAGAGAGAGACGGAGAGACGGAGAGACTATGTACAGAAGGGTTCTTGTTCTTCTGTTGGCTTCTTGTTTTCTCAGATGCAATGAATTGGATGAATTAATTGAAGAATGAATGAATTGATGAACAACGAAGTACATATACATATACATATATATAAATAGGAAAAACTTTAAGCAGGTCAATTTCTTTCCTTTTTAAATTGATTATGTCTTATTTCAAAATTAAAAAGTTTCAAGAATTTTTTTTGATATATCTTAGACAACTATACAAAAAAATATAACATATAATATATAATTTTAATGAGAGCATTAGCTTATTTCAAGAAAGGTGATATACATTTCACCAAGGATCTCGAGGAACCTAAAATCGTCACTTCCGATGAATTAATCCTTGACATCATTTACTGTGGTATTTGCGGTACCGATTTACACGAATACACAGACGGTCCAATTTTTTTCCCTCATGATGGTCATACTCATGAAGTTAGTGACATCGGTTTACCTCAAGCCATGGGTCACGAAATGGCAGGTATTGTCCGTGAAATTGGTACCGGTGTAACTAAATTTAAAGTCGGTGATCATGTTGTCGTAGAACCTACAGGTACCTGTAGAGATCGTTACAGATGGCCTGATTCTAAGAATAAAAAAAAACCAATGTGTTCAGCTTGTCAAAAGGGCCATTATAACATTTGTTCTCATTTAGGTCTAATTGGTGATGGTGTTCAATCTGGTGGGTTCGCAGAAAGAGTCGTTGTCAATGAAATGCATTGCTATAAAGTTCGTAAAGAAATGCCAATGGATGTTGCTGCATTGATTCAACCTATTGCCGTATCATGGCACGCAGTTAGAATCTCTAGATTTAGACCTGGTTCTTCTGTATTAATTTTAGGATCTGGTCCAATTGGGTTAGGTACTATTTTAGCATTGAATGGTCATGGTTGTTCTGAAGTCGTCGTCTCCGAACCTGCTAAGATTAGAAGAGATTTCGCTCATGGAATGGGAGCCGTAGTGTTTGATCCATCCGAAGGTGATGATGAAACAAACATTCCTTTACTACGTTCAATGGCTCCAGGTGGAGATGGTTTTGATTATACATTTGATTGTTCCGGTACTCCATCTACATTGAAGGCCTCCATCGAATGTCTGACTTACAATGGTACAGCTGTGAATGTTGCCATGTGGTCCGTGGATCATCCTGTGGATTTCTATCCAATGGATATCACCAAGCAAGAGAAATTCTACACTGGGTCCATGTGTTATACACATGTCGATTTCGAAGCTGTCATCGACGCTATCGAAGATGGTCGTATCGAGATTGCAAAGGCCAAGAAGATGATCTCATCAAGAGTTCCAATCGAACGTGGGTTCGAAGACGCCATGATGAAATTGATCACTCATAAAGAACAAACTATCAAGATCCTATTGACTCCTAATAATCATGGACAATTAGAAGGTGACGGTACTGATATATACGACTAAAACATATAACTGTAATATAATATAACATATCATATCATATCATATAAAAGCAACTACATAACTTAATCAGAAGTATCTATTAATAAATACAATTCCACGAAGTTCCGATATTCCTATCCAAATTATCCTATTACATCTTAAGGTTGATAATCGGGGGAGAGGCACGCTTATGGTAATAATTGTGGAGTGAATTTTACTGTCCTTTAATAGCTGGTCGGCTCTCTTTCACTCCCCCTGAAATTTTTCGGAATGTTTTTAATCGTAGCGCTGCACAGAGTTACTCTAAGGCTACGTGGGGTGGGAGAGAGAGGACAGTTGAACTTAGGTAAGAACAAGCATAAGCTTAAGGAGGAACAGAATTCCTACGCAATAGTTAACCAACAAGGTAAGTATATACATACCTCTCTCTCCCGGAGGTTAGAGACTTTAGTTAGTATATTGCTATATAAACGAGTCAATAATATACCTGATATTTTGACAAGGAAATGAATGCCCTAAGGAACATTGTATTTGCTTGCGTATGTTTATATCTTATATACTTCCTCACTCCCCCCCCCCTTTTGTTTATATTTTCAACTGATATAACAAGTACTCAGATCTTCTTTTTTTCATTACCTATCTATTTTATATCTCTATTGAATTGTACAATGTTCAGTCTTCGTAACATTTATATAAGGACTAATCCTATCAAGTTATTCACATCGAGGTTTACACCCCTAAGACAAACTAAGATAACAAGAAAATTTTCACAAAAATACACACTGAATATGAGAGCGTTAGCTTACTACAAGAAGAAAGATATTCATTACGCAGAGGACTTACCCGAGCCACGTATTAATAGTCCAAATGAATTAATTATTGATGTTGCTTTCTGCGGTATCTGCGGGTCAGATTTACATGAATATACAGATGGTCCTATTTTTCTACCAAAGGATGGCGAGACTCATCCATTATCTAATTCCAAATTACCTCAACCTATGGGTCATGAAATGACTGGTATCGTTCGTGAGATTGGCTCTGATGTTACCAAAGTGAAAGTAGGTGATCATGTCGTTATCGAAGCTGGTTGTGGCTGTAAAGATTTATCACGTTGGCCAAACTCTAAATATTACGGTTCTGAACAATGTTCTGCTTGTGCTGCAGGTCTGGATAATTGTTGCGAACATGCAGGTTTCACCGGGTTAGGTGTAGTTGGTGGTGGTTTCGCTGAACGTGTTGTAGTCGGTGAATATCATACTGTGCCATTGCCAAAGGAGATTCCTTTGGACATTGGATGTCTCGTGGAACCATTGTCTGTCGTTTGGCATGCATTGAAATTAGCAAATTTTAAGGCTAAGAAATCAGCTTTAGTTCTTGGTTCCGGTCCCATTGGTCTAGCTTCAGTGTTGGCTCTGAAGGCGATGGGTGCTTCACAAATCGTGGTCTCTGAACCTGCTAAAATTAGAAGAGATTTTGCTGAAAAATTAAACGTAACCGTTTTTGATCCTGCAAAACACGGTGCTAATGCCGTAGAAGAATTGCGTAAACTATCTATCTCAGGAAATGGGTTCGATTATGCTTTTGATTGTTCCGGTATTAGAGCTACTTTCGAAACAGGTCTACAAGCTATCACATACAGAGGCTCCTTAGTGAATGTTGCCATTTGGGGTAAGACTGTGGATTTTGATCCAATGGAAGTCACTTTACAGGAAAAACATTTCACTGGCTCCATCGGTTATGTTGTCGAAGACTTTGAGGAAGTCGTTGCCGCTATTCATCGTCGTGATATTAAAGTGGATGAAATTAGACATTTGATTACCGGGAAAGTCAATATTAAGGACGGTTGGGAAAAGGGTTTCTTAGAGTTGATGAATCATAAGGAAACAAATGTCAAGATTCTACTGACACCTAACAACCATCATGAATTGAATTAATTAGTTCTTATTATATATCTATTTAATTATTCACATAAATAATTATGAATTACAACTTCTCATATATCATATATTATATTTTTAATAACAATTCGTTTGCTTTGTGATGATGATCTATATATGTATTATATTTGTATATATTCTTACAATTTGGTAGAATACATTTTGTTCTTCTGTTTTTGTCCTTCTGCAGGTTGTGCCCACGACACTTCTCTCCCGTTTTCTTTTACTTTTTTGCGATGAGCTTTAAAATTTTTCTTTTTTCAATTATTAACTGCAATAAATGTACACTGATTAGTTTAAAAAGAAAGATGGATAGTAAACCAAGTTACTAACAAATCAAACCTTAGGGATCACCAAAATAAGTAACCAGAGCTACTTGTTCAATCATATTAGTATAACATGGCAAAGAAAATATCAAAACACTCAAGAGCAGCAAGAAGATCAGAACTTGAAATCGACACAGAAGTCAAGTCTCTAGAGAATCTACCAAGAGCTGAAAAGACCGATTTGTCCAATATCTTAATAAGAACAGCAGCAAAAAATGAAGCACTATTAGATGCTAAGATCCAAAAGAAACAGGATAGAAAGAAATTCTTCAAAGAAAAATACACTAAGAAGGCTTTGGAAAATAAATTACTCGCAGCATTAAATAATGAGGATAAGGACAGATTAGAACATGCTCTAAATATAACAAATCGATTGGATGGTAAAGTTTCAAAATCTATAGCTCGTGCCAAATATGTTCAAAATTCAAGAAAGGCTAATTGGGATCAAACTAATAAGGTTATAAAAAGAAAATTGAAAGGTGATTCTATCTTGGATAAGACGGAAATGAAAAAGAACGATGATGACGAAGAGCTAGATGATGAACCATTTGATGATGACGAAGAAGAAAACAGAAACAAAAAGACCATCCCACAAAATATGTTTGGTTTATTAAGCACCGATGTAGAAGAATAGATGAAAAGTTTATAGAGCATTGTACATTACATAAAATGAGTTATCGATGAAGAATACATAAATAAATTTTTTTTGTTTTTCTAAACAAGATTCTCAATTAAATACTACTCCAATGTATATACATTTTAATAAGTGTAGCCTATAAAAGTTTCTATAGAGGAATGCTTGATATAAGGTAATGTTAGTTTCGTATACTACGTCGGACTTTTATTTCTTAAAAGTATTGTCCTTAGTCTTGGAAACCCCAAACATAACAAACTAAATAAGTTTGGTTTTATCTTCCGGCAATTTTCAATACCATTTATACGACGTATTTCAGATATATTCTCATTATCTGGATCCTGATTTTCTATCTCGTATTTAATTGCTATAGGATTTCCTCTTAGATCTATCAAAAATAATTTGTTGGTTGGTACAGTACTAAGGATATTATGACAACTGACAAGGTTATTGTTCGGTAAGTATAATTCTTCTAAATTTGGAAGAAGTGAACTAAAGTTACTTGGAAGTTGTTGTAAATCACTTATGCGTTCAAGTTTGAGAATTTTCAAAGTATTGGGAAATATATTCCATTTCGGTAAATGTTCCTGGAAGCAATCTGATATTTCTAAAGAGGTAACAGTTTCAGGTATTCCAGGCCATTTATTCATATCACGAAAGCCATCGGTTTTAAAGGTTTCTAGAAAGGGGAAAGGAAGTTCATGTCCATTTAAACTCATAATTGCTTTTAATTTATAAGAAGTATCCCTCAGCAGCAATCGTTTAATATTAGATATTTGTTTTGTAAGTTCACTTAAAGAGTGTATTGGATTTCCATTTAGATTTATTTCCTTCAAATTTGGAAGTAATGAAATATTTTTAACTTCTGTGATCTTGTTATATGATAAATTCAAAATTTCAATGGTGAACCAACCTTTATAATGGAACGAATTTGAATTTTGTTTTTGAGTTAAATTGCTAAAAACAATTTTCTTGAAATCTATAATACCAGTAATCTCATTATGAGATAGATCTAATTCAATTAATGGTAACCACGAATCATATATACCTTCTAAAGACCTAATTTTATTGTGTGACAAATTGACGGAGCGTAAATGAAGACATGCTTTTAATAGAGTTAAATCAGGTCCAATATTATTATCAGAAATATTTAGGTGTTCAAGGTGAGTTAACTCAGCCAACCTACATCCTTCAGAACTGATGTTATTATGAGAACAATTACAAATAGTTGTGTTATTCGGTAGACCAATAAGCGATGTGATATTATTTGAACTTATATTACAGTTAATAACATTCGGCACAATATGTTTTAATCCACTTACATCTTCTAATGATTCATTTTCGATAGTGATTGTAAAAATTTTATTTCCAGTGACATCTTCACCTACATCTTGGAATATCAATGATCTTAATTTTAAATTAGAAGATTCATTTACTACAGGTATAAAATCCATATTGGTCCTTTCTGAAGATATTGAACTAAAATAAGATGGAGTCTCGGAAGTATACCTTTTACTGCTTCTATCTTCTGAATCATACAATCTGCAGTCTTCACTAAGGCTGCTATCCCCATTATGAGATGTCATAGTAGAAAATGTCATTACATTTGATTCCCCATTATCGGTAGTATACGAATTTTCTGATGATGCTGTAGTGGAGGTAAAATTTGAAGTAGTCAGTGCCCGAGTTTGGTAATCTGGGGGATAATTCTTTGAGGGATACTTCATATTTGAATTGCCACAATAATTTCTGATTCCACTTAATGGTTCCCTATTATTACTGTTATTATTATTTTGATTCATCATGTATGTTGAATTTATCTTCGAGAGTGGGATATAATCTCTACAATCAGGGGTTTGATTTCCTTGATATGAAGGATAATATCTACTTGGGTTAAGATTCCTAAGTTGTTCATAATTATTAAAACTATTACCAAAATTATATCGCATTTCTTCCTTAAGATTCATTGGATGTTCTTCATCTCTAAAATTTCTCATCATATGGAAGTAGAGAAAACCACACCTTCTTCTTCCTCGATTAATGTTTTATTTTCAGAAATATTCACCAGCTAAAATGATTCTATTCAACTGAATTGATCATACAGTTGGTTGAGTTCTTGAATAGTCCTGTATCTATTGGTGAATAAATCCTTTATCAAAAAGAAGAAAAAAAAGAGGGTGTATTAATGAATATGTTTAACGATAAATTTATCTAAACACAACTAGAAGTCTTTACTAGATTATCAATCGAATTACCATTCAACTTAATTTAACACAATAAATTCTAGTTGATAAAATTAGGAGTTCACTTTCATTTAATACTTCTCTCCAATTAGATTGGCTAATGGACAAAATTTTGTGGAGCTCTCCACCATTAAGAAAATGTGTGTGTGTCTCTCTCTCTCCATTGCCTGTCTGTCACCCGCGCCGTCATATAGGGAAAGGGCTGAAAGCATCTCCGGTTAATTCCCTTTTTTTAATATGATTAACTTATAAATAAGAATATTCTGTTGAATATTGGAAGATCAATGTATCTGATGGGACATCATCCATTTCAAGATACTACTGTATACTATTAGAATACACTGGTAAATATTGCTTACTGTGATTTAATTAGTGGTTTTACCGTTTGATATAAAATCATATAATACTTTGAAATATTACCACCGAGATCGGCTAAAGTAAGGAGAAGCATAATAAAATAATGTCAGATGAGTTTGAAAATTCGAAAAGTTCTCACAAGATTATACCATATATATCAAACTATTACAATATTATAGAAGTCTTAAGACAATTAGAGAATGAAAATCATCATGTAAAGAAAATACATGGTTCATTAAAGTCCGAAAATGAGAAACTACTAAAGAGGTACTACGAAACTTACACTCCGTTATCACCAAATACAGTTGTTATTGATAGTGATAACTACAAAATATCAGAAGGTAATGATCCATATGGAATGGAAATAATTGAGAAAATTATTAATAACCCTAAGGTACCAATTAATAATAATGAGGTTTATGATAAAGAAAGAACAGGGATACAAGCTAATATGTTATCTGTTAATTCAACAGAAATGTATACTAGATTTTATGAGAAATTGAATTTTACTACAATTAGAGGTTGGGATATAGTGAAGAATCATTTATTGTGGATTCCATCTTACCACACAGAATTCAGAGATATACTATTGTATAATAAAAGAAATGAGATATATGACCCGAATAAGAAAACATCTGCAATGTCCATAGATGGAGAAGATTATATTCCCAAGGCATTTGATTCTTATTATGGCAGTTGTTCAATTCCATCAGTATTTGGTAAAAGTAAATTACCCTCATTAGTATACCATTCTGCAGTTTCAATAGGGGAGGAGGTATATATTCTAGGCGGTATGATACCAAGTTATAGATACGACGAAGAGAGCCCTAATTTAGACAACTTTGAAGTAATCGGTATCCCAGATTTACCTCCACCCTTTTTACCCCAAATTGTAAATAATCCGGCATTTTTCAGTAATCCATTCTTATTTGTAATTAATGCTCTAACTTCAAGTGTCAGGATGCATAAGTTCGGAGGTGATATTCCACCACCCATGATTGGTATGTCAGGAACACTTTTAACAGACCGATACATATTCTTTTACGGAGGATTAGAAATTAGAACAGAGACATCTTATTCTGAGATTACACATAAAACTGTGATTCGAAAGAGAGGAGTATTTTGTGATGTTGGGTTTATCTTAGATACAGTAAAATTACATTTTACAAAGATTAAAATTGGTCTTCAGCAATTTAGAAATCAAAATTTTTGTCAAGTGTATCCACGATTTGGTCATTTACAAATTTCAATTAGAGATGAAGATATGTCTAATAACGTTTCGCCAAGATGTAATCGTCAGGTTCCACATTACGACCGTTCGAAAGACGACCTTCCGACCACAGAACATTACAATATAATTCCTGGATTTAAAGATTTTCAAACCAAATCAAATGATAGCCAATCATCCTTGGCAGAATCAAATGGTACCTCTGATAATAATTCCGGCCCAGATTACATTTTCGCCGACACAACTTATATATTTGGTGGTTACAGGAGAGAGGGGAAGACAAGGTATCAAGCACTGAACGACATGTGGAAGATTCAAATTCCAATACATTACAGAGGAAAACGTGGATTATGTATATTTGGAGACAGTGCATATGCTACCTGTATAAATAATGCGACTTCGGACACTAAACAATTCCAAAAGCCAATAGTTGGCGCAGAAATACCATCTGAAAGAGCATTTATGTCATATTGCATCTATAATGATAAACCAGGTTCAGATTATACAAATTTTGAAGTAGATCTATTACAAAATCTTCATAATAATTTTAAAATATCACTTAGTAAACAAATGACTAAAAAAATTCTCCATGTCGATATTCATGATAATCCGAAGGGTGAAAATCAAGACAATGAATCACAATCAATGCCATCCTCCGAATTTTATACTAATCGTCCACCAATATCAAGGGCTCGTCATAAAACTCTCGTTATGCACGGTGGATCTGATATGTATGATGTTTGTGATGATATGTGGTGGTTTGATTTGGAAACTGAAACATGGGAAAAAGTTGACACATATATGAATGTGGAACAGAATATAAAGAAACCATATCGTGCTCCCCAACCTTTACATCTAAAACGTGTTGGGCATATCATGCAAAATATTGGTACCTTGGTTAGTATGGGAGGTGGTATGTTACAATCTGATGTTGATATTCTATACAAGACCTCGAAATCCAAGGATTCTGAAAGTCGTATTCCAACGCAAGGTGTTCCTATTGGTTCTCATGTATTTACAACAATCGATATACGAACTCAATTTGTTATCAATAGGAAAGTAACATTCGCTCCTTCTGATACAAAATTTGAAGTTCCATTAACAAATACTGATCCTAAAGCAATACATGGGTTAATGATGATAGCTGGTTGTACTATAGAAAAAGCAGCAGGAAAATATGTTATGATTGGTGGAGTCACCTCTAGGCGTTCTAATATCAATGATCTGTATTTAAGAGGTGTTTTACTATATATCACCGTTCCAGCGGTTACTCTTTTTGGTTGAAAATTTGTTTGTATGTATAACTATGTAAGTGAAAATGCTTTAATATAATAAGTTTGCTTAATAAAAATTTGATTTAGAATTAAAATATTATTTTATATTGGCGGCTCTTTGTTTTCTTTTAAAAAACAATATTTAGCGCTTAAATAAATAATAAATACGAATATTATTTTAAATACATTAAAAGTATAGATAAATTAATAAAAAAGGAAAGCTTGGTTGTTTTCATCAAAAATAAAGTAAAAATATGGTAATGGCAAATAAGAATATTAAAATGAAAAGAAAAGGTAAATTAAAAAAGATAAGAATTAAAATTAAATCATAATTTGACGGAGTCAATCAAGTGTCTGACAATGCCTGGGTTGGATAGAGTAGTGACATCACCTAATTGATCTGATTCGCCAGCCAGGATCTTTCTTAGAATACGTCTCATGATCTTACCGGATCTTGTCTTTGGTAAATCATCAACTAAAACAATCAATTTTGGAGCTGCAAAAGGACCAATATCCTTTCTAACAGTTAGAATCAAGTGTTTCTTAATGTCCTGTAATTCTTCTTCAGAGGCACTACTCCAACTAGTTTTATTCTTTAAAACAACAAAGGCGGCAACAGCTTGACCAGTCAAGTCATCATTGAATCCAACCACAGCACATTCAGCTACAATTGAATCTTCAATCAATGCAGCTTCGATTTCTGCGGTAGATAAACGATGGCCCGAAACGTTAACGACATCATCAACACGGCCTAAAATCCAAATGTAACCATCTTTATCTCTTGCGGCACCATCACCAGTGAAATAATAACCAGGGTATGGGTTCAAATAAGTATCTAAGAATCTATCATGATTTTTCCAAATAGTTCTTGCAAATGAAGGCCAAGCACGTCTAATTGCAAGGACACCTTCAGCATGTGGAGTAGTGATTTCTTCACCAGTTGATGGATCTAAGATAACAGCATCAATACCAAAAAAAGGGAAAGATGCAGAACCAGGTTTCATTGGAGTGACACCGCCTGCCATTGGAGTAACCAAATGACTACCAGATTCTGTTTGCCAATAAGTATCAACAATTGGAATATCATTTCTACCAATCTTTTCAGAATACCATTCCCAAACTTCTGCAGCAATTGGTTCACCGACAGAACCTAAAGATCTTAAAGAATCCAACTTATATGGTTCAATAAATTCATCACCAGCTCTTTTCAATAGACGTAAAGCAGTTGGTGCTACATAAAATTGAGTAACTTTATGTTGATCGATGATATCCCAATAACGAGAGAAGTTTGGATAAGCTGGAGTACCTTCAAAGATAACAGAGGTACAACCATAAGACAAAGGACCATAAACGACATATGTATGACCTGTAATCCAACCAATATCACCTGCAGTGAAAAAGACATCTTCTTGGTGAGTATCGAAAGTGTAACGCATCGTCAATAAAGCATTTAGCAAATACCCTGCAGTTGAATGTTGAACACCCTTTGGAGTACCAGTAGAACCAGAAGTATATAATAAAAACAATGGATGTTCAGAATCAACAGGCTCACATGGGAAGTAAGTTTTATATTTTTTAACTTCAGTATCCCAATCCAAATCCTTTTCATAATAAGCCATATTAGCGTTATTAGTACGTTTATAAACTAAGACGTTAGTCACTTGAGGAGTTTCTTTTAAAGCATCATCAACGATACGTTTAGTTTCAATAATTTTACCACCTCTTAAAGATTCATCTGTAGTGATGACCACTTTTGAATTAGCATCATTAATACGATCTCTTAAAGAATTTGATGAAAATCCTGCAAAGACAACAGAATGAATAGCACCAATTCTTGAAATAGCTAATAAAGTAATAATAGCTTGTGGAATCATTGGCATATAAACAGCAACAGTATCACCTTTTTGAACGTTCATAGAATATTTTAAAACTTGAGCAACTTGACAAACTTTTTCTAATAATTCTTTGTAAGTAATATTAATTGATTGACCCGGTTCATCAGCTTCATAAATTAAAGCAACTTTTTCTGGAGTTTTTAAAGCATGTCTATCAACACAATTATAACATGCATTGATTGTACCATTTAAAAACCAAGCATTATTTTCAAAAGATGGTAATTTTGTCACTGGATCAGGCATAAAGACTTGATCAAAATCATTAAACCAATTTAAAAATTGATGAGCTTTTTCTTTATAAAAAGTTTCAGGATCTTCAATTGATTGTTTATGTAAATTTTTATAATCTTGAAAATCAGAAATATGTGGAGAGTAATGATTTTTTAAAGATGGTTGTAATCTTTGATCAATTGGTTTTTGTTGAACAATTTTAACGTTGGTTAAATGTTCATATTCATTATTTTTTGAATTTTCATTTTTTAAATCTTCAATAGCAGTATTAGTTTCATTATTGTTTGTAGAATTTTCTACAATAGTTGAGGGAGACATATTTGTTTGTTATTAGTTTGTATATTTATATATATGCATATAATGAACAAGAATAAATAATAAGAATATAATTGAGGGAGAGAGAAAAAATGAAACGACAGATAATAAATAAAATATAAAAAGAGCATTTAATAGACTATTTATACCTATGATTCTTTTTAATTTGACATTTTATCCTTTTGTTAGAAAAAACGTTATCATGAGCAGTTTACTCGAAACTCCATTTATTCTTCCGTCTGGCCGTCGATTCAAGACACCAAAATTGATTGCTGTTTGTTGGAGTAATCTGTGTATCTTACCCCAACAAATGGCAATAATGATAGTAACAGTTGAAGTTGGTTAGCCGCCCAGTACTAGTACAAATACCAATATTAGTATTAGTATCATTACCCCGCAAAAAATATCTGGTGCCAGCAAGGAATAATAACGAATTATTGGGGTAAATAAGGCTCTTTGTACTGCATTACAGAGAATAATCGTGATGTTTACTAAGAGCCAAAAGAGAGTCACACTTTTTTCTGTTTCACCTCCAGTCTGTGTGCTGAAGTGGGGAAATTCACATTCAGATAGAAATGGAAAATTTGTGAGGAGTTCAACAAATTATTGCTAACGATGATAGTGATAGTGAGCGCCGTTCGTCTCAGAAAAAATTGTAATTCTTGGTCACGGGAACAACCCCTGTGTTGCTGTTGTTGTTGTTATTTTAGTAGGAGGGAACCAGAGAGAGCCTGCCCCGTGAGGTTCATATCCTAATTGGGAAATGAAAATGCAAGAGAAAAGCGAAAAAAAGATGGCTGGTGGTGGGGCGCGTACTCATTTGATTCAATACCACTGTATGAAGAATATTTGCATAGTGAATTTCAGATAGATGCGCCCCGTTACCCTTTTATTTCTCTCTTTCTACCTTCCCTGTAGTTGGGATACTTACTGGTTGGTTTTTTCCCAATTTGAATTTAATTTGGATTTGGATTTGATGAATTTTTTTTTTTTTAGTTTCATGGGTTTTAAAAATAGATCAACTTAGACAATGTTTAACAAATCATTTCAAAATACATGATTAACTGTTAATACATTTGATATACATATATATATATATATGTATATATGCTGTTATTGTTAATTTAGGTGTATCAATATATAGATTTGAATTAATATAACAGAACAGACTATTTCAAATATTTGACATTACTTTTTTTATCGTTTTTTTCAAGATATAGATCGTGTGCTTTTTATTTTTCACCGGTTTTGCTCGTATTAAAATAATTTAATTAATAGAAAACAAAACAGTGATTCTAAGCCATTTATTTTATAATATTACGTCACCTATAGCTACACATCCTCACACTCACATTCACATTCACATACTCACCTTCATTATTATTTGCATACACTCACAGATTTGAATCATGTTATATCGAATCATACATTATATTGTGCTCGTAATAACAATATGTTCATCAATAACATCAGTTACTGATGCAAAGAATTCTACAACCACCTCAAGTTCAAAACATATACAAACCAACTCATTATTGACATGTATGGATAATTCACAATTTACTTCATCATATTTTGATGTCAGATTTTATCCTGATAATAATACTGTGGTATTCAAGATCGATGCCACTACAACGATTAATCAAAAGATTATCGTTCAAGCTGAAGTGCTTACGTATGGATTAAAAGTAATCAATAAAGAATTCGATCCTTGTTCTTTAGATCAAGAAGCTTTATGTCCTTTAAGTCCCGGAAGAATAGATGTCTCATCATCTTATCAATTGGATACCGACGTTACAAATCAAATTCCTGGTATTGCTTATACTGTTCCGGATTTAGATGCTCAAGTGAGAGTCGTTGTTTATTCGATTAATGATACTGAGTTTAAGACTCCTTTGGCTTGTGTTCAAGCCATTTTATCTAATGGCAAGACTGTTCAAACTAAATATGCTTCATGGCCTATTGCGGCCGTCTCTGGTGCAGGTGTTCTGACTTCAGGTTTTGTCTCTGTCATTGGTTATAGTGCTACTGCAACTCATATTGCTTCTAATTCTATCTCGTTATTCATTTATTTTCAAAACTTGGCTATTACTGCAATGATGGGTGTCTCTAGAGTCCCACCAATTGCTGCTGCTTGGACTCAAAATTTTCAATGGTCAATGGGGATTATTAATGAAAAATTCATGCAAAATATTTTTAATTGGTATGTTCAAGCTACAAAAGGTACATCAACAGTCGTGGTAGCTAATAAAGATGTATTATCTATTAGTGTTCAAAAAAAAAGAAGAGATTTACAAAATTGGATGATGAAGAGTGACGCTTATAATTGGTTGAAAAAAAGATCAATTAGTGTTGCATCCGCAAGTGATTATAACTTCGATGATATTTTGGATGATTCAACACTTTATACTACTAATGAAAGAAATAGCACAGATTATGCAAATAAAATTTTAGTATTAAGAGGTATTCCACGTGTCTCTTATTTAGCTGGGATTGAAATTTCTAATTTTTTCTTAACAGGCGTTGTATTTTTCCTATTCTTTTTATTCGTGGTTGTCTTCGGATTAATTTTCTTCAAATCATTATTAGAACTATTAGTAAAGACTAATGTTATGTCAGAAAGTTCGAATTTCTTTCAATATAGAAAAAATTGGGGATCTATCATTAAAGGTACGTTGTATAGGTTAGCCATTATTGCATTCCCACAAATTACATTATTATGTATTTATGAATTTACTCAAAATGATTCACCTGCAGTTATGGCAGATGCTGTAATAATTTTAATTATTATCGTTTGTTTATTAATCTATGGCTGTACAAGAGTTATGTTAAAAGGTGGAGAATCATTAAGATTGTATAAGAATCCTGCTTATTTGTTATATGGTGATACACAATTTTTAAACAGATATGGTTTCCTTTATGCTCAATTTAAAGCTGATAGATATTGGTGGGTTTTACCATTACTATTATATTCTTTCTTTAGATCTTTATTTGTTGCAGTCTTACAAGAACAAGGTAAAGCACAAGCTATGATAATTTTTATTATTGAATTAGCATATTTTGGTTGTTTATGTTGGATACGTCCTTATTTGGATAAAAGAACAAATATTTTTAATATTGCAATCCATTTAGTCAATTTGATTAATGCCTTTTTCTTTTTGTTCTTCAGTAATTTATTCAAGCAACCTGCTGTTGTTTCTTCAGTGATGGCAGTGATTCTATTTGTTTTAAATGCTGTCTTTGCATTATTTTTGTTAATATTCACCATTGTGACATGTTCGTTGGCATTAGTCTATAGAAACCCAGATGTTCGTTATCAACCAATGAAGGATGATCGTGTGTCCTTCATTCCAAAAGTACAAATTGGAGGTGAAAGTACAATGGATCTTAACGATAAAAATGATGCAGAGTTATTTGAATTAAGACAAGCTGTAATGGATACAAATGAAACTGATCAAGAGAAACTATTACGTGAGAAAAGATTTAGCGGGAAACCTCAAATCTTATTTGATAGTAATAATGATTATGATGGAGAATCTTCTTTATCCTTAAACAATACAGTGACTAGAAATAGATCGAACAGTAGTAATATCGATTTACAACCAACACAAGCGATGTCACCTTTGTTTAACAATACTAATAGTGCCAACACTAATCCCATAACAAATTCACATAATGGGTTTTTAAGAACTCCAGGGGATAATAGGAATACAAATAATAATTTAAAGAAACCAGAGACTAGTTTCTATGGTAGTGGGCCAACACATTCATATTCTAGAGATTTCCTATGATATCTATATTCGGTAGGAAATAAATAACACTAAGACATTGTAACAAAAAAAAAACATAATAATTGTGATACAACATGGTTAGAGGAAACGCATTCGGTATCTCATGCGTTTTTACGTTTATACATATTTATATATTATACACAAGTACATTTAATAATAGATAAAATACCATTAACATTTAATAAGGTAATGTCTATACGTATTTGATTATCATCGATGGTAATAACTGTAGTGTATATGATATTATAGGATTCTAACAATATTGCTTACTATGGCAGTTTTAGGAATCTCTTAACAGGCAATAATAAGAATAAAAAAATAATAATAAGGCCGGCATCGCGGTGGGATGCTGACAAAGGAAAGGCGGTTTATATAAATATGTCTCAAGAATGTAGCATTTGAAACGAATGACAACAAAGACAAAAGAAGGCCGACAATGGTAATTCGAAACATAATGAATCTTTGTTGTTGTTTTCAAACATGTTGAAGTATAGATGTCTCAAACATTACGTTTGAAACATATATTTTATACGGACGACTAGATGAAATTATAATTACTAATAAGTCTATATGATTTTTAAAATGTCAGAAAATGAATCAATTAAAGGATAGATGATGGTGTTATTTTTATTCTTTTTCATCTTATCTATCTATCTCTATAATATTAATGTAAGGTTCTCAATAGCATTGGAAAATATATATTTTTATCCTATTAATTCAAACTATTATATCGATCAATATCTGAAGCCATCGGGTAAGTACTATAAAACCCGATGCCTTAAGCAGAGAAAACGATCGAAATAAACTTAGAGACGAATAACGAAGAATGGGAAAATATTCATGTTCCGATGAGCACTATGCTGAAAGAGAAATAAGAAAAAGAGAGAGACCAGCGTAGAAGCAAGAGATTCTGACTTTGTATTGTTGTTGTTCTATTGACGGTAAAGCTGCTAAAATATCTGGAGACAATAATAATGACAAAAGTTTTGCCTAGGTTTGTTTCTAGGGGTGGACTGATGTATAGCATCAACGATTACTTAATTGATATATTTTAATGGTATAAGCACAAAGGGACAATACAACGTCAAAGAACAGTCTCCGATCAAATAGATTTTTTCATGTTTTATTTATCTCTCACATTCTACTAGATATGAGAGATAAATCTGTGATTGCTAGCAATGAATAGCAATAAATGGCAAGCAATGGCAAGCAATCAGTGGGAAAGAAAAGCACATCCAGTTTAATAGTTGTTTTTATTATTTATAAATCGTTTCCATTGTTTAACGTAGTAAATAATATACAGATCCATACCGTTGTTAATAGTTAAATAATTTGTTTTTTTGCAATTAAGGTTAAGATTAAGTAGTAATCACTTATAATTACTATATATCTATATATCTATCTATTGTAGCACATCGACCTAAGAGTAACTTAAAAAGAAAAAAATAGCGGGACTTTATTTTTTTTGACGGTTGAAAAGATCAGAAATGTATTATATATATTTATATATCCCTCTAATTCTCTCCCTGCAGTTTTAAATGGATTTAAATACGCTTACCTTTATTCAAATCATCTGAATATACATTTTTCTCATATATTGGTGTCATTCATTATCAATGTCATCGAATATGTTATATCTCTCCTTCATTACTGTCTTCGATTATAAGATGTACATTTTGAAAATATTTATGCTAAGTTTTCAATATAATACTGGGGTTTGTTTACATTTTTATATTAGAATTACACTTCGAATATAAAGAAGAACATCGATTTTTTTATGTAAGCAATATTCGTTGTCCTGTAGTTACTACGTTAAAAGAAAAACAAGATGTTTTTTTAATTTTGCGTATACTCTTCGTTTTTATTTGATTGCAAAAAACAAACAAATATACATTACAATTGTGAACTTTATATTCTAAGAAGTCATGTTCTTTATTCTTGTTCTTTATGAGTACATGTTTATATATACATATCTTATATTGGTTATTTCCGAATTTTAATTTATTTACTTTATTATGTGATTATTACCAGATATACTTACTTCCATTTTACGGTCTATGGGCAATATCTTCCGTTTTTCTCTCTCTGTTTATTCCTTCAATTACTTTTTTTTTCACTATTTAATATCCTGCAGCTGTTATTTACCGGAAAGATTTTCTTCCCTATTTCCCTTTAAGCGAAACGAAATAAAATGAGGTGAAATTTACATATATATTTATATATATATATATATATATATATCTACTAAAGCATTTAGAACTTAACGATGATGTATTTTTTTGTAATTACTCAATGTAGAAAAGAAATCTGGTAATCTGTGATACATTTACACATACATATATATATCTATCTATATAAGTTCATTGGTTTTGGTTTGGTTTGATTTGGTTTATTTTTGAGAAATAAATTAAAACTTTAACTTTTCATTTGCCTTTCAAAGAAAAAATTATATTACTTGATCTATTTAATATTATAGGATATTCAATTAGGGTTTTTAGTTGTTACTAAACGGATTAATAAAGTGGACTTCATATTTGTCTTATTAAAAAAAAATGGATAAGTTGAAATTACATATAGATTCAAATCTGCTTAATAATGAGATTGACAATGAAAATAATTCAGAGTCAGGAGATTCTCATGATTCTGATCATAATGGTATTAAAAAAAGAAATAGAATATCATTTGTTTGTCAAACATGTAGAAAATCAAAGACTAAATGTGATCGTGAAAAACCTGAATGTGGTAGATGTAAGAAAATGGGCATTAAATGTATATATGATGTATCAAAACAAGTTCCACCAAGGATACCAAGTAAAGATGCTACAATTGCAAGATTACAAAAGGATGTTAATTATTGGAAGGATAAAGCAATGAGGTTGATGAATGAACAAGGTATAGATAGCACAGATCAAATAGATAATGAATTGCTTCAATCCACGACAAATGATCTAGAAAATTCGAAGAATGATTCTTCCTCATCGAATAATAATGATAATAATAGTAATAATGATAGAAAGAGATCATTATCAATATCAGTAGATCCAAACGTTAAAAGATCACACACTAGAAGATTAAAAGATATTCAGATTAACCTTTATAAGAATCATTCAACTTTGATTTTCAGTAAAGTTATGAAACAAGACGTTAAGCCATTATCTGAGAATTTCGTCATCATTCAAGATAAATTTGTTTCATCTTTAATTGCATCAGTGTTTATTCATCCATCAAGATATTCAATGATCCCTGCATTGACTGCAAATGCAAATATCTCTAGAGCTCAACCTAGTGTACGAAGTAATATAGTCAAATTGAAGGAAATCTTAATGAATAAATATAAAGATCCTTTCCAAAGATCTAAAATTAATGAATTTACCGATAGAATCCTACAGAGTGCTAATTCTTCAAGAAATTTGAAAATTGGTATGATTTTATCAATGCTTTATAATACTGTGGGACATGAATACCTTGAAGATCATTGTTTAAAACCGGGTGAATATTCAGATCTACTGCAGAATTTTATTACAGAGTTTGAAAAAATTTTACCTCCAAAAGAAATTGTCGATAGATATAAAGCTCATTTTTATGAATATGTTCATCCAAATTTACCATTCTTAGATATTGATATGTTTGAAGAAACTATATCAGAGACTGTGATAAGAGATCCAAATGATGACACTAAGATCAAAATTAATCTAGGGAATACTCATTTACGTTATAAACTAGAAAATTTGAGTATTTTGTTAGTGTTAATAAAATTATCCTATATCTCTTACAGTTTTTGTGATGTAGAGGTTAGAGGTTTCCCAAGTCAATATTTGAGTAATGATATAGTGAACAGTTACCCAGTGAGTAACGACGTTATTTTATTGGCTCAGCGATGCTTAGCCTCTGAGAATTGGTGTGCTTGCACTAATGAAAATATTATTACATGTTTGCTTTATATTTGGTCATTTTTTGCATTCTCGCCAGAAGAAGGTGACTTCTTTTTGGAACACCCAACAGATGTCATCAGTAGTCTGATTATGATGCTGTCAACATCCATTGGACTTCATAGAGATCCATATGACTTTCCACAATTAAGAGATCAAAGTTTGTCCGATAAAAGAATATTGAATCAAAGAAGATTATTATGGATTTCCGTAGTTGGGGTTTGTTCATTTGAGTCCACTTTGAAAGGTAGACATCCAATCTTATCAATGGACTTGGTATCTTCATTCATGGATATTAGAAGTCCTGATTTTTCAAAAAATTATATTGAGAGAGTAAGGAAGGACCTTGATTATGATTTCCTTAGAAAATGTACAAATAACAATGAAGAATTGTTAAAGAATAAAGTTCATCGAATTCTGTCAATTCATGAATTCACTTTAATAAGAGCTCAATTCTCGATTCTTCTTTCAGATTTAGATAATTTGACATTATCGTACAATAATTCGTTTTCTTTGGAATGTATTGAATTATCAAGAGAAAAAATTGAAAACTTTATTGAGGAAAGTTTGCCATTAATTGATTTCAGAGAAATTTCAACTGAGTCTGTGAATAAAAATCATGAGCCGAACAATATAGATTCTGATCCATCAAATATACCTTTATCAAGAGAGGAACAAGAAAGGAGGTATATCGAAAAATTGAACTTTTATTCTTTTAAAAACTCAAATGCTTTACAAACAAGATTAATGAATATGTTAATGATGTTAAGAACTAGTGAAGCTATTTTCTTGCATTTCGAATTAAAAGTTGGAGAAGATAAAGAAAAATATTTCCCTTATTATTACGAGTATCTAGTAAGATCATGTAAGGACTCCCTCACATTAATTAAAATGTTCAACGATTTTTTCACTGATAAATACAAACATTATTTATTGCCTTCATCATATTATAATGTCAGGAAAATTTTACAGTTGGCATTACCTACAACCATTTTCAGCACCCTCGGTATTATTCTTAGAGTTAATTTGGCATGCAATGAGTTATATGCTAAATGTCAAGAAATGACAAATGCCAAAACGTTATATGATACTGATTTATTCAGAGAATTAAACAGAAAATTGGAAGTAATCAGTATTCTGCAGAAAGATTTAGAAATGGCTATTGAGTTTATTTACATTTTTTCTTCTGAAAATTTGAGATTTAGATATTTTTCAGTTTTCAAAATGTTTGCATTGTTTGATGTCATTGTTCAAAGAATGAGGAAAGGTGAATTATGGCAAGGGATACTGAAATTACCAAATGCGGATAACTTACACTCAAAAATTGTAAAGACCTTAAGGATGACCCTGGGTGTTGAATTGAACAAAAAACAACAATTGATTCAAGAATTGGATAAGAGAAATCACATTGGAGAAATTCCATTGGATGATTTAGTAGAATTATGCAAAACTGTGAAAGAGATATACAATGTAATTCCAAGACCTCCCCAGGAAGAGGTTGATCATCAAGCTACCAAGGTTAAAAAAGAGGACGAAACAAATTCCATGAACGTCGGTGTTTCAAATGAAACAAAAATATCTGACTTCCAGATGGGGAATGATAAAAATGTCATTCCAGGAGAAAGATCCCACTCACCTTACTCTAAAATTCCAACCTCAGATAATCTGCATATGCTTTCTTCTGCGGCAAGTATTTCTAATAGTTTGAATATCGATCCTAGTACATTTGATCAAAAGAGCACAAATTTTAATAACACGCCCAATAATAATGGAATTATTCAAAATGGTTCTAGCTCTGAGATGAACAAAGATAAGAGCGACACCCCTTCGCAATCTAATAATAGTCTTGCAAGTCAATTTGTTCAAAGTACCAAAGGTCCATCTGTAAATGGAAACTATGAATTTTCCGGTTTTCTGGGAGGTTTAGATTTATTTGATTATGATTTCCTATTTGGAAGTGACATATCTTAGTTTTTTTTTGTAATCCACACACACATCATATAAATTATATATTCAATAATAGAAAGATACAACAAAGAGAAGAGGATACTTCAAAAGAAATCTCGCAAATACTGTATATTCTGGATCATCAATTAAAAGATATTTGAGACAGTGTTAGAATATGTAATGAAACTTATATACAAGGAAACGTTACTATAATATGGTTTATCGATGATCACTAGCCTTAAAAAGCTTCACCAGTGTAAATGCCAATAGAGTCACAAATCCCACACTAGAACCGAGTACAACTGCTGTTTGCATATAGTCAGAATCTTCTACGCTCATTTCTTCAGGAAACCCAGCAGTACATTCTTCTGGTTTTAATGCCGTTTCAGTTATTTTGATAAACAACTCATTAAGAGAGCTCAACCACAATGATGAAACATGCAATGGATGATCTAGGTATAATTGTTCGCAAAAGTCATCTGGTTGGAAGCTACATCTCTGCTGCTGCTTGTCCAAATCTGCTTTTAATGCTACAAATACGATCGGAATTGACTTTATATATTTATTGTATTTCTTGAATAGATCAATAATATAGGAAAATGATTCTGGATCACTAGAATCGTACGTTAAGCATAAAACATCACATTCCTTCAATTTTCTTTTATCTTTTAAAATATTTGTTTCATCTAACTCGTTGAACTCTTGCAGAATTAAATAATATTGTTTCCCACCTTTTAATTCTAAACTATTGACAGCTATCCTAGGTTTAGTTGTAGGAGTGTATAGTGTGGAATATATTCGGCCTAAAAAGGAATCTAATAATGAGGTCTTACCACACTTTTGTTTCCCAATTATCAGACAGTTAAAAACTTTTCTGTCGGTAACTCTGGTTCTATAAAATTTCCCAGATCGCCGCCTAAATCTTCTAGCCTTGGTGATTTGCAATGCCATTCTAGTATCCCCTTCATAACCAAGCCATATTAAATATTCAGTGGTAATTGAATAATTAAGGAATGTCGTCATACTCCATTGGGCTAGCCAACCTTGTAATGTAATAGAGCCCCTATTATTCACAACACTGGATAAAGGAAAATCTGTCTGAGACCACAGCTTCGGTAAACCAGGAGTGCATTGAAACATGGATATAAGTTCTTCATCATTCAAACCACCATCATTGTCCTTGTCATATTTCAGAAATAAGTCTACCAGAAATCTATATCCTTTCGGGCTTAATTCTACACTCGAAGTATCAGGAATATTGAGTCTGGGATGTAATATCATATCGTCCAAAGATAAAGAATCAGTGTATCGGAACTCACGTAGCATACCCCATATCGTCTCATGTCTTCCTTTCTCAGCATAAATTTTGTTCAACTTTAGAAATCCTTCCTTAGTAATACCTTTTCCTTCAACATAAAATGGATTTTGGTACGACAAACTAGATGATTTTAAATCTAATAATGTGTCTTTTATAAATTCCAATTCATTTATATCAATACTTTTATTGAAGCATTTCTTTTGTAAAGCCAGCATCTCTTCATCATTCAGATAATTATCCTGATCATTGTCACTCAGTAGAAATATCCTCTCCAGGGCCTCTCGTGCCAAAGGTTTTAGCTGGCCAAGACGAGCATCAAACAGAGGCACAATTGGGTAGGTAATTGACCTTTGGCATAGGTAAAATGCCTGGTTTATATTATACTTGGTTAACGCACTTACCTTGACGCAAGTATCAACCTCTTTGAATTCCATTAAAATAGGAATAAACTCTTCATCTTCCACTTTTGTATCTACATTAATATTAGCTTGATTATCCATATTATAGACATTGTTAAATCGATCACATTTATTTTTACAGAGAATCACAGGAATATTTAACCCTAACGATCTAAAGAGCATCATCCAATATAATGATATTTTTTCGTATGATTCATGGTCAGAATATACTAGCCATATAACATCGGCAGACTTCAACTGTAAGTGTAATTGGGTGATATCTTCATTGTTTGTATCAATTAAAATGGTACCCTTTGGAGAGTAAGGATTCGAGGAAAAGTCACGATTAATTGTAACAGGTGGTAGAACATCCTGAAGATTAGGCACGAATCTGTCTTTCATAAGAGTGACAATCAAGCTGGTTTTACCAACTTTATCATCACCACAGACCACAACTTTAACTGTTCCCTTTGTCATATGAAGATAGTTTACAGTGTTGATTGATATAGTGGCCAACCATGGATTGTTCGATTTCCTTCTCCTTTATATCTTTTTATTTTAAACTTTTCAAATTAGGCAGTTCGGAATTCTAGAAACTTCCGAGTTTAATGTTTTGTAAAAAGAGTTGCAAGTGAGAGCTGATCATTAACACAAATTTATGAAAATGATCTAATAAATATATAACTACTCTATATTGTATACTTTACAAGTATGTATATATCAATCATTTAAGGATGCATTAAATATTTGCTCTTTTAGTAAATCATTTTCAATTTGCAATTTTGTAATTTTAGCTTCTGCTGCTGTTGCATCAAGTTTTCGCCTCTCTCGTTCAAATGTCCATCTTTTCTGTAGCTCATTAATCTTGATTTGCATGTCATGATTTGTCGAATTGCCAGGTTTCGAATTACTGAAGTTATTTTTTGTTATAGGTGCGGTTTCTACCAGTATTTCAGTGTATGACTGGATTATTGACTCAAGGGCCATTTCAATAAATATGTAAATTACCTCAAACTTAGGTCCAGCATCTTTCAGATTATCTAAACTTGATATACTGCTCAGTTTCTCCACCTTTTGAATGGATTGCTCAATGGAGTGTCTTTCAATAATATTTTTTAGAATTTCGAATACTTTAAGAAAATGGAGTAATAGATTTTGATTGAAATTATTAAATTCGGTGTCAAGTTTATTTATTGTATTAGTTTGAGATGCTTTAACCTGCAAGACCATGCTTCTTAGACTGTCATTAGATTCACGTATTTTTTCATTTTCCTTTATATAATATTCTATATGCTCTTTCATATCGTTTAATTGATTTGCAAAATTTTCTCTTGCTTGCTCTTCGTTCTTATTTTCATTATCAAGTGAATGAGTTAACTCTTCCAAAGCTTGCTTTTCATGCAAAAGTTCATTAACCTGCCCCTCTAATTGTGAGATAAGATTATTCCAGTTTTCGTTCTTTTGTTGAATCATCTCTTCGATATTTTCTATTTTCCTCATCAATTGTATATTCTCTTTTTGAACTTTATTGTTTTCTTTTTTGACTTGATTGGTGTCTTCAACCTGTAACTCTAGGTCGTTTATTTTATCTTTTTGGGTCTCAGCTAGCATGGTTAAACTTTTAATATGATCAATATATGAATTATCCAAAGTAGGTTCCATATTTTTTTCTGGCAATGATGGTCTTTTTTCGATTTCGATATTATGGGGAGAATCAAATATCACGTCACTTTGTTGTTCCTTACGGATTAGTGATATTTTATGGAGAAGGTCTTCTTGCCTTGATAATTTAAACTTCAATTCATTTTCTATCTGTGATGACATGTTTAATTTATCTCCTATACTCTTAATAAAATTATCGTATTCCTTTCGTAAATCTTGGATTATAATTTCCATGTTGGGGTCGACACTTTTCTCACCAATATCTTCTGTTATAATTTGATTCAGTTGTGTACTGTTCGCCATTATACTACCTCTTTGGCTGGATTGTTCTTTTTCCTTCATTGTTAGAATATTTTCTTCACTATTTTGTAAATTAGTTATCAATTTATGAATCGAGGCCTCAAGAGTGTTCATCTTTACGGGGAAGTAATTTGAGTTGAGGTCTATAGCCTTTTGTAGTATGCTCTTCTCTTCATCTGATAAGTGGAAAGTTTTAAAATCGATATTTTTTATGTAGCTGAGTACATTATCGACAATTTTGCACAAATTTTCTGATGTTTTTATATATTCATCTGTATTGTTTAATATAATGACATTTTCTTCCTGAAGTTGAGTTAATTGATGTTGTGTATTATGAATGGTTGCATCTTTCTCTGTAATTATTGTAAGAAGCTTTTCATTTTCCAACTTTACATCACTTGTGTCATCATTCCTCTCAAGTTTTTCGAGCAACCTTTTATAAACAGAGCTCCTATTGCTATTGCTTAACCCATTCTCCAAGTTATCACCTAGATTTATTTGTTTTATCATTTCAACAAGGGCATTATATTTCATTCTTAGGGAGGCGATTGATCGTCTCATCTTCTCGTATTCCATAGGATTGATATCTCTAGTTATAGAATCAAGACGATCATTGTCCGCAATTTTTTGAATATCTGTCATATCTAGGGATGATTTTAACAAAGGTTTTAGATGTTCAGATGAATTTACGGACGACTTGATATTAGGTATGTTGAAATTTGGGGGTGGGTCTATTAAAGAGCTTGATTTCTTGTTTTTCCATGGGGTCATTTCAGCAGTTACAGTTGGGATATCTTTACTTGAAACACTATCACTAGTGTCTATATTCCAGCCGTCTTCCCTAAAATCTAATCCCATCTCATTTGGCGTATGTTCATCCTCCTCTATTATAGGCTTTGTTAGAATACTATCTACAATTGAAGTTTTTTGAGGTGTAGAAGAATTCATAGTATCTAGTGCTAAATTATTGAGGTCACTTGGCAAATGAAAGTGATCGTCGTCATCTATTAGATCCTTTGCTATCTTGGAATTGTTTGTCGTATTTGGTATCGATTCAGCCATACTTCCAAGTAGTATTGTGGGATTAGTAATAGATCGCCTTTTGCTATTCTCATCGGTACTCGATATGTGGTTGAGTGAGTATTTACGTTGCTCTCGCTGATCATTTGAGGAGTCAATTGAATTATCCATAATAATAATACAATGTACACTTCATAGGGTATAGATATAACAGTCTATAATATTCAAAACACAGAGGAAAAGTAGGAAGATCGATTAAATTATTCATTACTTTTCTTTACAGTTTTTTGTTTACCTTTTCGTCTCTGAGAATAATAACATTTTTTGTTAGAGCGAAATCAATGCTTCGATCGTTATATAGAGGGAAAGGGTTCAAAGTAATAAGAATATTGACCTATTTGTTATATATTTTCTGGTTATATATAAGTGATTTGTTATGTATATGATGTGCTATCTACGTGTGTATACTTGTTCTGATTATCTCAAGGAGATAGCAGAACATATATAGAGTACAGTTTGCTCTCTCTTTTCAAAAACTTTCTATTTATCCTTCTGCGTAGATAATTGTAGTCCATGCCATCTAGATATTTCTTCCTTGAGAATAGTGTTTACCATTTTATGTTGCTTGATAGTTGTTAACGTATTAAACTTGTCTGATTTGATTACTATATTGTACATGGATCCACAACCTCCAGAAATATCATGAACAGCCAATTGTTTGGGATCTAGTGCTTCCTTTAGTTTCTTATATACTGTTTCTTCTTCCTTTGTCTCAAACGCTTGTGCTTTCTCTGGAATTTCGGTGGAAATCCAACGATGTACCGGGAATAATGAGGATGTGGCAGATGTTAAACGAAAGTGAGCAGCCCCAAACCTGATGGATATACCGTTTCTTACTAATGTCGTTCTAAGCATCTGAATATTGACTTATAATTTTCTTTGGAAGCATTACTTTCGCTAACTCTGTTTAAAAATATTATCTTTATTCACTAAATAATTCTGACTCCTTGTTTATTATAAGTATGTATTTATGCAAAAATGATATAATTGGATTAGTCATGTTTGGTTGGACTGATGATCGATTGATTAATTATGGGAAAGCTTTGCCCATTCGGCCGTGTAACGCCATTTGCATGATACGAAAATTCAGAATGAAAATATTAAGAACAAACAGTATTTCTCAATAAAAAGAAAAGGCACAAAGGTAATTGGATTTATCAGTATACGAGTACCAAAGCTCATTATTATCGCGGGAAGCTTAAAGTTGCTCAACTAACTTTTTTTTGTTACCATCATGACGATATATTCTTTCTGGATCTTCGACAGACATTGTAATTGTATTTATGACCGGGAATGGACCCTATTAGCAAACCCCAAAAGTGGGACAACGAATTCAAAACAAAATGACGATGTATCAAAGTTATTGTATGGTATAATATTCTCTCTCAGATCTGTAACTGGTAAATTATCGACTGATGATACTGGGCGGACCAACGAAATAAGTTCAATATCCACCGGAAAGTTTAGAATTCATACATATTGTACAGCTACAGGACTCTGGTTTGTGTTACTAACCGATTTCAAACCATTTAACTATAATAAGGTACTTCAGCATATTTACAGTGATATATTTGTCAAATATATTACGAATAACTACTTATCCCCCTATGATTTCTCTGAAAATGAAAATGAAAAAAGAGGTCAAGGTACAAGGAAGATAACGAACAGACACTTTATGAATAACTTAGAATCATTTTTAGAACCAATGATTAGCAGCTGAATGTAGAAATTAAACCAATAATTGTTATTTCAGTTGTATTCTATATTTGTTTTCACTATATAAATTCCATATTTACATATCATCTATAAATAAATCAGTCCAAAATTCGTCATTTAATGCATTGAAACCCCAAGCTAGAGAGTTAACATCAGTCAAATATTCATTCAAATTATCACTGGTTATCGATACCGATGGTGAAGAAGTTCTCATTTCACTATTTATTGGTTTGGACATGTGGTTGAAGGACATCGCCGAAACGGATCGTTTAATGTCATTGGTATTACCTAGTGGCTCTATATTGGTGTTGGTATTGTTCGTATTACTTAGGTTTAGTAATGGTGTTGTATGCTCGTTGTTTAAAATTCCAATACTATTACTATTTGCTATGATGTTCATACTATTGGAATTTGAATCATTATTAAACTTTCCTGGGTTTCCAACGTTTTGATCAGTCTTATTGAAACTGGTACTTAAGTGTGCATTATTGAGACTATTTGACCTGGTATCCATTTTCATATTTCTCCTGGGATTATCGGGGGCACTATCATTGTTAGATAAATTACTATTTATATTTTTCAATCTTGGATTAATCCATGTATTATCTTGAGACCTGTTAAACAGCACTTGTGGATTTAATTGAATTGACTCATCCAATATACTAGACCCAGAACTCACTGGCTGTTTAAATGAGCCAGTTGTACTTTCAAATAAATCTATGACTTTGTTCGCATAAGTTTGGACAAATAAAATAACCACATACTGGAATTTATAAAGGAAATAGTTGTAAGGGTATTGTTGCGAACTTTTATTAAGTAATTCTCGAACGTCGTTCACCATTAAAACACAATTGTCCGTTAATTCTAACAAATGGTGGAAAATTGGAAATGCTACTACACTATATCTTAACCGTAATAATAAAACACCAACAGTATAAATTAATCTAGACATTAGGAATAATGGTATAGAAGCAATTAATGTTGGAGTTAATTGAGAAAATTCTTGTAAAGCGGAAATGCAACAGTTGTAACATTCAATAAAAGAACGAACTGCATTTACCTCGATGGACGTATAAATTTCACCAGATACAATACCTTTATGTTTCATTTCAGATAGTTTTTTTAAGTAATATTGGATTTCAAATTGATGGAAATAAGCCTCTACTGAATAGTAGAAAGTCAATAACCTTTTCCTATTTTTAGGCATGCTATCAAATAACTCACGTAATTCACCTCTATACTTGATTAATAGTTTTTCAACATATCTTTCCCTGATTTTAATATCATCTAAGTCGAAAAGATCTGTCATCTCATGCAGATAGACGTGAATCTTCTCTAATTGGTGATTTAAACGTGCAAATGACACGAGAACAATATCATCCTCAATGTCATAATTAGAATCTGGATAAGGGGTTGATTGATTCGAGAGATATTCATCTATCTGAACTTGTAGTCTGTCTGCTGCTAACTTAACTAGGTCACTCCATTTTAATTCTATTGTTTGTTTTAAGAAAATGGAAATGTTTAAAGATGTAATATAAACTAATAATATGATTCTTGGGCCGTTAGTATATAACTCTAAAGGTGATTTAAATTTGGATTCCCCATTCTTAGGTTCTACATCACTGAACATTGCAAATGCCCTATTTACAAACAGTGGGCCTAAATCTTTAGTTAAGCAACATCCAATATAATTGAACAAATGGTATCTTGTTTTATTAGACCACTCTAGAAAGTTATACCATGTGCATAATACAATATGTGCTTCTATTATCTCAATTGATTTATTATTCACTTTAAAAATTTGATTGGTTAATAGGTTGATAACAAAGCTGTCTAATTTCATTATCGTTTCCCTGGTAGTTTCATCTTCTTTCATTATAACCGAAACTGTAGACATAATAACCGAAAATAAAATTGGTTTTTCACTTCTTAATTCGTCAACGGTAATATCTGAAGGGATTTTAATAAATGCTAACTTACCTAATGTTGATATCTCTCCTTTGTATAATTTTAATCTGATATCTGCCTCATTCGTCGATAAAATACCAACAGCTATTGGATCTTTAATTGAAGGTAAAAACATTGTGGTTTGGACCACATCATTCCATTTCTCAGACCATGTTGTGAACTTTGTAGAAAGATCGATACCTTTTCCTTTTTGATTGACTAATAAAGACTGCAACTGTTTCTTGAAGGAGTGGTTCAAATGTATGGATGTTTGATTTATAGATTTCTTTCTAGGATGTGTGAAAGTTGGATTTCGCTCTTGTGCCAGAAATTTTGTTGGAGATGAGTTATTAGACATACTTGGAGAAATAGATGGAGAAGCTTGTGAGACAGGTGCTGCACCCTTCACCGGACCTGGCCATATGCCCGAAAGACTCTGGATTCCAGGAAGTATTGTAGGAGTTGATATTTGTTGATTGATAACATTGCTATTACTGCTATTCAGCAGATTATCTGATACATTTAGTTTATTTGAAGTAAAAGATTTGATATCTCTCTCAGAGGGGAGTGTATTCATGGTTATATCATTATTTACAATTTGGATATTATCATTTTCCTGGTATAGACTTGATATGGGTCTCTTTTGGGCTGGTGAAACTGGTGAAGAATAAGTATTATCAGATTGTTTATTAGATGATGATTTGGAAGGTAAGTTTTTCAGATTTGGATTATCATTATTTTTACTTTTACGTGGTTGTCTTTTTCTTGTTCTTTTTGATAGGTCGAAAGTACATATTTTCTTTTGTCTAAGACAACGTTGACATGGTTTCCTATAAATATCATCCAAGTCAGAAGGCCAGCATTTTTGTTTCAACGAATGACAACCAACACATGCAAAAGAACTTCGCTTCAATTTTCCATTTTCCATTGTTACTTCCAGCTTCATAGGTTGTTGGACTCTTGGATCATCAGGATTCGCACCTTCAATCCGGGCTCTGAGTAAGTCATTAGTTGATGGATATTGTGAGTCATCCATGATTCCCATATATTTTAATTTCTTACCAGGTTCTCTTAGTCGTCAGTAGTACTATATTCTCAACTCAATATACGTAGTTCGGCAAGTTCTCTTTTACCTCGAACGTTGATGTCTTTCTTGCTACTAGTGAAAAAACAAAATGACGAAATTAGTGCTGGAAATTTTTTCCTTTAATTTAGGTAGGAGAAATAATTCAATTTGGTTATATTAAGGTTTATTAGAATAGAAAAGACTAATATTTCATACAGTAATACAATAGCATATGCTTAATGGAAAATAATCGGTTGAGTCTACTTGTGTCTTTCGATCTTGAACCCTGTTGCTCAGTGGGACTGTAAGTTGCATTTTTCGTTACCATTTTTTAGTCACGGCGATGAAAAGTCGGCTCATATATACACATATTATATTTGAAAATATTAAGAGAGAAGGATTTGCCAATATGGGATCGCCCCGAGAGTCAACCCTATACCCAACTGTCGCGTAATGAAAGAAAGTGAACATAAAATAGGTCATTTGGCAAGCTGACTTATACAGGATAATATAATCAGTAAAAAGTACCATTTTTTTGTAAATTATTTGTTTATTATGAATATGTCTAAATGATATATGATTGCATGGGTTATGTAGATATATAGCATCTCTGTCCTTATTGCTTAATATGACTAGAGGATAATTTCAATATTATTGAATTGTGCATGATTGGGTAGCTCAGTTACAGTAACAATTTCTGAGTTGTGATAATATAAAGAAGTTTGTGTGTGGTTTATTTAGGGTTTCATAACTTTCTAGGATTTAATGCAAGTAACTGCTCCTTCTTTTAGGCGCTCGATATCGTTGACTGGTGTGGAGGCATTGCTTGCGACGTTTGTAACTGATGATGCAGTTTGATTAGTTAAGGTCGGAGTACTCTCAGGTTTCTTGGCACGATTATGAGTCATATGACTTTGGACAAGATGACCAGCAGCTAGAGCAGCACATAGAGATAATTCACCAGCCATGACAGCACATGCTATTATTTTGGCTAATTGTCTTGCATTCGAACCGGGACTAGTTGGATGAGGTCCACGGACACCTAGTAAATCTAGCATTGCACCTTGAGGTTCTAGCACTGTACCACCACCAATGGTACCTACTTCAATACAAGGCATAGAAACAGAAATCCTAAGATCACCATCAATTTCTCTCATTAATGTAATACAATTAGAACTTTCAACATTTTGAGCAGGATCTTGACCTAAGGCTAGATAAACCGCAGTTAATAAATTAGCAGCATGAGCATTAAACCCACCAACTGAACCAGCCATTGCAGAACCAATTAAATTCTTCGAAATGTTTAATTCAACTAGCGCGGCAACATCACTCTTTAACACGTTTCTAACAACATCACCAGGAATGGTGGCTTCTGCAACCACACTCTTACCACGGCCTTCGATCCAATTAATTGCAGCAGGCTTCTTATCTGTACAGTAATTACCAGAAACACTAACAACTTCCATATCTTCCCATCCTAGTTCCTCAACCATTTGTTTCAAGGAAAATTCGACACCTTTAGAAATCATATTCATACCCATAGCATCACCAGTTGTAGTTCTGAACCTAATGAAAAGCAAGTCACCGGCAAGGGCAGTTTGGATATGTTGTAATCTAGCAAATCTTGAAGTTGAATTGAAAGCTTTCTTGATCCTTTCTTGACCTTCAACGGAGTCTAACCAAATTTTACAAGCACCTGATCTAGCTAAAGAAGGGAAACGCACACATGGACCACGAGTCATACCATCCTTAGTTAAGACAGTGACCGCACCACCACCAGAGTTAATAGCTTTACAACCACGCATAGCAGATGCAACCAAACAGCCTTCTGTGGTTGCCATCGGAATATGGTATGGTACACCATCAATGACCAAAGGGCCTATAACACCAACCGGTAAAGGCATGTAACCGATAACATTTTCGCAACAAGCACCAAATACTCTATCGTAATCGTAATGTTTGTATGGTAGACGTTCAGTAGATAGAACTGGAGAATCAGCTAAGACAGCCAAAGCCTTTCTACGAACAAGAACAGCTCTTGTTGTATCACCTAATTTCTTTTCTAGTGCATAAAGCGGTAACTTATTGTTGATAACCAAAGTGGCAACATCTTTATTTTGTAAGTCTTTAATTTCACTTCCTGTTTTCAAAATTTCCTCGATCTCCTCAACAGTATGAGATGGTTTAGAATTCTCATCACTTTCAGAAGAAGTAGTTGATGATAACGATGATTGGGAAGGGTTACTTGTGATAGCAGATTTATTGGCAGATTTTGGTGGGGTTTGGGACTTATTCTTGTTATTTTTTTGTTTCTTAGTGATTTTATCATTCTTAGTATTTTTACTTGAAGAGGCACCAGCTAAGGATGGAACTTCTCTGATCTTTTTCAATAAAGAATCCTTCTTACGAACTAGATCATCAGCAGTGTAGTTAATGTGAATTCTTGCTGCATGTAGTAAGTATATATTGATCGAAGCACTAATTATTAGGGCAAAAAATACTAGCTTACTGATAAATCTATCACGAATGGCTTTGCTAACATAGCGTAAAAGGTCACAAATAAAATCTTCAATTTCGTGGATTTTCTTAGTTGGTTCATAATATTGCGTTGGGATTAATGAAATAAGGATTGGTCTCCTATCACTATTGTCAGAATTATTGATTAGTTTAATGAATTTCGGTAAGGTCTTTGGATGAGTGATGAAGGTATCGTTATCTGATGAGTAATTCATGATATAATCAACAAAATTTTGATAATTGGAGAAAGAACCTAAACCGAAGTTATAAATGTGGATGAATAAGAAACCACCTACTAAGATTAATTTACCGAAGGCTAGAGATGTTGGAGATAGTAACCAAATATTGTTGGTGGATTTGTTTTCTTTGGCATTAGAAATGGTTTCGGCAGTCATTGGGATAACACCATCTTCTTCCAAGGTTTGTTTAATAATAGTAGATCTATGGATGACCTTAATTTCCAATTTTAAAGAGATGATAGCAGAATAGAAAGTACAAGTTAAGAACACTTCGAATATTAAAATCATTACCGATAAGATACAGAAATTGCTTAAAATTGATAGGTTTTTAGCGTAGATGGAGCAACCTGTGAATGCAATCAAGCATAATAAATTATCTTGGATCAAGCGACCACCTTCTTCAAGCATTGCATCGTGGACAATTCTATCTGGAGTGATTTTCTTTGAAATACTAATCTTTTCTATTTTTTTCAAAGCATTAGTGGCCAGTTTGATTTGATTCTTGAAACCTAATATTACAATTAAAAATGGTAGACCTTCAACTAAACTCAGAATAGGAACTGTTCTATTTAAATAACATTGAGTAACATATAATGATAACACCAAAGAACAACCAGAGTTAACAATTGTTGAGATACCTAACCAGTAATTTGACTGTTCACTTTCTTGATTCAATTTAACAAACAGGTTAAATATAGTATAGACCATGGTTACATATGCCATAGAAATGATGATAATATCAAATGAATCGGCTTCATTAATATGATTAGTACCTAATTCGTAAAGATTAGTAACAATTCTTGCTAAATCAAACCAATTACTTCCTTGATGATTGATTTCCCTCCATTGAGTTAAGTGGGCAACACCTTTGTGATACTTGAATTGTTCATTAACAGCACCAGGGTTTTGATCAAGAACATATTTGGTATTATTATTATCATAGATTGTATTATTGAATGTTGGTAAAATTGGAGTAACAGCGTCCTTAGGGTCAAATCTTAGCTTATGTAAGAAGAAGTGGTTTGATTCAGGGAAATTTTCTTTTGCTTGAGTCAAAGATATTTGGGTCCATTCTTGAGCCCTTGGAGACTCTTTATAAAAATGGGTACAAGTTTGAAAGATATTTGAGAATTCATAGTCTGTTAGATCGGAAACTTGATTCTCCAATGTGGTAGTGAATTGGAATCCATTGAAATAATATTGGATCACTGAAAGGTATGCAACTGTAGTTACAAATAAAACAGATAATATGACATGTATTGGATGTTTTGCAGAAAATTGTGCAGTAACAGCAAAAGGTTTTGCCATACGATTGAAACCTTTAAATATTAACGGCATATTTGTCTATTTATATATATATATTTTTTTGTATGGTAATGTGATTAACAATTACGAGAATATGATAAATAAAATGACTAAAGGATGAGAGTATTCAAAAATGCGTTTTTATGAGAATGCAATTATAGCTATTTTATCTTTTGTTATTTTTTTTGCTTTTAAATAAGGACTGGTTCTTTATATTACACAACTAGTGTTAAAGAATAACAAATTCTACTTGGAGAAGAAATAACAATATATGGATTTTATGCTAGTGAAGTGTTCCAATTCCTAACAATCTCAGTTAATGTGATGATCAATTCGATAACGTTAATAAATATAAATATATATATATATTATTATTATTATTATTATTTTTGTCCAACGATCTCTATTCAATTTGGAAGCCAGTATAAAATAATGCTTATCTCTCTGTATAAATAAATTTCAATTTAACAATAGATTAAAGTTTATTCTCTGTTTTTTCAATCAATTATCCAAAAGGTAAGTTATATATATATATATATATATATATTTGTGTGAGTGAAATGATTTCCTATGATTGTTCTTGTTACTCTTGCAATGAAATCATTTTGCCCCCCCTCCCACTCTTCTTCTTGTTCTTCTTCCCTCTTTTGGTCCGTTAACTTCGAATATGCTTTTCCTCAACGTTGCTTCATGTAGTATAATTTCAATGATCATTTAGACGCCAAACCCGGCAAGTCCTTTTCTGCTTTTCTCTTCTCGTTTGTTAGGACTGGGGGAGGCATCCGCTGCTGGATTTTACAATAAGTGCAGCAGAGAACGGATTTGGGAATCCGATATTTGCAAATTAAACGAGTCAGTTAGTCGAAATATACACGCACGTATACATACATCTATACATACATACATCGCATTAATTGCACAGTGATGTGCTGGATGAAATTAATTATACGAGATCGCTGACCACGAAAACTCTGAACTAAGACTAGAGGAGGAAAATGAAGACAATGGATGGCACCAGAGACTGCTTCACACAATATATCAATTGAGAAAAGCAGGACACAGATTATATAATAGGAAGAACCATCCTCTTACGATCGTAGGTCATTTCAAACCGTTAGTATATGTAATAGGTAATTGGTACCGATAAATGAAGGTTACTTACTGATCAGCATTTTAATTGTGTTGATAATAGTGATGATGACGATGTTACCGGTTAACATTGAGATTAAATTAAGTAAGCTAATTTATTTTTTACAACAGTAGTATTATTAAGTTTGTTTTACTTTTCTTGGCAATACTATCAAAGTAGTTCGATATTTTTTTAATAAACTTCAATGTAATATAGTAAATTGAAACTGATAATTTCAAGAATTTCTCTACATTACAAAATTATGTAAAGTAGAACTTTGTAACACACTCATAATATGTAGATTTACCAATATTTGATTTATTATTAATGTTATTTAATAGTTATAAAAAAGGTTGATTTGAAAAATAATATATAGATTAGTCAAAAGTTACTTTCATTATAATATTTAGAACTTTAGCAAATGTGGCTTGTCACCGTTCTTCAAGGAGAAAGAAGTGGCTAGGTATTGCTTTAGCAAAGAGGTCTTCTTGATTTCAGCTAATAGAGCCTTGTCAACAACCTTTTGGTCTTCAACTCTTTCGGCCTTGATTTCCTTAGAAGTGTTTTCTGGGAACATTTGAGCTTCCTTCTTTTCCTTCTTGGTTAGCTTAGCATCTCTGGCAAAGTATTCAACGTTGAACTTTTCAACGTTGACAGAGTCGACAGCAACCTTGGTAGAAGTAGCAATGACATAACGAGCATTGACTCTTCTCAATGGAACACCGTTGACCTTGAATGGACCGGAGACCAATAGGGTGTTGTCTTCTAGGTGCTTTAGGTAGACAGCTCTCTTACCTCTGAAACGACCAGCTAGTAAGATAACGACAGTACCTGGAACTAGAGAAGCACGTAGCTTTTGTGGACGAATAGCCTTTCTGGTCTTCTTTTGAGCAGAGACGTCTTCGGATGGGAACCACTTTGGAGCCTATTTAAAAAAAATAAGTGATATGTTTTCTTGAAATTTCAAAAGAAACAATCAGGAATATGTTAGTAAAAAAATTCGTGTCTTATTATATCAGAAGTGATAATGCAGATTATTTTAGATTATTATTATTATCTTATGGTAATGAATATAAAGAAAAAAATTTCTTTCTCTATGTAATTAAGTTTTCAAATAGAATTTCGATATCGTATCAGCTGGGTCCAGTATTCACCTTTATCCTTGTAAACCGTAAAAGGACATTGGGTATTTCCTTTGTACTTAAATGGTAATATTATTTTGTTCCCTGTTTGGATTTTAACTTAATCTCACGTTTGGTATCTTTTCTGTGTATAAATTGCTATAGTTCCTTATGTGAATCACCTTTCGAAACACCAATACTTGTACTTATTCATGCATTTATATTAATTCTTCAATGTAACATAATCTCCAATTATTCATGCTAATATCGTATAATTTAATCAAAATTACTTCATTTCTTCTGTTTATTTCTTGTTCTAATTAATCACATACTTGTTCGGCAGCCATTTTTGTTATTATTATACGGTTTTCTTACACTATTGTAACAGAACTTAAAAACTGAAAAAGTATACTGTTTTTTAAATAGTATTACTCTTAAATTACGATTTCCTTAATAAGAGTATACAATATTACTACTAGTTAGTGATGAGAGAGGTCACGGTCAGTAGAAGGTAACATTTCTCCAGCTATCTCATATCAAAGGACAATTGTTGGTGTGTTTCCCAGCCTACATTTCTTCCCCCAAACAGAGATAGTGAAACTGAGCTGGACAAGAGAAATGTCGCTGTTAGCTGGGTGTCCACGGTTCTGTTATTACAACTACTATTGGGCATTACTGGGAATGTATAGTTGCGTAGGCTCGATGTTTGAGAGAAATGGAAAAATTCCTTTCTTCCCCCATCCTAGTAATTCCTACCTATGCCGGGGTTTTCCCAGGCTAAGCATCCATCTTGAAATGAAATTGAAGATATATTTGAAAAGATAGGCGAGCATTAACCCTAAGTTTTTTTTAATTTTTTTGATAGAAAAAATATAGTTAAATGTAAATTATTTTTTAAATTGAATAATATTTAATGTCTGGGTGTTTAGTCGTCCAAGCGCAAAGTAAGAAAAGTCCGAAAGGGGAAAAAAGATATCCCACTTCATATATCAGGGAAAAACTTGAATCATAATGTTGATTAATAGTAAATGAATAATCATTACTTTAAAAAATGTTTTTATTAACTATATAATATTGTGGATATTTAAAACAAAAGTAGAAAGTTTATTAATTCTCCTTAGCATACTTGCCAGTCTGAAGAATGAGATCAAGCGTATTCTTGAGGAACTTCTGGTAGAGGTGGAGTTGTGTTAGTAGCAGTTTGGCCATAATTTATTTGAACAACTATTTGACCTGAACCAATCTTAACTGCTAAATTCTCCCCAGCTTGAACTTTTGGATCACTCAGTAGAACTTGGGCTACACCTGCATCCTTATCTTTACCTAACAAATGGCGAGATATGGCTGTTAACACAATATTTGCCTCTGGCGATGCCTTAAACTTACATGATTCGCCAAATTGAGCTAAACCATTTTCGTTTACCTTTTGATTTCTAGTCTTATATAAACTCTTCATTCTACCACTTTGAGTTAACGATACTTTGATTTGGACGTGTTTTGCAACATTTTCAGCCGAGATGATCTTGATAGTACCTTCGTATGTACCATTCGGAGCTAATGTTCTGGCAAAACTACTTGCTCTGGACTTTCTCATAGCGGAAATAGCAGTAGGTGTTCCACCGTTGCTGGTAGCTGATACTGAAGTTATAGGGGTTTCCTTAATAGAGCGATTACCTGTTTCTGGACCTGATGGAGTTGATGGGGTGTTCGACTGTACAGTCGCATAACCAACATTTGGAGTATCATCGTATTCTAGTGAAGTTCTTGCCTTCGAAGAAGATCCCGTAAATCTCTCAGAGGTAGCTTTTGTACCTCCAATTGTGGCGCCACCAAATGATTTTAGTAAACTCCCACCCTTCTTGATACCACCAGCACCGACACCAGCAATACCTACGGCTGCACCAGCCATGGTTGAAGCAGCATTCATACCAGCGCCACCAACCGTACCGATAGCCTTAAATGGAGTACTTGTCAAATTCTTTTCAATAATATCCATTGTTGGTTTGGTATATTGTGGAGTAAACGTGCCTTCTAACTTGATTGACCCCTGTGTATTTAGTGGGCAGTTCCAAGAATAATTCTGATTTGGTTTTATAGATTTTAGGTCAAATACGGCCATACCTAACTCATCATTATCACCAGTACGATCCCAATCCATTACATTAAACAATAACTCATCTCTACTTAAGGATGGGATACGTATAGAAGTTCTTTCGTTCCAGACAGGATCCAAGGACTTTTTGATAATCTTAGATTTGTAAACCTTTTGACGGTTAACAAAAATGGTTACAAATGGATCAGATTTCCCGTTCCTATCGGCAGATAACAGACCAGTACCGGATATAATATTCAAGTTCAATAACCCAGTATCCGCAATGGTCTCAGAGATAGGCAAAACATCCACTGTGGGATAAAATGCGCATTGTACAGAAAACACAGATCCATTGAAATTTATTTTTGTTGGTTCGTTATAGCCACCCTTTAGAACCTTCATTGTATCTACGTACAATTCTGAAATAACATCATCTTGGTCCTTGGCGACTTGTTTCTTAGAGACTCTGAACAGTAATTTACTATACTTCAAATCACGAACAAATATATAACCAACATCACTGGCCATTCTGCTGCCTCTGAATTTGGCTGAAATAAATGATGGGAAGGTCACATCATCAATATGAATGTTCAAGTAACTTGATGGCCTAGACAATGAACCTTTTACTACTTGGAGAACCAGAATTCCAGAATTCATGGATACTAATTCCTCGAATGATAACTTCTGTTTTCTATTGATTTTCTTTTCATCGTCTTCGAATGGGTTTGCAATCGTTGCTACTTCCCAATCATCTGGGTTCTTGTCCATTTCCACCTTGTTATTTACTTGAGTGGTCTCAAATTTAGCTTTCCTTTCCTTTAAGTCTGCTTCTAGCTTTTTTACATCTTCGAGTTCAGTTGGAGAGTAAACAGATTGAGTTGGAACAAATGAGAACTCTAGTTCCAAAGTGTTAGGAGTTGCATTCTTATTCTTGTCATTCAGATTTGTAACCATCATCTTACCTGCAAGATTCTTCTTTGTAATATATGTTTTAGTTGATTTGTCTAATTCAACAATATCAGAAACTGCGAAATTAACTTGACCAATAAATCTATCTGAACCTACAGATTGGTAGTCAAATAGACTTATCCCCAAAGATTGTTGAGATGATGATACTGGGATATAAACCAATTGATCGAACTTCGGATCCATACAATCAGAAAAGTGCTTAGATTTAAATTTTGGATGTCTGTTTAATGTGACCATGAAGTAAGGGTCAATATCACCCATACCCTTCAGTGATCCTTTGACTAGAGCTTGGCCAACATTCAATCTAATACAGCCGATTGGGTCCTTGACCATACTTTTACTCACCACCATATCAGAAATTTCAACTGGTTTCCATTCTGCATCAATGTATATTTTACCGAAAGGATTACCACGTAAGAAATCACTGCCACCCTTCAAAGTATTCAAGCCATCTTCAATGTTAGATGAATATTGACATAAGAGAACTTCGTTTTTACCACGATTATCAAAGACTTTCAAAGTCATGGTAGAGTTCATTTTAGAGCCTACCAATACTTCAAATGTCTCATTCCAGGAAGGTTCATTAATACGTTTCAAGGTTCTAAAGCTCTTAACTAATTTGTCATTGATGTACAACTTAGCGGAAGGACTCAAATTACTAGTGAAACCGGTTGTTGAGCTAATTTCTGTAATCTTTTGTAGAGTAATCTTTGCAATACCAGAGTCTATAGCATTACTTTCTTGATCTTCAACATCAGAGAAACCAAGAGTTTCTTCGTCGGCTTCTTGTTTTTCAGCCTTCTTCTGACCCTTGATGACCGGATACCAATTCAAGGAATAATTCAGTATACCTCTTGATTTGGACCCAATTAATAGTTCAGAAGATTGATTTTCGATAGAAGGTGTTTGAAATAGCTCATTCAAATCTATGTCAACTGAACCGATCAATGAATCCTTTCTAACATCATTGAAGTCAACGCAAGTCAAGGATAATTTTTGATTTAGGGTGTTAACTAAAATGTATTTAGTTTCATGCCATGTTGGGTTCCTAATATCAGACTTGATGGCAGTACGAATTTCGGCTTCTTCACCAGGTAAAGTCTTTTCAGTCTTTAATACAATATATGGATCCACTGTATTTGTAATGAAATCAGAACTCTTTAATTCAGAAGCCGAGGCTATATTCACAGCAACTACACCAATAGCATCATTAGCTTGTGCAGCCATGATTTCTTCGACGTTGATATCCAAGTGGTTAGGAGCATATAGCATTGGAGCGACATTAGAATCAATCAAGGATTTAACAAAAGTCTTTAAACCTGGCAAGAAAGACATGACATCTAAACCTAGAGTATCACCACCAATAGGTTTCAAAGCAAAATCAATCATTGGTGGTTCTAAGAATTGAACAGAGACAATCTTAATATTAGGGAAAATCTTACCGAATTCTAACTTAATGTTCATTCTACCTGCGCAATTAATATTTTCAACCAAGATAGGCATCGATTTTGAAATTACACCCTTACCGATAGAAACACCTAAAGCAATCTTGGGGTTGATCTTTTCTTTGGCTTCGATAGGAGTCATATCAGATACATCATTAGGTGTAAATGCGAAGGACCAATCCATTTCGACAATATTCTTCCCACTCTTAGTGTAGGTTTTGATTCCTCTAATGGCTGGAGCTTTTGAACCAAGGGTAAATTCGTCTAAAGAAATGGCGTCAATACCATAACCTGGAGCAGCATCGACCAATTGAGGGTTGACAATATCTTTAACTTGTTGAGATAGAACAGGCATATAAATAACCCAGAACTTCGATAAGAATGAATTTAACCATAGAGTAGTTTCAATTTTATCTGACAGGGTTTCTTCCACAGTAACTCTTTTCAAGTCATCTCTTACATTCCTATTAAAACGGCGATATTCTGTATTGTATACAGAAGATGTACCTAAGAACACAAGTCCCAAGGACCACCAAGAAAATCCACAGTACGCCAGTAACCATGCAAAGAAACAAGTACCGATTACAGTAGCCATGTTATAATACCAATCATTATAGAATGATTCGATCATATAAGCTTTAATTTCATTGGAATCCACTGTATTTGGAACACCTTTACCAGAAGAATGGAATTCACCGATTGTTCTCCAAGGGTACAAAGTTTCAGCGTTCTCTTCCAGGATAGAAGATTTCATGGCTTCCTTTTCATTAGAAGAAATAGTATCAAGGACGCCTGGTCCAGTAATTGAAGTGTCTGTTAAATTTGGATCTCTTGATGGTACATGTTTCATCTCCTTAGGGTGCAATTTTTCCAAAGGCACGGATCCAATTGTACCTTGTGGATTAGGGACAGGTAATTTACCTGTATTATGAACAGCAGAAGCAACTAATATTTCATCACCATCAGAAGTGGTAGTAGTAGTATTATCACCATTTTTCCTACGTTTTGAAATACTGCGACGGATCGAATGTTTTTGAGAGCCTGTTGAGTAAGTCTTATCTAATTTGTTTTTTCCATTATTAATTGTCTCAGTAGCGACAGCACTAGCCACAGGGGTAACGACATTAGTTACAACCTTATCCTGAGGCTCTACTCCTGATGTAGCCTTCTCAGACATCTTACTCTAGTAATATATAATTGTATGTATGTCTTTGACAGGGTTTTCCTAATAAGATAATAGTATATTAACAAATGATGAGTACAATTGTAGATGTTAACTGTTTCTAAGTTTTTGCAGAGGAGGAAAATATATAAAAAATAGTTGCAGGTCAATTGAACTAAAAAGAAAAATTATTTCATATAATTAGTTAGTAATAAACTTATATAAGGATGTCAAAAAATATAAGGGTTACCTTCTGAAAATAAATATATATATGTATAATTTGTTGTAAATTCCTCCTCCCTTGTATTACAATTATGTTATATATATATCTAGCTTGATTATTGTTATTCCGACCGAAATTCTTTCCTTCCCTTTTTTCCTTTATAGCTCCCCTTGTTTCTCAACGCATTTATTAAGGAATGGCATATAAAAATATTGCATTGTATAATAATAATAAATGTATATATGGCAGAAACACATTCACATATATACAATAGTGGAAGTATGAAACGCACTGCTATCGTTGGAAGGTAGGGGCGGGCAGCGGACAAAGGTAAAGGAAAATAGAGAGTAGCTCTATAAAGTTTTTACTGAGGTATAAGGATGGAGATATAAAACTGAAATAGTAGGTGGAATCTTGTATACACATTCGTAAGTATACTAATTCCTCTCTTATAATGTAAGAATAGTTTAGCTGGCAGATTGTCTAGTGTTTATGTTTTATATTATGCAAAGGAATATTTGGATGCAAGTTCGGTTCTCTTTACTATGGCAGATTGTAATTGATCATTTGTAAACAGTTTGGTCTCTGCGATCTTATTTAAGAATAATCGATGATAATTGACATTCAGATCATTGAGTCTGAATGAACAATAAACTAATTGCAAACAAACAGAGTTATTAATAATATTCTTATTATATTCATGGAAATTAACCAATTCTTTAAGTAAAACACTAATGCAATCACTAACGAATTTTAACATTAATGGGTTCGTTGGAATTGATTTGTTCCTATCATTGGTTGGGTTAACCTCAGTAGTCTCCAAGTTTATATTCTTAGTTGGAGGATCTCTGTCATTTTTTTTAGTCTCTTGTTCTAGAGAAGGGTTGTTGATGTCATTTTTAGACTTGATCTCAGATGGAGTCTTTTCATCATCATCACTCTTTGTAGTTTCTGTCTCTCTGTCATGAGCCTCTTCTCCAATAGTTTCTATTCCAGTTTGCTGCGTTTGTCCATTCATTCCTTCAGCTTCTTTATTTTCTTCATTTTCTGGTTCTTTATTTTTGTCTTTAGAGTCTTTCTCATCATTCTTTGAATCATCCTGGTTCTCAGTAGGTCTGATTCTTAAAGGAATATGTATATCAGTCGTAGAAACATCGAATGCCTTGTCATAGACAGTAAGTGACATATAAATATGCTCCCTAACAACTTCTATCTGTCTCTTTACAGAAATCTCTAACATTGAGTCATTCTTATTACCAATATCAAAGGAATACGATTCTATTTCATTTGTAATAAATTTTAATCTCATCGATAAATACACAATTAATAATGATGTTTGATTATTATTTTCACTGAATGGTGGGATAGCAACTAAATATTGCAGGATTTTTTTAATGGATGTCATTGTAAGGTTTGTACATAATAGTTTTACTAACCCTGTTAACATGGTCGTACCTACTGCATTTTGAACACTATCACTAATGTCTCGTATTATACTTGAATCTGGGAACTTATTCTTTAATGACATTGTATGTGTATATAACATGATTGCTTCCTGATAATGACCAGTCTTGATACATGTTTGTGATAAAGAAGGTAATTCCATGAGATCGGTTATACTTGTCAAGTTCTCAAACAACATTGTTAAATTAGCGTTGGAATTTGACTTGGCATTATCATTTTTATCGATTACACGTTGTCTCAGAGCCCTTAGTGCCCTATGGAATTCATCATCTTCTATTTTTTTTGTATTATTAGTATTGGTAGAGGAGTTAATATCGTTAGATGATTCTTGTAAGAATTCTTCCAATAGGGAATGTCTCTTATCATCATGTTCTTCATTAGACAATTCTTCATTACTTTCGACTTGAGGTTCTGAGCTTGAGTTCAACTCCCATAATTGTTCTAGTTCGTTACTAATTTCTTCTAATGTCATTGTCTCCTTTGATTTATTCATTATAGTGTCGATTACATAACTCTTATTTTCAATTAACAATGAACGAACTTGTCTTTCCAATGTCGCCATATGGGCATCTAATTCAGCAATATCTTCTACAATACTTCCACTCTCTGCTCTAGAGGAGAAATAGTTCATATAGTCCTTCTTATCCGATTGTAAAATCTCCTCCAACGTTTTTATACAATAAGCTTGCTGTTCGTTGGTTTTGATATCGCCCGCAGGTAACAATTCTTGTAATATGATGTCCATATCTACGTATGAGTTGTTATTTTTGATTTTAGAATTTGAAACCTTATAGTCAAGTATGGGAGGAAACGATCGGTCTTGATCAATGTATTTAACTTGTTTATGTATGGTTACTGGAATGCAGCTATGGACTCACATCAGCGAAACTTATTTTTATTATATGTTTGAAATTGTTTTCGTTTTATTAAATGCCGAATCTCTATGGCGTTTTCTTAGCTACAAAATATTTACGTACTAGAATTGATCCCAAAACTAGAGAGATGTTCCTTAAAATTATTGTCAAGATAATCCTTGATCCTGAATGACAATATAAAATGAGTAAATATTATCTACAATCGTCATATCAAGCTTTACTAACTTATTCCGGTAAATTGATACCGTCTGAATACAGTGTCAGTGGCAAGGTTTCTATTTCAAGTAATTTTCCAGAGTATAGGAAGTCAAATATAGCATTTCTACCGCTAGAGAATTCTGAAGCAATTAAAACATCATTTTGTAAACAAATATTGTGTAAACGTACTTCTCTACCTTTAGGTGTAATTGAGCAACATTTAATTATCTCTGTTACAAAAATTTATATACAATCTTGCTCAGAGCGAATATTCGTCATAATTCACATTTCGCACGCTTCGTATTATTATTATTCGACATAGTTTCAATAGGAGGCAATCTTACAGTCATCTCGTTTGAATAACTAAATATATAATAAGGACTCATAGTTTTTGTTGTTATCCTAATTTGTACTTCATTCTTTCATATTTCTCCTTTGAATTAGAATAGACAGTATATATATAAATATTTATAAATATTTCGTAATTAACCAATATGGCTGTCAAATCCTTCGAAGTCACAGATCCTGTTTTATCGAGTTTGAAAGGTTTTGCCCTTGCCAACCCTTCTATTACCCTCGTTCCTGAGGAAAAGGTTCTATTCATAGAAACTGCAAAGGAGAAAATTGCTATTATATCAGGTGGTGGAACTGGTCATGAACCATCTCATGCTGGTTTCATTGGTAAAGGTATGTTAAGTGGTGCAGTATGTGGTGATATTTTTGCCTCTCCTTCTACGAAACAGATCCTTAATGCCATTAGATTAGTCAATAGTCAATCTAGTGGGGTGTTATTATTGGTGAAAAACTATACTGGTGATGTTCTTCATTTCGGTCTATCTGCAGAAAGGGCTAGAGCTTTAGGTATTAACTGTCATGTTGTTGTCATTGGTGATGATGTTGCAGTTGGTAGAGCCAAAGGAGGCATGGTTGGAAGAAGAGCGTTGGCTGGTACAGTCTTAGTTCATAAGATCACTGGTGCTTTTGCTGAATCCTATTCCGCTAAATATGGTTTAGAAGGTACCGCTAAAGCTGCCCAAATTGTCATTGATAGTCTCGTTACCATTGGTTCTTCTTTGGACCATTGTAAGGTTCCAGGTAGAAAATTCGAAACTAATCTACAAGCTAATCAAATGGAAGTTGGTATGGGTATACATAACGAGCCTGGTGTTCAAACCCTTGAACCAATTCCATCTACTGAGGATTTGATCTCCAAGCATATGCTACCAAAATTACTAGATCCAACCGATAAGGACAGGGCATTCGTAGATTTTAACACAGGTGATGAGGTTACGTTGTTGATTAACAACCTAGGTGGTGTTTCGAACTTTATTATTTCAGCAATTGCTGAAACGACTACAAGGTTCCTGAAGCAACAATACAATATTACTCCAAAGAAAGTTATGACTGGTACCCTGATGACTGCCTTTAATGGTAATGGTTTTAGTATAACCTTATTAAATTCAACTAAAGCATCAAATGAACTTAATGCTGCCTTCCCAGAAATTAAATCTGTCTTTGAACTTCTTGAAGCTTACACAGACGCTCCTGGGTGGTCTCCTGGTTTCTTTGAGGCCAAATCTGCACCATCTATTGACTCAAGTGTATTACATACAGATGTTAAAGTTACAGAAGTAGGAAGTTATGATTACTCTGCATTTTCTAAATGGATGAAGGCAGGTGCTCAAAATGTAATTAAAGCTGAACCACATATTACCGAATTGGATACTTTAGTCGGTGATGGTGATTGTGGTTATACTTTAGTTTCAGGAGTCAACGGTATTACTGAAAACCTTGAAAATATATCAAAAACTTCTCTTTCTGAAGCAATGGCACAAGTGTCTGATATTATTGAGGGATCTATGGGTGGTACTTCTGGTGGTCTGTATAGTATTCTAATCTCAGGCCTATCACATGGTATCATTCAAACATGCAAGAATAAGGACGAACCTGTCACTAAAGAAAATCTTGCTAAGTCTTTCGAAATTGCATTGGAAACATTGTACAAATATACTGGAGCAAGAATTGGATCATCTACTTTAATTGATGCCTTAGAACCATTTGTGGTCGAATTCTCCAAATCAAAAGATTTCAAGAAGGCTGTTTCCGCTGCTAATGTTGGTGCAAAATCTACTGCAACATTTGAGGCTAAATTTGGTAGAGCTTCGTATGTTTCAGACTCTGCTAGCGTTGAAGATCCAGGTGCAGTCGGTTTTGTCGAATTTTTGAAGGGGGTCGAATCAGCTTTATAATTTTGCGTTCTTCAAGAGTTTTAGATTGTGAGTAGTATCATATTATATATAGAAGGTATAATAATTAGCTTAACGAATTGTATATTATTAAAGAAATAGTTTTACTTTGCTAGTTTATGTAGCTCTTCCATTTTCCATCATAGCCTTTCCTCCATTGGGAACTTCGTGGGAGGGAGAAAGGGTCATAATTTTTTCTAATGAACGCGTAAAAAACTTAAAAATGTTATATAACTATAAAAATAATTGAAGCTGGAAATACAGAATATATACTTTATCAAATACCAAGAGTAATAGCACCATACCGGAAACGAACTGTCTAACAATTCAACGATGAGTACAGATTTTGATAGAATTTACCTGAACCAATCAAAATTTAACGGTAGATTCCGTGTTGCAGACTCAGGTCTGGGTTGGAAAGCATCCACCAGTGGTGGCTCTGCAGCTAACCAAGCAAAGGCACCATTTTTGCTTCCAGCAACAGAACTTTCTACTATTCAATGGAGTAGAGGTAGTAGAGGATTTGAGTTGAAGATCAATACTAAAAACTCGGGTGTTATTCAATTGGATGGATTTTCCCAGGATGACTTTAACTTGATTAAGAGTGATTTTCACCGTAGATTCAGCATCCAAGTTGAACACAAGGAACACTCCCTTAGAGGTTGGAATTGGGGTAAGACTGATTTGGCTAGAAACGAAATGGTCTTTGCTCTGAATGGTAAGCCAACTTTTGAAATCCCATATAACCATATTACAAACACTAACCTAACCAGTAAAAATGAGGTTGGTGTTGAATTCAATATACAGGATGAGAATTACCAACCAGCTGGTGATGAGCTTGTTGAAATGAGATTCTATATTCCAGGTTCTATTGAGTATTCCGGCGAAGATGAAGATATGTTAAAGAAAGAAGATAATGGCGAAGATGTTAAAAAGGAAGAAAATGAAGGTGATATTGCTAATGTTGCTGAGGAAAAGAGTTTAGCAGAAACTTTCTATGAAGAATTGAAGCAAAAGGCTGACATTAGTGAAACAGCTGGTGATGTTATTGTTTCTTTCCCAGAAGTCTTTCTGGCTACTCCAAGAGGTCGTTATGATATCGACATGTACAATGACTTTATCAGACTTAGAGGTAAGACTTACGAATATAAATTACAATACAACCAAATTCAAAGAATCGTATCACTACCAAGGGCAGATGATATCCATCATTTGATTGTCCTAGCAGTTGATCCTCCACTACGTCAAGGTCAAACGACATATCCATTCTTAGTTCTGCAATTCCAAAAAGATGAAGAAACCGAAGTTCAATTGAACCTAGATGATAAAGATTACGATGAAAACTATAAGGATAAATTAAAGAGACAATATGACGCAAAGACTCATATTGTATTGAGTCATGTACTTAAGGGATTAACAGATCGTAGGGTCATTGTTCCTGGAGGATACAAATCTAAATACGAACAATGTGCTGTATCATGTTCCTATAAGGCTAATGAAGGTTACTTGTATCCATTAGATAATGCATTCTTCTTCCTAACGAAGCCTACTCTATATATACCATTCTCAGATGTTAGTTCAGTTAACATTTCCAGAGCTGGTCAAACATCTACCTCTTCGAGAACTTTCGACCTTGAGATAAACCTTCGTTTGAACAAAGGTTCTACAACTTTCGGTAATATAAGTAAAGAAGAACAGCAATTATTAGAGAACTTCTTGAAGTCAAAGAACTTGAAAGTGAAGAACGAAGATAAGGAAGCACAACAAAGGCTTCAAACTGCTTTAGGTTCAGATAGTGAAGATGAAGATATAAATATGGGTTCTGCTGGTGAAGATGATGAATCTGTTGATGAGGATTTCCAAGTAAGTTCAGATGGCGGTGATGTTGCTGAGGAATTCGATTCAGATGCAGCAGTCAGTGACGCTAGCGGCAGTGATGGTGAGGATAGTGACATTGGTGATTCCAGACCATCTAAGAAAGCCAAAACTGATTAAATAACAATTGAATAAACTATTTTTCGTTATTCGTTCATTAGATTCTGTTTAATTTAAATATTGTATTAAAGCTTTAAAGAAATCATAAACAAATAAATTTTTTGGGCACAAATGTGTATATTTTTATTTTTTTAAGTTTAGGACGAAAGTTGGAAGGTCCTTAAGTAAGTATTGAAATAAACAAATTTTACCTATTTGACAAAAAACATAAAAAACAGAACTGAAAATAAAAGAAAGTTTAGTATATGGCATCTGACATTAGATATTAAACTCTAACGACAAACGAACATATAAAGACAAGAAGAAGACTAATATTCGAATGTTTTATATTTCGAGATGTGACTTAAATACAAAATTAATGTTCAATTGTTCCTTTTGTCACAGAGTTCCAGTTTTTATTGTCTAATGCTTAAACTTTAGAGTTAAAATATATTATAAAATACTAATATCTCCGGAAAAACAGTATGTCCAACAATTGCAAAGGACAATGGTAGATTGGACACCTCACTACCAATTTACCGGACTGTATGATGTCCGAGGTTTTGAGCGATGCGCGATATCAGGAACCGCTAGTCACTAAAAATTTAACAATGAATGATATTTGTCATATAAATTTCAGACCATCGGTAAAGACAAATCAACGAATATAGCATTTATTCAGAATGAATCATCAAATAACCCAATAATATGATATTTAAATGACGCAGTTGGTCATTTACTAGTACGATGGGAAATATAACGAAAATAAAAGAAGATTTCCAAATTTTAGAGAGCATGTTTCCAGAGGTAAGCATTTCTCCTGCTATAGAACTAATAACAGAAGACACACGGTGTATAAGTGGCTACTTCCGTTTTGATATGTTTCCATCCGGTGATGACTTAACTGTTTCCTATAAAGAGAAATCGATTAAGTTAACTAAACTACCAGGAAATGTTTTAGGATTTAAAATTGACGTAAGTAAATATCCATCATTCAAAAATAGTATAATACTAAAATTGAACTCAAAATATATTCCAGAGGAGAAGATAATATTACATTTCAAAGAACTTGACGATGAATTCAATGAAATGACTGATCCATTATCTGATAATTATGAACCCGACACACCAGTCATGATGCTTCTATTTAACCAGTTAATGTACGACTCTATTGATATGATATTCCCAAATCGCAAAATTTCATGTCTTTCCGAATCTGATTTCATTCTGTATAATGGTATATTGAATGACATAAACCAGGATCTATACAATAAATCCAATCATGATTGTTGCATATGTATCGAGACAAAGAAAGGAAAAGATATGATTGAACTTCCTTGTGGGAAGGGTCATCGGTTATGCTCATCATGCATTGTATCTTACTATTCCAAATTGATCGAAGAAGGGCAAATATCGTACGTACGATGCCCCGAATGTGACTACCATGAAGTTGATTTACATGATTACACAGATTATAAAATTATGGTAAAGGATATTTTCACACCTGCCATCCCTTTTCCATTTTTTAAAGGTATTCTTCTCGATAATTTGTGCAAAAGATATGAAAACTTATTCCACTCACAAACAGCTGTGAAACTTTCAAAACATTCGCCTTACTCCTGTATAACTTGTAGAAAATGTGATACATGGTGTGTCAAGACTGATCTCGATGAACCTATGATACGCTGTCATAAATGTGGTTCCACCTTTTGTTTTGATTGCCTACACTCGTGGCATGGTTACAATAATTCATGTGGTTCGAAGGCAACATTACCTAATGATGTACTAGAAGAATATATCGACGTGATGAATACTGATTGCGATCGTAAGAAAAAACTAATATCAGCATATGGGTTAAAAATATTGGAAAAGGGAACAAGTGATTATTTGGCGGAAAAGATGCTAGATATTGCTATTGCCGCGGAAGGATCTGATCTTCAAAGGTGTCCAAAATGTCGTGTAGTAGTCCAAAGAAGTGAAGGTTGTAATAGGATGAGATGTGGAATTTGTAGCACTGTATTTTGTTATCTATGTGGTAATAGTCTATTTTCTGATGATAGTTACGAACATTTTAAAGAAAAATATTCTCCTTGTTACGGACGACTATTTGAGGGTATGCCAGGAACAGAAGATTAAACAAGTTAGGTTCCAAGCAATACATGGACTAACACCCATAAAAAAAATTAAATGTCATGATTATTATTACAGAAACATATATAATCTTATATACATATATATCTTTATATTTTTACTAATTCTGTAGGATACCTTGTGATGCAATATCTGGTTGGTAACGAAGAGACCATTTAGGACCCATCAAAGTAACTAGACCCATGTCTACTAGGATGAACATCCAGGATGCAATATAAACCACAAAGGATAAAATTGCCACCAACCTAATGATGAATTGTAAGAAACTTAACCTTTTATCAGCTACCAAGATAGTTAAACTCTCAAAATTGTATTTAATGAATATACCAGGGACCAAATTCACGCTACTCATAGAATTATCATGCTTATGATAACGGTATTCACCAACAGAATATTGATTTGTGTCTACTTCGGCACCAAGCTTTTGGTATATAGTTGGAACCACATAAGTGTGGTAAACAAAAGCAGTCATTGGATCCTCCTTATCAAACTTAGCAGAACCATCCAACGGATTGTCGATATAAGGATAGAAATCACCAAAAGATAACTCATTAATTACATGAGCAAAATTAATCTTATCCATAGGAGTCTTGACAAAACTTCTATAACCATACCCTTTAGCCATAATTTGTAATTCACCTTGTAATCTATTAACTGAAACAGAACCAAACACATGACATCCATCCAATACTGGTAAATGTTCTGCGGTGTTTATGTCGTTCTCATCGTAATACATTCTCATGTCTATCTTTTCTCTAAATTCTGCTGGGATGGCATCCCCTAAAATTTCGTCTAGCTCTGGGGTAACTATCTCTTTAATATCATTAATTCTTGTATCATATGGGATAAAAAATGACATATCTTCGAATTTCAATTCTGATGAAGCTAATTTATTATCCATTGTCAAATCTCTAGCACGAACATCCAAAAATTCACAAGGCATTTTAATGAACATATCCAGGTTGATCTGTACATTTTCCTTAACATCTGGATCTACTATATATTGTTGATCCAAATACCCACCAAAATAATTACCGAATTCGGTCCATGCAATAAATATCAGAAACAGATACGTCAGTAATGAAGAGAGACCACCCTTTTGAGACTTCTTCTTGTATTGTTCCTCAGTCTTTGGAAACGCATCAAACGTCCTTAAACCAGCCATTGTCCTGTGTTACTTATATATCGATATATGTCTACTATTTTTGAATTATTCAAAATTGTAATGAACCTGTTGTGTCTTCTTCTTCTTTTGTTTCTGTTACTCTCACAACCTATTATACCAACGTTGTTGCGATCAATCAGAACTCCTGTTTGCGTTGATTTCAAAAATCAAGTGGGTGATTTCGAGGGTTTCTTTATCGATACTTAATTGCCAAGTGTCTTCTTTTTACGTTATTTTTCAGAGTTTCGCTACGTAATAAAGATTCGAAACAAACATATCACTTGTAATAAATCTTTCGGGCCTCTTTTTATTATTTTTCGGTAAGAAGTGTCCGTACAAACACGTGCTCGTCCATATACAACATATATATACATTAGAGTGATATATGTTTAAATACATTATATCAGATGTAATTTAAACTATCGTTATATGATACTTAACACTCTATAACGGAATCAGATGGTATTTTACAATAACGTCCCTTTCTACCGTATATCTTTCCTCATATATATGAAGCTTTTTGCTCAGTTTCGAAATTGATAGAGAACGGCGACCAAATTAGCGAAATTCGATCAACCGCTGAAGTGTAAACAAATAAAGTTGAAATGTACTGATTTACAACTAAAGACCATAAGAAGTAAACATACCCTAGAAACACGAATATTGGCTGTTGAAGCTGTTAAAACTGACAAGGAATTGATTCTTTTTACCAGTATTACAATCATCTCGATTGAGGGTTTTTATTGTTTTTGTTGTTGTTGCTTTGTTCAAACTGTGAGATTCATATTTATAATACTTTAAACCAAAGAAGTAACATCGAGAAGATATGGCAAAAACTGTTGACAAATTGGATGATTGGGAAGTTGTTATTACAGATGATGACGGAAAGATAGTTGACATTGATAATACGAGATCAAGAAGGAGAAGAAATGCTCATAACCATATACATCTTGAGAAAAAAATAGATAATCAGATAAAAAAATTGGAATTCGGAACAAATATTATAGTCAAAAACCGTATAAGTGGAGGGCCTGATATCATGTGCATGATATACGAGATTAGAATGAGTACAACCAACAATTACCTCGAATTATGGACTTTCAAATACTGGAACGAATCAAATATAGATCCTCAATGGTATTTTAAAAATTTGGATCCCAAAGTATTGGAATTAAATGAAACAAATGAATATTATCAAAATTTATTACATAAAGAGCTAAGAGATAACAAAAGACGAATTTTTACATTACAATCATATGAAGTAAACCTGAAAGATATTATCGGCTTTGTTGACGTGGTAAAGGGATCAGAGTGGACTTCACAATGCACCCCTGGTAAGACTTTCATTGTGGACTATATGTGTAGTGCAAATGGTAAATGGTTTGCTCCAATAGATTTTAAGAAAGAAATTGAACGGCTAAAGAATAAATCGACTAAGGAGATATTGGAGGGGTTTTCTTCTGTCTTATCAGAAGAACCTGAACCTGAACCTAAAACCAATGGAAAGAAAAATGCTACTATTAGAAAGACCACTAATAAAAAGGTTTCAAAAATTATCAAGTCCAAGGAACCTGCTGACGATGAGTCTATGTTAGAAAATACCGATGATGAGTCCATCGGTGATCTCTCATCTGAAGATGAATATATTGATCCTGATGAAACAGCAAATGCTGAAAAATCTTTTGCCAACGAGAGTGAAGAAGAAGAAGAAGAAGAAGATGATGATGATGACGAAGACGATGAAGATGAAGTCGACGAAGATGAAGATATTGAATATGAAAAACCTTCAAAAGGAAAAAGGAAGAGCCGATCTGTAAAGAAGAAGGAACCTACAGATTCTAAAAAACCAGCAAGAAAAAAGAAGAAGATAACCAAAGCACAATTATACTCAACTCAGGTTCGTCGATTTACAAAAAGAAATGTCGTTAGGGCTAAGAAAAAGTATACACCATTTTCAAAACAATATAGATCTATTAAGGATATCCCTGATTTAACCAATTTTGGTGGTTTTAACATGAAGAATACAGATGAATATTTTAATAAATTAGAAGACAAATTAAACACTAAATCGGATCATAAAATAGTTGAAACCATTTTCTCGAAGGTTAAGAAACAATTATATTCTTCTCGTGGTAAGGAAGAAATTGTAAAATCGACGAATTTCGGTGAATATTTACCTGCTCGTGAAAATGAATTTGCTTCAATATATCTGAGTATTTATAGTGCTTTGGAATCTGGGTCATCGACTACTGTATACATCGCTGGTACGCCCGGTGTCGGGAAGACTTTAACCGTCAGAGAGGTTATGAAAGAATTACAACATTCCGCTTCTCAAAAGGAACTACCACCATTCCAATACATTGAAATTAATGGTCTTAAAATGGTCAAACCAACAGATAGTTACGAAGTGCTTTGGAGTAAAATTTCAGGTGATAATTTGACTTGGGGGGCAGCAATGGAGTCTCTTCAATTTTATTTTGAGAAAGTTCCTAAGGATAAAAAACGTCCAATAGTTGTACTTTTAGATGAATTAGATGCATTAATCACCAAACAAGAAGATATAATGTACAACTTCTTCAATTGGACATCATACGAAAATTCTAAACTGATTGTGGTCGCAGTAGCAAATACAATGGATTTACCAGAACGACAATTAGGGAATAAAGTATCGTCAAGAATCGGATTCACCAGAATTATGTTCGCTGGTTATACTCACGAAGAATTAAAATCTATTATCGATTTAAGGCTACAGGGCTTAAATGACACATTTTTTTATGTGGATAAAGATTCTGGCAATGCCTATCTTGCAGATAATTTTACAATTGATGAAAAAAAGGATAAGCTTCCTTCTAATCTGAAAAAAGTTAGATTGAGAATGAGCTCAGATGCAATTGAAATTGCATCTAGAAAAATTGCCAGTGTCAGTGGTGATGCCAGAAGAGCATTGAAAGCATGTAAAAGAGCTGCAGAAATTGCGGAACAACACTATATGGCGGTACAAGGTTATAATTATGATGGCCAAGTTATTGTCGAATCAAAGGAAAATGAAGATGATGTTGAGCTTCAAGATACCGAAGAAGTTCAATCAAATGTTGATGCAACGGCTGATGGATATGAAACAGAGGTCGATGAGAATGGAAATGAGTACGAAGTTCAAATAGTTCGAATCAACCATATTATGAGAGCATTGAATGAAACAATCAACACTAACATAACGAAGTTTATTAACAGATGCTCGTTTACTACCAAACTATTTCTTTTTGCATTTTTGAATTTAATCAAGAAAACTGGGTATGAAGAACAAAATTTAGGTGATGTTGTAGATGAAATCAAATTGTTAATCGAAGTGAATGGTAATAACAAATTCGTAATGAAAATAACAGACGTCCTCTATCCCAAGGAACTAGGTACCGAAGCACCGCAATTACGAATGATATCCTGGGATTACATAATGTGTCGATTAATTGAGTCTGGTATTATTGTCAAACAGAATTCTAATAATGAGCGCTATTGTTCTATCAAATTAAATGTTCCTTCAGACGAGGTAAATAGGGCAGTAGAACAAGACGACCATTTGAAGGATTTCTGAATATGAACTAAATATTAAATAATTCATATAATATACATAAATATCAGCAGTAATGCATACGAAAAAATCCATCTTTTGTTAATATGAATACATTTCAAATTTTATTGTAGAATTATGTATGCTATTTTGTAAATAGATAGATAGATAGATAGATAGATAGATAGTAAGATTTTATAGTTAAGTATATAACTATTTTGCAAAATTTCTGATGGGATGCAATTAAGTAGCTGTTGTCTCTTTCGCTTTTACTTGTGATGTTGATGTTGATGATGTTTGGGATGAGAATGCGGGTGACGTCATGACTTTTGTTGGTTTACGATTTTGGTTTCCAAATTTTCTATATATTAGTAAAGGGTCTCCAGTTCGTGTAATTTCAGGTATTGTTAATGTAAGATTAAAGATTTTTGATAATGCAATTTTAAAGATTTTTTGAATATTAATTGATTTGGCTGTAGAAGAAAAGACTATTGGAGCATTCATAACCTGTGCATACTCAAGGACAGTATTACTAATCTGTTTTTGGTATTCTTTATCCATATCTATAAATAAGTCATACTTGGTTCCTACCAATATAGGAATTGCTAGATTATTCAAACCATACACTTGTCTGTACCATTCTTTTACAGAGTCCAAAGTTTCAGGTCTTGTCAGATCGAATAAGAAGATAATTGCAGATGATCCTACGGAAGCCAGTGGCAACATATTAATGAATTCTCTTTGTCCTCCAAGGTCCATTAGAGAAAATACTATATCTGTAGATCGTAGATTTATCTTGCGTTTCAAAAAATTCACACCCAATGTTTGAGTATATTCCTCATCAAATATATTTTGGACATATTTCACCATTAGGGAAGTTTTCCCTACCTGAGCGTCCCCTACTAGTCCCACTTGTATTTCTACCTGATTTTTCACATCAGGAACTATGTTTCTTTTAGATTCTGATCCTGGCATGCTTTCGTCTCTTAAATAAGGTTCGTGTCCAATTTTACTGATAAATATTTCACACTAAACTAGTATATTACAAAGAATATATAACACGAACTATAACCAGTGTTATACTATTAGTAATTCTTCTGTAGATAGCAAAAAAATGATTATTTCTGATAGACCATTAAGAAACTACTCTACCATTCCCCTTGCTAGATCTATAGAATAGTTAATACCATACCTTACATAAAAAAGTGAATCTATCTTTTGGTAACAGGGCGTACTTTGTTGTTGTTAATAGGTCGAAGACTAATTGGACGTACTTGAGGAACTGTCTGTATTGGCCGCTGTCTTCCCTTGTGGGAATTCATCTGTTTACATTTAATGATCCGCAATTCGTGATATTTCCCTTTTGGGATTAATTGAGTGTGGAAATTTTTTTATACATTTTGCGTATTTTCAGAATTCCTCCAAGTGAGTTGTGGGGTGGATAAGTTTTGTGACGATTTTAACACCCATACATATTTCCATTCGATACACCACTTCTGAATTTTTCCTTGTTTTTTGAATCTTTTGAAAGTTTTGAAACATTTTCAGCCCGAACGGCAGGTAAGTCACATAAAATATTTCGGTCGGAGCGAGGGGGAGTGCGAAAAATTCAGCCCAGCAACTTGGTTCTCAGCCCACCGGGAAAGTTCCCTTCCCCAGTTATAGAGACCACAGGTGTAGGCGAGGGGTATGAAATTCCAAATAGTGAGACAAATTGAGGTGAGAGAGCGCTGGCTCCCTACAAGCTGGGCTCAAAACATATTGAACCTGGACGAGGCAGAACGCGACGCAGTGAGAACCAGTTATTTTCCTCAATATCCGACTATCTCACATAGCGAAATTTCTAAAATTCTATCAAAGACTGCAATATTATGTATGGGACAACATAGAGAGGTAACATCACCACTATCACCATTATTGCGAATATACTCACTGGTCCTTACGATCGGAAGCCAGTATCAGTTCCCAATAACAATTAAAGTAAGAACTTATTATTACTTTATATCAGTAGTTAAGTACATTTTATTACGTTATTTATGTGTGTATAGCGTTCTTTTGAAATAGTTATTTACTTCTGTCTATAAGAAACCAAGTAACTATACCGATTATCACTTAATAATGGCTGTTGGTAAGAACAAGAGACTATCCAAGGGTAAGAAAGGTCTAAAGAAGAAGGTCGTTGACCCATTCACCAGAAAGGACTGGTTCGACCTAAAAGCTCCATCCACTTTCGAAAACAGAAACGTTGGTAAGACCCTAGTCAACAAGTCTACTGGTCTAAAGAACGCTGCTGATTCTCTAAAGGGTAGAGTTGTCGAAGTTTGTCTAGCTGACCTACAAGGTTCTGAAGACCACTCCTTCAGAAAGGTTAAGTTGAGAGTTGACGAAGTTCAAGGTAAGAACCTATTGACCAACTTCCACGGTATGGACTTCACCACCGACAAATTGAGATCTATGGTTAGAAAATGGCAAACTTTGATTGAAGCCAATGTCACCGTTAAGACCTCTGATGACTACGTTATCAGAATCTTCGCCATTGCCTTCACTAGAAAGCAAGCTAACCAAGTTAAGAGACACTCTTATGCTCAATCTTCTCACATCAGAGCTATCAGAAAGGTCATCTCTGAAATCCTAACCAAGGAAGTTCAAAACTCCACTCTAGCTCAACTAACCTCCAAGTTGATCCCAGAAGTTATTAACAAGGAAATTGAAAATGCTACCAAGGATATCTTCCCTCTACAAAACGTCCACATTAGAAAGGTTAAGCTTCTAAAGCAACCAAAATTCGATGTCGGTGCTTTGATGGCTCTACACGGTGAAGGTTCCGCTGAAGAGAAGGGTAAGAAGGTCGCCGGTTTCAACGACGAAGTTCTAGAAACTGTTTAATCAGCTTATAGCTAACAACAAACCAAAAATATAAAACTATATTAATTATATATACATATGCAAATTTATTAATCGATAAGTTTTTTCCAATATTAAAGCTTACTCTTATTTATCATTTACTTTCAGAATAGCATCTTAAATAAAAGTATATAAGGTAACCTTAATTCAGGCAAGTTAAGTTCGCAAAAAATATTGCGTACCAAAACGGTAATGATTGTAACTGATAGAAATCAATATGCGTATTTCCTCTAGTACATACAATGATTATAAAGAGTACTTTTATTACGTATCAACGTGTGGCTCAGACAGATTTTCTGTTTCATCCTGTTCACCTGTAACTGTACTACTTTCTTGGGTTTGATCATCTATATCGTCCGATTGGGTTAGTTCGTTTGGTAATTCATGCTCCATTGATGCATCCTTAGTTCCATACACATCTGATTCGTTTTCAATCTTATCCCCTTCTTCGCCATCTTCCTCATTGTCCATAATAATATCTTGATCCTCACTTTCTGACACATTGACAGCTTCTGAAACTTGGTCATGTTCTTCATCAGAATATTCAGCGGAATGCTCGTGTTTGTTCTCATCTTCGTCAAATCTCTGTCTCTTCAAGCGATCTTCATCTGCGTTATTTCTTGCCTCATCTTCGTCATCTTCCTCTGAATCTTCATTACCTTCCATATCGATATCAGGTCCATTTAATGGAACATCTCTTTTAGAGAGCTCGTCTTGTAAAACGTTAGTTATCTTTGAGAATATATCTGCATCCTTTAACCATTTGTGCTTGTACAAATCTATCTCTTTCGTCAATTTTGTAATATCTGATTTCATGGCAATATTTAAACGTTTTGCTTCTTTTGGACCATTGGAGAAATCCTCATACACTCCCAATTTCTCTTGTTTGGAGTACCTGCTTTCGATTTTTAAATGATTTTGCTTTATTAATTGATGTGTTATATCTTTACCAAGTTCTTGCTCCCACTCTTCTTGTGATACAGCTAAACTAGTTCGCCCCGTAGCCAAGGTATTAAATTCCTGGTTAATAGATTTTACACTATCATAGAGTGCTTGAAGTTTCCCTATTCTACTTCTAAGTCTAGAATGTATATTTTTTAATTCAGGCAAAACTTCTCCAACATTATTTTCGATATCTTTTCTTACTTGGTCGTTAGACTGTTGCCAATTTTCAACACTTACTTTTTTAGTGTCAATCGCTGATTGAACTTCTAAGAAGTGCAGCTCAGATGCTTCACTTAAGCTATTGATGGTAATTTCGTTAAATGCATTACTTCCGTTTATTCCATCTTTGGATGTATCTAGACTCCCGGATAATAGGTCGTTGCAAATATTTGTGACCTTTTTTACTCCCTCAACATATTTGGTAAATGGAGTATCTATTTCACTGAACAATACTTTATCTTTTACCTGTCTTATTTCAATATCTGTTAGGGACATGCTGTGTTTTTTTTTGTTTAATTTTATCTAAGCTCAATATCTTTACAAAGTAGAATTGTATGCTTTCTAATTCAATACAACTACAAGTAATATACTGCGTTTCTTCTACCCCGAGTCTTTTAGTCTTTGAAAGAAGTAACATACATTGTATTGTGTTACATTTCTCTCTATAATATCTATAATACTACTAAGATTTTTTTTCAATATATCTTCTGGTAAGGCTCCGCAAGATCGTGCCGATGAATTTATGTAAACTTGACAACCCTAAAATATGTCAAAACTTTGCAAGTTTTCATGTAATACTCTATGATATATCAGTGTGCTTGATACGATTAGATTTGTAACCGTACACTAATATGTAACGTAACGTAATATGTAATATGTATATATGTACTTTTATCTATAAGAGTATTCGCTGTAAAATTTAACAAGCTGAGTTTTCAGTGCTTCGATCTTTCCCGTCTTGTTTGCAATAATTTAGCAATACTGCTCCCACGAATTCTGTTACCGTTGTTATCAGGTTTGCTATTTGTGCTATAATTTCTATATTTGGGAGCATATTGTAATTTCCCTTGAGGTTGTCTTTTTGCAGGAGGATCATTCCCAAGTTTTGCCAGTGCAGAATCGGCAGATGTTAGAGTCGTATAAAAGTCTACCACTTTATCATGGGCAGCAATTCTACTTTTGTCGAAATTTAAAACTTGTAAACCAGCCCTTGAGACAGCTCTCGACAATGCTACGTATGCCTGACCCTTTTCAAATACTCGTCTCAAATCAACTTTCACTTTAGGCAATGTTTGTCCCTGTGATTTGTGAATTGATAAAGACCATGCAAGCATTAAGGGTAACTGGATTCTAGAAACAAGAGGTTTCTCTTGTTCATCTTCAATAGCCCATTCCTCTGGTTCTACAAGAATGGTTCTTGTACTTAAGTCAGACATCTTAAATCTAACAAGAGGAAGTTTTCGACCACCTGAACTTTCATGTATTTGATTTAACCATTCCCTCTTCCGTTCAAGATTATTGTTTTCTTCAGGATCTTTTGAATTTACATCATTCAAAAAGTCAAATATGCTATTATCAAGTGGTCCCCTTGACATCTGGTTTACTGATTTGTTGAATGTATCTTTTATTAATTTATTTCTTTTAATCCCATTCATCTCATCTTCAGCAACAGCTTCTTCCTTTAATTCTTCAACACGTAGTGGATCATTTTTCAGCTTATCTAATTCTTCTACGCTAACTCCAGGGTTCCCACTCATTACATTATAGAAGAAGTAAGTATCTGCATCCATAAAGTCGAGCACTTTACCTAGTGACCCATTCACTAATGTGGCATCAATATTTTTTATCATCATAACTTGTGCACCGACTTTTAAATGTAATTCCCTAGGCGCCAAAAAGTTTTGTAATAACTTATCCCTTAATTCAACGTCCTTTAAGTTACCTGCATCAGAAGCTCTGAAAAAATGTACTTCACCTGGCAGTTTGGATAATCTCTGATTATTTGCTCGGTCGACCTCATTTCTTGTACTATACAGTTCTGCTGGAATAATCTCATCATTCGGAAGATCTCGATTTAATTTTTTGAACTCCCTCTCTGTCTCTGCGTCAATCTTACCTAATCTCATTTTATTCAACATATCTATGAACTTCAGATCTCCCTGTTGCCTGAAAACTCTTTGCAACATGACTGTAATATCAATACCTTCCTTCCATGAGAGAGCTTCGAAGGCAAATTTTGTTGGGTTTCTGGGATCTTTTGAGACTGGTGGTAATTGGAAAAAATCACCACAAAATATGACTTGGATTCCGCCAAATGGTTCACGATTCTTTCGAATCTTTTTAGATATATGGTTAAGTTTATCTAACAAATCACCGTCTAACATAGATATTTCATCAATGATTAGTGCCCTCATCTCCTGCCATCGACGTAAATGTTTTTTGGACCTACGTACTTTCTTGAATAGCATGTCTCCATCACCTTTCCCAAGACCAATACCAGTATATGAATGTACTGTAACACCACCGATATTGCATGCCGCAAGACCTGTAGATGCAGTCACAGCAACGTGATCTCTACCATATAAGTCTCTCAAACTTTTAATTAACTCTTTTAATAGAATTGATTTACCCGTACCGGCACTACCTGTATAGAATATATTATACCCTTTCTCCGCAAGATTGATAATTTGTTCTTGTTCCACGCTAAGTCTAATAGGTATTTTCACTTTGGTGTTAGGTGGTAGTTGTAGTTGAGGTGTACCACCTGAATTTTCGCAATTAAGTTCCGGATTGAAGAGAGAAGGAGCTTGTGTAGAGAAAGAAAACTTATTACTTAAACGCGCTTGGGCCTGCCCTATAGGGATATCACTGACTGATCTATTCAATTCACACTTGCTATCTGATGAAACAATTTCTACTGTATGAGGCTGTGAGGTGCTGACACGTATAGATGTATCATTTACAGAAGATGCTTGCTGTTTGGTTTTGAAGCTGGTATCTAGTAAAGAGGAAAAATCCATCTCTGAAGAATCACTACTTTTTATTTGAATAGGATCACGTCCTTTTGGAACTTGTGCAGGTGTAGATAATTGTAATAATCTATCTGAAAGGAGATCTACCTTTATTGGAGTATCTTGAACGCTAGAATTTTTAAAATTAGGTTGAGAGTTCATTTGTTGAACTATATCATCTAGTTCTGAATTGTCATCTTCATTGCCAAGAAAATTTGTATGATAATGTCGGGTAGATATAGCTTCTATCTTCTTATGCTCTGATATTATTGATTCACGGTTGCTAGGTTTAAGGTTATCAAATTTTGAGTCATTCAGAAGGAAGGAATCCTCACTGTCCCAATCATCTGATTCTGAGAGAATGTCATTAATTTCTAACAAATCTTCATTAGTAATTTTTGACTTCTTTGGAAGTAATGCATTAGAAGACCCTGTAAATGGCCTCTTCGACATATATATGATATCAGCTGTATGTGTCAATTTAACTAGACCAGGTAAAGGATATACTCTTTGCGATCTTAAAAGTGTTGTAAAAGTTCTTATTGTTCTTATATGCATGAATTCATTAATTGTGGAATTTCTACAGAAATGAGGGGTACTCTTATTTGTAGTTACTAGGTGAGAGTGGTGAATTATTTGTTTATCTCCACGTTAAGTAGTCACGATCTCTAAGCTCTGTATAAAATTCAAATATATAAAATGTTTGTAATCTGATAATTTACCAGTAAATATATCTGATTATCAAAAACAAAAGAAAATACAGTATTTGTTTATCTCTATGGTAAGATCCCTCTCGAAGGTTTAGCGTACTTGAACCTGTAAACTAACATATTGACGATACACCAAAATATATGTATTTATTTGTAGATTTATATTACGCGATGCGATATATCACAATTTTTCCTTTTATAGCGGATCATCACCAAACTGAAATTTTTCTTCGAAAGATTTTATTACGTTAAAAGTGGTCTATATAAATAGACGCAGTTAGATTCATTTATAAAAGAAGATGGTGATACTATAACGTTAAATATAACATTAAAACTGGAATAGAGTACGATGAGTTTACAATGGGGGAAAATATATGTAACTAGGGAAGAGTTATCTCTGGCAAATGTATTACAGGCAGGTCAGGCATTTAGGTGGATTTTAGATGAAAACTCCGGAGAATATTTGACTACTATGAAAATAGCAAATAACCTAAACTATAGTGTTGTTTTATTGAGACAAACCGATGATAAGTTTATTGAGTGTTCTACATACGATAAAGTTTGTGATCTGAAAGATCTAGTATCTCATTTTGAATCATATTTTAGAACTGACGTTAAAGTGGAAGAAATGCATGCAAATGAGTGGTTACCTCGGGACCCAAAATTCCAAAATATTGAAACTCATGGTATTAGAATTCTTGGGCAAGAACCTTGGGAGACTTTAGTTTCCTTCATCTGTTCTACAAATAACAACATATCTAGGATAACTAAGATGTGTCATGCTCTATGTTTAAATTATGGTAAGAAGATCGGTTCTTTCAATTCCACAGAGTTTTACTCATTTCCTTCTAGCGATGAGATAATGAACAAAGCAACAGAGGCTGAATTAAGAAGTTTGGGTTTTGGTTATAGAGCTAAATATATTATTGAAACTGCTAAGAGGTTAGTACAAAATAAGAAGGAAAATGATATACTATCCGATACTGAATTTCTAATGATGATGTCCAAATCAAATGATTATAACGAACTCAGAGAACATTTGATGAGCTATTCCGGGATTGGCCCTAAAGTAGCTGATTGTATCTGTCTTATGGGTATGAGAAAAGATCATGTAGTACCAGTTGACGTTCATGTCGAACGTATTGCTCAGAGAGACTACAGGATTAAGGCAACTAACAAAGAGATCGTTCAATTAAGAGAATTATACAAGACATTACCAATAACACGTAAAAAGGTAAACTTCCAGTTGGATTACATTAGAACAAGTCTCAACGAAAAATGGGGGCCTTATGCTGGTTGGGCCCAAGGTATCCTTTTCTTTAGAGAGGTTGGTGGTACTACAGGTGCAAACACAGAAGGTAAAATTAAAAAGCGTAAGAATGATAATATCAATGTAGTAGCTGAAGATACCAAACAAGAGCAAATGGATGATATACCAAGTAGTAAGAAATCCAGGATAAAATCAGAACAATTAATATAAATATTCTATCATTAATCATATATATATATATATATATACATATATTAATTTTGTACAAATGCATATTAAATGAATAATACTGAAAAACCATTACCTTTTAAATACTATTACGTCTATGTAAAAGAAATTCAGGCATTTCTGAGTTGATAATAGTGGCATCTCCACCGGGAATATTTGGCATCTTGTTATCCTCTTTCAAAGTTGTAAAAAATATTCTACCATATTTCAATCCCAATTTGTATATCTCTTCAAACTTTGAAAATTCTAAGGTATTATACTTATCGATTGGAGGTCTAGCATATATCACACCTTTTGTATGCTTGGCTTTCTCCAATGCATTCACGGATGCGACATAACCTAGCCTAACTTGAATTTCAGTAAGATCCGGTATATTTGGATGACTTGAGAATGGGTTAAAACGATTAAAAATAATCCAAAAACCATTCAAAGAGTCACCATATGACATTAAAGTTCTATCATCCATGGAGCCAACATCAATAGCGAATATTGTATCACAACCTCTCGCCTTCATCTCGAGGACTGGAAGATTATCGACATATCCACCATCCAGCAACATGCTCCCATTCTCCTCCAATGGAGGCAACAAACCAGCTAAACTCATGGAAGCTCTAATATACCGCCATGCATACCCAAAAGAATGAACCTCTTGTACAGACTCGGTAATATTCGTGGAATTACAGAAATAAGGTAGCCAAAAATCTTCAATTCTAGTATCACCAAATACTTTCCATATACCACGATTAAACTCGTGACCTGTGGTATATGATGTTACGGGCCAGGTTAAATCCGTTAACATTCTCCAAACAGAAGATATTCTACCACAAAACTTCTTTGTTCGACCAAATATTGACAGCATGTTGTAATCCTTGGCATAAAGCCCACCGACAAAAGACCCGATTGATGTACCACCAATCATATCAATAGGAATCCCTTGTTCTTCTAAGGCTTGTATAACACCCAAATGACTGATACCTTTTGCACCACCACCACCTAGGACTAATCCTATAGCTTGACCGGATAGAATTCTTGCTAAACGCAGAAAGTCATCCTTATATGTATCTAAAGGTGTATAATAAGGAGTTTTCTTTTTCATGAATCTTGAAGAGAAATTCTCAACTGTTGCCCTTATTGTACCTGGAAGAAATCTTGAAATGTTTTGCTGTGTCTTCTTGCTAAAATCTGCTTGAATGATCTTATCAATTAATGACATCATGCCATGATTTTCAGAATCTCCAGAAATACCGCCTCTTTCATATTCGTTCACCAAAAATCTCATATGATGGTGTGCATCGACCCAAGGTCTAGGTAAGAGCCATCTATGAGTTAATCCAGGCTCCACGTAAGTCTCAGGATGAAGTAAAATTAATTCGGTTCTAGCAGTAGATTTTGAATCCAATAGTAATTTTTCATATTTACCAACCTCACTACTTGCATGGGCATCCGACAAAAGTAGAATACAATCTCCCTGTGATATACAAGTACTTGTCCACGAAGAATTGATTGACGGATCTGCAATGTACACTACTATTTCATACATCTGTTCCAATTCGGCAAAATAACCACTTTGCTTTAATTTAGCCAATCGATCAAATGCATGGCGACCTAGATGTGTCAGTGTCGTTCTTTGGTTAAGACCAATAGTAGTACGCCCTACTTGTTTAAAGGCATTTACTAGTTTCGATGCAAAAATTTCTACTGGTAATCCATCCGTTATTGGGAGTATTGTAATGGATCTATATGTTCGTGAACGGGAGTATGTGCTTTGGGTATTGTGGTATGAGTGTAAATGTGTCGTCCTTCTTTCAGATGGTATTGTTAAATCAAAGTCATATTTGTTACCGTCGTCACCAACGATCCTTGCAACATTGGTATTATCAGAATTTTGAATCATCATCTTCTTTGCAACTAATCTTGAAACACGGATCATGATAGATGGATGTTCAAGAGCTAAGGACTCGAATAAAGTTCTTGGAATACGTGCTAACTCTGAGTCACGTATCGCAACAGTTGTATTGAAACGATTTGTTGCAGTTAATACTTCTAATTCACCAAAACTTTCTTCTTGAGCTAATTCACCTACTACCATGTTATTGGATGTTGTGTCTGAAGACCGAAACTGCCTTAGCCTCCCATTTAATACTACATATATACCATTTGCTGGATCCCCTTGTCTAAATAATGTTTCCGATGCAGATAAATGAACCCATTCTAATGCGTGGTCTAGTTTTAAAATTCTTGGAGATAGAAGGCTGGTCAAGTTTTCAGCTAATCTTAGATATATCAGAAAGTATTTATCACACAATCTCTCTAGTACATCATTGGGCAAAAATCCAACATAAACATCAGTTTTGGCTTTCAATCCTACAAAAGATCGATAATTAACTAAACTAGTTAGATAACCTGCTATACCACCTTCCTCAACAGTATATAATATTCTATTTCCTCGTTTAGACTTCTTTTGTTTTGGCGTGTGCCCGATCGGCTCAACCTCTACACCTTGGTTGTAATTCAACAATGTAACATCAATTCTACCTTTAATGACATAATATAAACCTTTCCCATTTTTATCTTGTTCAATAATTGTAGATCCCTGTTTAAAGTATTGAAATTGAATTGCATCTGAAAACTCACTTTTAGCAAATTCATAATCAAGACTGGCGGAGATTTCTTCCTTATATTCAATCTTTTTTTTGCTTCTTTTGACTTTGGGAGATCTAATTGCAAAATTACTTGGTAAGATACGTAATGTGTGTCTTGGATAATTAGATGACGCAAATGAGCTTATCAAGGAAATATCAGATTCTCTGTGAGTCAAAGTAGAACTGTTACTGGTATACTGACCGGATAATGATACTTGACTTGAATGACTTGTTGGCGTTTTCAAAGTCATATTCTGCTCATTAATATTCAAATATGCAAATATAGCTTCAACAACAGCCATCTTTAGAGTTGAGTCTAATGTTTCATCTTGTTGAGAAGAGAATCCAGTCGGTTCCGTTCCATTACTAGGTACCCTTCCGGATGTCACAGACAGTGGCGATTTTGTTGATTCTCTTAATTTGTCAAAAGTTTGAGATCCACTTGGAGTAGAAGGGTTTGTAGTTTTATTTGTTGATACTTCCTTTCTAGATAGAGGAACATTCGATAACAAATCACCTGGATTTAAATGATCTCTAGAGCCTAAAACAATATGCTTAGAAGGTATGTGTGGCAATTTTGGCCTATGTCTTCCCAAGACCCCCGTAGTACCAGTAGTACCTGCGGTAGTGGCAGTCATTCTTTTATTACTATCATACCTTTGGTTTTTCATATCTAACAAAACTTTTTTAACTGCCTGGTCCTTCAGATATGGTGGTAATTCATAGTCTACAGATTTGTTTAGCAAGTATTCAATCTGCATAATTTCATCTGTTAAGCCCAGATAATTATGGACTGTTTGAAACGTAACGTGATATATCTTTGTAAGAATCATTTGAATAATGTGACATACTGATCTGGGATATTTTAAAGTCAAATTTTCAAATGCTTGAGGTGGAATAATTGCAATAGTGCAATCGGTTTCTGCTCTAGCAAGGATGTTTGGAATTGGTAAACCAAGATTTGGAACAACTCTTTGATTAAAAAATTCAGAGTTAGGCGGAACATCTGATTCATTTAAACCATTCTCCTTTAATTTACCCTGATTTTGTAAGGTAAATTCTACCAATTGATCTTGAACTGAATCCCTTTTCGTTGAAGGCTTCGGTGTATTTATTCCAGAGTTGACGTTGTTTTGTTCCCTGGAAATACCACTGTTTCTCGTAAAAAGGGTCAAGATGGTAGCCAACGATGATACAGGGTTCCCTGGCTTTACGGTATTTAATAATTGATATTTGCCTAATCCATTTTTCAAATGGATATAACCTGACGAATCATTCTCAATGAAACTTTGACCATCAGTATCAGATCCATCTAAAGGAATATAATTTTCTTCCGATGATATAACTGAAGCAGATGGTGATGATGAAGGTTGATAGTTATCACTATTATTATAGTTCTCCATACTTGCTGATCTATAATAGTCGTAATCATTTTGAGTGTTTGTAGTTGGAGAATCGTTTTCTACTTCATGAAAAATTTGTAATGTACCTTCTACTACGATGGCGAACCCAATTGAATTGTCTAATAATAAGATTTCACCTTCATCCAATTTCTGTGTTTTCATATTTTTAGTTAAATCGTGAAAGACTGGCTTTTCAAGATAACCAAAGATTTTGATTGCAGATAAGAATTGATCTAGGTAAGAGGAGAAAAATGATTTATTGCTATCGTCATCATCATCAACAAAAGTAGGACCCTTATTTCTTTCTGTTTTATCTTCATGAAAAGTTTTATCGAATTTATACTTCATTTCATTTGAGAAATTCTTGATATTGTCTCTTGAGTGATCTCTAGTTTTACTAGCGGTTCTATCATTTATTAACTTGTTTTTAGTGTCAGTCGAACTAATATTGTTATCATCGAAATCAGGTGTCAATTTTTTATACTGGGATAATACTCCATTTTTCATTATACTATAAACGATATAAGTAATAATAGAGCAAAGTATAGTGAAAACAAAAAAATTTAATTTTAATGAATAATTTGTTGATAAATGGAATAACCATTTCGGGCCACATAGCAATATGCCAAATATTGAATAAAAAGATAACGATATCACCTTTAAAAACGTTGGTAAGAAATGTATGAATACGGAACTCAATTTAATCTTAATATTGTCTTGTGTTACATTTGCGGAATGATATTCTGTTGAAGCAACCATCGTGTCATTGTCATTATTTCTAGACATATGTGGATGAGGAAAACGAAAAAAAAGAGTGCGATAATTGAATCGTAAGGGAGTTCACAAAAAGTTTAAACACGTTATTTGTAAAGGTATGCAGATGTTTTCTATGGTTAGATTAATTGATTTTATAAAAATAAGCAGCGCTTTTCGTTTATTGTATGACATACAAAGATATGTGTTAAGTTTATTGTGTTTTAAATTCTAGTATCCCTTTGCTTATTTAACTAAGAAAGCAAAAACTTCAACGGGAAAATATGTATATTATATGTGCTTAGGAACCGACAGCCGCAATAAAAAAAAAATAGAAAAACACCGAGAACTGTCAATGGGAACACAAGAAAACGCCCAATAACTTATGTTGAACATAATATTAATACATGAATGAATGATGAACACACTGGTATAATCGTACCCCTGAGGGGATATTCAGAGAGTGAAGCTAACAAACATACTAATATGTTTGAATTGTATCGAGATGATCATGGAAAGTGTGTTCTTAATATTGATATTATAAAAATACGGCAGATATTGTGTACTGAACATTTATAATGGGTCGATACATGATAAGGTTAGTTATATAAACTATAACAAATCTACGTCTTATATCTTTAATTTCCAATATTAAATGAAAATAATAAAATTCACATCATCTTGTGTTCAACAATATTGTTTGAAAAAACTGATATTTCTGCAAACCACACACAGAGATCACACATGCTCTCTATATCCTAATACAGTAATATTCTTATTAAAACGGAAACATACGGATTTATATGTATTACTATGTATAATTTGATTAATAACACCATTCTCAGGTGGAGGTCGCCATATTGTTTTAGAAAAGAAACGAAGTTCGACAAGTTCTAATCAACCCTAAAAGGAAATACTCAAACAGAGTGTACTTTTTTTTTCATTCCAAATAATTGTTAAATAACTGTTAGTGGCATAATAAGATATGGAATATGCTATATACATATCTCTTGGGCAATTTATACGTGACAGCAAAGCGGGTATAGGGGTGGGCCATTGCCATGGTAACGATTTCCTTCTTCCTATCTAATTCTTCCAACGGCGACATCTCTCTGGCTTTACTCTGAATGCGTAATCCTCACAGGAAAAACTTCTTTCCTTTTTTCTCTGGATGGTTCTGTCTCTCCGCGATTTCTCAGTTGTTTGGTTGCTAGAAGAAAAACACATATTTATTTATAAATTTAGTGGTGCTACGCCACTTTCCCTGAACGGGACGTGTATTTTTCTTTGAATTCAACTTTTGGGGTAAAAACGCGACAAAAGAAAAACTTCACCACGGCAACCAATCTTATATTTCTGTTACCTCTGAAAACAACGAACGTGTCTTCTATTGGTAAATGTCGTTATTATTACTCATTTGAATTAAGTGTTGCTCTCTCTCTCTCTCTCTCTCTCTCTCTCCCTCTCTTGGTTCCATCAATTTTTAAGCTAAAGAACCGGAGCAATAATTAACTAAACATATTATTTACTTTAATATAGTGTGAGGGTGAGGGCGAATGGGAGTGGGAGTGGGAGTGGGTGGGTGAGTGTGGGTATCCTTTATATATTTTTCTCGTTTCTTTTCTTCTTCTTACCTAATTTGTATGTAAGATCATCGCATAAAAACATAACCATATTTATCTATCATCCTTCATTGAAATTCATATTAAAGGAAAGTATAAAAAGGGGACTAAATCAGATCAATAAAATATACATGTATGTCATCTATTATAATTCTCTTTATCCTTTTATTTCTTTTTTCTTTGGTGTTAATAACTAATATATACCACTACTACTAACAAAAAATAATTATATATATTAACGATGAGTGAAACTGAAATGAAACTGGCTGAAAAGAAACTACACGACATGTCCATTGAAGAACAAAAGGATATGTATGGTGATGAAGACACTATGAACAAATACTTTGTTAACTTAGCTGGTAGAATTAGAAATTCTGTCTCTGGTGGCTACTTGCTACCAAAGGAAGATGACAAGGCTGGTAAGGCTTAATCATAAATCATGAAACTTTATTATGAAACATTACAAAAAAAAAATAGTTTAGTCGTTTGGTTTAACCAAATTAAATTTTTAGCTACCTTTTTAATTCTCTATCTATACAACTTGCAATATAAAATTTGCATTTTGCAATATACACACCTATATATATATATATATATATTGCCTCATTTAATAAATACATAAATTTGGTTATGATATTGTTACTATTTCGTTATATTTTGGTGATCTTATTATAATATGAGATACACACCCAAACATCTTGGTTCTAAGAAAATGATTGTTTACATAACCCAGACACCCCATTCAACGAAATGTCAATATTGACAGTAACCCACACACCACATACTCTTCTAATACACATACCGCCCTTTTTAATTCCCCGCGCCACACACCGCTCTACTCTCCCTTTTTCTTCGGTCTATTAGTTTACCACAACAAATAACACCCATACATCTGGATGATTTATTATTATTATCGGTCGGAGTGTTGTGGTTTAGTAAAAAGAAAAAAGAAGAATAGGATAGGATAGGATAGATAAAGACAGTGGCATCTCCAATATTAAACTGATTTGTCATTATCGTTTAGTACAACGTCTGAATTCAATGTTCATATATAAAGAGACTAATAGATTTGATTCGAAATATATAAAAATTAGATTATAATAATTTTCTGTCTTACTTTTACATATTTATTTTTCTATTTTACTTTTTGCTTATACGGAGAGAAAGAAAAAAAAATTTGAACACCTCACTTATACAATAAAACTTTTTACAATGAATGACGAACAAAAGACTCAATACTTGAAAGAATTAAACGAAACCTCTGAAAGAGTTAAAGAACATGTTAGACAAGAACAAGCAAGCAAGTCTCCAGAAGTTGCTCAATCTTCTGAATTTAAGAGAGTTCCAATGCCATCTATGACTGTTCCTCCACCAATGCTAGCTAAAAACTCTAATGTTGGTTCTTCTTCTACTTTAGAAATGTGGGATGAAGGTGTTAATCAAAAATTGAATGAAATTGATAACAAGATGAACAAATCTGATTTATCCGTCTTTTTCACTAAAGGTGAAATTGAATTCTAAGTTATATCTATATTATAAATTTTAATATAAATATTCAATATGCATTCAGATAAACTACTGTTGATAGAGATGAAATGGTGTTTTTCTTTATCAACGAGACAACGCTTAAGTTTGTTTCTTTTTAATATAAATTTAAGTACAGGAAGTTGAAAATATCCGTCGATATAAACCGTCTTATACGTGTGTGTCTGTTTTATTATTATTATTCAATTATTTGGAATTGAGACACATTGGACAGTTATGGTAGGACAATTGTAGATGTACAAATATAAGATGTCATATATATATCTATATATATACTTTGTTTTTATGTTATCTCCATTTTTAAATATTAATAATGAACTTATTAACAAATCACTTCTAGTCTTTATTATCGATGACTTCGTGATTATATTTCCTATTTAGGAAGTGGCGTAGTTTGTCCTATCGTACGAAATTTAATGACCGGGTAACACCTATTGACTCCCCCCTCCCCTCCAAAAAAACGATCTGAAATTTTCAAATTATATTGTTGACGATGGAATCCCTTTACGGTGATAGTGAAGGAAGAGCACCATATTATGATTATTATTATTACAATAATAATAACAATGGTAAAGCAAAGTAAAAGATTGATTACCTGAATGAATAGTATATAGTTATAACAATTATACAGATTCGTATTAAAAATATCTTTCATTTATTATTATTCAATTTAACAAAAGGATATAGATAAAGTTATATTATCATTTGAAAGAATCATATTGACTGTATCCCTTTATAAATCAAGATTAAGAAGTAATTTTTGGTTGTATTTTTGCTTCATCTGTACATTATTGAGTAATACAAAATATAAGTTACTTACAACATTTACAAATATGTCAATGGATCAAAATAACAATAACAGGGGAAAAACTGAAGCAGAAATTAATACAGAAAAAGTTAATGCTGCTATACAAGTAATAGAAAATAAAAAGATTGAAGATAATAGCAATACATCCTCAGTTAATTCTACTTCATCTACTACGGGTAATACACTATTACAACATGCCCAAGATTCTTATACCATGGAAGATGGCACAATTGTCTCAACTAAGGAAAGAGTTGTTAAAAAGGTTAATCCTGTAGCAAAAAGGGCTCCCACTGATGAAGAATTATTTGACCCAGTAACAGATTTACCAAACCATGAATTCTTAAAGGAACATTTTAAAAGGGAAGGACGATTGACAGATTCACAAGCTTTGAAAATATTAAGTATGGCTACCACATGTCTAACTAATGAGCCTAATTTATTGACTGTCCCAGCACCAATCACTGTTTGTGGTGATATACATGGTCAGTACTATGATCTTTTGAAATTATTCGAAGTAGGAGGTCATCCAAAGGATACTCCATATTTGTTCCTGGGGGATTATGTAGATAGAGGTCTGTTTTCATTTGAATGTCTAATATATTTATATTCTTTGAAATTAAATTTCCCAGATACTTTCTGGCTATTAAGAGGTAATCATGAATGTAAACATTTGACTTCTTACTTCACATTCAAAAATGAATGTTTACATAAATATAATTTGGAAATTTTTGAAGCATGTTGCCATTCATTTAATGCATTACCATTGGCAGCTATCATGAATGGTCAATACTTCTGTGTTCATGGTGGTATATCACCAGATTTGAAAACTGTTAATGACATTAATCAGTTAAATAGATTTAAAGAAATTCCTTCAAGGGGTTTGATGTGTGATCTAGTGTGGGCAGATCCAATTGAATCGTATGATGAAGTGGATCCAAACGTAACAGATGAAGATGATGAATTAGCCATTAAATTAATTAATGAAAATGATTATACTCAAATCAATAAATATTTTACTCCAAACCAAGTTAGAGGTTGCTCATATGCATTCACTTATCAAGCATCATGTGCATTTTTACAAAGAACTGGTCTATTATCGATAATAAGAGCACATGAGGCTCAGGATGCAGGTTACAGAATGTATAGAAACACAAAAACGTTGGGATTCCCAAGTTTATTGACACTTTTTAGTGCTCCAAATTATTTGGATACTTATAGAAATAAAGCTGCTGTATTGAAATATGAAAATAATGTCATGAACATCCGTCAATTTAATATGTCTCCGCATCCTTATTGGTTGCCTGATTTCATGGATGTATTTACTTGGTCTTTACCGTTTGTTGGTGAAAAGGTGACCGAAATGTTGGTAGCCATATTGAATATTTGTACGGAGGATGAATTGGAGGAAGAGACACCTTTGATTGAAGAAGCTATAGTGAAGGATCCACAAGTACAAACTCCTAATGTTACAGTCAGTAAGCCATCTACAACCATCGCCGATGATTGTACTAATACTCAAAAGATTAAATCTTCTTCTATTTTAGATGATGACAAGAGAAGAAAAGCATTAAGAAATAAAATTTTGGCAATTGCTAAAGTTTCAAGAATGTATTCTGTTTTGAGACAAGAGAGTGATAAAGTCCAATATCTGAAGAGTATGAACGATGGTATGTTACCTCGTGGTGCTTTAGCACATGGTTCTGCAGGGCTGGAAGAAACATTAACCCACTTTGAAAGGGCAAGAAAGGAAGATTTGGTAAATGAAAAACTACCTCCATCGTTAGAAGACGTCAAAAAGGAAAAAGATAAATATTATAATGATATTTTGAAGAGAGCAAAAAACGATAAGTAATAAAATAGCATTTATATGTGATAAATAATTATATTTATTTTTAATGTAACTATTTTTGTTCCCCGCCCTCCTTCTAATCTTAATCCATTTTTTAAAATTAATGTACAATGTAAATTTCTTAAATATTTACTTATTTGTGAAAAATGTTTTTATATATATGTATGTATGAAGTTCAGAAGAAATTAATACGTTTGATTATTATCAGATGTATAACTCTAACGATATAAATCACACTTAGTTGTGTAGACGCTTCTCGTAAGAGTGTAAGTTGTTGATACCACCTTCCATTTGAGCAGAAGCGGTTCTGAATTCGAATCTAACCTTACCAGCATTGACAGCTTCCTTCAAAGCATCCAAAGATGGGGTACCGATATCTTGGCAAGAGTGTTGTAGACCATTGTACAAGTATGGAATGAACTTTTGGATAGAACCCTTGTCAACAACAGCACCAGAGACACCTTGAGCGACTAGAACCTTATCGGATTCAGAAAAGTAACGAGAAGTGGAAGCATTACCATTCTTACCAGTTTGTTGCATGGCGTCAATGGAACCCATACCACGGTAAACCTTTAATCTCTTACCATCTCTGTAGAAATATTCACCTGGAGACTCATTAGTACCAGCAAGCATACCACCCATCATGACAGTGGAGGCACCTAGAGCTAAAGCCTTAATGATGTGACCAATGTTTTGGACACCACCATCAGCCATACAAGGAACACCAAATTCGTTGGCGAACTTGCAGACATTGTAGACAGCAGTAGCTTGTGGTCTACCAGAAGCCATGACTTCTTGGGTGATACAAATGGAACCAGAACCCATACCGATTCTTAGACCATCACAACCACTGGCAATCAAATTAGCGGCTTGTTCTCTAGTGACAACATTACCGGCAATGACTTCTAAATCTGGGTAAGTCTTCTTAACCCATTTCAACATATCAATCTGGTACATGGAGTTACCTTGAGAGGAGTCAATGGTAACAACATCTAAACCAGCTTCGACCAAAAGGGTCAATCTCTTTCTGTCATTTGGTAGAGTACCAATGGCAGCACCACACAACAATTGTTTGGTGGTAGCAGATTTAGAGGCCAATGGGAAGTTTTGGTTCTTCATTAAATCAGTTCTAGAGATCATGGAGACCAAGTTCTTTTCTTCATCGACGATCAAAAGCTTACCTTTCTTAGTCTTCTTTAAGATTTCATTACCTTCTAGCAAAGTTAGACCTTGTTTAGCAGATAGTGGATCTTTAGTCATGACTTCAGAGACAGGTAGAGATTCATCTTCGACAAATTGAACATCACGGGAAGTGACTAGACCTAGTAATTTACCTGGGAATTTGCCACCTTCTAAATATAAAATAAGGAAATAAAAAAATAAATCATCATAGATGAAATAAATTATATTATTTTTGATTGTTAGTAAAAAAAATGAATTTGAATGGGGGAGGGGAAAAGATTATCTCTTATTTTTTTTCTAGTATTGATGTAAGTTTTCAAGTAATAATGTTCTATTTTTCTTTAAGTTTTATAATAGAATAATAAAACGTATCAGATAGGAAAGTTCTCTACAAGATCGTTTGATCGCAGTCAGTAGAACGAAAGTTATTAATTTAAAAAAGTTTAATCATCATTGTAAGTATAATTCCATTTAATAAAAAAAAATTAAAGTAAAATAGAATCGAAATATATCTGAAAACAATATCAGAAAAAAAGTGGGATAAGGGATAATAATAATAAGTAATTAATTAAAACATACCAGTAACTGGGAAACCAGAGAAACCTAATTGTTCCTTCATTTGTTTAACTTCACCAATAGTAGTAGTTGGAGTAACAACGACTGGAGAGTTAATGAACCCATTTTCATAAGTCTTAACTTTCTTAACCATAGCAGCTTGTTCTTCTGGAGAACAATTGTGATGGATAGTACCGATACCACCTAATAAAGCCATGTAGATAGCCATTTCGGATTCAGTGACAGTATCCATAGGAGAAGAAACGAAAGGAGTATGTAGGGAGATCTTCTTGGTTAGTTTAGTCTTCAATTCGACAACAGAGGATGGGAAACCAACGTAACCTGGTAGAATCAAGAAATCGTTATAAGTTAGACCACCTCTAATCTTAGAGTCCATAAGATCTTCGACAGATAAACCATCCCTGTTTTTCAATTCGTTCAAGTAACCTAAAGCAGTAGTGTAATCTCTCTTAGCAGCAACCATTTTTGTGTATGTATATTTTTTGTTGTAAGTGTTAAATGGGTGTGTATAAACTTCTTAGTTAGGAAAGTTGGATAATATAAAATTAAACTAATATATTGTCGATCTCTCTTTATTATTCTTTTTATATTATTTTAAAAACAGAAGTCAAAAATAAAAAGAGTATATAAAAACGAAGTTATTTGAAGGACAAAGGATGGAATAAGAGCCAGTTTATTATAGACTACAACATAGTAATAAGAGTAAACTGTAAAAACGAAGAAGTAATTAGAACAAACATAATATGGCCACCGGTTTTCTTCTGATGATCGAACAAGTTTTTGATGGAAAATTCGATGAGTATTTATACTTTTTTTATTTTTTATAAATCAAAAAAATTTTCATTATCCTTAGGTAAGGTGACAAGAAAAGAAAAGAGAGAGAAGAAACGATGAGTTTCATTCAGTATGTATGTATGCAATACAAAATTATATGGCTATATTCAAAACAGTAAGAGAGTGAAGAAACAGAGAAGCCCTCGATTAAAAAACAAATGAAAATTTTTTCACTGAAAAATAAAAATAAAATGAATATTACAAGAAGAAATCTTATTGTTTGTTTGTTTTTGCATGCTGTGCTCATCGCCTCTTCAATCTTAATAATACTTGTTATATAAGGATGCAATTAGTGGGAAAATATTTTTGTCGCAGGGCACTCTGCAACATATTCTGTGGCACAACGCGTTTACATAATAGAATATAGGTATATTTTCTCTCTCCTTCTGGCACCGCCCCCTCCATTCCCTCCGCTCCCTTCATTTTTCTGCCCGCTTCCGCGTCTCTCTCTCTGTGTCAAGCGAGAAGAAGAAGGAGTCTTTTAATGTGAGAGTAGAATAGAGTGGCAGCGGTAGTTAACTAATATATATATACATAATAACAGAATCAGAGTAAACATAGGGTACATATATAGACAGTGTCAACAAGACCAACTAGTATCGTTATTTTACTAATAATAGTGGTAATGAGTTTGTGTTCAGTACTATTCTTATGTGCTCTTATATAAGTTTTTGTGTCTTGTCGTCTCTCGTCATGTTATTGATTGATATGGAGTTGAACTTGCTATATACATAGTGAACTGCTCCTGCAGACAAAACGTTACAGTCTGACTCCACTATAAAATTGGAAGTTGTTGGGATAATAATAATAATAATAATAATAATAAGCGATTGTAACCAAATGAAATTGTGTAAAATATATATAAATATATAGATATTCCTTAACACAATTGTGACATTACTAAAAAATTGATATCACGTTGAACGACAAGCCGTCTTGCATTTTGTCCGCTGTTCCGTTTCAACTGCCTCCCTCCCACCCCCACTCTAAAAAAACAAAAAAAGAGCACACTGGTTCTATCCCACACATACGTATTCAGACAGAACAGAGAGAGATCAACTTGGCTCAGTGTACTTTATTTCTCCTTGCCAAATGATAGACAGACTTTCAAATAGTGATATTAACTGATTGAAAATGATTTAGAGAGAACGGTCCCTTTTCTTGTGGATACGTTTACGTACGTAAGCCGGTGCAATAAAGGATATTCATTTAATATTTACAAAATAAGGTACAATACATAACACATTTTTAATAGTTCTAGATACTTTTTCCTTTCAAGACAGGATTTGTTCTAAATATTATAATCATCGTTTTCTTTTTTTTTTGACTTTTAACAGTTTTTTGTTGTTCTCGATTATTATATAAGCAGTTCCCTAAAAAGTAAAGGTGTGTTTTATCCATTGTATTATTCATTTTTGACAAATATATGCATTATTTTTTGCAATCCATTAAGAATAATAGCTATCCTTTCTTTTTTTCCATAAATAAATAATAATAATGAGTAAACCAGTTAATGTATACTCAATCTCTGAAGTATCTCAAACCCTGAATGAGAATTTACCTGATGTTTTAGGACGTTTAGGTTACACTGAAACATTTGAATTAGTGGACCAAAAATTATTAATAGGTTATTCTGTGGCCGGTGTTGCAGCTATCAGTTTTATTATCGATAAACAGTTTGTACATAAAGATATCGTGAAATATCAACAATATTTAGTTGGATTCTATTGTGGTTTATCCGTAATATTTTGGCTTTTCAAGAAATACGTTGAAAAATCTGTAGTATACAGTGGTAAGAATGATACAGAGACAATTAAAGTTAAAACCTCATATGAAGATGCTAAACCATTGTATACTGTTACTTTGATCAGCAACAATAAAAAGACTTTTGTTAGTACATTGGAGATTAACAAAGTTTTCAATAAAGAAGGTTATTTACAATCTGAATTGTTTATGGAATGGGTTAAACAACAATTAGCTACTTTATCTAATAAAAGACAATAGTTTGTAATATCTTTCAAGAAAGGAATACATTCACCTTTACTATTCATATGTGTTTGCATATCTTAGATGAGTTGTATATAGTTGGCGTTCCTCTTCGTTTGTTATCTATCTAGATGCATACATACATATATACATATATATATTGGAATGATTATTTTATACGATATAATTAAAAGAATAGAAAATAAATTGTTTTCTATGAATATCAGACAGTGTGTATGGTTATATCGGATATGAATATAACCGAACCAAAAATAATTAAATTACTATTTATTTTGTTTTTATTATAAGGTAGGAAGAATATTTATATATATATATATATATGTATATACGTATATGGAACACTATAGGATAAATAAATAATTAAATGCCAAGTATCTCAAAATATTGAAACTAATCATCGTCGTCAATTAAGAATTTGGCTAATTGTGGTTCTCTGTATGCATTTTCATATAGAGAATCTCTAGCGACAGCAACACTTCTTGAATGTAATGAAGTTAAATCTAAGAAACCTGGATTCAAGTCCTCGATCTTGCTGACACCTAATAGTCTCATAGACATTTCTAATTCCTTTGTAATGATATCAATGGCATGAGCAACACCTTGTTGTCCATAACATGAATTAGCATACAAAAATGGTCTACCTAGACCAACACCAGTGGCACCTAAACATAAAGCCTTTAAGATATCAGTACCACGACGAATACCACCGTCAACGAACACGTCGAAGTTCTTGTCTAGACCGTGGTGTTTCAAGATTGGCATGGTTTCAGCTAGAACCTCAATTGGGGCTCTAGAGAAATCCAGTTGTCTACCACCGTGGTTAGATAATACGACACCTTGACAACCCATTTGAGCGGCTCTAACGGCATCTTCGGCTCTTTGAACACCCTTGATAACAATTGGTAATTTAGTCAATTTTCTCATCTTTGCAATATCTTCCCAAGATAAAGATGGATCAATGAATTTAGATAAAGCCTTTGAAGCACCATCAGAATTATTTTCTTTCTTTTGTTCTTCTTTCTTTTGTAAGATTTTTGGACCACCAGTGCTTTGAGTTGTAAATTTGATCTTTTGATCTTTTTCTCTGTTACCTAAAGATGGAGCATCAACAGTGACAAAGATTGCCTTTAAACCTAGATCTTCTGCATGTTTAATCAAATCTCTAGTGATCTTTCTATCGGAATTCACATATAATTGAAACCATTGTAATTGTTTGTCATTAACTTTAGCCTCAGCAACTTCATCAAGAGAACATGATGCCAAAGTAGAAATCATTTGAGGTACAGAGTATTTTGTAGTACCACAACCTTTAGCAATATCTACTTCACCACCTTCTGGATTCCCTAGTTTACATAAAGCAGTAGCACTTACATAAAATGGAACTTCAGTTGTTTCACCTAACATAGTAGTTTTCAAATTGACATGTTCGACATCGACCAAAATATGTGGTTTAAAGAAAATTCTATGATAAGCATTATGATTCTCTCTATAGGTGATCTCGTCATCTGCACCAGAAGAATAATAGGCCCAAGCTTGATTAGTTAAAATCTTTGAAGCCAATCTTTCAAAATCGTACAAATTTAAAATGTTACCTAAAGGAGGCATATTATCTCTCAATTTTTGTTTAGTCATAATTTCATAAGGAGATTCACCTGGTGCATAAGGAGGACACACGAGTTTCTTGGGCATTGGTTTACTTAATGGACCTAATTGTTTATCCTCTGGAATATTTTTCTCGAGGGTACCCTTTGCATGTAATGGCATGAACATAGCTGTGACATCTTTACCTGCATTTGCTTTAATGACATCTTCACCACCTGGATGGTTTGGAATGAAAAATGTGACGTCATAGACATAACCATTGATTACAACCCAGCAATCATCTGGTTTATTGTGTTTAGCAACCTCATCTGGAGAGATAGGTTTCTTCTTTGATGGTTGACCATTATCGTTACTGATCAAATCTGAAGAAGGATGATTAAATTGATTCCACGCATAATATGATAAAAATGAAGCTGAAGCAACTAATAATAAAGAATTACGTAAATTCTTCGAATTATTAAAATTACGAGATTTTGAGAAAGTAGTTGTTGTAAGAGCTCTCTTTGAAGCTTTTGTAAACTTGAATTGTCTACAAGCACGGATAGCAATTGATCTTCTACCTAGTGTTTGCATACTGAAATATATTTGAATATTTTATTTGTTTTCAGAATATGTACAGAGGAAAGAAAAAGAACAAAGAAAATATGGAAGAATATAAACTACACTTAAGGTAAAGATCTCGTCTTTCTTATAAATCCATGTCCTTATATATATGTGTACATATATGATCGAGAACAAGAAGGGATGGGGATGGGGAGGAATGGAGAATAAATCATATTACAATAATAAGAATAGTAAATGAGATTACCCACTCCTTAGCAGAAGTAACCTTATTCTTTACCCCGATAGAATTATCACTCAAGGTCATAAACCTTCGCATGTCTCTTCTCTTCTAATTTGTTAAGATGACTCTCTACTAATCCAGTGAGTATAAAGTGTTATAATAACGTGTATATTCATTCTAATTATTATTATTATTATTATTATATATATTCATTTGACATACCGATACCGTCCCTTCTTCTTCCTCCCATCCCCCACGTCCCCAAGTCTAATCCCTCCCACATCTCGTTGCCCTGTACTTCCGTCCTTCCCTTTGATCAACTACTCCTACCCCCACGATTCGGAATACACTATAAGTTCCATTAAAATCACAATAAAATCTTGAATTTACGTACTATTTTCCAGGAATCCGACCAACCAACCCCCACGTTGTCCCTGAGATAATTTGGCTAACTTGTTCACCAACCCACCCTCTCTGTCTCTCTGTCTCAGTTTATTTACTTATTAACTGACTCGGGAATACCGGGATCCAGTAGGATAGACGCGCAAGACGGCTTTTGTTAACAAAAACGTATAAAGTTGAGGGAAAAGGCTGTCAGCCGCTGTCGGCTCGTCGCTGATTGGCCACAGAGCCAACACGGCCGGTTCACGCAATTCAAAATCTCCCAAGATTGAACTGCTGAGCTCTTCTCCCCTATATCTGCTGTCTCAGCAATGTCTTATTGACCTCTTCTATGTGGACAGAACATTAACAATAACAATTGCAAATAACAATAATGGACAATAACGGAACAGTTGTCCTGCAGCAGAAGAATAAGAACAAGATGACGAAGATGGCTGCACTATACAATAAATAATATATAGAATAAACAATTGTAAATCTATATTTAAAATTGTAGGACCCTGAAAGAGAGAGTAGGTCAATTGCTACTACTTAACAAAACTGTGGTAGGACATATATCTTGGTTGTTGTATTGGTTTTTATTATTTCTTCTCTTTGACATGAATTGATAATAACAAATTTGTATATACCATCTATAAATGTATGTTGTTATCGTTGGTTTATGTACAAATATCTTGTTGGAAAGTCTGTTGAAATGTTTTTATGAACCCATTCTCTAACGTGACGGTAAAAAGGCAGCTGATACTAACGTTCTCTTTATTAAAACAATGATCTGCTAACTTTCAAAAGTCAAAACAGATTCTTGGTATATATGTACCTATGATTATGATTATTATTATTACTATTATTATACAATGACACAACATGAATTAGATTTTTTAGCTTGTTTGTAAAACATCTTAGAGCTAGCATTTAAAGACTCTGATTTATCAACCAAGTTATCTAATTTTTCACCTCTTTGTAAGACGTTTTCGATAGTCTTATGCAATACAATTTTAGTTTCATCTAATTCTTGTTGAACTTTCATGATAGCATCTGCTTGAGCAGGATCTTGATATTTAGCAATATATCCTTCTAGTTCATTCATCTTTAATGAATCGTTTGTAGCGCTAACATCCTTCCAACTCTCAACTGGATGAGCCACCAAATATTCATCCAATACTTTGTTTAATAAAGTATATGCAGGTCTCACTGGATATTCTTTATCAGTAATCAATACACCACAGATACCTTCGGCACGAGCATAGACATGACCAACATAATTACCCTCTTCAATACTTTGTCTTTGACCAGAGGATGTTCTAGTGGCAACTGTCTCTGCAAAAAAAGTCATGAATTGACCAACACTACTACGTTCAAAATAACCAAATTGAGAAAGATCTTTAACTTCACTTAATTCTAATGCTTTTGTAGCATCACTACGGAATACACCAATATAATATATCTTCATCTTGTCTTTTTCGTGTAGTTATATATATATATGTATATATATTATGCTTCTGGTTCACAGTCTAGTATATTATCACCTTCGATATCGTAGCTATAAACGTTGGTCCTCTTTATCGCTGTCTGCCTTCTCAAATAAAAACCTCTCTAGTCTTGATATAGTGATTCTTTAACACATTCCGCCCTGTTCCATAATAATATCGTTATTATTATTATTATTACTACTATTGAAATCTTTCAATATTTCGTCGTTCGTCGCGCGATTTGCGTCCACGTCAACAGTATGGCGTAAAAATGCCCTTATAGAACAATAATAGTTGATTAGTTAGCAGACTTATATTTTTCACATTCTTTCAATTCTAGGAGTAATGGAAGGTAAGTCAGTGCTACCACGGATTCTCTCGCATAAACTATATAAATATATATATATTTAAACGACAAACGACCAAAGTGTAAGGATAAGTAGTATTCAACGTTAGAATCCTACAAAACTTTGATGTTCAATTGCACTTCATATCACTCGCTCTCCTTGTGTTTGGTTAGAATCCATGTTGTCCATACGAACGATCACATCTCAGCTAAACAAATTATATCAATTAGGGCACCGTTACCCTCAGTTGAATCCTATGAAGAGCAACCGGAATGACTGGAGAATGGCTGTACTTGGTGCTGCAGCGGCGTCTTTCACGATGGTGATCTATGTAAAACCTTTATCGCCAATGTATTTGTTAGAACAATGGAAACAACTTGTGAATGATTGGAAATCTGGTATAATTGTATGGAATGAATCTACAGCTCATGACATGACTTCCGAGACTCATAGAGCCTTTGATGAGATTACAATCCCTGGCGATATCACATTGTTCAGTCCACATGTACAGACACTTGAGCATAAGACAACGAAAAGAAAACAGGTACTTGAACCTCAGTTATTACGTCAAAATGATAAAGAAACAATTGATGACAATATTTTATCGATACCCTTACCACCACCAACTCACGATTTACAAATGATAGATACTGAAGGAATCAGTCTTATGATTCCTGTAACAAATGAAAATTATCATTCCACTAAAACATCCGAGGTCATGGACACTAAAATTGAACTGAACCCTAACACTGGAGAGATTAATTGGGATGCACCAACACTAGGTGGACTTGCTAATGGCCAATGCGGTAAAGAATTCAAATTGGCATTCTCCTGTTTTGTTCATTCACATACAACACCAAAGGGAGTGGACTGCATCAAGAGTTTTAACAGAATGCAAGATTGTTTTACTAACAACATCACATAATGAAAATAGTTGCATTTAAACAAAAAAGAATATTCTCCTCCCACACCTTAATGACTAATAATGATACCAATTATATGTATAGTTATTCATTAGTGTATTGCTTGCAATGCGTCTTTAATAATAACTTAAATACATTTAAGTACTCCTAAATATTCATAATATATATATATATATTTTTTGCCTCTTATCAAACAAAAAGTGAAGACTAATATTATCTTTTCTTATTTTATTTACAAGTATTTGTCAAAAAAAGTACTTCATTTATAATTTCTCTCTAGGATAGAGAACATGTCATATATCTCTTTACCTGTTAAATGGTCTAACTTTCTATCATCTCTTGTTCTGATGCTATATTTACCTGTTTTAACTTCGTCTTCGCCAACAATAATTAAATAGGAGTAATGTTTTAAAATTGCATCCTTGATTCTATATCCTAATGGTTCCGATCTTTCATCGACATCGACGTTAAAACGGAAATTATTTAACGGGATAGGAGTCAAATCTGTATCATCTTCGAGTTCATTTTCACCGGCTAATTGTTTCTTAAGCCTCTGACAGGCTTCGATTTGATTTGAGTCCTTAGTATTTATAGGAATAATCATTGCTTGGTATGGGTTCAACCAGAATGGCCATTTACCTTTGTAATGATCTATTAATAGTGCTAAGAATCTTTCTACTGAGCCAAACACAGCACGGTGGATCATAATCGGAGTCTTCTGCGTATTGTCTCTATCCTTATATTTTAAATTAAACCTTATTGGTAATTGGAAATCCAATTGAATGGTAGCAACTTGATGAGACTTGCCTGTATGATCAGGAACCATGATATCAAGTTTAGGTCCATAGAAAGCACCATCCCCTTCATTTAATTGCCATTTTTTTCCGGACTTCTCTAAAACATTCTTTAATACACCTTCTGCATGATTCCATGTTTCAAGTTCTCCGATATAATGATCTTTTGGTCTAGTTGATAAGTTTATTGAGTAATTTGTAGTGGGGTCTTTATTAAATTTGAAAACTTTACCATAACATAAATCAACCAATTTTAAACAATTTAAAATTTCTGATTCCACTTGTTCTTTAGTACAAAATATATGACCATCATCCTGATGGAATTTTCTCACTCTAGTCAGTCCAGAAAGTGCACCTGATGCTTCATTTCTGTGAAGTGGTGAAAAATCACTATATCTTAATGGTAATTCGTTGTATGAATGATCGAATCTGTTATAGATAACGCAATGTCCGGGGCAATTCATTGGTTTTAAACCATAAATTTCCTTGGACGCATCAGTTCCTTCGACTTTAAACATATCATCTTTATAATTTTCCCAGTGTCCAGATTGTTCCCATAAGCTTTTCTTGAAAATTAATGGTGTAATTACTTCTTGATATCCAAATTTCAAACGGCCTTGTTGTTGTTTCATAAATTGGATTAGTTTATTGAATATTTTAGTACCATTTGGTAAAAAAAAAATAGAGCCTGGTGAGATGGGATCTGTAAGGTAAAGCTTCTGTTTATTTGAAACATCATAAGATATCGACTGCTTTAAATTATTCGTTGCAGGAGTGGTGTCATTCTTAGCTCCTGAAGGTTTTGTCGCCAGATGTCTGGAAAGAAATGGAAACCGTACATACACTAGCCTTTCTGCTGTGCGTATTGGAAACATTATTAAAGGTAATTGCTTCTTCTTAACTTGGTTAGAATTTAATTTATAAAATTTCCAACTTTTTACTTTGTAATCTCGAAGAACTTGTTAGTCTCCCCTTATGTTTCACGCTCTTAATATCTAAAAGTTGTTTTGGTTGGTGCGACTTCGAAAATTAAAAAATATATATACATATACAAACATATAAGGTATACAGTATATAAGTATAACAATATAAGGAAGTTAAAAATAACAGAAATTATCTTGAAATATACATTATACATTTATTAAATTAAAAATAAATTGGATATGAAAATGGTGGAAAGATTGAAAGTTTTTAGTTCGGAAGTTGGTAATTCGTAATAATTATAATTATATGTTAATTATATATTTATTTTTGTTATTTCAACCACGAACATAAGTGGCATCGATTTTTTCCAGAGATTTTGGAAGATTTAAGATCAACTTTCTTCTGTAAGCAGTTTCATTATTTTTCTGAACTGGATTACCTTCCAAATAAATAGTATCTAAATGAACACATTCTTTCAATTCCTCACCAATCTCTTCAAAACTTTGATCAATTTGATTAAATGATGCCCAAATATCAGTTAAATCTTTTAAGTGACTTAAGTTTTCCAGTTTTGTCATCTTATTCGAGGTAATATCTATAATCTTTAATTTTGTATTTTTTTCAAGACCTTCAATCTTTGGGATATGATTATTTGAGACATATAATTCTTCTAAGTTTTCTAATTCTTCTAAGCCTTCTAATTTTTTTAATCTATTACCTTGAATAGATAGAATTTTCAATGATTTTAAATGATGTAAATTTATTAATCTTGGAATAGCGTTTTTACCTAACCAAATTTCTTCAATTTTATCTAAATTTTTAAATGAATCAGGATCAATTCCTTCAATATTATTACCACCTAATTCTAAATTCTTCAATTTTGTTAAAGTATTTAAATTTTCAATCTTTGAAATTTTATTTTGAACAAAATATAGATTTTCTAATTTAACTAGATTATCGATATGTTTAATATGTTTAATGTTGTTGAAGGAAAGATCAAGACTTGTTAAATTTATTAATTTGTTTAGATTGCTTGAAATATGTTTTATTCTATTGTCATAAAGATCTATATCTGTCATTGTTTCCACTGGTAATACTTCAACTTCACTTATACTTTGAATTAAATTTTGTCTCAAACATAAATTCTTCAATTGTTTAAATCTTAATAAATTTAAGTCTTCCAATGATCTAATCTTCAATTGAATCAAATCAATGGATTCTGTATCATCTGGTAAATCTTCAGTCAATTCAGAATCTGCTGTAAGGTATTCCACATGTTCATCAGGAATTATAGTTGGTTTTTGTATTGAGATTTTTTCATTGTCATTATCCTCAATAGGAGTTACTTCTCCCTTTGGGAATGTATTACTTTCAGCCATCGTATCTATTTACTATAGTGTCTTATATAAATATATTATGAAGAGTGTGCTTCTATGTGTATTTCTTATACTCTTCTACGATTAAAGTACACTCTATCATATATGAATGCAAATACAAATACAAAGTTGACCCCATCTGCAATAACGATAACAACCCCTGGAATGAACTGGCCTTGTTGAAATGCTTATATATATTGAAAATATATATATACACTACGCTTTGTCCCTGTGGGTGGGGGGATTTGTAATTTCTCGCTCCTTATAAAATGTCATGGCAATGGAAGATCATATAATACGAGGTTATTGTTATTAGTAAACGGGTCCTTTCTTCACATAGAGCCTAAGTCATCATCATAAACATTCCGTGTTAAACATTAGTTCAGTCATTATTAACAAGTTATCTATTAGTTCATATATAGATGTATACATGTATATATGTATAAGTGTGCGTTCAGCACATTTTAATTATTCTAATTACATACGAGAGAATGAGTAATATTTAGATTAAATTTTTTATGAAGCATCTGTTTCATCCTTGATATATTCAACAGTTTGACCTATAGTCTTCAAATCATCGGCAATTTTATCTGGGATCTCGATGCTGAATTCTTCTTCGACAGCAACGATAAATTCAACAAGATCCAACGAATCCAGACCTAGATCTTTTTGGAATGATGCAGTCTCTGTAATTTCTTCTGTGTTACCGGACTTATTAAAGGTCTTCAAGAGATCGACCATACGAGAAGTAATAGCACCCTTCTCGAGTGTACTTGGTGGAGAGTAGAATCTAGCTGATATATGTGTCATAGGATATGTTTTGGAAGAGGCTGCTAATTGTCTCTTAACGATAGGGTTTGCACAACGTGTAATAACGGATCTAAACATGATTATCTAAGTACTGAAATATATGCTGCTCTGTTGTATAGTGTTCGATGTAATAAATATATGGTAATAGAAACTTATCCAATGTAAGTATTCAGTTGTAAAACCTTTTGAAAAGAAAGAAGACAATCAATCGATTTACATATACTTCAACTAAACTAATCGCTATATGTGAAAGGGTATCTATCTATCCAAACCTTCTCACGGCTCCCAAAGAAAATCGATTTAGTTTCGCAATTCAGTGTTTTAACATGGCGCGCGCAAAAACTGTAGCGGAAGAGAAGGATCCATCCATTTATTGACTCTTAAATATGGCGTATCAAGTGATAGTCAATGGAAATGATGTATGGTTTATATTGTAGTCGGTATGTATGTCTACATATTAAGAATTTCCCTCCCCCACCGCCTCTAATACTCCAAATGTAAGTGAAACCAAGTATTTACTATGATATATATATATATGTATATATATATGGGTTGGAAAGTCCAGTAACATATTACTGCACCGTCTCTCTCTGGGTCTCTTGTATACAATATGTAATCATAGTCCAGCTAGTGTACTACATGTGTATATTTAACAGAATAACTCATCACCTCTCTTGCACAATCAAACTTAAAATGACAATGGTAAGGATCTTCCTTGTTCCCCCTTGTAGCTCTGAAAGGTGCGTACAACATTGACAGTGTCTCTGGTAGAAATTTTTCAATGATTTGTTCTCCGTTTCTTTTTATAGGAAAAAAGGGCGATGATGAGGAAAGTTAGCTAAGCTGAAAATTTTTATATATACAATTAATAAGCCATTTATGTTATATTTTTATTTCATTTAATTTACATCACAAGGTAAATAAATATATAATTTATAATTGAAACGCTTGTATATTTCGATATAGAAACTGTTTAGAATACAATACTTTATACTGTGTCTTTATTAAAATACAATCGAAGAAAATACGTACATATCTATTGAATTCAATTAATTAATCACACAAAGCTTAAAAAATGACCGATATTGAAGGCCAGGATATAGATTCTAAAATGAGCGTACCTCTGCCGGTATCTACTCAACAAACAGAAGAAGATTTCAATTTCCAGAAGTTTGATGCTAAAAATGTCGAAAGATCAGCCTATTTAGGTCCTTACACAGAAGCGAATTTATTGGGCAAACTGTCAGCATATTACAGTCTTGATGAATTATCTGAATATTTATTGGAACATCCACAATATGGTAATGTTACATTACAATTCCCGGACTCATTAGTGATTGATTCCAGTTTTGTCGTTAAGACTGTCGAAGAGCAATTAAACAAGAAAGACCCAGAAAATAAGAGAAGATTGTGGGTATTGGCAGATACTGCCTACAGTGCATGTTGTGTAGATGAAGTTGCAGCAGAACATGTTGGTGCTGATCTTGTCATACATTTTGGTGATGCATGTCTTAATGCTATTCAAAAATTACCTGTCGTATATTCATTTGGTAAACCTTATTTGAACTTACAATCCATCATCACTAAATTTAAAGAAAATTTCCATGATTTAGACTCTAAAGTATGTTTAATGGCAAACTCACCTTTCACTCATTATATTAAGCAAATTTTTGATGAATTGAAAGCAAGTGGATACACGAATTTGATATATTCTACTGTGAACAAGAATTTAATTAATGACAATGTAACTATCTTGTCTCACGATGATATTGAACTCAATCAAACAGATTTTGTTTATGGTCTAGGTAATAGGATGCTATACAGTGATAATAAGGTATACGTGGATAGTACTGATAGATCCATTGAAGATCAATTGAAGGAAGATGTGACCTTGTTTTACATATCTGTCCCACAGGATCCCCATTTATTGTATTTAACAACAATGTTTAATTCCGTTGCTATTTATGATAATATAGATGATTCTATTTGTAATGGTCCCTTCCCATCTTTAATGAAACGTTATAAATATATGCATGTTGCAAGAACTGCCGGGTGTATCGGTGTCTTGGTTAACACATTATCTCTAAGAAACACTAAAGAAACGATCAATAAACTAACTCAACTGATTAAACAAAATGGTAAAAAGCATTATTTGTTTGTAGTTGGTAAACCGAACGTGGCAAAATTAGCTAATTTTGATCCTGTCGATATTTGGTGTATTCTTGGTTGTGGTCAAAGTGGTATTATCGTCGATCAACTTAACGAGTTCTATAAACCAATCATTACTCCTTATGAGTTAACCATGGCTTTGAATCATGAAGTTACATGGACTGGGAAATGGGTAACTGATTTTGAAGCTGCGTTGAAGGACGTTGAAGAAGAACTTGCTAATGGTGGTACTGGTGATAACGATGATGATACACCAAAAGATGAGAGTGAGGCTCCAGAATTTGATGTCGTTACTGGGAGACTGCTTGATACATCGAGGCCATTGAGAAACTTGAAGCATCTTGAATTAGAAGGTCCAACTTCAAGTGACAAAACTTTGGCAAAGAGAGTTTCTGGTGGTACTGTGATAAAAGGTACTGTATCTACTTCAGTGGCTCATTTACAATCTAGACATTGGTCTGGTCTAGGAAGTGATTTCAAGGAGGACGAAGGTTTCGAAGAAGAAGGTGCTGCCATCGAAGAAGGTATCACAGGTGTTGCCCGTGGGTATGGCTTTGATCGTCATGATGCACAGTCCAAGCAGTGATGTTTTTTGTTTTGTTTTCTACTTAATGAGATTTTCTGTAAACATATATATTCGTATGGTATCACATTTCTATTCATACATCATTTAGTAGCCTAATGGTAGTAAAATAAAATATTCATGTTATTAATAAAGCTCCTTGTCTGTTTATGACTAAAGGGAAGTCATCTACGGACCTACGAAATTTTCGCGACATATAGATAAACTTATCACATTTGCAAGACAATAGAAATCTGATATAATTGTGCATCGATAAGAATTGTTCACATTCTTATCAGTCAACACTAACAGTATATGATGAAGATGGAGACTGTTTTTCCAAATAGATTATTCGTTATCTTAATGTATTGTTATTGAATAGTTAGTATATTTAATACTATATTAAATATACCTTGTATATGTTAGTATCACGATGTTTATTAGCAAATAAGAATAAGCGGAATGGGCTTATACAAAAGTGGAAAAAAGATTCTTCAAATTAGACCCAAACTAAACCTAGTACTCTTTCAAGGCTCATCAGTGTATGAATATCTATATTTAATCTGAATATAACTATTAAGCTTTTGGTAAATCGAACAAAGGTACTTTCTTAACCGTTTTCAAAAAATTTGACACCATCTCTATTAGAATACAAACATTGAAATAATATATTAAAAGAATGCCAATAAATGAGTATAATCAAAGAGTTGCTGATCCACTACCAGAATGGCAACCTAGAGAGCTACCAAAAAAAGTTACTTTGAAAGGTAAATTTTGTACAATTGTACCATTAGACTTAGAGGAGCATAGTCAAGATTTATTCGACGCTTATGCTTTAGTCGGTGATGGTAGAACATGGACATACCTTAGATTGGGACCATTTGAGACGCTTCAAGAGTTTAGAAAAGGTTGGGAGGATTTGCCAAAGGAAGATACAGATATATTTTTTTCAATCATTGATAATAATACAAATAAGCCAATAGGGATATTCAATTTAAGAAAATGTGATCCAGCCAATGGTGTCGTTGAAGAGGGATATGTAACTTTTTCTCCATTGTTACAACGTACTAAAATGGCTACAGAGGCCAATTATCTATTGGCTCAATATGTTTTCAATACATTGAAATATAGGCGTTTCGAATGGCAATGTGTTGATTTGAATATGCCATCACACAATGCTGCTTTAAGACTAGGTTTTAAATACGAGGGTACTTTGAGACAGAACATGGTATTTAAAGGTAGAAACAGGGACACGACCTGGTTGTCGATTATTGACAAAGAATGGCCAGTAATTCAACATGCCTTTGAACAATGGCTAGATGATTCTAACTTTGATAGCAAAGGTAAACAATTACAAAGATTGCAGGATATCAGAAAGTGTCTATGTAAGTAGGTCATGTGTAATATTCCTTAGTTGTAGATAGAAAATATATATAATTCTATTTCATAATACTATTGCTAACTTTGCCTCAACTCTCATTTATCATAATAAATTTGCATCAGATAAATAAAATTCAAACATTTCTTTCAAGTAATGATATACAAAGTCTCGTGTTAAATACTCATTGGATGAGCAATTAAAGATACTACAACTCCACTATACTGCGTGCAATCACATCTGAAATTGTGTCAACTATTCTTACCTCACGGTAAAGCAATATATCAAATCTTTCAGAGTGACACATCAACTGGCCCAGGTGAAAACTTCGAAAAATTTGTGCCGTTCTGTGGCATTCTTTCCTTAGCCGTCTACGGCATTTCTCGAATGACATAACCCACCAAAAAAAAAATTAAAAGCGAAAATTTGCCGTGATTATTAAATCAGATCAAATGTGGGGCACCTTCGGCATTTTCAATTGATACATCAACTAGAGAGACGAGCGATGATGATAACGATGCCTTGTCAGAGTAATCGGGATTTGATAAGATGTATCGATAGTAATAGGAGTTGATATATTCACAGAGGGATAATAGGGTTTCGCAATCCCTGTTTACTTTTGATGTTCGGCGTTTCCAACTTTTGATACATAGCAGATAATGTTAGAAAAAGGATGCCCAAGTAATAGATTCTTTGTAGCTATTTGGAAACTATAAAGGATTTAAACGTTCTTGTCTGACTCATTTTGGCATCGATGTTATTATTATCTACTTGATAACTTAGTTCATCGAATGGAAACATATTTAAACAGTGGGTATAACTAATTAAAGTTCAAATTTTTTTATTTTTGTTGTTGCTGTGAATTTTACTTCATTATTGTCTTGCAATTATAAGTACAAAAAATCATTAACCATATAACAGAACAATATATAATGACAGTAAATGCTTACAATCAACAAATAGATGATGAGGTTCCAAATTGGTCCTCGAGATCATTACCTGAAAGAGTTACGATTACTGGGAAGACATGTATCCTTGAACCACTTGATTTAGAAAAGCATAGTAAGGATCTTCTGGATGCCTTCAATTTGATGGAAGACGATAGGACTTGGACATATCAACCATTCGGTCCATTCACTGATCTACAGGAGTACAAGAATGCTTGGTCTACTTTACAAGAAGGTACTCAGGATATACATTTTGCTGTTATTGATATTAATACAAAAAAACCAGTTGGTCAACTTGCTATAAAGCATCCAGATCACATAAATGGTATCGCTGAGGCAGGTTACGTTACATTTTCTCCATTGTTACAACGGACAAGGATGTCTACAGAGGCCCACTATCTTTTAGCTCGTTATATCTTTGATACTTTAAAATATAGAAGATATCAATGGCAATGTTTCGTTCATAATGTTCCCTCTCGTGTAGCTGCAGAAAGATTAGGTTTCCAATTTGAAGGTACTTTAAGACAAACTGCTGTGATCAAAGGTAGAAATAAGTCTGCTCATTGGTTTTCCATTATTGATTCCGAATGGGATATTTGTCGCGAAGCTATGGAAAAGTGGTTGGATGACTCGAACTTTGATGAAGATGGTAGACAAAAATTTCGTCTACAAGAGATTAGAGAGTCACTTTTGGCTTAATCGAGTTCTTTCTCTATGTAAAATATTAGTAAATTTTATTATGTACTTTTTCCTCTTTAAAAACATACCCCAGAATTATTAAACCTAATAGACGATAATTACCCCGAGAGTGCAAAGAACGTACTGCTCTTGTTATTCTTTCATAAACTAAATGTTACGGAAAATATTCCATCTTAAGTTTCAATCTCATTATCACTTATCGAACAGCACGCACACTAAATATGGTGTTGTGAAAGTACCGATTATGGGGTAAATAAGTATATAATATGAGTCAGAGGCTATGTAACCTCAAGTTCAGAAGAATGCGTCATCTCGTTGTCTGACCAAATAATTACGTACTGTTTGCTTATCTCATTATTTAACGGTGACTCAACAATCTTATTTTTTTATTATTCCTTTTTTTTTTCAAGAAAAGCACTCATTATCTCAAGATCCAATGCACTGGATAATTTTCAAAATTTTAATTTTTAGATAATATAAAAAGTGGCTGTTTAAATTACTATAAAGTTTCATTTATCAGATTCTAATTTTCCTAATTATATAATAAACTTATAAGCACAGCAACGTACAAGATGCCTGTTAACGAATTCAACCAAGTAGTCGCAGAACCAATCCCAAAATGGGAACCAAGACCAAATCCAGGAAACGTTACAATTAAAGGTAAATTCTGCACAATCGTCCCATTAGATCTCGAAAAACATAGTCCAGAACTCTTCGAAGCTTATCAATTGGAAAAAGATGATAGTATGTGGACTTTCTTAGCATTTGGTCCATATAAAAATGTAGATGAATTCAAAGAGTCCTTTGATCACAGAATAAAAACAACAGGTGAGACTCACTTTGCTATTATTGATAATAAGATTAATAAGCCTGTTGGGCAATATTGTTTGAGAAGATGTGACGCTGCAAACGGTGTAGTTGAGGTTGGTTGTGTCATATACTCGCCACTTTTGAAAAGAAGTAGAACTGCTACAGAAGCTCATTATCTGCTAGCCAAATATGTGTTTGAAACACTTCAATATAGAAGATATGAATGGCAATGTAATAGTTTGAACAAGGCATCACATAATGCCGCTGTAAGAATGGGATTCCAATTCGAAGGTGTTCATAGACAAATATGTGTTGTAAAAGGTAGAAATAGAGATACAAATTGGTTGTCTATGCTAGATCATGAATGGGATCTTTGTAAAAGGGCCTTCCAGGCATGGTTGGATGATTCTAATTTCGATGCAGATGGTACACAATTACAACGTCTACAAGATATTAGAGCCTCTTTGTCCACATAAAATTGGAATCATGTATAATTATAATTTTATTATTATCTTTTTTGAAAGGATGATAGAGTAATATCCAGTTTTGTATTAAGTAATTTTGCAATGAAGTGTATTGATTGTACTTTCAAAGGACAATCTCATCTTATCTTCAAACTATATAGTTGACCACATCAACAATAAATTTCATTATAAATTTAATTAAGTAAAAAAATTAGGTACTATGTTATACTAGCTCTAACCATGCTTAATCTATTGATACATTACTGATTCGATGGCTATTATTAAAACTCTGTATCCCTGATGTAATAATTGCCTTGATACAGTTTTTAAAAGACCTAATTTTAGTTACGCTACAACCCTAATGTTCGGCCGTAACATTTTGTGGAAAAGAACTACAAAGATAATATCTGAAATCAATAAAAAGAGAGTTAATTTTTAAAGATGAGATACATTAGTAGCTTTCCCCGGTAAAAATCAGTAAGTAAAGTATTTTATACAAAAAGTTAAAGAGCTACTCACTATTTATTACTAAGCTATTGATTATCACTATTATCGATTTTGCAGAAACAGTGGTTTATCTACTATATTAGCATTTCCTCTCGTTTTCTTTTATATCAAAATTCGTTATTAACTATCTACCAGAAAAATATCACGCACACTAAATATATCAGAACATTTTTTGCTGATACTAACAGATTAACTCTAGAAAAAATAAGCTAACACAATAAATCTCTATTACTATGTTTAAAAAATATAAGAATCAAGATCTGGACATGGCCTTCTGGTGGAAAAAAAACCCAAAGACCTCATCGGATTATGTCAAATTAGTGGAGGAACAATTATCAAAAATTAGCAGCTCTACAACGGCAGATAGTAAAAGGAAAGTACAAGAGGAATGTTCGAAATATTTGATGGGCTTGAAACATTTTATTATAGGCGATACTGATCCAAAACCAACCCCAGAGGCTCTCGATGAGCTTTATTTGGCCATACTCCGGGCAGACTTGTTTTATGATTTGATAATACATTTTAACGACTTAGAGTTCGAAGCAAGAAAAGAAGTTTCTTTGATCTTTTCGATATGTTTAGGATACTCAAAGGATAATAAATTTGTGACAGTTGATTATCTTGTTTCACAACCAAGAACTATAACGTTAATGTTACGAAGTATTGAATTAGCTTTACAAAAAAAAGGACCATCACAAGACATTTTTCTTGTTTTAGGGAATATGATTATAGAATGTATTAAGTACGAACAACTCTGTAGGGTTGTTCTAAAGGATCAACAATTATGGAAGTTTTTTGAGTTAGCTAGATTACCAAATTTTGAAATTAGCACCGAATCTTTACAAATATTAAGCAATGTTTTTACTACACATTCTAATTTAGTATCGAAGGAATTCTTTTGCAATGAATATAATAGAACAAAATTTATTCGTTATATCAATAAGCTGATGGCCTACGGTAGTTACGTTACTAAAAGACAAAGTACAAAATTATTAGCATCATTAATTGTTATAAGATCAAATAACCAACTAATGAACCAATATATTGAATCAGCTGATAATTTAAAATTAATTATGACTTTAATGACAGATAAGTCCAAGAATCTTCAATTAGAATCTTTTAACGTATTTAAAGTAATCGTTGCCAATCCAAGGAAAACAAAACCTGTCTTTGATATATTAACTAAGAATAGAACGAAGCTATTAAAATATTTTGAAACTTTCGGTCTTGATAACCAAGACACTACTTTCGCAGATGAAAGAGATTTTATTATTAGACAGATTGAAGGACTTCCTAGAATCGTATCATCAAACGAAGGTAATTCGCTCGTTGGAAATACTGGAGAATCGTCCAATATTTCAACTTCTCCTATTAGCGATGCATCAAACGGGAACCTTATGGGCCGTAGTAATCCTGGGAGTATTTAATGATATATATTATATAACAAATCAATTATCTCATGTATCATGATCATTTTTATCAATTATACAACACGGATAGAATGGTAAAACAAAACATCATGTAGAAATATTATTTTTTATTTGTATTATATATCTTTTCTCGTTCGAAATAAACCGAATCGTTAAGGAAATCCTTTTTTTTTAAGGTAGCAAGCGGTTAGAAATGCCAATTATAGAGTGTTCCAAGTAAACATAAAAACAAAAATGATAAAAAATTCCAGCCTTGTTTATTTAATATATAAAAATCCATATTTGTTACAAAACAAAGTAAACTAGTTAAATAATAGCTGTGAGGTGAGATACTGTATTATTTAATCCACCTCTGCTTGTATTTTATTATTTTGTTTCTTCTTCTTTTCGATTCCCTTCTTCAAGGGACTTTCCTTGTTACTAGTAACTATTGGAAGGCGTTTAGTTGAGCCAATGATGGAACGATGAAGTGGCTCAAAACTTTTTTTGGGTATTGGGAATTGCTTTTTTCCATCTCGTTCTATCAAATCTGTACCTGAGAAATCAGGTTTCGAAATGCTATTACTTTTAAGTTGCTTTAAATCTGATTGTGATCTACGGATCATATTAGAGGACCTAGCTACAGATAGATCGTCTAATCGTTTGGTCCACACAGGTACATCCTTATCTAAAATTTTGTTTAACTCTAATAATCGTTCTTCATTTTGTATCCTCTCGATAGGATCGAATTCACCAAATTTGTAACCACCTTTACCATCAAATTTCAATAAACGATTATGGAAATGCCACAAACTCGTCCTATGACAAACGGAAATTAAAGAAATGCCAAAGTCCTTTGAAATACCGTACATTTTTTGTTCCATTTCTGGAGACACTGCTGAGGTACATTCATCTAACACGGCAAATTTGGGTTTGTGGTAGTACATACGAGCCATCGCTAGCCTTTGTTGAATACCTATTGACAGTTCTTCAGTCCATTTGCGAACTATATCAAATGCTTCCTTAAGACTCACAGATGGTTGTTCTGCTAACTTATTGACATGAACATTTGATGAAGTATTTTCTTCAGTTAATGATAAGGTTTTTGGAACACTTTGAGCTAATGCAAGTGTCATATTTTCAATGACAAGGTCATCAAGATCTAACAATTTCAATATGTTAAACAAATCATTGTCTCCCTTATCGATATCGCCATTATATTTTTCAAGAAATTGTTCTGTTGAATCTGGATATATGATTTGTTCCCTAAAAGTGGAATTTATACCAATATATGGTCTCTGGGGAAGATAGAATATTAAACATTCTCCCGTGTTTGTTCTCTTTGGCATAGTCAGTTTAGTTGGTTTCCCATTTGAATTCTCCAGAACTGGCCACAAACCACCTAGAATTCTAAAGAGTGAAGATTTGCCGCATCCATTGGGCCCTATAATGAGGAGATGGTCACCACTCTGTAGTTCAAAGTTTAAGGATTCAACTAAAACTTGATTAGCAGGTGTAATTAATGGTACATTATCAAACTTTATTATGTTGTCATTATACTCAATAAGATTATTATTCAATGGCTCAATATCTTCTTCATTCTGTTGATACTTGTCCAATATTTCATTGAAAGCGTTTAGTCTGATTCTCGTACCCTTTAATTGTTGAATATTCTTCTTCAATTCAATGAATCTTCCGAATGAACTAGATGCTGTCAAAAGTAAACGTCTATTTGTGATAAAGTCTGCTGTAATATCTATCTTACCATCCCCAATGTTACCATTACTGAGACCAAAAAATATTGGAATTGAACATAAAGATAAACCTGCTGCACCCCATGTATATTTAATGATAAAAGTAGAGGCTAGGTCGTATAATGCTTTGGCCTTTATCTCTCTGTTTAAAAACAGAACGAGATTATAAAAAGAGTAATCTAATGTTGTCAGTTCCCTATCTTGTCCCTTAAGTATTGCTATTTCTTCGTTGTTCGAATGCAGATGTGAATGCAATGTCCTAAAATAACTTTCCAATGATGACCTAATAATGGTCAATTTAGTAAAATCGGGGCGAATCAACTTCAATAACATGTTTGAGGTGTAAACAATTAGACCTAAAATAAATGTTCCTTCACCCATCATATTCGATTTAGAGTTCAATAATTTAAAAGAACAAAGAATTAAATCTAACGTTGGTTTCAATAGTTGATTTAAAAGCAAAGAACTATTTGTTGAAAAATCGTAGATATCTCTTGTTAGGTTATCCTGAATTTCTGGGGAATTACTAGCTACAGCATAAAATGTGCGATGATTGGAAAGATACTTATTCAACATCATATTTGAAACTTGTCTATTTATAGTGACCGAGCATAATTTAGTAGTATATGTGATCAAACTGTTAATAAAACTTGCTGGGATACCTAAAGTCATCCATTGCCCCAAAAGAATCTTTAAAAAAAGGGTATATCTCCCTTTCACCAAACTAGAAACTAACTTACCATCTAATGTTGCGACATGTAGTGATAACATGGTTCTAATAATAAGTAAAATTGATTGCATTACTAATAACATTACACATTTCTTGTTTCGTAGAATAAGTTTCAAAAGAAAATCTTTATCTTTCTTCATTTTTGGAATCTCAAGTTGGAGATCACTTGTTTCATTTTCGTTTCCGATATCACCTGCATCCTCTTGATTCTTATTCAAACTTTTTTCATTATCTCTTAATGATAAGTCTTCATCAGTAGCGTTAGAGTCATTTGCAAAATCAAACTCTACATTACTCTTTCTCGTTTGTCTTTTTATGTGGCTTAGCTTCTTCTTCCACTTTTTCCTCCCATCTTCGTTTGTATCTTCTCCCTTTTTAAGTTGTTTATCCTTTCTCTCTGTAACTGAAGAGCTTGAACCCAGGATTGTAGCCCCCAACAATGCTAGACAAGACAGTCGTAAAATACTTTGTCTGTAGTTATCGTAAAAACTTTTTAGACGTAATTCCATTTATAAGTTTTAAAATATTTATATCTGTTAATGAATTTTTTCACCAATATCTTGCAGAAATCTCTAATTAAGGAATTAATTAAAAAACTCTGAAGTAATGTTTTCCTTTTCCCACTCTCTCTATATATAGTAAGATATTTCTCAAGCGCCTAAATATTGTCGGAGTTTCCCCAACTAATCTCCAATTTCCCCATCGGTGATAGAGCCGTGCGACAGAGTCTAACGCCGAAAAGTCAAATATAATCCAAATCAAGAGTTTTCTTACTTTTGATAACGGAGACCAAAGGAGGGTGACTTTAACCTGAAATTGATATCTCACACTATCACCATGTCTCTAATATCATATCTTGTTATAAATCTGAAATTTTTTTTTTCATTAATTTGTCGTAACATTAAATAGTACATATTGTTAAAATAAAGAAAATATACAGAGAATAGAGGTGTCAAATGGCCAAGAAAATATGGTATAAAGAAAAATAACATTTGGTGTAATAATATAAGTTGGGTATACGAACAAAAAAAATATTACTTTAGAATTTCAATTTAGTAATAGGAAATGTTTTCATAAACTATCTGAACCAGATGTATTTGTTTGTTGGATTTCAGGTACTGCATCCTGTTTCTCATCAGCATCATTCTTTAAGAAACCTGAAGAGTCTTCTGTTGAATGTCTAATAATTTGACCTGGAGCAACCTCTGGTTTAGGTTCTTGAGCAATTCCATCTTCTGCACTAGATGAACTCTCAACATCTGCAACTTGTTCCTTTTGTTTCTTCATCAAGTATGGAATTCTTAGATGTCTTTCGTAAAGACCGACAACTAGTAAAATAAAACCTGAAATAACAGCTAAAGAAAATGCACACCACATCATTGCGTTATATGCAGTACCAGCTGTAAACACAACACCAAAATCGTCTTTGTAAGTTCCTGACTTGATAATTTGAAGAACCACAGTTAGAATAGTACAACTTAAACCTAAAAATAAAGCTGTTGCAGCAGCAAGGAATATAACTAAAACCCATGCGTAACTTTTTGAACTCCATTTCATCCAAAATAAGAAGGCAATATTAACCATTGTAATGAATGCAAAAACAATACCAACAATATTCATGGATAACACAGCTTTAATAGAAGGGACGTATTCATGTTCCCTATTTAATAAATCCCCTGTCAAATAAAGATCATCCGCACCGATATTCAAAGCATTTAAGTAAGGAGCAAATTCTGACTTAGCTAATGCATCATAAATGATTTGTCTGAAATCCAAATTTTGAACAGCATGCGAAGCAGAACATTCTAGAATTTCATGATTCAAATTTCTTTTGCATAAAGTAAAGATTGATAATTGGAAATAAACCGGAATTTGTAAATACTCCAATAATATTGGTGTCATCCCTGTCAATTCTTGCTCAGAAACCATTTCAACTTTTAATGCATCATTCAGGATACCCATAATTGGGATAAAAGTTAGTGGATTTTGCTGAGCCCAAGCTGTCAAGGTTACCAACGATGAAAATGACACAGGAGGATTGGCTGAGGCATCTAATAAGGTGAACAATGAAGGAATATATTTAAAGGTAGTACTATTTGGATTTAGACTTGTTTGTAAAGAAGCTAGGATCTTAATTGTCTCTGGTCCTTGATCAGTAGCACCTAACATTTCCGATAATGCTTTTAATTGGGCTGTAGTGGTTACTGTATCTGTATTAGAAGCCAATTTAGAAATTGTGGAGACAGCTTGACTTGTATTATTAACATTATTGACAATGGAACTTAAGGCCACCAAAGAACTCTTAGAAGATTCTGATTGAGTGACATTATTCTTTATTAAATCACCTAATGTAGTTAAGGTATTATTAACATTAGTAGAATCTTCCAGGATAGTCTTAATAGCTCCAATAGCTGCCTTTTCGTCATCACCGGAAGCCAAAGTAGAAATTGTAGCAAAAGCAGCAGTAACGTTTGGATTTCTTTTTAACATTGTTTGTAAAGTAGTTAACACCAATTGCGATCTAGCTGGAGAGACAGAGTCTGATTTATCTACAATAACTCCCAAAGAACTTACTAATTCTGTAATATTCTTAGTTTGACTAAATAAAGTGAAAATAGGTAACATTTGAATCTTTTCATTCATAGTCAAGTTATTTAATACAGATAACGACTTAGCTACCATTGATGGATCCTTTGAATCTGCCAATAGTTCTAAAGTCAATTCTGTTGTATGATCCTCCTTAATAGTAGAACCATTTGTATTATTAGTAGTTGTTAATGATGATAACATTGGTACTACTAAATTTTTTAACCCATCTAAAGTTTGAGATTGATTATTTGAAACTTTTAATAATCCACTTATTTCCACTAATTCCTTTGTATCTGTAGCAGGATTCCCACTTATTGCTAAAGGAGCCAATTGGGTTAAAGATAATAGAGATTGAGAAACGTTTTGGGCGTTTGATAAAAGATACATCAATGGAGTCAAAGCGGGAGTCTCTGAGATAGATTTTAAAGCATCAAAAATATTATCTAGAGTTCTATTTGGAGCGGTTAAAGCAGTACCTAAAATAGTTAAAATTGGACCAACTTGTGGTACGACTTTTGTAACATTAATATGAGTGATATCAGCTGTACCTAAATAAATATTAGTTAAAGGTATATAATCTGATGTTGAGCCTGTGGTAGAAATAATTGTTAAAAGGAAAGATGTGAAAGTTAATAATAATAAAATAGATAAGATAATTATATGTTCCTTCTTGGAATAATCCTTTGGTAAATAAGGCAACTTCATGATATATTTGATTCAGTATAATTATTTAATTTTTTTTATTATAAATCGTGATGTTTTGTCTTGTTTAATTATATCTATATCTATATCTATAACGAAGAAACCAATAATACAAAATAATAAAAAATGAAGGAAATATAATATAAGAATATATGTATTTAATCTCTATTCTAAAGATAAAAATTGAGTCCTTTTATATATATATTTTCAATTGAAAAAGATAAAGAAGTCTATATAGTTATTGTTAAATTTATAGACTTATCTTTACTCTAAATCTCCTCTTGTTTCAATTTAACCTTTATCAAATAAATAAAAAGTGGAGAAAATTATGACTACAAATAAAAAAGGTTCCCAAGATACCTTAAAAAGTTATTTACAATTCTTAATAGAATCACTCTTCATTTTTACACACATCTCTATACCTATTTGTAAAAAAGGCTTTTCAGATCATCTTCATTGAGTTTTCTTTAAAGAAACCAGGCTTAAAGTTAAAGTATAATGTTATGATTTACAGTAACTACTACTAATAGAAGATCTAACAATCTATTACAATTAAGTTCTCTTTTTCAACGGAAGAATGGGTAAATATTTATTAATATTACTTTGCCTTTCTTCAAAGAGCAGTATTAAAATATAGAAACCCTAAATTAGCCGCCAAAACCCAAAAAATTAGACAGAAAAAAGTATAATTTTGTTGGGGAAAAAATTGGAGAAATATTTTAATAAAAAAAAACAAGAATCACAATAACAGTATTAATGTTTTCATTAAGGAAGAGGAGAAGGAAAATGGGAAGACGTATAAAGTCATTTCGAAATACGTACAATAGAATACATAGAATACACCGTACACAATTAACAACTCATCGAGTAATTTATTTAATGGACATATTATTTGGTGTATCTATCCTCTGTACTGCAGTTCCAATTAATTTTAAATAAAAATTTTCAGTCAATTAGAGAGATGGTTTCTACAAGTAAAACTGTTTAGTGCAATATATGCTCTATTTTTTCTTTTTTTGGCAAGAAACAACAGAAGGATCTGGCCAAATATGGTAGTAGTAATCATTATTTCACGTCTTTTCAATTTGTCATTTTAAGAAGTCAGAGTAACTGAGATATAGCATAAATATGCTGTGGTCCCCTAAAAATTCCCCTTGCACACTCTTCCCGGTTCCTCTCTTTTTAATGCTCCCTCCTGTAAGAAGTTCTCAGTTCAATATTTTCTTCAATTATGATGTCAATATTAGAAAGTCGTAATTAGTAATATTTTATGACAAATTATAATTATAATGGGAGTCACCGTAGGCAAACCTCCGGTTTATTGAACAGAAAGATATATTCAAGTTTTGTTGGCATTTTTTTTAAAAAAAGAGAGAGAGGAGATACGCAACTTAATTACTCCAATTTCTCAATCAGACCAATTAAATGGGTTCACTAATATTTTGCCACAAAATTATGCGGAAAGATATATGCATATACGTTTTTTGTTGGGGATGAGTGGCTTTCTTTGAACAAAAAAGTATAGCCTTCTGCCAAATCTTCTTTTTATTTATTTATTTCACGTCTTTCTATGCATAAATTAAACTGACAACCAAAAAAAACCTAACAACAGTAGAAATACTATACTAGTTACGTGCATACGCCATTCTTGCACTCTTTTTGTTTCTACTGAATTACCCCTCCCAATCCATAGGATTCTGTATATAAAGATATATTTCTCCCTGTTTATGCGGATCTTTCACAAAGGAGAGAAGGCTGAATTTTTGTGAAGTAACAACGCCGTACGAAATACATAAAAAAATAATAATCGTAGTAATAAAATAAACATCCTCATGTGTTCAACTCAACTCCTCTCAATTAGAAGGAAATTTTCTTCACAATTTACACTTTTATTAATATAATATTGATACTATTACTGTAAAAGACTACATAAAGATTGCTCAAATTTATATCATTTTGAAAAAACAAACAAACAAACAAACAAACAAACAAACCCCAATTAATTATTTAGGAATGATTAATTAATGTTTAATATTTTAATATAGTATATTTCATTGCTCTCTTTCATTATAATCAAAAAAAAAGTTCCTATAATGATGATAACAATTCTTTTTAAATATTTTCTACTTTTAAAGGACAATGCTATCGTATCTCATATATCATGTCTTCTCTCTATATTTTGTCGGCTGCCATTTGTTTTGTTTTACAATTCTATTAACGAATCATCTGGTTTATTGATAATTGTATAATTAAATGAGTTTATTACTCCATTTAAATCATTTCTATAGATTCTATCATCTAATATTAATTGTAATGATACACCGAAATAGGAACCCCAAAATTGTCTATTTCTATTTTGATTTAATTGATTTTGATTTTGATTTTGATTGTTTCTTATTACTGCATCTTGACCATTTTTATCTCTACCACTTTCATCAAAACGTACTTTTGCACCTATATTACATAATACGGTACCAGAACCTGGAATTAAATGATAATCAATTGATGTTATACTATGTTGTGTACTAACTATTTGTTGTGACCATAAAGTTAAAAATGACATCGCATCATTTGACCTTTGTCCATTAATTATAATCTTACCATTACTATTATTACTAAATAATTGTAAAAAATTATTTAATTTACTAACATCTTGATTATCTAAATGTGCAAAAATCTTTTGGATAAAAGTTTCGGTAATATGAGGTTGTTGTTTGGTATTCATATCATTACCATTGCCAGTATTATTATTGTTAAATGTATTATTCATTATTGTTGATTGGGTATTTATCTTGCCTTTTTCTTTTTTTTTTTATAGTTGTTCGATTTATATCAACGTCATCATCCTAATACGTTATTTTTTTTCATATATTCACTATTATCTTATTTTATTTTTCACTTTTCGTCTATTTAGAAAAAAAAATAACACGAGAAGGAAATTCGGCAAGTAAAGTATTATCTCTATTCGTACACTATGATTGGTTTACTATAATAATTTCTAAAGAAGGGTTTGAAATTTATACTCAACGTTGTGGTTTGTATTTAATTCTTTCAATAATAATAGGACCAAATATTCAATACCAATCAGGCATATCAAAAATAAGGTTACCCCAACTATGTGACTGTTGTTCCCTGGATTGAACATTTTTATTATGATAAATTTGACTAGATCAAAAAAACCAAGAACTGACCTCATATTGGCATTGACTGAGAAAAAGAGGTTCAAAAACCTTAGTAACTATATATAGTATCTAAATTTCCTTATATATAAATATAACTTATTATATATATATTTGATCAGACATTGGTTGTATCGGAACAGAAAGTAAAAGTATCATAATGCATTTGGTAAAAATAATTGCATTAGATTCAACAAACAATTGTAATTATCAGAAACTGTACTATTGAGAGTCCATAACCAAATAAAGTCTAATCGTTAGTGATTAATTAGTCATCCTCTCTAGGCGAGTGACATAAATATAATGTACGTAAGTGTAGCTCTTTAGGTAGCGGGAGTTTTTCGCCTTTTTATCTACCCTATTTGCCGGAACTGGCAGTATATTAGTACCATGATGCATTATAATCATTATGATAATTCTGAATAAATTGAGTTATGGATCATTCAAAACATTATCGTAGGTTTGTCAACATTTTGAAACGGAGAATTCCAAGAAATAGGGTCGGGTTGAAAGACTTTCATCCAGTTACAAACCTGAGATTGATGATCAATATAAAAATAGTAATCTACTTATTATTCCTTGAGATATATTTCAAAGCTAATTACGTCAAAAGTAAAATAAATATATATGTATTAATATATTGACCAGCCTTTTCTTTTCTTCTTTTTTGTGTGCGCTTTCTTCGTTCCTGGCATTGCCCGATCGGGAAACACCAAATTCTCAATCAATATATCCTCTTTACCTAAAACGGAGATGTAATAGAATTAGAGAAAAAAAGGAAGCCAGCATCAAAATTTCAAATAAAAAATATGAATTTAGTTGATAATTTACATTATTTGCTACAACGATTTAACTGCTCACTGCAAGATTGGGAAATTACTTTTTATTTTTAATTGTCCTGCCCCGATTCTGACGTTTTTGAACTTATTAGGAAACGACTTCTGAACCTGTTTGGTCTTGATCAGATCAAAAACTGCCTAAATTGTACTAAAAAACTATTTTTAATTTTTTATAGAATAGTCAGATGGGGAAAAAGGGACATTGCAATATAATATGTTAATCCAAAAATAATAAAAAAAGACCAGCAATGTATATTAATTGATTTTTTTATAATTGATTTTGGTGTAAATTTTCTTTAACTGATGATTGATTTATTAATCCTTATCATTATTTTGTATTAGAGTATGTATATATATATACATATACATATAGATGTGTATATATGTTTTAAGAAGGATCAATTTCTTCCGTTGTAATTAAGTTCCTTGTTAATTATGTAAAATTTTCTCTGTACTCAGATTATATTCATCTTGATCAGTCTCAGAAAAAAAAATAACGAAAACAAACACTACAATGTCTCTTTCAGCAACAAAGAACAATTTCTTATTGCATGAATCTAGCTCCTTAAATGATATTTCTGAAAGATCACCAAAATTATTCTTTGATGATTTATTAATTCCATCATTACCACCACAAAGCAAAAATCATAAAATATCAAAGACTTATTCATATATATCTAGATCGGCACCAGCCACAATTATTGGTAAAACCAACAAAAGCAATAGTAGTTCGATTCTGAATGAATTTAAAAATTCTCAAAAATTTTCATCATACTTACCACCAATCTTAAGTGAAAATATTCCACAGAAATATAATACTGCACCTGCATCACCACAACATATGACATATTCTGAAAGAAGTTCATTCATTACTCCAACCTCTTCTCCTGGTAGATCGAATTATAATAATACCGGAAATCAATTATCTGCACAATTGATTTTAACACGTAATCATATGATTAATGAGAATAGTTTTTCAAATGTTACACATTTGAATCATTTCCCTTTACCAAATGAAAATTACAATAAGATGAATAAGAACTTAACTCTATTGAATCAATTAAATAAATCTATTATTAATTCAACTAAGATAACTCCTCCAAGTACAAATGAATCAAATATAGGATTAAATCTACCATCTTTAAAACATTTAAAATTATTGCCAAATCCAAAGGTTCAAGAAAATTCTTATATCTACCCTGATACATCTGAAACTACGCCAATTTGGAAAAGAAATCTTGTAGCGTGGTGCCAACGTGAATCTGGTGATGATTATGGTAAGATTCAGGATAAGATTCGTCTTGAAAATAATCAAATGACAGAAAAATTAGGTCAATTCACAAGTAATTATAAAAATTTATCAGAATCATATTTAAATGAACAAACAAATTTCAATGAAATCCCATCTGTACTAAAACCACAAGATACTTTTCAAAAATTGACTAATAAAGGTTCTTCATTATATAAGATTCCAGTAACACCTCCAATGTCACCTAAACGCCATTCAATCGAAAAGAATGATCATATTAGTGACAATGGAATTACAAGGACTGAAGTTTTAAAATTTAGTCCATTTGTAAGTGATAAATTAGTTCAATTGGTTAAGAAAGAACAAAAAAAATTAGAAAAGAAAAATACTACCACTACAAACAAAGACAATAACATCAACAACAATAATAACAATGGCCATAAAAAAACCAATAGTTTTAAAGCATTACAAATCAAGAACTTATTAGATAATCGCGATATCCTCTCTAAGACCTCGAAAAAAGTCACTAAAAAAGGACGTAGCAACTCTGCTGGCAGAAATCATTTTTATGCATCTTCAACTTTGTCATCACCATCAAGTATAATTATAGGTACAAAAGCAAAGCAATTAGTCATGAAATTGGATCAAAATAATAATAATAGTAGTAGTTCATCTGATAGTGATAACTCAAACGATAGTAGCAAAACTAATAGACAACTAAAGAAGAGAAATAGTAGTAAATCTAGATCTAGATCAATCTCACCGATTAGAAGAGCCGCCGGATCTATGACTCCACCTACTCCAAATTACCATAAATTCTCAGTGGAATCTCCACCACAGAGTCCTACTCGTAGTTCTCCATCTATTAATATTACATCTCTATCACCAGCTAAACAAACACATAATGGTAATAAGGCTAACTCTACTCATAAAAAGCATTCCCATCATACTCCACATGCTATTCGTACATGTGTTTCATGTCATTCCAGTGATTCTCCATGTTGGAGACCATCATGGTCTCATAGAAAACAAGACCAATTATGTAATTCATGTGGACTACGTTATAAGAAAACACATACTAGATGTTTGAACGATAATTGTAGAAAGATTCCAACAAAGGGTGAATTAAATATTATGAAGAGTAATGGTATCTTTAAGGATTATGTTAATGGTTTAGAAGGAACAACAGAAGGTTATAGATGCTTATTCTGCAATACTATTACAGAAACGACGCAAGCATAAACACTTTCGAAATATTATGTATAACCACAATTATATTAATATTGCACTTTTCTCTCTCTCTATCTCTCCAAAAAAGAACAATTAATAGAATGTTACGCTTCTAATAAATATTATACGTAATTAATAATTTTTAATAAATATATTCCAAAATATCATAACTCAAGTGAAATAAATAAAAACGGGAACTCACACATACACACAGAATGATAAATATCCCGTTCCTTTTGATTAATGTCGATGATTCAAACATTGATAAAAAAACAAAGAAAATCAAATAAATTTAGATTTGACATAATAATTGCTCATCGCGACCCTTTTTTATTTGTAAAGTATTCAACATTTTACTACTACAGATTGCAGCTACCAGAAAGACAGCAAGAATTAATAAGAACCGTTCTATCTATATATATACGTCCCCTAAGATGCAAACAAAAAGAATGAGAGAAATAGAGACATCATTGGTAATAATCACCGAATCATCTCATGTTTTTAATAAAGTATTACAAACTTTACGAAGGCCTATCTCCTCTTTCACCCTCAAAACTAACCGAACAATTAAAATAGATTATTGATAACTAAGCGTTGTCTCTTTTCCTCCGCTTTTCATATTCAAATTCACAGCCATTCTATTCTTCATTCTCTCCCCCCACCTCTTTTCCCCCAGCCGTTAGCCACCAGACATCAATAATGCGTCGCCTCCATCCAGCCAATAATAGTTAATTGTAGTAATAAACAGCTAGTAACCAAAGCAAAACAATTAATTTTCTCATTTTTTTCCAATTTTTTTTCAATTTTCTCATTTTTTGCTAAGAAAATTTTTTCAGTAGCCAAACAGAATACATAGTGAGAGATGCGATTCAAAACACCCGAGCAAACTACATCCAATATGCGATGAGAACATTACCATCTCTTTATGCAATATGTAATAGTAATAATAATAGTAATAATATATGGCAGAAACAATCCAAATATTCTTTATTTTTATCATTTTAATTTCAAAAAAATAACAGGAAACAGAGGGGACATATATATTAAAATCATTATATATAAATAAATAGTTTACAAGTAGTTTCATTTTATATCTTTCTACAAACAAGAAGTTCTAATAAATTGCTAAATTTTTTGTAAAGGTATAAAGAAATCCACCAATCATTCATTTGCTGAAATCTTCCCTAAGCCTAATCAAAGAAAGAAGGTCTTTTTATTTTTTATTTTATTTATTATCGTCATGTCTGTAGAAACAGCTTCTGAAGGTTACTATTCCCATAGCTTTCAAAATTCTTCTACAACTTTAGTTGACACAAATATCATTAACGTTAAAGCTGATAAATCTGATGATGAACTATCTGATTTTTTACAACAACTAAGGTTAGAAAACCCTGATTTTAAGATATTGCCTCATGCACCTGCTCATAAAACTATCAATGAACAATTGATATCTCATATTACAAATATTAATAATGAAACTTGTTTACCTGGTGAAGAAAATTCTTTCTTTGTTGGTGACTTAAGTGAATTGGATAACCTATATAAAAATTGGAAATTACAACTACCTAGAATCCAACCGTTCTATGCAGTTAAATGTAATCCAAATCCAATCATTTTAAAAAGATTAGCTAAATATGGGGTTAATTTTGATTGTGCTTCAAAATTAGAAATTGAAACTATTTTAAATTTAGGTGTTGATCCATCAAGAATTATTTATGCAAACCCTTGTAAGATGTCATCTTTCATTAGATTTGCTAATGATAAAAAAGTTTTGAAATCTACTTTCGATAACGTCGAAGAATTATACAAGATTAAGAAATTCCATCCAAATTCTGAATTATTCTTAAGAATTACAACTGATGACTCTACTGCACAATGCCGGCTTTCCACCAAATATGGTGCAGATTTAGAAAACGTTAGAGACTTAGTAGCCAAATGTAAAGAATTAGAATTAAACTTATGTGGTGTCAGTTTCCATGTCGGCTCTGGTGCAAATGATTTTAGTACTTTATATAAAGCCACTAGAGACGCTAGATGGGTCTTTGATCTAGTCGAGAACGAATTTAATATGCCTGCTTTGAAAGTACTGGATGTAGGTGGTGGTTTCCAATTAGAATCATTCAAAGAGGCATCATATGTTTTAAATATGGCATTGGATGAATTCTTCCCAGTTGGTTGTAACATTGATATTATTGCTGAACCAGGTAGATATTTTGTTGCTTCTACTTTTACTTTGGCAACAAACGTTATTGCTAAACGTAAAATTAATAACGAAGAATCAATGATCTATATCAATGATGGTGTCTATGGTAATATGAACTGTATCTTATTTGATCATCAAGAACCTGTACCCCGTACCCTATACCACAACGATGAATTTCATTATTTCGACAACGAAACTACTTGTCAAAGGGCTTCTAAGAATCACGTCTACAAAGTATCAATCTGGGGCCCTACTTGTGATGGGTTGGATTGTATCACCAAAGAATATTACATGAAACATGACTTGGTAGTAGGAGACTGGTTATTCTTCCAAGATCTAGGTGCATACACATCCTCGGCTGCCACTGCATTCAACGGATTCGAACAAGCTGCTACTATCATTTTCATTAATGAAAATGGTGAAGTAGTGGAAGAATAAATTTACTCAACTATCCAACCATTTAGCATATCAGAAATCATGAGAAAGAAAAAATCTACAAAATACAAGCTAACAAATAATAGTCGTGTAATCATTCATTCATAACACAAAACCACACACACATATATACACACACATATACATATATATGCATGTTCTTTATTAGTCACTACGTACATCTGAAATACATACTTTTTTTCTTACAATTCTTTCAAGTTTATTGATTCAACCTTCTTATGCATTGAATTTTCTTGGTATGTACGAATTTTATGAGAATTTATCTTCCGCGTTGTGAGGTACACCGTATTTTTAATAGCTCTCTCTTTCTTGAACTGACATATATACATAGTCATTTTAATTAGTACATATTTTCATTTAAAGAAGATAAGAAAACAGAGAAATTTAGAAAACATATTTCGATAGGTTTCAATCTAAAAAACCTAACTAAACTGTGTATACGCTACACATACTATGTCTACGAATAATAAAGAGAAAAATTCCTGCCAAGTCATATGGGTGAAACCAACCATTGAAAATGTTATACCATATGTCCAATACAAACGTACGCAACCAGAAGATAGTGTAATATATGACCCAAATGCAAATTCCCGAGACCTTTTGTTGGGAGGAGGCAGAGATTTAATAATGAGTTTAATGAGCACCACCGACCCAACATCAAATAATATTCCTCAAAATAATGACAATAACAACATAGATAACACCAACAAAGAAAACAATAGTTCAAATTCACTAGACCCTGTTGAGATGTTTATCCTAAATCACTGTATTATTCTATGGTTCGATGGTCTGGGCCATGGTGTACAAATACCTTACTCCTCTGTCATATATCATGCATCTAGAAGAGTAAATTATCGAAATGAGGGACATAAACTGGAAACATTACTGTCATTAGAAAGAGATCCCGTGCTGAATGAATTTTTTCCCACAGATACCCAACAGACTGAAACTAATAACGAAATTGATATTAATGAGTTTACAATGTCGAGTGTAGAGATCATCCTGACCCCAAAATATTCCATGTATGATCGTCATTATAATTCTACTATTGAAACGCTATTTACATTTTCCAATTTCGGGATAAATCGTGGAGACGACATGGTAAATAACTGTAATGAAGCGCTAGCTATTGGTTTAGAACTTTCTTGTGAAAATGAACTGGAAGATTTCACTGAAACTTCTGAAGAACCAGAAATGGCTTCGGCAGGTCAAGATGGAGCCGTATACACAGGGTTACAAGAAGCTATTAATGGAAGACAAAACATATTTCATAACTCTGGGTTTGCTGATGACCTGGATAATAACGATATGATGAACCAAGGCTATTCTAGAGATTCTACAGACGCTGGAATGTCTCTTGAATTATAATATTTTACTGTATACATCAACTACTTCAGAACTCATAATAAGAAATGACATTAAGTTAGTAAATAAACAAGTAAATTCACCTGCATACATAATTATATACCTACACAGAATATGATTTGTCATAAAAGCATTACATAGCTCACTTTTTCTTTAACTATATACCTGTATAGATATATATTGATCGATCAACTAACAATTTAAAAATTGGTTGCGATGGTAATGAATAATACATTCCAACCCTAATTGTTGCAGGTTTAACCAGACATACTAATAAGAAGCGAACCCTATTCCTAAATTACGTATACGGTGATCTCCGGGCACACGGAACAATCCTCAGAAGAAGAAAATTTTTTTTCAGAAAGAAGTCTCTCCGTTTTGGCAAAGCGAAGTTAATAAAGCTCATCTCATCTCCTAACTACAGAATATTTTCACTGATTTAAAAATTTTGGTTTTATTTTTTAAAAAATTAATTTAAATTATTTTCATATTTTAGAACCCAAATTCTTCTGGAATCTTTTTTTGTAATCTCTCTTCTTAAATGTAGGTGTCCTAGTAATTTGGTCCTAACATTATAAGTTTTCAGTGATTGTAAGCATCACATACAATTTTTTCGTTTTGTTCATTAGTGAAGAAGCTACATTTCATCCAGTAACTGGTAATCATCATCATTATTTTTTTTGTTCCATAAATCATGCGTAAGTGTAAGGTTTTCGTTGGTAATTCTCACCCTGAATTAGGTAAGCTTGTCTGTGAAAGACTAGGTATTGAACCGGCTCCATGTTCTTTAAAGAAGTTTGCAAATGGTGAAACTTCCGTCCAAATTGGTGCTTCTGTTCGTGACGAGGATGTCTACGTTATTCAATCAGGCTCTCCAACTGTAAACGATCATATTATGGAATTGTTGATCCTAGTCTCCGCCTGTAGAGGTGGTTCCGCTAGAAAAATCACTGCTGTTATTCCTCAATTTCCTTACTCTAAACAATGTAAGATGAAGAAACACAGAGGTGCCATTACTGCTAGAATGTTAGCTAACTTGTTGATTATGGCAGGTGCGGACCATGTTGTCTCTATGGATTTACATGCTTCCCAAATGCAAGGTTTCTTCACAAAACCCGTGGATAACCTGTATGGTGGTCCAAGTTTGGCTAAATGGATTAGAGAAAACGTTCCTGATTATAAAGATGCCGTCGTTGTTTCTAAGAATCCAGGTGGTACTAAGAGAGTCACTGCTCTAGCAGACTCTTTAAAGATCAATTTTGCAATGATTCACACCGATCGTCGTCGTGCTAAGGATCTATATTCCCAAAACAAGGATCTACAACAACTAAGACTAAGAAAACAGTCAATGCTAAGAAAAAGTAGACCTATCGTAAGACAGGGTGATGATCCAAACGAGGAAGAAAATATCATCTTTAGTAACGGTATCCAAACAGCCAGAATTCGTAACGGCCATGTCATTGGTGACGAGGAAGCTGATGAAGAAGCTGATGAAGTCGCTATGGAATCTGATGAAGGTGACGAATCTACTCCCGTTGCTCCAAGCGATTCGTATGCCCTTGGCGGTACATATGATGCCCTAGACTCTGAGGATGAAGAAGATGAAGAAGAAGAGATCCACAAGGAAAAATTGATTACATTAGTCGGTAACGTCCGTGACCGTGCTGCTATTATTCTAGATGACATGATCGATAGACCAGGTTCCTTTATTAGTGCTGCTGAACATTTGGTCCAAAATTGTGGTGCTAAAAGAGTCTACGTTGTGGCCACTCACGGTATATTTACAGGCGACTGTTTAGAGGAATTAGAAAAGTGTGAGTACATCCATCAAATTATTGTCACTAACACATTCCCAATTGCTGTAGAACGTCTAAGCAGTTCTAAGAAATTAGTCAGTATTGATGTTTCACCAATATTTGCCGAATGTATTCGTCGTGATCATTACGGTGAGAGTATCTCTGTTTTGTTTGATTCTTTGGCATCTATATAATCTAAAAATATCGAAAAGCAGGATAATTGTAGCAATTAAGAATTGCATAATTGTTACATCTTACTTTTCTTAATTGGATTGCAACATCAAGGAACTATAAAAAATCAAAAATCAAAAAAGGTTTTTTTGGATCCTATGTAGATATAAAGTATTTCACATTTTAATTTCATATCTCTGTACATTAAGTTAGTCATTGACAATTCTTTTACGATTCTGTCTCAAGAAATAAATTATTGTTGGTATAAAAGTGTCACTAAATAATAATTATGTATTCTTCATATCTCCGACAGTCCGTGGTCCAGCGCTTATTTTATTACCGTCTGTCTGTACAGAAAACGAGCGAGATCGACGAACTCTAGCACAATTGTAATGAACCACGTAATCTTTCCCATCAATATTATGCCATATTACTTCTTCAGAGGTAAAAATCGAAAAAGGTTTTGCACAAACGGGACATTTATACGTTTCATTTACAGTCATAAATTTAGATAATTCTTTATTCAAGTTGAATGTCTCGTTCACAAGTTCTACCTGCAATAAAGCCTTCTTTAAATCGACCTCTTCTTTATTATGCTGATTTGATACAACAATATTCGTCAATTCCTTTCCTATATCCTGGATGGGTATCGATTGTGGTAATTTTTCTAAGATCATCAAACTATCTATTCTTGATCCTTGATCCTTTAGAAACATCATAATTTGCTTGCTATATTGTATCCCATTATTGACAGTTAATGCGGCTTCATTAGTCTCTTTCATGTATCGTTCAACAATCTTTTCAAATAAATATAGTATTACTTCTACTCCTTGATCTTGGACAGATTCAAATAACCTATCACAATATGATGACGATTTTTTATAATCATCAAGATCTGAATATAATATATCTATTGCATGTGTATGATTGCCTTCCTTGAATAATGCATACGTTTCCATAATTTGAATGAAATGTTTTATCTCTGATTTTAAGGAGTTACCATCGCAGTCCCTATCATTTTCTAGGAATTTATTAAATATCGAATATACCTTTGAAGCATCATAATGAAGCGGCAACTCAAGAACGGATTTAAGTTTTCGTCTCACCTTGATGTTGCTAATGCCGATTAGATATTGGTCGATTAATTCATAAATGAGGTTATCATCAATAATATCCACAGTACTAACATATACTTCTAAATAGGTTAGCGATAAACTTTGGTTGTAGTTTTTAATGAATTGATAAATTTGCATACCCTTAGTTTCTTTACTTATTGCGGTCTCATCAAAAAATATGTCTTTCAATATTTCACATTTGACTGATTCCGTGGTTCCGTAATTTTCGAGAAGCCAGTCAGTATAATGCATAACTTCTTTAATATGATTATTGCCCATAGATTTCAGGTAAGATATTATTAATACTTTAACCAATTCTTTTACTTTTAATTTATTGGCTTCACTTGTTGGTTCATCCAATAAGGAAACCAAATACATCAGAGCATCCTCATGTTTATTCTGTTGGTGATAGAATCCAATTAATTCTTGAGGCATATTATGTGATTTTAATGTATTTACAACAATCTCCGGGTCACATGAATTTCCTACCCTTATCAATGGCCCAACCATAGCAGGAACATACTTGATATACATCTTAAATAGAACAGTATCAACTAGTTTCAACATATCATTGATTGTAACTTGGCCATGGTTATCAAGTAAGAAGAAATCTAATTTTTGCTGTATAGATCTGTTGTAGTAATTCCAAGTAATTCCTGTATTATTATTCTTTCTAAGATTTTTTAGATTTCTTCTAGTATCTGTTAAGTATGGAATAACCCATTTTTTGAATAAATCTGGTGTAATTCCAGTTGGAGCAGGTGAAATTAGAGAGTTGTTCTCATTTATACATTTATGTTCTTCACTTGTCAGGGAATTGACTAATCCAGAAACATCAGGAGGAAACGTGTTTAGGATAACTAATTGTGGTGGTGCCCATACATCAATAAAATAGGTAAAAACGCCTTTTACAATTATATCTTCCAAAATTCTTATGCGTTTCTCATCGAAAACAGGTCGGTTTATCTTGTCATTATCACCCTGTTTTGCTAATTCCTTTTCAGTAGGGTAAATAATATCCAGACAATCCTCGAGTGCATCAAATATTTTCAGGCACCACAAAACTGTGAAATCTCTCAATTTCATGGCACATACATTCAACGAATCTTCTGGGCTAGGTGAGGCACATAGGTCTAAAGAATATGGAGAACGAAGGAAAAATTGGTAAAAAAGAACCTTTCTCCATAGATAATAAAAATCAGAATCATGGAATTTGCCACAAATTGTGACATCGTCAGAACTCTCTTGATTACTGCTTTGGTTACTTCCGCCATCAAGTTCTGTTATATCGTCATCAACCTGATAATGATAAAGTAATATTCGATCGTTATTTGTCCATATTATTAAATATGTACCCAGTACCTTTTCCACCTTTTTGATACCATCAAGAATATACTCTTCAAGAAATGTAAAACCATTTTCATAGTCCACAAATTTTAATTCTTTTGAATTATACATCATTAATATGTCAGAAGATATGTATTCAACATTCTCAAAGGACGAATTCCACTCAAAAAATTGTTCATGACTATTGGTTATTAAGAACGGCTCTTTATCACGTTCTAAATTAACCTCAAACAAACTTTCTGTTAACCCATCAATAATAAACGGGGAAGAATATATATTATTAAAACTGTATCGTATCCTCCTGTAAATCCCTTTATCTCTATCAGTTCTACGATGCCAAAACCCTGATAAATTTGATTTCTTAGTCATATTACTCCCTTGCGACGACGAAACGCGCTCTAATACCTCATAGTTCGATGATCCTGATAGTACCATTTTATTTGGATATGACAAATTACACTGACGTCTTAGATCTACTATGGCAGAAACCATATTTGATGGAAAATTTCGTTTTACAATTTTTCGAATCCTAATTAGTTTCATTAATACATAATTCCAAACAAATACGCCATTGTTGGTGGTAATAATTATCCCATTTGGTGTAGCATTTACAGATGTCACATGATCATTTGAGCTTGGAAGTTTAATTTCGACCATCGACTTGTAGATTCTTCCCTTCCAGATCAATAATCTAAGCTTTGACGATTTTATTGTTGCATAAAGTAAAAATGTTGACATTGAGTCCTCATTATGTGAGCTTCTTTCACCATTTGTTTCAGCTAAGGACTCAAGTTCTGCCGATGAGTTATCATCATTAGCCTTTGTTGTCGAAGGAGATATTGTTGTGGTAGTTAACCACCATTTTGAAATTCCTCTTTTATCTACTATTCTATCATATGCATGTAGATTAAAACTGTTTAATAACAGGATGACGTTTTTGCATTGGACGAAAATGGTAGAAAGTTGTTCTGAATATAAGAGATCAAATATCTTAGGATCATCTATATGTAAATTTTTCAAAATATTTGGGTATACTTGAAATAACTTAAACTTATCATTTTCCCTTGAATAAACTTCCACATTACCATCAGTTTTCGCCAAAATCAATCTTTTAGATTCTGCAATTGGAAGTACAGCTGTGATACCTGGTGAGACAATTGTATCCTTGAGTCTTGCTCTTAACATTTCATGTATTTATTAAGACTTTTGAGCAATTCTGTCTTATTCTAAATAATACTCAATATCCTGGTTAAATTTTAATAGAGTCTCACAAATGAATACGTTCTTTAAACCTCTATGATAATTGGTTTTTAAACTATTTTCCCCTTATATGTAATATTACTATCTTTTATAGACTAATTACTCAATATTTGTTTAGTCTTCTTATCCTAAGAGCAACGCGCCCTTTTTAAACAGCACTCTATAATATTAAAAAGTAAACTTAGTATAATTTAAACATTTGACATATTTTACAAAACAAAAAAATATAAGTGAAAAGTTACCATGAAGAAACTTTCTCATACTAAAACCTGTACACACTATATAATTAACTATACTGTTTTCAACTCTTCAAAAATTATTTTTGGGTCTTCCAGGCACTTATATCCACTTCTTCCATGGAATGAGTAACTTTGATCTCATAAATACCAAAACTTAGACCATCATGGTGAGCAGGGCCCAGCCAACTTCTAGCCACAACACCGTTCTTGTTCAAACCAACATAACCTTCAAGACAGTCTAAAATCAAAATTGTAACCTCAAGGCTAGTTTCGAAGGGAATAAATGCACCGCCTACAACATTATCTTGATTTTGTATATTTGCTGGCGTTCTCTTTCTCGGTATATCATTTGAATCATTTTTACTATCTAACATATTGAAAAAACCGATATGTTTTAAAACAACTAAAGGATCTGAATCATCTGTGTATATATCGGACCCCCAAATTTCCCTATTTTGTAATCTTGTAGAATCACCTGAGAGAAAGTTAGTAATTTCATTTGAATTTATTTTTATCTTAACTAATTTGTTTATATTTGTTCGATTAAAAGGTGGTAAAAAACAATCTGGTGTATATTGTTTTTTAAAATTATAAGGGTATGGCAAATCTACATTATCAAGCTTATTATTAATTAGACCAACCTTTGGGTATTTCATAAATTGTCCCATCTTATTTGACACATATTCCATTTCACCAATCAATACTGGTTCCTTTTTATATTTATCTCGTGTATAATTCAATATAGGTAATGAATCCATTTTAGATATCTGTATATTTCCTTGAGTTACTAAATTAGGATCATCATTATGTGACAAACTTTCAGAGTTTCCTCGAGAATCGGATTTAGGAGTCAGATTCGCTCTTCTAGTTGAATCCAATATAGTCTCTTGTAAACTATAAATCTGTGATTGTGTCTTTCTATAGTTTTCATTTGGATCATTCATTGCTACATTAGGATCTGCATTTGAATAACCTGGCATGTAGGTAGTCATGTTGGAATTATGAAGTTGAGGGAACGCGATGATCTATTTTACTTTTGTTCAGAGGACTTCAGTTAGTCTTTGATATTACAACATATATATATATAGATGTACACATATACTTGATTCCACAGTAAATATAAAATATTTAGGTAGAAATATATATTGCGCTGATTATATCGATATTAATATTATATAAGGTATTATGTAAACATCTTTGCATTACTTTTTTTTAGAAGAGAAGGGGTTAGCAATCGATGCAATAAGCCATTAAAAATTTCAAGGGAGAAACGGAACATCGCCGAGCATTGATTGTATCTGTTTCTCATTCTCTCTCTCTCATACAGTTTCACTGACAGAAGAGAATGATATCTACGCCTGCCTGCTTCTATCTCTCTTTTCTCCCACTCTCCGTTCCTTTAATTCACACTAGTAATTTACAATCTAACAGGATTTACAACGTATATCCAATTTTTTTTATTTTTGTTTTTGTCAGTATGAGTTAACTGGGAGAGTTGAAAAGAGATGTGACTATTCCAACACCCACACATTCTAGTAGTACATCCGGACATTCCATTTATTTTTATGAAAAATTTGGTTATATTTTCTGTCATTATCTGGAATGGTGAAAAAATGCCCGCGTCATCTGAACGAATTAATTTTTCAATCTGGCTACGATCATTCTTTAGACAAAAAATTGAAAAATTGTACCTCCTATTGAACCAAGTACGTTTTGAAATACTAGACAGCAAAATTATGTAACATGGAGGAAGATGGCCTGCCTTCCATCATCATCAAGTTTGTAAGTGTTCACAAACAGGTAGAGTGAGGGAGAGGTTCTGTATTGCTAAGCAATTACTGAGCTTGTGGAACTAAACTCACCAATTGGAAGACTAAGATATTGATATCTTCAAGTAAAGGTATATATCAAGAAGGTATATAATTGTATAGTAACTTATATATAGCTTTTAATACATTTAAGAATACACCATACACAATCTAAGGAAAAAATGGCCGGTTTGAAAGACGTTGTCACCCGTGAATACACCATCAACTTGCACAAGAGAGTATGTTTTTAATAAAAAAAATGAAGATAAATAGTGATAATGATTATAAAGGTTTCAATGCGACTATACTTAAGAAGTTAACATCTATGCTATAAAGACAAAATAAGTAGAATTATGGTATTATGCGAACAAAAAGAGTGAAATTTATACTAGAAATACGTGACAATTCCAGAACACGAAACAATAAAAAATTATGAGTTATACACACACACACAGAAATATATTTTATTTTAAAATGATATGAGAATTTTATGATAGAACCACGAATACAATACTACCAAGGAAGCGATGAACTTCATGAAGTAATTGAAATATGTTGACTTCTCAACTTGATCAAATTTTCAGAATGTTTTATTAAAGAAATATTCCTGTAAATCTGTCAAGAATGATTATGCTTTGTTTCAATTATGCCAAATAAAGAGACACTCATATTATGGATTAAAATATGACGTACTTTAGTAACCAAATAATATACCTGATTGATCTGAACTATTTAGAATTTGATATTTCCTTTCTTTTCCAAGTTGTAATTTACTAACAAAAAAAATACCTTGCTTTCAATCTTTTTGTAATATTATTACGAGAAATTCTGAATACAAACACATTTATTAATTTTAAATAGCTACACGGTGTCTCCTTCAAGAAGAGAGCTCCAAAGGCTGTCAAGGAAATCAAGAAGTTCGCTAAGCTACACATGGGTACCGAAGATGTCCGTCTAGCTCCAGAACTAAACCAAGCTATCTGGAAGAGAGGTATCAAGGGTGTTGAATACAGACTAAGATTGAGAATCTCTAGAAGAAGAAACGAAGAAGAAAACGCTAAGAACCCATTGTTCTCTTACGTTGAACCAGTTCTAGTTGCTTCTGCTAAGGGTCTACAAACTGTCGTTGTCGAAGAAGATGCTTAAATGTCTCATTTTCCAAACTAAATTAATTCAAGGAAGGAAAATAAACACATTTTTTTATTATATCTTTTAAAATATAGCAACATTGTATAACTTTCATAAGTAAGTTTAATCATTTAAGATTATAAATAATCAATTTTAATTAGTGAAGTGTCAACTACACTAAGCGCATATTTGATAATGCAGCGAATCAACATATACGCTACCGATTATGTGAGCATGTTTACGTAGTTATTATAAGAAATTATAGATATTTTACTAGTCGACATAAAACTATGTTTGAAGATTAATTCAGTGTAACTATGACAAAAAAATACTGACCACTCATTACATTAAAAGACGTACCTGAGTGTTATTCAATAAATCAGTCGACATCAAAACGATATCATCCAATATATCAAATAACGATATATCTTAAAGAATAGCTTGCGGCTACCTCTGTTCTCAATAGATCAGCAAAAAATAAAAAATATCATCCTTATAATCATTCAACATGTTTTACGATAACAATTTTGAAAAGAAATGTGAACTCACAAAGTCCAAACAAATATGAGATCACTAATGGTAAGTCCTTACAAAAAAGATATCAGATATATCAACAATGTAAGTTGGTATAAATTCATTTTGTATTGATTATTAATAATAACCTTGATTTGGTTCTACAATTTCAATAATATATATTTCATGGATACATCCACGTCTCTATATATATATATAAGTATTTTTTTCCAATTCTACGCATCGCTTAAACTGAAAAAAATGCGAAAAAAAAAATGCATTAAATTTCAAAAAAAAATATTGAAGACATATTAGGGCTTCTCGCTAATCATAATAATAATAATAATAATAATAATAATACAATGCTCTTTTATGAGTGTGAATGCACAAAAACCTATATTTACATTCTATGATAATATAAAGTTATAAACAAATGCCTACAGACATGCCAGATATTCGTCAGCATGTTGCTCGAGTACTCTACAGATGGATTGGGAGTAGATCATTTGAACTAAATGGGTAATTACAAGTAGGACATTTTCTCATTCTAGCTGCCAATCTTTCATTACAGCAATCCTCACAGAATACGTGACCACAAGTCTTAATGGCCATATTTTTCCAATTCTTAGAACACAAAGAACAGTAAACTAAAGTACGGAAGTTCTCCAACTCTTGAGACAAAGTATCTTCATCTTCGTCGTCATAGTGTCTTTTCTTGTCATTTACTTTACCTGTAAATGAAACTAACTTTTGATGTAACGTTTTGCATTTCTCATCAATGTTAATATTTCTCTGTTTCAATACTTTATTTTCTGTTTCTAATTCATTGTTATGATTCTTTAGTTTATTAATTCCAGTGACAAAATCTAAATTTTCCCCTTTCAAAACAGATATTTTCTTTTCAGATTTATTAATTTGAGAATTTAGGTCTATAATTTTCAAGGATTCCAGTTTTGCAGAGTCTATTAGTCTCTTTTCATTATTCTGCGATAATTGCAATTGTTTGTACAAATTTTCGATCTTTTGTTGCAATAATTTCTCAGCATCTTTCAGTTGTAAGATTAATTCATTTGTTTTAGTGATAGCCTTACTCATATTTTTATTTTCTATTAAAATAGGATCCTTTGATCTCATTGCTGCAAAATATTTTTGATCTGCTTTCGTCTTTTCAACCTTCAGTTTAGCTATCATTGATTCTTCATTAATTAAATCTGCGTATTTCTTATTATTAATTTGAGTCAATTCTTTAAATGCAAGTTCCATATCTTGAAGTTCCTTAAGTAATATATTTTCGGAAGTGGAATCAGATCTATTTTCATATTTCTTCCATTGTTCATTAGATAATTCTAATGATTTTTTCAGATCATCAAGAATAATAGGTGTTTTAGTCTCCGCTTCTAATATTGATAATCTGGAAAGTAGGTCGTCACGAGCTGTTCTAATTCTAACAAGATCTTTTTCAAGTGCTAAATTTTGAGTCTTCAGTACTTCTGAATTTGCACTAAATTCATTGGTTATCTTGTTATTAAAAATCTCTTTTTCACTAGATAGCTTTTGGAATTTGCCTAAGAATGAATCATTAATCTGTTTCAATTGATTATTTTCTCTAATTAAAATGTCAATCTTGGATTTCATAGCATTGACATCAATATTATCATTCCTTGTCAACCCAGTCGAAATAGTGTTTGCTGCAGATAGTTGCTTTTCTAAAGCAAGTATCTTTTCAGAATTAGAATTTTTAAACTTTTCTATTTCTTCAATAATAATCTTTAATTCTTTAATTTCATTTTGTAAATCTGAAACTTTTATTTCATATTCTGTCATTATTTTTTTCTCGTTCACATCACTATTCTCTGATATGATTTCATTTTCATCATTTTCATTTATCTTGGTACCTTCTGTTGCTAAAGTTTTAGTTTCTGTTTTAACACTTTTTACATCTGTGTTGTTTGTAGTTTCCTTATCCTGGGTTTCTTTCTGATCTTCTCCTTCTAATTCTTTTTTGAAAACTCTCTTTAATGTCTGAGAGTCCTCACGATCAAATTTTTTAATCAACCTCTCATAATATACTTTTAGAGAAGAAATTTCATCTACCAACTCTTTATTCTTATAATATAGCTCCTTCTTTACCTTTTGTAATTCTTTTAGTTCTAATGCTAATCTCGAGAGACGTTCATTTTCATCAACAGTCGCAGTACCTGATTCAGTTAGATATTTCGTTAATATCTTCATAAAGGAATCACTGAGCTGTATAACCTCATTTTCATCAGAGGTGGCCATTCTACTGCATATATTTTCTTCTTCAGTATTATTATTCTCTTTACTAATGACTTGTAAAAAATTAGCCAATGTAATGATCAAAGCCATCAAGTTAGACAACTTTGTTGAGACGTCAATATAATTTTTCTTAGACACCTCATATTGTTCATTCACAGCATTTAGACTGACTCTCTTTTCATTCATACACCTATACATAGCTTCTTTTTGAAACGATATAACATCATTTTGAGTCAGTGGTTCGTCAGGGTTACTCAGCTTCAGCTTCTTAGAAGGTGGTGCCGTCGTCATATTGAGGTAAATATTAAAATAATTCGCGGTGTATTATGTTCTAAAACGTATGCACCAAATACCAGCTATAAAGAAGTTAGGATATCGAATAGATATAACCTTCTAATATTATGTCGAAAAGTCAAAACGTTCAAATAGAAGTATATCGAATGAAACGCTAGCACCAAATGTATTAGAAAGCAATATATACGACGTTTTAACTCCAGCAAAAATATGTGATCTTATGTAGTTGATTTTAGATGACTATTATAAAACCTTCCTTCCTTTCTTATATTATTAGTATTAGAATTAGTAAACATAAGAAGTTACCATTTGGAAAAATTCGTGTTGAAGTTTTATTTTCGTATTATGCTTCATGGTTTTTTTTCGATGGCTGGATAACGTACACAGTGATTATTGTTTTTTTCATTTGGCAATGTTTACATTGACGTATTATATAATAAATTATGAAAGTATTAAACCCTATAATTGGCTATAACGTAGGGTTTAATAAAACGAGATCATACAGGAAAAAACAATAAACTGTCAATCTAAATATAAATAGTTTTAAACGAACTCCAGGTAGTTTGGGAAGTCACAATTAAATCATTCTACAGCAAGAGCTTTATGTTATCAACTTTGGTTTGTAGAAAATAGGAGTTCAAATCGGTTATTTCAGAAAACCACATAAAACTAATATTTTTTTGACGTTCTTAGATAGTTGCAAATCAGGATTTATTTCAAGATTATTTCTGTTCCGCAAGATTATTCAATTAATTTTATTTCGAAGATAGTTACCACAACTAAGTGTATGATTTCACCCACAATCTGAGTAAATGGAATCTCTTCGAGCCTTCGCTAAAGTAGGATTCAAACTCATAAATAATCAAAATGAGAAATTTAGTACTTTAAATGGAAATTCATTCGCAAATGTGGATGATATCGATTGTATTGATTTCGATCTATCATCCTCATTAGAAATCGATATAAATGATGACGCCAAATTATTTCATGCTCTCAATAGATTTATAACATTAATTAACAATAGAAACAAACATTTGAACTCAAGAATCCAGGATATAACCGAAGATGAATTTCAAAAATCTGATCCACAGATCATCTCTAACAAAATTTTTGAAAATACAAATTTTGGTAATACTTACATCGCCCAATTCATACGTTATAATCTGATAAAATATTTACGAAATATTCAACTATATTCTGATAACGAGACTACAGGTGAAGAATTAAGAGATGTTCTGGGCCACTGGTGGTCGTACATACTCGATCTTCTTGCCAGTGATAAAACCAATATCAGAACTAAAAAGCAACCAAAAAATATAAATAAAAGAAATAGCACTTTCTCAATAAAGAGCGAAGATTCAACAATTTCTAAAGAGAACCTTAATCGCAATATTTCCAAGTCTTATATATCCATAGAGTTAGTCTCTGTGTGCCTTGAATCCATTAGTAGAATAATGAGCCGTTTATTAATCTTAGAGGATAATAATAATAAGGAAAATTTAACAAAATTTTCGGATAATATTTTAAGAACAATTCATGTCATAACAGCACAATTGGTGGAAAATTCTCGACAGATCAAAGAACTCTCATACAAGACAGGGAAAGACCATCACATTCAAATTGCATTTTGTAATAATTACAACTCCCTTATTAGATCATTTTTAGGGAAACTTTTAGCCTTCGCATTTATTTACATACCTGATGATTTACAATTTGACGTTCAACTTATTGAGGCACTACAACCAAATTTCAAAATAGACATAGCACACCAGTCCAATATAATACCTTGGAAGAAACGAAATTTTTTCGCAACTAAATTAAAGAAAAATGTGGAAAAACCACAATCTAGTATTCTTAATCCAGATAAAAAGAAAATCTTTAGAATTATCATATCATACATTCGCCATGATATGTGTTTTATTTCTTTTTATTGGCATTATTGGTATATTATGTTTAAAATATTATCTCAAAATGACAATAATAATATAATTCATAAAGACACCATTACAGGTATGTGCCCAGGATGTGACATTTTTATCGAACATTCTATTAATCATTTTATTCGCAACGATCTTTACAAAGCGAACAAATTTCTCAAAAATGTTCGTAAGCAAAATATAAACTCAAACATTAATGACAGTATGCCAAATTCAGATATTATAACTGATAATGAATCATTGACTTCAAATTCTAGATCAAATAATGTCGAAAATTTAGACACATTTGTAGAGGATACATTCAAGACTTTAAAAATATGGAACTCTCTTAAGTTAATATATATAAAATTTCCTACTGAAGTTGAAAATTCAAACGTATTACTTAGGGCCCACGATGAAGCACAATTAAAATATATCAAGACAATACCCGCTTATGATTTCCAAGTCGCAAATATTGTGTACAATAAACTATTGAAGAAGATTACGGATATTTTCCCGGATGTCACCTTTTTGACATGGTCCATATGGATAGATGGGTATATGAACCTTTTAAGAACTTGTAACATGAACAACCAAATAATTGCTATTCTTTCACTTTTTAATACCTGGGAGTCTATCCCTGAGAATGAACAAATAAGAATTACCAAAGAAATAGTCGGAAATGATGATATTTGGGAGGATTTAACGTTACATACGGCTGAAAATTTAGTGCATGTTCTATTCTCTAAACTTCTCATATTCAAGATGTCAAAAATTAATGATCCTGAAACAAAACAACTCATCATTAATAAATTGAGCTTTTTCCATTTCCAATTCAATACATTAACGAAATACTTAGATGATGACGAATCAAAGGACAACGTAGAATACGATTGCTCATTAAATTATGGTGGAGACTCGGTACTAATATTTCATATAAATAAAAAATTCATATTAGGAAAGTTAAAAAGTTCCACTCAAAACACAACAAAGAATGAAAGATTAATTTACGATAAAAAGAATTGGATATTAGGCCCATTGGATATTAACTGTAGAAAAGAATATAAGGGTTTATTGGAACCACCTGAATTCACTAAGTTAAGATTTATTATTTCAAATAATGAATCTAGAATGGGGTTTAGGATTATGATTTTCCCTAATGTCGGAAAAACAATTGAATACTGGAATTCTAAATGGTTAAACAATTCGAAGGTTGACATGCCTGTAGAAGAAAAAGCATTACCATTTAAACCATTAGAACCAATAAACACGTCATTATTTGGCGAAATCGTTGAAGTTTCAGACGGAATTGAAATGAAGAGCAATATTTCTAGTCGCAAGACACAATATGAAAAATTATTCAAATTTATCAGATTATTCAATCTCACAATGGTGGAATATTATGATTTCCAAAATTTTGAGAATGATGAGAATATATACATTGACTTCGAACTCTTCAAGTAGCATGTTTACCATCCATATTTATTAAGTTTTGCATTTTATACGATATACATATATACATACATACATTAATTCATTACTACAGCATTATAAATCTTTAGAATTCTTTTCCAACGCTTCTGCTCTTTCTTTCAAATCCTTTATCTTATCTTCTTTTTCCTTAATTAAAATTTCTAATTCTTCCTTTGTCAATTCTTCTTCATCTTTGTGATCATCTTTTCTATATTTTGCTTTTAAATTTAACAATTCATTAACCAATGCAAAAGTTTTTGTCACAATAAATGTTAAGAATAATGTGATCCCTGTCAAATATAGATTTCTCTGTTGAAAGAATTTTCTTGATAAAAGTTCAATCCTTTGATGGCCCTGTGTGACTTCTATAGCTAATTCTTTATTAATATTGTAAACTTTATTAATGGAGTCAATAAATAACAATAGAATAAAACCTAAAATACATTTTATTGCCACTTGAACGTTACTATTCTTAAACGGTTTTAATAGCACCAATGTCAATGGTTTACGAAACTTAGTTGGAATAGGCAATGCTAACAGAGTAAATAAAACAATCTCTAAAACTAGGATACCAAAAATGAGGCTGTAATATAAAGACATTATTATTTTTTGTTTGAACTTAATGATAGATCACTGAAAAGAATAAACGATTATAACAAATATATGCAGTTACTACTAAAACTGAAAACTTTCCTACTTAATGGATTAAATATATTTAAAACAACCAAAATTAATTAGTTAGAATAATAAAAGTTGGTTTAACTTTTCCCTCACTAAAATATGTCAATTGATATATACGTTTATATACCTTAATGTTAAGGGAGATCAGTTCAGAACTATAAGGAAGAGGCGTTTCTGTATCCTCTATAACAAATATTTTATTACACACTTCTAATAAATCGGCAGTGCCTTTTTTTCCTTAATTTTTCCCCGTATCAATCTATCTATTCAATTTTGTCATTCTTTGGACAGTACGCTATAATAATAATAATAATAATCAATTTAAGGATTGATTAAGAATAAGAGAGTCCTCTATTTAGAATTTCCCTTCAATTGAAGAACACGATCGTTTATGATGATCTCTGATGCAGTTGGTTCTTTCGTAATCAATAATCCCAATATTGATAATACGGTTAATCTATCAAATTTTCTTCTTATACGTTTAGGTAATCTTGATTCAGGTATTGGAATATTTGATATACCATTCAAGTTATTATCTGTTATAAATCTCTGTATTAGTATTTCTTGTGAAGTATGTTTTGAAGTCCGAGGATTAATTAAATCGAATGCATTGGTTCCACCAGGTAATTTTGACATAAAATTAAAATCCGAACCATTGACATCATATTTTGATCGTCGAAACAACCTAGAGTTATAACTGAATATTTGAGTACTTATTAATTGTCTTGCGAGACTCCTAAATTCGGTACGATGTGTATATTGCTCTGTTGGATATAAGTGAGGGAGAAAAGTGTTGTACTCTAGAGATAAATCAGGTATGGATTTTTTAAATACAGAAAACAAATTATCTAGATTCTTAATGTTCTTCGCAGATGGCCGACTCATATCGTAATGATTAGATGTGGTTCCCTTCTCGTTTTAGATGCACTTTATTTTCTTGAATATATTATACTTCTATGTATGAAAAAGTAAATAACATGTAAAAAAAAAAACCACACAAGGTCAACAGTAGTTGTTCTTAGCAATAAATAAATCGAAAAACTGAAACATAAAATTGCTATTGACCCAAAGAAGTTCGAAATTTACTAATTATTTTAATATCATGCCCAGCACATACAATATAGAAGAAATAGTAAAATGCGACTTCATTGGAAAGGTCTATTAAATAATAAGAATAATATTAGTAAAAAAAAAATATTGCAATAGGAAATAGATACGTATACATATATAAAGAGAGAGAGATAGAGAGAAAGATAAAGAAAGACAGAAAAAGAAAGATGTAAGAAGAGTAGAAATAGGGAGCATATAGAATAAAAATAGTAATCTTTCATTAGTAACTAAAGAAGAATAAAATGATATAATTATATATTGACCTATTTCGCTCTTCTCTTCAAATAAATAATTAATTAACCACTGTACCGTTTATCTTTGTTCTGCTTTTTTGTTTTGTTTTGCTTTGTCTAGTTCAAATTTTGATTCCTCTCCAAAACGATTATCATTGATCACTCTGAGATAATAATATATGCTTCATATATATATCGTCATTTTCTATTCAAAATAATTCAAAAGGAAATACATATATATATATTTGCAAGTCTTTGAGGTCAGGTAGAGTGAATAATAATAAGGGTGTTGAGAAGACAGGAACAGATGTAATAATAGAAATAGTAATTGTAAGAATATCATAAAATTGTGTATAGGTGTTTTTTCTTTCCAAGAGAAGAATATCATATATATAGAGTTCTCTCTTCAGTTGACTTTTCTTTTTCACGAATAAGAGAAGAAGATGTAATAGTGGTAAAATAATAAAAATTTTGGGGAGGTAATAAATTATGTCTAATATGCTATAGATCAACTAAGCATTTTCTTGTCTCTTCTTTTCTGCAAGTTCAGCATAAAAAGCTTCTCTTCTGTTGATGACGTCCATGTGGAAACCCCACCACCAATAAGCACCCATAGCACCACCTATTGTGAAACCCATTAATATATCTAGAGTAGCTCTTTTTCTCAAAGTATTTGTAATTGGTGCAATAGCAGACATGTTTTATTTGGTGTGTATAATGTAATTAAATGTTTTTTTTGTTTATAATTCGTTGTTTAAAAGTAAAAACCTTCTTATAGCTATAATTCAATATAATTTAAAGTATAAAAACAACAAGATCTAAGTAGTAAGTTGTTACAAGTCATGTAAATAAGGAAACGACGTTTTACTATGGCGTTCATTACTTATATATATATAAATGAAAGAATATTATGTTAGGTTCGTTACTGTTACTTACTTACTGTTCCAACTATCTCCATGTCTAACCTGTATATATTATTTTTCTGGTTCACGTTCTCCCCGGGGCAGTCAGAAACTGGCCATATCTCCTGCGCTCTCATGCTATTACTGCCATTTCTGCGCTCTCCGTGAAAATTTGTCTCCCTTAAGTCCGTTTGGACCAATCAGAGGAGCGCACAATAGCAAACAATATATCGAGTGTTCCAAACTGTTTCCGTACTGTTTCTACTACCATAACCATTTCCACTTATGCATTAGCAGGTGACAAGGGCAACTGAAGCAAAACTCAACACAGAACACGAACCGAATCTCGGTTCGACAACCGTGTAATGTGATGAAGCACGTGATTGGTAGCCATGTTCAAGCTTTGGACCCTAATGTCCAGCCCTAAAAGGATAGTTGAGCGCTACCGGCGACCTCACAGAGAAGATAACCAGGTAGCATAACAAACAGCCAGAAAAATCGCTAATTTTAAACCAAAACTGAACTCAGTTTACAGTTGCTAATGCTGTAATGTATTGTATTAGTTGACACTGCGCTGGTGTCTGTCTTGCTCTCTACCATCTCTATGCGCACGCAAAGCATTGCCCGCACGTCCTTTCATGTCACGCGTGCCCAGTCAGATAAAACAGATTATGCAAAGCCAAACTCAAAAATGACCGCCGCTGCGAAATATTTGGATATTTAAATATTTTGGTGGGTGAATCTCCACTCCGCTTGCTGAATCCTCGGTAGTTTTCAGTGGGGGTCCATTCAATTATCCTCATTCACATACAGTAGGGATATATACGCGAATATTTGAAATGGTAAAGGGAATAAATATACTGAAAATTTCAGTATTGTTTGATTGAATCATCCGTACTGCCAATAGAATATTAACGATTATGATGATGATGATGATGATGATGATGAAGTCTGCTCTTCGTTATTGCTTCCAATTGAAATGTACATACGAACAATTACATATATATATATTTATATATATAAGAGTAAAATGCGATGAGTACTTGGCTTTCCTCTTTTATTTTTGTTTTCTATTGTAATGATTCAATTACTCCTTGAATATTTATTTTGTAGTCTCTATAGTAGATATTATCCCTGAATAAAAAATACTATTTCACGTGAAGTAATCATCCATCATCACAACCATGCTGTCCAGAAGATTATTCTCTACTTCAAACATTGCAGCTTTGCAGAAGATTAAAATTAAATCTCCAGTCGTCGAATTAGACGGTGATGAGATGACTAGAATCATCTGGGATAGAATCAAGAAGAAGTTGGTCTTACCTTACTTAGATATCGATTTAAAATACTACGATTTATCTATCCAATCTCGTGATTCTACCAATGATCAAATTACTGTTGATGCTGCTAAAGCAATCCAGAAATACGGTGTAGGTATTAAATGTGCTACCATTACTCCTGATGAAGCTCGTGTTAAAGAATTTAACTTAAAGAAAATGTGGAAATCTCCAAATGGTACCATTAGAAACATCTTGGACGGTACTGTCTTTAGAGAACCTATTGTGATTCCAAGAATTCCAAGATTGGTTCAAGGTTGGGAAAAACCTATTATTATCGGTAGACATGCTCATGGTGATCAATATAAAGCTACCGATTTGGTAGTTCCAGGGGCTGGTAAGTTAGAATTGGTTTATTCTCCAACTGACGCTTCAAAGGATAAGATCACTTTGAATGTCTTCGATTACAAAGGCCCAGGTGTCGGCTTAGCCATGTATAACACCGATGAATCAATTAGAGGTTTTGCTCATTCTTCTTTCAAATTGGCTATCACTAAGAAATTGAACTTGTTCTTATCCACTAAAAATACTATCTTGAAAAAATATGATGGTAGATTTAAGGATATCTTCCAAGAGATATTCGACAAGGAATACAAGACTACTTTTGAAGAATTAGGTATCAATTATGAACATAGATTAATTGATGATATGGTGGCTCAAATGGTTAAATCTAAAGGTGGCTTCATCATGGCTCTAAAGAACTACGATGGTGATGTACAATCCGATATTGTTGCTCAAGGGTTCGGTTCTCTTGGTCTAATGACTTCTGTCCTAGTTACTCCAGATGGTAAAGCTTTCGAAAGTGAAGCCGCTCATGGTACCGTCACCAGACATTACAGAAGATACCAAAAGGGCGAAGAAACCTCTACTAACCCAATTGCTTCCATTTTTGCTTGGTCCAGAGGTATTGCCAGAAGAGGTGAACTAGATGCCACTCCAAATGCTATCAAGTTTGCTAACTTATTGGAAGCTTCTACTTTGAACACTGTTCAAGAGGATGGTATTATGACTAAAGATTTGGCTTTGGCTGCTGGTAAGAAAGAAAGATCAGCTTATGTTACCACTGATGAATTCTTAACTGCTGTCGAAAAGAGATTACAAAAAGCTATGAACACTGTTGATTAAGTGTTATATACGTACTTTTAACTAACATAAAAATAAATCAAATAAGTATAATCGCACATATAGAAATAAAATGTATACAGATACGATACAAATACGTTCACCCCCCATAAATTCATGCAATCATTTCTTTATTTGTAAAGAGAAAATTTATATACGTGACTACTGCTGCTGACAATTCTCAGTAATATCTTTGTCAATATTCCCCATACTTTGATCGTCTCCATCTACTTGCAACATCTTAGCAAGGTCATCGAGTCCACCTTCATTGACAGAGCTGTTATTGAAACCTTTTCCCACAGGAGAATCACCTAACTGTTCTAACTCATCAAGTAAATTTGTAATTTCGTTTTGGAAAAGTTTATTATCATAATCTTCCCTTTCATATAATGAGACTAATTCTTGTACCAAGGAATATTGTTTTTTATATAAGTTCATCTTATCTTGATGTTCATCCTTTGTCTCGTTTTCTTCGAACCATTTTGAAAAATCATCTTTCATCTCCTTCATTGGTGTATATAGGACTTCCTTTGAAGACATTTGAGTTAATATATTTAAAATAGCATTATCCATACCATCATCATTAAAGTCAATACCATCTTCTTCTCCTGTACCATCAACAAGCTGATTTAAAAGTTGAGAAAGTACATCGTCAGACCCTTGTTCTGCGGCTTTCTCTTCCTTTAAGCTGGAATCAATATTACTTCCACTCTCTTTTAATCTATCCAAAGTATTAGCGATAACATTCTTAAAATCTGCACCATCAATTCCGTTCTTCATAGAATAATCCTTTGAACTAGTCGTAGTCTCTTCTTCGGCGGTGCTGGCTTTACCTAAGGCACCAATGAGGTTATTAAAATTATCAATAGCTTCTTTATCCACACTACCTTCAACTCCATCTACATTTTCCTGGTGCTTCAAAAGATTAGCAAATTCACTCTGAAGTTCAGTCATCATTTGTTGGACTTGCGGGTCGTTTTTATCTGATTCATTAGATTTAAGAGTCGAATCAATCCCCTGGGACTGACTAGGGTTTTTATTTTCTGAATCTAGTTTAGTCTCAGTATCTAACGTAGTCGGGTTTTCATCAATCAGTAAATCATCCAAATCATCGTATTCTTCAGTAGACATTCTAGGTTTATTGTTAGCTGCTGTTTTAAAAGGCCTCTCCAGAGTACTTGGTCTTTCCATGAAATCGCTGATCCCTCTTTTTTTTTAGATATACTATGGGCATCATCACCTTTGAGGTTTCCTTTGTGAATATAATTATCATCTAGTGCGACGAAGAAAAAAAGTTTGAAGTCGCGAAATAAAATAGTAAGTAGACTTCATAAATTGGTGCCCCCGTTACAAATAAAGCAACAATTATTTTCACAGTGTCAACAAATACTATATTAGAAAGAAAATATATACCATATCATCATAGCAGAATACTCGAATACCTTTCCATACATAACAATGAGTAGTTTATGTTTACAACGTCTACAAGAAGAAAGGAAAAAATGGAGAAAGGATCATCCCTTTGGTTTCTTTGCAAAACCAACTAAGAAAGCTGACGGTACTATGAATCTGCAGAAATGGGAAGCTGGTATTCCAGGTAAAGAAGGCACAATATGGCATGAAGGTGTATATCCATTGACTATAGAATATCCAGATGAGTACCCATCGAAACCACCTAAGGTTAAACTACCTAGTGGGTTTTATCATCCTAACATATACCCAAGTGGTACCATTTGCCTGAGTATCCTGAATGAAGAACAAGACTGGAGACCGGCCATAACTCTAAAACAAATCTGTTTAGGTATTCAAGATCTCTTAGATACTCCAAACCCTAACTCCCCAGCACAAGAGCCTGCTTGGAGGGCATTTCAAAAAAACAAAGCTGAATATGAAAGGAAAGTTCTATTACAGGCAAAGCAATATACCAAATGATCCTTCAATAAATCTGTGGATCCATAATTTTGATCGTTCACTCAAATGTAAAAGTATGCATCATATCATGTAACAATATATTTAATCAAAAATAAATAATATAGTATGTCAATTTAATATTGGTAACACTAAAACTGTTTACAAATATCTAATAGTTTTATTGTTTAAATTATATATATATATATATGTAATAATGCTGTAAAAATTTATGACCTTTCATTTGCTTTGTAATGAATGAAACTTTGTAAAGTGCTAAACATTTCGGTGCACTTTTCCTTTTGGGCTGGATTTTTGTTCTTATCAACCATCTTAAAGACTTCCTTTAAATTTGGAACGACATTTTGTTCTAAAACAGACAAATAATTTCCATTCACGAAAACAGGAACATCATACGTAAAGTCACAATCGGAGTATATTTCGAATATGGAGCTTAGAGCTTCGATTAAAATATCCACAGGTGTATCTTTAGATGATAACAATTTAATCAAGAACGCACCTACTTTTTCATTTACACTCAAATCTTGTGTCTGAAAGCAGGCCACTGTTGCTAATAAAGCACAACATCTTTGCCTGAAATCAATACCTGTAACCTCATTATATTGTTGAATTATTGTGTTTACAAATTCAACATTGTTCCAAATTCCGAATTCTTGTAGTAGATCAACATCGGCCTGGTTGCCACATATTTTCAAAATTACCCACATAACACTTATTTTACCCATTTTGATGGATTCGTTATTCTTATCCTCGAATGTTGTTACTTTATTCCATAAGCCTGTGAGGATACTTTTGTCAATAGTTTCTTCAGTGCCGGCAAGAAGCCATAACATGTTATTCCAAGCAATAAATACCCTATCTGGGAAATCTTGTAGCAGCGCATCCAAAAATGAAGGAAGAGTTGCAAGGAGGAACTTAAATAAATTATCGGAAACAGTCACATTTAACGATGAGATCATTTCAATAATACCTGCCACGACATCTAAGGAAATTTCAACGGCCTGTAACTGCATCATAGCATTCTGTCTCTTTTTAGCCTGTTCCTTCAATTTTGGGATATCAACCTCGTCCTTTATAATATAATTTAACTCGTTATTCATCTGCTCCAAATTAATATCTTTCACAGCTTCAACTACAGCTTGTAAGAAATTAATACATTGGTTGGAATCAAGTGTTATATTTTCATCAGTTTCTAATAATTGTAAAAGAATACCTTGCACTAATATCTGAGATAATTCATTCTTAGGTGGAGCTTCGTTTAGCTGCTTAATTAAAGTAATTATAGGCTCATATTTCAATAATTCATCAATGAAGTTCATAGATTCTGAGCTAAAATCATATACTAAATCTAAAATAGTGTTCTGTAATGCAATTGGTAGAATATTGAATCCATAATTCAAATAGTTTAGAATAAGATCAAATATAATTTTTAAGTTTTCTTCATTTAAAACTTCATTTAAAATATTATCTGAGTTGTTAGTTAGAGAAACTAATAACGATATCAAATTATCAGAATAATCAAAGAGTAGTCTCTTTGATTGGTTATGAGCTACTTGTTGTGATTTATTTGAGGCGCTGGAGGAGCTTTCTTGTTGTAATGCTTCTAAGGATGATACAATTTGTTCAAAACCGTTTTTAATACTCACCCATATTTCATTTCTCCAAAGGTAAGTGGAAATATCATAACCTTCCTCTAGTGTTAAATTCCTTAACAAACCATATGCTTCAATAACGATATCTTTATTCGAATCATTCAACGAATGTGTTAAAATGATATGAATTAGTTTCTCCTTTAATAACAACTGTCTCATATGGGGATCTTCACATAATACACTAATAGAACTAATGGCCATACTTCTATCATTTGTTGTAGCACTTTGTAATTGGGCTAATAACGGTTGAATTTTCTTTGTTACTAGATTAGCATCTTTGGAGGATGAATTGGTCTCATTTTTTAATGGATTCAAACGAGCCTTGGATGCTCTTGATCTTTTCTTAGATTTACCCATTTTGTATTTTCTTAAATTACTGATGTTTTTTGTTATAGTATATTAATATATCGGTTTGTTCTTATTAAATCATTTTTTATCTATTGATATTTATGTAGTATTTCAATCTTAGCTTTGCGATGACCTAAAATTTTTCGTGGGCGGTAGTTAGTTAACTATGCTCGTCTGACATGACATATTGCTCGTCACATTAGTTATTCTAAATAATGTTGATATTTATTATAATTTAACAATAATATATTAATATATATTCAAAGAGATTTATAGAGTTGACCTTATAGTCGTATTAAAGATATGATGAAAATAAATGTTTAAAGAAAATTTAAGCAATATAAACATTCAAAATCCTTAACGGTACTTGGTGAAACCAATGTCGTTAGCTCTTTCTCTGAAACATTGACGACAGATGTTTAGACCGTACTTTCTGATCAAACCAGTGTGGGAAGAACAGACACGACATTGACGAGAACCTTTACCGAATCTTCTTGGGTGGGAGAACCAAACGTTTTCGTGAGCCATTTTTATCTGCAAAAAGGAAGAGATTGTTATAAAAAATAAACAATTTATAATCAATAATGTTAGTAAATCATGTTTAAAATATTAATATTTGCCATCTAGGTCAAAAATTGCGGTCTTGTGGAAATGTAACACTTCTGGAGTGCAGAATTATGATGAAAATTTAACACTATTATTCGATTATGTTATGGAGGTAGCTGAGTATATCTATTTCCGAATAGACAAGAAATACTTATAGTAACCGTTCTTATATCTTAACATTACAGTCTTATGTTGCTTCATGAACTTTCATCTTACAATTAGCTATTCAACCATTATGACACATATGTATATATTTCCAATCAATATTCTTAAAACTAATTGAGGTATCAAGCATTCCTGTCTATTCATTAAATATATTTCCAAAGATAGTAATATTATATTAATGTCTTTTAATTTATGTTACGTTCCTTTCCCGTATAAATTCTCTTTTGCCTAGTTTCATTTCATCACTATTAACATACATTATTTTATTGTCACAGATATGGTGATTTATCAAGAAGAACTTTAAAATGTCAAAACCTTTTTAAATAACAGTGATCTTATAAGTATATCAATATTAAATGCTAGTTAATAACGATCATATCTTCATTATGGCTAAGACGTGTGTATAGTAATTGGTATGCAAACATGGTTTACTCTGATGGGTCAAGTCACCACCGTTCTGGAGTAAGATTACGTGAATAATGCCCTCTACGTGATAGATACAATAATAGATGTGATATTAAGCATAGAGATTGTCAGAGGTTGAAAATTTCAAAAGCCGTCTGTAAAGTATATTTGTTACGGAGGATGGTTTGTTCGTTGTTAAGAAAAGAAAAAAAATTAAAAAATTATAAAAATTGTAAAACATGTAAGGATGTTTGGGAGGCACGGATGTTTTAAAGTCGTCCAAAAATCCAAAAGCATAAAATATATATTCTATTTGAAGTTACTATTCAGAATTCGTATCGCCAAATAGCATTAAATATATTTATCATTAATATCGTAAAATTAATTATATATTGCTTACTTATTATTCGAATACATGAATAACGTTAATATACAATTATTCATCTTATAATCTGGGATTACTTAAGGTGACACCTAAGGGATTGTATGATTCTTGCTTTATCTTTGAAACATACAATCCATCAACATAATAATTACTTTGAACCTTTCTGTTATATTCCATTATTATACTTTCAAAACTTAATATAGCTTTCTTTAAAGCATCACTTATTGCTTCCTTTTTTGCCTTAGCAAAACTCATCGCTTTACTTGGTAATACAGCTCTTCCTATTCCTCCTACTTGAGTATTGGTACCATCCCGTAAAGTAACTTTAACTATAGCTTCTGCTATTACGTTATGTAGTATATGTTGTTCGTTTTCTAAAGCTATTTCTAAATTCTCTGCAGATTGGGTCGGCGTGATACTAGATTCTGTTATCTGTACATCCAAAATATCTATTGACCATCCATCATGGCCAAATGCTTCATTTGCAAACTCTACAAGTTTAAACTTCGGTATTACTTTTGATAAATTATGTTTACCATACTTATTACTTCTAAATATCTGATATGTAAATGCTTCTATCTTAGACTCTAGGACACCAATCTTTTGAACAGACCACTCACTTGCTGGACGGTCCTCCCAATCTTCTTTCATTTTGAGATCATCCATATCGACAGCTGGTCCCACATGGAACTCAGTAGAATCGTAGTTTACATGAGTGTCCGAACTTACACTCCCAGAATTGTACGTTTTATTCATGGTTGCCATATTTTAGTACTAGGAGATATATATTTATATATATTTGTATTCTATTGTTATATTATGTTTCTAGTTTAGCGTATATGCCTTGAGAATTTCTGTATTCTTGATGTATTATTGTTAATCAATTTCTTAGGAGCATCGAAAAAGTAAAAAAAATAAAAAAAGATAAACATATCTAAATTAGTAAATCCGAACAAGTGATAATAATCATTACATATATATTTAATACTTCAGTTCCATTACTTCAGATTCATTACCTTATATATATCCTCAGCATGTGTATCTCATATCAAAGAAAAAGGGAATGCAACTAAGATAGTACTAGTGATTATTTTAGATGGTACCGCTAGAATCAAATGTATTAATAAGAATATTGCCTCCCCGGCCGAAAATTGTGGCTCTTATTTCCCTTTTTGGATGAACTCCGCCAGATGGGGCATTTCCACGTGACACATTCAATAATGTAAAAAGGTTGGTAATAACAAATTATCCATATTAATTGCCTTTCAACGTATTTACAAACCTAACTTAGAAACTAAATAAAGATACAAACATCAACCACTTTCAATGTCATGAAGCTTTACTATAATGATACTCTACGTTTAGCCATAACCAACTGACTCTCTCAAACTGTGATTGAGGGAAGTTCAATCCGCTTTTCAATAATTGCGGCATCCTCGAGAGAAAATATGGGAGCGTTTTTTTTGTTTGTTTTTGTTTCAAATGACAGATCACCTAAAATTACAATTTGTAAGAGCAAGAACGCGAACCTAAGGTGAAGCCGCCTCGTATACGATTACCTAAAACTGGTTGATTGGTTTGCTGGTCTTCCGCGAAAACATTTGGCAGGCATACAAACATTTTCAACAAATCGATCTCTGGCGGTTAATAGCTGAATCTATTTCATAAGAAGATTTTGAACTCCAAGTGCAGTTACAATCAATCATTTCATTTTGTTTTGTTTGGTTCAAAAAAGACTAATATTGTAATTAACTCCAACCAACATAAACACCCTGACAAGTGATCGCTTTTAACAAAAATGGAATTGATTCAAGGGTTTATGCAGCAGCCTAAGGTACAGACCGCAGAAGAGACTATCCCTACATTATGTGATAGAGTTGAAAATTCAACGTTGATAGGAGATAGAAGATCTGCTGTCCTAGGGCTGAAAGCTTTCAGTAGGCAATATAGAGAATCTGTTGTTGCATCAGGTTTGAAACCATTATTGAATACATTAAAGAGAGATCACATTGATGATGATATGGTTAGAGCCATTCTAGAGACACTGTTAATTTTATTTATTAGAGGTGATGGTGATCAAGATTTGACTAGAGATTGGATATCCAGACAATCGAGATTGCAAAATGGTAAATATCCTTCTCCATTGGTGATGAAACAAGAAGATGAGTCTGTAGATCAATTCTCATTATGGATAGCAGATGCATTAATTCAATCGAATGAACTTATTCATTTAATTATTGGCTTTCTAGAGACAGAAAACTTTCACATTAGACTTTACGCTATTCAGATTTTAGAAGCCATTTTATCAACAAGACCTGATAGAGCAAGAAATGCTATTACATCCCTACCAACAAGTATATCCACAATAGTTAGTTTACTTGACGATATACATGAGCCTGTAAGAGATGAATCTATATTATTATTAATGACTATAGTGAATGATTCGCCTCATGTTCAAAAGCTTGTTGCTTTTGAAAATATATTCGAGAGATTATTTGCCATTATCGAAGAAGAAGGAAGTCTGAGAGGTTCACTTGTGGTCAATGATTGTTTGTCATTGATTAATAATATCTTAAATTATAACACCTCTAACCAAACACTATTTTTGGAGACAGGTAATTTGCCTAAGTTAGCTCATATATTGAACCAACCGTTAACTAGGGATGAAGATTCAGTTTCTGAGGATTTCTTTTGGAATGATCAAAGAATCATAAACATGAATACATGCCTGGACATTGTATCATTAACTGTCGAACAAGGTAATTCCGTGACAAAAAAACATCAAGATACTTTACTCAACTCAAACATATTAATGATTGTGTTACGTCTTGCATTTTATCATAATATCCCCAAAAAAGTTCGTCCAATAGCTCTATTTACTGCAGCTGATATGATAAGAAATAATGATGTTTGCCAGATAGAATTTGGCAAAATCGATGTTCCTTATTTCGATCCATCTCTTAATAGTTCTAACGTAATAGAGAATGTACCATCAATCCAAGTTATTAACGTTTTAGTAAATTGGATTTTATACGCCAATTCAATTTATACGTTTGACATCAGAATGGCATCGTTGGAGTTAGTAAAAGCATATTTCAGCAAAAATTATGAGTTACAAAAACAATTTATAGAACAACAAATCGCCGGTTATAATAGTACCTTTAATGAAGATTCTCAAGACGATACTAATGATGAGGTTGTTCAAGAAACAAATACTAATGGTATTGTACCAGAAGATACTGGAGACAACAGAAACTCGATGGGTGAGAAAATCAACTACAATATATTGGAAATCCTTTTAAGTTTCGACATGGACTTAGGATTAAACCCTTATAAGTTATATTTTTCCACAGATATCCTGACATTTTTATTTACAGATATTGAGGAAAATACAGGGAAAGATGAACAAAAAATTTCGATCGCAGAAATTGTACGTACGATGAAAGTAGGATCTCATATAGATGACGAAGAACCACTGTCTGTAATCGGAACAATAGGTGAACTTCTACTAACTTCACTGACAGGTGGTCACATTCGGATCCCAATATCCTATATTACATTTTTAATTACTTGGCTTTATGGAAATTTTGCTGCAGTTGACGATTTTTTATCAACAAGCACCACAGTTCATTCCCTACTCGCCTTTTGTTACCAAATCAATGAGGAAGATATAACTATAAAATGCTTAGTGAGTATGTTACTTGGTGTTGCATATGAATTTAGTTCAAAAAAGTCACCAATAGCAAGAGAGGATTACTACGAATTTTTAACCAGAAGACTAGGCCAAGATAACTATCAGTCCCGAATCAGACAATTTAAGGAGAACTCTTTATTTTCAAGAAATAATGTTCAATTCGATATCTTTAATCCACCTTTAGATGATACTGGCCTACCAAAATTATACTTCACACTATATTTTGTCAACTTATTTAATGATAACTATTATAGAATTAGAACGGCACTGTCACATAGTCCGAAGGAAGAGTCATATCAATCCATTACGTTTGAATCATTTGAAGAATTGCAAGGAAAATGTACAGACCTTAAAGAAGAATTAACTAAGGCTAACCAAGATAATGAGAAAACAATAACAGACATGAAAAACCAACTCAATGCCTTAAATGATACACATTCTGAAACATCTGGTGAATATGAAAAATTGAAAAATGATTACAGCAATGTTAAAGAAAGGTTTACTACTATCGAATCTCAATTAGACAAAACTACTAAGAAATTTGAACAATTAACTAATGAAAAAGAGAATCTAGAAAAAATAAAGTTGGAGAATAATTCTCAGATTGAAGATAACCAAGTTACCATAGAGGAACTCAAAGGAAAAATGGAAAAGTTGAATGAAAATCTAGTAGATATTGCTTCTAAAAAATCAAAAGCAGAAGAAGGTATTAATAAAATGAGTAAAGAATTATTTCAATTAACGAAAGAAAAGAAAACTCTTGAAGATCAGTTGAAAAAAAACGAAAAGAACTTCACAAAACAGATAGGTGATCTTTCAAAAAAACAAGCCTTGTTGGAGAAAACAATGTCTGAGAAAGAGTCCATAATCATCTCACTTAATAATAATGTTAGTAGCATGGAGGGTGTATTGAAGAAGCTTGAAACTGAGAAGTCTGACACAGAAAAACAGGTAGAAGAATGGAAAAGAAAGTTTAATAGTCACGATATACTGGTTGTAAAGTTGACTGATAAACTGAAGTCGCTTGCATCAAACTATAAAGAAATTCAAGCTGATAGAGAAAATTTGCAGAAGAAAATCGGTGAAATCGAATCTGAATTTACTGCTAAATTTCAAAAGGTGCAAACTTCATTAGATAACAAAGAAAAAGAAAATCAGTCGATTATCGATGAGAGGGATATTCTTGTGCAGCAATTATCCGAATTAGAAAATGAATATGAAGAGGCTAAACAAACTGACGCTGATGAACTTGAAAAATTATCGATAGAAAAGGAATCTTTAACTAGTAAGATGGTAAATTTAAAATCGTCTATTGAAGACCTGAAAAGCAAATTAACATCCTCAAGCCAAAACAATACAGATCTACAAAATGAAAAAACCAACTTACAAGCTCAATTGAAGGATGAGTATACCCTGAAGGACCAAGTTTCGCTTGATATCAAGCAAAAGGATGCTGAAATTGAAAAATTACGTGAAGGTATTTCAAAACAAAACTCCGAACACAGCTCTCTGCAGAAACTCAATAATGATCTACATAAAGAATTCGATCTGGTGAAAGAACAAATCGTGAAGAAAAACATAGAAATTCAAAAACAATTAAAAAAAATTGACGGCCTTCAAAATTTACTCTCCAATAATCAAGAAAATATAAAATCAAAAGAATTGGCCTTAGCTGCTCTCAGGACTTCATTGGAATCTGACACGGCAAAATATAAAACAACTATAACAAATTTAGAAGAATCTCTGAAGAGCACCTCATTGTCACAAGATTTATTCAAGAAAAGAATAGAAAATGAAAAACAGGAATTGCAATCACAAGTGGATACTTTATCAGGTGAGAAAGGTGAATTGGAGACTTCTCGGAATGAACTAATTGCACAAATTTCGGACATGAAAGATAAACTAACAGACATGCAAACAAAATCTGATTTTAAAAATGAACAAAACCAAGATAAATTGAAGGAGGTTCGATTAAAATTAGAGCAGGCACAAAAAGACATAGATAATGCAAATATAAAAGCTGTAGAAGAGAAAGAAAAGACAGGAAAATATGCGAATGAATTGCAACAAGAGTTAAAAAAGTCCAAATTGAAAATAAGTAATTTAGAGTCCGAAATATCATCTCTGAAAGAAGAGTTAACAAAAAATGTGGAGGATTTAAAAGAGAAACTGCAACAAAGTGAAATCCATATTACAGAGCTAGAGACTAATTTAGAAAATCAAAAAGATGAATCTTCCAAACAATTAACGGAATCTTCCCAGAACATTTTATCCCTAGAAAAAGAAAAGAAGAAGTTAATCCGTGACCTTTCTGAGGAAAAAGAGAAACTTGTTGAACAGACTAAATCATCAGAACGTACACTGAAAGATTCTACATTAGAAATGCAGCAATCAATTGATCGATTGACAACCAAAAATGCCTCTTTAGTCAAGGAAATACAGCAAACTCAAAAAGAATTCGAGAAGTCACAAAATTCTATCAATGAGATTAATTTAGCCAACTCAAAATTACAGGATAAAAATATATCAAAATTAGCAGAACGCCAAAAGGAGATCACTGCCTTAAATGCGAAAGTAGATGCTCAAATAAAAAAAGCTATGGACGACCAAATTAAATTCAAGACTAATTTGGAAGAGTTGCAGGAGAAATTGTTGGTTGCTGAAGGAACACTTGAGAGGAAGGACTCAGAGGTGAGCAATCTAACAACAAAGTTGGATGACGTAGAGACAAAATATCAGGATTCTACTAGAGAAAAGAATGAAATGATCGAAAAAATCGAAAAAGCCAACATCCTAATTCGGGAACAAAAGGAACAACTACAATCATTGAATTCTAATATCCAGTCACTGACTATAAACTCTGAAAAATTCCAGAAAGAACTTCAAAAAGTAAAGGATGCTTCTTCAAAGGCCGCCTTACAACATACTAAGGAACTCGATAAATTAAAGCAGGAATTGCGTTTAAAGACTGAAGAATTTGACAAAGAAAGAAAACTCTTGAATGAAGGGTCGTCCACCATTACTCAGGAATATTCTTTTAAAGTAACCGAACTAGAAAATGAGTTATTAAAAATTTCTAATGATTCAACAGAGAGGGAAAAGATCACGGACCAATTGAGATCTGAATTAGAGATATCTAAAAATGAACATAAATCTGAACTGCAGACAGTAAAATCAAGTTTAGATGAAACCAATCTCACTCTGGAAACAAGCAGTGTAAAACTTAGGGAAGCAGAGACCAAATTGGAATCTATCAAAAAAGAAAGTAAAATTAAGACTGATAAATTGCAAGACACTTTAAAACTAACCCAAGGAAAATTAATGAATAAAGATGTCACTATCAAGGAATTGAAAAAGTCCAATTTAGAGCTTACTCAGGTGTCCTTGGATGCTTCAAGCGCTAGGACAGTTGAGATTGAAGCTTTACAAGTCCAATTACAAAATAAGGAATCAGAGATATTAGAAACCAAAATGAAAAACGAAGAACGTATAGAGGAGACTCAGAATACTATTAAAACATTAAACAAAAAGTTAAAGGAGACTCAATCGAACTTAACAACAACAACGAATACCTTAAGTGAAATGGAAAAAAGTGGTAGTGAAGAATCCAAGATTTTATCTGAGAAACTGAAATCAGCTGATAAGCAGATATTAGAAATTAGAGAAAAATTAAAGACAGCCGATGAAGAAGTTAATGCCATCAAGAAATCCACCAAGGAAAAATCCCAAAAGGATTCAGGAAAAATTTTAGAAATGAGTAAGACAATTGATGATTTAAATGGGAACCTCTCTTCAAAGTTAAAGATTGTAGCTGGTCTAGAGTTACAAAAAGAAAATTCAGAAAAGAAGCATGTAGAAGCTATTTCTGCCTTGAATGATAAATTCACAAATTTGGAGAATGATTTCAAGAAAAAAACAATTGAATATGGTAATGTAGCTGCAGGAGATAAGAAACAAATAGTAGATCTTCTGTCTTCTAATGAGGAATTGGAGAGTACTAGTCAACAATTGAGAACAGAGGTCGAAAATCTACATAAGGATGTAGAAAAGGCAACAGAATTATCAAAAAATAACATTGAAAAGGATAATATCATAATCGATTTGAAGAAGAAACTATCTGAAAAAGATACTAAATTGGCAGAAGAAAAAGTTTCAAATAAAAATTTGTGTACAGAAATGGAATCTCTCCAAAAGAATAATGACAAGTTAAAGATCATCCAAGAACAGTTAGAATCATCTTCTCAAAATATTTCCAGATTACAAAAGGAAAATGACAAATTAAAAGCTACCGATAAGTTTTCGAATGAACTTAAATCAAAAGTTGATACTCTTGAATCAGAAAACTCGACTCTAACAAAATACAAGAGTGAGACTGAAACCATTAAAATAGACTTTTCTGAACTGAAGAAAAAATCAGAAAATTCAGAAAACGAATTGAAGGTTCTTAAAGAAAAGTTAAGCAAACTTAATGGTCAATTAGAAGATTCAAAATTTTTACAAAAACAAAATAATGCTCTGCAAGATTCCATTAAGGAAATGGAAACTACTCAATCAGAGGTATTGAAATTCAAAGAAAATTATTTAGAGTGCAATAAAAAGGTATCGAAACTTGAAATGGAGAATAAGGATCTACTCAAAGGACAGACTCAGTCAATTGAAAGCGCTAAAACCATATCAAAATTGGAATCTGAAAAGAAAGGTTTCGTTTCTGAAATTTCTACGCTAACAAATAACGTCTCTACAATGAAAACAAAAATTGAGGAACAAGCTGCTGAGATTAAAAATTTCGAAAGTACTCTAAAAACTAATAAAAACTCACAAAAGACAGATATCGAGAAACTTCAGGAGAGAGTTAAGTTGTTAGAGGCCGAAAATATAACTCTGAAGGAAAAGGAGAGCGACAAAAGTGAAATGGATGAATTGATGCTTCTTGTTACAGAACTAGACGAGAAAAATACTAAGTATAAAGAGAGATTAGAAAATCTTGGCCAGGAGATTTCATCCGATGAGGATGATGAGAGTGATGAAGAATAGGCACTGGACTTAAAAACAATTGGTTTTATTTATCATTTGTAAATAATTTATTTAAATAAGTTTTAAACAAAAAACTGTGTATTCATATATAGGACAAAAGAATATGACAGTATACAACCATATTCCTTAAACAGTAGCACGTTTTGGAAGATAAAATTTTAGTTGAATGATTGTAGCCGCAATAAAACGTCACGCTTGTTAAACCAACAAATAGGCCCCGTGTATAAGAAAATGAAGCACCATATTTAAAATATTCATAAACTCCAGTGTTAACGTAAAATAGTGAGCCTTCTAGGAACTGAACACTTCTTTCGGCATGGACTATGAAACTGTAACGCCGAATTATATTAAACTTGAGAAGAATGAGTTATTCGTTAACGTCCTCGGTGGTCAAGATCATTTTGGAGATATTGCTAAACTTGCGACAATTATCTCATTGCCAGTAATTGGAAACGATATAGAACCCCATGTTCTCAAAGTTGCAACACTATTACATGGACATCAATCTCACAAAAATGCTATTTACCAGCCATTATTAGCCCAAACACTGAGCAATATTGGATATTGTGTAATACGGTTCGATTTTAGGGGACAAGGTGACTCATCACCAAATGAATTTAAAATGGAAGGAAGAACCATTGAGCAAGATGTTAATGATATTCACACCATTTGTACTTTTATTTGCAAGGGTCCTCTTTTGGATTTGGTCAACATGAAGTTACGGGAGCATATGCCATCAAATGATAGTAATTATGAGTCTGTCTGTCCTAAAATCATGGTAGCCCATTCTAGAGGTGTACTTGCTATGTTTGAATATCTACTAGCGTGTAAGGAATTTCAAATTCCATTAATAGTTAATTGTTGTGGACGGTTTGATGGTAGTGGATTGCTTACAAGGTATACAAAAATAAAACCAACATGGAGAAAAGAGGGTGGCCTTAATATTTCAACATTAAGATATGGCAAATATGAGGAGTGTTGGGTCCCAACACCTGAAATTTTAAGCACAGCCAAGGTAGATACTCTAAAATTCAACGATATCAATCAATCCTTCAAAGTCTTGTCGGTATACGGATCAAAGGATTTAGTTGTCCCAGTTGAAGATGGAGAGAAATACGAAAAATTATTTCAAGAGAGGGGCCTGTTGCTTTTGATAGATGGGGCAGATCACAATTTTTATGGGTTACCTGAGGACCCTAATATTCATAAACTTCCACTTAAAAGAGGAAAAGTTAATTATTCAATTCTCTTCATATCCAAATTTATGAAGTATTTAGAGGGTTAAAATGGAACTAATGTTAATTAATAAAATTCACTTTTCTTGCTGGAAAATATATAAGTTACACTATAACTACCAATAGACTATTTATTAATATTCATTTAATTAAGGTACGAACTAATCAGAATAATGTCTCATCGAAGGAGAAAATAAAAAGTAAGTAAGAATACGTGCATTGGTATAAAATGCTATACCTTATTATTCCATCCTGTGAAGTTCTAACCATAAGTGTATTCTATAATTGAAATTTGTCAAATTGACTCTTTATGCGAGAGGTCAAGCATTCTATTTTAATAACCAAGCAAATAGAACGTAATGGATTAAAATATAGATGATAATAGCATAAGAACCATCACCATCATGAGTTTCTAAGGCTTATTGATACTGTTTCTCAATTAATAATATGGTCTGCATATAAGCACTACTTCTGGTGTTAGATAGACTTATATACAAGGTACAGAAGCAACATCAGCAATATATTTATCTTGTATCAACAGCTATCAGATAGTTATGTATTAAATATCAAATATAAATAACGTTAGGATAACTTGTCTCTCTCAATAAACGATCACCTAAATCGTAATTATTTCTATTTGTTTTGTTTGTTTTTTGTATTCGGGCGTCGAAATTTCCGCTATGAAATCCATACACCGAATGGATAATCAACAAAAGTAAGATGATTGATTATACACAATACACAACAGAGAAATTTTGTTATAGGCATGTAGAAAATAATAGACAATAACATAGCCCTAATATTAAGTAGAATTTAATAGTAAAGTTTTTTTCAATTCATAAAAACATTCACATAGTCAATTCTGCTGTATTACTTTTAGTAGTTTCTAAATAAATATTTTGGTTGTTAAACTAACTAGGAAGCATATAGAAGAATAGTACAGAGTTAACTTCAAAAAAAAATCAAAAATATTAGTTGTTGATCAATTGATAGAAAGGAAGGGTTATAACATATATCTTTAGGGAAGTACAACGATACTTAGAAATTGACTATGTCAAATCAAATATATTCTGCCAAATATTCCGGCGTTGATGTGTACGAGTTTATACATCCCACAGGCTCGATTATGAAGAGGAAGAGAGACGATTGGGTTAATGCTACACATATTTTGAAGGCAGCAAATTTTGCCAAGGCAAGAAGAACTAGAATCTTAGAGAAGGAGGTCCTAAAGGAAACTCATGAAAAAGTTCAAGGTGGGTTTGGTAAATATCAAGGTACTTGGGTGCCTTTAAATTTGGCTGAAAACCTAGCAAAAAAATTTAATGTGTATGACGAGTTAAAACCACTCTTTGATTATAAGCATGTCGCAGGAATGGAGTCACCTCCTCCAGCTCCTAAGCACCATCATACATCGAGAGCAGATTCGAAGAAGAAAGCTACAAAGAGTGCCAGTATGTCAGCATTAACAGATAAAAAGACCACTAGAACCACAGCTACCCCTGCCAATGGGAACCCAGTAGTAACGAGAAGAAGAGGTAGACCTCCTAAAGCATTGCAAGAGAAGAGAGTACTAGGGGCAGGAACTGATCTGCAAAGGGCTCAAAGTGATATGGCCTTTTCAAGAAGTAATGGCGCTGTCCCCGCAGTAAAATTAAATGATAGTTCTTCAACAAGGATGTTAGCAATGGATCAAGCAAAGTCCAATATAATTCAATATAAACCACAATTTAAAGAAATTGATATAGACGATGGATTATCCAGTGATATAGAGCCACAAGGGAATGAACTTGAAGGAAACAAAAATAATCAAAATATGAATTCAAACGGACAAACGACCCGTAATGAGCCCTCACTTTCGGTTGCGTCATCACCTTCATTACCAACGTCTCCAAGTGATTTTTCTGATGCAAACCCATTTGACCAACAAAGATTTGGTGGTATAGGAACATCACCGATCGTATCCTCTATTCCAAAATACCCTGTTCAAATGAGACCACCTAGTACAGATATAAATGATAAAGTTAACAATTATTTGTCTAAGCTAGTAGACTATTTTATCTCTAATGAAGTACGCCTCAATAAGCCTGTTCCACAAGAGCTTTTAACTCCTCCAGCAAATAGCAGTCCATACATCGATGCCCCAATTGATCCCGAACTTCATACGGCATTCCACTGGGCATGTTCAATGGGTAATCTATCAATTGTCGAGGCTCTAAGTAATGTTGGTGTAAGTACACGTTCCTTGAATAGTAAAGGGCAAACACCTTTAATGAGAAGTGCAATGTTTCATAATTCTTACACAAAGAGAACTTTCCCAAGAATATTTCAATTATTACATGAAACTGTATTTGATGTAGATTCTAATTCTCAAACAGTCATCCATCACATCATTAAAAGAAAATCAACGACGCCCTCTGCTGTGTATTATTTGGAAATTTTATTATCTAAAATAAAGGATTTTGCTCCTCAGTATCGTATAGAGTTATTGTTAAATGTACAGGATAACAACGGCGATACTGCTTTACACATCGCAGCAAGAAATAATGATAAAACATTTTTTGATATACTTGTGCAGAGTGGTGCCTTGACCACAACTCCAAATAAAGAAGGGCTTACTCCTGATTCGATAATGAATATGCACTATCAGGAACAATTAAATCTGCTGGATAATAACCAAGTCGGCAATGTATCGGCGGTAAGATCTATTTCAAATAGAAGTCATAATATTCTTAACCTGGAAGGTTCTATGATGTCTCCAGGAGATTTTGTGATGTATCCTTCACAAGCTGCCACTAGACTATCTAGAGGATTTCCAAAGATTATTACCTCTATGAAAGACCTTGCCGAACAATATAACAAAAACCACAAGAATCAAGATAAAGAAGTGCAAAATTTAGAAAAAACGTTAGAGTTTATCAAAACGAATATTAAAGGGATAAATTCAAGAACAATAGAGATATTAAGCAATGGTAAAAAGAAGGATCAAATATATAAACCACCAAGTATAATATTACCGGCAAAAATAAGAGATAATGAAAAATTATTATCCGACATTAAGAAAAATAAACAAAAATTGAAGGACGATATGAATAAGAGGCAACGTCTTGTTTTGAGTAAATATTTGAAGGATAACTCTGGAGTCAATATACCTGTTGGTAATGAAAACAGATTAAAGTTAGCAATTGAATTAAGTGTACTACAGGAGAGTAGGAAAAAGAAGATAGACGATGTTATTAGTGTTGTTGAGGATAATTTCAAGATACACAAATATAGGAAAATGATAAGTGAAGGAACAGAAATAGCTATCCCTGATGTAGACAACTGTCTAGATGTGATTCTTCAAACTTTAAGTAGAAATAATCCATGATCATATTAAATATCATTATGTAACCATAGAAAGTAAATTCGCGATATAAAAATAATACTATTGCTAACAGTCAAGCATTACAAAAAACTAATTTTTTGAAATTTCAGATGATTCTAAATAATTGAAGACATGCTACAAAGAGTAATAAAAAAAATTTATAACATAAAAGTAATGAGTTATTGAGTTATCGTTTTTTAAATAGTAATAATATAAAAAGTATATGCTTTAGAAATAAAAAGAGGTAGAATTATTAGGCCGTTAAAATATATTAATTATAAAGTTGTAGTAGTAATATTACACTTTAATTCTTTTCTTTTTTTCTTTCATTGATTTATCGATACGAGAAAGGCAGAATATGAAAGGGAACGTTTCTTAGTTTTTGTAGGTTTTGTTTGAAAGTACTCTTACATGATAATGGCTTCTTGTGGGACATTGGTAGAGATAGACTTGTGAGGTAAGACCTTACCACCGTTAATGTAGATTTCGTCCTTAACTTCAACATCGTCACCTAGAACAGTGACACCTTCTAGACGACACCATCTACCGACCTTTGAGTGCCAGCCAACAATGGTAGACTTGATCAAAGAGTGGTCAAGGATAGTAGAGTTAGCTAGAACGACAGATCTTTCAATTCTAACACCGTCACCAATAGTGACATTTGGACCAATGGTCACATCTGGACCGATCTTAGCAGAAGGAGAGATGGTAGCAGTTGGGTCAATCATAGCGTTGCCGACGATGTTGTCACCCTTGGTTAACTTTTCTGGGTGCTTCTTAGCAACAGAGTTCAAGTAAAGAACAGTACCAGATAAGAAATCCTTTGGTTGACCGACATCCATCCAGAAACCTTCTAAGTCGAAAGAATATAGGGATTTTTGTTCAACAAGCAATGGGAAAGTTTCCTTTTCAATAGAGGTTGGTTTCATTTCAATCAAGTCAATGACTTCTGGGTTTAGGATATATAGACCAGCGTTAATTCTGTTACCAACGAATTCGACTGGTTTTTCAACAAATCTGTCAATCAAATTTGGTTTAGCGATATCGTGGACAATAACACCGTATTTGGATGGTTCATCGACCTTAGTGGCGACAATAGTACCTTTACCACCGTGAGCCTTGTGGAAATCAGCCAATTCCTTGAATGGGTAGTCACAAATGACATCGGAGTTCAAGACGAAGAAAGGAGAGTTATCCTTCTTCAAGACGTCTTCAGCCAATTTCAATGGACCAGCAGTACCTAATGGTTCAGTTTCGACGGAGAAAGTGATGGAGACACCGTATTCAGCTTCGTATTTTTGTAGAGTTTCAACCATGACTTCTGGTCTGTAATTAACGGCTAGAACAATGTCGGTAACGCCAGCGTTAGCGAGAGCTTCGATTTGATGCAGGATCATTGGTCTGTTAGCGAATTCAACTAGAGGCTTTGGGACAGTAAGAGTTAGAGGTCTTAATCTGGTACCGTAACCACCGACTAGAATTAAACCTTTCATTGTGTATGTATGTGTGTGTAGTTAGTTATTTGTTGGTGTAACTGAATGTATTTTCTTATTACTATACAATAAAGAAGATACTATGGGATTGAAATAATTATATTTAATTATACTAGTAGTTAAATAATTTCGAAGTCAAAGATCTATATTATGAAATAAAAGAGAAATGAGTACAAAAAAGTAAGATAAAAGTAAATAAAAGAAATGTAAACAAAAAATAAAATATAAGATGAAAGAATGATAAGCGTGTAGTTTATATATAAGTTATAAAAGCAAGAAAGAAAGAAAAAGTATTTATATCTCTTGCGAACGTTTCTTGTGAACGTTGGTAGACAACGCAACCAAAATAAACAATATTAACAGGATAAATAACGAATATAACGGCAACGCCAACGTTGTTGTTGTTGTTGTTGATGTTAAGAATTAAAAGAGAGAACGTAAGAAAGAAAGTAGAAAGAGGTTTATGATTATAGTAAAAGAGAGTATTACCTACGCACAGACACGTTAAAAGCTACGTGTTTTTATTTTTAGTTATTTATTTAATTATTTATTTTCGTTACTGTTTATATTAATAAATTGGGAGAGAGAGAAATATGTATGTATTGTAGTGTAGTGTAGCGTAGTTCAATCAATGTTCAGTAGGGAGAGAATACCACAAGCAAAAATTCCAAAATATACGTTATGTTATAATAATTACGAGAGTATTTCAGTTATTTTTGTTATTGTATTAATGAATAAACAAAAGAAAGAACTGCAGCTAAACCAAAATGTATTACTACGAATCCAATAATAAACAAATGAAATTTTTCAAATTCTTTATTTATTTATTGTTGGTTGGTTGTTTACTTCTCTGCAGTCTCAAATTAAATTTAAATGCATTTACGTAGAAAGCAAATGAAAGTAAAAAAAAATGCTTTTGGCGGCTTCTTCTCTATCCACGTAATATTGATTGAAACAAACCATTTTTTTTAGTTAGTTCAGTTTGTACACGCTATTCTCTGGGGGCGTAGGGTGGGGTGGTGATGAAGCGAGCGAGAGGACACGAGTGTGTGTGTGTGTGTACCTAAGCAGGACAAAATCTGTTTCTTTCTGTCCTCTCACACTATTTCGCGGGTCGTGGAGAGTGGGAAAATAGAAAAGGGTTAAGATAGAGGGTATGTAGTTCTTCCATACTTACCCCTCTATGATAGCCCCAATTATTTTATTAAATAGTATAATGCATCGTCTATAGCAGCCATCTTCAGTTTGATTATTTTGTATAGCTATTTTCTGATCTCATGAATTCAAAAACAGGGCCAAAATTTTACAACTAAACTGTTTCAAAAAAAGAATTTATAAATAAATTATAGGTAGTCTCTCTCTTGTCTCGCACATAATATTTAAACGCAGTATACAGCATTCTTACTTACCTACTTATGTTGTTTCAAAGAATGCTAATCCATTCATTCGTCGGTATTCTCTCTGTAAGTTTTTATTTATTACTTTTAAGACAATAAGAGTCGTCTGTGTTTAATTAGACTACTTAAATTTTCCATCAATGGTACGTCAGTATCTCCACAACACCAAAAAGAGAAAGTTTTCTTCAGTTTTATCAAAATGTGTTTGGCGTGGGCCAGACGTATTTATTTTGCTTCTTTGATCAGTTCTTAGTGGGTCTCTGCGTAACATTCTCTTATATTTGAGTTCTACACTTTGAAAGATATTTTAACAAGATGAATGAGTGAGCATATTTTCTTTTTGCCTGTCGATGTAAGAGGCCTGCATCAGCACCCATACATGACATATAATAAGCTACACCAAGTGTGTATATGTAATACACCCATACATTAAAGAAATATTTAATGGTAGCCCCACGCGAAAAATATCTCGTTCCTTTTTCCTTTTTTGTTGGGGTTTTTGGGGTTAGAAATGAATCTGCTTTTTGGCGCCATGGCTCCAAACAATTCACTGAAAGGAATAGTGGGGAATATATATAGTTGAATTTCGCGTTCTACAGGGATAGTTATTAAACAATGATTATTGAACCCTTTTAACAAACAATGTTTTTTTTTGTACTTGAATTACAATATTCCTTGTTTCGTTACGTCTATAATAGTTAATATATGTGCTCTTTACGTATAAACTTGTTATTGAACCTGCTTATTTGTGTTTAGTTAAGGCACTTTCCTTTTTGTTTTGTTTTTGTTTTGTTTTTGTTTTACTTAAAACCGATGATAACCAAAAAAAAAAAGTCTAGGCGGCTAATTTCTTTGAAATGATATTGTAGAACATTTAAT